GTGTGTGACTGAGAAGCTTACTCGGTGGAGAGAGCGGCAGCAGTGACATGGGGTCGCTGCGAACCAGACGTGCAGGCAAAGGTACCACTCCGTCCGGCGCAGAGAAAACGATTGTCCACGGGCTAGTGCCGCAATGTTGGATTCTCGGAAATGTGGATTGAGCAGCCATGTTGGGTTGGGCGCCGGCCCGGCGGGGAGGGGTGAGGGTGGAATCGTGGATGGGATGTTGCGGTCGGTTGATTGACAAGGACTCTGCAGAATCTGCCACTTTCCCAAGGGTCGCCGAGACCGGGCATGGAACACGGCAACGGCAGGCGCTTTTGCGGACGGCTTGACGGCTGTGCCGACCGGACAAGGCCGCGATGTCCGTATCCCACATCGGCAATCCCATCGACAAAAGCCCCATACCGACCGATTCTTTCCTGCGCTTGCGACGCGACCTCGTCTGAGGCAGGACTTCTTTGACCGCACGACGACGAACGTGTCTCCTTCCGTCATTTCCTCTTGTCCTTTTTCTCGAACGCATGCGAAAAGTCGTCATTTCCCATCGTCCGAACTCTCTGAACGACGAGAATTCGCCGGTCTCATCGCTGAGTGGTTGGCGTTGACACACAGTTATTGTCTGATTGGTCGGCTGCCACCCGCCACGATCGGGACTTGGCTGAACACTGCCGGGGCACCTGGGCGAGGACATGCCAGGGCCCCGATCGAGTCTCTCACGAGATCAGAATGACGTCTTTGGGAAGGTCGATTGGGTTCTCGACGATCAAAAAATGGCGGCGATACCATCATGGCGACGGGTGTGACCTCGCTCAAGACCCAAAACGGCTGCGAGAGGCCATTCGGGGTGTCTCGGCCGGAGGACAAGGCCGCTTCCGTGACGTCGGCCACGGCCCACGGCAAGTGTCGGAGGGGGCCTCGACTCGACGTGGAGACAAAAAAACCACAGAACTCGGGGTCTTGTGTCGCTGGAGCTACTGGGTAGTCGGGAGCCTTCTTTCAGGATGATGCGTCTCGGCGCGGCAAGCGCCACATCACATGGATTGATGGAGAGACCGACGGCGAGAAGCCGAAGGTATTGCACATGCGCCGGTACAGGACTTGGTTCAGGCCATTGTTCAGGCTCATGCCCGGGCCTGAGCAAACGACACGAGCCCACAGCAGGGCGCAGTCGACATCGCGAACCGGGTTGAGTCAGACTGGACTCGTGTTCGGCCGGCGGCGGCTCTTGGTTATTTTCGGACTATCGTCCCGGGAAGAGCGGTGGGCGATAAGGTGAGGCTCCTCAAGAGGGTGTTCTGGAACGTGAAGGTATTGGATCCATGAACCAGTGGCTGTGGTACCTGGCGTTGCGAGGCAAGGCACTGAAAGGACTGGGGCTGCATAGTTTGGATCTGACTTGTGATTCCGAGAAGGTGTCACATTTGGAGAAAACAGTGGACTGTCGCTAGTGCGCCGTCTTCTACATGCACACTGTGCAAAATAGGGGTTGGCTGGGTGAGGAGGCAACTGCACCTCCCCGCCTCGACGGTCGTTCCTTCCTGTAGGAGCTGACACCAACAGGGTCACATGACATTTTTGGATATTGAAGGAAGCTGCGATTAAGACTGAAATGGAAAGTACGATTTTGCGCGCGCCCTTGGACCTTCCGCAAAGTGAAACTGCCTGAACGAGTCCAGTGGGACGAAAACTTTTGCAATCTCTGTGTCAACCCCGACTTTGCTACCTTGTCACCTGCTCACGAGACTCGACATGGCATACCGGCGGGCCATCCACTAACACGATGAGTGAAACAGCACCGAGGCCATGAATTGGACTGAGGGATCGTTAGCCCGTCTGTCACGAGGCCCAGGCTGGCAGGCGGATCTCGAGCGGCAGAAAGCCTACTTTGCCAAAGTTCGGTCCGGTAGGCTCGACGCCTCGAAACCAGACATCAGCACCATCTCATTCTTTCAACAAATCCCACTCAACCCTCCGGTAGACTACCTCAAAAGCTCCAAAGATCATCACGTGCTGTCATCGCCGTATTTCAAGCCTCAACTGAGCCAGCGTAGCGCTCAAAAAGGAGTATCTGACCATGGCAGAGCCTCTCGTCAGCCGCATCACGGAGGAGACCCGTTCGCTAGTGGCCCAGACCGTTCTCGAGACCGTTCGATGATAGCTCACAGCGGGAAGCGACTGCGCGTGACAGACACGGTCAACACGTTCGATGCCAAGAGACGCAAATTACTCCAGAAGGGAGACTGGGCGGGTCTACGCATGCAGGACTCCATTCCTATCGAGTTTCCTGCCCATGAGAATCGAAAAGGTCAAGTATGGAACTTCCAAAGCAGTAAGCGTCCGAGAGACCAGCTTCCGTTTGCCGACAAGCATGGACGGGCACCGAGAGGACGACTTCTTCCGCACTACGGAAGCACACAAGACAGGAGTCCCAGTGTGCAGATAAGGATTGGCAGCGAATGTCTTCGCAGTACAGTAGCGAGCCAGCAAGCCAGCAGCAGCCCGTGCATACGAGTTTCCACAAAGAGATCGACATCAAAAGTCAAACAGAAACTTGTCGACCGCCAGCCATCCAGCTCCAAAGACCCCTCGCGACGCCTCCTTCATCAGTACCCGAGGCAGCATCGCTATGGTGACGACACTCAGAGCGGCAGTGTTGCGCCAAGGAAAAGATGGTCCCAAGGGAATCAGGGGAGCATCCCAAGAACGTACGAGGGTGCCGTTGATACGATGATCCCACCAAGACCATACGAGGCATCGAGGCATTTCCGCCGAGATGATCAAAGTCTTTTCGTCGAAACATCACCGGCTGTTATTCACCATCCAATACCACAACGAGTATTCCAGGACAAAATTGAGGCTCTAAGTCCCAACAACGAGAGTACTGCTGGGGTGCTTGGGTATGATGAGGCGCCCATCGGCGCAGTCTCCAAGAAGGAGAATGATTGGCGAGCTATGCTTGCCAAGATGGAAGGCCACTTCGAGCTCACCCAGGATCCGGGCCTCGTTGACTTACCTAGCCGGCCGAATATCAGCCCCGGGTTGAGTAACTTACCGATTCTTGAGAGCAGCTCGTCATCTTCAGTCAGCGAAATTGCGGACTCCTTCGCATTGGATCATCCACTGGAGGGCAATTTCACGGCCACGGAGGGACGAAGTCCATGCTGTGAGGTCGCCTATGGGCCAAGATTCGACTATCCGCCTATGAGTACCTCTCCAGAGACGAGAGATTTGGCAGCCAGACAGGTCCTACCGGCAGACGACACGCCGGCAAGAGCTGCGAATCATTCTACTGACACTACTAGTGAAAGGTGTTCTGATTCGAAGTCTCCTGAATCCACAACGCCATTCGTGCCTCCTGCGCAACGCGTCAGCGAATCTGTTTTCGAGAGCCTCTCAGGATCAGGATCAGAATCAGAAGCCGGCAAGAAAAGGCTCGCAGCTGATCAGCCGGCCTCGAGATACACTGACTCAGACGACAGCGAGGAACAGCTTGTACTTGATGAACACCTCTCGAGGTTTGCAGATTCTTCCGACGATGACTTTTCGGGGCCCTCTGAGGATGCCAAAGAGACAGAAAATCCCATAACACAGGGCGAGGATCAATGTATTCGGAAACCATTGAGCATGCCATTCTTCATGCAAAATAGTCAGTCAAGTTTCCCACTGTTCTCACAGAAAGCAAAACCAGAAGAAGAGCCCTTTGAAGCGAAGCCAGCAACCGACAAGAATGCAGAAGCAGCCGCCGCCTGGTTGGAATTCCTGTTCCCCAGTGACATCGAGGACACCCGAGAGGCTGCATTCAAAGTGGCGGTTCATGATGCTGCGCGGGATATGCGACCGTCAAGCAGCGCTTCTGACGTCTCGAACCCAGCACCACAGGCGTCAAGTCTGGACCAGGACACGGAAACCGTGGCAACTTGCGGAACAGTCGTTCCTCAGCGGCAGATCGCGGGCAATGCTTTCCCTTCGGCATTTTCGCCCGATCCACAGCTCAGTCGTCCAGCGGACTGGACACCGTTTCCGCCTTCATTTTCGCCCGATTCCGACCTCAGACCGTCATCAAGTCCCGTACAGGCTGCAGATCGAAGTCAAAGTGACATTGAGCATAGAAAAAACATGCCTGAGATTACGCAGACCCATCATCATACGAGAGCTCCAAAATCGGTAGTATCTCTAAGTAGTTCCTCTTCTCGTGCTTCGGCCTCAACTGGGGGATTCACGACAGATGCTGCTTCCATCATAGCGCAGACTTCTGGTTCAGAATGCGGCAAAGAACGTCGAGTCACATATACCCAGCCCAAGATCTTCGTCGGGAGATCGGCCAACACAGCAACACGACAGACCAAGCCACCTCCTGCTGCCAAAATACCGAAGCCCAACTCCAAGCCCAGGGGCAGGCCGAAGAAGACGAAAAAGGGCAGAGACGGGAGGGCGAACATACGTGCGGTACCAAACTATGATGAAGACCCCATCTCAGACGAGTAATGGCGGGTTGGTGGTCGTTGTTTTGGAAGTTTTGAGACACCATTCACTCAAGGAACATGGCATTGCACAGAGGCGAGGAAGGGGGAAGAGCTTATACTGGCATCCTTTGACATTCGTGGGATATCGACCGTTTTTGGGACCATGCCCTATCTACTCTAACGGACTCAAAACATGTACAATGCAAGAAGAAGAGAGAGAAAAAATTGACCCAAGAAGAAACAATGCTCCAAAATCCATCCGTCCCTTTTTTGTGTCTTCAAATCCAAATCAAAGTTTGCGTCCATCGTTGTCCAGAGGAACCCAGCACAGCTGTTCTTTCGGTCTGGAAGCTTTCTTTCGTCGTCGTATCAAATACAGATGTTTTTGATATTTTCACTTTTTTTCTTGGCGGTGCTGCTCTTTTTTTTTGTGTGTGTGATTGACAGAGATATCCCATGATGTCGTTTCTGTTGTTTTCGGTGTATGGAGAGACCGAGAGGCATTGGCTCTTGATCGGTGTCATAGACCTAGAATCACCAGAAGCCAAAGGCGCGGCCGTGGCGGCGCTGGTGGTGGGCCGCCTGGCGCTGCTGGCCCTCCTCGACGGCGCGCTTGGCGGCGGCGGCGGAGGGGGCCGGGGTCTGGGAGGGGACGAGGGAGACGGTCTGGGTGAGGACCGAGGTCACGGCCGTGGGGCAGGAGCTCTGGGTGACGGTGACGGTGACGGCGGAGGGGCAGCTTCCGTTTCCGGAGCCGCTGCCGGAGCCGGAGCCACTGCCGGAGCCACCCTCGCTACCACCCTGGCCACCCTCGCCGCCGACGCTGCCGCCGTTGCCGGAGCCGGAGCCAGAACCGGAGCCAGAACCGCTTCCGCCACCAACACCGGCGGAGGGAAGGGCAGACTGGATGGTCGTGGCGACGGCGCTGGTCTGCGAGGGGCTGATGGTGATGACGCCGGTCAGATCAGAGAGGGTGACGGTGATGAGGGAGACCTGGGGTCCCTCGGGCTGGGCGGTGGGCGCGGGGGGAGGGGCGGTCACGTAGATGGTGGTGACACGGCCCGAGCCTCCGGGGGTCTCGGCGGGGAGGGTGGAGGTGAGAGCGGAGGTCACGGCATCGGTCTTGGCCGGGGCCGGGGCCGTGCCGGTGCCGATGGCGCTGGGCTCGATGGTGATGGTGACGACGGAGACGCGAGGGGGCGCGCCGCTCGAGGCCGGGACGCTCATGGTCACGACGGAGGTGATGGGCTCGACGGGCTTCTGGGGGGGCTGGGAGACGGAGGCGGAGGCGACGGCGGACTCGGAGGCGGCGCCCTCGACGGTCTTGGTGATGAAGACGGTGCTGACGCGAGGGGGCAGTCCGGACTCAGCGGGGAGGGTGGTCTCGACGGCCGATGTGACGACAGAGCCGATGGCCTGGGAGGCGGAACCCTCGGAGCCCTCCATGGTCTTGGTGATGTAAATCGTGGAGACGATTTGCGAGCCGCCTTCGGGGGCAGGGAGGGTGGTGACCAGAGCAGAAGTGGTGACGACGGAGCTGGCGACGGCATCTGCGGAGCTGACGACCTGGGAAGCCTGGGGAGGAACACCGGCAGAGCGAGTGACGTAGATGGTAGAGACGACGTTGCCTCCGTTCGCGTCAGGGACTGTGGTGACAACTGCGGAAGTCGTGAGGGAACCGACAGCCTCGGAGGCTGAGCCGCCGACGGCTTCGGACTGGGAGGCAGCGGGAACGTCGGCAGTCCTGGTGACGTACACGGTGGAAATGATGGCAGAGCCGCCGGGGGAAGAAGGAGCCAGAGTGGTCTCGACGGCGGAAGTGAAGACAGAGCCAACAGCACCGGAAGCAGAGCCGCCAACAGCCTCAGACTGGGAAGCGGCGGGAACATCGGCGGTTCTGGTGACATAGATGGTAGAGACGACGTTGCCTCCGTTCGCATCAGGGACGGTGGTAACAACCGCGGAAGTCGTGAGGGAGCCAACGGCCTCAGAAGCAGAGCCGCCAACAGCCTCAGACTGAGAAGCAGCAGGGACGTCAGCAGACCTGGTGACGTAGATAGTAGAGACGATCTGGTTGCCCTGCTCGTCCGTCACGGTGCTGAGGGCAGCTGAGGTGGTGAGAGCCGCAGAGCTGGCGACGGCGTCGGCGGAGGAGACGACCTGGGAAGCCTCAGGGGCACCGGCGGTGGGGATCCTGGTCACGTAGACGGTGGAAACGACCTGTCCGCCAGTCTCATCCGTGATGGTGCTAAGGACAGCAGAAGTCGTAGCGACGGCGGTCTCGGGGACGGCCGGGGTCTGAGCCGGGGGAGCACCAGGGGTCGGCACGCCGGTCACAAAAGAGACGCCGCCAGTACCGACGGTGGCACCAGCGCCAGGGGGCAGAGTGGTGGTGGTGATGACGCTGCCTCCATCGGCAATGCTGGAGGGAACGCTGCCGATGTCAGTGGCGGGAGTGTCGGGGACGACGACGGTCACGGTGGCAGTCGTGGGAACCGAAACGGTGACGGTGGCGGTCTTGGCCGAGTTCTGGCAAGCGATGAGTTGCGTCTGGCACTGGGTAACGGCGAAGCCATGTCCAGCGACGCTCTGGCACTGGGTGAACTGCATGTTACAGGCAGCAGAGCAGGCAGACTGGAACTGGCCGAACTGCATGCCGCCGACCTTGAAGCCGCCCTGCTCGCCCTGCTGGACGGCGGGAGGGGCACCACCGAGACCGGAGAAGAAGTTGAAGAAGGTTTGCTGAGAGATGATGATGATCTTGGGCTGCTGGATCAGAGTGACGGGCTCCAAAGTCTTGACGGAGGTGACGACATCGGTGACAGTGACGTTGTTGCTGTCGGTCGTCGTGATCGTGGCAGTCTCAGTTGTCACGCTGGGGACCGCCGGGATCGAGGTGTTGAGGAAAATGCCCGTGGGAGCCGCGGAGCCGGCACCGCCAGTGCCCGTGAGGGAGGCGGGAGGCGGGATGCTGATGCTGGTCAAGACGGGTTCGGGCTCGGCCTGGCGCTTGTGCTGGCGGGCGAGGCCGAGCTCTGCCAGGAGGCAGACGAGAACAGCCGATTTGAGCAACATGGCGAAGGATCGTGGAGGACTGTTGTCGAAGGTAGCGGTTTGCTAAGTGATTTGAAAGTTGGATCGGTTGGTTGTTGGGAAGGAATGGACAGAAGCAAGGCCCTTCAAGGGTTGTGATGGGCGACTAGCACCTGGAAGAGAATGACGAAGTTCGAAAAGAACGGAAAAAAGAAAGAACTGGCAAGAATGCACCAAGGATGGAGAGCTGAGGCTGCTGAGGCAAGAGAAGAAGCATCGAGAGACGGGAAACGCGGCCATCTTTAAAAGCATTCGCGCCTCGCGCCAGAGGCAGGAGGCTCTCTCATGCCAAGGGCCGCATCCTTCGATAGATCGGGTACACGCCTCCTGAACCAAGCCTCCTAGCCTGACGGTGGGACGGGCTGACCATCGCTTTGGGTTAGCCATCGTGAGACGTTCGGCCAGAGAGCGGACTGGCAGCGGGTCCAGGGTAGGGGGATGAGCTTATCGTCGTCTGGTGTTTACGATCCTAAGAGAGGGGTGGTGGAGGGAGTGGAGGAAGGAGGCCGGGGGCGCGAACGGAGTTTTTTCCCTGGCAGGATCACCAAGTGACTAGGAGGAGCAGGCTGACCGTTGGCTCCCATGAGTGTTTCCCGAACAGGCGGCGTGAAGGCTGAAGGCGCCGTTTGTTAGAACAACGGGGATGAACGGAGGAGATCCAGGAGGACATGGGTACGGCCTCCAATATCTGTGGGCTCCTTGGACGGAGGTGAGTGCGTAAACGGGAGGAATAAACCGAAAGCACGGCCTATATCAGACTCAGCAGAATGCGCGTCGTCTAAGTCTTTGCGGTGATGTTGCAGCGGAGCTCAATAACTGAGTTTATGGGAAGAGATGAGATGTCGTGCTGAATGCAACAGTAACTGTAGATCCGAATGTCTAAGCCATAACGACGACTTCGTCCGTACGGCCTGGAACGCATTGCAACTTGCAATGATCTGCCCGTAGCGCTCCCGCAAGATCGACGACCGTCTGCCGTCCTGTGTCCTGCCGTCTTCCTCCTCCCTTTTTTTCTCCGAGCCGTGTCTGAAAGCCCCCACACGAACAAGTCTATCTTGACTGTCCAAACAAGCCAGCGAACTCCCCGCTTAGTCGAGAAAAACGGTAGACGTTGTGGACTTGACGGAAAAAAACAAGATGGGTTCAGGGAAGGAGAACCCGAGCAAAGACTTCTTTGCTCAGGGGAGCCGGTTGAACGTCTGAATTCCTGAACCAATAACATCAAGCTTGAAAAAAAGCTCTGCGTGTTTGCTGCATAGTGAGTCCAAGGAATCGGCCTGGAGAACCAGGAGATGTCGGACGGAGGCTCAGGGGCAGCAGTGTGGATGAGTTGAGGTTCACTTTGAGTGCCCAGAAGAAGGGGGATGGATGAAAGCGGTGCTGTCCCCCTCTTTGGTAGTCGTTGATGGTGGTGGGATGGACGTCGGGATGTTGCCGGCAGGGGCGGCGCATGATTTTCGCGGGGGGGACGGAGGATCAATCGGACGTCGCCGCTGGGTTCATCGGAGATTTACGGCCAATCGGGAAAGGAGAAAGCATCCCTGAAGTGATTATATAATGCGCGGCTAAAGCCCCCCACTTGGTGAGTTTGAACTTGAAGATGCCAGCGACATGCTCCTGGTCACTTTCTTACCCTTTTTTCTCATCCCCAAAACATGGAACATGGTACGCCCCCTTGACCTGGCTGTTCCTGTTTCAGCTGATCTTCCAAAGGGGAAACTCAGCCTCGTCCCAACTCCTCTTTCTGTGGCTTCTCGCCTGCAGCGTTCCAATGGAAGAATTCAAGGTCCCCTGTCCTTTCTTCTCGCCCTGTCGCCATGTCCACTTCGAGGTCCACCGTCCACATCCCTCGATTTTTTCACCGACAACCCCAGATCACATGATCTTCTCCTTCTCCTGAGTCCAGTCTGCGGACGTTCTCGGCCGGTCAATGACTGGACGGGTTCTCTTCTCGAAGGTCGAGTCCATCCACTCACGCCCGATTCTTCCATCTGATGTCATGTCGTCCGATGCCCTGGTCCCTGAACCCCTGCACCGGTTTCACGAAGGCTAATTACAGGAGGCGTCTTTCGTGCACACTTGGGACGATTGTGGGCTCGACGCCGCCACCTCTTCCCTTTTTCATTCGCGATTTCTCCGATGTCATAACACCGATCCTGCCACATAGCATAGTCATATGCCGGCGCACTCATCTTAGAACTTGAGGGGAGAGTCGCAGTCGACGACTTGCTCTCGGGCCTCTGACATCTTAAGAACATGGTTGCTTGCGGCATATCTTCGCGGAGATTATTCACTGCAACCTTTCATCAACCCCTCACTCTGAGGCAAGGTCCATCGCCTCGAGCGGAGGCTCGCCAAACCGCCCTCCCGCCGGCAGCCCGTCTTATGATCACCGTGATATTCCTATGATCCGCGACACCGCGACACGTCAGTGAATAAGGTCTGGCTTGTGCGACCCATGCGGGAGATCGCAGAACCAGAGCTCCACCCCTCGGTTTCGACGGTCTTCCCTTGTCTAAACAATTGATTGTTTAAGATTACGGAAGGGGGCTTCGAGCATTTGTGTGAGACTGCTCTTGTAGCATCATCCCAGAAACGGTATGTAGCTCACCAACGGTATAGCACCTTCTCGGCCTCCGCGAGCTTTGGACTACGAATCCTCCTCCTTGGCGCGCTCCATCATGCCAACTCCATGATGGAAGGCTGGATCTTTCTTTTTCGTGAATACGACCTCTATCGATCCCTGGCCGGCGGTACCCATAACGTGGAGCGGTTCTCTCCCTTGGTCAGTCCCGATCCGGAAGGCTACCAGGCGGCGACTCGTCAGCTCATCGACTTGCCAGAGTGCCTGCATGACGAGGATTCCACGGGTATTCTCAACGGCTGTTGCGTTCCATGTATGGTTATTGGCCTTAGACTTATCCATAGGCCAAGTATGCATGTCTCGGGTACCAAAGGGAAAAAAAGGTTGAACGGACAGCTGCCACCCAGTCTTGAGTGACATCTGGACATTGCCGCGGGCAAGCAACGCCACGCTCGCCAGCGCCAAGCTCGGGTTCCCTTTGCAAAGAACACGGAAATGCCACACAGCTTGGACGAACTACGCTGGACCTTCAGACAAACTCTGCTTCATCCGAACTTGCAAGTACCCTGACGGCACTGGCATTAGCGGCGGCGGCATACAGGGTCCATGGCGATGGCCAAGCTCATGGTGCAACGGGACCAGCACCGCCTCAAAACACACCGTCATGTCATCCTCTCCAGTCATCCCGTCACGTACTCTAAACCTGTTTGTGGAAACGGAGCGGCGGGCTGGTCCACAACGTCATGCGACCGCCACCATCACGCTTAGCATCGTGGGAGATTCGTCTAGACCGCGCGAGACCGACGTCCAGCAGGTTGTCCGAAGCCATCAGCCCTGCGGGGAAAGAAGCCACACTCTAATCGAGGAACCCGTCTTCTGCCGCCGCTCGGGGAGTCTGGGGATAGAGCATGAAGGGAGACCGGGGGTGTCGCTGCGCCCTCGGACGATCCGGTCTGGAACGATTGATTCTGGTGCGTTGTTTTTCTCCTTCGTGAGGGGGTTTCTCGGGAGGGACACAGCCATCTTCTATTGCATCATCGTTCGGCCTCATCCCACAAGGACATTTACATTGGAGGGACGTTGTTGTGGTTATCATCATTCACCTCCGGCGCCGAGTGTTCGACCGGTGCAGGCTAACTCAAGCCACAGCCAGCGTCTTAGAATAGCTTGCCTCCAGCTGCGTGACATATTTTACCAGAGCAATATTGAGTGAGATGTCCGCTCGAATCGTAAAGGCTTCTTAGTAATTGTTAGTGCCAACTGCTCCTGGTATCCGCAAGGTGCTGGATTTGAACCTGGTTATCCCTGGGGCAATTAGGTATGACCATGGTCCGCTCATGACTGGTCGTTCCAGGACGGCTTAGTGTGGTAGGGGACAAACAGGTCTCTGCAGCGCTTCTTGGCTGGTGGTTACCATGATTCACGGACAAGAATGGTGTCGTCAATATTGACTCTTTCGGTATGTGGGAGCACCTTGGCCTCGGAAGCAGTTCGGCCTCGAAGACTTTCCCTGACTAGACCTTGTCGACCAGAGCTCAAATTCCTCCATCATTTCGACCTTGGGGAATGTGGTTGATTATTCCAGGATGTAGCAGAGAATGCCACTGTTTTTCATAGTAAAGTAGAATCGATATTATGTATACATCTCGTGTATTCTGTCCTCGAGATCAGGAAATGACTGAGATATCGAGAAGTCGGGCGAAGACAACTGGGCTCTCTGATGTGAAGTGGAGGATGGTGGAACACCAAGTCCAAGAGCATTCTGCAAGTTTCAGTACCACTGACACCAGTATCAGTGGCAGAGAATGCCAAAGCAATGAAGAGATGGAAGATGAAGTCAACGTGATCAAGCTAATCTAGGTAACTGTGATCTGAGCATTTATTTGTTAGACAGTTGCTTTGACGCAGTTGATTTCGTTGCATTAACAAACAAAAAAGTATTTACCTAACCGCCTAAGCTAAAGTCTTCGCGACCTGGTTCTAATGTTTGCGCTTACTCTCGCCTGCCAGAGAAATCTGCATGGCCGTTCATGCTTCTGCTACGAGACCAAGAAACTCTTCCAGCAACCTATTCGTCCCCTCCGGATCCTCAAGCATAACCCAATGACCAGTATCGAGCACCTCGAATCTGTACGCAGCCCTCGCCCACAGTCTCGTCATCTGATCCTGCATCCCCGGCAACGTCATCTCATCACGTCCACACCCTACCACCAGAACCGGGACCTCAAGCTCTTTACTCATATCCTTCTCGTCGTCCCACGACATGTTCTCCCTCAGCGCCCTGTACCAGTTCGTCGGCCCCGTCCATCCTCCCTCCTCGAACATGGCGACCTTCTCCCGGAGATACTTCCCGCCCTCGTCGCCAGAGAGATGCGTCTGCGCAACACGACCAGCAGAAACCCACTCCCTCGCCTTATCCTTCGGCCCAAGATTCCGAGCCATGACCTCCGGCGCAGCATGCATGAGCGAGACCACACTCTCGACATTCCCATCCATTAGCGCGACCCCCTCGTCATCCGTAAACAGATCCCAGTACCGGAACCGCTCCTCGCCCGTCATCTCCCTCGTCATACGATTAATCATCTCCACGTCAAACCTCTGCCCGGGCGCGGCGTACCCGACGTCCAGGAACACGAGGCCGCGGAAGCGGTCCGGGTGGAGGTGGTACAGCCTGCTCAGGAACCAGGACCCGAGGTCGTGCCCGACGCCGACGACCGCGTCCGCGCCCTCGCTGTCCAGGATCGCGGCCACGTGCGAGCTCATGGCGCGCCAGACGTACTCGCGCGGGTCGCGCGGCTTGGACGTGCCGCCGTAGCCGAGGAGGTCGGGGACGATTACGCCGTGGCCGAGGGAGACGAGGTGGCGGGCCTGCGGCGCGAAGTCGGAGGCGCTGGAGGGGAAGCCGTGGAGGAAGAGAACGGTTGGGGCGTTGGGTTGCGAAGGCTTTGAGACGTAATATTTGTATGTTATGGTGGATGAGATCTGGAGGGTTTTGGAAGGGATGGAATCCATGGTGATAGTGCTGCTTCGGGTGGCAGTTCTTTTGATGCGTAAGTTATCGGAAGTATTTCAGGCGAGTTTGGCAGCAACGAAGGAAATAAGATGATCAGAAAGAGCGATTTCACAGCTTTTTGAGAAAGCTTAGGCTTATGGGCTGTCATCCCTTTGAAAGTCTACGAAATGTTTCCGAGGCTTACTAAGATGGATGTCAGTCTAGTGCGATATCTTACACGTTACGGCCTACCAACTGAGCAATTGAGCCCGAATGATGGAATCAATTAATATTAATGAGTTTGCTTTGAAATGACGCTTGGATTAGGCAAGATAGTGAGCGGATTTGGTCATGCCCTCACGGTTATCATGATACTTAAGGTGAGGTAGAGAAGTGGTTCAGCAAAGCTTAATGAAGCCTCACAGCCATGTTTCCATTTGATATAGTTTTTTGAGATCTAGAACTAGAGTACCCTTATGTTGTGGCTTATTTGTGGCTATCACCCGCCGTACGAGCGGGTCTATAGACTATAGCAAAACGCTCAAATCAAGTAGTTAGGTAGAGAAGCGATACTCTCCACAAGTCTGTGATGTCCCATCGAGTGCTGAGCGACACCGGAAAAGTCTCTCCAAAATAGTACTCTCTCTTATCCTAGTTTTACTGATTATAAGATCTTTCATTTTGATCAAAAAGATGGCCGTTGAAGTGCACTGGTCTATCCCTCGTATGTGCACTTAATGTCTTCGCTCATCAATCGATGGGGTCATGCCCAGAGAATTTATGCAAGAACCCTGCTCCGACGGCGTAAGCTGATTATCAACGGGATCAGGCTTTCCAATTTCAGAACGCCGCACATATCGATGAGGTCATTCGCGCGTATCACGGTATACTGTGGGATCAAGAAATCTGCAGCTTCATGCTGTGTTACCTGACTTGCAGAATGCGTTGCGGCCTGGCCCAGTTAGAGGCCGTCATTTTCGTTATCGGTTGGGCGACTATAGATCCACCACATCACTCTCATTTACTGGCATCGGACATCAGGCTGCAGACTCATTATTAAAAGATGGACAAGAAACCTCCTCGAGCCTTGTCTCTCTTGTCTTCTTGAGGCCCTGCATCGCGACAGGAAAACACACTGGTACATATATCCAGTCGTTTGAAGAGGGTTCCGAACTCCGTTCTGAATCAGTTGAGACAGCAATTCCTAAAGCGGCGCCTGTCAATTACCATTCATAATGGAATCCAGCCAAAGCACTCAGCTACAGGATGTACTGGGAAAGTTGAGCGAGAACCTAGCCCAGCTGAATAAAATCCTGGAGCAGAAATCAGCGACTGACGAAGCCGGTTCGAACCCTAAATTCCAGTCAAAGGATTCAATCCCGTCCAGCGATATCAAAAGCTCCACGGAAGATATAGACGATAAGCCGTCGTCAGCAACTGAACAGCTCAGTGGCCAAGCTGTTTTCGACGATCTTATCAGGCGGCTTCAGAGAAAGCGGTCTGAGTTGTTTGGAAATAAACACCCCCTGGTCATTGTTCGCCTGCGACGAAGACAGTATGACAATTCCCTCACCATGCTTTTGATCTGTGTGCTGATGTTTCGTTATAGTTGGTTTGCTGATGGCGAGCTTCTGTATGAGGCATTCAAGCATGAGGACTGGCGATCAGGCGTTCCCAACGAAGTCAAGCGATGGCTTCCTACGAAAGAACAGCTAGCCGGTCATATCTCTACGCAGCACACTCTTGTAGCTTCAAATGTAAGCCTAAGGTCTTGTCATTTTGTCGTGCAAGTAACCCATGGATTTCTTCCTAACGACAATTGTAGAACCACGAAAAGCCCGCGGAAAATACAGTACCAGAAAGATCATGGTAAGGAACAGACAGAAAACCAAAATTTGTTGCATACTGATAATTCCAGCCGTAGGGTGAAGGTCATTTCGGAGAAATTTGCTCACGGCACTTCGATCGTTAGTTTTGCTGATCTGATTGTGCTCTCTGAATTGCTACGGGACCCAGAACAAGTTGCTCGTCTTGTGCATGCCCATGCTACCCCCCCAACAGACGCAGGTCACTTCTCCCCCGAGACACAGGCAATCGTGTTACGCAGATTGACTCCAAAGATCGGTGGGGGTATTACGATTGAGTTTTCCTTGCGATACTGGGTTAATCCCGTGTATCGTTTGGGAGAGCATTCCAACGAGAACATCATCTTCGAGGAAAACGACCTTACAGCGACGGGAATTCGCGTACAACGAAAGTATGTGCGGGTCTGCGGATTTGAACACACACCCCGCGAAAACAGATCTATATTGGCAATGAACCTGTCAACTCTGTCCGCAAATTCAGAGTACGCACTGGTCCATTTCCTTGGCACCTGGGGACTAAGTCAAAGACCTGAAGAAATGCTCGACGAGTCGTTTCCACGGCGACAGGGCTTGCTTCCTGAAGCACAACCTATTGGAGTCACCCATTTTCTGTCCAGAATTATGATGATGTTCAAAACATCCGAGGAGGCAGGGGCATCAACGCTTGAGGGTATTGACATAATGATCTTTATGAAGGTTAGTATCCCTCGTTTACTTCTGAGAGCAGCTATGATATTAAGGTTGAAGAACTGCTCGTTCGATATTTGGTTACTATGGCTCTTAGACTAATGCTACATGTTTGAACCCGACAGACAAGCGAACTTGACCAAATGTGGGAAGTAGATGGTGAGAATAAGATGTTTGACGACTCATTTGATCGGTCTCGGCAATGTTTCGCACTGCTACAGTTTCTCAGGGTGGCAGCAGATCGCGTTTTGGAGGCAAAGTCTGGTTTCAATGACCTGCGACGAGAAATTGAGGCTGTATTTGCAACATACGACTCAAGAGAATGGGAATCCAGTACCAGGGACGCTATGTTTCATAATCTGAACACAGCAGCCAAATTTGTTGATCACATTTCTCAGAGAACTTTGGATCGGATTGATCGGAAGACAGAAGAGATAACACGACTTCGGGACGGGGTGAGAATTGAACAGCCAAGACATTATTATTCACTTCGTTATGCTGGCTAACTAGTAATGACTACAGATCTTCAGTGCGACATCTTTGCGAGAAACCAATGATGCTAGGTCTTTAAACCAAGCTATCTATGTCTTCACTATTGTCACAATTGTTTACACTCCTCTGAGCTTCTTAGCGGTTAGTTAACTACTCTAAGCCAAAAGTAAATCTTCTGACGAATCTTCCCACAGACTTTCTGGGCACTTCCTTTCTTGAACGAATCCACTAGTGATCAAAGAGTTCAAGATTCGCAAGCTTTCATGCTGTCGCTGATTCTAGTCCCCCTGTTCACATATTTCGCTTCTGCGGTTTTGCCATCGATTATGCCCCCAGCCCTCAAGCATTGGCATCGGTCCAGTTTTTATAAGTCATGGACTGGATTCTCGAGCAAGTGGACGATTCTTGCGATGGGAACTCTGGGAACCCTCCTCGACAATTTCGTCTTACCAGTCTTGAAATACTGCATTTTACCAGTCTTGCAAGCCTGCGCCATATCAGTGCGCCTTGTCATAACATTTACGATTCTGGAACCCTTAGTAAAGATCTGGCCTGGCTTCTTCGGAAGACCTGGCTGGTTCGGACATGCCAAGACGGGTGGCTTTTCTTATGTTGGACGTGGACGGTACATTCTGAGAACAATGGTTGAAGAAAGAAACTGGGAATTTCCGCCTGAATGGAATTTACTTTGGTGGCTGTTTGCCCCAGTACGGAGAGTGTACCAAGCTGCGATGGCCAGGAAAACTGGGAGAGACATTGAAAGCTGAATTGAGACTTCTTCTAATAAGCACATAGAGGTTAATGCTCAGAAAAGGAGGACTTCGAAGAGACTGGGAAACTTCGCACCCTGCTGCCAGATCCTCTTACCACCCCAAGTCTTCCTCCACCAGCTTGAATCATCCGTCAACATCGGGTACAGCTTCCCGTACGAGCTCACCAACCATCACTAGGTTATTCATATTTATCAACCTGGAATTTGTCGTACGGTAGCAGGCTTGATAGCCGTACGCCGATCGATCACACTTTGCGGTGTTGGCCAACCCCGCATATCGTGTGTCTCGCACATGTTCACTAGATGTAGCATCACAGCATGCAGCTCTCCGGTTGCTACTATATCGTGCAATGAGCGGCGAACACGGTATGGCAATGAGACCCTGGGCTGACAGAATGTCTTTGGAAGACACATGTCATTGGGAGCGATTGAGTGGGATCTCCTGGGCATCTCTACGTAACGTCACAACACATGTGGGAGAAGAGGTCTGGAGAATCATCAGGTTTGAAGGGGCGGCTATCGTGAAGTATAAGATGGGGAAAATTGTTCAATTCTGCTGTCGTTGCTATTCTCGGTATCATTGTTGTCCTTGTCGTCGTCACAGTACTTGTCGTATTGCAATCTTATGAAAGAATACTCAACTTGTAAACAAAGAATTCATCCCAACCTTTGAAATACTTAGAATGGCTTTAGCAAGCATTCCTCTGCCACCCCCAAGCACAATCGCAGGCCTCGGCATCTTTGCAATTTGCTTATCCCTCATCCTCCGCATAGTCTACAACCTCTGCTTCCACCCTCTTGCCAAGTATCATGGCCCGTGGTACGCCGCATCGTTCTCGATAGTCCACGCGCTCATATCAGTCTTGAATTATGAGCCGCAATGGATGCTCTCGCTAGCCAAACAATACGGAAGTACGTTTGCGTCAACCCCTGAAATACACCTTCACTGACAAGCACAAGCCGACAAACCAATCCGAGTTGCGCCCACGCTCCTCCTCTTCCCCCAAACCGCCGCTTTGAAAGACATATACTGGGATCCAAAGTGCAATACCAAATCCCGCTTCTACGGCACGGGCTCCCTGGGTCCGCCGCATCTCTTCACGACCCTCGACGGGAACGCCCACAAGTCCCTGCGGAAAGCCCTCGGCGGCCCTCAAGTAACATACCTCTCCATCCACCTAAGCTGATTTCCTTTGGCTGACATTGAACCAGTGGTCCATGGGCGGCCTCAAAAACAACTGGGAAGCGCGCTTCGACTCCCACATCCAGCTCTTCGTCCGGCGCATGTCCGAATTCGCCGAGAGGAATGAGCCGGTCGTCCTCTCCGACAAAGTAGCGTACGTCTGTCCTTTCTATCTCGAATATCACCACCGCCAGCTTAATCCACTGACACGCGATCTTCCACAACAGCGAATTCGCAGCCGACATCATGACCATGGTCTCCTTCACCGAACCATGGGGCTTCGTAAATAACAGCCGCGATGAGCGCAATCTACTACACAGCTGGCGCCGCGGCCTCGTATCCTTCGGCTTCGTCAACCGCTTCCGTTGGCTGCGCGACAGGGTCACGAGGGTCTGGTGGGGGCACTACTTCCTCCCTAGCTCGAGCGACGATGTCGGTATGGGATACCTGATGGCCCAGGCCGACAGGCAGGTCTCCGAGAGGGAGCGGCGGATGGAGGAGGAGGGGTTCTCGCAGGAGAAGCCCGACTTCATGCAGCTGTTAGTCCTGCGCTTACCGTGTAGAACAACCCGAGGCTGACACTAAGGACAGATGTATCGAAGCCCGTATGGACGGAAAGCCACTCACCCCTTCTCAGAAGCGCGCGCACGTTACACTCCTGATCCAGGCCGGAGCCGACACGACTGGTACCACGCTCGGAAGCACTCTCCGCTTCCTGCTCACGCACCCCGCCGCCCTCGCTCGTGCTCGCGCCGAGATCGATGCGGCCGATGCTGCGGGCCATCTCAGCGCGACGGTGCAGTATGAAGAAACACGCACGCATCTGCCCTTCTTTGTGGCGTGCATCAAGGAGTCGATCCGGCTACACCCCGCCGCGATGAACCTCTTCGCCAGAGTGGCGCCCTCTGGAGGTAAAGTCGTGGACGGGACGTGGGTGCCGGCCGAGGCGGAGATAACGGCCAACGCCTATGTCGTGCAGCGGGACCCGCGGCTCTACGGCCCGGATCCGGAGGCCTTTCGACCGGAGAGGTGGTTGGAGGGGGAAGCTGGGGGAAATGCGAAGGATGTTGTTAGTGAGATGGACGCTTGCATCTTTGCTTTCGGGATCGGGCCGAGAGTATGTTTGGGGAAGGATGTTGCGATTATGGAGCTGTACAAGTTGCTTCCAGAGGTGAGTTTGACATATTGTAGTTGAAGAGTTGTGGTGTGCTAATCTGGATCGTGTTTAGGTTGTTCGTCGATTCGACTTTGACATGAGACGAGAGGGGCGATTGGTGGTGGTTGGAGGTATTGCGTATAATGAGAACTTTTGGGTTCAGCTCAAGGTTAGGGACTGAACTGTTTGAGCGAGATGGGGACTTCAGGAATTTTCTGGAATCTTCAAAACCACCTTCCTTCTGTTAATAAAATCTGAAGTCATGTTCAATCAACTCTGATGTGTGAAGAGAGAAGTTGGTGCGTATGATGAGGTGAAGTGAGAGATGCATAAATCCCCCATGCTGCATAATTCTCAACCATGTCATTGCATAAGTCTTTCCACCCACACACCCATAGCTCCGATCCCGACCGACCGGGCCATCGATTTCGTCACTGATCCGTCTGGGGCGCACGCGAGCGAGACCCTTGACGCCTCCCATCCATTCCCTCCCACTTCCCTCCAACCTTTTGATCCTCTTTTCCCACCCATGTAGCTGCGCTTCAAATGATACCATTCTCTTCCTTCACCTAAGTTATCTCAATTGTCCATCAGCCGGAGGACCAGATAGAGAGCATGAGGCATGCTCCTCCGCCGGCTCACACCCGCAGCGGCCCGTCCCCTCCGCTCCGGCGCGATATCACCCCAAGCGCTACAGCTTCGACTCCAGCTCCGAGCCCGCGCCTTCACCACCACGCGCACCCTCCGAGATGACGCCGCCACCGCGAACCACTACGATACCCTGAAAGTATCACACGATGCGTCGCCCGCCGAGATCAAGAAGTCAGTCCTCACTCACCCCGAGTGCCACGCCATCGACAAAAACCACCCAAAATGCTGACCATCACCTCCCAGATCCTTCTACGCCCTCTCCAAAACCCACCACCCAGACCACAACCCCGACGACCCCAACGCCCCGAAAAAGTTCCACGAGATAGCAGAGGCCTACTCCGTCCTCGGCACCCCGGCCAAGCGCTCCGCCTACGACCGCACCCTCCCCTCCTCCTCCTCCTCTTCCGCCGCCCACAGGCGCGGCTCCTACCACAGCACAGGCCCGGCCGGCGGGCGCCCGGCCTCGGGCCTCTCGCGGCGGCGCACGACCTTCCGCGGGCCCCCGCCGAGCTTCTACCGGTCGGGCGGATGGGGCGAGCACTCGGCCAAGCGGCGGGCCGCGCACGAGGGGAACGCGGGCCCCGGCGCGACGGGGGCCGAGCAGGAGCGGCCCGGGATGGGCTTCGGCCAGGACCCCTACGCGCACACGCGGAGCGCGAACGTGCGGCACTTCGACCAGCAGGGGCACAGGCAGACGCAGGCGCGGCAGGACTCGAGGCGCGCGCACAGGATCATGGGGCAGGAGGTCACGATCGAGGCGCAGGAGACGTCTGTGGGTGCGTTTCTGGTCGTGACGGGGATCCTGTTCTTTTCGTTCTTCATTCCCTACATGATTTTCGTCGGGCCTAAAAAGAAGGATAAGAAGGAATAGATAGACGGCGGCGTTGTGAGGCGAGCACGAGCGAATACGTATAGACGATGGTAGATGGTGGGTTTCTGGAGGCGGATGTTCAGTCGCTTGAGGACGGCGGTTTTGTCGTGGGCCATGACGGTTTTGGTCACCATGCCGTCGGCCTGAGAGGCGAGTACCCTTCGGGTGACTCTCTTGTATTTGGCTGAGCTGAAGTAGAGGACGTTCCCAGTAACTATGGAGGTCTTATGTTTTATTGATAGCTTCTTATGCCAAGATCTCGTTGAAACCAAATTGCACGGTTTGGCTTCATTGAACGTGATCTTGGCTAATCAGACTATTAGCAACAGGAATATCTCAATAGTTTCTAGCGACATCCATTACTTCGGCTCAGCCAAATACAAGAGGGTCACCCGAGGCGTACGAAAAGTAGAAGCTGTAGGTAGACACAGATTTCATCAACAACAGTGCTGCTCACTCGTTCACTTCGTAAACACATTGTGTCCCGGTCGATCAGACTCAATTACTCCCCGAACTAATCTACACTAGACAGAAGGAGCCTCCCGAATATGCGGCCGAGATGTGACTTTAAAAACTTTTCCTCGTCAAGAATACACGTCAGCGAACACGGCTTAGCCCTCGAAGGTGAAGCTGGCGCCAAGCTTGTGGGTAGCCTGGTCGAGCTTCTGGGTATCAAAGGAGGCACCAAGACCCAGGGTAACACCCTCGCGGAGGAGGACGTTGTAGGCGAGAGCGGCAACACCGTTGTTGTTGACCTTGAACTGTACGCGGCGAATTTTGTCAGAAATCTGCTACCCCAAGTCTGTGCATGGTGGGGTACGACGAACCTTGGCGAAGGAGACGGGGTCGATGCGGTACTTGCTGGCGACCTCGAGGCCGACGTTGTTACCGGCCTTGGAGTTCCAGGTGGCCTTGGCACCAGCCTCGACCTGGCTGTTGACCTTGTGGTAGTAGGAAGCGGCGAAGACGCTCAGGTTGTCGCTGGCGGTGATGGCAGCGGAGTAGCTGGGGGCCTGGTAGCCGACGGCGGCGGCGTAGCCGGTAACGGAGGCCTTGTTGACGTCGTAGCCGGCGGAGGCACCAGCGAGGAAGCCCTCGTGGCCGACGACAGCGTCGATGTTGGCGGTGGGGCCCTTCAGGAGGTCGAAGAAGGCACGGCTGTGGAAGTTGGACTGCTTGAAGGTGAGGTTGAACTTGGCACCCTTGTTGGCGGGCTTCTCAGCGGCGGCGGAGGGCAGGAAGGAGAAGACACCCTCGGCCTTGAGGCCCTTGGCAAGGCTGTCGGCGAGCTCGACCTTGGTGTCGAGGGCGGCGGCGGTGTTCCATGTCTGGGTGAGGGTCAGGCCTGCGCGATGGTAGAACATTAGTAACTGTGCGAAACCGGGCTGAACGAGTGCGCCGAATGATAACGGGCTGCCGTAGGGCTTCCCGTATATTCGACTCAAACTGAGGCTCAAGCGTTTTAAACGAGTGCGGGTGGTTGCTGTACCGGTAGCCTTGTCGGAGTATTTGCCCTCGATCTGGATTCAGAAGTATGATTAGCCGGGTGTTGTTTAGAGTCAGACTGCGACACCGAGCAGGACCGAGGTGTCGTGTCCGGAGACGGGAATGGCGCGACTTACAGCTCCGTTAGTGCTCTTCTCGTGGGAGGTCTTGCCTGTGACCTTGAAGGCAACGTTGTTGGGGGTGTTGCTCTTGAGCTCGAAGGTGGTGGCAGAGAGGTGGTAGAAGTCCTTGTTAAGAAGCTATCGAGGTCCAATGTCAGCTAGATGGCTTCTCATCGAGGCTTGCCTCGGTGAGTAACAGCCGCATGGAGCTCTGTTTTTTTCCCGCCGAGGGTCCGCGAATACCCGATCAAGGGTCAGAGGGAGGGGGAGGGAAAGGCGCATACGTCGTTGGCCGACTTGGCGATATCTCCGAAGTTAGGAACAGCCATTTTGGATGATTTGAGAAGAGGACTCTGAAGAGGGAAAATCGAGTTGACAATTGGGAAAGCGCGAAAAGTTGACGAGTTGCGACGAGCGAAATGGCGGGATGCAGGTGTCCTTTCAGGAGATGTTCTGCGACTGGGGGCGGAGCTGTTCGAGAAAATGTTTTGGTTGCATCAATTGGTTGACGGGGATTCCCGGCACAATTCGGACCGGAGCAGCTTGGTGGTGACGGGGTCGCACTAGGCCGCTTTTGTCGACACGTGGGGGATGTGTTATTGGTTTGTTGGGATTACAACGGCCTCAGATGGGCACTTCGTGGGGTGGATGCTGGTGGTGGAGGATGCTTAATGCGACCAACTGTGTTGCTTGATTGGTTGTGATGGTGCTGCGTGAGGTGATTGTGTGATGAAGAGAGGTTTGTGAGGTTTATGAGGGAGGGCACAGAGATTTGAAGTCTCTCTAAACGAAAGAGACAAAGGAGAAATTGGCAATACTCGCTGCCTTCTTCTCTTAAAATTTCATACCTTACATTCCGTTTGCTCCTGCCGCCTAATTACCCGTTTGCCTTCTTTTCGTTTCTTTTGGTTTCACACACCACTACATGGAATTACTGGGCCAAGTCGCTGCTGCCAACCATGAGCCAATCACCACCTCCTTGAAGTCGAAGGTCCCGTTCCGGGCAATCAATCATTGTCGCACACGAAGCCAGGACAAGCGGTTCCTGACGGGACCTGAGGTTGGGGAAGGCTCAAGGATTCTTCATATGTGGCCCCAGAAAAAAAGCCCGTCATGAGCAAGGTCCTCCTCTGCTGGCGGAGGGGTTTTCCAGGGGTTTCGATCCGACCCCGGCTTTCTATCGAAAAGGCGACGACAGTATTGGATTTTGAGCAGTCACGGGAAGAAGAACAAATATGACCACAAACCAACTGCATCAATTGGAACCATATGAGACTCTAAATCTTTGTTGAGGTCTGCCTAACCCAACCCAGGACGCCTCTACCTTAACCCGCCCGCATTGACGTAAATTGTTAGGATACAGGTGTCTCCCTACTACCTTAATTGCCCCTTTATGCCTCCTCGTACTTTTGTTCGTGAATGGAAATGGCTCTGTCATGCAACGGGTCAGCAACTGCCAAGGCCCTCCTCTCAGGAACGGGTATTCTGTGACTCACCTGCCACTGGGGTCCGTCTGCTTGGACCAAGTGGGGGTCCAGCGCATGACCGTGGAAGCGCAATGCGGCGGGAAGTGCTCGTCGAACATAAGACGGTACCAGTAGCTGTCGAGTCAAAAAATGTCAGCGCAAGCTCCCAACATCGATGTGGGAAAATCGGTGGTACGTACGCCTCCTTGGTGTCGGGAATGTCGTCGCCCCACTCGGGCTTGGGGTTCTTCATCATCTCGTCCGTCACCTGGATCTCGGCGTTGTCCTTAAGCGCGTCGATCCACCCGTATCCGACACCGTCCGAGAACTGCTCCTTCTGTCTCCACAGGATCTTCTCCGGGAGGTACGGCTGCGCCGACGGGTCGTCGGAGGTGTCGAATGCCTTACGCAGGATGTACTTCTCGATCTTCTCCTTGGTAATCATCTTGTCCGAGGGGTCGATGTTCATGCACGTCTCGAGGAACTACACACAAAGTTAGCACTCATTCTAGAGTTGGGTTCATCCGCTTCACTCACCTCCTTGTCCAAGAAGGGCACACGAGCCTCAAGACCCCAGGCGGACGTCGACTTGTTGGCACGCAGGCAGTCTGCAAGGTGCAGGTTCTTGACACGGCGGACCGTCTCCTCGTGGAACGCCTTCCTGTCCGGAGCGGCGTGGAAGTAGAGGTAACCACCGAAGATCTCGTCACTGCCCTCGCCACTGAGCACCATCTTGATGCCCATAGCCTTGATCTTACGGGAAAGGAGGTACATCGGGGTAGAGGCGCGGATGGTGGTGACATCGTATGTCTCGAGGTGGTAGATGACATCGGACAGGGCGTTGAGACCATCCTCAATCGTGAAGGTCATGACGTGGTGCTTGGTGCCGAGGAACTTGGCAACCTCCATGGCAGCCTTGTTGTCGGGAGAACCAGGCAGACCGATGGAGAAGGAGTTGAGCTGGGGCAGGTAGGTGACCGTCGAGAGCTTGTTCTCATCGTCAATACCGACCATGCCATCGCCCGTCTCGGGGTTCTCCGTGGGTAGTGTGCCGCCGTTGGCCTCAAGGGCCGCCTTCTTCAGACGCAGGGTCTCTCTTTGGGCGATGGAGGCAACCAGACTGGAGTCCAGACCACCAGAGAGCAGCACACCGTAGGGAACCTCAGCCATCAGTCTCTTTCTGACCGACTTCTCCAAAGTCTCGCGGATAGCCTTCAGGTCGACAGGGGTGTCGGGGACCTTGGCAGGATCCCACCACGAGGGCTCGAAATATCTTGTGGTCTTGCCGGTGGCAGAGTCGTAAACGTGGCCGGGAGGGAAGGCCTCAATCTTGTCGCAAACTGAGTGCAGGCACTTCAGCTCGGAAGCGAAGTAAACAGCATCGGGCTCTTTTGAGGACCAGCCCTGGTAGAGGGTGGTGATTCCGATAGGGTCGCGGGCGGCGATGGTGCGGTCCTTCTTCTTGTCGTACAGAACCCACGAGAACATGCCGTCGAGGTGCTTAGGGGCGTCGAGTCCGTATTCCTCGTACTATATCGCTATTAGACGATGCTGCTTCCCAAGCACAGACGGCGTCGCGAGCGTGGTGACTCACCAAGGGAATGACGACTTCGCAGTCGGAGCCGGTCTTGAAGTTGTACTTGTGCTTCAGGGCCTTGCGGATCAGACGGTGGTTGTAGATCTCTCCGTTGACGGCGAGAATGATGCTCTCGTCCTCGTTGGTAAGGGGCTGGGCGCCGGACTCTGTGGTGCCATGATTAGCGACTGAGTGTCAATGCCTGACCAAGTGTGACTTACCGACGCCGACGATGCTGAGACGCTCATGGCACAGGACTATGAAGAATGGTCAATTGGCTTGCAACTCGCATTGGCGATCAAACTCGACATACTCGTGTGGTTGGAAATAATGTTACCACCTGGATGGAACGATGGTCAGTCCTCTACTCTTGGAATTGGTATCGCGGTGACTCAGGACTCACTCCAATCGGGACCACGGTGACGGATGCTGCACGATAGAAAGTCAATTGATGCACCAGAGGTTCCGAAAACGTTCTACTTACGCCTTGGCCAGCTTCAGGGCTGTCGGCTTGAATTTTTGGACGTCGGGGTGACTGCGCGCAAATAGTCAGTCGCGTCGTCCGTACAGAAAATCATGGCGGGGTTGGGAATTTTTTTGGAGGGGAGCTCATTTGCCCCTCCATCCCGCCGATGCAGGAACGATCTCGACGTACCGATGACAGGCGAAGATGCCACACATGTTTGCGGTCTCGAGCTGCGGTTGGGTATAGGTTTGTGTCGAGAGGAAAAAGCACAAGCTCGAGGGTTGGAAGCTTAAAGAAGAGTCCCGGAAGAATAAATACGGAGCAAAGAGGTGGGAGGCGGCGGAGGGTGGGAGCGGGAAGAATTATGACTCTTCTTGCGCTTCACCCAGTTTTTTTTATTTTTTATTTTATGGCTCGATTTACCGCAACGACCCCAAGCTTCTCTGATACAACAATGACATCCCTTGCCCCTAGCATTTCCCAGGTCACCGGCAAGCACCCCGACGAGCCCTGACGGTGGCCGGGGCGATAAGATGAGGTACTTAACATTCGCCTGTGCCATTTCGGCGCGGTTCGAAGAAAAAAGTGTCTGTAGCCACTGGCCGCACACGATGCGCTAATCTCAGACGTTGCGCTAGTGTGACGCAGCTTTCCCCTGGGCCGATCTCGGCTTCTGCGACAGTTTGCGTCCTGGCCACTTAAAATTCAACAGTCTGCCAATTACCTAACCTGCCCGACTGATAAGAAACTCGAACCCTCCTTGTCGACCAACGGAATCGCGAGCTGATGTGGTGCCCTTGATTTCTATAAAGCCACCTGATGGTGCCACGGCGACGGCAATGGCTTATAGCATGCAGCCGCGAGAGCGACAACGGATGGAGACTCGCCGCAGGCTGGTTACAGTGTTATCGTAGGGACATGTGTTCTCAGCAGCAGAGAACGCGTGTCGAAAGTGTGTCTTTGCTGTTTGGTAATGCGCCCGCTCCCATTGACTCCGACCGACTTACTCGCCGCTACAATACGGTCAGGGTTCCAGGTATTTGGTGCCAAGCAAGCTATGGTGGAGGCATGCTCCTCCGAATCTCAGCCTCCCTTGCCCACCTCAGTGTCCGGGTTTGTTAGTTCCGCTCATATATCTCCACCACGACGGCTGGCGGCGGTTATATGATGTGCCTCTCACCGCGGGCCGACGGATGAGATCCACCGCCTGAAGAGTCACAGCTGTAGAGCGCGCCTTACATTTTGGTACCCACGCACGTCGGACGCCCTTTCAAAGACGTTACGTACGCGGTAAATACCTGAACGTCGTACAATTCGCGATGATCCCTTTTTCTTCTAAAGCAGACTAAGTCTAGGCTATTTCTGTATTGGTCCTCTGATCTTGCCTACCCTCGAATCCATTGTGTAGCGTCATCGACTCGCCCAAAAGCAGACAAGCAAACCATATGGTATTCCCTAAACGCCGAAGTCATGCCCCCAATACGACGTTGAGATCTCGTGACTCTATCCCTTCTAGGGAGCTGGGTTGTCTCTCACAACGCGCTTGATACGCTTCTCGTACTCCGTCTTGTCCTTCTTGAAAAGACTGTAGGCCTCAGCCTGCGCAGGCGACTCGGGGTTGGGCTCGTCGAGAAGGTTTTGGATTCCGAGCAGGATTTGCTTGACCGTAATGGCGGGCTTCCAAGCCTCCTCTTCATTCAGGATCGATAGGCAGACGGTGCCGGAAGGGTATACGTTCGGGTGGAACAGGGCGGGTGTGAACTTGCCTGCGTAGTTTCGGTCAGCTTGAGGAACCGATCCGGAAGTTAGAGACAACTTACACTTGGGAGGCTTAGTAGGATACTCTGTTTGCCAAACAAGGTCAGTACAGGTTGTCCGAGGTCATCTGTGTATCTCCAATGCCAGTCTACTTACCCTCGGGAAATGTGATGGTAAGCTTGAACAGCCCGCCTTCCCAAATGGTCTTCTCCTTGCCCGGGACACCACACTCCCAGACCTTCAGGTCAAGAGTTCCCTGGGCGGTGCGCTGAGGCTTCGCGAAGAAGCCAAACGGGTGGTCCTTCCGCCACTGCTTGCTGTGACAAGTTAGCGGGGAGTATCGGTAGTCGTACGACGTAGAGCCTTACCGCTCCTCCTGAAGTCTGTTTTGGCAGAGCGACATCGTGATGGATGTAGTTTCCTCGTCGTCGGGTGGTTGTCGTTGTCGGCGGCTTAAGTTGCTTGCTTCGTCGCAAGTGCGATGTCCGTGAGTGTACTTCGGCCGGGCGGGCGCTCTGGTCGCGTGCGGATGAAGTCTTCGCCGACGGACGAGAAACTTCGGACGTTGATGTCGATATGGGACCGCCGCGGGTTGTAACTTTGCGGCAAGGCTGACGGAGTTGAGAGAGGTGGTTGTCAAGACTGCAAAAAGTCGTCCACCATCCAACTGCAGCTGATGTTTGGCCGCCTCGCTTCGCACTTGCCTCACTGATGCGCCAGACCGGGCCGCCTTGGTCGGAAGGCGGTGGAATTTTTTCGGGTTCGACAGCAGGTACGTACCTGCTTCAGAAGCTCGGGGCGCCTGAAGAGGGGTGACGAATAGGAAGGACCCCGCTCCAGCAGTTGAACCGCCCGTGGACGGCGGTCGGCAGCGCGGGGTGCTGGGAATCTGACGTGGGGCAAATGGACCTGCCCAGATGCAAGACAAGGAGCTTCAGGCCCGATTCCTCGGCTTTCATCTGACAGTCCGCCTTTCTGCACGTACAAAGCGATCATCCCAGCCCCGTGCGACTTTGCATCTTTCTCCCAGCCCTTGTGCGCTTGTCCGGACTGTCTGCAGCGCCCCTTGGTTCTGGGCTATCATCGTCGCAGATCAGCTACGCCCAGTCCGACTCTTTGTCCTGTCTGCATCTGGAGTTCTGATCCGTCGGGTCGAGCGTCCTACACCTCATCCTCTTTTACACTTCGCTATCGCATTCCACATTCTGTTTTGAAAAGATTCCAAGATCGCGTAGCTACGATGGAGAAAGACGCTGGCTCCGCCGGCGCAGCCAAACCCGACGAGACGAAGAGCGCTGCGCCTGCGCCTGCGCCTGCAGTCGAGGAGAAGAAGCCGGATGAAGTGATGGAGGATGTTCCGGATCCTGACGAGGATGATTTGGACGATCTCGATGGTGCGCTTTACAGCTACGAGCTTTCGGATGACCAGAGTTGTGCTGACCATGCCAGACATGCTCGACGAGTTTTCGGCGGTGAAGGTGGACACGAAGAAGCCGGAACAGCCAGCCGCGCCCGCTGCTACTGGTCCTGGGAGGCCCGCGACGGTTGAAAACGAGGCCGATAACAGTAACTTGGAGGACAAGAATCTGGAAGACATGCTATCCTCCGACGACTTTGCCAAGCAGCTCCAAGCGGGCATGGCGGATCTAATCGGAGAGTTGGAGAAAAACGTAACAGCGCCAGGTTTCCGTGAAATCAGTCAGACCGCATCAACTAACAGTCACCTAGCCGGAGATGCAGGCACAGTTCGATACCATGTTTAAGCAGATCAACGCGGCTGCACAGGAAGCCGAACCGTCCCCTCAACCACAAGCATCAGCATCAGCATCAGCAGCACCACCTCGGCCAACATCCTCTTCTAGCAAGGCAGCGACGTCGGACCCTATTGCGGACGGTTCGTTCCAGGAGACGATTAGAAAGACAATGGAGCGAATGCAAGCATCTGGCGAACAGGCAACGGCCGCGGCTGCGGAGTCGTCCACGGAAGACTTCCTTGCTGAAATGATGAAGCAACTTGGCGACGGAAATATGGATGGTGCAGGCAGCGAAGAAGAGTTCTCCAAAATGCTGATGGGCATGATGGATCAGCTCACCAATAAGGAGATTCTGTACGAACCTATGAAGGAGCTGAACGACAAATTCCCCGAATGGCTGGAGAAGAACCGAGAAAAGACTCCGGCAGAAGACCTCAAGCGATACGAGGAGCAGCAGGCTTTGGTCAAGGAGATCGTTGCCAAGTTCGAGGATAAGAAATATGCAGACTCGAACCCGGCGGATAGAGAGTACATCGTGGATAGGATGCAAAAGGTAATCCCACCTTCGCAATGTGAAGTCCGCGCCACTGACACCACTTAGATGCAAGCCGCCGGGTCGCCACCTTCGGACTTGGTTGGAGATATGCCGTCAGCACAGGAAGCCTTCAACGCCGACGAAAGCTGCAATCCGCAATAATTAGAAAATCACTGCGGAGATATCAGATGTATTCCCACGAAGCTCATAAGCTCATGTGTGACTCTGTATTTCCCTACAAGAGCCCACTCGAATGCCATGCGCCGTTCACCCATACATAGTCCGTCCAACGCCCAAAGCGATTCGTGATCCCAATTCCATTCTTTTCCCAAACTCCGCAATGCAAACCTGCCCATGGGTACTCCGGCCTGATCATTAAGTGGGCAACCCAAATCCGTTCAAGACATGTCCATGTCCTGAGACGATGCATCTGGTTGACTGCTTCCGGCCGACACTAGGCTCATGAAAAGCTCATCGTAGTCTTCGTCATCTGAGAGATTGTACGGGTCTGTTTGTGACGATGGCTGCGCGCTTGACGATTGGCTGTATGACGAAAGAAGTGCGTCGAGCTCTTGCTGTTCTTCCTGTGCGATCGCATCGACCATCATGTCGTCAACGTCGTTGGGAAATTGTTGCACTTGGTTCTGGGGAAGAGCCGCAGCGTCCTCGATGTCGGCCTCGGAGTAAATCGCGTCTCCCTCGAGCTGCTTGGCCTGGAAGCGTCGCCGCACGTCGCGATCCCAATCAGACTTCAGGAGCTGTCCGTCGATTAGTACGATGCGCATGACCCATGCATAACAGAAACGAGGTAATGAACCTACAGTGCCTTCCATATCCCGCCTCTGATACGTCTTGTCATCCTGGCGCTGCCTCACGTTCTGGAGAAAGGCCTTCCGCCGGTTCTCCTGCACGTCCTCGCGTCTCCGGACTACCGGGTTCGGCCTCGCCGAACGTGACGCAAACTTGAACTTGGGCGCGGGGATGGGCGAAGATTGTGTTTGGCGGACGGCGTTGTCGTTGATTGGGGAGAGCGGCGATGTCGCGCGAATCGGGGACGAAGACAGAGGCGACGGGACGGCGGGTCGGAAGTCCCAGGACGTCCGCTCGTTGAATACGGCGACGGGACCGGCGACGGAAAACATGTTGCTGTTCCTATTCCTGTCCGGCGAGCTGTTGTGTTGCATGGAGATGGTCGCGAGCAATACGTGGGATATTGGTGGTGGGATGGAGGTGTGTTGTGCGACGGACTCGACGGGGTATTTCGCGCTGGTTAATGCTATTTGCTTAATTGATTGTTGGAGTTGGACGCGACTCCGACGCGGTCAGATACCTACACCCTGGACGGTCAGCGCCACATGTGTGTGGCTTGAGCGATGACACGTGAAATCCACCACGGCGGGCCAGGCCTCTCGTCCCGGCGGTTCCCGAACGGACCCCGAGGCAGGGATGGCCAAGCCGAACGAATAGAAACGGCGCCGCATGGGGGAAAGACGCCACCGTTCCCCAACGATGCTGCTGCAGGCGCAATGACAACTGGGATAGAGCGAGAAAAAAAAAAAGTCTCTGGGAAAATTGATTGACGACATGATTCCCGTCTAGTTCTGGGTCCTTCCGCCGAGCAATTCACACATTCCCTTGGACTAGAAGACTCCACTATCTGCAACGAACACCGGCTACGGCCCCTCGAGACCGCTTCTTCGATTAAAAACACAACACACGCGACCCGTAGAATGATAGTCGCAGAGGACTGTTCTTGCGATTGTCAGACCATTGGCAGCAGCTGGCCAGCGCCCAGATGAAAGCCTTCTCCGTCTTCTCGCCCTCGTTGCGCCGGCTCGCCACTCGACAACCATGGACCTGCTCCAGCTGTCGAGCCGGCCCTTTGGCACAGCCTAGCAGCAGGGCGACGCAGCAGAGATTCACCAACAGCAGCCCCCGAGGCTTCTCGTCGACGTCGTCCAGGGCCTCGGCCGGTAGAACACCACCTAGAGGTGGTCGGAAGGTTGGTCGTGTGTTGCTTCTTGCCTCCGGTGGTGGAGCGGCGGCGGCAGGAGTGCTCGCCTTTACGGACGATGTGAAGCATGGTTATGGTGCGGCGGAGCGTGCTGGTCGGGTTGCTGCTGCTCTTGCGGTCTGCATCAATGAGTATGGAATCACTGGGCGAGGGCTGCGGTTGAAGTGTTGCCCCGGCTAATGCTATTACAGCTACCGCACGACCCTGAATCAACAGGAGAAGATCGAAGACCCCGAGGTTCAGTCGAGGATACTCAAGGATTGCCACCAGCGATGCGCCGATCGTACACTCAAGGTTCTGGAGAAGAACGGTGGTATCTTCATCAAGCTGGGCCAGCACCTGGTACGGGCCCCTTCCCATGCGAGATGTCAGACCTCATAGCTGACACCGATACAGAGTGCGATGAACTATCTTCTCCCCTCTGAATGGACGAATACCTTCATCCCACTACAGGACAAGTGCCCCGTGTCCTCATTCGAGTCTATCGAGGAAATGTTTCGAGCGGATACTGGCAAGGAGTTGTGGGACTACTTCTCCGAATTCTCAACCGAACCTATTGGCGCCGCCTCCCTAGCTCAAGTGCACATCGCAACTGTCAAGGAAACGGGCATGAAGGTCGCCGTCAAAGTACAACACCCAAGTCTTGGCCAATGGGCTCCTCTAGATCTGGCTTTGACACGATTCACGTTCTCTACCCTGAAGCGCTTCTTCCCCGAATACGACCTCGAATGGCTGTCTTCCGAGATGGATGTGTCTCTGCCTAAGGAACTGGATTTCAGGGAGGAGGCTTACAACGCCAACCGCACAAAGGAACACTTCGCCAAGCTTCCGGAACATCCTCTGGTGGTTCCCGAGGTTCTCTGGGCTAAGCAGCGCATCCTGGTCATGGAACAAGAGTCCGGTGCTCGCCTGGATGATCTCGATTACCTCGACGCCAACGGCATCGACCGAGACGAGGTCTCTGCTTGTCTGGCGCGCATCTTCAACGAAATGATCTTTGGTCACGACGCACCCCTCCACTGCGACCCCCACGGCGGTAACCTCGCGATCCGGAAGAACGAATCCCGCCGCGGCCTGCGCGGTGGTCACAACTTCGACATCATCCTCTACGACCACGGCCTGTACCGCGACATCCCCCGAGACCTCCAACGTTCCTACGCTAAGATGTGGCTCGCCGTCATCGACGGCGACATGAAGCGCATGCGCAAGTACGCCAAGGAGGTCGCCAACATCAACGACGACCAATTCCCCCTCTTCGCCTCGGCCATCACCGGCCGCGACTGGAGCGTCCTGAACAGCGAGGGCTCCGTCCTGCAGACGCGCACTGACGACGAGAAGAAGGAGATGGGCGACGCTCTCCAGGAGGGCCTGCTCGCCGACCTCGTCCAGCTGCTCGGCCAGGTGCCCCGCATCATCCTGCTCATCCTCAAGACTAACGACCTCACCCGCAGTCTCGACGAGAACCTGCACACCCGCCAAGGCCCCATACTCTCCTTCATGATCCTCGCTCGCTATTGCACGCGCACGGTGTTCGAAGAGCAGTTGGAAGATCTGAGGCAGCGCGGCTCGCTGCTGTGGCCGCCCAACGCTTTCCGCCTGGTTTCGGCCTGGATCGGGTTTCTGAGGGTTGAGTTTAAGCTCGGCGCTTTTGAGCTGTGGCTTAGCATGAAGAGGGTTTTTGGACTCAAGAGCGCGGGATTTTCGGCTCCTGGCATGTGATGCTTTTGATACCTGGATATAGACATATAGACTTGTAATTCATGTTGTGTTGATGAACAAGATTGCCCCTACCGAGTGCATATCAACTCCTGAGTTAAGATTGTTGAAAAGGCCTTGATGTAATGTGCGATCCCATCCCTCATTACGCCGTTGACCTAACGTGACTACCAACCATGCTCACTACCTAGCATAATAAAATCACATCATGCGACTACACTATGCCATTGTCACAAATTATGTAAGAGTTATGATGTATCAGATTTTGTACATATCCGTCCGTCATATCGCAAAAAAATAAGTGTAGCTTTTGAGTTTTACAATAATCTTATTGAAGGCTTGCATGCGCCAAGCTATGGGTAATTGCTAAGATGATTTACTCATCAATAAACTCCGCGTACAGATACAGTGGTATTTGATTCCCAATTACACGCTGACGCTTTACATGTTGTCAAGACGCTCCTTCGCAGACTCCTTGGCCTCGTCGGAGACGTTGGGGTTCTTCAGGGTACTATAAGCAAGCCAGTTAGCTATGGATCGACAGCGCAAAGTGATGGAAGCACTCACGCCTTGAGACCACCGGCAACGTTGCCGGGGTTCTTCTGCTCATTGTCACCAGCCTTGGGGACATCGCCGCCGTTGAACTCGTTCTCGAGAACCTTCTTGGAGTTCTGCTTGGACTCCTCGGAGGTGTTGGGGTTGTTGATGTTGGCCTTGTGGCCGCCGGCGATCTGAGCTTCGGTAGGCATGTTGATGTTTGGTTGGTGAGATTATTTGGAGAGTAATTATTGGAAGCTTTTGAGCTGTGGAAGATGTAGATGCTTGAGTGGATGTTGTAATGATGAGAGAGATAGACAGGTAGAGCTGGAGGATTACCTCCTTCTTATACAACTTACAGAGCTTGCTGAGAGCAACATACCATACGTCGAAACACCGTGAAAGCTTGGTAAGAGACAAAGCACAGCTCTGCACCGAGCTACCCCTCCAACCAAGCCGCATTCACAAAACAAACGTCAGTGACACGTGGGGAGAAGAGGGAGAAGCCATTTCGATGAGATCATGCCATCATCGACTCCCCCTTCCCCGGGCACATGGCGTTTTCCTGCTCGTTTGTGTCTCGCATGAGATGCTTCCCCCTCCAAACGGCGGGGTACATGTCAAGCACGTAGCCGGCGGCAGTACTCGCACCGCGCTCACCGGGCCAACGACCAAGCGCGTCGGATCGCGGTGCTGCCTGCCTATTCTTCGTCTTTTCTTTTTCCCTCTTCGATCATCGCCTAGAACAGGTCGAAAGTCATGACGTGAAGGGCCGCTTCCCCCAAACGTCTGAGCTCCGGGATCGAGATGGCAGGTGGTCTCCTTCGACTCGGTCGGTGCGTGCCTTGTCTTCTTCCCCCCGCCTCTACTCTAGCGTTTCTTATTCTTCCGATCCGTCGATACGCCTCCCCTGAGAAGAAGAATGCTCCAAGCGTGCCTGAGTCGGTGACATCGCCGTAAGGGGTTTAAGGGAAAAGTTTGCGGGGGGGAACTGGGTTGGGAACCGGAGGCTCAAAAAGCTGGTGTTCGGTGCCGTGCCGCGTGGTTAAAGGTGTTGGAGGTCTCAGTTAGGGGACAGCACCAACCCAGCCCTATGGTGCTTAGGACGTGACGTCTGTCACATTAACGGACGTTAACTGGGCGGGCGGAGCATTGGAGCGAGCTCACGGCGCTAGTCTGAGGCAGGGGAAACTCGGGAACCAGACGGGTCAGGCCCGTCCGTGACATGAGCCCCCTCCCCCTCCGATCGATGAGGCGGTAAGGCGGGACGAAGGTGTGTGTGAGATCGACCGATGAAGTCGGCGAGAAGAGGCCAAGCTCTGGCGCTTGGCGACGAGCAGGCAGGCTTGTGCAGTTTGGAGTTTGGTTCGAAAAGCTGCTCTGCTGCCTGTCCTGCACCGGATCGAAGTATCATGCGAGATGGTGTTTCCGGAGAGGGCCTAGAAGGGCGGGGGCGTCAGGTCGAGCTTTTCCCCCGGCGTGTTGTTTGTCTGTGTTCAATGCCGATTTGACGATTCGTTGCCGTCATGTTTGGCGTCGATCAGCGTGGTCGGTTGCACGGAATAAGAAAAGAAACAACCCAAGTGCCTGACGTAGCGTTCCTGGAGCTTTTGCTCCTGGCTAGGCACCTAGCCCAACGTCACCAACGGATGGCGTTTGTGCAGTTTTTGAATGTGCTTGAGGTACAAGCACAAATGTGTTGAGGTATTCTACTGGACAATTGGATAACTTGTGGTATTGTGCCAATTGTCGATAGTGAATAATGGGAAACACAACATGGACAACTTTATCCATGGATAGAACACACCATAGGACGACTCGTCCCTGCAACAGCAGCTGACCTGCAGGCACAACCCATCCTCAAACGCCAATTCAGCCCCCTTGCGCGGGGCAGGATAGTATGCTAGAATCTCAGATCGAAATCTCAGATGGGAATCTTTCATCCCTCCGTCAAGCCGGGGCCTAAGTTCCCCACCAAACGCGACCCGACGAACGATCAAAGCAACCTACCCACTTCGAACTCGTTGCCCGCCTCTCAGATCTGCGGGGGAAGAGAAAAAGAAGCGGTACGCGCCGTGCGTAAGGTTTCGAGAGATCGGATATCCCATCATTGGTGACGGGGGGCGGACGCTTGTCGTTGATGCGGCTGATGGCTAGGCGCTCTATGCCCCACTAGCTCGCAGCGAATGATGATTCATCGAACCGCGGTGGGAAGTCATGATGTCAATGACAGCTTGAGACATGATGTGCATTTTCCGGGTGGGAAAAAGGGAAAAGCACAGACGTTCTTGCTGGAACATTGGCTCCGGGGAATGCAAAGTGATCATCAGGGGTAAGAACGTGAGTGTCGGGGAGGAGAATTGAGGGGGATGCTGAAAGATACATATCCAGAGTTTCCGCACAATTCTGATAGCTACTTTGCGCTTATTCATTTTGCCGTCACTTGACAGCTTACAACTCAGGGATTGCCTACTTGAACTCCAATGAGAACGCATCCGCCGTGATGCACTAGCGTTTGCAGCTAGCCACCTGCCAGCATCAGGCGGATACGCCCTCCGCGGACTGCTCCGGTACCAATCCGTTGGTGTTGTTGCTGTCGTCGTCTGTGATTCAGCCATACCATATGAGTCTCCTGCCAATAGTTGGATATAGCGCCTTCTTTGGGGAAGATCGACAGATGTTAGGACCTGGCAATTGCCGTTGCTCGAGATCAGAGTATCAGCAGAGCAACTGAGAATGGAATCTTCTGATGTCATCCTTTACTAAAGCAATGGATAACTTGGTGCGGATCGCATGAAAACGTTTGACTTCCCTCGAGATCAAGGTAGCACGTTGACTCGTCGGACAGGCGTGGTCATGTGAAGCTGTCAGTTGTCGTAAACAGGTAATGGAGCCTATCCTGCCTCATCGCCCTTTTCATCTCGGCTGGACAAACAAATGCGTTGGTAACGCAGGCCGTACAGTCTTTCATTGTCCACACACTTCAGCCACGTCGACCATCGTCGCACAAGTCATGGAGTGGTGGTAACTCCATCATGAGAGGCCTCTCATCGCAGGCCATTCCCAATCGCCGAACCTATTTCGAGAATGCATCATTCAGGTGAACCGGGAACATGGAAAGATAGGCGCAAAACCCCCCCAGAACTCCGCGCGCTAAGATGATGTCGGTGTGGAAGCGGTGAAGTCAGCCGCTCGGCTACGTCCGCCGCGGCAACCCCACAAGCGGGAGCCCTCACCCAATCACAACCCTCCCGGCGCCTGTCAAGGACACCAAAGCCCCAGCACAGCCACGCGGCTGGTGGGGTAGGCCTCCCTCCCAGGTCCGGAGACCCCCCCTGTCCCACACCCTCCGATCCGACTTCACTCCATCAATCCGGCATCCCGGGAACCACGGAATCTTCGTCAAAGTGAAAGGGAAAACCTCCCCCGTCAAATCTCACAATCCCCCCCCCACAGCCTCGCAAGCTTTTTCAGCTCGTGCAACCCCACAAGATCACCACAGGGCCGGTCGAGCTGAAACCTAGGCAACAAAAACCAAAAAAGAAAGATGACATCACCGGACGACGCGGACGCGAGGCCGGCGGCCATCAACTACGTCGCGGGATTCCTCCTGGTCGGGCTCGCGTGGGGCTTCACGACGCCCTTCATCCGACGCGCCGCCAAGGACCACAACCCCTCCCCGCACCCGGTCCTCGAGAGCGAGGCCGTCAGGGCGAGTTGGGTGAAGAGCCGGCTGTACGGCGCCTTCTTCGGCGTCGTCGACCTGCTGCGCAACCCGCGCTACGCCGTGCCGCTGCTGATCAACCTGACGGGGAGCGTGTGGTTCTTCCTCCTCATCGGACAGGCTGGTATGTATCTTCCCTGTCTCTCTCTCATGTCTCGTGCCGAAAACATGGGTAATGCGTGGGTCATTTCGTTGACGCACCATCCGGCAGAACTGAGCCTGACGGTCCCGATCGTCAACACGCTGGCCTTCCTCTTCACCGTGATTGGCGAGTGGTGGGTTGAGAAGAAGGTCATCAGTCGAGGTGAGTTTCTTGCGACAAAAACGTGTGACGCGGTACGTGGTTTGAGGAGATCGCTGAAACCCTGTATCAGATACCATGCTTGGAATGGTGCTGTCTCTTTCCGGGATAGCGTTGTGTGTTCACAGCAAGACCAAGTATTGACCGTGGTGGTGGTTCGTTGGTTTGGTTGGTAGGGCGTTGGTTTTGAGCACATGGCCCAGGCGTGCACGCACGTACGTTGTCTCTGCCTGGATCTTTGCCGCGTGCCTCTTGTCTCGGGCATCTGCGCGGGGAATGTTTAGAGCGTTTTGGGGGCCGTATTTTAGAAAAGACGACGATGTATAAGATTGTTTTACAGATTGAAAGCCGACGACGTTGTCTGCGCCTGGCAGCAAATGTCCTCCAAATGCTTCGTCCTGCATCTTGTCTCTGCCACTGTCTCTGTCGCAAGCGCATCCGGTCGTCTGCCGTTGGTCTAGTGGTCTTTTGAAGTGAAGAAAATCTGAGATTCCAAAACAAAATCGCTTCTTGCATATGTGGTATCCCTCATGCGCCGTTTATACAAAGTTTACGCCTGGATGCTGGCGATATCGTGATCCCTTTCATGATCTCGTCATGCATCCGTCTGGGTTATGCGAGAATCCGCGCCTACTGTCGTCGTGCGCGAAGCCAGCGCTGCACACTTCGCAGGTTGGGATCCTCGGCCGTCCAGCGGCCCATCGAATAGTCCGAGGCCTGCAACTCATTGTAGATACTTTCATCCGCGATGGCGGTGAGTTCCTGGGGACTCGTGTTAGTCGCATTCCGTCTCAGAAACATTGAAGACACCCCTGTCCCAACGTACAATTCTCAACTGCTGGTCACAGGCACTCAAGTGGGCTTGGTTTCTCCCGTTCGGCCTCGCACCCTGCAGAATGCTGTCGCGGTTGCTCATCCACCGCTGTGCCGCAGCCTGTCGCAGATAGATCTTCTGGCATTCATGTCGTCTGGCGAAAGCATCCAGAAGACATCTGCGCCACCAGTCAGCTTGTTTGCGCGGCCGCGAATAGTGAGGCAAGTGACTGACTGCTTCAGCTCGGCCTTCTCCTGCTCAAGCGGCCCGCCGCTTGCCTGCGGAACACTGGTGTCGGCTGCACAGTTAAGAATGTGCTGTCCGTCGAGAGAACACTGGCGCAAGGCTGCCCAGCCCTCAGTGTAGTAGTCTTCCATGTTCGCGGGCTCAGTTGGCACCGCTGCGATGTAGTACTGCAGAGTCCGGAAGTCGGAGAGGACTTCTGCGACCCTTGTAGTCCGGTATTCGTTCACTAGAACAGGTCAGATCTACTGATACGGAGGTCTTTGCTGGGAGATTGTCTCGGACGTCTTTGACTAGAAACTTACATCCGTCCATTGCTTCAATGAGTTGATTTGAGTTGTCGGTTTTAGTGATTAGAAGTGGATTAAGGAGACAGAAAGGCGGCAGAAAAGAAGGAGATTATGGTATTAAAGAGTGCCAGGAAAGCGAACGAGAGGTTGTTATCGGTGAACTGTGTTGTTGATGCCATATCATCCACGTCGAAGTCCACGCTATGCCGTTCTCTTTTTGTACATTCTCGACGGCCTCCAAAGATAGGAAGATGCAAAGAGAAGAATGAATCACGAAAATTAAGATCATAGTCCGAGTCAATGGAACCAGGGACCACCAAGCAGGCATGCTCCGTCACGAACAGCAATCTCGTGCCGTTAGTTCGAGGAGAGACTCACGAACGGAGAACGAGCCCCATAGGGCATGCATGAGCTCATTCGACATGTTTGGCCAATGATTGAGCCCGCCGTTCATATGAAGACACCTTGGCCCCCAGTTCGTGGGTAGCTCGACGGACGAATCGGGGAAAAGAAGCCCGGGATTTTGGGTCTGGCAGTTGAGATGGCTTTGCAAGCTCAAAGCTAGACTGACCCTAGCCGAGCTGGTGGCGCGCGCGGCGGGCCCTGGTTCCCGGCGCGAAAAAAGATGGTGTGTCGTGTCCTGGTAGTCAGAGACACAGAGATAGCAGAGACACTTGTCCTGAGAGTCTTCTCGGGAGGCCTGGCAATGATGCAATGGTGCAACTCGCATGCACAATATCTGCAGGGCTCGATGGTCTAGACCTCATCTACAAAATCATCGTATCGATGTGCTGTAGGGATCATGTCGAGTGCAGGGCAGGGTAGGGCTGGATTGGGCTTCAGTCACTCGACAGACCCTGATGAGGCTGCGTGGGATGTGAGACCAAGCCCAGAGGGGTGGTACAGCCAGTGTGCGTGGTAAGGCTGGTTCGTGAAGCTGACAGCAAAACGGAAAAAAGAGTCTCTGTTTCCAAGGGACCGGAGGGTGGGAGAAAAGATGGGAATGACGACGAAAATTACCAGAAAGGCTTTCCGTACGGCAGGTTCGGCCTAGCGTCTGGTACGGATGGTGATGGTCCCACGTCGTTTTCTCGCCGGCCAGCGACAGGGATGAAGAATAAGGTAAAGTCGGTGGATCTTCAGCTGCGTCCACGCATGCTTGGCGGCCGGATTGGGAAATGGGCTGGAGGATTTGGATGCAGTAAGAATCCACTCATCTGTGGCTTCATTGAGGCTCTGACCAATGAGCTTTTCCAATCTCAACGTTTGGTCACGTTTGGCACGTTTTGTTCCAGCTGAACTGCCATGGTCGAACCGTCACCCGCATTAGAGCCATACCACTCCCTCGTCACCACTGCCTGTTGAGTGTTAGCAGAAGGCAGACTCGAGGAATTTTGCTTGTGGGACATGATTGCTGTGAAGAAAGACTGGCCGAAACCGACTCTGAGCTGATCCACCCAGCTATCCGGGGCGCCATTCCCGCTTGTCATTCGTTCCTTCAATTCTGGTCGTGCGAGACTTCATGCTGCTGGTTGTCAACGTACCTACACCGTATGTGGGGGCCGGCAGCGAGGAAAGGGTACCTTACTTCTGCAGTAGGTCCGTCTCAGATTTCGCTTCTCAGATTTCTCGTGTTAGGAGTCGCCGTGAAAGTAGTGTCACTTCAGCCTTCTTGTGGCCTGGGTGGCTTGGATTCCTCATAGCCTTTTTGCGTTGCTTGCTTTTCCTTCCAAATCAGCCTCCGCAATGCTGAGTGTCGCCCTGTGGAAATATCTCAGACGGTTATGTCGGTCAAAATCGACGCCCGCAGACCGAACAATGTCCGTCAATCTGTATGAATTTGTCAAACAGAAGGACACCGTATGTGTCTGTCTGGCGTCAGGCACTCCCTGAAGTACGTGGAATTCAAGACAGCCAACGTCGAAAACTCCCGCTGGCCCTTGCAAAGCCACAGACGAGACTTCGTCCGTGCCTGTCCGTCCAAACGTATCTAGCCACGCCGGATAGGGCTATAAGGCCGCTCGATGCTCCAGTGTCATTGGGCTGATCATGAGAACGTCTTCTGAATGTCTTGATCTATATCACCTAATAGGCCTGCTAGTAGTACAATCGTGTGCGGGCATTTGGGTTCGTGAGACTATCGGCTCGATTCTCGTCTGCATACCCCGCGACGGCCATGCGTGATCTGGCCTGTTGGCGTATCAATATCGCCAGTGGGCTCGTCATCGGACGCACCGACCATATTCAGCTTACAGCAGCCGGGCTTCGTCTCTTCCACTTAGTCCTTCTCCGCAATCGCTTGTAACCGGTCATCGATCTCGTCCTCGGTCAGCGTACGGAATCCGGGGTATGTACCCTCCTGGCCATCAGGACGGGGTCCTCCAACGATGCCGATTTCGATCTCGCCCTTCTTGAAGTCCATGCTGAGGACGGTGCTGAGGGTCGTGATGGCGAGCTCGACGACCTCTGTCCAGTCACCAGGGGCGTGGTCCTTGTTGCGGAGCTTCTTCTCCAGATGGTTCAGCGCCTCCTGCTGCTTCGGGCCGGCAGCAGTGCCCTTGTAGCCGATGTAGTATCCGGCAGGGTCGCACTTGAACAGCTGGGGTCCAAACTCAGAGTCCAAGGAGATCAGCGTCGTCGCGACACCGTACGGGCGCATGTAAGCCTAGGCATCATGTCAGTTGCAACCCAACATGGTACAGATATCCACCGAGCTCACTCTTTGTGTGTAGACCTGGCTAATGTTGGCCAGTCTCTTGGCCAACGCATCAGCGGGCATCTCGTAGCCGTACTTGTACCGGAACTCGGCCGCCTCGCCCTGGGCACGCTGGGAGAAGGCACGGGCATCGGCAATGGATCCCGTCATCACGCAGCCGACGGACGGAGAGATCTGGAAGATGTGGGAGACGGATGCGGGGTCGATGAGCTTATCCTAATCACTGGGTCAGTCTCTCGTCCAGCCTGTGCACTTCCGTTGACGATTTCAACGTACGGGAACCTTCTTCTGGGACAGGACAACGGCGCAGTCCTTGCCCCTGACGCCTATCGACATGATGTTGGCAGCTGTGATGGCCTTGAAGGCATATTCTAGTCGGGGATGTCTGGTCAGCTTGTTCGGTTCAGGCCGTGGTGTCGGGGGCCCCGCTCGATGGCATCACCGCAGGGAGGGGCAATCGGTCGGGCTGGCGGGCGAAGGGTGAGTACATACCGACTTGGTACAATCTTCCCTGCTCGGAGAAGATCGTAATGTGTCGGTCATAAGCTGAGCCACCTGGTTGAGGAAGTCATGTCAGTTGTGATGAACGACTTCGAATTGGAGGTTGCTGGGGTAGCGGCCGTCGTAGTACGCACCCGACATCTTGGCGGTGTTCTGAACTCGACGAGGGTCGAATTACGTCTAGAAAAGTCGAAATCGGTGGGATTGAGCCGGATGAAATTGGCGATGTTCTCAGGACGAAGATGGCGGTTGTTTGGTGTTGGGGCTGAGCTCTGACGGAGCTCTTGGAGTATCGACGCGTTTGCAGGAGCTTGCCTAGAGCAGGCGAGGCGACGTAAGGAAGGTACCTTGCCGGGAAGCTCCAGCTGGAAAGGCTGAGTGGATGCCTTGGATTCGCCAAAGCAATTGGCTCTTAGCCTGAGGCAGCAGTCAGAAGATGGAAAGCTGACATAATTCAGCTCTCCTCGGCATGCTCCCGGTACGTACCGCCGTCAGCAAGGATCCAGCGGGGCACCCCTGCTCATTGCGGGAACGACAACGCATCTTGCTGCCAGAAATTTGGCAGGCGGTATCGAAGGGAAGAAAAAAATATTGGAAGCACCATTCCCGATACTCCCTCTCCAGTGTCGAGCACCACACGCCGCGCCCAATCGGACTGCTGGACAAGAAGCGATTGCGTTCCAATCTAATAGGTCGAGCACACGTGGAAAGCACTGAAGCGGCCCAATTCTGCATTTCTCTCTTCGTCAGGCGAGACGCGCAGACTGCAAATTCCCGGTCCATCCCTCCGTTCCGCGCCCGAAAAGACGAAGGACAGAAAAAAAAAGAGGGTGTGCCCGCTGCTGCCCGTCATGTCTGCAAATATCCCGGCCTGGAAACGATTGGGCCTCAAGCTCAAGCAGCCCGCATCCGGCTCAGAGATTGGCGGCCCTGCTGCTGGCAACGCCGAGGGATCGAAGCCCAACGGTCTACAACACCACGACGGCCGGAACGGCGTCAATGCGGCGAACGCCGCCAGCGCCTCCGCCGCCGCCGCCAAAAGGAAACGTCCCGAGCACTTCTCGACTCCCCCTGCGTTCAGCTCCCCCCTCAAAAGGACCCGCACCGACGACCATGCTTCCACACCCCCGACCCTGAGGAAGCAGAAGTCCGTCACCTTCACCGACGACACAAAGAACCCCGAGTCGACGAGGAACGACGCCGCCAAGAAGAAGAAGAAGAGCAGCAAGCCCGCGAAACAGCAGCCACAGGCCGACATCAAGCCCTCCCTCGAGTATCTCAGGACCTGGAAGCACGCCCGCGACTCGTGGAAGTTCAACAAGAACTGCCAGACCATCCTGATGAAGCGAGTCTTCCAACCCGACCAGATCCCGTCGAGTGATATCAACACCTTCTACGACTACATCCAGGACCTCAAGGGCTTCACAAGGAAGAGGTTGAGAGAGACGGCGGCAGAGGTCCAAAAGGAGGACGCCTCGAAGGGCAAGGCTGCCTTCCCTGAAGGCACGCCGGACATGGATGTCAAGCAGTCCGAGTACGAGAAGGTTCTCGCTGGCCTGATGCAGCTCGGCTCGGAGAGCAATGGCAAGAGAAAGAGGTTCGACGAGGGCGGCTTCGTGACCCAGTCCACCGATGTTGCGATCACGCAGCGGGTGATCAAGCGCATGCGCGCCGAGACGATATTGGAGGAGCTGGCGGAGAGCGATGACAGCGACGCAATGACCATTGACACCGAGGAGACGCCTGCCGTAGTGGCGCAAGCAGCCTCTCAGGAGGAGGCTGTTGACAAGAGGGTGAAGCTCAACGACGGGACGAAGCAGAATGCCCCTCGTCGTCGCAAGCAGCGTACGGCGAACATGGACGATACCAGCTCGGACGAGTCTTCCGACGATGACGACGACGACGACACGAGCAGTGACAGCGACTCGTCGGACGACGAGTCTGATAACCAGTCTGAGATCCAGCGCCAGGCTGCCCAGAGAGACGCCGAGACATCCAGCAGCTCCTCCTCATCTTCAGAGGACGAAGATGACAGCGACGACGATGACAGCTCGGAAGAGGAAACGGCGAAGAAGCCCGCCGGCAAGAGGAAGTAAAAGGGGCCCCGCTATGGATGTGGTTAAATTGTGAGATACCTGTACAACCTCTCCGTTTCACTGGCATGGTTGGAAACTTGAATAGAGGATCTTTTGTAATTTGTTAGGGCAGACTGACGCTATCAATTGATACCCACGAGCTGCCTTAGGAAGCATATAACCTGGTGAACCCAGCCTCGGGCGGTTGCAACCAGTTCCTCTTATCGTACTGCGTGCCTTCTCCCTCGATGACGTGAAACGTGTAAATAATCCGTCCCTTCTGACTCAAGTTCTTCTCGCTCTTATGCAGCAAGTTACCATGAATCAGCACCAGGTCACCGGCCTTGACCTCGCCGGGCACGTACGCGTCCTCGCCGTCCTTCTCGCCCCGCGCGTCGCCGCCGTACTCGTCGCCGGGCGGGAACCGCGGGCCCTCGTTCGGCACCATCTCCGTGCCCGCGTCCCCGGCCTTGCGCACCAGGCGGTTCGCCACGGGCGCCCAGCGGTGCGACCCGGGCAGGAAGCTGAGACACCCGTTCTCCAGCGTGGCGTCCTCGAGGGCGTACCAGAAGCCCACGGCGGACGGCGGGTCCGTGTACAGGAAGGTCGAGTCCTGGTGCGGCGGCACGGCGCCCCCGATCTCGGGCTGCTTGCAGATGACCATACTCTGGAGGCAGCGCGGGTCGCGGAAGCCCAGGCTGCGGGCCACGGCGGACGGCCGGCCCCTCACGGGCGCCCCGGACGCCCCGGACTCGGGGTCCGAGACGGCGGCGAAGGGCGGGGAGAGCACGTGCAGGTAGTGGCCGATCTTGTTGATGGCGCGGGCCTTCGGTTTGGCGAGGTTTCCCTCGGGGTCGAAGGCGTCCTCCTCGAAGAAGAAGCGAATCTTGTCGCCCGAGGTGAGGAAGTAGTCGTCGCCGACGTGGTCCGCCTTTTCGCCGGTGGAGAAGCGCGTCATGGGGTGGTCGGCGAGGGAGAAGTTGTCGAGCAGGGAGTGGGTCTCGGAGAGGAGGGCCGAGACGGTCTCCGGGGAGAGGGCGCCGGGGATGATGAGGTAGCCGTCGCGGTGGAAGGAGGCGAGCTGGTCCGGGGTGAGGCCCTCATCCTGCGCGGGGACGGTCATGGTTGGTGAGTTGACGGGTGATGAAATGGGGAATGGAGGAATGAACGACGAAAGGCAACTATGAAACCTCCAGCGGATCGTCTATTGGGTATGAATTTTAGAAATTCGAAAGATGAAAATTGGCTGATAGCGCGCCGTTGGATGTTTGACAAACGGCCATTCTGAATGCGGGGATGGCTGGCCCGCCCCGCACCTGCACCCGAGCGCTTATCTCTATCGCCTCAATGTCGTCACTTGTCTCTTGAAGAGATAGAATAGAGTCTCTTCGGGACGCTGAAAAGTTCGTGTATTGGCTACGTAGATTATTTGGCGCATAAACCAGATGCGAGCCGCCCATCACTCCATCAAAAACGCTTTCATTATTCAAAAACTCCCCGTATAACAAATATGCAACAATAAACGCCGTGTTCCTGAGGGTGCATATAAAAGAAAGCACCAAGAAGCGAAAAGCGAAGAGAGAATCTATGTTTTCCCGATTCAGTAGGCGCAGAGCTCCTCACGGCAGAGGGTCATTGAGGAATTCGTAGCCCTCCTCCGGTGGAAGGACGAATGCGGAGATAGCCAGTCCAAGAGCGCAGAGGACCGACAACGACGCGCTGACGGTGCACAGGATCCAGGAGGTGTCGAGGCCCCAGCCCGGGACGCGGAAGAACTCGTCATTGTCAAAAAGGTATGCCTGCGAGCCGTCAGATGCCTATCTTCAATGGTGGAGTTGTCCACGCGACTTACCACAATGCCCATGAGAATGAACTCGACGACCGCGACGAGGATCAAGAGCCCGCTAAGAATCTTCCAGCCCGTCTCGCGCTTGTACTTGCCCCCGGACATGAGGAGGAGGAAAGTGACGATGGACGCCAGGTGCAGAATTGTCGAGAAAGAGGCCAGGAAACCGACGGAGCGCCACATGGAGCAGAAATATCTCTCGCCGTCCTTACTACACAGGTCCTCGGTCGGGAAGACGTGGCACGGCGGGCTTGACCCGACGTTGTCGCACTCCTTGTGCAGGCCGATGTTCCTCGAGAACTCGACCCCATCGGCGGCCGTGGCCGAGTAGCTCACCCACTGCGGGAGGGTGATGGACGTGATAATCATCGCCGTCGCTGTTGGGGAGGACCGTCAGCATCGTCGCATCGCATCTCATCCATTGCTGCTGCCAGGCAGGTAGACAGCTCTGCTACTATCGTCGTCCGTCCAGCTTCGAGCTTCGGAAACGGACGATGACGACGGAGGTGGATACCTCCCATTCTCGCCGTGGAGCAGGACCTCAGGTGTGAGAGTCAGGTACTTACCGGCGACGAAAGCCACAAGGGCTGCGCTGTAGACGGAGACTCGTGTCATGATTGCTGTTGAGACTGGTCGCTGACTTTTTTTTCGAGTAAAGTCGCCTCTTTCCCCTCCTGTCTGCCTGGGGAACACGGGTTTGAGGCAAGTGAAAAGAAGTTGCCAAGTGACCTTGGGGAAAACACGGTAGAGAGGCAGCAAGCGACTCGAACGGGAATCCTGCAAGTTTCGGGGGCGCCTATCAATAGCTGGTGGTGGGCAGACCGGCTTCAGTTATGACGCTACCTGCCTCCCCGTTTCGGTAAGCCGACCAGTGGGTGGTCGTGGCCTGTTGCCGTCCGTACGCGTGTGGTGCAGGTGCATTTGCAGGCAATGTGGTTGGGAGGAAAGATACATTGTGACCAAGGCCAGTGTTGCCGTGGATGGAAGTACCTTTCCTTGGAACGGGTGGCAGGCAGCAAGCTACGAGCTTTGCAGCAACTGAACCAACCATTTCCACCTTCCGTCTCACCTTTACAACCCGCATCTCCTCACAACTCGCGCACTGCTGCTGCTGCAACGACAAGATCACCTAGCGTTGACTCGGAATTAGAACCATTGGTCTTCACCTTGATCTTCACCGCTCACACTCGCGCGGACCGTACTCCGAGATGGACGATTCGCATTCATCCCATCTCGTTGCAGCTCGAACTTGGGCTTACAATTCACAACGTCGACTACCAGACTTCGAAAATTCCAGCTGGCCAAGAAGAGCATAATTCGAAGAAGGAAACAAGCACCGAAGCGAGATGCGAGGAAGACGCCTGTGATACTGGCGACGGTGTTCTTTTATTCGACTACCTGACCGTGCTAACCGCCATCGACACCACCCGTCGTGGGGGTAAACACCAAAACCGTTATCAGCATCGTCAGCAACAGGCATCCAATTGATGTTTAGCTGGTTCCCTCGCATCCCACAAACGCGTTGCCCTTCGCCCCGGTATGCGTGATCTGGCCAGCCAGAACGCACTTCTCAGTGATGATGACTCTATCAGCTCCAGGCTTGCCTACCATCAACGTTTCAGTCAGCTCAAGCCTCAAATACTCGGTCGCTCTACTGCATCGCGCTGGACTACGAGAGGACGCAGCCCTGCCGCTAACGCGTCTTGGCAGGCTGTGACTGCTAGCCTGGACAACCACCCGAGCCAGATCGCCGATCTGGCCAGAAAACCGTATTTGATTAAATTGCTTACCGCCTTTGTAGACACCAGTTGTCTTCATCGGGAACTCGACAAAGGGCCCTTCGACTCCGTTGAAATCGAAGCCTTCCTGGTTTCGATACGTGTGCGGGTAGCTCGAGCTGCCCGCCGTCGTGCCGTCCTCCACGTGCTGGCAAGCCGCATCCGCCGCCGACTGCACCTCGGTGAGGGAGTACTCGGTCTGGCCGCACAAAATCCCCGTCTCATTGGCCCGTGGCAGGATTCGGAGAAAGCCATGTCGCTGTTGCGGGTAGGCGTCGATGGTGAGGCTCAAGGCCGCGATGATGGCTAAGCCGAGATGCATTTTTTGCAGGACAAGAGAAACTCAGGTACACAGGGAACGGATGAATTGAAGAGGACGACTTGGATTTTCTTGTCTTCGCCGTCCTCTGGAGGTTGACTACAGTCCCCTTTTCAAACACTTTCTCGTCTTACTTCAGGACTCAAGCCACCGAAATGTTTGGCTCTGTCGGCTGCGACAGTGACAGATTTGCCTTGCGCAACCGTGGTACTGCGAAACGGTTGGCTCATGTCGAGTGACCACAGCGATCCTCATTCTCGCTGTTGTCTTCAACTGCTGCGCATGACAATGCGGCATCCAGATCCAGAAGTCGTGTTGCCAATGGCTCATGTGATTGGTTCGATGGCGTCTCCTTCACAATCTCCCATCAGCAAATAGCGGCTCGAATTGCAAGTATTCTGGGACGTCATTGATACCACTGCCGCTGGTCAGAGTATTCTTGAAGACAACTTCAGAACAGGAACATGAGCAATTGTTGCAGGGCCATACTCGCGGTTTAGAAAGCATAAGTGCCGACAGCGAACAAACGAGACGTGTTGAGTCTGTCGGAAAGTTGGAAATTGAATCTAATCAACACGACTCATGGAATGGAAACAACTCCCAATCGAATCCCCTCAATGGGGTAACAACAACAAGACACCATTTAATTTTCAGCGACGTTCGAAGCGGATCTTCAAGCGGAGGCCGGGCCTTTTGCGGTCTTGTCAACGCATACTGCCAGGGTCGTTAGGGTCTTTGGCGATCTGTCACCCGTGAATTTTCAACCGAAATCTCCGCTGAAATCCGATCCGATCTTCACAACATCAACGCCTCTCACAAGGAGAGATGCCAGCCTCAGCAAACACCTGGCGGTCAAGGAAATTTTTGTCAGTTTAGTACCTGACTTGGCCAGGGTAGTCTGGTCGGTCGATTTTGGCATCTGCCAGACGCACGCATCATCGCCTGGTTTGGCCGCATCGATATCCAAATCGCATGCTCGGAAAACATCGATGGATCATAGACTCGCGGAACCCCACCGGATTGGCAGGGTTCGGGTTGCTTGTGATCCCGACCTCCTATCTTTGGGAGGAACACACAAGCCGCACGCTGTCTATTGCGCCCGTATCTTTGTTCGGTCTGGCTCGTCAATCTGTTGGTCCCCTTGCCTGACTCGACTATAGCATGGTACACTCGGTCGCCCGGAACCGGTGGAAGCGCCATCTACGTCCACAAAGCGCAGAGAGGCTTGTCTCATTCCCAAGATTCCATGCTATCTCAGCGAACTCTAGATTGTCAGTCTCGGATCTGATTACCAACCGTCCCTCCATGACCTCCATGAGGACCCAGTCAGGGCGCCTTATTCGATCACGCCAGAGGCAGGGCATGCAGAGCAATCCCTCCAACGCGCGACATGCCGGGACCAAGAGCCAAAGAGATGGGTTTATCGGCCAGTCATTGCGCCCGGATCGGGGCAGCTATCCACCATGCTCGAAGCTAAGTCAAGGGTAGCCCCGAATGGAGGGGACAGCAATTAAGGTGAGTTTGGGAAGGTCGCGCTTCCCTCGCGCAGGGTCCTCGGTATCTCTACATAACTTACGTATTCGATCCTTTCTTTTCCTGCTCTCTTTAACTCAACCGCGCGCGCTTCGGACAAATTCTCACTAAACCCCGGCCGTCGCGAGATTTCTCAACGTCATGGAGTTTTGGTACAGCCCTGTTCTTCAATCCAGCTGCTCCCCGCGACTCAATCTCAGGTGAATTGGTCTTTATTTCTGGTTCCCGCAGTCATCTCAGCTCTCAGCCCTCAGCCGTGTTGCTCCCACCAGCAAACTTTCGAAGGAAGAAGCAGCACTGCGAATTGCAGCTCACGGCAACACTCTGACCCCGTCTGAGTGATAACGATAACGAAGTTGACGATTTGTTTACCGAACAACGACATTGCGATCAACTCGGCGTTTATCTCTGTCCATTTCACACCGAATATCATAATCATGGGGGACCACCGTCACATGGAGCACCGCCCGGTGCAGACCAGCGCCGTCTACGTCCTCGGCGCACCTCATTGCGACTCAATGCCACCGCCTTCGCCGCCATCACCACCCGTATCACCACCAGAAGACGATTTTCTCGAAGAATTAGAAGAACTCAGCCTTGGTTCCCCCGATGACATCCCCGAGACCGATGAGAGCTGCGTAATGGTGCAAGACCGCTTGCATGCCGCAACACATGTGCTCAAGACAGAAGCAGCAGCACTGCGCTCCGTGGCAGCACTTTATGAGACGGATCCCGTTGCCCGCGATGGCTTCAATCGCACAGTCTCGGCAATCACACGGCACAAGGGCGAGAAAGGCAAGCTCATTATTACGGGCGTGGGCAAGTCCGGACACATCGCCAACAAGCTTGTCGCAACCTTCAACAGCCTTTCTATTACCTCCGTGTTTCTGAACCCCATTGATGCGCTGCACGGAGATCTGGGTATCATTCAAAAACACGACATTCTCATGTTCATCACCTTCTCCGGCAAAACTTCAGAACTTTTCAGTTTGCTACCCCACCTCGACAAACCTTCTTCGCTGATCATTCTCACGGGCCACACGCGGCCGGATACGTGCGAACTGATCAAGCTGCGGCCAGACACTATCTTGCTGCCCGCGCCCATTCACGAGAGTGAAACGGCGTCGTTCGGGGTGTCCGCGCCGACAACGTCCACAACAGTCGCGCTGGCTGTGGGTGATGCGCTCGCTATTGCGGCGGCGCAGGAGCTGCATCCCAGCGTGTCGAATGTCTTCTCACGAAATCACCCTGGAGGGGCAATCGGCGCCGCCTTCAGGAAACCGCAGACGATTCTAGAGCTGGCCGTCCCGTGGACCGATATCCCCGACTCGGACATGCTTTGCCCGGATAGCGTCGGCGCCGACTTATTCCGGGCTGCTTATGATTCTCCTTCGGGATGGGTACGCGCAGGGAACGACGTGGCATCCCCAGCCCGGATCAGGAAACTAGCCACGGAAGACTTCACACGACCTCTGAAAGGCATTTCAGGGCTGATGGTGCCGCGAGCCGAGATGTTGTCTCTGTGTTCGACGTTGACGATACGTCGGGCCGTGGACTTCGTGAGGAACATGCAGATGGCGGCGGACGACGGGGAGTACGTGTGCAGTCCGGACTCGATCCTCGCAGTGCTGGATCAAGGGGACATTGTCGGTGTTTTGGAAGTCGGGAAGCTCTTGGAATGGAAGGATTGAAGACGGGGTTTTTGCCGGGCGACTGGCCTTTGAGTTCGGAAACGGAAAGGAAAAGGAAAGATCTGGGGATCCCGAGATGTTTGCTGCCGTGGGGAGGCAACGCAATGCGGGTTTGACTAATTTCCGGTACATGAGATTTTGATTCGTTTGGCCTTTGAGCCCGAGACGATGTGTCTATAGATTTTGGGACAGGGCAGGACCGGCATTGAGTCCGATGAATGAACACGGCCGCGCTTTGCGAGGCTGTCGCAACTCCACTGCAGAGAACTGGGCTTGGACGAAGGCGTGAGGCATGATATAAGGTTGGAAAGACGAGGAAGAATGGTGATGAGGGGACTCGTGATCATTACTGACACTCGATGAACACCTTCGTCAACGGCCTGGACGACTTGGGAAAACGTTGGGTACTGGTCTTAAGATGTGTGGCCTACAGGATACGACGACGAGCAATGCCACAGTGCCGAGAACGCGATATCTTGCAAACACCAGGCATCAAGAAACCTGTCATCATCGTCTGACACATGCTAATCCGATGATTCATTCTAGTTCTCATCTGTCAACCCAAGCCCATCCAGCCATCGAATTGCTGCCCAAGCTCTGCGGTGGTTCCCGATACTCCATCTTTCCGTCCAGGCAACATCCCTCCAGGACAACCTCGCGATATCAGATTCAGGCTCCAACGTTCACAGGCTGGATTCCGTTGGGTTGCTGAACTTTCTGGTTTTTTTTGCCTCGTGCTTTTCTTAAATCCTGCGATGGTTTTTAATTTGGTGGTCGCTTGATCCTGTAAGGCTGATGGAGGGGGGTTGGAGGGGAAGCTTGTGGAACTTGGAAGTCTATTCCCCAAGTTTGGTTCTGCTCTTGGGTTGTGAGAGGATGCCTGAAGACCCCATTTCGGTACGTTTCTCGAGGGTAATTGCTCTGGAGGATGAGATCAGGGACAAACAGTCACCTCTTACAATGGCCCGGGAATTTGTCCAACTACGCGATTGTTCTCCAGACTGTACTGCTGCTGCTGCCTGAGGGGGAGCGGTAACTACTCTTCGAGGGCTTAGAGAATAGCCATTGCCGAGTCACTATTCTGTTCTGAAGGCGGTCACATACGCAATAATCACGAATGCTGCAGGATCGGAAACGATAGGAAGCTCCGCGGGGTTGCAAAAAACGTCATCGGTAGGGCCAAGAAACACGGCATCCCACGCCGACTCGGACCCGGCCGTCGGAAGCGGGACGATTGATGGGACTCGCGTCCCGGGGTGGTCTTGGCCCCGCTTGGCAGGCTTGTAAGGTACTTTTTGGACTCGTAACTGGTCTTGCGCGAAAGTGGGATGAACCGCCGGCGAAGTCGTCGGGTTCATCTCCTCTGTCACTCAATAGCCAAGAAGACTGGCGGCGGCGGCGGCGGCGGTGGTGGTGGTACTTATTGTCCGGGACGACGACACTCCTCTAGGAAAGGAAGAAAAACCGTTGTCAGGGGGTTGGTTGCCACGGCGAGAAACATGCGGCTTGCTGGAAGACAGGACGGGACGAACTACGAGGGCGCGCCGGGGCGTCGGGGCGTTGGCGTCGTTGGCGACGGGTACTGTGTGTGCCATCTCGTGCTGTGACAGGAAGTAAAGTTTGTTCTGGCGCTAGGAGGGGTGACGGTTGGCCTGAGGACCGAGGATATTTTGTGTGTGCGTGGCGCTAGAAGGAGGGGATTGCGGTTGAGTTGCTTCTTTGGTTTGGGCTGAGACATGGAGATTTGGAGGTGTTAGTGTCTCAGCGATACCTATGAACGAGTAGTCGGGTCAGATATTCGAAGTGGTGACGGGACCTTCGAGTGTTCACTGTGTGTGAGGACCGGATTGAATAGTCCGGCTTGGTATGCGTCGCGGGACTAAGAAACAGGCTCAATCTTGAATCGCCAGGAAATATGCCCCGGAGTACATATCCGGGGAGGCCGTGAGGACAGGAATGCGGCAAGACGTAGGGCGCATACGTAACCCCGCGCGCTCGGGTGAGAATGTTGGTTCAGCGAATGGATCACGAAATGTCCCGCCGTGCCGGTCCGACAGCGGCCATGCCCTGTCAATCTTGTTTCTTCTCGTTTCTGTGCGTGAGCTGATGGGACAAATCCACAGTGACGATCTACCTTACTCTATCGTGACGGGGTTCATTGAAGCTTAAAAAAAATTCAAAAAGAGGAGCCTGGGTTTCTTTTGATTGTGTTGCTTCTATTTTGGTTGTGGGACTTGAGGAGAGTCGTCAGCTTGTTTGTGAACGAGATCTTGGCGGCCTGTGGTGGAGAAAACACCACTGGCAGGACTGGAGTCTGGAAGCCTCGCGATCGGTCGCTGCAGATTGATTGGCAGGGCCTCACAATTAATGACAACGGAAGACGTTTCCACGAGTCGTGATTGGTCGACGACGGCCGGATCCCATCTTGTTTCGACGATCCCGTTGGGGCGGCGGGCGGCGCGTCACCCATTGAGGCTCAGCTACAGTTCGGGATGATGTGCATATCCCCTGCGCGCGGCGGCCTTCGAATGCCTTGCAGCTGCGGCAAGACCAAATGCCCAACCAGTGGTGCCAGTTCAATCCGTTGGAGATGGCGGGTGGATTTGTTTGCGGTCTTGGCCGTTTTGGTGAACGAGAGGGCGAGTTTCACGGTTCGTTCATTCGTGCTTTATTTGATGCCGCGCCGCGACTAAAAAAAGGTTATGTCGCGCCTTGTCAGCTTGACAGGGAACATAGCACGTCGGATGCCCGGATCGTTTTGTTCGAGAAGACGGACGAGATGGCAGCTAATAGGCGCCAACCTCCAGCTTGAGGGGTAATCGTCTGATTTATGTAGTGCCTGAGCAGAAGTCAAAAGTGACAGTCGGACCTGCTCAACGGCTTTGATCTCTCGTTTTGTCGGTGTCCCGTTTCGACAACGTGTTTTTTTTCGAGTTACGGTCAAGATATTGATTGAATGTTTGGTTACACCCGAGAGAAACGAGTCGCGTCGGCGAACAGCATTTCGACACGACACGTCCAGTGGCAGGTAGAGTAGCCGAATGGTGGCACGGTGAAGGAAGACCCGGCAGTGCGCTTGTAGGGCTCCCCGGGCTGTGGAGATGTCGAAGGGACGGGAAGGACATCTCGACATGGCCTCACCTTCGCAAGCGAGGGAGATTGTCGGCGGGAGGTGAAAAAAGGTTTGGAAGGGGTGGCTTCGAGAACCCCTGCAAGGCGCAACTCAGAGGGCGAGACCCCTGTATTCGGGAGGGACATCAACCTCTTGATTTGTGCTGGGTCCCGGAGGGTTCTGCAAGAAAGATCCATGATCGTTAGTTTGGCATTGGAACCTGAAGTGGGAGGAGGTGAAAATCGAGAGGTCCAGGCCCAGCCTCTTGAATTATGTATGAACGATGCTCGTGTGTGTCGATTTAGGTGACGTGAATTCGTGACGGAGTGGTGGAGCTCTGAATGCGGCCACATTGAGCCATTCTCGTTCCTGTTTGTGTCTGTCACAGTAGCACAGTCAGCTTCGGTCATATCAGGACTCTGATCACTTAACCTGTTTCTGGCATTTGCTCGGTGCCTGGAGTGACAAGAAAAAAAAATCAAAAGGTGAGGTAAAGGTAAGGTAGGTGACAGCCGATGTCTCGCTCCCAGCCCGACCAGCCACAACATATTCCCCAATCCAGGTCCCTGGTGGAGACAGTTGGATACAGGTGGGGTTCTACCGCCCCTCATTCGCCCAGCCACCACACGCGCGGCCTGGGGACCAACCCTGCAGCGCCCTGTCGCCCACAGTGCGGTTTGGCGTTTACGGTTAGGGGACCCTGGCGCTGTCTTCTTTTCCTGGCTTAGCTTCCTCGGGCGGGCTGCCTTCGCCTGCCTCTGCCTCGCAGCTTGCCCGAGCAAGCATCGACATCTTTCCCCGATTCCCCAGTGTGGTTTAGCCGCGACCTGTCGTCCGTTGCAACAGAGCTAGGAATATACCTGTCTCGTAGTGGCTGGAAACCCGTAGCTTCAGGTACCAAGCTCTTGCCTGCAAAGGTATTACAAGGTACCTTAACCGCACTGCAGACTGCACACTCCACTCCAATTGGTAAGGTAACCTGCATGCCGCCCTCCAGTGTCCGGCCCAAAACAATCATCATTCATCATCCTGCTGTGCTGCGCTGCGGCTTGCGCTTTGCTCTCTCTCGGTGCTTCTGCTTTCTGGTGTCTTTTCCACCCTTGCATACCTCTCACTCTCTCTCCTTCACCCTCACTTCACCTCATCTGCTCTTTTTTCACCCACTGACCGCGGCCAATTTTCATTCATTCCACGGCTTCAGCATAGACCCGGGTGTCGACTCCGTTCCTTCTTTCTCATCGTCGGCTACATCGTCGCCAATTCTGTTGTTTGTGTGTCTTTGCTGCTCTGCCGTCATCTTCGAGCCAGGAGCCCTCGATTGTTTTGATACCCTCATCCCAAAAGCTTCGCGACCAATGTAAAGAACGAGCTTTCTCAAGCACCAGCATTTTCTATCTCGAGTTCCTGTTCTTGCGTGGCATACCAGCAGTCACTTGGCCTCTTTTCCTTGTCAACAAGTACAGCCGAATTGACCTCTCAAACAACATATTGAACCACGGTCACAGCAACCACACACCATGTTGGCAGCGGCCAAGTCGAAAACGCATCCCCTCAATGGGATGCACACGGCCGGTATTTTCGCCGACCCCAGTGTCGATGGGCCCTTGATCGGCACGCTGGTCGCTATCGTCGACCGCGCGAAGAACTTGCCCAACCGCAAGACTATCGGGAAGCAGGACCCCTACTGCGCTGCGCGCCTCGGCAAGGAAGCGAAGAGGACGACGACAGATGTTCGAGGAGGTCAAACTCCAAAATGGTACCGCTTCCTCCCCACCCTCGAAACCCTTCGAAACCTCTCCGCGATTCAGCGACGTCGACTAACACAGATCCTCCAGGGACCAAGAGCTCCGTTTCGCCGTTCACGACTCCCCAGACTACTATCAGCTCAAGGTTTCCGTATTTCACGACGACAAGAAGACAGACCTCATCGGAGAGACATGGATCGACCTGAGGGACATCATCGTCCCCGGCGGAGGACAAAACGACCTGTGGCGCAACTTGACCTTCAAGGGCAAGTACGCTGGCGAGGTGCGCATGGAGATCACATATTACGACATCCGCCCGAAGCCTGAGAAACCCGTTGCGAAGCCGAAACCTGTCGATAGCGACCTGTCCGATACCTACTCATCGCAGGGAACGATCCCCCGCAAGCAGATCAAGAGGCGCCCGTTGCCGTCCGACCCCTTCACAGGCGAGGCACCTGCCACCCCGTCCTCGGACCAAGCGCCGACTCCGCCACGCACTGGTGGTCCGCGAGGGCCCAAGGAAATGAGCGCTTCGACATCACCTGCCCCGGAGCCGAGAGAACAGAGTCTTTCTGGCTCCAGACCCATGCCTTCGAAGAAGCCGGCGGCGGCGCAGATCCCCACGCAGTCGCCTCTACAAGCCGTAGAGTATAATACCAACCCGGCCCCGGCAGCTGTGCCTCCGCCAAACCCTCGGAGCAGCCAGCTGGATTTATCTGCGCCGGCATCACCAGCTGCCCTGCCTCAACCTCCAGAGGCTACGCCGCAGCATACCCCCACGAGGCAGGAGCGCTATGACAGCCCGCCTTCGCACCGTGATGAGAGAGACTACAGCCCCAGGTTCTCGTCTCAGGACATTGTTGATCGTGCTCACTACCGTCAAGGCTCAGAACCGCCGCCCCGCGATGCCTATCTTCTCGAGGACCAGCGACATGCGCCTGCTATCGAGGATGAGAGACCGCCGCCACCTCCTGCTCACCGCAGCCGCCACAACAGTGGAAACTCGCAGGATATGGTGGTGAGGGGCTCATTCGATACCCCGCCCAAGTCAGCCAATGCGGCGATGAGACAGGATGTCCTCAGAAACGAGGCTCATCGTTTATCGTTCTCGTCAGCAGCATACCCTGGTCGACCACAGTATCGTGGCTTCGATTCTGCACCGGCAATCACGAACGCGCTCCCTGCTCCTAATGACAGTTATCACGAGTCATCACCGAGACACCACTCCTACGATGGCCATGCCGAGTACAGATCTATGCAGCCGACCGTCGAGGATGTGCCGGAATCCCCCACTCCATCTACCAATAGCAATGCACGAAGGACGTCGAGAGTGCCTCAGTACGACGAGCTGGGTTTCGGGAAGGAACAAAACCCAACGCCGCCGGCCCAGTCCATGGAAGTTGCTCATCGTCAACCTGCGCGCACTTCTCAGTACCAAGACGCGGGATATGACCGCGGCTACGATCAAGTGCCTGCAACGGCACCCCTGAACATCGGCAGCAGAAGCAACACGGGGTCTCGGCAGCGTGGTCAGTCCCCGAACCCTGTCTATGGCAGAGGTGAAGAGATGGGACAAGCTGGCCGCTACAGCACGTCGCCGCGACCGGAATACCAGCCTAGGGGTGACGAACTTGTTTTCGCGGGACGTGGCTCCGCATCCCCAGGCCACTTCAGCACGTCACCTCAGCCAGAGTATCAGCAAGACTACCAGCAGCAACCGGAATATCAGCCGAGAGGCGATGAGTTGGTGCTTGCTGGGAGGGGAAACGTTTCCCCGGCTCATTACAGCACCTCACCGCAGCCGTACGCTCGGGGCGATGAGATGGTCCGTCATCAGCAGGTGTCTCCCATGTCTATGCGAGATCCGAGAGGCGACGAGATGGCTCGTCACCAGCAAGTCTCCCCCATCGCTACGAGGGATCTCAGAGGCGACGAAATGGTTCGCCATCAGCAGGTCTCGCCTATAGCCTCGCGGGATTTCGCGCCCAGCCCGGGAGACATGGCACCGTACAACTCACGAAGCCAGAACTCATACGTCTCCCAGCGATCCGAGCTTTCAGGCACTGAGATCCAGGCGACGGGGGTTCCTTCTGTTCCAGCATCTCTGGTACCGGGAGTGGACCCTTCCCTTGCTCAGGATGTTTCCGATCGCATCTACGAGGACCGACGCCAGACAAGGCGGTACACGACCGAGAGCGTCACGACACCGACTCGCGGAAGACAGCACAGTCAACCTGTGGGGTACAACGACCAGACTTACGTCCCGCCTGGCCATGATCATCGGTCGTCCATGGCTTATGGAGGCCAGATGACCAGAGCGCGTGGTGCATCGCCTCAACCTCCGCCTCAGCATATGAGAGGGCGAGGCGTTTCGCCGCAGCCGTATGCCAACGACATGAGAGGAAGAGGTGTATCGCCGCAGCCGTACGCCAATGATATGAGAGGACGAGGCGTTTCGCCGCAACCATACGCCAACGAAGTGAGAGGAAGAGGAGTGTCGCCGCAGCCATATGCTAACGACATGAGAGGAAGAGGCGTCTCTCCCCAGCCGTATGCGCATGACATGAGAGGACGTGGCGTCTCGCCCAACCCGCATCACGCTCGTGGCATCTCCGTGAGTCCTCATCCTCAACAAAGAGCCCGAGGTCTTTCGCCAGTTCCGCCCCAACAGTCGAGAAGGGGAATTTCTCCCAGTCCTCACCACACGATCAAGCGAAAATCTGTCAGCCCTGTGCCCCCTCCGTCCGAGCATCGCAGGTTGTCTGGAATTCCGTTCGGACCAGACTCCTACGATGCGCTGAACCCGACGGCATCCAGTATCAGCGATGTTTCGAGGCCCGACCCCGACGAAAAGATCATTACCCACGACGGCCGTGAAATCGACCCTTCGGATCATCTGCCCATGGACACATGGGCGCCGGAACCTGAGCCAAAGGGCCCGAAGACACCAGCTACGGCGTCCGTCCGTTCGAGGGCGTCTCCGGCTGGGGCCCAGCCAATGCCTACCAGCGGTCGCCGGCAGCTTCGTATCGCGGGTCGGCCGCAGTCGCAAGCGTCGCCTGTCACCTACCATTCCGACCCGTACAATACCCCGCCAGGACCGGGCAGTGGAGGACGAAACCGGCTGCAGAAGAGAACGCAACGCGCTCTTCCATCCACGTCCCCAGGAGGTCACAGTCCGCTGGCCCCCATCTCTTCCCACAACTACCAAGACAGTGGTAGCGACTTCACTCCGCCGCGCCTGCCACGAGCAAGCACGTGGGACTACCCCAGTGAGAACCACGCGCCTCAGTACGGCAGCTCTCCTGGCGGGATGCGCGGAGGGCCCCCTATCCCGGCCAAGATTCCGTTGCCCGTCATGAGCGGTGCCATGGGCGGCGGCGGCGGCGACCAGGGCGAGTGGGCTCTCATGGAGGAAATGAGCCGCATCGACATCGGCGCGGGACGTTCTAGACGCCACAGGCATTACTAGTCATCATCATCATCATCATCAACCAGCATTGCGAGCGACGGGTTTCATGAGTTACGGCGCGACTTTGACGACGAAACTTGTTTTGTAATTGTACTACATAATGGTTACGGGGGTGGGGTTCTTTGGGATTGGAATACTTTTTTTTCCTTCGGTGGAACTGAAATGGGAAAATGACGGCTTTGGGCTACGGAGGAAATTCTTGGGGCGGAATTTGTTGAGTGGATCGTTCTGTAGAAAGCCGAATTCCATCTTTTTCACTTGAACTTCTCTGAAGACTTCGCTGTGGTGAGAAGTTGCTCCTCCTCGGTGCGCTAACTTGTGCATCGTGGGTGATGCTTGACGCGATGTTGTCACGCAGGTATCCTGGGTTACTGTTTTCGAACGGACGTCGCTTGGGTTATTTTCTCGCTTTTAGAGGTGTAGGTGTATAATTCCTTGCTCCAGGTGGACTATGGCATCGCGCTTGTTGTTTGAGGGTATTGCTGTGATCGCTGTCGTCGTGGCCTCCGTCACGGTTTTCTTCTTCGTCATCGTCGTCAGCGGGTTCTTTAGGGTCAAAGCAGTTATCATCATAGCTGATTCGTGAGGAGGAGCATGAAAACCTGCTCTTGGTGAAAGGGCGTATGTCTATTGTCTCCTTGGGCAACATTCATGATGTACTGCTGGAGAGTAGCAAGGTGATGTAGATGTAGATGGCATTCTTGCTTAAATGTGTACTCGTTGGGTATGGCGAGATATCAATGACCAGATTATAAGGGTGGCTGCATTGTATTGCGCGGCATATTGCATTTGTTGATGGCATTCTTGCTAAGTTTTCGTGAGCTTTAGGGGTTGGGAAAATGGGGGGCTGGGTGTGTAGTGGCGTGATGTAGGTGTCTTTTGGGTTTGATTGTGATGCAATGATTCTTACGTCTATCACGTTGATCTGGAAATGCGTCTGGCTTGGGTTGTGTCTAGGTTGTATTCGTGAGTAAGGTGAGAGTCGTTCTCGTCTATAATCAACTGTGTTTGTCCTGGATGGGCAGATTGTTTGTTGACGGTCTTCTCTTGATCTTCTCTATGAAACTACATCGTCGATGGTATATTCGTTATTCAGACATGTGTGAAGCGTGCTAATTAATATGGCAGACCTCTAAGTGAGTTGGTTGACACGTCTTGTTTGCACTGAGTAGATGCTAGAAACGCTCAAACAATAGCCATAAGGAAGGGCGTACTGGGACCGTTACAAATGCTGTTGGCGACGAGAATATCAGTATGATATGTGAAATGGCTGTAACCTCTTTAATGGAGCGGACAGCTATGTAGAATATCAGTAGTAGCAACTGGCAACGAGAAACTCCGGGCCTTGGTATCTTTGTTGGTATCTCAGGGAGGCTTGACGATGAGTTTGGTTTGACTGATACTGGCTTGTTAAGCAGTGTTGCGAGAACGTGTAACTTGAAGTATTCTCGAGTTGTTGTAAGAGCAATGCCAGCAGGGGTGATTATACTCCGTGAGTCTACCTAGTGAGAAGGAGGTTGACTACCACAGGCTACGTCATACTATGTTGAATCTTAAAACCACGACCCCTGCTTCGCATCCAATCGCAAAAACCTGCTTCCTCAACATTGCTAACTTCGGAACTAGAGCGCGGTAGCTTTTGGGTAGCGCCAGCAGCTTTTCGCCTTTCCAAGTTATCCACTGATCGCGAATACCTTCTGATTCTTCATAGCCAAGTCCCACGTACGTAATGGGTTGAAACCATGACGCTTTGTCCTCCTCCAAAACTATGTCTCCGGCATTTGTGCGCAGGATCCTGCCATGAAGAGAAATGGGAGAGAAGCAATCTAAGTAGAATTTTAACCGGAATTCCAGAAAGGTGTCTCTTTCCATGTCCCATATCCAAACGTGGAAACACTCTAGCAATACCACCAGTTTATCATCTTGAGAGATGATGCTTCGTACTGAAAGTGTATGTTGATGGACAATGACCGATTCGAGTTGACCAGTTATCAGAGAATAAATTCTGGCTGATGAGCCCAGATAAACCAAGATTGACTTTCGTTGGTTGAAAAAGGCGAAATGTTCAACTTTTTCTCCAGGCTCATCAATCAGAACCTTACATTCACCAGTCAACACGTCCCAGCCCTGTAGAACTCCCGAAGATAGACAGAAAATATGATCATTATCAGGACTGAGCAAGATCATGGGATCAAGGTCCTTGTGATCGTGAAAGACTTTGAATTCATGGACGCGCTCCCCAGAAAGGACACACCATAAGGTGATTGAGACTGGAGATCCAGTGACTGTGTAGCCATCCTCAAAGGTTGTTATAAGGAAATCTCCAGTAGATGATGCCAAGAATCGACGGGGGTAACGTTGCATCTTAATCGTTTGAACACATTTGCTGGTCATAATGTCAAAGACACAAATCTGCTTGAAGTCCCCAACGAACAAAACTTTGCCATCGGCTGAAAGTGTAGCATCATCCAACCGATCACTAGTAAATACCATGTGTGGTGAGCTTCTGCGTATGTCGAACACTTCAAGTCTTGTTTCAGTACGCCCGACTACGTAGTCTGCGTTGGGCGAAAAGGATACCAGATATGGGACATCCAAGCCGAATGGCTTCTGGGCTTTTGAAGTAGAGTCGGTAATATCCCAGATTCGGATCGCTACATCAATGAGAAAATCTGGAAACTCGAAGAGCTGCTGGGAGTTGTTGATAAAAAACAACATCCCGATATTCTTAGCTTGCAACACCCGCAAACATGTTCCGGTAGTGATATCTGTGACCACTATTGCATCGCTCAATGTGTGAGCTAAAAGGCGGTTGTCGTTTGAAATACAGAGTAGCGCCTTTGAGTAGTCTCCGGTGTCTTGTGGGGGGATTGATTGTACCAACTCCCCACTGACAGACTTGAAGATTTGGATAGACCCCGCCAAGGCTGCGAGGATTTCGCCATCTGGTGAAAAGTTTGCCGCTACCGACTGACTTGGTTGTGATGCGAGATGAAATCTTGCAATTATGTCTCCAGAGCCGACATTTCGGACTATGTAAAACGGCGCTTCGTCCGTGAGACAGATATGTCGTTCTGCGCTGTAAGCTATGACGAAGCCCAGGTCGGTTCTCTCGATGAACTTATTTGAATGCATGTCCCAGACACATAACAATCTGGAGGTCTTTCCTGCATGGCGCGTTAGGCCAAAAATGACAACCTGTGTGTTGTCTCTTGAGAACCAGATCTTATCGGCGTAACAGTTGAAGTGAACAGTTTGTAGACACTGTCCTGTGTTTAGGTCCATGATGCTTGCTCGAGTGGGTGTTGTGTATGCTATGACTTTGCCATCGTGAGAAAAGGCCAAACGTCTTATCCTGTCTTCTTCCATATCAATCCCCATAGTCTGGAGGCGCCGGCTGGTTGCACGTTCGTAGATTACGATTCTGTTGTCTTTGGGAAACTCAGAAACCATCGCAATACGGCTTTCGTCGGAAGAGAGTGCTACTGCGCCTAGGTGTCTGAATTCATCTTGTTGGAAAGTATGGTAAGCTGCATCCCAGTCTTCTTTCACTCCACAGGCGTAACTGACCCAAGCTGGCATCTCCTTCTCGAAGCTTTTCCTCACCAAGCTTCGTGTAGGGCTGAAGATGAGTGCTGAGGCGTCCGTTTGCAATGGGAACCGTCGTATTGTGGAAGCATGGAAAAGAAGGAAATGGCGCGCATCCTGGACATAGTTGAGAAGACCATGAGCCTTGGTGCCATCTGCCTCTTGTCTGCTCTTTTTGGTTTGTTAGCGGAGATGAATGTAGTAGTTCGCGTGCAACTTGGAGGGACTTACCCTGACAATTTGCAGAAGCCTCCCCGAAGATGTGATTCCTTCACCCATTGCCCTTAGAAGACTCAGCGCCTCTAACCAGTAAAGGAAATGCGTCTTGAGAAAGGTCTCTAGTCCTCCACCGTCGACGAGGATATTCAGTTGATCATCGTTGCCTGCTACACAAGCCTCAAGATGGTCTACCCAGTACACGCAAGAGTAGCTGAGGGCAGATAGAGCATTGTTGAGGGGATTTTTGACATCATTGATATGGATGCCGAATGAGTCTAGAGATCCAGGGGTTTCAAGACGATACATATCTCGATGAAGTCCTGTCATCAGGCTCATGATAGACCTGTGGAAGATTCCATAATAAGCATGAGAAGCGCCCTTTGGGAAAACAGCCTCAGCTTGTGGACCATTAAGATATTCTTTGGCTGATTGGTGGACGAAGTAGACGGTTTCGTTTCGAATTTTGAGAAACGAGCCGCACAAGTTGACGATTGGTTTGAGTATACTGGCTAAACGCTCCTCAGAAAGCGCTTTAGATCTCAGAGCCGGGGTTAAGTCGATGCAAGCCACCATTTCCAGAAAGGTGATGGGCCGATGGACAAGAGCAAGACAAGATAAGACTTGTCTGCATAAGTCTGCCTGTTTTCCTTGAGTGACTTGGTTCATCATCTTGCTGTAGAGGTCATCTAGTCCAGCTGGGAACTCATTCAGAACCTCTTCGGCCCAGAAAGGATCACCTTCGGTGTCGCGTAGCGCTTTGCAAACCAAGGCTACCCAAAGATACGTCTCTTCAGCCTTGGAAAGCAATTGAGTTTCAACTTGAGCACGGAACCCATCATCGTAGCCTTTCTCGTGGGCAAGGCTGTTGACCTGGTAGCTGATATAGCCGCGAACAGCCAGTGAAATGAGATCCGCGTTGTTTTCGAGGGACAAGGATCGGACAGTTTCTTTCTTCTCAAAGAATGATCCAATGCTACTCCAGTTTCGACTTGTGACGATCCATCTGAGATTTGGTTGTTCCGAAGCTTTATTGATGATGAACTTCATGAGTCGGTCGCGATCTTCCTGACACTCGTCCAAAGCGTCGATCAGCAGATAAGTCGTCCCTTGATCTAGGGAACTGACCATTTGGGTCAAGATCTTGGATAGATCCGCCCATGACCCGTTGTCGGTGAAAAGTTTTGTTCCTTTCACATCGTAAACCTCGCGAACATGCTTGATAAGGTCAGGACGCTTCCTTGCAAGGTCATACACGATCCCACGTAGAACCGCGGTGAACGTGTTTGAATTCGGCTGATCGGCCTGACAGAAGAAATACGACAGAGTGTCGGTCTGCGGAAGCCGGTGCTGGATCGAGTTGATGATACCACACAGAAGCATGGTCTTTCCCTTGCCGGGATCGCCATGGATCCATAGGGCACGGCTTTCGTCTTCTTCGTGCCATTTCCGAAAATCGTCGTTCTCGAAAACCCACTCACACGACTCCTCGAACAAGCCACCTTTGACGTCTTCGATCTCTTCTTTCGCGATTCTTGGATCTTGAAGAAGCACGTCCTTGAGGCATTGCTGGTCGAGTTGGCTGAGTTGCAACGTCAACTGCGCTTGCATGACACTGAGGACGTTCTCGAAAAACTCCGACTCCTTCTCTTTCGCGAACGCGAGGATTTCTTTCAGGTTCGAGTTGACTTCTGTCAAGTTTTGGTATTCGACGTCCCGATAAATGTCTTCTTCGGACTTCTTGATCGCCTTCAGGCTGTCTTCCCACTGATCCAATTTGAGGGCGTTCCGAAGGCCAGCCAGGATCCTGTTCTTGAAGTATGAACAGACGCTCCTCATGAGGAAAGTCAGAAGCGCCGTATACAGGGTGACGATCTTGTCTTCAAGAAGATTGAGGAGCCCAGAATCCGATTCTTTGCCGTTGTCAATCTTGCGTGAAAGTTGATTCTCCAACTCGCAGTACCATTTCATGCGAGTGATGACGTGGACCATTCCGTCGCGTTGAGCTTTGCTCTCGGTGATGGGATTCTTGAACAGCTGTGGGTGATCACTCAGTCAGAATCTGTACATGTCGTTCACACAGTGATGGGTTCTCAACGTACTTGCAGTGCAGCGCACACCCCAGCCCAAGGAAGAGCTGCTTGTGGGAAGGTCTGGATCACGGGGGCCCCGAGCTCCCGGGCAAGATCGACGACCCCCATGACCTCTTCAGCACGCTTCGTTCCTCTGGCTTCTTTTTCTGTTCGGTCGAGTGCAGTCTGTGCGATGTTCTCCATCTGCTGCCTACGACGCTTGTGGCCTGCATGATCGATCTCGGTCTGAGGGCTCGATGTATCCTGGGCCGGCGCATCTTCCGCCCCAGCTTCCTGGTGTAAGAGCCTCTCATACTCGCTGACAAGCTTGGCATCGGTACTTTTGAGGTCATCGTATGCCTTGTTCCATGCATCAAGGCGTGCCTTTGGCTCTGTTGCAGGAATAGCGTCCGGCGAGCTGGTCGGTCCAGCGGCCGGAGGTTGGGGTTCATCGCGGGATTCGGACGGCGGGCGGGGACTTGGAGACGCTCGGGGAGTGCTTGACGATGTCGGGACGTTGCGTTCATCGGGCGGGTCCCGGGAGCGGCCGACGGCCAACCTCAACCGTTTGCGTAGGCCCATGGTTCTCACGGTCCTCTGCCGAACGCATCCAAGAATGAGTCGATGTTAGGATGAGCTTTGCGGGGTAATGTGAGATTCCAACATCAGGCTCCATGGCCAAAAAAGGACCCATGCATCAGTATGCAGGCTGATTATTTAGGCGATAACGCCGAGTTGGTTCTCCGCGGTGATTTGCTACGACGTTGGTTGGTGGCATCCTGATTGGGTGGCCTGCTCCATCACGCAGACATAGACACATAGCTGAAGTGACGGGCCTTGATTGGAAAAGAAAATCAAACAACAGTGAAGCTGAAATACACGGGAACGGTTACACGCTGCCAGTTGACCATAGTCCACTAGCTCATGACATACCTAACGGCACATACATAAACGAGGGAAAGCCTAATCTTAACGGAGATGGATTTGACTTTGATAGCCAAAATGCGTCACGGAGGGATCACACTCATTAGCAGTGCGGCATATTTTACTTGATTTTGAAGGGTCGCCAATCTCGATATGAGCTGTATAATGAGAACAGTTGACTCATTTTGAACCATTTTCTCCGCCTCTGTGAATCCTATGGCCATGAACTCTAATTTGAGTATGGAGATCTAATACTTGATAGAGTATCCTTATGCTGTGGCTCACATGCGGCCCCGCTGAATGAGTCTTCAGTAAAAAGTCAAATCAATCAAAATGGCCATGAACCTGGATGGAAACTGTTAAGTTGTTTTTTTCAACGGTAGTGTTTTCTGCTACATCATTAGGTTCTAGACATCTTTTCTATCTATAAAACCCCAGTATGCCACTTCTTCTTTCCCCAATCTGCCTCGGATCGAAAGAACATACAGTCACACCTTTTAACGCCATCTCCTCTTCGTCACAATGGCAACCGAATTTCCCTCCACCTACCAGCAATACAAGTACAAAACATCTCAGGCGCTAGGATGGCTCATTACAGCGGCGACTGAGCTGGGCATTGCGAGCGGTACCCAGGCGAGTTACGGCGTACAAGAAATGGTTTACCTCGCAAAATCCTGTGCTCTGGCCGGACGCCCAATGCCCAAAAAGCAAAGGAGATGGCTAAAGGAAGCGATCAGCTTGCGTCGCCGTGTCTCGGAGCGGTTTCGAGAACACGGGTGTAAGGAGTCCAACTCCACGCACGCGTTTTTCAACGAGAAACTGCAGTCGATCTTGGATCACTTCAACCCATCCAATGCTGTTGGGGTTCCTGGCTCCATTCAGCCCCAGCAGGAACCCGGGACGTCTGATTCACAAGCTGCGCGGAATTATTTCTTCGTACTGGGGGAAAAACACACACCCGGAGAAAACGTCGACAATGACACCGATGGCGATTGCTCCAAGCAAATCGTCACCGAGCACTCATCTGAAGCGGCCGGCTCAACAACGAATTCTTCGCCGGCCAAAGCAAACCCTATTGCTGACGACCCTCTCATGGAGCTTTTCTGTCTACTGGACGATGCTAGTGAGATCAGGACACATTTCAAACAACTCTGGAGCCGATACTGCCAAGCCGAAACGGATCTCGTGACCGCTGCCTTCGTCACCCAGTACGCCTTTCGACACCTGGACATCTTGCAAGAGAACTTCAACCAGAAACATCATTCATTGAGAAGCCACCGCAGCAAGATTCTCTTCATCTACTACCAGGCTTGCTTGGGGGGTTCTGTCTTTGAGGAGTTTTGCAAAGAGAGCCACGAGGACTTGAACAAACGTCTGAAGGAGACGGGCTGGCAGCCCCACAAGGAATTGAGAGACTGGACGATGGACCACGAGGACCGCCTCATGAAATCGCTTTTCAAGGCGATGGGAAAGCCTAAAGAGTCAGCGACAGACGAATGGCTCGGGTCATTGTTCGAAGATCACGACGGTCATTGCGATATCAATACCCCTGTTGCGGATCTTCGTCGCCTGCTCGACCTTTGGGCTGAAGCAGATGAATATCCAGACGAAACAGCTGACATGGATTATCTGACAGCCAAGTTCAAGTGTATGCGCTCTTCAGAAGGCAAAGTATGGTCCACATACGAAGTCTTCATGATCCGTGTGGTACTCGACGTCCTTGACACGGAAGGACTACAGGAATACATCGACGCCGATATAAAGAGATACATGAGTCATAGCAGAGTCTCATACATGAAGAGGGATCATGAATCCAGCGTGGCCGAGAAGAACAAGGATCTCAATAAGTCTGAAGAGGATTGTTCTGTCAACCCTCACTTGGGGTCCTGCTTTCCTGTTTTGGAATCGCGTCTGTCGGCCTCCAGATCATTCGTTTTCAACCCCATACTTCTGGGGGCCGTTCTTCACGCGTTTACGGAGATCAGCAACATGCAAGAAATGGATTGGATGAGCGAAGGCGGTGATCTGACCTACGCGGCTCACTGGTACCACAGGTCTCGCGTCATTCGACCAGATAAAGGCTTCAGCTGGCCTGACATGGACGCAGCGATATACTTGCAAAGGGTCCAGCTGTTTTCTTCCTCCGATCTGCCGATGACTGATCGCCAGTGCTGTGTCCGCATGTATCTCTCCTTCGGGTTGAAGTTGCACGAGATCACCTGCGAACCCGACGAGGCCAAGCTCATCAAAAAAGTCGGCAACCGGAAATCCGCTTACGAAGTTTTGAGGCTGAAGATCAAGGCACTACGTTCCGGCCCAAAATCCGCCCATAACGAGAAAAAAGCAAATGAAGCAGTGGAAGAATACCGTGCAAAGCGAAATACGCCGGGCAGGAAACGCGAGCTATACATACCATCGCTTTACGACCATACGAGAAACAGGCTCCCTATGCCTCATTCAAATGCACGCGAGGCCCGTACAAAGCTCGAGGAGGCAGATCAGAAGTCAATGGCGGGTGGTGTGTCGTGCTCAAAGCACCTCACTCAGTTGGAGAAGGTGATCCGGGACAATGTTGCAATCATGTTCTTCGACTTCCACGGCCTCGACACAATTGTCAAACGGGGGCTTCTTGCAAGGGCCGCTCGCGGATTCCACACGGAACTTACATGTGATTTGGGAAACATGAGTTTGTCTGGCTTCAACTCGCCTTATGCCCAGAACCTGGGAACCATTCTTGACGACGAACGGTGCAAGACAAGCAACATCACTACGGAATGGAGGGAGTTTTGCAAGGGGGTTAATATCAAGATACCTGACGAGCTGGCTTAGATACGAGCCAGGCCAGACTTGGATATGCGCGAGTTGGGTGGTAGTTCAGAACCTGTACTAGTCGGCGTTGTTAGGAAAACGAATACAGATTGTAAACATCAAATATCTGACACTGCATTGTACACATCTTAGATTTTCAATGCCCCAAAAACATCCATTCCAGCTCATGATGTATCCAAGCTGGAACACTTCAATATTCTAGCGGCCGGTGGGTTGAATACAACCACAACCTAACACCTCCACCCCTCGGCATCGAATCCCGATATGGGAAAGACCTCAACCGCATTTCCCGTCTCCGCGTACCCGGAACTAGGACCAAAGGCTCGGTCTGTGTGTGTCTGTCCATCACTTGCCTTGAACAAACTCTTACTCCGCACGTCAACTCCCGCTGACAGATTGAGCGTTGGACGGACTTGAACCTTTCCCCGAAAGACCGCGTGGGGAAAAGAGGAACGTCAAGGATGCGCCGCTTCCGACCCTGGACGGGGAGCTGCGATTTACAAAGTCCCGGCGGCGGCGGGGCGTGTGGGAGCCGACGATGCGGAGCTTGTACGAGTCGGTGAGGGACGGGAATCATGCGTTTTGGACGGATGGGATCGTGAGGTTCGAAACTCCGTGTCCGACTTCTGCGATGGAGATGACTATAGATATATATAAATGCCATCTTGCAGGTTTTGAAATTGGAAGTATTTGAATTGAAGGTCATTCTACTCAGACACCATCTGCACTTATCGTGAAACTTTATTCTAGCTCAAAGCCGCAACGCCACAAGAACTTACACGCCAACTTCACTCCATTTCAAGATGGAATACGACACCAAAGAGAAGATCGCGCCGCTAGGCATCCTCACGTAAGTCCATCCTCAACCTCACCTCCTGACAAAGATTAACCTCAACAACAGCGAGGAGTTCAAAGAAGTCAGCACCAATCAACCCTCTTCTCAACCATCATGTAACTAACATCACAACCTCAAACAGCACATGAAAAAGCACCCCTTCCCTCCCATAACAGCCCCCTCCCCCTCCGACCGCGCCCTCATGGACGCCGCGCGCATCGCATCCCAACCCCCCGCGACACCGACAGAATACTCCATCAAGATCCCCATGCGCGACGGCCACCTCTCCGAAGCCCGCGTCCACAAGCCCCCCTCCTCCTCCCCCGGGACCAAAACACCCCTCCTCGTCCTCCTCTTCGGCGGCGGCTTCATGTTCGGCGACTGCGACCAACTCACCCCCTACGCCCGCCTCGCCTCCTCCCTCCTCGACATCACGGTCCTCAACCTCTCCTACCGCCGCGCCCCCGAACACCCCTTCCCAACCGCGCCGCACGACGTCTGGGACGCCGTCCAGTGGATCACGCGCCACGCCGACACCACGCTCGACGTCGACCTCCCCTCCGGCTTCGTCATCGGCGGCATCTCGGCCGGCGGCAACCTCGCCGCCGTGACGGCCCAAAAGACCCTCGACCACAACCTCAGCCCGCCCCTCACGGGCGTCTGGCTCAGCATCCCCTGGCTCCTCGAACCGCCCATCGTGCCCCCGCCGTTCCGCGACGTCTTCTTCTCGCGGGAACAAGCGGCCTCGGCGCCGGGGCTCGACCGCAAGGCCATGGACCTCTTCAACGAGGCCTACGCGCCCGAGCTGACCTCCGCCGACTTCTCGCCGTTCAACTCCGCGACGGCGCACGCGGGCATGCCGCCGACGTTCGTGCAGGTGTGCGGGGCGGACCCGCTGCGGGACGACGGGCTGATCTACGCGCGTGCGCTGCGGGAGCGCGGGGTGGACGCGCGGGTCGTGGCGTACGCGGGGGTGCCGCACCTGTTTCCGGATTTCTTCCGGATGGAGGCCTTTCAGAAATTTCATTTTGACGTGTTGGAGGGGTTGGCGAGGTTGTTTGGGCGGGAGGTCGGGGCGGGGGAGATCGAGGCTGCGTTGGCGGATAGTCCGTTCGCGCCGGAGGTTTAGGTAGGTTGGGGATGATATCTGAAGACTGATTAGATTGACTCGGAATGGTGTGTTATTGAGAGCGAGGGGAAATACCGTTGGGACAATGTTTGCAACAATGGTGATGTTTAGACCGGTTCATCGTGAGACATTGCAGGCAGCCTGAGCGTAACTCATCGAGGTGACCAAGGGAATTTTCGTCTCATTGTGTGAGTGATCTATGCTCTTAGTGACCTTATAGCTACAGTCCGCCTGAGACACCAAAACTCCGTACAATATGCCCCCTGCCCGACTAAAACAAGACTCCAAAGCTCCAAGCCGCCTCAAGTCAAATGCTCCCAGACTTCACGAACTTCAACTAACTGGACTTTACTCAAGCCAACCCTCATGACATTTTCTGTCGCTTAGGATCGAATCCGCCTCCGCCAGGGGCATTGCCCACGGCCCCGTTATTCGATACATCCGCCAGGGCAGGTCTGCCAGCCCCGGCGTCCTGCTGAAGGGGACGCTTCATCGTCGGCGGACGGTACGAGCCCCGGTTGGCCAAGGGACTACCTGGACCGCCCGGAGCGCCGATACGTCTGGCCTGGCTGAACTGGGGGTTGGGCGCCGGACCGGCACCGGCGGGCCTGACGGGCGTGAACCCCGAGCCCTTGGACGGCGCCGCGTCGGACTGTGTCGAGGTGGGAGGGACATGCATGCCGCTGCGCGTCAGGGGCTTGGAGGAGTTGTGGTCTATGCCGGGGGTCTTTCGTATGGATGGGCTCTCTGCCTTGGGATTGAAGGCTTGTTGCCCGGCTGGCATCATCAGAGGAGCGTCAGCGTTGTTCCCCTGCAAAGCAGAATCGGGGATTTGCTGTACGGCACGTGCGGAGAAGAAGGCCATCGGCTCGGCCGAGTTGGGGCCGCCCGGGGTTGTCATGTTGCCGTTGGCCGGCGGGGCCGAAGGCGCGGACGGCGCTGTAGGGTTTGTAGGGGCGCGAGGTTGGTTTGGTGGTTGAGGGCGGTTTCCGTAGGCTTGGGGTTGATGGCGTGAATGTGCTTGATTTGGCGTCTGAGGGGCCCGTCCTAGATTTTCTGCTGATGTGCTTCTGCCTAGGGATCGGTTGGAGGTCTGCATGTGTGGAGGAACCGGTTGTGCTGGTGCTGGTGCTGGGGCGATACTGGCGGCTCGTTCGTTTGAAGAGCCATTTGCGGCCGTTGGAAGCGATACCTCGTCCGGGTGATCACCCTCAACCACGGCGAAGTCTGCCTCGTCAAAATCTTCCAGGTGTTAGTCGCTACAATCTCTTGCCACGTTCAGTGATGTCTCACCTTCAAGAAGGTCCTCAAGCGAGTCAACCGTCGTCTCGTGCTTAATAGGCGGAGGCGGCGGCGGCGCCTTCTCCTCCTTTTTCACAGCAAAGTCGGAATGCCTGTGCAGCTCAACCTCGTTGAACTTTGTCGGGGCGACCTTCATCTTGGTCACCTTGGCGAGGTAGTCCTTGTCGTAAATGCAGTTGCCGAGCACATTGCCAAAGTTCCTCAGCGCCCTCTTCAACGCGTCGGTGGTGCCCTCCTTCTTCGCCTTCTCGAAAGCGGCAGCCTTGCCCTTGCAGTTCTCGATGTGTCCGTAGCCGATGTCCTCGTGGAAGGTGCCGTCGCGGAGGGTGACGCGCATGATGACGGACAGCCCCAGGCTGATCTTCATCGTCTGGGGGTGCTCGTCGACGAAGTCGACCTGGATGTTCTGGATTGACGAGGACCAGCCGTTGAAGCCGAAGACCTCGTTCGCGAGGGCGATGCATTTCTCGGCGGCGATGTAGTGGACCTTCTGTCCCGAGGGGCCGGCGCGCGCGGAGATGTACTCGGGGCCGAGCTGCTTCTCGAGACGGCTCTGGAGCGTGGCGATTTCTTGGGCCGTGTATTCGCTCATTCGCTTCTGGGGCTCCTCGAAGGGATTCTCCCAGTTGCTGTGTTGGTCGCCCGGGCTGCGGTATCACGAATGTTAGTTGGGCAGAGAGGACGCGGTCGGGGATGTCAACAACATACGCGGGCATCTTGTCGAACGCGTTCTTTCTTGTGGGATTATGGGAGCGGAATGACAATTGAATGTGTGTCGTTCAGCATCAAAAATTTGAGAGCTTCGGAACTGAAAAATAAAAAGATGGTGAGCCGACAAGGTGCTGGCTGCCTGGCATCTATGGGCGTCAATTCAAGGCGCGTTTTGTTGGCCACCGTCTTCACGCGTTAGAGAGCGATGTGACGGGCGTCCACGTGACCTTAAATTAATAAGATAAGGTAAGGTAATTATATATATCTTTACCCCCTTTTACCTATATTTTATCTAACTAATTATATCTAAGTATATACCCCCTTATTATATATAGAATTATATATAGAAACCTCTCTAAATACTAAGTAAGTAAAGTCTAAATAGCTAAGTTTTTATAGTAATACCTTTATAGTAATACCCTTATAGTAATACTCTTATAGTAATACTCTTAAGGTATAGCTAATAAGCTATATAAAATTACTATTAATAGATAAACCCCTATTCTCTTTTTCTTCTTCTTTATATTACTAACTAAAAAAGAAGACTTTTTATTTATATTATTAAAGTATAACCCTTTTAAGCTTTATTAATGAAGATATACTAATTTAAATAGATATCTTAAAATAATAATATATACCTTACTATATAACTAAGTCCTAATATATATACTACTATAAGCTAAGCTATTATTAACTATAACCTTAATTACTATATTTAGTATTAAGCTACTTAATATATTAAAATTATAAAAGAGATTAACTTTAAACCTCTAGATAGTAAGTAATAAATAGTAATAATACTATATAATAAATAATAATAGCTAGATATATTTAAAATTAACTATAGAATACTTCTTAATAACCCTAAAGTACTTTTAATTCTAATTAGGTATACTTTAAAAGAACTTTAATACCTTTAGCACTAACTTAATAATAAGTACTATCCTAATTTAATAATATTAATAATATTAGAGGTTAAAATACTACTTTAATAAGAGATAATATTAATAGAAATTTAGTTCTACTAGTTATTTATAGAGGTATAAATATAACTATTTTAGGCTCTAATCAATATAGATATTTATTAAATATAACTATAATAAGAATATTTACCCTCTTCTTATATAAGTATAATAAACCCTCTTCCCCACTTGGGGAATAAGGTAAGGTAAGGCGCTGGTGCCTGGACCCCTCCAGGTCCCTCTCCGGGTCGCCGGGCGGGTGTTGAGGCTCCTTTGGCCTGAAGCGGGAGGTATTCTCCCCGCTGAACGGTACCTGAGAGTTCGCCTGGCGCCTGGCGGCTGTCGTCCGAACAGTGAACCTAGGTAACCGTTGGAGAAGGGAGGGCACCCGTAAAACCCGTCGACCTCCACAAACTTTACTTCACCTTTACGGTTTACCCCGCCAAAAGCTTGCCTGGAGCACCCTTGGCAAAAGCGGCTGAGGGTCATCTCGTAATCGGCCAGAGGCCACCCACCCCCCAATCCCATCCAATCTCACCACGGCGAGCGAGAGGCTGTTTGCTCGCATTCTCACGAGTTTCAGACCATCCACGCCGAGTGCACGAACCACGGGGTGCAGCCAGAAAACCCAAGTCTTTATTTCATTCCATCTTCGGGCTGCCACGCTCTCTCTCTCTCATCTTCGGGAAATCGAGAGGACCCAACAAACTTCATCTCAGGAACCTCAAATCCTATCCGGCTGACCTGGCTCTGGGTTACGGATCGACGATGATCAGGCACGCACGGAGGGAGGGTGTTGCATCAGACCGAAGAAAGAAAAAAACGGGCCGTCGAACCCCGGAAAAGCCAAGTTTTAAGAAAGAACCATCATCGGACGCAAAAAAAGGCTTTGGAAGGATGTTGCATGTTCGCAGGTAAGATAAAGTCGGACGCAGTTTGCCAAAAAGTCACCGATGATGGGTTGGATTGCCGTCGTCGTCGATTCGTGTCACCCGACTGTGTGGGCAGTTGAAACAGGTGCGCCTTTTTGTCCGCGACAAACGGCAAACGAGGGGCGATCACACCGGCGGCAGGGACGCGTACGGCTGCTTGCATGGATACAACGTGCTCAATACTCCAAGTTTCCCATGCTGCCTTTGACATGCCTGGATAAATGCTAAGGTGACGTTACGGTCCTACTGCTATGAAACAACCCTCCGTACTGCACGACTCGAAAACCATGCCGTTTACATGATACATGGCGTACTCTGTCGCTCGACGAGGTTGACCGTTTGCGAATGACCCAACGAGGGACGATAATTATGTATGTGTGTGTGTGTGTGTGTTTGACTTCAACTCTCCCAAGCGGGTGGGTTTTGTGATTGCTTGCTGTCCCAAAATGCTTCCTCCTCTCCCCTTGGACCCTTTGAAAAACCAGAACTACCTACACGTGGAATGTGTGACTCGATTTCCTCGTCAAACCCAATGTGTCAGCAGGGAGACGGAGGCTGTACGTTTTGTACAAGCCGCCATCCCTTGCGTGGGAAGACTCCGCGACATGCGACAGGAAAGGGATATCATCAGTTGATAAGAGAAAAAAAAAAGACAAAACGCCGACCAACCCCAACCAGGCCTTTGTGACATGAATTTGTCCGCGGAAAACCAAAAGTCTATGCCCTTTGCCGCCCCATGCTGAGTGAAGTGAGGAAAAGCGAAAAATGATGAAGCCGTCGTTATAGTCGTCGTGATATGTTCAGTGAAGCGATCGACAGTGGCCGATGTCGTTGCGTTCCGTGGTTATGCACCGCTGAGATTATTCCTTGTTCCTTCTCCTCATGCTTTACCAGGGTCCGACCCGCACAGGTGCCCCATACGTTCCCGACATGAGCTGGTTGAGAATCGAGTTCGGGTCCGAAGCTGGGTTTGTGGGTTGTCCGTTTGACGAGTTGTTGGCCATCCAACTCACTCCCGCCGCCATTGCGTTCATCGCAGTGCCCATGCGTCCGCCGGAAATCTCATGGTGCTTCGCCAGGGTCTGGTCCCATCCGCCCGTGTGCAGGCTGAGTCCTCCTCCGCGCTTGGCCGCCTCGTTGATGACCAGGGCCCAGGCCTTGGAGATCTCGTCGTATGCGTTTTCCTTGTGGTGGCGGTATTGCTGAGGCTCCCAGTCGGGGAGTTGGTGAATGATCTTGGTGGCGCCGTCGAGATATTGCAGAGAAATGGTGGTTTGGCTTTCGTTAGGGGGCAAGTACTGCGGCGTAAAGTCGAGGAGGGCGTCGATGAGAGCCGTCAGGGGTGCCTTGACCCGGTAATAGGTGTAATCTGGGCTCGTCTCGCCGTACGGAATGGCCACCTTCATCTTCTCCTGATACTCCCGCAAAACGCCGTGAGCGGCTTCGACGGTCGGTCGGGGGGCGCTGCTGACGACCTCGTGGCCGATTTCTGGGTGGCGCTCGCAGATTCGCTCTAGGACGGTTCGCAGCTGAGTAGGATCCAGGGTCTCGAGGAGTCGGGGCAGGGTGAGCGGGCGGCCGACGAGTTCATTGGAGCGGACTTTTTTCGAGGGTCGGGAGAGTTGTCTCGACGAGGCGGAGGGGGAGCTTCGCGGGGAGAGGGACATCTCGTCGCCGTCCTCGTCGGCCTTGCGCTTGCGGCTGGTGGCCATGTTGTGAAATGGGCTCACTGTTTTCGGGTTAGCGTCGGGATGCACGGCGAAGCCTTGGCCCATTTCTCGAGCGCAAGAAAAGGGCTCAAACGGAGGGAGAAGTACTCACGAGATCGAGAGGGAGAAATGCGGTTGGCTTCGTGAGGATGTTGGAAATGAGGCGGCTGTGGCGAGAGCAACACATTCATGTTTAGAATGAGTGCGAAGGATCGATCGGCCGGGTGTCGGTGGGAGAAGTGTCTGGGGTTTTTAAGTCCAGGTGACGACGACGGTTGCGACCGCAGGCGGCGACGACGACAATCCACGAGAATCCAGAAATTGACGATTCTTTGACAAGTGCCGATGAAATGGTAGTGCTAAGAAGACGAGGGAATATCGTGTGGTTGATTGAATGAAGTCGTGGTTGTTGTGAATGGTGAGGGGAAAGAAGGAAGGCTTGTTTGGGGGGCAAAGGAGGAAGAGGGCGATGGAGACGGAGCGAAGCGAAGCGAGAGGGAGACCGTGAGAGATGTGGAGGAGTGAAGGTGGGAAAAAAAGGCCTTTTCCCTTTTTCGCCAGGTTGGTTTACAAGTGCCACTTGGACCTGCTCTGCCCTGCTGGGTACCGATGCAGCTCGCTGCTGGTGTGCTGGAACCAAGACCAGGATCAGGATCACTCGTTGCAGTGCAGCGAAAATGGTTGTGGTTGCGCGGATTGCGGCCAGAACTCTCACGCCTCAGAGGCAGAGAGAGAGAGAGACACACACCTTACCCTTCACTTCAACCCTTAGGTACCCGTACCGTACCTTACCCACCTCAAAGTCGCCTCAAGCAACGTGCGTTGGCTGGATTCCCGCCGGGTTGTCCACTCAGAATCTGCAATGCGGCTGCAGCGATCCAATGGAGAACTGAGACCGCGGTCCCAGTGGATAGAGAATGCTGCAGGCCGCCTGTAATGTCCATCCAGCAGGGTAAACAGGATGGAAGCGGTCAAGGGGAGTTCAACCCGATGGGTGCCTTATGCCGAAACAGCAAGGTCGGGACGGGTGCAGCGCTGCAGAGTTGCGAGTTGAGAGAGGGAGATGGAGATGGTAGACTGAACATGTTGCATTGTACCGCTACTTTGATCGCCTTAGCGGTACTCTCGGCAGACACTGAAAAGGCAAGGTGTGTCTGCCCCCTGCCAATTGGTTGTTATGACTGGGGAAGGGCTGGCTGCCATTGGACGTTTTGCTAAGCGACTGGCGGATCCCATTCGTCACAAATTATCCGCACGTGAGTGGATGACGGAGGGCACCAAGGCGACGGCGCTGGCACCTCTTTAGTGGTGGTCCTCGTGGTGGGGGTCTTCCATGTCGATGTGTCTCTGTCTCTGCGACAGCTGAAGGCATTTTCCTCGCCTTTTTAATTCGACTGTCACTTCTCACCGTCGGCTTCTTTCCGCCTTCATTCTCAGCTGCTACACTCTACCTTCTTTCTTTCCGCCATGGCATCTTTCTACTTTTCCTCTCTAGTGGCTGGATGTCTCGAAAAGCCTCAAGACGCCCCATGTCGCGGGTGGCTCAAGACCTCACCGTGCCCCGTCATCCATCGCCAACCCTTCGAGACTCAAGCTCCAATAAGTCATGTCCTTCGGAACCGTCCCTGAAAAGAACCTGGAACTCCCTGGCTGGCAAGTGGATGCCCCTCACCGACCTTCAAGGCCAAGTGCTTAATCCTCACAAGCTATATGATTCATCTCTTTTCACGTTACATTGCGCTTTGTTGCCTCGGGACGTCTCTTTGCAAGCCTCCTCCTCCTCTTTCGCCCCTGGTCTTGTTGCTTCCTGAATCAAAACAAGACCATTGTAAACATGCCGAGCCAGCAAGGGAGGCCTTAAGCTTCAACCGGCTGGTCTCACTCATCGCGCTTCCTTTTCCCTTCCAATGTTCGACGGTAATGACCAGTCTCCTCCTGTCTCTCCCCTTGGAGCTTACTCAAGACCACCAAAAATGCAGGGCGTGATTCGGGCGAAAATACCAGCCATCCTGCGTCTCCTTGGCGCCAGACAGAGTCAGTTGTCTGCAGCCACTATGTGCAGCAGTACCTGTACTTATACCTCGCCGGCGTACCGCTACATGCATCCACCCGACTGGGTCCTTCAAGGTCAGCCTCGGTGAACAGACAGAGTGGGTCTCTACCGCTGTCACCTCTTATCGGTCTTATCGATTGCCAAATCCCAATCGCAGAAACAAAAAAATTTCGGGGCAATCCAACGGCAAAGGGTCCCCCGTTCGAGATCCTCTGTCGCTTCCAGCAACCAACCGATCGCCATTGACGTTTCTACAGCGACCTCGCGCAAACTTTGGGCATCCCAAGTTATTGCCCAGAGACTATATTCAAAATGGCAACCTCCGAATCCAAGAAGAAGTCCAAGTCCAAGTCCAAGTCGTCTAAGGACGTCAAGGACGAGGTCCCCGAGACCGCCGCCGCCGCCGTCGCGGACCCCTCCTCCGACAATGAGGCGAGCCCCCAAAAGTCGCCCGACTCCAAGAAGCGCAAGTCGGCCAACGTCGACGAAATCGAAGTCGACCTCGAGGCCCCCGAACCCCCCTCCAAGCGCGCCAAGCGTGCCTTGAAGAAGGGCAAGAAGCTCCCGCCCAAGCTCGACAGCGACGACGAGAGGGAAGCCAAGAAGAAGAAGGAAAAGGAGGACAAGGAGCAGGCCTCCAAGCGCTCCGAGCACGGCGTCTGGATCGGCAACCTGCCCTTCTTCGTCACCGCCGACGAGCTGCGCAAGTGGCTGGTCGCCAACTCGGGCGAGATGATCACCGAGGCCTCCATCACCAGGTTACACATGCCCACGACCAAGGTCCCGGGCAAGGACAAGCCGAACAACAAGGGTTTCGCGTACGTCGACTTCGACGACGTCGCGCCAAAGGTCGCCGCCATCGCGCTGACCGAGGCCGAGCTGGGACACCGCAAGTTGCTGATCAAGGACGCGACGTCGTACGAGGGACGGCCGAAGAAGGAGGCCGAGGCCGAGGGCGAGAAGGGCGGAAAGGCGGCCGAGGCCAAGGAGGAGGTGCCGAAGAGCAGCAAGATCTTCGTGGGCAACCTCAGCTTCAAGACGACCGACGACGACGTGCAGCAGCACTTTGAGAAGTGCGGCCAGATCGACTGGGTCAAGGTCGCGACGTTCGAGGACTCGGGCAAGTGCAAGGGATACGGATGGGTCAAGTTCAGGGAGCCCGAGTCCGCGGGCTGGGCTGTCAAGGGTTTCGTCAAGATCAAGGAGGAGATCGAGACCGAGGACGACTTCGTCGACAAGAAGAAGGATGAGGAGGGCGACGAGGAGATGAAGGACGGAGAAGATGAGGGGTCGGAGGACGAGGACGACGATGACAAGAAAAAGAAGAAGGAGAAGAAGAAGCAGGTGGAGGAGCAAAAGGTGAAGACGAGGAAGTGGTGGGTGAACAAGCTGCTCGGCCGCCCGCTCAAGATCGAGCTGGCCGAGGACGACCAGACCCGGTATAAGAAGCGCTTCGGCAAGGACGCGCCGAAGAGGAATCAACAGGAGGGTGAGGAAAGCGGTGCCGCGGAGGGTGCGGCTCGGAAGGAGAGGAAGCCTCGTGCGGATGCTAAGCCTGCGTCGGAGCTCAAAGCACAAGACGACCTGATGGTTGCGAGATTGACGGGCGCGGCTGCAAAGCACACGGGTACTAAGATCACGTTTGATTAAGGTAGCGAAGAAAATTTAATTGATCGTTCAAGACGTGTTTTTTTCACAGAAAGGAGCACCTCGTCATGCGCTTTCAGTGTGAGTTCTTCGAGTGTGAGTTCTTCGAGTGTGAGATCTGCTGCGACCAGGCCTTCTACATCAACACGAGGATACAAGCGCCATGTGAGGGCCGCGCAGAGAGCCTCATAGGGTGATGCCAGCAAAAGCTTGTCTGCGTGGATGCCCTCATATCTGCACAAGCTTATGCTAGGCGTAATACAAGACGTCACGCTGTGCGTAGGTCCTCGTACCCACGACGAAGGCCTCTCAGACGTAGGACTCGCGCCTCGCATCCAGATTTGCCTGCAGAAGCTTTACGGCCGGAGGAAGTGCCGCGTGCCTTGGGATGCCGGAACAGCCTTGGGAGTGCCGACCAAGCGGACCCAACTGAAGCTGAAGCGTCTTCAGCCTCTCACTCATCCCAGCATTTTGAAGGGCTTTGAACCCTTGGGTTCTGTCGCGCCTGCCTCAACTTAGGCTGATCCCAGCTTCCTCCACGCAGTTCTCGGTCACGGCGAAGACATGGGAAGCTGCCTCGGGAGGAACGAGTGGGGTCCGGCCCCATTTCCACTCCGTCCCGCCCCGATGTCCGGCAATTATGGGCCCACCGGCGCTCCACGTTTGCTGAGAATGCCGGCCGTGGATGCTACCTGACAAAGAGACATATCGGCTGTCGATCATCTGTGTATCTCGAGAGTCAGGATTTATGCTAATACTTGTCTTCCCATCCCACGTACATGCGGTGTTTGATGCCGGCCACGCAGGGTCACCTGGCCCGACTATGATTGGGGTTGGTAACATTCTTGAATGCAATCGTCCGTTTCTCCTTCCAGCAACGACAACTCCGGATAGCCCCAAACTACAGCCTCATCTTTGCGAGTCAACAGATTACATCAATCTAGATTCAACAGTCCCCGTATTGTAGAAACCGCACTCCATCCACCTTAATATTTGATATCGGGCTAAAATGTGGTGCTGGCTGTCAGACTCTTGGCACCGTCCCCTTTTGGGCAAGTTTTAATCCACTCTCCGCTTGGCAAGGAGGCCGCGCGAGGAAAGCCGCTGCGCCTTGTTGTCCGGGGTAGCACATTCATCGATGAACGATGACGATTGCTGGCAGTGGTGGTGAAGGCCCGCGGAAAGATCCGCCCGGGACTTTCCTGTTTGGCGGAACGGCACCATGTCGACAATCTTCTCTTGTTCATTTTTAGAATACCATTCGCACCTACCCGTACAAGTCTCGGCGGTTCGTGTTGTGATCGATTCGCCTTGGCGGGGAGAAAACAGCGGGACTGCGGCTTTCGGTGACTTGGCGGAATTTCAGCGGACGCGTCCACTCGCTGACGATCGCCACTCCAACGACTTGGCGGAGGTCTTGGCCGTTTTACCTCCCCGATGGTAAAACTGAGACCTTGAATCCGTTGTCGGCATCCCGCCCTGGTTTTCCTCCGTCCTCGCCCCTTATGTTCCGGTGGTCGTCCACGTCTCGCCCTCGCCGGCGACGGCGATGAAGATTTCTTTTAATAGCCTCTGGGCGACTGGATCTTCTTCCAAGGAGGATAGATTGACGTTGCCTCTGTCTTTTCACCGTTCATGCAATTCTCAGGACAGGCAGAAAATAGTCACTGAATCAGAACTCGGCGTACCCGCCATCGAGGCGTTTTGCGGAGTATAACCAGAAGTTGGAACTTGAGGCAAATCTCCATGACGTGTCGTCGACTTGGACGTGGGCATACAGACAGCATCATGGCTAGAGATAACACAAAGACATTGTGATGCTTGTTGAGTCTCACTCGAGGCCGGTGTGGACGCCCCCGGGACATCGATGCGGCACAGTTACTGGCCTCGCTGGGTCAGAATGGGGTTTGGGGACGACCGGAGCCGCCAATGGCGATTCCGTGGCGTCGCCTGCTCGCTCATCTGCCGTCTCATAAGAGGCTGGGCGTTGTGTTCGGTATTCCCTCTGGTCTACGCTATGCTTGATCTACCGACGCTCGAGACAGTCCCCGTCAGTCTGTGTGGTACTGAACCAGGCATATGGATGGATATCTGGGCGGCCGTCGTTGATATTGGCCCCTGGAACGGACTGCAGGTGCATCTACGGCCAACGGGTTCGACAGGGTGGTCGATCCACGCCCGATGACACCCACCCTGCATCAGAGAGCATGTCTCAGTGCGGACGTTTTCCACTATTGAAGAACATCCTAATCATTGTGGACCAAGTTAAATAACGTCAAGAGACCTACCGTAAACCTACTCTGTCAAAACTGCATCCGTCCATTCCCTTATCTGTCTTCCTTTCTTCTCTTTTGTTACTGCACTTTTGTTTTGTCACCGTTGGTGGTTTTTCTTGCAAGGCGATAGATACACTCTCATTACACGCGTTCAACTCTTGCTGGTCAAGAATAGCCTCCCTCCCTCAAACACCATCAAGATGCCGACCCTCGACGTTAGCGAGCTGAACATTGTCCTCGGCGTGCTTGGTAAGAGCCTGCATGGAAACATCGTACGACTTTCCTGCGTTCTCTAACCACTGCCAGGCCTTTTCACCTTGGCTCTATGGCATCATCTCAGTGAAGATCAAGTGCAAGTGGTACTTGGGCGAAGCATGTGCGTCCCCCCTTGCCCTTGGTTAATAGCCCTACGTAAGATCATGTTGACTGACCCTCCTTAGTGCCTGCCGTCCTCATCGGAATTCTTCTCGGGCCCCTAGCAGCCAAATTCATCGACAGTGAGCGATGGGGCTCTGCAACCGAAGGCCAGACCAGCGCCATCACCCTGGTTCGTGGCACCCCCTGGCTGCCCTCCGATATCCGATTTTAATATCTGACCTGTCTCATCCCCGTAGGGCCTCGCTCGCGTCATGATCGGTGTGCAACTGGTCATCGCGGGTTACCAGCTGCCTGCCAAGTATCAACAACTGCGATGGAAGGAGATGGCCCTGTGTCTGCTCCCCATCATGACCATCATGTGGCTCAGCACCACGGTCTGTATGCTTGCCACGGTACCCAAGATCACCCTGTTGGCCGCGCTCGTCATCGGTTCCTGCGTGACCTGCACCGACCCGATCCTCTCGCAGGCCATCGCCAAGGGTCCCTTCGCCGACAAGTTTGTGGCTCGCGATCTTCGTGAGATCATCTCTTCAGAAGCTGGTACGATAGTTGGCTTTATCCTTGTCCGCGCCCGACTAACTCGTTTTCTCAGGCGCGAACGACGGTTTCGGATTCCCATTTCTGATGCTAGCCGTGAGCATGACCCTCAAAGTGAAATTTCATATGGCTTGTGATTAACGGGCGCACAGGTGTATCTCATCCGCCATGCTGACATTCCCGGTGCGGGTGAAAGCAACGAGGGCACTGCCTCTATCGCAGAGAGGGCGGTCCGTCTCGTCCTGCGCGAAGAGCACGGCGTTGGCCGTCTCGGCGGTGGTGTTGGCGTCGCTCTTACCAACTGGTTCGTGGAAACCTGGCTCTACATTGTCTTGATGTCTGTTGCCATTGGCGTTGTCGTTGGCTTTGCTTCCGGCAAAGCCTTGAAGTTCGCGCTGCGCAAGCAGTGGGTCGACTCTGAGAGTTACCTCCTCTACCCGACCGCCATCGGAGTAAGTTCTCTGGTCAAGGAACCTCTCCCAACATGTAACTGATGGAAAATCGCAACAGTTGTGGCTTGTTGGAATCTGCGGAATGCTCGGCACCGACGACCTCCTCGCCTGCTTCGTCGCCGGCAACGCTATGAACTGGGACGGGGACTACCTCGCCGAGACCGAGAAGCGCCACGACGAGGTGAACTCGTGCGTCGACGTCCTCCTCAACTTTGGCGGCTTCATGTACATTGGCACCATTATGCCGTGGGACCAGTTCAACCAGCCCGATGTCACCGGACTCACCTACCCCCGCCTCTTCGCGCTCGGATTCCTCGTCATGGCTTTCCGCCGCATCCCCGCCATCATGATCTCCTACAAGCTGATGCCCAAGGTGTGCAAGAGCTGGAAGGAGGCGCTCTTCATGGGCTACTTCGGACCCATCGGTGCCGGGGCCGTCTTCTAGGTCGAGCACACTCGCCACCTCTTCCCGGAACTCGGCCAGGGTGACGAGGAGGAGACGAACCTCGTGCGGGTCATGATTCCGGTCGTGTACTGGCTGGTGTTGTTCTCCATCGTCTTCCACGGTCTGTCGATCCCCGCCCTGAACCTGATCTACAAGTTCGCCGGCGTCAAGCCGATTCAGGAGGATGCCGTCGAGCTCCGTCGCATTTCCATGCACGTCCCGACGCCCAACAACGCCATGGTCTGCGACCGCGACACCTTCATCGCGTACAACCGTTTCTCGCGCCCCGTCTTCAACACTGCCGAGCTGCCGTATCTCGGAAAGAACGCGGGCCCCAAGATGTACACGCACGACGACAAGTCTTTCGAGAGCCTGGGCAAGTAGACGAACGGGTATTTTCTTTTGGCAGCGGGATAGGCGGAGGAACACGAACAGCAAAGACAACGCAGAAAAGAGACCTATCCTGATGTCACTATATCAAACCACAGGAATTTGCGCAATTTGAAATCGAGAAGGATGCTTGCCTCACAGACCACCATGTCTCGTCAAACGTGCTTGTTTCTTGGCTCCTAGCCCTTTGAGGATTCAAGAGTGTTATTACTTAGGGTGAACGATTAGATTCCATTGCTATGCTGGGGATGCAAGTACAGAAGTATCAGAGTTATTGATATCAGGGATATCTTTCAGGGATTCACTACCAGTTAGACCTAGAGATACGTTCCAGTTTGTGTGACGACCCGCACCTAAATAGCCTTTTACTTCGGCCAGCCTTCTCTGAGAAGTATCCTCTACAGATTAAGACATCAACCTCTACCGCATAAACATCTTAGTCTCACCGTCCGAATCAGCGAAAATCCCAGTCCCTGTCCCTGTTACAACCGACTATTGCACATGGCCATACGCCGAATTATCCAACGTTCCGAATGTGACGGCCACCCATTGCTCCCACCGACCATCATTCCAAAGAGGGGGGAACCAGCCACGAAAGAACTGCAGCTTTCCCAGAGAAAAATGCGTCCATGGGTGAGGGGGGCTCCGGCCAGGAAAGTAATTCATCGGTACCCTGCGCTTCGAATCGATCCCCGCGGCCACATAGTCGATCAGGACGGCCCGTGGCTTTCCCTCGTCAGTGGTGGTGACCATGACGTTCTCGGGCTCGGGGAACCAGTGTTCCACCCCGGCGTGTAGTTGACAGACGCTGCCCCGGAGGTACTCTTTGAAGATTGCCATCATGAAGTGCGGTTCCATTCTGACCTGTTTCGTCCCCTCGAAGTCGAGAGTGCTCACGCCAGGCGGGACCACGAGGTTGTTATTTTCGCTGCTGCGACCGCAGAGGTCTTCGATCGTTGTTCCTCGGATGTACTCCATCATGACCGCGCCGACCTGACGACGCTGGCCCTCAAAGGCCGGGTGCCGGCTGCCCAGGTTCACCTTCCACGCACCGTGGTACTGAGGGGCGATGTGGGGGTATCCGGTCGCCTTGTTGCGCCAGAGGTGACGGTAGGCGCCGTCCTCGCGACTCATGTCTCCGTCGGCCATGGTGGTGACTTTGCGTGGGCCTCTGCTGGGGTCGATGTGGCCGTAGTGCAGCGGGTCGAACACCTTGAGCACGACGAGGTCACCCACGGCGACGGGCTCTCCGGCCGGAAGACGCTGCTCGACTAGCGGGAGCAGCAGAGGCTCTGTGGTCTCCTGTCTGTTTCTCAATGACCACTTCGAGAACAGTTTGGAGAGCGATATCGAGAGCGCTCTCTTCAATTGTCGTATCGTGTACTTCGGTATTTCGTGAGAGACCGTTTTGATCTTGCACAAGAGCACTTGGCAGCCTTGATCGGCGCCGCCCTTGATAAGTCGGACAATCTCGACTCTGAGTTGTCGCCTCTTGTGTTCTGCCGAGCCCTGGGCATCGCCGTGGTGCGTATTGCTGGCGCCGTCTGGAGGCTGGGCGTTGCCTTTTTCGATCCGCTCCAGAGGTGCATACTTGAAGACGAGGTCCATGAGCGGCATTTCCCGCTCTTCCTCGGACAGGACCTTGTCGTTGCTGTTTGATTGCTCGGGATCCGGGTAATCTGGGTAGTTGTACGGGTCAGGAGGCTCGTATTCAGTGATGACCAGTTCGCCTCCTGGCTGATACTGGGAGAACTCCGCCCAAAGGGCGGCGTTGTCCAGAGAGGCCGTTCTTCCGATCGTTTTGTGACTGTGATTCACAGCTTTCCCCTGTGTTTTCCCCGCCTCGTCATCCCGAACTGCGTTCTTCCCCTTCTTGTCGGTAGCGGGTACCTGAGAGGTCTGCCCTTGGGCGCCCGAAGGCTTGCCGCTCGCAGTGTCCATGTTGTAAGAGTTTACGGTTCCGCTGTTCACGAAGGCAGCTGCCGGCACGCCTTCTCTGTGAAGCTGGATGGTTGGACGGTTTTGTCTTGCTGTAGGCGGGCGAGCAGTGACCAAGTAAGTTACCCTTGTGGCCGAAGACTCAGACTCGGCGAAGGCGCGTGTGGATGAGTGGAGTTCTGCGTGATGATGAAAACTTTATTCGACAGCAGGAGGGCGGTAAAAGCAAGTATTTCAATCGGGAAGAGGCGTAAAACCTTCTCAGGTTGAATGGAAAAGAGATAAGAGTCATACTTGAAAAGGTCCTCATGGCGGGACCTTCCATGCTCATCAACGGTGTTTTGTGGGAGAGTTCAGCTGGAGCCTAGGTGGCTTGGCCGTGTACGTGTTTTGTCAAGCTGTGTGACCTTTTGTTTAGGAGTCTCAAGGGTTCATAAATTATCCAGAAATAAGGTAGTAGCAACGGCGATTTGCTGCATACTACTATGCAGCAAATCCCTCTTGTTTGATTATCTAGAAGATGTTTGAGCTTCCTTTTCACTAGGCTGCAAACAAAATCATTATTGTTATAGACGTCATTAACAAATACTTCAATTAGATATGCTAGAAACTATACCCTTTACACGCATCTAAGAAGTCTATCTGGCCTCTAAAGCTGGCAAGCAGGATCTAAGTATATGATCTGCTACTGCTTGAACAGTTCGCCATAGGTTTCATTAGGGACCTTTCAGGTATCCAGCAAGAATGCACCAACTACAACGGGTACCAGCAGCAGCAAGAGTAACAACAATAGTAAGAACAACAAAAGCAGAGGTAGCAACAGCGGTAATAGCAACTTTACACAATCTTTCTATGTCTTTACTTATCTTATCTAGTAGGTGTGATAGGGAAACAGGCTAAGGTTATAACTGGTATATCAGGTCTATCCTCACTCTTATCACAGCAGGCGATGGACAAATCGAAACAGTTGAGAACATACGTATGAGACGAATGCATCATTTTTCGGCCCAAGATTGTCGCACAGCCGACTGATTGAGGCCTTACTTCAATTAACCCATGCCCTATATACTCAAAATCGGGCAAAAGCCTACCACGCAAGTTCCCAGTATACGTTTATTAAGATAGCTTCGATCAGTGACTAGTTAAGGTCTCTCAATTCACTTCTTCGCAGCCAATAAACGCTCCCGCTCCCGCTGCTCCCTCTGCTCGCGTTCCTTGCGTTCTTTCTCCTGTTTCTCACGTACTATGATCCCCTGGTCTTCTCTTTGCTGCTCTACGGCGCGTTGAGCCCGCTTCTCTCGCTCATCGCGGGGGATGCGCTCCTGGTAGGATCTTGCACTCATTGCGTAGGTTGTGGGATTGCTTAGCAGTACCAGTCTTAGTAGTATGCAAAGATTGAGGAATATTCTGAGGCTGAGGTTTTGTGATGATAAGTGAGGAGAGACGGCTTCTACTTACTCCTTTTATAGCATGAACGGCGGCGGGCCTGTCACCAAAGTATCTTTCGCAGTGACTGGGTAGGCACCGGGGCTGGGTCGGGAAGCGTCTTGGTGATGTGGATATTCAGTATGAAAATTTCAACTTCTGGTGAATAAACTGTTCTCATTTGGTCGAAGATACTGGTGACTCACTGAATTTAGGGATTCAAACATATCAGTTGGCGGTTCCATGCAGGCTGATTCAACGACCGCAACGCCGCCATTCACGGCCAACATGCCCCAGCAGTTGGACGCGATTCACTGGCTGCAGTGGCATTTTGTCAGGTATAAAACTACCTAAACAGGAGGCTATGTTTGAATTGATTTCTACAGATCCAGCAGTCACATTCCATTTGAAACTACGAAACAAAACCACCAACTATCCACAATTCTGGAACATCAATCATTATGGTAAGTCTATCATCATCACCGTTACAGTCCCATCTCGATCACAAGCAACCATCAACTAACAGTCCACCCCAAGAACCGAGACCAAGACCACACCCAGCGCCAGCGCGAAGCCCAGCTTCGGCGCGAACAGCAAGAACGGGACTTGGCCAAGCTCCGCCAGCAAGAAGCCCGAGACCGCGAGGAGGCCGAGCTCAGGTGGAGACAGGGCCGAATCGCGGAGCAGGACAAGTACGAGAAGAAGGAGGCTGAATGGCGCGAGAAGCGGCGCAAGGAGTATGACGATTATCTGCAGAAGGAAGAGGCGTATAGACGCAGCCGGCAGCAGGAAGAGGACGACTGGAGACAGAGAGAGCGGGAGTGGGCGCGGGAGCGACAAGAGGCGCAGGAGCAGTGGGAGCGGGAGGAGTTTGAGAAGCGTCGGCGTCGGTTTCAGGGGCCATTCTAAAGGTGTTACATGGCAGGAGGCGACTTGCATTAGCCTATTCACACGATATTAGGGCATATTACGGAAAGGATGTCTCTAGTTGAGAGATTCTGAAGCGAAAGTAGCACGGTATAGTTTAATCGTACATTCAAGCTCCCGCTTCTTGTTTTCCAATTCAACATGCAGGTGCTGCAAAGTTCTCTTGATTACGTCATTGATAACGCCGAGCTTTTACAAACATGTGATTGGAAAGAGTCAGTCAATTCGGCACTGCAGAAGTACCTTCATGCTGCTTAGTGTATGGCGGTTGAAGATGCCCATCCTAACTCCTACCGGAGCACTCACGGGTTAGCCTGGCAGTACAGTGATCCAAAGCTAACACTACTCATCAGACTCCTGAGGTCGTTCCTTATGCGGCGCCTTAAGCCCATGAACAGAACATTCGCAGCTGTTACTCCATGAGATCTGTGTGCGGGGATCTGCTTACGGAGTCGCGCAGGCTAGTACGCACAGCATGTACAGCTCTGCTTTTTCAGATACTGCCTGACTTGCATGAGAAAGGCCTGAACTTCCTCCATAGTCACGCCGTGATTCTTGATCAAAGGAGCTATTGTAAACGACTCGAACCCCCTATGGACTAGTAAGAGTGAATCCAACATCTTGGAGAGCTTTGAGCGGGCTGGAGACCTCCTGACAAGGTCGTTTGAACATAACGGCAGCTTCGCTAAGTAAGTTGCAGAACCCTGAGGTGACGGGATCTGGTGTCAGGGTCTCGTCATCTGACTTTGCGAAAAGGTCCATTTCAACCAATTCTAGATATCCGCCGGGGCTGTTCAAGAGTAAGATCATGCATCATAAGCATAAGTAGAGACACGCTTCCATTTTGCTCGACCTGAACCGAATGAGACTTCCTTGAGGGCTTTTGTGGCGTGAGCGTGCCAGTCCGCAATAGACGCATTCACGGAGTGGCAAAGGATTTAGCTGGACGACTGAGACCGGTTCCATTCCTCGTTGACATCGTCGGTTTCAAGCTTCACATTCGGAGGAACACTTCAACAAGTGAGCTTCGTGGATAATCCTGCCAAAGGGTAGTACTTACAAATCGGGCATCGACGGCCATAAGTCGAAGCCAATGATCCATGTGGCGATGTTATTCCTGGTTGGATAGAAGAGAGCATCGTCTGGGACGGATAGCTCCGCGTCCGGATGTTCCTTCCCAAAATAAACGGCGCAGATGCCTGTGCCTGTGCCCACATTAAGCACTTAATTGACCTGTGACTAAGAATCGTGGTTGATGCGAGCTCCAGACGGTTGTTCAGTGTTAGAAGTGCGAGGTATCGTTGAAGGTCTGTGAGATTTGTTCTGCTGGAGCCCAAACCCAGTGCGTTCTTATCTGTCCAGTTCATCATCAGGAGCAAGATAACATAGGGCTATAGGTTAGAAACCCCCATGACTCATTAGCACAGAGTCATTCACGTTCACCTTGGTATCTATGATACCTCCCAACATTATCCACATAGAAGTCCCGGATAGAGTACTCATGCCGACGTGTAATGATGCCATGCTCGGTTTCAAGCAGGTAAGAACAGTGCAGCAAAGAAGAGGAAAGCAGCTGGGTAGATTACCCAAGTCAGAAGCACCGTTGTTCATGACATGTCCTCATAACGAGTTGGAAGAATTGTCACTGTCTTGATGAAGTTAAGCTTCAATCTACCTCATCCATGGTGACCTCAATCGGCTCTTTGGCTTGAATAGAGAGCATAATAGGCAGCAGATCGAGGTTTAAGGACTTATAGATGTGCTTTTCTACCCTATGACCAGTCTTCCAGACTCCTCTTCTCAGCTGGAATATCATGCAGCCTTGCAACTAACATGATGCGAGAGCAATGACTCACAAAGAGCGTCATTTGACAACTGACGGATTTTTTTCGCACCTGAAATTGAAGTGCAGTTGTGGCAGGAACTTTCTAGTACTGCGAGTGAGTGCGCGCAATATTGAACGAATGCGTCAGGGTTCTCAGTTTTTTAGATGTGTTCATTACATGACGGCTTCTGAATCTTTCGGCCAATCAAAGATAAAAACCACAAAAATTACAAGAGTTAATATTGGTATGGACTTAAAAGAATGTATTATATATTGCAGGCCAGTCTAACTTATCATGATGTCGATAGTAACCAGCGCTTTAGTAGACTACCCCTATTCTAGCAGGTCAGTAACCCTAGATATTCACAATTTCCCTAAGTATGCTTTCTTTCCCTTGCTTCTTCCATACGCGCCATCTCACCCTTGCCCTCGCAGAGCTTAACTTCATTAAGATAGCCAAGAGCATCATGCATACTATTTGTCTCTTTCCCCAAATTCTTTTGGCCCGCTTGTCATGAGGCTCTCTTGGTAGGTTGGGAAAGATCTGCAGCAACTTCTTCTCGGCGCAAATTTCCCGTCTTGAGTTCAACTTATTCATGCGTAATCAAGCCGCCACATTCAGCGACTTCTTCCTCTTGACAAGTAATTTCACCCCCCCCCAACTCATGGGACGTCAGGTCCAGTTTTGTTTCTTCAGTCTCGAAAAGCTTGCCTGTCTGGAATCATGCTCCCCAAAAAGGGTCAAGTTGGCCGCTCTATGTCAGATTAGGCTTATAGATATTATAAGGAATCGTAAGAAAGTCATAAATTAATGAAATGTCGAGACGTACCTCTTTCAACTCCGTGTCGAGGTCGTGACCCCCTCCCTCCCATCCTCCCCTGTCTCCTTCTCCTTCTCCTTCTGCTTGTGACTCTTCTCCCCCAGAAGAGATACTCGACAGGTCTGGTGGAATCTCTCTTGCGCTGATGGAAATCGAGTCAGAACTGTTGATATAGCCGTCTAAATCTTTGATATCCGCCCTTGAATCGCTAAAGAGAGCTGCTTTGTCATCAAAGTCAACATCAGTGTCAATAGGAAGACGTGGAATAGTGAAAAGAGCTATTTGTTCAAGATGAAGGCCGACATGCTTGCGAAATTGTTGTATGCTCACAACAACGGTTTCACCTGCGCCTATGCTGCCGCTTTGAATGGTCGCCCATTCTTCGTCACAAAAAGGACATTCTTCAGGTGTAAGGGCCTCTTGAGGTCGCTTCGCCTGAGCAACCGCCGATGGGCGCTGGATTTCGGATATCGCGTCTTGATGGCTGAGGATCAAATGGGACTCCAGTCCGACGTCCGATGTATACACTTGAGAACAGTTGGGACATGGCCAGTTGATACGATGAACTGAGAGTTCATGCTCAAACCAAGCTGACTTTGATACATACGTATTGACGCCACAGCCCGGGAAGGTACAGATGTACGGCTGAAGGTCCTCAAAGATGTGTTTTCTATGAACATGAATGTTGTAAGCTCAGGCTTGTTACTTCAGGGTTCATTAAGATAGAAATCCAAGCCTTACCTCCATGAAAGTTCTTTGTTGCGTTTTCGGAGAGTTATAATCTTGCTACAATAGGGGCAGACAAAGCTTTCGTTATTGGAAGAGTCTGGCGGCAAGGGTGGAAAGTACAACTCCCCTCCAACGGTCTCAGCGATCGTTGTGGCGAATGAAACTTCTGATGGAGCAGTCTCGTAGGTTGACGAACCGAGGAAACGGCCTCCAGGATCCACATCACGAGCAAGCGAAGTAGCTTCCGTTTCAGCTTGAATCGTCGGCGAAACTTCTGACTTTGGACCCGCGATATGATGGGCTGTAGTATCCTTCGTTTTGGGGACCTTCTCGCTCATGCGCATTTGACCCTGCTCCTCATTTCGAACCTCCGCCAGGCGGTCACTGTGGTCTCGGCAATATCTGAAGTATTGCCTGCGACGGGCGTTGGCCTCAGCGAGTCGGGCCACTAGAGATGCTTTGTCCGCGTTGGCATTCATTTCTAAGTTGTTTGCGGAGTTATCTGTGCGCAATTTCGAAAACCGATCGAGAATGTATATTTTATCCGGAAAATTGTTAAAAGCTTCGGTCTGTTGTGCTCTGTGACGTCGAGACTCAGGATTTTGCTTGCGTATGAAAGCAGCAGCTCTGAAAAGACTGTCAAGTCTATCCTTGATGGACAAAATGACCTCTTCAATCTCCGATGTGTCAGCAGAAGCCCGGGTCATGGTTGGACTCATGACCGATGATGTATCTGAGTCGGAATCAGAAGGAAAGCCGAATTCGGAAGCGTCGATGTTGTTGATTTGACGCCGATCTTTGCGATTCACCCGCTTAGACTTCGCGATCTCAGTTGCTGACCAGGTTTACGGTGTAAGTATGAACCAAGCCACGCAACAGAATGATCTGCTTACCTGCCCGAATGGACCGCTTGAGGTCAGAAAGAAGTCTCAATATAGCGTCCCTAACCAGCGGATTTTCTCGAAGACGATACTCCAGCGATACGGCACGATTTGCACCCTGAAAGGCGCCAAGGTTCCCGGCCCATTGTCGAAATCGGTCTTGAACGTCTTCAAGTTCGTTGACATTCACACATCGCCGAATATCGTCGTTGGCTCGCTGCACGACACCCGACAGATTCAACAGGGTATCCCGACATCCGCTAGCAAGCTGGGGAATCGAAGGAGCCTCAGTCATTGCTGCTCTTAAGATGCAAGAGAGAAACAACGAAGAGCTTTGGCTGCCTCGGAAAGTAGCAGCGAAGGAAGCCGCCTATTGGAACATGGCGGCACGCTAGCCTGGCCAGTTCAAAAACGCCCAACAAACAATAATGAAGTCGAGGGCGGGGTAAACTGCTGATGCGTCCTCAGGCAATCATGCATCTTATATGCAGAGTACTTCTCATCAAATCCCCTCATTTTAACCCGTAATCCAGGTGTTTCTGTCAGAGAGGCTCCCCCCCGTTGTCCAGCGTCTTTCCGTTCCGCCTTCATCATTCAAACATCTACCCATATGTCTGGCTTCGAAATCGCCGGTATAGTCTTGGGAGCCTTTCCAATTGTTCTCAAATGTCTTGACTCTTACCAGACGGCTTTGGAGCCTATCGTGGATTGGTGGGAGTTCGACCGAAGCTACAGAGAATTCGTTGACGCTATTCGAGATCAACATCTACTGTATTGCCTCAATATCGACCAACTTCTCATTCCGATTGTGGCAGACGATGCGGAACGTCATAAACTTGTTCACAGCAAGGAAAAGGGGGTTTGGAGCGATCCTGTCCTTCATGAGAGGTTGCGAGAGAGACTTGCCAGTCATACCGAGAGGTTCATTCGAGTAATGGACAATATCCGCAGGGTGATTGAAAAGCTGATGTCATTGCTGTTCATCGAGAACTTGCATGTAAGTGCCAAATTTGTGACTGTAACTTGAGTGAATCAATGGCTGACATTGATTTATAGGTAGACTGGATGCCGGAGAAGGACCTTCAATGGCACTATCGTCGGCTTATCATAAGTGTCAACAAGAGCAAACACAAACGACTAGGAGATCTCAAGATCTATAACGAGCAGCTGGGAAACCTTGTCAAACACGGAGAACGGGTCGTCTCGGTTTCCGACAAGAAGAAGGCGTCGCCTGCAATTCAGCAGCTGGATAAAGCCCGCCAACAGATTTGTCGACTTTACGACGAGCTACAGCAGCAGTGGCAATGCCCTGGTACATGTATAGAGCATGATGCGCACCTACGTTTACGCCCTAGAAGTCCTGGTCCGGCTGTGGGCAACTTGGAATTAGTATTTGTCATCGGAAAGAGCCTTGACGAATATGAAAATACCCTTTCGTTAAAAGCGCACGAGATCCTGATTCGGCACAATCCCGCCTCGCGGCAGAAGACGAAGATAGGACCCGGCAATCTGACGAAGTCTAGACCGCTGAAAGGAGGTATTATTAACTACTCCAAATCCGGGACAGTGCAATCTAAGAAGCAGAAACAAGCAGACCTACAGCAACAGAGCAAAGGAATCCTTTCTAAAGGGCTGTCGAAGTTGCGTGGGAAGCCGTCGACTGGAGAAGAAAACTCACCTCGGGGCCAGAAATCATCTCCAGCAAAGACGGTGAGGTTTCAGCAAAACGTACCTCTGATTTCTGTGACGACTTACGACAAAGACACGATAAATCAGTCTTCCTCGCACGCAACCTTGGCGCGTGGACCGGACACCAGAACCGTGGATTTGTGCGCCTATCTTGCCGCATCATCACCCGAGACATTGAATGTGGAAGAAGATTCGGGAGATTATTTCGAATTTTCCAAAGCAGAACGAGATGTTCACCATATCGGATGGCAGAACCTAACTCTGATGTCTCTACCAAATGCCCTAGATGGCCACAGGCAGAAGACACTCCGACTGCCCAGGAAATATCGACTCAAGATGGCGGCTGAGATCGCTCGCTCTTTACTGCAGGTCCATGCATCACCATGGCTTGGGGACAAATGGTCCAAGAAAGACTTTTCCGTCCTTGTAGACACTCGCTCAGGAAGCCTAGTATACTGGTATCCCTTTGTTTCTCGGAAGTTCCAGCAATCCAACGAATGCGCCACCAGTCTTTGCTCATCGTCAGAAGAGTATGTTCGCTCTCGTCTGAAGATAGTAGGAATCATAGTACTGGAGCTCATTTTCGGGAAGAACGTCGAAACATGCGAATACTATGACCAGTATCTTGGACCGGGAGGAATGCCCAACGACCAGACTGATTTCAGCACAGCATCAAAGTGGGCAGGAGAAGTTGAGGGTGATTGTGGACCCGAAGTTGCAGATGCGGTGAGAAGGCTATTGGATTGTTCGTTTGGTCCACGGCCTCAACTTACGGATATCAGGTTTAGGGAGGCGGTGTACGATGGAGTGGTCGAGCCTCTGTTAACCTGCTGCGCTGTGTGGCCCAGTGACCTCAACGATGGATGGGAGGTACCTAGTAACTCTATCAGATCTAAATAGCGCGAAAATCACTTTTTGGTGATAGAGTTCTTAACTTAATATTGCAGCATTCGGATTCCGACTTTTGTTTGTCAAGAGACAGGCTAGTACTATTGACGCTTGTTTGTTAATATGAACCACATGTTCTCACATTTCTCAGAAATTTTCATTGCGCTTCGGGTAATCTTGAATATAAATTTCTGAATCAATCTTTCCAGTCTAATTTCGCGTGGGTATCTTCATGTTGGAAAGACTGGGACCTGGAGATGAAACAAAACTTACCGCAAGGGCAATAAACAGCAGCAAAGGATTGAGGAACTTACGATAAGTCTGTGTCTATACGTTCTTCGAACCTTCGAGAACATTGCCCGTAAGGTAGTCTAAGATGTAATACCGCAAGCATTCTCGACGACCTGTGAGTCGAGGAAAATCACTATACGCATCAGCGAATGTGTTGCTCTGCTCAAGGAAAATGGATTCACCGAGAAAGTTTCCGTATCTGCAGATGATGTTCACAGAAATGAAATAACCTGTTGACGGTGCAATATACATGCACTGGTTGCCTTCCATTAGAGACATGCGAATTCCGCGATCTCTACAGCGGCATGTCTCAGGGACACAAACCACGGACCCATTATTCGTGGGATTATAACATAGATCTATTTGCTTGAGTATAATACTGTAAAACGTATTCGATGAAGTTTGAAGTCGAGGGGCTGGCCATCTTTGCGTGATGTGGGTATTGGGCCATGGGTTAGTAGAAACGACGTTATTGATACTGGTTGACGAGAAAGTGAGCAAAGAGCATTAGAGCTATCTTGGCTTGGTATGGTACAGCTGAAAGACTGGCCGGCGATATTCTGAGAAACGCACGGTGGGTAATTTCAGGTCCAGGAAGAAAGGTGACAACAGTGATAAAAGAAATAGTCTGGACGCAAAGAAAGGTATGACAACAGATGAGGTATACGTCGGAGTCGGCGACTGGTGCTAGATATTGAAGCTCTTCAACAAACTGGACATCGTCAGGAAAACGTCATGACATGACCACGATACAGAGAGCCTGAAGGCTCTTCCGCAAGTGAGGCAATTCGGTAAGCCGAACCCAAACACAGACAGTGTGCTACGACTAAACCCAAAAAGCACTTCAACGTAGTTGTAAAGTCTTGTTGGACCACTCATCATATCATTTGAGATGATTTCTGCTGTCATTGGAATTTTGGCAATTGAAGATCCTAAGGCCCCTGCACGACGACAGCGTCCCTGCAGACGCTACTCGGAGACTGCAGCTTACCCCTTGCCGGTGAAAACTAGGGTTCAAGGCCTGGAAAGCATCCATAGATGAGAGAACACGCATGACTGCGGATTTCGTTCTAAGTTGAGTGATCGAAGTAAGTTCTGGCTCACATGCCGAAGCGTCGATGAGTGTGTGTCAACAACACTTTGGGCAGGCCTCCGCGAGCTACCCCAAAGCAACCCCAGCCAACCCCAAGTTCTCCAAGATAAGCAATGCAGTCCATATGGACCTTTGAGATTAGTTTCATGAGAGCTACTTTCCCAAAACGATCAGCTCTAGCTTGTCGGAATGAGACCGTATCGGTCAAGGATGCAGCTCGACTCATGATTGATCGAGAAAGACCACTCCATCAATGGAATCTCCGCACTAAGCGGGAATCGAAAGAAGGACCCCGATTTCGGGATTGTTTGCTAGGAGCAGGCTGGCCGAGGCAGGAAATCAATGACGAGGGTGGGAATGGTGAGCATGGGGTCGAATCAATTTATTGAAGCTTCAATCTCAGCTGCGCTGTCCTTCAATCTTCATGTTGCCTCACTTAGCCATTGCTTTCCAACAACTCCATACTTTCCAACGCCTTACTACTACCTTGATCTTTCCTCCTTTACCAATTGGTAGCCATAGCATCAGCAAAAAACACCAAGGAAAGATGGCAAACCGTGGTGCGACATGGGACCCCAAGGTTCATACCATCCGCGACCTGATGGAACTGGGAAGCAAGAAGCTTCCAAAGATGTACAGAGACTACTACAACGAGGGAGCGATGGATCTTGTAACGTATGGTTCACAGTCAATTGTATCATGTCAATTCCTAAGCTGACCTGGCGATGAACAGTTTGCAAGATAACGAGGAAGCCTATAACCGCTACAAGATCCTGCCACGAATTCTTGTCAATGTTGACAACATCGATCTCTCTACCACGATCTTCGGCGCCAAGGTAAACAAATCTATTCGAATCCATACAGAACAAAAAGGCTTACAGAAGCCGTCTTGACAGGTCTCTTTTCCCCTTGGCTTCAGCCCCGCGGCCATGCACAAGCTGGCACACCCCGACGGCGAGATCGCGACATCCCGTGCCGCTGCGAAAATGAACATCTGCATGGCCCTTTCCTCATATGCGACCGAATCTCTCGAGAATGTGGCCGCGCAAGGGCTGGGGAACCCCTATGTCATGCAGCTGTGTGTGCTCAGAGATCGCCAGACAACTATCCAGATGCTTCAGAGAGCCGAAGGTATGATATGGTCTCAATAGGCTGTGGAGTTGATTGCTGATTCTCTCTAACAGCCGCTGGATACAAGGCCATCTTTCTGTCTGTTGATACGCCATTGCTAGGTCGCCGCTTGAACGAGTACAGGAATAACTTCACCTTGCCAGACGGTGTGGAGTGGCCGAATTTGCTATCTGATGGAAAGAGCGAGCTTAGCGGTGAAATTAGAGATGGAAAGGCTGTGAGCAAGCATGACTTCGGTAAGATATAATATCCGGTCTTCAAAGGGACTACTCTGACGAAGCTAGACCCTTCACTTGACTGGGACAGTGCGATCCCGTGGCTGAAGCAGCATACCAAGCTCCAGATTTGGCTCAAGGGGGGTGAGTACCCGAGCTCTGACCGAAGACCGCTACTCAGCGCTGATGTGCCCATTATCAGTATATAACCCGGACGATGTTGCGATGGCGATCCGATTCGGAATCGATGGTATCGTCATTTCGAACCACGGTGGTCGACAACTGGACGGAGTCCCCGCCACGCTTGATGCTTTGAGAATCTGTGCGCCTGTGGCAGCCGGCAAGATTCCCATTGCCGTTGACGGCGGAATTCGACGCGGCACCGATATCTTCAAGGCGCTCGCTCTCGGAGCGTCTCACTGTTTTGTGGGACGAATCCCCATTTGGGGCCTGGCGGTAGGCTGGCATTTGTTCGCAGACAAGAGACTCGAAGATGCTGACATGTCTTGTAGTACAACGGACAGGAAGGCTGTGAACTAGCACTCAAGATTCTCATGTACGAGCTGAAGATTGCTATGGCACTCGCGGGGTAAGTTGTCCAAGGTCACACTGACACCGAGCACTCAACTAACGTGGCCACATCACAGAACCCGGACGGTGGACGAAATATCAAGGGGGCATGTGGCGTACCTCAATGCGAACGGAGTTCTTGCAAAGCTGTAGCAGTGTTTCTGAAATTACTTGATACATCGGACTAAGGCGTTGCGTAACATTCAATGTACATAATCATTACATCTTAACACTCAAATTTACGCACAATTTCATTCGAAGGTACATATGCATTGATCTGGAAGGAATTAAAAGCTATTAATGAAGATTTGGCGAAGTATTCGTGCGGCAGGCCGGCGAAACAACCTGGTTGAATATGTCCACTACGGCGAACAGATGTGGCCAATGAGTTCAGGCGCACGAAGTTACGCAGCAAGAGCACCACACTTCCGCAATGAGACCATTGTCCAATCCGGCATGCTTGGAAAAAATCGTTAGACTTAGTGAAGAGAGAAATCCAGTTGAACATTCATCTTGGACTAGGCTGGTTTCAACCGCACCGCGTGAGTGCTAGCGATGGACCGGATCAGCTCCCGAGCCAAGCAAGACCTGGTGTGTCGCCATCCCATGCTACATCGATTCACCTGTCAGGCGCGATGCAGCCACTGATGGAGGTTTCATCGCCCCAACACCATGGCGTTTCGGGATAGGAGTGATCTTGATGCGGCTAGGTATGAGGAAGGTCTCCGCGACGGGACCCACATCGCCGACCCTTCCCCGCAAAGATAGAGATCGCGGAGGTGCCTCCGATCCCGGGACCCACTTGCCCCGCGTTGCCGTTCTTCAAGCTCCTAGCTACCCCTCCTCTATCGTCATCTCTTCTCCCCTTCTCAGTTGATGGTGTAAGATATGCGATGGAATAGGCAGGCCTGCTCGAGTGGGAGTGTCTTGCGATGCCGGAGGCCTATTCGTAAAGCTTTCTTAGCTGCAAAGAGCAAGACATCCCGGGGCACTGGAAACGTGGAATGGATTAGATAAACTTGAGATAAGTTTGATATATGATGCTGGGGCTTCTTCTTTGTGTACAATCTAGCGGATCAATCTAAGCATTCCATTTCTCAGGTTGAGTTATCAGTGACACCATCACCTTCGTCCTCATCTCACATCCTTTCCGAAACCACCAACTTCAACTTCACCTACCTAGCTCGCTAGTACATCTCCAATACACTCGTCATGGCGCCATCAGAGCTTAAGGGTGTCCTCGTCGCTCTCATCACCCCTTTCACCCCGGACCAGAAGTCCATCGACACGGCCGCCCTCGACGCACACATCCAGCGCCTCATTGCAGCAGGTATCCATGGTCTCGTACCAGGCGGTAGCACAGGTGAATTCACCGCCCTCAGCGCCGAGGAGCGCAAAATTCTCGTCGAACAGTCCGTCAAGTCCGCTGCAGGCCGTGTGCCCGTCGTCGCTGGTATTGGCGACCTTTCCACTGTCCGCGCCGTCGAGCACGCTGTCCATGCCGCCTCAGTTGGAGCCAGCGCCCTGATGGTCGTTCCCCCCTTTTACGACGCGCCTAACTTGACTCAACTGCGCGAGCTTCTCAAAGAGATCCACGAAGCTTCCAAGCTGCCCATCGTCTACTACAATATTCCTTCCGCTAGCGGTGTCAGCCTGTCGCCCGCCGAGATCGCCGGACTCTCCGAAGTTGGCGTTACGCACTTGAAGGATACTTCCGGAAATGCACCCGCTCTCACGGAGCTGCTCTTCAGCGCCGCCAGCACTTCGCGTATCACGGCTTTCAACGGATGGGACACCCTCACCTTCTACGGTCTCGCTGCCGGCGCTAAGGGCTCCGTGTGGGGCGCAACCAACATCATCCCTGAGCTGTCGAGCGAGTTGTGGAAGACGGTGGCTGAGGAGGCTGATCTGAAGAAGGGAAGGGAGTTGTGGACCAAGATCTTCCCTATCTGCAAGTTCTTGGAGTCGCATAACTATGCTTCAGCCGTCAAGACCGGTATGGAGCTTCGTGGATGGAAGACGGGTGGACTTCGCAAGCCTTTTGCTCTGCTGGACGGCGAGGCAAGAAAGGAGCTTGCGACGTTATTGAAGGATGCCGGTGTTGAAGTTGTAGCTTGATTGGAAGAACCATGAGAACCCAACTAAATCTCAGACGATGTGTTACGGATGAGTTCCGCACCGTCATTGTATCGTGACGTGACTGAGCTTGGTGTCCTTAACCTTGGTTGATAAACTGTCAATGTCAAATGGCCTAAGATAATATTCAACTATAACAGACAGCGTTCTTAATCTTATTTGATATTGATGTCTCCCTAACCTCTCAAATGTGCTCGAATCTGCTGTAAGTCATCGTCGGGAATGCCAAGTCTATCAGTGACGTATCCTTGAAAGCCGCCGTATCGTTGATCAATATTCTTGAAGAACAGCTCCCATGCTGTGACCCGTAGACTGCAGAGATTATAAAAGGCAGGCTCTTCGAGCCCGGATTCACAGTCATTGTCTCGTATGGCCCGCTTCAGCAGAAGTTCACGAACAGGTTCCGACCCAATACGCGTCAACACATAGTCCAGAGCAATGGTGTCGGCATCAGCCCCAGCGAGATGTAACAACAAGCCTGCTAAGATACCTGTTCTGTCGCGTCCGACTTTAATGGCCAAAAGAGATTAGCACTGCGGCCATCCTCATCGAATTAGTAGGTGATTAACTCACGGGCGCAGTGGAACAAGAACGGCTTGCCAGGCTGGGCTCTGACATGTTCAAGAACAGATTTGAAAGTCGAGGCATATACCTCCATGATGTCCATGTACATCTTGCAGTAGCCTTCCTCTCCGCCGCCGCTCACGAAATCGCCGATATTAATGGTGTTGCTGTATGAGTTGGGCAGCCATACGTTTTCAACCCCGGGGATGTTAGGCTCAGGGTACCTCTCCCGCTCATGGTCTGCCCTCAAGTCGAAAATCTTCTTGATGCCGAGTTGGTTCGTAAGTTGTCGCTTGCCTGTCTCGTCTAAGCTCTCGAGGGAGCCAGAGCGAAATATGTAGCCGGGTCTGATGGGGCTGCCCGGAAGCTGTCCGATGTCTCGAGTGTTAAATGTGCCGGATACATGGACGAACGGCGAGGCTGAGAGAATGGAATCAAGCTCAGATTTCGGTATGGCATATCGAACATCAGTCTCGGCAAGTTCGATCAAACGTGATGCAACTGGGATAGATGCCATGGAGGAGACCGGGGGCGGGTTGCGAAGAAGCTCGCTTCTTTCAGCTATACTGAAATCGGGTTGCAGACAAGATGAGCAGAAGAAAAATGATATCAAACTTTGGGCAAGATACGTGCCACAGAAGGCGTTGTTAGAAGTCAGTTTCACGGTATTTATGGCATACGAAACCTGCGTTGAGGGTGGATCCGGCTCCGGAGTCTCGGAGGACGCGTCGACACGGCCCTCCGCGGAGGCCGAATGAATACCCGGTGGAAACGATTGAGGGCTCGATAACACTCGCATGTGATGTCCCCAAGAATAGAATCACACAGGCGGAATACGTGGGTTGAGAAATATGCCATGTTTGATTTTTAGTGATCTCTCCGAGGTCACCTCGAGATATTTTGCATCAAGTCTGGCCAGCTCAACGTCCAGTCCCCCGTCTCTCTTCTCTTATCCCACACCCCTTGCGCCAGGACGCTGGGCTTATCAGCACCAAAGATAACCCCTTGTGTGTCGATAGATTCAAGAATAAGCCGTCCTCGCTCTTGGAGATCCGGCGTAACAGCCTCACAAGCTGCGATGAACCCGGCCCAGCCAATGCTAGTAGCAAAGTCATGGTCATCCGCAGTCTCCTCAAGACAGGGTTGTATGTAGTCAAGAGTTTTGCGAACGGCATCCTGGATGACCATCGCGCTCATGTTATACACTCGCCGGTAGAAGTAAATGATCAGAGCTTGGTGCATCGCCAACGTGAGGGATCGAATGACGGGGTGGTCAACTAGTTTTGTGTCTCTATCCGTGAGTTCCTGCGGCCTACTCGGTCCGCTGTGTACATCGGTAGACTCAATCGACCAGGACCAAATGTGTTTTTCGAGCATCTTAACATGACGAGAAAGAGCTGCGGAGACGCGGGGATCGTACGACGCAATGGCTTCCAGCTTGGCCTTCTCATTAGCAAAGCTGATTGTCTGAGATAGCAGAGTCATCAGAGACTCCGGGACGCCGTAAATATCGGGGTACATCGTGACTGGCCAGTGGCCAGAGATATCGAGGTGGATGTCCGCGTAGCCAACCTCGGCGGGTTTCTCTCTGGAGATGTCGAGGTCGGCGCCGAGTGAGTCCTCGGCGATGCGGAACTTGCGGAGTGAGACGGCCATCTCTGTTGCTGCCTGTGCTTGTGCATTCGCTGAGAGAGCTTGACCTATCTTGGATGAAGAGTTGTCGATGGATATATCTGTGCTCTCTGCTATTACACGGAGGTGGGTGTAGACATGGTGTAGGACGCGAAGATGGAAGGATTTGGGCATCGAGAGACCACGGAGGCGGATGAGGCGTTCAGCATCGAGGAGGAAGATCTTTACTGCGCGAGATCCGTTGTAGAGTACCTATGCAAAGGTCAGGAACATGCGACTATGCCAGCAGTCCAGGAGATATCAACTCACAGATACCATGGCCGTAGCAAGGATGGCCATGAGGATTTCATTATATTTGGCTTGGCTCGGTTCGTCAGACTCGCTTTGTAGTGCCAGCTTTAGGTGTGACTGCGCACTTTTCTGATAGTCGAGTCCGACCCCAAGCCATTCAGATGAAGCCTTTTGATCTTCTTTCAGCGACCTGTGCAAGTGGAAAGCGCTCCTAGCTAACAATGTGCATAGAATACTATGTCTCGTATGGGAGGTGGTGTTCCAAAGAGACAGCTCGGCAAATGTCTCTAGTGCGCAGGGCAGAAGCCAGAGCTGCCAAGGCGATATCCTCATGCCCTTAACAGTCGATGATGAATCGATGGTCTTGTAGTATCGTAAGAGAGAGGCGGCATGTGTAGGAAGACATGGTGCGACGCCGGGTAGGTTATTGGTGAAGGGTGCAGAAACTTTGCGCGGAAGAGGTAAGTTCATATCGAGCTCAGCTGATGATGTTGTTTCAGTGGTTGGTTGGTCTTGCGGAAGACTTGCGTCTTGCAGTTGTAGTTGATTTGTTTCTTCTTGTTGTTGGTCTGGGATATCAGTTGCTAGGTGGTCTATGCGACCCGTGACGGGAGGCCGCGGAGAGGTAGAAGAGAAGAGAAGGTCTAGAGCAGACATGGAGCCGTCCATGGACATCATATGGGAAAGACTTCCCGTGCCCTCACCATGCATCCAAGGCTGGCCGAGATTCATCAATGCGTCTGCATCAAAGGTGTCAAAGACACCAGGGAGAAACGACGGCTCCATCGCTAGAGATTCGTCATGAATGGACCATGGCTCTATCATGACCTCCTCGACATCCTCATCTAGGCAGTCACCGCCGACAAGATCAGGCAAGACGTCGGCCGGTGATGATGTTGGCGAACTCTGAGACTGATGAAGAGGGGAGGAAGCCTCTTCCGATTCCGTGGTAGAATCGCTCTCGAACGCCCTGAAGACGCCAAAGGGGCCGATAAGACACACTTCTCCCTCGCCGTGGACGCTCTTCTCGTCAAGGTCGATGACAATATCACCGGCAGAGCGGTCGCCCATACTATCGACGATCTCAACGGCCATCGAGCTACGCTCATCCTCGGTGAAGAGCGGGTACCGGTACGAGGTGCCGCGGTGAGAAGAGGAGGCATGCTTCTGCTCGCCCGTTGTCGGGCATAGCGGATCCGGCACCCACAGGAGCTGCCCATCGTAGCCCTCGCACACCAGGTTGAGTCGGCGACAGGACGAACACTTCGGGCGGGCCTCGTCACACTTGAGATGTCGACTCCTGCAGGTGCGGCAGCCTGTGAAGGTCCTGGATCGCGGTACCCTCTTGGCGCTGTTGCCAGTTGATGTTTGTTGCTTTCCTCGCGAGGGGGCTTTCTGATTCTTCTGACTGGCGGAGCTGGAGCCGATGGGTCCCCCTCTGCTTCTGGTGGTAGCAGGCATTGTCGGCGAGGCAAGGCAAGGGACAGCGAGGAAGCAGGCGGGTTGAGCGCATGCGCGTTTGGAAATCGGTGGCTCAGGAGGTTGCGGCGACGAACATTCCAGGCTTGTGTCCCCGACTGGCCTGATTCCAAGGCCCTTCTCGTCACTTAAAGGAAAGTCAGCGGGGAAATAGCGGAGGCAAAACGTCGTCGAATCGCGGGGTCTCGATATCGGAAGAATCTTCCGAGACAAGGCCAAGAGCGACTTGCAGTGATCACGGGATGTAATGGTAGGTGTGAAAGAGTCGAGATACCAGATTTGGCCTTCGTTCCCCTGCTTTTTCAGACAAGGAAGGTTTCCGCGACGAACTTATCGGCGCTAACGGTGTGGGGAAGCAGGCCGATGGGGCCGGCCCGGTCTGTCTCGGTCTAGGATGATGCCGGGTCGATGTCCGAAGAGTGAGAGTCTCAAGTCTTAGTCATGGATTCGCTTGATGGCATATTCAGAGTACTAACTGAATTCCTTTGATCGCGCGATCAGTGAATGATGGGCATGCGATCGCGACGGCTTAATTGCAGACGCGGACGTCTTGGTGAAGCTATGGCTCAAAAGCCGTTTGGACCCGGAGGTCAACAGCTGGCATGTCGCTGAGCTTCGTTTCTGGCTACGACTTTCTTCGGTCCTTGTCTGTTTTCTACCATCCGTAAAGTACAAGTCTTGGCACCATGGTCTGCCTCCGACACTCCCAGTCATTGGGACTTACGATAGCTGCTAGACGCTGTCCTAAGAAAACCGCCCGTACTCGCAGACTTTTGTCGATGTCATGCCATCGTGCTGCTGCAGCTTTCCAGGGCGAACCTTCGGAGCCAAAGGTGGTGACTTCTTCGGTCCCCGGGCCCAAGGTGAAACAAGGAATCGCGGAATTGGAACAAGTCTTTGATACTCGCAGCGCAAACACTCTTGTGGACTACGAGAAGTCTATCGGAAACTAGTGAGTTGACAGGAAAGTAGTTGTCATTACGGAGTTCTGACCGAAGTGAAGTCTTGTCGATGCAGATGGCAACCGGTTTCTGGATGTGTAAGTCTTTCTGATTCTGACATGAAAAGACAAGACAAGACACTAACAAAACTTCTAACAGATTCGCCCAAATTGCATCGATCCCCCTCGGATACAATAACCCCGAACTCAACCGGGCATCGAGTAGCCCTGCCATGATTCGAGCGATCGCCAGTCGTCCGGCGTTGGGAAGTTTTCCGTCAACAGACTATGCCGACCTTCTCAAAACCGGCATCCTCAAAGCCGCACCCAAAGGCCTGAATCAGGTTTTCACCGCGACGACCGGTTCCGATGCGAACGAGACGGCATACAAGGCGGCATGTATTTGGAAGGGCACTCAGGAGCGAGGCGGTGCGGACTTCAGCGCCGCAGAGCTGGAGTCCGTTATGCTGAACCAGGCTCCCGGAGCAAAGAAGTATTCCATCTTGTCGTTCCAGAAGGGCTTTCACGGCCGTTTGTTTGGGAGTCTATCGACAACTCGGAGCAAACCCATCCACAAGCTCGACGTACCGGCGTTCGATTGGCCCGTCGCCCCCTTCCCTCAGCTGAAATACCCTCTCGACCAGTTCGCTGCTGAGAACGCGGCCGAAGAGCAACGTTGTCTAGATGAAACCGAACGCATCTTGGACGAGCAAAAGCAGGCAGTTGCCGCCGTGGTGATTGAGCCAATTCAATCCGAAGGTGGTGACAACCACGCCTCGCCTGCGTTCTTTCGGGGATTGAGGGAACTCACGAAGCGTAAGGGTGTCTTGATGATTGTCGACGAGGTCCAGACTGGTGTTGGAGCTACTGGGAAGTTCTGGGCGCACGAGCATTGGGATCTTCCCTCGCCGCCGGACATGGTGACTTTCTCGAAGAAAGCGCAAGCTGCGGGCTTCTATTTCGGCGATGCTGGGTTGAGGCCGGATAAGCCTTACCGTCAGTTTAACACATGGATGGGCGACCCTGTTCGAGCGCTTCTGTTCAAGTCTATCTACAGAGAAATCGAAAAGAATGACCTTGTTGACCATACTGCCAAGGTGGGAGGATACTTGTTTGGGGAGCTGGAGAAGCTGGCTGGTATATACCCGCAACACGTTCAGAACCTTCGAGGCAAGGATCGTGGAACCTTCATCGCTTGGGACGCTCCGAGACGGGACGAAGTCTTGTCGCTAGCGAAGACCGAGGGCGTAAACATGGGCGGTAGCGGCGATGCTGCAATTCGCTTGAGGCCTATGCTGGTCTTCCAAAAGCATCATGGTATGTTCGCCGTTATCCGACAAGCGCAAATCTTGATGATTGAGCTGACATTCGAAATAGCCGATATTTTCCTCGAGGTATTGGAGAGCGTGTTCAAGCGTCTATCATAGTGGAGAGTCAAGAGTTGGGATTGAAGTGAATTGCGTCAAGGGTTTGGATGCTGCGAGTTATCTGTAATCAAGAACAAAATAGACAGTTCTCGAAATGCAAAATTGTAACAGGTCTCTCGGCGTACGTGATGTCTATTGGCGTGAAGATGATATCGTGACTGTGTCGCCATGAAGTGGTGAATTGTGCAATTCCTGTCATTAGGCGATGGCAGCTATCCTTCCCCTGTGCAAGATTGGTAATCGGGATTGGTTAGCATCTTCCCTTACCCCTGTGTGGAAGGTGTTTGGAAGGCGAGCCCGAGCTGCTTGTTGACGCAATATATAGGTATTCATCTGCACATTCAAGAACTTGGGCAGAGTTTCTATACAAGAAGCGCTGACCTCACTCCTCATGCGTTTGAATCCGCAATTCATTCTCGCAAGCCAAGTTTTTAACCCGCTCTGTTGCCAGCAAGAGGACGACACAATGGCAAAGATCTTCTTGTAAGTTGCTCATCGCGAGAGTGACTCGCCGAAGCTCCGTGTTAGTGCTAATAGCGACGCCAGGACTGGAGCCACAGGCTACGTTGGCGGCAGTGTTCTGTCCCTACTCACCAAATCGCACCCAGAATATGCCATTAGAGCTCTGGTACGCGATAGCACCAAGAGCAGACTCATCACGGATGCCTTTAAGGATGTCAAAGTTGTCGAGGGAGATCTTGACAGCGCCGATATTTTGACTAAGGAAGTGACTTCCGCTGATGTTGTTATCCGTAAGTTCTTGCTAGCAAGATGGTGTGGTTGACCACATAACTGACTGAGATACTAGATTTGGCTTCGACCAGCCACCTGAAGAGCGTTGAGACCATTCATAAAGCACTTTCATCTAAAACAGGCCAGAAGCCATGTAAGTCGCCCACTCCACCTTCGAACTCTGTCCAATTCTAACCATCGTGTGATGCAGCACACTGGATTCAAATCTCCGGCGCCAGCGCCCTAGCCGCCGCAGAGCTCGCCGACAAGAACCGCGCCCCGGGCGACGGAAGCGACATTGTATTCAACGACCTCACCGGCATCGCAGATATCCGCTCCGTCATCCAGCGTCACCCCAGCCGCGCTGTCGACAACTACGTCCTCAAAGTCGCCGCCGACGAACCCAAGATCAACGCGGCGCTGGTGTTCCCGCCTATTATCTACGGCAAGGGCCTTGGCCCAGGTAATACCCGCAGCGTTCAGGTCCCTGCGCTGGCTAAGGCGACGCTGCAGCGCAAGCGCGGCGTCCAGGTCGGCAAGGGCCTGAGCCGCTGGGGCAACGTGCATGTCCAAGACGTGAGCCAACTCTTCGTTAAGCTGGTTGAGAAGGCCGTTGAGGGCAAGGGAGATGCTCAGGTTTGGAATGAGAACGGCTTGTACCTGACGGGTGTCGCAGAACTTGTAAGTTCATGTCATGTCTTGCGATTACTGATGTCTGCTAACGTTATTTTACAGCCCTTTGGTGAGATCTCTAAGCTTGTTGCTACCGCCGCGGCGAAGAAGGGACTCATTCCATCCGACGATGTGGAGGTACTCGGTCCGGAGGATGCGAACGCCGTTCTGGCTCACGGAACAGTACTTTTTGGAACAAATGCTCGCAGTGAGGCGGTACGAGGCAAGGAATTGCTCAGTTGGGCGCCGACCGGCGAGAGCTTGCAGGATGAGATCCCTAAAGCTGTCGACCGAGAAGTCGAGGCACTGCAAAGCAACCTTTGACCTGCCTAGACATACATACACAGTATTGAACATACTTAGTAAAACATCTGAAGCCATCCTCAATGTTCATCTCTTGAGATCACCCATGTTACACATCAATTGCGGCAAGCCTCTGCTTCCATTCTCATGATGATTGCAGACCCTGAAGCCAGCTGGACCATCCCTGAATGAGGGGCATTTCAGGGACAACAAACGCCGTCGTGGACCTTGTTATCTCACTGAGGCGGGGTATCTACCCCTCTCTCCAACTTCCATTAGCTCTCACAACATCTGCCCCTCATCATTCTTCATAGCGGGGTTAATTGCTCAGGAAGGTGTCCGCGACGGGAAGTTTTCAAGCCCTTCAACACATTCGGATCACGAAAAGTACACATCCCTTTCTGCGTAAGGCAAGTGAATCTCACTTGTTCAATGGAAATCAACCATCATCCATGAGAGTCAGGAATTCCCCAGCAAGATCTGTGTTCCATCTCTGGTCCCCGTTGCGGGGGAGGGGCAGCACTGCTCTGCTGTGACACCCTGGCAGGCCATGCCGATATTGAGAGCTGTTAGTGCGTCACGGCTCGTATCGAGGCCGAGTTCGCTCATTTGATTGATAAGAGCAGAGGTATGACAAGTATCAGCTCATGATACATCACTGCCAGGAAATCTGTCAATACAATTGAATCTTGTATCAAACTGTGCCTTCAATTCATTTTCAAACTTTTCTTGACACCTTCAATACACGCCAATCCCGTAAAGGACGCAAGCTACAAGAACGACATCATGAGCGATCTCGCTGTCAACCTCACGGCCCCCAACGGCCAGAAGTGGTCTCAGCCAACCGGTCTTTTCATCAACAATGAATATGTGGCTTCATCGACAGGGCAGACCATTCCCGCCATTGATCCAGCGTGAGGACAGCTTGGAAGTTAGATGAGCACTGACAGACATGCTGACGATTTCATATTCAGAACAGAAGAAGAGATCACATCAGTTCATGCCGCAAGCGCAGACGATGTCGATAAAGCTGTAAAGGCCGCTGCGGCAGCTCTGAAGAACCCGGCATGGAAGGAGCTGGCTGCTTCAGACAGAGGCATCCTCATGGCCCGCCTTGCGGATCTGATTGAGTCAAACAAGGAGCTGTTCGCGACGATTGATGCCTGGGATAACGGTAAGTCGCAACAGCTTTCTAGATTCTTTCCAATTCGCTTTCAGTGGCTAGTTTCTAATCACGTCATGTGTCGCAGGCAAGTCGTACACAGAAGCCCTGACGAACGACCTCGTTGAAGCTGTCGGCGTCATCCGGTACTACAGCGGCTGGTGCGATAAAATCTTCGGCCAAACCATCAGTCTCCCGAATAAGTTCGCCTATACTGTTCGACAGCCTGTTGGTGTCGTGGGCCAGATCATTCCTTGGAACTACCCGCTGTCAATGGCAACGTGAGTCTGCCACGCTCATGACAAGTCGTTTCCATCTCGATACTGACGCCTTAAAGCTGGAAGCTAGGTCCCGCGCTGGCGTGTGGCAACACCGTGGTGTTGAAAGCAGCTGAACAGACACCTTTGAGTATCCTCGTGCTCGGTCGTCTGGTAAAGGAGGCTGGATTTCCCCCGGGAGTAGTAAACTTCATCAACGGACTCGGGAAAGATGCCGGTGCTGCTTTGGTTCAGCATCCTCTTGTTGATAAGGTTGCTTTTACGGGGTCAACAGGCACGGCCACCAACATCATGAAGATGGCGTCGGCAACCTTGAAGAACATCACGCTGGAAACCGGCGGAAAGTCGCCCCTTCTCGTGTTCAACGACGCCGACATGGAGCAAGCCGTAAGGTGGTCCCATATGGGGATCATGTCCAACCAGGGACAAATCTGCACGGCGACCTCGCGCATCCTAGTTCAACAGGACATCTACGACACCTTCGTCGCCAAATTCGTCGAAGAAGTGCAGAAGACCAGCAAAGTCGGCCACCAGTGGGATGCCGAGACGTACCAGGGCCCGCAGGTCTCGAAACAGCAGTACGAGCGCATCCTCTCGTACATCCAGATCGGTCGCGACGAGGGCGCCACGATCAAGACCGGTGGCGAAAGACCGTCGCATCTGCCGAAGGGGTACTACGTCTCCCCGACCGTCTTCACGGACGTGAAGAGTGACATGAGGATCTGGCGCGAGGAGATCTTCGGCCCGGTGGTTGTGATTCAGAAGTTTACGGACGAGGCGGAGGCGATAGCTACTGCGAATGACAGCGTCTATGGTCTCGGCGCTGCCGTGTTCACGACGAACCTTGAGAAGGCGCATAGGATTGCCGCTGAGATCGAGTCGGGTATGGTCTGGGTGAACAGCAGCCAGGACTGCGATCCTAGGGTGCCCTTTGGTGGCGTGAAGCAGAGTGGTATTGGGCGGGAGCTTGGAGAGGCTGGTCTCGAGGCGTACTCACAGATCAAAGCGGTCCACGTCAACATGGGCAACAAATTGTAGAAGTAGTAGGGGGTTGTTCAAGTTCGTCGTAGAGCAATGAGACCACTGCTGCCCACCGCTTATTCTAACACATTCACATCTCAGACCCCTCGCGAATTCAAGTCGCTCTACCAATGATTGCTAATCCTGCAAATTCAAATGCCGAGGGCTTTCATGCCGTCTTCTTCTTACCCCATAGGTCTGCGAAAGGGTCCCAACTTGAGTCCTCAACCGGAGTGTACTCCATCCTATCCGCGACATTCTTACCAACGTCATTCCCGTACACGGCTCTGATCCATGCAAAAGTCACATCAATACCAGCGCTGATTCCGGAGGAAGTCCAGACATTTCCATCCTCGACCCAGCGCGCCTTGTGCACCCAGTTCACTTCCGGACGAAGCGCGATCGTCTGGTCCCACGACAGCTTATTCGTCGTGGCCCTCTTGCCGTCCAACACCCCAGCGCGCGCCGCCACGCCCGCGCCGGTACACACCGTGATGAGGTACTGCAGCTCGGGGAACCGCTCCTTCACAAAGTCGATGCTGGTTCGGATGCCGGCGTACCGTGTTCCCTGACCTCCGGGAACGATGAGCACGTCGAGAGGCGGGGCCGTCTGGAAGGTGTGCGTGGGTAAGATGGTCTGGCCGAAATCGGAGTTGGCCTGCGGCACCGCGGGGGCCGCGGCGGGGATGGCGCCGGGCTGCTGCTGAGCGCCGGGGACCTGCTTCGTCGAGACGGGATTCCGAGTCTCGGCGATGACGGACAGGTTCATCTCGTAGTTTCGCGACAGGAGGTTGAGCGCGTCCAGTGGACCGAAGACATCGAGGGCCTGGAAGGCCGGGAACACGACGATGCCGAAGTTGACCGGCTTTTCTGTAGAATGATGAGAACTTGACGTTGGGTGGACAGGCTTTCAGCAGCACTTACTGCCACCGACGCCATTGCTGGTCTGCGACATGATGCCTGGGCTTTGGCTGAAGCTCCTGACGCAAGACGATGGAGCTGAGGCCGCGATGGTGGGTCTTTTGGAGAGGATTGAGATGACGATGTTGCGACTTCTTATCATCATGCGTGGTACGCTTTTGAGAATTATCGGAGTTCCCCAAGACGGCAAGGTTCGAACTCTCCCTTCGAACTTGTGAGTCAGCCAGATTTAGTTTGAAGTCGATTGAGATGGTAAGACGGAGATTGCCTGCGAATGAGATTCAGCTCGGAGACCGATGAGACATTTACGTAAGGTGAGGGATTCCGAGAGAGTTTGCGGGGTGGTCGGCCTTAATTAATAAGGATCGGATTAGATTGCTTGGTCCTTACATCGCGTCATCGTGTGACGCAACCAATGGGAATTTGTGCCGAAAATTGACGATAGCTTCCGAGTAGAAGCACTGTCAGCGTCTTTTCAATCTTTGAACGTTTGATCTTATTGAAATTGCCTCAATTGCTATCTTCATTGCCCCATACCTTTCTCCCTCCAAACCATGTCTCTTTCACCGCAGCTTTCAACAAACGGCTTGCATCCCATTCCATGTCGACCACGATGAAGTCTGCCAATTTGCCTGCGGCCAAACTTCCAGTCCTGTCTTCTGAGAACACGCTACACGCAGCACCCCAGGTTGCAGCCACGACTGACTCACACAGTCCCAACTTGAAGTGCTCGTTGACCGTCTTGGTGTAAGAGGGGTCCCGCGACGAATGTCTGGTCGAGGCAACATAGAGGTTATGCATCGGCGCCCACGGCGATGTAGGGCTGTCACTGCCGATTGCCATGAGGGCGCCTGCGTCGGCAAATTCTCGATAGGCAAAAGCTCGTTTGCAGCGGCCCTCACCGAGCAGCCTCGGCCATTCCGTGAGTATTGAGGGATCGGCGTGCACTGGGTGGATGGAAGCCGTAAGTCCCAGCCTTCCGAGACGCTGGGCGTCTTCCGGGGACGCCAGCTCCAGATGCTCAATGCGATGCCGCCGACCTTTTGTGCCGTTCTTCTCGACAGCATCGATTGCCATGCGAATCGCAGCATCTCCGATGGCATGCAGGGCTACTTGGACGCCTCCGGCATCTGCCTCTTTCACCACAGCTTCCAAATGCTCCCGCTCCCAGATTGGCGGAGGCAGACCAGCAGGTGCATATGGTTGAGAAAGAAACGCCGTGCAGGCGTCTATGATACCATCGCAGATGACCTTCACACCGACTATGCGGAGATCCGGACTCGTGCTGCTGTTGTAGAGTTTGCTCAGCTCAATGGCACGTTGAACCTGCTTGGAGTTCGCGGTGAAGTCCGCTGTTGGCTTGATTAGCCAGTAAGCAGAAACTCGGATCGAAAGTTCTGGCTCGTTGTCCTTCAAAGTCACCAAAGAGTCCCATGCTTCTTCGTCCATGGCCATTTCGACGACACCGGTATATCCTGCTGCATTGTACTCCAAAATTGCGGCTTTGATGGCTTGGATACGTTCTTCTTTAGGGGCTGACGCAGCTTGAAATGGCCAGATGACGGACATCATCGCGCCTTCGTCCAAGACTCCCGTCGGCTTGCCATCGGCATCGCGATGGATGCTTCCACCAGGAGGATCTGCCATATCAGCAGCTCCCAGTTTGTCTAATGCTGCCGAGTTGCACCAACACGAGTGCTGGGAACTCGCGTCGATGAAAATAGGGCGGGCATCGATGTCGTCGAGTAACGCGGCGCTGACCCCATCCGGGGTCATGGTATGCATCCAATTCTTGCAGAGAATTGTTGGCACATCTGGGTTGGCTGCGGCGTAGGCTTTGATGGTCGATCGGATGTCGTCGATAGTTTTGCAGTGTACCAGGTCGAGTTTGCGGAGCGATTGACCTAGGAGAAGGAGGTGCATGTGTCCGTCGATAAACCCCGGCAGTACTGTGCGCTGATGAAGATCGCGAATCTGAAGGCCGGTCATGTCCTTCGGCAAGACTTCGTCGCGTGAGCCGATGGCTCTGACTTTTCCATCTTGAACCAGCATGCTGTCTGCGAAGGTAGGTTCGGCATGGAGTCCGGTCCCGGCTTTAGCCAAGATTCGGCCATTTGTGAAGAATGTGGCAGAACCCATGGTGGACTCTCTCAAGCGTGCTGTAAGTTGGTTAGCGCTCATGAGTTTACATTCTCACGAGACTGTTATCATTTCAATGGCTCACTTGGGCTTCTTTTCTTGTCCGTACAGTCTGAGGATCCGACCAAACTTTGAGAAATATCTCAAACATCAATGGCGAACTATGGCTTTTGTATCATTGTCTCATGATTTCTCATGAACGCTCTTATCGATGGCTCGGTCTTGTGTCATTGAATTTGGCGATTTCACAGTGCTTCGGCTCGACCTTACTTCCCAGGGACGAGGAGATCCACATTCTGGGATATAACTGCCTATGGAGGCAATTAATGGGGCAAACTCTCTTCGACTTTCCTTCCCAGTCTGCTTAGCTCGTTACCTAGACTAGATGAAGTTTTGGTCAAGGGTTTGGTGGTCCCCGAGGTCGGCTTTGGGTGAACGGATTGGATAAGTTATCGTTGAAATTTTACGATGTTGTCGAATTAAAAGTTGAAAAGTCTGAATAAACTTGACTTAATTGTTCCTGGGAAGAAGTTGGAATTGGATGAAAGCATGACAACACCCACACGACCCTTGCCCTGCCGTCATATGGTCGGGCAATGGGAAGATTTTGGCTTGTGGCGGCGAAGTGAACGTCACTGAAAAATGAAACTGATTGACTGATTGAATATCCATGTTTGGTGGTTTAACCCAGTTGAAATTGATTCGAGGACTCAGCCAAAGTCTTCGGTGTGAGGCGATGACACGATGATCGACCAGCCACGTGAGTGCTCTGGAAGGTGCGGGGTCATGGTCATGGAGATTCCACTAGCTAGCACTCACCAGCCGAACTCATCGAGACACAACCAACGAAGCAGATAACCTTTGTTGGAGCCATTAATCCCCGAGGTCACCATGTACCACTCACAGATCACGTTCACGTTTGACACAATATGTCCCTGGTAAGTCCGTCACGTACAGCACTCAACATACTCCGCACGTACATGTACTCATCGTGATTACCCAGGACGTACATTGCGAAGAAAAGGTATTGATCCACGAATTCTCAATGACATCCAGGCTTTATCCTTGGTTCTTTACCGTTGCTAAGCCATGTCCTCCGCGCAGATTGGGCAAGGCGCTCGACGAAATCGCTGCCTCTCCGGCTGGCAAGGACGTCTCCTTCACCCTGGTCTTCAAACCATACCAGCTCTACCCGGCATTTTCATCTGAACCTCAGGATAAACGTCACTGGTACGTGACAGAGAAACACGATGCCTCTGACGTCAAGCAATCGGTATATGAGGCGACCATGTCCGAGCTAGGTGCAGCCGTCGGGATCAACTTCTCCTGGGGCGGCACCATGTCGAACACCTTCAACGCACACCGCGTGATTCAACACTTTCAAGAGGCGAAAGGCGCCGAGACAGCGAATCGGCTTGTGGAAGCGCTGTACAGCCGCTACTTCGAGAAAGAGCAGGATCAAGGTGCAAAGGGTGTCCTGCTAGAGGCTTGCGTTGAGGCTGGAATCCCGGAGGCCGAAGCCAGGGAAGTTATTGAGGACGAGACGGAGGGTAAGATCGAAGTGAAAAACATGATACGCATGTCATCTATGGACGGCGTGGACGCAGTGCCCCACATCATGTTCGAAGGCCGGAGACGGGATCTCACACTTATCGGGGCCAAGGAAGTTGGGGAGTATGTAAAGACTTTGCAATCCATCATCAAAGAGAGCAAATAAGCAGCTTAGATGGTAACGGTGGCAATAGCTGGAATGAGTGACTGGTAATGGATGATTGTCAAACTGTCTCCTGAATGCCGTCTCCATTGTAGCCACGGTGCCTTCAACGCTCTTAGTATCTTTCCAGGATCCACTGCCGCTTCTCATCCTTGTTCAGTTTTTCGAGAACTTTCATCTCCTCTTCCTTCACAGTTGCATATCTCTCAATAAGTTCTTCTCCCAGGAGTTCGTTCATGACCTCGTCCCCGCGTAAATCCTTGAGAGCCTCGGGTAGATCAGCCGGTAGCATCTTCTCTACGCCCAGTTCCTTGCGGTCATTCTTCGTCAGGGATGCAGGATCAACCTCGCAATCTCCCCATACCAGCTTCTCACTCTTCATCACACCATATGCGCCAGCGCCTAGTATACCCGCGAGGGCAAGATAGGGGTTTGCAAGTCCGTCCATACACTTGATCTCCCAGTGGCTGTCTTCTATCTTGCGAAGCGGTGTCTCCCTGTTCTGTGTACCCCAAGTGACCCATCGTCCGCCGGCCCAGGCCCCGTCTTGCACGCGCTCGTAGCTGACGGGGTTGCTGTATGTGAGCGCGGCAATAGCGCGGAGGTGCTTCAGGATACCAGCATAGAATGGCGAGTACGTCTCCGGCTTGGAACCGTTGGGCGAGCTGATGGACATGTGCATGTGCGCGGCAGTTCCGCATGATGTCGGGAAGGGCTTGGGGTGAAGGGACATTCGATAGCCCTGTGATTGCGCGATGCTAGAGATCACTTCTCGAACGTATAGCAGTGTGTCGACGGCCTCTAGCGGTGGTGCCTGGGGGAGAACAACCTCAAACTGGCCAGCGGCGCTTTCGGGATGGATCTGCTCAATGTGAATACCACGCGAGTCTAACTCGGCGACCGCCCTTTCGATGACGTTGATGAAGACGGGGTGATCCATCATGCGGGAAGTAGACCATGCATGTCCGTCGTTGCTGAGTGTGCGGTACTTCTCGGGACTGCCGTCGACTCGTTCAAGGAGAAGGAGTTCGATCTCGAACCCGATGCTGAAGCTCAATCCTCGGCGGGCGGCATTTTCTACCACACGCTGAAGAAGAGATCGCGGGCAGAGGGACACGTGGGAACCGTCTTGCTCCCGGAAGTCGCCGAACACACTGATATGACCGTCCCGCGGGCCTTCTTGCAGGGAAGTGAAGTCTGGGTGAAGGCGGTACTCTCCAGTCCCGGATGCTCCAGGAACGACATGGTCGTTCTGCAATAAGCCTAGACTGGCCTTCGTGATGCTGAGCGAGAAGTCTCCGTCCTCGTTCATGACAGACAGGACCTTTCTCATGGGCACGGCGCGTACTCTTTGTGTAGCTGTCATGTCGTTCCAGTAGATGCGCAAGTACTGCGGGGACTTCTTCCCATCCAAGAAAGCTTCGAGGATGTCGAGATCGCTGCGGCCGGACAGTCTTCTAGGGTTCATAGAGTCTTCCTCTGGGCTGAAAGAGAGTTGCAGCCGGTAAACGCGGTTCGAGTTGTTGAAGAGAATGTCCTTGACGAGCTGAGTAGCTTCTCGCCAGGTCATATGACCTTTTCGAGCATACTCACAAAGCACCTAACTGTCATGAGCCGTGCAACAAGAAAGCATGAGAGGCGGGCCACTGACTTTTTCGAGGACTTCTCTAACTTGTAGCACTGCAAGAAGATAGGTCTCGGGGAACCAATGACCATCTGTGCTCCAGAGAACCTTCGACCATGGGCATAGTTCAAGGATTTGGCGGACGGCAGTTTCCTGGCCGTCTCGACTGAGGAACGGAAAAATCTCTCCAATGTCGGCATACACGTTTGCGTAGACACAGGCTAGATACCCTGCTTCTCTCATGTAAGGGTAGCTTGCGTGAAGCAGAACGATTGGAACGGTAGGATATTGTCGGATGAACTCCTGAAGATGAGCAGGAGATGCCGACGTCAGATTGATGTCGTTGTCGCCGAGGCCCGTGTGGAACTGGATCGGCTTTTTGTTGAGGCCTTCGGCATTCCGGATGAGGCATGCGAGCCGGTGAACCAGATACTCGTTGAGACCGGGATGATTGATTCGGGTGAATGCATTGTCAGTCCCTTGAGTGTGAGTTGAATAGATACCCTCAAAGGCCTTGCGTGCAAAGACAGCATCGGGCCGCCTTGGTATGGCGAGACCTGTGCGGTAGCAGATGACGGACTTGAAGCCAACAACCTCAGGATCAGCAATGGCCTCGTTGATGCTGCTGTCGAATGCTTTCAATGCTTTGTCAAAGACAGCATCGGCATCTTCAGCGGTTCGTACGGTAGACGCATCAGTCGGAAGGTGCTCGTTGAAGATATCGGCCGCAATCTTTTCGATACGTACGATTCTCTTAGCTGGACTGCGGGTGAGACTACTGAAGTATGAGTAAGGGTAGACTTCGGCCTCTCCATCCAAACCGTCATCCACAAGAACAGCTTCAATCCCGCTGAGACATTCCTCAACCCATGCATCGTAGTCCTCGATTCGCTTAGCTTCAATTGCGTTGACCACAGCCTCCCAGCTGGGCTCACACCGGAGCACCTTCGCCAGCTGTTTGACGGCGCGCAAGTGAGCCAGACTGGTCAATGAAGCATGGATGGCGTCTCCATGAGCTTCGGTAGTGATGGACAAAAGGGGATACCGGCCAATGGCCTCCAGATCCAAAAGGGGATGAGCATGGTTGTCGATGATGGGTGTCGTCTTGATGGTGTGGCTAAGGAGAGCCTGACCAGTCAGCTTTGCGGGATCCATCTTCGCGGAGAAAGACCACCAGACTAGATGTCAGCGGAAAGGAGTCGTAGAGTTTTGCTGACAGCCTTTCAACCGCGCAGATAGATGGACAGGGCTCCCCTTAGCGAATTGGACCGGCAGGAGGATGGAATTGGTGATTGTTGCTGTGAAGATGCATCTCCTCTGGAAGGGAGGGGAGGAGGGGTAATGTGATATGGCAGCGAAATGACGTGAGACCATCTTATCGGCACCCTGCATTGCTGATAGTCACCACAATGTCTTACCTCGGCGTCATCCGTGACACCCCTTTGGATGACTTTCGCGGGGAGAAGCATGCTCCAAATGCTGCTCCCGGGAGACTTGACGGCCAAGACACGGCATCGTTCATCGGTTCAATTAACTTTGATACCCCGCAGCTATCGGGACATCAGGCACTTTGGCGCTTTCTGGCTTCACGGCGTCCATTCCGGTCTCGTTCGCAGTTGCATAGACGATAACTTCCAGTAGGTCTGTGAGGTCGATTTGAATGTTGTGCAGTTCCCTCCAATCGATTTTTGACAGATGGAGTATGATGATGTGTGTGGTGAGGGATTGATCCATGTCTAGGAGTATTTATGCGTGACTGATTTATTAGGAGACGCGGATTTTCAGGGGCACAAGGTCAGTCCACTCGGCCGGTACTTCGGCGCCGACGCCCCACACCTTGGGAGCCATTCCATTCCGATCATGTTGATGATTTGCACTTGTCATGGTTCCGACCCAGGCGGGGCTGTTCCGAGCAGAGAGTCCTAGCGTGAATGAATCGAACGACCAGCGGACCTTTCTGTAAATTAAGTCTCGGGAAATCCCTGGTTTGTTTGAGTAAAAGCTATTGGGTTTAATTGGGGAGGAGCGCTGTCTCAATCATATAGACAGCATCTAGCGGACGTAAGTCCTCCGCATAGGCTCGAGGAATTAATCGTGTGGCATGTTGAGCCATTAAGGATATGGCATGTCCAGTACGCTGAGATGTGTTCTTGCTATTGGTAGGAAGATGAGCTCTAAAGCCTGAGTGATGTGTATTGGGTCCAAAATCAGATTCACGAAGGCAGGGGTTTACTGCAATATTTGGAATGAATAAGGTGACCAAAAGCAGCTGCTAGATAGAGCACTCCTATAGCCTAATGTCGTTATTTCATAGGTACTGTAGGTATGTGGTGAAAGCGAAAACGCTCTAGTAGTGAGCTGCGAGTAGTATCGCCTGGAGGCGTCCTAGTGTACATTTTCCGTTTGTCGCCATCCGCTCGCTGCTCAATGAATGAGTGCTCAATACATTTTCAAGATATGTGAATGAGTTCTGGAACTGCTCTGTAGCTCATGTTTTTGTGTTTACCAAGCTGAGTCTGTGTCGGTGATGCGGGCTTTGCAGCGTTCGGCATAGAGAACAACCCCGTCAAACACCCTCTTCTTCAATAGCTACCCCGAAGTGCGGTCAGCATGACACGCCATAATACCTCAAGACCTCAATCTCGCCGACACGAATCTCTCCTGAGTTTGCGCCATTTATTGAGTACGAGTGATCTGTTGTCATCGAATTTGACCACCGGCGGCTGGATTCCCCATTACGAATTCCGACAGCAGACCTGGATGTGCCCAGCCTCCTGAGCTAATTTGCGAAGGTGTCGAATCTGCAATTCCCTGAAATTTCGCGCCAATCTCATCGGCTAGTGCTACGAAGGGAGTAGACAGTAGACATCATGGTTGTCCAGGGGGATGGGCCAAAACCTGCATCTAGCTGAGCGGTTGTGCTTGTGGTTCTTGTCGACGAATCTACCACCAGTCACGGATATATATAACGCACGAATAACTACTCATCTACCTAGCTACATCAATAAATTTTCGCGAATTCTAGATTTCTTTGGGGATATGGCGTGGAAAACTCGTTTTCGCATGGCTCGTTCTCACGATCTAAACACCGAAAAGCCCCTAAGTCTGTTGTGCTCCATAGCGTTCCGAACAACAGGACGCACGTACACAGAAGAACTTTCCCAAGTCTAGCACAGTTTTCAATCTGCAACATATGAATGCTTACTGCCACACTTAGTCGTCGATCCCATCGGAAAACGATAAAACCTATGACAAAAGACTACCAACAGCTTCACCCCTTTGCACTGCTGGTCGTATCTCAGACACCAATCGCTGATTTCACGTCTACTCAAAGCCCGGGGAAAGGACCAGAGCAGGGTTCAAGCCTTTACCAAGATCCAGCCCAACTTGGTCCCGGGGCTTATTGGATCGGATCCGGAGAAGGCGGAGAAGACTGACCTAGTCGTATCGGGTATTCTAACCGCTTAGCAAGGTTCGCTGCATGGCCTTTAGCTCCATGGAGTAGTTGCTGCCCCCTTTAATCTAATCTCTCCTCCTGACCGGGTTGTCAAGGTGGGCACTTTTCCATCATGTCCCGAAAAAGTTGGCGTGCCGTTTGAATTTTCGCCCTAGGGCGGAATGGCGGAGTCGATGCCGCTTTCTGGAGGTTGTTAGGCGGGTTTTGCGGCTGAGGGCCCGAGGAGGAAACTTCTCAAAAGGACCAGGAGGAAAAGTAAACTAGGTTAGTCGAGCCAAATAAGTCTGACACCCCGTACCCGGCATACCGGCCGTACTCACCGTACTCTCCATATTGGGACGACAATGTAACAAACAAAACAACCACCACGCTCTTCTGGGGTTACTCGTTCATTTACATGAGATGTAGAATCCACCTATCATCTAGATTTAGATTAGGAATACGGAGAGCGGAGGCCCCTTGGTGGCCTTCCACTAGACGGTAGTAGACTTTATAGTAAGATTAAAAACCAGTCGTACACTTACAGACTCGCTGTAGTTGTCAATCACGCCATTCTTATTCTCTCGTTTCTAGTTCCGACTTTCACTCGTTCATTATGTATCCCTCTACCGTTCTCGCTGCCGTTCTGGCACTTTCTCCCTCCTTGGCCGCCGCGCAGGTCGTCGGCAAGGCCTATGGATTCGCGACCGGCGTGACTGGTGGCGGTTCTGCAAAGGCTGCCGCGCCCTCTGATATTGCGCAGTAAGTGACCAGAGACCGGACTTGAAGTAATCTAGACCCTGCAGGCTTCTAACACGTTGTGTAAAGGCTCAAGACCTGGCTCTCCGACAGCACTGCGCGCGTCATCCTGATCGACAAGACTTTCAACTTCAAGGGTACCGAGGGAACCGTTTCCGAGAAGGGTTGCCGCGCCAAGTCTGGATGCAACGCCAGCAACGGTGGACAGGACACCATCGGCAAGGCATCCTGCGATGCGAACGAGAACGTCGTCGACGTCAAGTACGATAAGGCTGCGAAGACGCAGTTGACCGTCGGCAGCAACAAGTCCATCGTCGGTGTCGGCAGCAAGGGTGTCATTCAGGGCAAGGGCCTCAAGATCCCCGAGGGCACCAAGAACGTCATCATCCAGAACGTGAGTTCAAACACTACTTCTTCAGGTTGCCTTACATGTATTGAAACATCACTAGATCCACATCACGGACCTGAACCCCCAGTACGTTTGGGGTGGAGATGGCATGAGCATCGAGGGTGTTGACGGTCTCTGGATTGATCACTGCAAGGTATGGTTGAAAAGAGAGCAAGGCATAACCAATGAGTATGAAGACTGACACGTTGCTCCAACAGTTCAGCAAGGCTGGCCGCATGTTCATTGTTTCCCAGTAAGTCCACATTCGTCTGGCTAAATATGATGTGACCTTTGAGCTAACCACTTGGCCACAGCTTCAACCCTAGTCGCTTCACCATCTCCAACACCGAGTTCGACGGCGTCACCTCCTACTCCAACTCCTGCAACAAGAACCAATACTGGGGAACTATGTTCGTTGCCGATGGAGACAAGTTTACCCTCGACCGCAACTGGTACCACGACATGTCTGGCCGCGCTCCCAAGATCAGCGGTTCCGGCACCACCGCTCAGGCCGTCAACAACTACTTCTCCAACAACCTCGGCCACGACTTCGACATCACCTCCGGCACCAACGTTCTCCTGGAGGGCAACGTCTTCGAGAAGGTCAACACCCCGATCACGGCCGACTCGAGCAAGAGCGGCGCTCAGATCTTCAATGTCCCCGACTCCGGATCCATCTCCACCTGCAGCTCCTCGCTCGGCCGCAACTGCGTCGCCAACTCGCTCTCTGGCAGCGGTGCCTGGCCTAGCCTCAAGAGCACCACGGCGCTCAGCACCCTGGGCAAGAGCAAGGCCAACCTGGTTGCCCCTATCCAGGCTAGCAACGTCAAGTCGACCGTTTCTAGTAAGGCTGGTATTGGTAAGATCTAAGAGCCGAGGTAGTCATCGTTGGGTTTTAGCCCAGGTTTCAAGCGCACCGTCAACCAATATTCTTTTCTCATATATATTCGTTGTATACGTATATAGCTTCCAGCCGTTTGGCAGTTCATACTATTTCACTGAAACGACCAAGCGGCCTTTTTATCTTTGTGACTTTTCCTGTCTGTAGCATATGAGCCTCACTAAGATCGAAGATTCCGATTGGAAACGTACATAGGCATGGCGACAAAAGGCTTGCACTAGAAACACGCCGCGACAGCCTCACACCGATGACACATCATGCATTCATGTTGTATTCAGCCAAAGCATAGGTACATTTTATTCATGGTTGAAAGCCCCTTGGGGTAGTAGATTATGCAATGTACCTCTAAATACTTAAAAGCCTCTAGCGACCAGCAGGTGTCGCAATTTGCGCCGCTGAACAAGAATCACATCGCCAATGGTGGCAGTATGGACACCGAGCATCAGTTGCAATGTTGAGTGGCCCGGTGTTACAGTTTGACTGTGGCATAATAATGAGCTGTCGGTTCAGGTAGAGTAGAAGGGCAGCACGTACACAATACCAGATCCACATGTATGTCATTGTAGGTTTACCTTCTCGATTTCTTCTCAATCCAGCAGGTTCAGGACCCCCTTCGGAGATAGAACTTGCTGCCTTAGCTGTCGGTAATGTCGGACCATCAACTGCACCTGGCTTTGCGACGTTGTCGGACCACACATCAACGGGATTTCCGCCTTATAGTGGTGAAATAAGCGTTATTATTAAGAAATATGAAGCAAACCTTGAGATAGTTTCTAACTTACCTTTTTGATCTAAGTTGTCTTCGTTTTGGCCTTTTGAAGAACTTGCGCAGTCTGTCTGTTCGGTCCCGAAAGTGAGAAGATTTGAGTCTAAAGGGTGCCATATCCCCGGAAAGAAGTGTTTCATATCGCTGAGAAGGTCTTCTGCCGACATGAACAGTGCCAGAGGCTCTCCAGGATAGATGGCTATAACCATACCACAGAACAAAGCGTCCCGGCAAAGCCACGTTCCTGAGGTTCCAGCGGCTACCCATAAGACCTGTCAGTGAACATGATCCATCGTGTTACGAACAATGAAGAGGCTACGCACCTAGCGGGGCTTTCATCTGTATCTTTCTGACACGCAATGGCCCCCGCATCGATGGCATGGCCCCAATTTCTGGCAACAGGAATGCTTCCACCACATTGTCGAGACTTAGGACCAAAGAAATTGGGCCAGAGTCTAACCTTTCATTGGTAATGAAAGATCTAATCTCGGTTTCGGGGGACGAAGAGATGATGTTTCTCCCGCTTTCCAAAACGTCTGATCTCAGTAGCGTGTAATCGCCTCGCTGGCCATCGTCGTCTTGGGCCTCGTCGGACGAGAAACGATCTCCCATGAAGTTGATGCCAACAACTTCTCCCAAACGAGCCCATTCATGCACTTCCAAAGGTTCCCTACTGCCTAGTAGTTGGATCGCATTGCTTTTCGAACTAACGTCGTCCTCACTGTCTTCGGAGTTGAGTTCTGAGTCTGAGTCTGAGGAAGAGTCGTTGTCACAACCATTCGGCGATATTTGCAGTTGATCTCGGCCGCTTGGGACGTTGGCCTGTGAAAGAAGTAAATCGAATAGGCCATGAGCGGTCGTCAAAGCGAGAGGTGAGATTTTGAAATTGCAACCGAAGAATGTTTCGGTTAAGACACCCCCAATGCGCGAAACGTGCTGGTTCACCACTTCTTCGCCTCTCAGGAAGGTTGTGCAACATAAGAGGCCACACACTGAGCTGCACACCTTGTCCGAAGACACCTCGATATGATGGAGAATGGTTCCCCCCTTGTGGCCAAGCCCTGACTTGAGCTCAATATCCTGCTGAAGTTGTGACCGTGGAATAAGCGACCGAGACGTGTTGAAAGTAGGACCTCCTTCATGAACCTCTATAGATTGACTGAAGAGGTTTTTGGGCAACTGCAGATCTTGTGTTGCCTTCCGAATCTTCTTGCAACACCATTTGCTTCCGCATAAGATCCACACGCAAGGGGAAATAGTGACATCGTCTGGGGATAGCTTTCCCCGGCGACCGGACATGCGGAGTTCGAGGTTGTACCTTCTCCTTCCGGGATTGCGTTTCTTGAAGTGTGTCTCCTGTGCCTGTTCTGCAACCATGTCTTGTTCTACATCTCGTAGCCTTTCCAAGAGCCTTTCTTTGGTGAGATTCCATCTGAGCCTATGAAGAAGCGGAAGTGGGAATTTGGTCTCCAGTCCAACCCAGACTGGGGCTTTTGGGAATTTGTAAATGTCATTGCTTCCCAACTTGACCAAAATTTCGTGATTGGCTTTAGGGGGACATGTTTGGGTCTGTGTTTGCGATGCCTGACCCGTGGTGAGGAAGGAATACGCAGAGCTAAACATGATGCGTGATGAAAAAAGAGTTGAGGAAGGGAAGAATACCAGCGAAGGGCGGAGGCCTCTTTGGCTCACTCATGCAGGGCGATGTAATACGAGGCGGAGTAGAACCAATGAAACCCGGCGATTCCAAAAATTCTTCTAATTCGTGGTATTTCGATCCCGTGATGCGCGCCACAATGCAGCCTGATCCGAGGACAGCCAGGCCTGATTTCCCACTCAATTTCCGCGAGTTCCCGATCAGTCTCTCATTCTGGAGGGTTTCCTCGTCATTCCAACACCCAAACCACTATCATTAGCGTGTGAGACGACTAGGTGAAACGGCCAGAATATCATACAGGCCTCAATTTAGAGAATGAATCACGTTGTCGCGCATCATTCCCGGCGCAAGCGACAGCTAAACGACGCTGATCTCTGCCAGCTATTCTGGCCGAGTATGTCAGTTGAGGTTTATGATGAAGACTTTTACTTCATGCTGGCATCACACGTCAGATATGAATTGTCACGCAGCAAAAAAGCGCTGGATACGACCCATTATACTTTAGGGCAGAGCCACCCAGTTGCTGGCCTGCTGGCCTCTGTCCGATCAAAAGCTGGCCAACCAATGTCTGACGTCGCCCATAGTCTTTCATTGGAACTCACAGGAGACCAAAAGCAAGATGATAGTGCCTTTGAGGTACTTCGATTTGCGGGTTCGATGGTTTCGATGACTCAAATACGAACAACGCCGGCGTCTAGACCAGGAGACGAGAATATGCCATTCTGGGATAGAGACGCGTCACTCAAGGAAACCCTGATGTCGAGATTTCCAACGGAACAGAGCCAAACGCTCGCGACCGGCATCATCCCCCCAGAGCTTACAATAAACCACATCGCTGTTAATTATAAGTATGGTATCAACTGGACGAGTTGCCTACAACAACATCTCGAAATTGACCGCAAGCGGAAGGTTATATCCGTCTTCCAGCACAAGATATGGTTGTCAGCTCATGTAGAGTCGGGAGACGACAGCTTCTTACCGCCATCAGTTCTGGCAGAAGCATTGGACACATTGAACTTCCTGTTTCCATACAATGACGAGCAGACGAAAGCTTTCCTCGAAAGGCACGGGCAGAGGTTCAACGATCTGCTTCTTGGCGGGAGAGGCCGCAAGTCCGACTTGAACAACTATCATCACTGGCGCAGACAAATCGAGGATCTCATTGCTATCTTGGATGGGCCGCCCGTAGGGTTTCGGCAATTTCTCCCCAGATCAGATCGACCTAATCTGCTGGAGTCGGCAAACTTCTGGATCGCAGCATTTGTCGCTATTCTTGCTGTGATTAGCTTTATCTTCGGGCTTATTGCTGTTGTCTACGCCAAAGAGTCATTGGAGGTCTCAAAAGAGTCCCTTGAGTTGACTAGGCTTCAGTATCTTCTGTCGATTGCTCAGGCATGCTCGAATCCTGATGAAGCAAGTTTGCTGCCGGAATTCTGCAATAGCGCTTGAGTCCTCAGCTACACAGTATGACATTCTCTTTGGCCAGATTGCCAGGATGGCTAGGGACGATGGTTGTCGGAAGTGCGTGTCAAGACGGGTCCACTTAGACGTTGAGGTGTTGGAAAGAGCTGGTAATGTGGTAGTGGCTGGGTCGCGAACCAGATTGCGTTGTCATGTAACAGAGCTTTCAAACAGTCATGTAATAAGTAATCAGAGCTGTCGTGTGATTCATTCTCTGGAAATACAAACATCTTGTTTTCTGTTCGAAGCCCCTTTCCTCATCCTCCTATGGAAAGATTACAAGCAGTTTGTGACGGACTCCGCTTGACCCTATTCATAAGAATCTCGAGAAATATTCATGAGTTAATGGCGTGAGACTACTACTGCCTGAATGGAAAAGAAAAAGTTTGGGCTTGGGCTAGGTCCAGTGCTTCCGAAAGATCGGATGTCTTTCTTCCCGGGACCCGACCTGCCTCCTTCTTTCGCTGTGTTGCCAGCCACCGAGAAGCAGCTGCGACGGCTAACACGATGTCAATGAAGTTTACTGCGTCCAACAACGCCTCCCACTTGAACCCGACAGCATGTCGGGCAGGTTCCGTCTCTTGAAACAGCGTCTCCGTTTGGTACCGGGTGTATTCCTCAGTTGCGCTGTCTTGCTGCTGTGTCCAACGCTCATGGCCTCGCGTTGTCAGAACGCGATTAAGCGGATGCTGGTCGCAATCCCTCGTCGCACTGCCATCACTGGCAGAATGGTTCTTCGCCTCGGGTAAAGCTCGATATGGTTGGTGTGGGTAGGCGTAAATGTGTAAGATCGAAACAGCCATCATCTCAAAACAAAGAATCGTGGTCGGAATCCCGACAGCCCATGAAGGATGAGATATTTTAGCAGACGGTTTAATCGGTCCACCCTCTTTCGTTAGAAGATTGAAGATGAACTGTCAGAGTTGTTAATAACAAAAGCCCTCCAGCAAGTTCTCTCCCAGAAAGATCATGTCAATTAACTCACCCCTTGTACGTAAAATAGAAAAACCACTAATTTGATGGCAAGAAACTTTAGCAAAGGTTGGTTCGCCTCTAACTCCTTTTTCGTTTGCGAGTAGAATTGGAGCAAGCACATCATGGCAGTAACCAGCGACAGGATCTCTATGACCATGACCTATGACCACAATGAGCATACAGGTATCGTGATACTTTGCAAAGGCTTAGGTCGACTTACCCATATCTTCGCATGATTTGTGCTGTTTGACTCTTTGCAGTAAACATCAGCAGCTTCTGTTATGCATTTGACCAGGGCGCCGAGGAACTTGACGATGCAAAATTGGAAGACACAAAACCACATGGTCTTGGCGGATTCATCCATTAGCTATGCCTTCCTATGGGTAACTCCCAAGACTTACGTTGAACCACTTCAGACCGTCCACGCTTCTGTCTTTCCTGCGCCCGACGTGCACCACTAGGAAGCGTATCGGATGTATCCAGGGCTTCGGCTCTACCAGAGAGAATGCCCGTCGAAGCGTGATAGCATCGGGGTGTAATAGCTGACATAGTAGCAAGAAGAAAGCGGCAATGACTAGGGACTCGTAAAACTCGTAGATGCTACCGAGATAAACGTGCTGTTTGTAGAACTCGATGCTGAGGGTGCAGCAGATGGTGTAAATCGGAACCATCAGCAGGATTCGAATTATTCTGGATAACCCATCGTCAAACTGTAAGACCCAAGACGGCGTTCGTGAAGACTCACTGCTTCTGCTCGCTTGGCTTTGTGTAGTGCCTCGCGTGCTGGAAAACTTGCCATGCGGTTAAGCAGCAGGCTACGATTGTTGCGGAAGCTGAGAGAGATAGCAGAAGCCCATGAACCCGAATACCGCCTGTGAGTCTTTGCTCTACGACTAAGTGGGAGATCCCGTCAGCGGCATGACTCCAAGTAGCTGTACTGCAAGTCTGTTAGGGGCTGGAACTTACTGGGTACATCCAACGGATGGTCTTCGCACTTCGCCATCGTAAACCGACCGCCAGCGGGACTCGCTCCTCAATTCAAGATGTTCTCTTGTTGTTGTGAGCTTCTCCAAATCAAGAAGGTCTTGTTGTAATCGTTGATTGAAGGTGCCGTAAGCTCTGCTGATAGTTGAGCAGATGTTGGGAAAGATTTCGAGTAGGGGACGTAGTTTTTCACGACGCTTCCAAACTTACCTGACATTTTGTGTACGGCATCAATACATACGACGGGACGGCTTCTTCCCGGGCTCCGAATTTCGACAGCACGGTTGATGGGGCTGTGTTCGTCGATCAATATCCTCTGTTGAGTTCCCGGGGATTGTGTACAGCCATTAGACGCTTCACCGTGAAAGCGGGCAGTTCCATATTCTCCACTGGGCTGAGCTTGAAAGCCACAGACTCAATAACATTGAATAGAGAGTTTCGTTAATCTGGCGGTGCGATTTGCCGTCGTATATCTCATACGAACCCGACAAGTGCAGATGCTTTGCCCCGCTGGGGATGCGCGGCCTGAAAAGTCAAATCTACCTTTTGTTGCACCATAATCCTCGTCGCCTAGACCAATTGAGTGCGTCAGCGTTATTCGGAACCCCGATCTTGCAATAAGTCAGAATCCGACGGATGGAGTTGAAAATCCGAGGTTCAGGACTGAAAACCCGATGTTACGAGGTTGAAAATCCGACTACTTGAAAACGAAAACCCGATGTCTCATTTGCGACAACCCAATGCTTTGATCAGCCGAACTCCGTCGGAATTCACTTCTGTATGAACAAACCGATTGAACATGAGAGACAGGGGCTTATTTCATCAACGCTGGTCTGCCCAGAGCAACCCGCTGCACACAGCTGGGGACGACGGTATGGTTAAGTCTTGTTAAAGTCTAGACTCTAATTACGCGATCTCAGGGCATCTACGGTCTGCGCCGAGTGAAGATAGAAAACACAATATTGTGAAGACCATTGAATAATCCAATATTCAGTACCTGTCATCTGAGCGTAAGCTTTGGTTATCGAGGGAAATGGTGGCGGAAATCCCGATGGCTACCTAGTAGCAGACAGCCTACAGAGGAAACAGCGAGTGGCCCATCACCAGCATAGCCGCGCTGCGTCTGTCGCTACCCAGCGGAAGGGATCTTCCTTTTTATGTTGTCCGAAGTCCGCCTCTTGGTTATACACTGGCATAGTACCCCGGAATGAAGACTCCCGTGGAGATGAAGCTCACTGCTGTTATGCTCGTTAATTAGATCACATCAATGGCTTCCCGACGTTTGAGACGTGGACGTATTTAAATAAGGTCTCGTGCATAGTTGAAAATGGCGTCTTCCCATCATCACTTTCTGTATCTTGTTCAACACAAAACACGTACATTGATGCCAAAATCCAACATGGCATCCTCATTGCCGATAGCCCATCCGAACTCATGGGCGGATACTATGCTTCCCTCAGGGCTTGAGATGCGGCCGCATGGCTATATTATCACAGCCCTCCTCGTCGTCGTGTCTGTTGCTCTCAGACTCAACAGGAAAGACGACATACCCTTTATCAACCCTCCGAAATGGTTCCGCCCCCGACCTCTGGCACGAATGGACTTTCTCCGAACGGGGATGAAAGTCATTGACAAGGCAAGGTCCAGAAACTCTGAGACGCCCTTCAGAGTGTTGTCAGAGAATGGTGACCTCACGGTTCTACCTCCCCGTTTCGCTCACAGCATTCGCAACGAAGACAACCTAAGCTTTGGCGAGTTTATCAAAGCGGTAAGCAGACAATGATAACTACCTATTGATTTACTTTACAGTAAGCTCTCATACGCCATTCCACTGGAAACTGATTAGACTGCCTTAGGACTTCCACTACCGAATCCCTGGCTTCGAACCTTTTGGCTTCGTGGACCACGACTCGCAGATTTTACAAAGCGTTGCAAGGAAACAGCTGACGAAATACTTCAGTGAGTACAAGTACACCACAAACTCAAAATTGTCAGAGCTAACTTTTGGAACTCTAGACACCGTGACTAAACCGCTCTCGTTGGAAACTGAGTTCGCCGCGCGCCGCATATTCGGGGAGTCTGCTGGTATGGACTCACAGCTCCCGCTATGATCCTCATGCTTTTCATCTCATACTCACTCTCATCTAGACTGGCAGGAAGTCCCTGCGAAAGACGCCATCCTTGACCTCGTTGCCCGCCTCTCCTCCCGTGTATTCTTGGGCGAGGAATTGTGCCGCAACGAGGAGTGGCTGCGTGTCACCAAGGACTACACGGTCGTCTCCTTCATGGCTGCTATGAAGCTGACATTCGTCCCTCACTCCCTGAGGCCCCTTTTGCACTGGTTTCTGCCCGGCTGCAAGCTTGTTCGCCAACACCTGGCCAAAGCCCGGACACTCATCAGCGCCGTAATCGAAAGCCGGCGTCTGTTGAAAAAGAGAGCTGTGGAAGAAGGCGTCGATATTCCCGACTACAACGACGCCATTGAATGGGCTGAACTCGAATGCAAAGGGCAGTATTACGATGCGGCTGTGTTCCAGTTGACACTCTCCTTCGCCGCCATCCACACCACGACGGACCTGCTGGCCCAGACCATGTTGTTTCTCGCGAACGAGCCGGACCTCATCGAGCCCCTCCGCGAGGAGATTATCCAGGTTCTGAAGGCTGAAGGGTGGAAGAAAAGCGCACTATACAACATGAAACTCATGGACAGCGCTTTCAAAGAGACGCAACGCATGAAGCCGAACTCAATGTGTAAGTCACCGCATGTTGTTCCTAAGGGGTGAATATTCTGTTATTAATAGTCCTCAGTTCAAATGCGCCGCATCGCCACCAAGGATATCAAACTTGAAGATGGCATCACGATCCGACACGGAGAGCGAGTCGTCGTCGATGCATCTGCAATGAAAGACCCCAAGATCCACCAAGACGTGGACAAGTACGACATCTACCGCTTCAAACGCATGCGCGAAGAGCCGGGCAACGTGCATAAGGCGCAGCTGGTGACGACGAGCCCCGACCACCTCGCCTTCGGCCACGGCCAGCACGCTTGTCCTGGCAGATTCTTTGCTTCTAATGAGGTCAAGGTTGCGCTCTGCCATCTGCTCTTGAAGTATGACTGGAAGCTTGCGCCTGGAAACACGGCGGACCCCTTTGTGGCAGGAGTCGGGAGACAGATCAACCCGAAGACCGTCATCATGTTCAAGAGGCGGGAGGAGGAGCTCGATATTGACTCTCTGGACTTTGCGACTGAGACTGCCGAAGGTGGTGTTGCTTGAATTTCTGCGTATTTGACATATCTACTTCTCTCAGCTGTCTGTTTGATCAGTCAATAGTATGGTTTATGTGAAATTCTTTTGAGATATTCTAGCCTTTAGGCAATAGTAAGGTCACTTTTGTAAGCCCTTCTCTACTGTGCAGCTGAGAGCTGAGAACCTCCGTCATTTCGAGCAATCCTACATAGATGCAAGCCCAGATGCCAACCACGACATCCCAAGAAACCCACTCCGCTTCAGTTTTCAACAGCTATGCGATCAAATTTCATCACTAAGCCACCCCCAGGCAGTCGTAGAAATCTGAGGTAGGCTAGTGTCACTTGCCAAGGCGCTGACGATCCGCCGACGGTCCTGTTCTCTACGACAAGATCCCCCTGAATGGATAGTGCCCGCAACTTGACCGTGCCCAACGCCACATATCCTAGGCTACCACATGATCATAAGAGAACACAAGAAGTGTGAGACTGAACGATTATGTAATTGAGTCCTATGTTGACCTGTTGTGATCGTTGACTGAGTCTGGGCAAGCGCTTCGTCTGTGCGAAAAGCGCCACCATTTCAGGGGTTGTTACCTTGCACGCGTCTCATACTACCGTGAACAAAAGCCTTCATTGCGTATCATGGCCTCATTCCTTCTCTGTAGATCCAAATTGGATTCTGCGTGGAGTACTAGTTCCATGCAGCCTCCGTTTCCATGTCAGCGCACGACCGCTCGTCCCAAGCCGCGTGCTTGACGGCCGAAGGTTGTTGACTGTCTACTGCTGGTTCCCGAAAACTTCTGGTGCATCTCATTTTCATCTTTCCTTTTCATTTTCGTTCTATTTTGAGGACACATTGAATATTTGTAGTTTCCCACGATCAAAATTCTTCGTCGATAAGCTGGCCCGGAGCTCCTTGCACCGGCATATCACGATGTTCACCAGAATAGGCCTCGTCCCTCTCCTAGGCCTTCTCCTACCAGCTTTGGCCATCAGATTGGGTGACTCCAAGATTTCATCACCTGCGAAAACACTTCCGCATTTCGAAGACGAGTTTGGAGCATGGTCTGCAGCACCTACACCGCCTCCCAACCCCCGATTCGCGGCTATAGCTCTGAAGAGACAAGTAGGCGGCCCAACATGCGGTTATTATCAGTACAGTAAGCAAATCTACATCTCCCAACACTTCATACTCGATATATTGACATGAGAATCATCAGATAGCGAGGCCTTTGACTGTTATACCAACCAGTGCGCGACTAGCGGCACCCACTTCGGCTGTGCTTCCAGCTCTGCGGCGCCGTACACAGCCTGTCTTGAACGTACAAACACCATCTGTTCCAAAAGCATCGCGGGTGCGGGGACGCTCTGCTGGTGAGTCTCATTCTTGCGCGTAACCGGGTGGGATATGCCACTGACGGCATTCTACTGCAGCAACTACGCCACCGACTTCCCGTTCTGCGTCACGGCTTTGAAACCGATAACGAAAGGCACCGTAACCACCATCACTGGAGTTCGTTGCGGAAACAGTAGAGCCAGAGGCACTAAGATTCTTCTCGAGTTGAAAGGTAGTTCGACGATCGCTAGTTCGTCTGGCATTCGGTCGAGTATTAGCACCCGAACGACAAGTCGTCCTTTATCCATCCAGACGTCCGAATCTGCCCCTCCCACATCAAGCATCGACTCTATTCCCGCAACTTCATCATCGGACGCAAGTTCAGAAACGGCAACAGAAACGCCCTCGCCTCCCACGTCCTCCGCGCCCGTTGGCGCAATTGTGGGAGGAGTCATCGGCGGTCTTGCTGTTCTTGGTATGAGCACCGCAGCTGTCGTGTGGCTACTGGTCAGAAAACGCAGCAGAAATCCCGATCATAACGGAGGCAGTGGCGGCGCAGCCAGCATGAGCCAGCCGTATGCATATGAAATGGGAGGTATGGGAGGTCAAACTCACCCACAAGCGCCAGCCCCAGGTTCTTCGTCCGATGCGTACAAGGGGTACTACCAGACAAATATGAGTGTCAATGAGATGGCAGGTTCCGAGCATCCATACTATTCTGCGCCCACTCCGTCGGCTTCACCAAGCCTGCATCAGCAGCACAGCCGCGCGCCATCTCATAGTCCCGCACCAATGCCGATGACGCCGGACGACTATGTTATGCGCCCCGTGACTGAGATGCCGGCCATCAATCCTCCCGGCATCGGAAACAACGCGTCTGAGTTGCCGGCGTAAAGTCGGATCCGGACTGAGAGCTCACCAGGATGCGAAAGGGTTGACGATGAAACACAGTAGTACATCATTTCCAAGTATGATTCATTTGTTTCCCTCAGATCACGAAAACTACATCCTAATGTTTAGCCCCATCGTCTGCCCAATGCGTCATACAACGTCTGGTTAATAGGCAACACGCTTCCATGCCTCAGTCCACTAGGGAAACCAGTCCGCGAGCTAGCAGTCCATCCGGAGTTACTCGCCACATTACCCGTCTCATACGGCCTGTACCCATCAGCGCCGTAGAAATCCAGCAAGACATGCGCGCGGCCAGCGACCTGGTTATCCCAGAAACTCGCAGGCCCCTCCACGCTGGACTGAATAATCGCGGAGCTGCCGCCAGGCCGCGTCCAGGTGCCGAACAAGCCCGTGGTCGAGACCTCGACGAAGACCGTCTTGAGGCTCTCGTCCTTCAGGAAGCGCACGAACGACTTGCCGTCCGAGGACGTCGGCAGGATGTTGAGGTCGATGATGTTGGTGGGCGACTTGTCGATGTACGTCTGCGGCGCGGAGAAGGTGCGGAAGTCGGAGGTGTAGGCGTAGCGGATCACGATGGGGCCGGGCGCGCCGGTGTGGTTCGGGTCCGAGGAGGGGTACTGATATCGCGAGGTTAGTCTTCGAGAGGATAAGAACGACGGGTGGTTTCGTCATTGCAGGAACTCACGAATTTGGACGCCCAGTGGACGAGATACTGTCCCTTGGACGGATCCCAGATGGCCTCGGGGGCCCAGACCATGCCGGCGCTGGAGTTCTCGACGACCACGAGCCTCTCGCCGCTCCAGTTCACCAGGTCGGTGCTCTCCCAGACGAAGATGCCCTTGCTTCCCTGTCTCTGGGCGGCGTCCCACGTCGTCTGATCATTGGCACTGGTCAGCACAAACTTTCGTTCATCTCATCTCAAACTTCGGACTGAAAACGAAGGGACGGAGATCACAAACCTTGCCAATGTCCAAGTCCGTTCCGACAATGTACCACTTCTTCCCCTTCTCGGCGCCGCCGCCCTCGATGATGGCCGGGTCGCGCACGCCGCCGGTGCCCTTGGTGGGCTTGATCACGGGAGAGCCCGAGTTGAGGGCGCGGTAGGAGGTCGGGTTGTTGCCGTTGCTGAGGTAGAGGTAGACGTAGGGGTCGGCGCCGAGGAAGAAGGCACCGAGGTATCCCGTCAGGCTCGGATCCGCGCGGGGAGCGAGATTCCCGGTGAAGTCGAGGGACTGGATGGGAGAGGCGAAGACCGCGGTCGCGGCCAGACCGGCGCCCAGGAGGGCTTTGAAGGACGGCATTGTCTCGACGTGGGCAGCGTGGTCTCTCAGGAAAGGACGAGAGGGTATCACGAGAAACACTGAAGAGGTCGACCACTGGTCTGCAATGGGGTGTGCGAAGACGGTCGGTTTATGAGCTCAGTTCTGACGAACCCCGCAATCCGGGGTAGACACGACCTTGGGCTTCCATCGCCGTCATAGAGACGACGACGACGACTCCGCCCGAGAAGCCAAGCGTGATGGCGGGCGGGTATCGCGACATTGCAGCGCGAGTAGCATCGTGGAGCCTGGGGAGAGCACGGATTGGGACGGATGGACGTCTAGGAACCCGCCGAGGCTAAAATGTTCGGTCATTTCATTCATCCATATAGTGCGCCCAGACACTACGTGCGAATTTTCCGTGATGGAAGAACTGCCCGCTGATCTTGCCCTGCCGGGGATTGGGGCGGCGCGACGGGGGCTTCGGAGCCGGGATGTTGACAGTTCGGAGGGTTACACCGTGGGACGCGTGCAATATCGTTCAGCTAGTCAGTCACGAGGGCATTCTGACCATGGTCGGCGAATGGTGCCGTACTAATAACGCAGACACGCAGGAAATTTCACCGGGGGGAAACATCGTCACGGAGCGAGAAACAGGGAAAATGTGCCGTGTTCGGCCCCCTCCGCTCGGTACGGAGTACATGATTACCAGGAACGGGAGAGTCAGGCGGCTTCGAGAGAACAGGGAAGCGCAGACTAACTCCAACCTTATGAAGAGGGGCAACTGGGGAACTCCCAGGTGCCGGGAGATCTCTCAGATACGACGTCAGGTCTCGCGCGTGCGGTGAAGATGTGTGTGTCTGTGTGTGTGGGGTTTACGAGCTTTGGGTGCTCGGTGGTCATTGGTGCGCATGTTTGATGACAGCTGGGCCGAGGATACAATTACGCTGCATACACACATTGGGATGGTCGAAATGACGGACGAGTCGGGACAAGGCAGGTGGATATAGATATATATACGAAGAATGTTCTGATTGTCGAATATGTACCGGGGGCAAAATTGTAGAGAATATGTACATGTGAAAAAAGAGACGAAAAATGGCCCACGTGGACTTCTCCCGCGACTCGTGGTCACCCAGGGCTTGTTACAAGCACTGTTCGATTGGAGTTAGCAAACAACCTCCTCATGAACGCATCAATTGGCCCCATCGCGAGACCGGAAAGAGGAGAATAAGTCGACATACCTGAGAATAGTACGAGTCCTTGACCGTGCACTTCAGATTCGCGGCGCACTGGAAGCTACCGTTCCACGTCGAGCCGCCGCACTGGTCGTACAGCGCGCCGGCCTTGGAGGTGGCGAGTGCGAGGATCTTGGCCGCGGCGTGCTCCGAGGCGACGACGATGTAGGACGACGGGTTGGTGGTGACCATGCCCGGGAAGATGCTCGCGTCGACGACGAAGAGGTTGTCGGTGCCGTAGACCTTCGTGTTCAGGTCGACGACGGCGTCGCCGCCGTTGCGGCCGTCCGCGGTGCCGAGTTTGTTGGTGCCTGCGTCGTTCGTGTTAGCGAGCCCGAGAACGTGGCTTCGAAGTCGGAGAAGCCGGTTGTAGATCAAGCATGAAGGGGTGGGACAGGATAGAACTCACCGATCCAGTGGTTCGCGCGGCGGTTGGAGTACGAGACCAGCATGTTGTTGACGAAGTCTCGGACGGTGGTGCCCGGCTCCGGGAACAGCCAGGTGAGGTTGGGCACGTTCTTGAGCGAGGCCTGGAGGTTCTCGATACCCTTGATCACGGCCTCGACGTCGTTCTTGTCGCGGAGGTACGGCACGGTCGAGACCACGGTGCCGAGATTGGCCTGGATCGTCATCCTGCCGCGAGAGGTGGCACCGCGGCCGAGGTACTGGCTGATGGTGATTGACTCTGTATGTTTGTGAGTCACTGAATGGGGAATCGTGTCGTGGGAATGGGGACTTACTTCCGTTAGGAGCACCGAGGCTGCCTTCCATGCGGGCGGTGTACTGGAGCTGACGAGTGATTCCGTCGGCGCCCTTGAGCTCCTCGAAGAAGCTTTCACGCGGTTAGCATGACGTCTAGGGCCACGACTTGATTGAACTTACAGAGGACCGATGTTGGGGGCAGACTGCGCCAAGATACCACTCCTCTTCTGGAGGTAAGCGTTCTTATCGGTGACGTTCGGGGCGTCGTACGCCTCGTAGAAGTCGTAGAACTCGACACTGGGGTGCGACACAACTGTATCGGTCTATTTTGAATCAGTTTCTGTCCGGAGATAGGTTTGGTCCGATGCAACTTACGTTCGTGTGGTCTTCCAGGTTGTAACCGACGGGCAGAGTAATCCACGAACTGTCAGCGATCATAGTCGGCCCGTCCGTGGAGCTCTTGACCACATCAAGCTGGTCCTTCGGTCCGATACCACTGCGCATGAGAACCTTGGCACTTCCGAAGGTACCAGCGGCCAGAATGACGCGGCCGGAGATGGGCGTGACGTTGACGGTGCCCTTGTACCCGCCGTTCAGGTACGGCTCGACCTCGATACCCGTGATGTGTCCACCCGACCGGACGACGCGCTTGACCGCGGTGTTCATCCACAGCTTGAAGTTCGAGCGCTTGCTGGCGGATACCAGATACGTCGCCATCGGCCCGCCACGCTCGCCGCCCGAGTACATGTAGGGCGTCTTGCCGACGGTGCGGTTCTTGGAGTTGGGGTTCGCGTTGAGGTCGATCTCGTTCCAGCCTCCTGCCTTCAAGCCGCCGGTGATGACGTCTCGGCCCGCGGTGAGGTAGACCTTGCCGTCTTGCGAAGGGGTCGTGGTCCCGGGGATGCGAGAGAAGACGCGCGACGTGGCGGCGGCGACGTCGGACGACTTCCAGCCCGAAGGGAAGTTGTAGTCCCAATCCAGGTTGTAAGGCTGAACGATGTAAGACGGTGGGCTAGAAGACATGAGTAGGGGACATCTGACTTACCTTCCACCACAGCGCAGCGTTGATAGCGGTGCCGCCTCCGAGAAGACAACCGGCCATCTGATCCGTGTCTTGGCAAGCAACGCCGGCGGAGTTCTCCCAAATCTCGTTGCAAAGGCCCGGTACATCGAAGCGAGTCAAGTTGGTGCCCTCCAGCCAAGCAGGCTTCATGGTACCACCCCAGCGGCCGGAAGATGGAGGGCCCTTCTCGATCAGGAGAACACTCTTACCGGCCTCGCTCAGCTTGTCAGCCAGAGGAATACCACCGGCACCGGCGCCGACGACGATGTAGTCATATGTCTGGGACGGGACGGGGACACCTGTCGGGCCAGCAGTCGCGGTCGCAGTAGGCACCGAAGTGGTTGCCGTTCCGCTGCCGCCGCAGTTACCCGTGGCGGTCTTCGTCGCCAATGCCGCCCAAGCGGAGTAAGACGGGTTAGCGATGTTGGCGTCGATGCTGGTGCCGTGGATGTTCTGGTTCTCGTGCTGGATGAGGTTGATGTTGGCCGGGCAGGACGGGTTGGTCGGGCTTGTGAAGGCCTGGGCCCAGCCGAGAACGAGGGACTTTGCGCTGGTGCTGACGCCGCCTGTTGCACCGTTGTGGTTCCATTGAAAGCAGTTCTGGCAACGGTAGATGAGGGTGTAGTGAGTCGCGTTGATGGTGGACGAGATCTGCGTCAACTTGGCGTCACCGGCGTAGACCGCGGGCATGTCGTAGCCCGACGTCCAGCGGAAAGAGGTGAGGATGTCGGCGCCGTTGGGCCAGGCCATCAGCAGGAGCTTGTTGGTCATCGTGCCGCCGAGGGAGATGCCGCACCAGCCGGTTCCCTGGCCGTTCTTGGAGGCACATTGCTGTGGGACGACAATGTTAGTGCGGGCACGAGGCCAAGGGAAGCAGAAGCTCATACGAGGTAACCGATGTACTCATTCACGTCCGTCGTCAAGCCATTTTGAGGCAGAGCAAAGCCGTATGTTATACCGCCGGCTGTCTGGGCATTGGTGGCTGACCAGGAGTTGAAGATGATGCCGGTCTTGGAGTCCGTGATGGTCGTCGGAGACGAGGACTGAGCTGCAGCTCCATCGAGAACTGGAATTCTATGTTAGTCGGTCTCGGACACGAGAGGACTCGAGCACCTACGTGGCGACGCCGCCAGGAGAGCTGCCAGAGCACCAGCGCGACTGAAAAACTTCATGATGCCGGACGTCAACGTCAACAAAGGTCTAGCAACCAAAACCACATCGACGAGCCTCTGGTGACAGCAGAGAGTAAGCAGTATTTAAAGGGACGGCGAGAAGCCGGCGTCTGCCGAAGCGTTCCCCTGTCCCATCACATCACCCGCGACTAGCTACTGGGATATCGCACTTTCTTCTTTCAGACAGACAGGACCAAACTTGGTGCCGCTGCCACATGACCAAAGGATCCCGCAATTCGGCTCGTCCAGTCATGGCCACTGTGATTGTGGATGGCACGCGTGGTATGCAAATCCGCCGATAGGAGGAAATGTTTGCTCGGGGGCAAGTAAGGTATGGAAGAAACGTTGGTGGGGTGGGCGGGTGGCAGGGAGTCTCTTCCCACGCTTCCCACGGAACGTAACAGTCCAGTGCTGATTGCCTTTGTTGGTCAAGCCGCGCGACCGGGGGGCCATCCAGGATACTTAATTTACCAGAGGCACGGGGAGAAACCAAAAACCAGATGAAGGGGAATGGCATCAGACGCGGGGACGGGTGTTTGCACGTGAGACGAACTAGAGTTGGGAATAAGAAATAGCGCACGCAAGGAGAAACCTTTCAGCCGCGGTTCGAAGTGTTTTTGGGAGCTGGAAGTCTCAAAAGACGTCAAGATATCCAGACTTCTGGATTCGAGATGCAATGTCTTGAACCATGGAGTGAGGTTGAAAGAGAGGTGCAGCGCATGGCCAGGAACGGGAATGCGGAGGCAGACGAAGGCGCTACCCCACGTTGCGGTGCGGCAATTCGATCCGAGCTTCCCAATCGAACGGGGGTTCTTTGGCTGGACTCGGCTTCGGGTCGTCAGTTGGGGTTCCCTTGGCCTCCTTCTCAGGAGAAGATTGCAACCCTCCAACGGATTTCATGGATGGGAGGTCTCCGACAAGTCTGTTTGTCTGTTGGCCCCCTGCAGGACATGAAAGTTTGTGCCGTACCAAGAGTCCAAGGCTCGAGACAGACGCCACGATATCTCTGATAGATTGCGCCGACCATGGCGAATAAGAAACGATACGTCCCTCAAATTCCGGGCTTTTGGGGAGATGGAAGACATGCTTCTTCCAGTGTCTCGGTCTCGTGGGATCTGTTGAGTCTCGGCCCAGTCCATCCCGGATGCGTGCGGCAAATGGCACGGGCGATTTAATAGTGAAGCGTTGTTCACCTTGATGTTGTCTTGTTTTCGAAGGAACATGCACAGATCGTAACGGCCATTGCTGGGTAAAAACGACGGCTGAAATGGTGTGTTGAAATGATCGGAACAGGAGACGAAGAGTCTTCCATTGCAGAATGGCATGTTCTGGGCGCCGGGTGTCTTCATCTCGGCTTGCAGCGATGCGACGGTACGGTATTGCGTCGACCGAAGCCAAGGGCGAGAGCAGGAGTCGAAGCCGGCGCCGATTGGAGAGACCAAAGTTCGAGGGGCCGTTGGAGGTGACACACGCCCAATTTCGTAAATTGCCTTGTGCCTGATTGCCCTGAGGGAGGATGACAAACTGATGACACGCGACGAAGGCGCGGGTGTTTATTGGTGAGCCGCAATAAGCAAGCGGGAGGGAGCTCCGAGGACGGATGCGTCGTTAACGAGGATCTTTTGTTGTTGGACCAAACTGGCCCAGGAGACGAAGCCAACAGTAGTGGACATGGTTATGAACGTTACTTGGCCTTCTGGTGGGCGTCGTTGGATTCAATCTCTTGGGTTGTGGTATCCATGGCTGTCGAGGGGAGATCCAGGATGCCATTGAGAAAGACCTTCATATTGCTAGGTGCCTCTGAGCAATTATTGACGAAGCCGACATCCGAGCTGGATGGTGGTGATGAAGCAAGCAAGCAGATATTATGTGAATAGGTGAAAACTGCGACCGACAGATTGCTGTGGCTTTCCGCCAGCAGGGCGCGTGTCACCTGTCAGCAGATGTCTGCATTTGCAGTTTGCTTCAGGCCAATCAGACCACATAACCCTGCTAAAAAGGGGAAGGAAGGACAAGATGTTCCGACGGTAGCCGGGCCTTGCCTTGTACGTGTGCAAACCTACAAAACTCACATTCAAATGCGTCCAAGATGGAACATCTGATTTTCAAAAGAGCATTCCAAAAGAATTTGCCAAAAATGTGATCAGTGGGAGGCTTGAACTCCCGGCCTTGGCATTACACAACATTTCTGGTGAAATATTAGTACCACGCTCTAACCAACTGAGCTAACCGACCCGATGGCGTGCCTTGATTGGCTGATGCTGGACTCGCCATTGATTGAGCCCATAGCCTCAGCACAACAGGTGAGTCAGGTTCCATTCTCATTGCAGGCCATCAACTACAATGAACCCATCATTTGTCTATAGTTTTCACAGTTAGAGCTGATGCTTTGGATTCTGGATGTAGTTGAAGGGTATATATACTTAATTTACTATGACTATTCTATATAAAGTACGCTGAGCGAGTGTACGAAGCTGTCAAAACAAAACCCAAGTCTATATGTCGCTAACGCCAGCAATGCCCGCTATGCAGATGTATCCAAGCCGAACTCCCCGATAATGCATGAGGTCTCATGACTGAAACCGCTTTTCTCTCACTCCTTTTTGGATTCGAACTCATCTAAGAGTCGAAGATGGCGCCGTAAGCAGGGATGCCTCTGCTCTCAAGGCCGTAGACAACCTTCCTCGTCACCTTCTGGTTGGAGATGATGACGACAGCCTCGCAGGGACCCATCTTCTTGCCGCCGCTGTTCTCGATCTTGGCGATACCGGCCTGGCGGCGACTGCTTTCCCAGATGCGGTAGGTGATGGCCACGAGGTCGGGGCGCCCGGTCTTCTTCGTGTCGATGATGACGGCGTTGGGGTCGGCCTTGTAGATGGTGTCGATCACGGCTTGTCCGTAGGTCTCAGCGGGACGTTGGGTGGACCAGATGATGCGGACGGGGTGGTCGGGCTTCTGGACAAACAAGCTCAGGCAGGGGCCGATGCCGGAGCCGGTGGCGATGACGATGCAGGGCTCGAAGAGGCCGGCGACGCGGAGCACGCCGTACTGCGGGACGCCGCGGGTCCAGATCTTCTTGGGCGGGTTCTTGATGATCTTGTCGGTCCAGTCGCCGGCGTTGGAGACGAGGACGGAGAAACCCTTCTTCCCGGCGTTGCTGAGGCCCTGCTGGCCCTTCTCGAGCTCGCCCTCGGCGGGGGCGGCGGGGTTGGGGATGACGGCGAAGGCGTGGGTCTCGCGGAGGGGCGCGTCGGTGAGGCGGATGGCCTGGCCGTAGTGGACGTCGGCGTAGTTGAAGTTGAGCTTGACGACGTGGGAGGACATGGCCTCGGCCTCGACGTCGCGGAGGCGGAGACGGGTCCAGGGGTACGCGACCAGGAGGGTGATGACGATGAGCATCCAGAAGGAGGGGGTCATGGCGATGGAGGCGGCGTACGGGATGTTGGCGGTGATGCTGTAGTCCTCGGCGAGCATCATGACGAGAGCCCAGAAGAGGAGGACGACGGACCAGCCGAGGAAGCGGTGAGTGCCCTCGAACCAGTTGTGCAGCAGGACGCGGGCCTTGGGGTGCGCGAAGCCGATGATGAGACCGAGGAGGACGCAGATGAGGTAACTGCAGAGGAGGATGTAGGCGCGGAGGGCGGAGTCCGGGTGGTCCATCTGGACCGTGAGGACGATCAGGAAGAGGACGAACCAGAAGAAGGAGGCGACGCCGCAGCCGGAGTGGATGCCGCCGTACGAGTACACCTTTGCGAAGGCGCGGCGGACGGAGAGAGGTGCCTTGGCGGGGAAGAGGACGAAGACCTTGAACATGGCATTGACGGTGTGCTCGTTGCGGATGAAGAGGGCCATGAGGATGTTGGCGGAAACGGCCGTGGCGCATGTCTGGGGGGTCAGAATGTAAGAGGAGCGGCTGACCAGAGAGTAGGCGATGACGAAGACGAGGGCACCGATATTGGCGAGGAAGGCGAGGGTGAAGATGCGGCGATACACCGAGCCGAAGTTCCAGCGGAGGTAGCGGTAGGCTCGGTTGCCCTTCTTGTCCGGGACGACGATGTCGTCCTCCTCGTCGTCATCGTCGTGAGCGGGAGCGGCAGGAATCTGAGTCTGTTGTACGGCCTCGGGAACCACGAGAGTGTGAGTTGAGGAGTTGGCGCTGCTCAGAGGGAAGAAGGCTCTGGCGGGAGGAGTAAGAGAAAGCTCGGGAACGACGACCTGGACATCTTCGACGGGAAGGGTGACCGAGGAGGCCATGGCGGAAGGGGAAGACATGTTGAAGTTGGGTTAAGGAAAAGGCTAGCATCTGTCAGTGTCTGTTCGGTTCGTTTCATCTTGCTGGTCAAACTTACAAAAAATGGAGAGTACCAGGGCGGAGATAAAGTATGATAGGGAGTCGGGATAGAGAAGAACGGTAGAGAGATAGGAAAATAAGGAAATAAAACAAGAGAGATAGAGATGACAAAGGGAATAAGGAAATAAGGAAAAAAAAGAAAAGAGATAGGAAAAAAGACTAGGAAATGGTGTTCTTGATTGCTTGATTCTGTGTGATGAGGAAAAAAAAGATCACCAAGGGAGAGGGCCCTGATGGCCTGATATATACTCCCTCATGATGCTGAAGGGCGAATGCCTTCACAAACCATCACATGCCTGCAGTCCCGTTCGCGAACGCCACGGCTGAAGATGGACCAGATGGTGACCACAGCCAAAATAGAATCCGGCGACGTTGAAGTCCAGACTCGAACGACCCCGGCCTTGGAGCCATCGACCGCCAGCATGGGGTAGTTCGTTCAGCCAGATGCGTTTCTGCAGTCACGTGGCGTGGGGTAAGAAGAGACGGACGAGACGATGCGAGTGATGGCGTCGAGGGCTGGAGGTTTCCCGTCGGCATGGAGGCGGCCAAGCCGGCTGTCTCTCGAAAATAGAGGTTGGTTTGTCTAGCGCGGGAGAGATTTCAGAGATTCTTGCTTGGTAGCAAGGGCGTGCGTGTGCGGTGTGTAAAGGGATTTGTTCCCGAGACCACTGTCTCACCCGTTGCAGTATGCGCTGCCCCCCCCCCAGGCCGACGAGCGTGGCCTGAGATCGTGGCGCCTGGAGGACAGCGTGCCATCGTAGTCGTAGCGTGGATGAAGAAGTCGATCAAGGACCATGGCTTGCGTGGCTTGACAGTTGAAAGAACCACGCGCGGCCTGGGCTTTGGCGTCAGTCCGTCTCTCTCTTTTTTTGACCCTATCCATCTCGCTGGAAACGGTGTTTTCCGGAGCATGTGTGAGAAGTAAACACGCCGGACAGCCCTGGCTTGTGAAGGACCGTAGGTGGTGCTGGACGAAGAAAAGTTTTGCTTCGCAAAAGAAACGTGAACGCTTGGCCTCGCGTTTTGTTGACGCTTGGCCGGCATGGTTGTCGGGTCACCGAGGATGTTGAGCGCCGCACCTGAACACCGGCCAAGACTGGGCATGAATAGAGTCGGCGACCGTAAGACACCGTTATCGGATCCGGGCCTTCGGAGACATCGCAAAATCTGCTTCCAACTAGAGTGAATTGACACATCAACTATGTTGGCTCAAGAGGCTCAATACCCGAGAAATGGGCTTGACAAGGTGAACTCGTGTCTCTCCGCCCCAATGTCACCGTGGTAGCCCGATTTGCTGGCCCTGTTGATCTCCCGCCCTTGACATGCTGAACGTGGGCCCGCGGAAGACGCCGGAAAACAGTTTTAAAGCACAATGAAATCTACGCTAGTTCTCTTCTCGAAGATGTGGCTGGATGGTGGCATGCGCGTGCCTTGGCGTGGACTGGCATGCTGGCCCCTTCGATATCGATGGGGGGCGTGGATGGTGTGATGATGGTACTACGACCAGACCGGTGAAGTGATATATGATATCAAGCATCGTTGGAATTCCCAAACCCTCCAACGTCACACCGGTGGTCGAATCCGGTGCCTGGAGCTGAGGACTTGAAACCTCCAGCCCCAAGAAGAACTGCGATCCATCCGCTAAGGCATCGGCGACCCTCGTCTATCTCTGAATCCTGGCAGAAGAAGAAATTCAGCGAGATACGTTCAAGGATCTGCGAGAATCGGGATCGGAGCGAGCTCCAGCTCTGGAGTGATTGGTCAGGCAGGCTAGATGAAGAGAGCCGGTGAAGGGCTGAGAAACCAACAGAGGCAGGGAATTGGCGTCGAGCGCCAGGAGAAGCTCGGCTTCTTTAGGAAAGGTTTCTCTCCATGTGGCGGCGCCTTCAAGCTACCGACGAGTTACGTGACATCGTTCGGCAAACCCTAAAGGACTTTGTCTGGGACGGATGCTTGACGGCGCCAGCACGGCGCCATCTTGCTTGACAACCAATTGAGTGCTTGATCTAAGACCAAGGCTAACGGTGCTAGCGCCCACGACGGAGAGACAGAGACAGAGCCATAGACAGAGGGACTCTAGATAGAGAGAGAGAGAGAGAGAGACAGATGGGGAGCTGTCAAAAAAAATGTGCCCGGAACCAGACAAAAATGCCAGGTCTTAAGGGATTGCCGACGGGGCGAACCAGTCTCTTGGCGTCGAGGGAGCACGAACGACGCGGTAGGCCGCCCCGGGCATTTGTAAGACATACCGGCGACATTATCGAACATCGTGAATGGTTCGGGGTCTGCTGCGCGATGGCCGTCCTGGCTGGCGTCCGGCAATATGGGAAATGGGGCCTGCCATCTGTAGGGGCGAAGAAGTGATACTGCTTGGCCGGATCAATATTGGAGGGGAACCGAGGAACGCTGGGCTCGCCCGGGGAAGCCTGCCCCGGGCGATCATTGATGATCTATGACCTGACGATCGGGTAATGAGGTCTTGACGTCGAGAATGCGCATTGGACCACGCGCGAGTTTGTTTACTCTTGGAGAACGTGTCCTCCGCCCGTCCCTGACGCTGATCTGCCGATCGGCGGTGCCCCTTGGAGGTTGACCGTTGCGAGGGAGGACGAAGACGAGGCAGGAGTATGAAGGAAGGGGGGAGGAGAAAATTATAACTAATTTCAGCGGAAACCCCTGCTACGACTGCGTCATTTAGTCGAAGACATGACTGGATTGCATGCTGTGGGCTGCAGTGCTAGTCGCCTTACTGCTCAAAGTCCGAGACCCTGGCGCTATTCTCTTAGCGAGATCGCGGCCGATATGCTGCTCTAAACAACATGAATCATTCATCGTTGATGACGAGCCAGTCGGCCATCCTGAAACGACATTGATGCGGCATCATTCTTGAAAGTTTCCGAGCATCTTAGAAAACATCGAAGAGTTGGAAATGAAGTTCACCAAGCTGGAATGGTGAGCGACGGTAGATTCTGTGAAATGATCGTATTATTTCTACGAGTCTCCACGACGGAACCCCGTCTCATCCATCAACCCTCCCCTAATCTCCCCCGGTAAAGTTTTCATATGCTCATGTAATCATCTCAGAAAATTAGAATTATGTTCGAGTTCGTGCTTTAATTGAACCCCTTAGATGCTGTCCGTCTGGTAGTAGGGGTCATCTGGCAAGTAAGGGAACTTGCGAACAACAACATCGCCCTTGTATGACCAGAGGTCCACTTGAGTGGGCTCATAGTCGAGACCGCATGTTTCCGTCTCAGCACCGAAGGTGAAAACATCAGTGGTGTTGCCCTTGGAGTAGTTGATGCGGACCATGTTCACCGTCTCAACGTTGGGACCGACGTCGAAGTAGTTGGCCGGCATGAACTGGATACCAGAGTGGGCGGTCGTGAAGACCGTAGTGGGAAGGTCACCCTATTTCACATTAGTCTGATTCAATGCGACCAGCGGAAGGGAAGCTTACAGTGTGAGGGACGTGGTGCATTCCAAGGTTGAGCCAAAGCACCAGGTCCGTCTGGTTCAGGCTCTCGCCGTCAAAGAACGCGTCAAAGTTGACCGGAGGGTTCTCGACGTCCTGGTTGTTGTACGGGTGGCTGCTGCGGGGTTCGGTGTCCTTGCGCTTCGAGACCATGATGTCGTTGCCAGCCCACTTGGCCGAGTTCTTGATCACGCTCGAGTCCTTGACTGTTAAGTGCGCGGCGCCGGTGTACGGCAAGATGCGGTAGGCGCGGTACTCGCCGTGCTTGTTCTTGACATCCTGGTTGAGGACGAAGAGCTGGTCCTGGTTGTTGTAGCTCCAGTCGAAGCGGCCATCGTCCTCGTTCTCGATGAACTCGCGCTCGACCTTCATCGTGTTGAGCGCCTTGCCCTTGGACCACGGGTAGACCTGAGTGGTCGGCACCTGGTGCATCCTTTGAACGGTGTTCTCGGTGCCGAAGATGTCGAAGTCGGCTTTGAAGTTGACGACGTGGTCGTGCATTGAGCCAGACAGGTTGTCGTGGATCTTGAAGCCGTAACCATCGTTCTTGGCGTAGAAGGCGGCCTGGATGTAGCCAGATGCGCGGACTTCAACGGCCACAGATCCGTCGAGGAAAAAGGAGTAGCTGAACATGTAGTCGTAGTTACCGACGGTGGAAACGGAGCGGACGGTGAAGTAGACGTTCTTAGTGGCAGTGACGTAGTCCTGGGAGCTGTGACGGGCAATAGGGTAGTCGGCATCGAACTCAAAGAGACATATGCTGTTCAGATGCGTGTGGGTGGTCTCAGAGACGTAGAAGGATGAATTGAGATAGGTGGCGTAGGAGGGGCAGTCATAACCCTTGAGCAGCTCGAAGGCGAAAGGACCAAAGCCGTAGTATGTGTCCAGGTAAGCCACATGAGACTGAGTGGGATCGCTTCCTGCTGATTGTTAGACAAGATATTCCATCTTGGTCGGGATTGTGTACATACCAGCATAGTGAGCGAGCGCCTCCTGAAGACCGAGCTCGTAGAGGATTCTCTGACCCTTGTAGCGGATGTCGTAGAGGGCCATGCCGGTATCACGGGTGAAGCCAACATAGAAGCTCCAGCCCATCCACTCAACATACTTGCGCTCAGGATCAACAGAGTATCTGGCGCCTTGAGGTGCGACCGCGGTAGGAGGCGCATTGGTGTCCAAGGGGAGGATCTCTCCCTGTTGGTCCGTGGCAGACCAGTCTCCAGACCAGTTGCCGCCGAGCTTCTCAACCTGGCCGCTCCAGTAGGCGTTGCGGAACTCCTCGGTGGTCTCGTAGAAGATGCCGTTGTAGTACCAACCCTCAACGGTCCACTTAGACGGATCGCGGCCAGTGACGTCGGACATGAAGAACAGGCCCATGGGCATCATGGAGCCAACGTCGAAGATGGAGTCGGGAATGCTCCAGAAGGTGTCCCAGCGCTGAACACGGCCATCATCCTGGTAGTAAGGGTCAATACCCCAGATGGAGAGCGTGTCGTTCTCGAGACCGAGACCCGTGGCGTTCCAGAGGTCCTTGGTGATGTCTGCAACGGTCTTGCTGACATCGTACAGCCAGTCTTGCATAGCGTCGTCATCGGCATCGAGATTGCGAACGCGACCACCGGTCTTGCGCGTGTAGGGGTAGTCGAGGCGTTCCCATTTGGTAGTACCGTTTGCGACGGGAAGAGGACCGACAAGGATGTCTTGGTATTCTGGTTCTTCTGAGGCGCGGAAGCCGATGAGAACATGGGCGTATCGGGCTGGAGCCGGAGCGGACCCATCAATGTAAGCCAGAGCATCCGTCTTGTTGGGAGGCATGAGCTCCACAAGGACGCTGTGGATGTTAGTGCATCTGTATAGACCTCGATTGAAAGTCTTCGGGATCACTTACACCGAGTTGTCCCAGGACGTCGCGTTTTCACTAACAGTGAGGTTCAGCTCGGGCTGAGCGAATAGCCACTGAGTGACTCCAGCGGCTTCGACTGTGGTCAAACCCCCCCAGATATTCTCCTTGGGGGCGTCAACATCCATGGGGTCGTGAGGGATGCAGTCGACGGGCTCCGAGCCATTTCCGAGTTGTCTTTTACCGATGGCCTGGCTCAGTGCCTTTCTACCATGTCCCTTGGCACGTTGCTTCGCCCATGGGGTTTTAGGAAGACCATTGACCTGGGGAATCAGGTCAGAGCCAAGCAGAAGCAAGGCCCCCAGACCAAGAGTGCGGGCGAGCGAAGGGAGACCCATGTTGTCTGGCAGTCGTTCGTATTGTCAGGCAAATAAGAAGACTCAGAGAGGCGCTTGAAGCTCAAGAGTAGGGGGGAACTTTGACTTCGAGAGGATCGTGGGTTGTTTTATATTTTCAATGTATCACAAGAGGAGCCGTCAAGGTGCCGCACCAGCATCCCCCGACACCGGTGATGGTAGTACGGATGACAACCTCGAATATCCAGGTATGGCTACTGAGAGACAATGCTGTCTCAACTCGGGTCGACCGACATCTCCTGCTCTGTAGTAAGCTAACCCGTACTGGAAGGCCGAGCCGCCATCGAAAGTGAGCCTCATCTGCAATACTCGGTTGTGCGCAGATGCGTTCCGAGAGGCGTTGGCTTGGCGACTATGGATCTGGCTTGATGTCGTATGCAAGTCCTTCTGTCGTTGCCCCGCTGGAAGGCGGGATGATCGCACAGAGTTGCTGGATTCGGATACCCGTCCAGCCTGGCGAGTCGGGACACTACTGATATCGCGGCCCGCGGCTTGCGAACTGTTCGGCCTGTATGCAGTCCCAAGAAGACTGCGAGCGATAGTATTGGATGCCTCCGAAGAGACATATTCGACCAGTCTTGGCCGTTGGTTGGACAAGTCGTGGGGAAACAAGTCCAAGGTGGTATTGCTGCAAGCTGCATTTCCTGTGTGATAAGACCAGAGCTAAACCAGGCTGATAGATCCGAAGGCGAAACATCCAGCCAATCGATCGCTTCTGTTTCGCATATTGAATCCAAAATACCCAAGCTATGATGCGTGATCGTTATCGTCAGGCCCATCACGGCGGGTTCGCCTTCGGGGTAGGCCCTGGCTCGCCAGGTGGTTGATGGGAAGTTGCCAGGATTGAGAACCATGTGGAGAGGCTGGGTATGCGGGGCCCATCCGGTGTTCAAGATCAAGCTTCTGAACCCGATGCGGGGAGATTCTGGGCATTCCCGAGTAGTGCTCCAAGTCATAGCTAGGTCGAAACCACTAAAACATTGTCATCTAGACGATGTCGTTTTGGCTGACAATAGGCCTGGGACAAGTCCAACAAACGTTGCGTTGCCCATGATAGCATGACCATTTCGTTGACAAATCTCCGCATATGCAACTCATGGGAGACTTTGTTGGCGTTGCGTCGACCTTATCTTCAGGTTGTTCTTATCTCGGACTATCAACCGGCAGGCAAGTTGTATGCAGCAACGTAACCGGCGATGGACTATCGGGCGGAGAGAACGAATAGAAAGTTTCGATAACTACCGCGGATCCACCTGTCAATGAGTTTAGTTCACTTTGAATTTTGCAAGAATTGACTCAGAACTCACCGGATGAACTTGAGTGATTGCTGCGGTTGCCGATGAACTGCCGTTGACATCGGGGGCCATCGCGGTAACAGCCCCACTTCCCACTTCCCGGCCCGGGTCCCGGCTGTGGGTCGCTGATAAGCTCGCATACTTATGTTGCTGTTGCTGATAGGCAAACAAGAGGAGTAGGGCTGCTATGAAAACGCGGAGCGTTTAGAAAATGGTTCTTCGGTAGGTGAAAAGTTGGCCTATCTTAGGCCTACCCCGGTCCTCTCATTGCTCGTGGAGGACCCCCGCGTTCAGCGGTCTGGCGTTTCCGTGAAGTTGACTGATTGGCGTCTACGCGGAGGATGGGCGTTCACGGGGCATCCTATCCCTCGAGGAAAGAACGGAATTGACGACATCGACGCTTGTCCTTGTTTGGCAGTTAGATAGGCCATTCCTAGGATCTGAAGTCCGCAGGTTTGGAGTCCGAGGTCGGCGTCAATCGGACTCAGTCCGAATCCAGTGAGGTTAGGTCTTTCTTGACTGCGGAAACAACATCTTGTCGCGAGCCTCAGGACTACGCCGTTGTCATTGACTGCGTCTTTATATTTTGACCGAGTCCAGTCCCTGGAGTTCCTTCCCCAGAGATTGGTGATATGCGGTAGGAAGGTCCAGGTCGTGAAGACGAGTTCAGGAAGGGAAAGAACATGGGCTTTGGCCAGTTCTGATGGGCAATAGCTCATGCATTGAACTGCCTGTTTCTTCGTTAGTCGAACGCTCAGTGCATTATTCGAAGCAACTACTCACTTTCCGTGCTACTTACACGGCAATACCGTCATTGGAATATGATGATTCTCAGGTCGAGTTTAGAAGTGAAAAACGAAAATACTGCTTTCATTTTTTCCCATCTGACTACATCTATATAACAGTCATCAGCTCAGTCGTACCTTCAAGCATTATTTACTTCTGATATCGCGTTTCAAGCTGCATATCAGCGGGCGCTGAGAGATGTCGCATGAGCAAATTTGAGGTGCCAGGAGCCAATTAACGAGAAGAAAACGACTGCCGTGGACCAAGATTGTGAGCTCGTCCAACCTTGATTGTGCAAAGGGGACATTTGTGCGGGCGTCTCACACACTTGATCTCACATTATTGGGTGACAGTCAAGTTGTTCTGTTTCAGGCGCCCGCAATGTCAAACCTCAGCAACCATGTGAGCAAGATTGTCGCAATATGAGGGAGATTCGATGCTCGGTGGTTCCACGATGCCACATTCGTAGGGGCAATCAGTTTGGCACAGTATCTTTGCTGTTAACCTGCGAGATTTTGCGACATCAGCCTGTAGGTAAGTTCCAATCTCTGCGAATGAGCTGATATATACTAGATCAAGAACGGCAGCAGATTGCTACTTTGAACTCTGATCTCCGGTCTTCAAGCTTAGAATTTCTCGCTGTTGAACTAAACATCTAGCATTCTAACTGATAAGGATAATAGAGTCTTATCGAATTGACTTAAAGCACTGAATAAGGGAGCCAACTTGAAAGGATGCATCTGCCAGCGCTGTAACGCCTAATTTGCGCACGCCAGAATCTGGTCCATGGGATCCTAGAGTGCCTGTCCAGCGAGACAACACGATGGAGCTGTGAGTGCGCCTGAGAATCGAACCCGTTGTATTTCCAACTTGACATGAGATCAGATCAGGCATTTTCCCTACTGTAATTCTATCATTTGCAATTCTCAGCAATATAAAACGAAGGCGCATTCTAATCACACTGAGGTTAGAGAATTCTTGGATAGGTGATTGCAATAAGTGAAAATCCGCTCGATGGTTTCAAACCAGGTTGTAGGCCACGGGCAGACCGCGAAAGTAAAATGTCATTTCCATCATTCACAGTTCTACACCGTCCAAGGCGCCCCTCGGTTGGGATGGGACGGATATCTACAATGTATGGACAATCCTACTTTTCCTTTCGCGAAGAGCTTGTTCCGCTCGCGATTTGGGCTTCCTATCAGAATGATTCGGTGACGAGGAAACCTCGCACTTTTTATCTCTTTAGGGTTTAGCGGCTTTCCTGCTTGTGTGAAGGTACAGTACGGGTTTCACAGCCGTTGGATGTCAGCGTACCGTAGCAAATGCGATTCCCTTAGCATCAAGCATCGTTCCCAAGCTTTAGATACGGCGCCCCGTTATTTCGAGCGGCATATTGAGAGTGATTGGTTGGTTTTTGACTGTCTTCCATCCCAACATTGTTCGGAACATGATGTTGTCGGAAAAGAAGACGGATACCTCACCAGTATCGGAAGCGTTCCGAAACACCGGGTTTCCTGGGGTTACCCCACTGAAAGTACTGCGGCAGTAGCTGGCTTGACATCCATGGAGCGACCGGCTTCCAGCACACTGTCGATTGACCTCTTCGCAGAACGCCATGAACGAAGCCAACCAAACCAAGAAGACGAATGCCATTAAGTCCCGAAGTAAACGCCCCAAGAGCTTTCGATGTGGAGAAAAGACACTGACATCTGGACTAAGGCGGATGTTTAGTATGCAAGCGACGTGTATGGGCGCCTCAGGACCCCCTGTTACCCAGGTATTTCGTGGCTGACCTACCTTGGTTTCGTGGCAGCGCGTGAAGTGCGATGAACAGCAACCAAGCTGCCGCCGTTGCATCAAGTCTGGTGTGAAATGTCCCGGATACACTCAGCGCATTAAATGGTCGACCAAATACGAGAAGAATCTCATGTCGTTGTCCATTCACGATGAACCTCGAAGCGAAGCCGTCACCCAGTCACATCACAGGGCCTCAGAGTCCCCGAGAGTCGCAAACTCTCGCCATGGAGAATCACATGAGGAGAGAAAAGAGGCAGAATCCTCAAGGCATGGCTGTTCACCTCTGGCGTTTCTGGAGGACCCAGCAGACCTCGCTATTCCTCTTCGAGAGCGCGACAAAACTGATCCTGATGCCACGATCTCCAATACTGACTCTGCAACATGTTATTCAGAGGAACTCTCTGAGTCCCAAGCCCAGTATGTGCAGGAAAGCGACGGCACATTTCTTATATCAGGGCGGTCTTCTGATGATATCTCGCCTTCATCATGGTACACCCCTTCGGAAACGTCGTCGATCCTGATGACACACTACTATTCCGTCATATGTCGTCTCATTTCAGCTTTCGATTCGTCCAGCAATCCTTTCCGGTACGAAATCTCAAGGTTAATCAATATCTCACCTCTCATCTTTCGCTGCGTCTTGAGCTTGTCCGCTGCGCATTTGTACCAGACTGTCGAGGGTCAGAATGATAAGTCCCTACAATATCAGACAGAGGCTATATCGCACCTGTCCAAAGAAATTTCAACCATGGGCGCTATTGGAATCCAGGAGTCTAATGAAATGAGCCTTCGACCAAATCGCTTGAGCACTTCCAAAAGCATCATGGATACGGCAGATGTCTTACTAAGTACCATTCTGCTGGGAATGACATCGGTTGGTAGAACTCAATATGAACTGTTTCGTACCTCATCCTCACTCACACAACATTGTAGGCCTGGCACGATGCGTCTTCCACTGGATTAACTCACATTTATGGCGCGAGACAATTATTCAAGAGATGGCTGGCCGCGAACGCGATCAACAGGCTCGGCCATCGATCTTCCTCGGCGCAAACCCAGTGCTTCATAATTTCCTCCATGATGTACTGGGAAGGTATTTGTTCATTCATCCACGATCAAAACGTCGAGGCGCTTTCATACCTGAGTATTTTCGCGGAAGATCACTCGACATGGAAGAACCTTCCATGTCCTTGGACTGGAGTTGCGACACCCTTATTCTTTTATCTAGCGCAAGTCGGAACTCTGATCAGGAATAAGATGGCTTTGCCTAGCCTGGAGCTCTTCAAGCATGGAGATATTCATCGGCAAGCCCTGTATTCCGATCTTGTCGCTAAAGCAGCGACGGTGGAGCAGAGCATTCGCAATTACCGTCTTCCGCCGTTGAATTTGGTCGAAGATACCGCAGATCCACGCACACCTCTGGATCAGCTCTTCGCAATGGCACACTGCTACCGACTCGCCTCGTTACTCGAGCTTTATCAAGCGTTTCCAGAACTCAATCACTCACGAACATTGACGAAGACGGTCCCAGTGAAGGAAGCAGCGGAGCCAATGCCAGCGCATGTGGGGCTAGGTTTCGCTGTTGACATCCTCCGGACGCTGGAAACTATACCCACGGATTCGGGTACCATCTCGACGCAGTTATTGCCTTTGCTTATTGCGGGGAGTGCTTTACGACATGTCCCCCCAGAAGAAAGCCGGAAACAAACCATGGAATCCCAAACGTTATTCCGAGAAGTGGAACGATGGAGAGCCTTCGTACGGACACGGATTCTCTTTCTACATTCTTCCATTGGCCTACGACCTATCAGAAATGCCGCCCAGATCCTCAAAGAGGTTTGGTCATGTGCGGATAAGTTGGAACACCGAAGTAGAAACTTCCATGCGAGGGTCCATTGGATTGACATTATGTCTGACATGAAGCTGGAGACCATCTTGGGCTAACATGAACTTGGAAATGGCAAACGAGCCCTATCTCATTGATGTTCTTTTGTACATGTACTCTCAATACTCAATCACTCATAGTTTGGCTCTTTGGTCGCAGAAAAACGCCAGAGCGTATGAGTCCGTCGAAAATGAGATGGTAGACCCTTTGGTGAAGAGCATAACGTCGCCCGCTTTGGCTGTTACCTTCACGCCAGTCTCATCTTCCACCTGGCACTGTCCCTCAGCGAAGTATTTTGCTTCATCAAACTCATACGTGAAGACGCATGGCTTTCCTCTCTCGATTCGGAAGAAACCTGCTGATATCGGAGTGCTCGCCCCAACGTCGGTTGTGGAAACCACATCTATTAGTCCAAGCAACTCAGGTCAGTAGAGATTGGATACTTGAAAGTAGGGTGGCATACCGCTTCCAAAGGCGTTTCCCGAATCATTCATTGGGGCCAGCTTCATGGCTGCAGCCCGAGGTTTGTGAGTCAAGGGCATGGTTAAAGACTCGGGATTTGAAGTCATAAAAGATCTTGTGGAATTGAGAAGTTTTTTCTAAAAATGAAAGGATTGCGAAGGGGTACTTAAAATCTAGCCACACTAATACCAGATTCCGCATTTCCGACTCATCTCGGCCCCTGTCACTCACCTATCCGACTTGTTTCTTTCGGGTTGGGATAGAAAATGACTGACCTCGCACTTTTTCTCCCAATGAGGAAATATGGACCGGACATGGTCCGCTCGCGATAGCTTAGTACTCCTTCAGAGAAAGGACAAACGGTTCCTGTATGATTCGCGGTCTGTACTAACAATTGTATTTAATCAGTTCAGTTCGATCTCTCTTCTCTGTATAGGATATGATTTCTTTTCAAACAAATCATCCCGCCCGCTATGCCTTCTACACGTGAAGGTTATCTTTGGACGCCTGCGGGACATACTGATGGGCTTGTGACCGAGGCTGTTGTCAAATCCACATCAAACTCTTTGATTCTCGAGAAGTACGATGTTATCGTTGTCGGCGCCGGCTTTGCTGGGCTTATTGCAGCTCGTAACCTCAGCAGAGAATCAAACCTGAGAGTGCTGCTTTTAGAAGGTCGAGATCGCATTGGGGGGAGGACCTGGACTGCGAAAGCCCTAGGTGAAGATTTCGAAATGGGAGGGACCTGGATACACTGGTGAGAGCAGCACTTGTCAGAACTCGAACCAATGCTCACTGACTACCAGGAACCAACCGCACGTGTTCACAGAGATCCATCGATATGGCCTCCAGAAGAACCTGAAGACGTCTTCTGGGACAGCCGAAGTGAAGAACACCCTGTACACAGCTGCATATTCTTCGACCTCACAGATCGATGGATCTGAGATGAACGCGGCTGTCCAAAGAGCTGCAGATGCTTTTTCCTCCATTGATGGTCTTTCAAGCCGGCAGCTGATGCCTTATCCACACGATCCCTTCCACCAGCCGGCCCTGTGGCTGAAATACGATCACTTGTCAGCCAAGGACCGGTTGGATCAGCTTGACATACCCCAAATCGAGAAAGCCCTCTTCGACTCTATGATCAGCTCTTTTGGGGCCGTCCCAGGGAGTCAGTGCGCGTTCACTGAAGTATTGCGATGGTATGCTCTTGGTGGGCATTCTATGGCGGGTGTGTTCGAGCTTGCGGGAACGTTCAAGCTCGGAAACGGTGGAATGACTTCATTGGCGCGGTCAGTCTTATCGGACTATCGTGGACACCTGTTGCTCAACGCGGCTGTCGACAAAATTGAGCAGCATGGTGCATCTGTTCATGTTTCCACGAAAGATGGGCGGCACATCCACGCCGACTACCTAATTTCTACGATTCCGCTGTAAGCAAATTAACCTTGATGTCAATATGATCCAATCAAGATGCTGACTATTCGATAGCAACTGCATGTCTGACGTGTCTTTCTCGCCGCCGTTGTCGGCCCTCCGTCAAGACGCCATCAAGGCTGGTCATATAAACAAAGGGGCCAAGATACACTTCCACCTTGCACAGACCGATCCAGGCTGGTTCTCCATGGCGAATGGGTATGGGAATTCTCCATGGTGTTTTGCCTTCTCTGATCATAATGGCACCGTACAAAAGGATGGAACATTCTGCATCGGGTTCGGCTATGGTTCTCAGTTGACGGACCCGAAGTCCAGCGAACACATTATCTCGACTTTCGCGAAGCATATGAAGCCAGGAGCTGAAGTCAAGGCTTATCTGACTCACGACTGGGTCAGTGACGAGTTTGCCAAAGGGACATGGAGCTGTTGGGGACCCAATGCTATGACTACATCCTTGCGAGAACTCCAAAAACCTCACGGAAGAGTTCTTTTTGCAAGTGCTGACTGGGCCGATGGATGGCGAGGGTTCATAGACGGAGCTATAGAGAGAGGTGCACTTGCGAGTAGGGAGATTGAAATGCTCATGAGTAAAGGGAAAGCTGCAGCGAGACTTTGAAGCAGCGAGGTTTCGAAGCAGCAATTGGTCATTAAGCGATAGTTGTTTACTCATTTCGTAAAGCTCTAATTGTGAAGTTTCATGCTTTAAGTTATGTCACAGCTTTTGAACGGGAAAATACCGAAAACTATGAAGGCCGGTCTAGTACTCTGTTTCAAGTTGGTTTGCTATCTTGATATACTACACCAAAGCTAAATAAGGCTTTTTATAGACTTAGAATATTACATTTAATAGTAACGTTGTTTGAAACCTCTCATAGCCCAAGTAGCTTCCTCATCTCATCCCCCATCACCCCTGGATGTGGGACCACAATAGCTCCCGCTTTCTCCAGAGCTGCCGCCTTTGCGTCAGCTGAGACATCTCTTGGCGTCAATAGAGCACCTGCATGTCCCATCGTCTTTCCCTTCGGTGCTGTTCTTCCGGCAACCATAGCGATTATCGGCTTCGGATTCCGCGTCGTCTTGTTGTACTCTTCGATCGCCTCGGCAGCACGTAGTTCCGCTTCGCCACCGATTTCGCCAATAACAATGATACCCTTGGTTTCCTCATGCTCGAAAAACAGCTTCAGGCCATCAAGGAGCGTCGTGCCAGGCATCATGTCCCCTCCCATCCCGACCACTATGCTTTGCCCTAGCCCGGCCTTCGTCGTTGCACCAACAGCTTCGTAACTGAGTGTTCCGCTCTTCGACACGATGCCGACTACTCCTCTAGAGTACTGTTTGTAGGGCATGATGCCAATGCGGCACTGATCCGGAGCAATGATACCCGGACAGTTGGGACCTACCAGACGGGTTTTTGACTGCGTCCTCAGGATCTCTTGAACTCTCGCAATGTCGAGAACCGGGACATGCTCTGCGACTGACACCACAAGAGGCACTTCTGCTTCAATGGCCTCAATTATAGCACCGGCTGCAAACTGAGCGGGGACGAAGACAGCGCTTGCGTGAGGTTTAACCTTCTCCATTGCCTACAGCAATATGTTAGCTGTTCAGACTCTGTGCAGAACATTGGAGATTCTTGAGGCCAACCTCGTTCACGGTGTTGAACACAGGCAAGCCTAGATGTTCTTGACCGCCCTTTCCAGGGGACACACCTCCAACGATGTTGGTGCCATACTCAATGGTATCTTTCGCGTTGACAGTGGCCTTCAGTTGTTAGAAACACTAGAGAACACTGGAGCTTTGCTTTTTTATCTTACGGCCCTCCCTGTAAAACCTTTGATACGGATTAGTTGTGCCACCGAACAGAGTCTTCATGCAGTCTCACCTTGGTAGATCACTCTAGTGCTTTTGTCTATCCTCAAATTCGCGATGGTATCTTGCTCGTATGAGTTGCGCCTTCTGGCAGTCGATGAAAACTGTCTTTTTGCCGCATCGATGGGTCGTAAGTACTTGGCAAGATGGATGAACCTGAGGTTTTGATGCATGCTGATAGCTTCAAATCGGTAGGGAGGGGCGGCGAAATTACAAGTAGCAGTAGCAAAGCTTTCTTTTCTTCTAGAGACAAAATATTATTACCAGATTCTGTAAAACAACTCTTGACAAAGATGTTTGGACAGGGATAATTCGCATGAGACGTTGACATTTGACGTGCACTGGAGGATGGAAAGGTGTCTCGGCTATATGCGCATATAGCCGAACTCCAGTGCTTCTCGTGATGTCATCCCGGCGCCGACTCATGACTTCAACCCCGCCTCGGCAATAATCCAGCGCTTGCCGAACAGAATGGTGTTGGCCATCATGATCTAGTGAATATACGCGCAACTGATCACACCCCTCAACGCTGACTGGTACCATCTGAAGCTTGTGCTCTGCGATCATCGACTCTGCGACCTCACCTGGCTTTCCAGCCGGCAGCGTTTTAAAAGCCCACTGTCAATCGAACCTTTCAATCGGCAAGCTAAGGTTCTCGGCAATGACAAACTCCTTACGCAAGCGGGCCCGCCAGGCATGTCTTGCCTGCAATAGCAGGCGTGTCAAGTGCGATGTAACCGAGAGAATGCCATGTCGTAACTGCGCCGCAGCCGACGTCCCCTGCCATCTTCGCGAGTCGCGACGCGGCAAGCACGTGCGGCCTTCTCGTCGACTTCGCGGGTCGGCGAGCTCGGTCCCTACCTTCGAGGAGAGATCATCACCTGACCTTACAAATAACTCTTTGGAGGCTGACTCAATAACGGTTGAATCCGACGATCATTTGGCAGCGTCGCAAGTCTTGGCTGAGCTGGCTCAAGACCGAGTTCAGTCATCCTCGCTTGACCCTCGTGAGCCTGACAGCACCATCAGCGTCCAGCCGCTGTCACAACTTGACACCTTCGCGATACCCGACACTAGACAAGAGGAAGAAAGCTCCGTTTTCTTGGGTGAGTCGACATCAATTCGATATGTCACCCATGGATTCCCAACTCCATCCGATGCCGGTGCCTCGACTCCCGAAAACCTGAAGTTCCTGCATCTAGTGCCAAACGCCGTGAGGGCGGAGAACCTGATACCTCAGTGGGAGGTAGAACGGAGGCAAGCCAGGATAAGATCACTTCGAGCAGAGGGCGTCTTTTCATTCCCGCCTCAGGAGGCCGTCGAGGCTCTCCTCAGGACGTACTTCCAATGGTTCCACCCCTGTTTTCCCATCGTGGATGAGCTGGATATATGGACTCAGTATAGGAATGGTGTCTTGTCTCCGTTACTACTTCAGGCCATTCTTTTCATCGCTGTGATGCACTGCGATGAAGATGTCTTGCCGGCTCTCAATCATGGAAGCCGCCACATGGCAAAGTACGTGTTCTACAACAGAGCCAAAGACATTTACGATGTGGATTACGAAGCAAAGAAGTTCACCGTCACTCAGGCTCTGTTCTTGATGAGCTTTTGGAGAGCAGGGGCACTTCTCGAAAAGGATGCCCGCCATTGGTTAGGTGCTGCCATCAGCCTAGCCCAAACCAAGGCTCTGCATCGATCAGCACGTTCGACGACAACCGAGAAAAAGACGAATAAGCTCCGACGCCGGCTGTGGTGGTCTATATATACCAGAGAGCGACAATGCGCAGCCGCTTTGGGACTTCCAAACAGGATTAGGGATGAGGATTGCGATATCGCGCCCTTGGATGAACGAGACTTTGAGCACGCTTTCAGTCCTGATACGGCTTCGGCTAAAGTCCAGGAGTATATCGCCTATGCTGTCGGTATGGCGCAGCTCTCTCGAGTCTTGGGAATGATCGTCCACAGCGGATATCTCCCAAGCAAGTCCCTTACTTCCAGCGGCCGCTCGCAGATGAAGGACGATCTCACCCGTTGGAGGCAGAACCTTCCTGCGATAATGCAACGTGGTGTTGATGACCTCGACGGTCCACCGGGGTTCTACGCGAACATGCTACATCTTGCGTACAACAATCTTCTCATCCTTCTTTACAGATCAGGATGCATTGGAAGTGCAGAGGAGAGTCGAGAGGTAGACGGCAAGATCGCTTTGCAAGCTGCAGCCCGTAACTCTAGTATCATGGAGGACATGCTTCTTGAAGGCAATCTGCGACATGGGCAGATACACGTCATCACCAACCTCTTCAATACCCTTTGTATACACACGGTTAGTCTTCGAGCATCAGTAGGAACAGGCCGCGCGATTCTCGAGCACAGAGCCAAACTGTGTCTGCTAGGGCTCCAGGAGTTGCAGAAGACATGGGAAGGGAGGAACTGGGTGCTCCAACTCTTCTTCCAGTACTTGGATCGCTCTACGGCAGCACGGTTGCGAATGCAAGACGACTCCAATGAACTCTCAGATACCCAGAGACATCCAGCCGCAGCTGTCTCGGATTCAAGACCAGATTCGGTCGACGACATGTGCCGCTCATCACAGCGGCTACCGCAACCCCTGAATGCGGATGGACTCGACACCCTCCTCGTATCAGATACCCCTTGGTCTTGGTCTACAGAGGAGGCAAACCAGTTTTTATTCTCCCAGATTGAGAAGGATTTTGCTTTTGGTGAAGGGGGAGTGCTTGACTGGAGCCCGGGAACATCCAGCAACGCAGCGTGAAGACGGGTACAAAACGAGAGCCAAGGTTGATGATGCTGGTGTTCAGGACCCGAACCGCATTCTCAGGTCTTCAGACCGTGGACTTGAAGACAAGATCCGGAAGTACAAGTACCTTAATCACGTCTATAATGGTGTGGATTTCATCTTAAGGGCTTGAAGGCTGCAACTATATTCGCCAAACTTATACCGTGTCGCTGGAGAAGCGCGGATCGACGTTTGATACCTTGATGTTGGTTGCGGGCAGATACATCTCGTTCACGTCATTGCAACGACCATTGCAGTATGTCCACAAAGGCTTGAATGTCCTCAAAGCGACCGCCAGTCGCGGCTGAGCCATGAGACGGACGGATGAACGCAGCAGCGTAGTCCGGGCGATGTCGGCGCAGTGTCCGCCGGGAGTGGAGTACTTGCACGGCGCCGATGTGGAGAATTACGCGCCCCACCCTCCCGTTCCTCGCGGAGCCGCGGAGCTTTTAGGAGAAGTTGGCGAGGAGGACTGCAAGGCAAGACCGATGGACAAGATTAAGCTAGCATGAAAGATTAAAATAATAAATTCACCCTTCACCTGAGCCAAAGCACGATTGTTACCACAGAATAGTCAAGAAAACGCCGTGAGAAGACACTCCCTTGGGAAAAGGAGCATCTCAATGCGCTTAGTAGTTCTCATAGTTCCCAAGTACCAAGGCAGTGGAAGTGTTCCTGCCCGGTATTTTCCTGCCCGGTATTTTCTATCTTCATCTTTTGAACACAATTAACTCTTCCCTTAGTTCTCGCTTCTCGTCTCGCCTACTAGCACTGGTCAGTAGTTGCCACTCGCCTAACTGCAGATGCATAGGTATGATAATTGAGAAGATTGTTCTCGTTTGGGGTCCACGAGTACTATTCTACCTCTTGGTCCCGTTGTCTACAGCAGAGCAGACGTATTGCCAGATCATATGATTCGTTGAAAACGCCATGAAGGTGGTGGTCTTACATTCAGTGATTTCTGTGAACGAAATTCCAGTGAGGCTGAGACGAATCTTGCCCGGCTCTGCGGTTTGTAGGTAGTGCTGCAGCCAAGACAAATAGCACTAAGAATCCATTCTCTAGGATAGGTTTGGCGGGTGAGACACGCATATACGAGCTGACATGCAGGGGCAAGCAGTGTTGCGTTTATGTTGTAGGGGCGGAAAACATTGTCGCCACACGGGGAAGATGAATAAGAGAAAATGTCTCCCCTGCGAATCGTATGAAAGGCCTGCAGCCATCGGGTGAGGGATTCCCGTTTACCTGAAGCTAGGCACGTCGTTTGCCCGACAGGCGTGATGATGGATCGACCTTTTGCGTCCTTCGGGGCATAAGCGAACACGTCCGGGGAATGGCCTACTTACCGTACAACATAAATAGCTAATTGGATTAAGCTTTTCTAATGAGTAGTTGATATACATCTTATCTTCTACTACCAGACATCAACGACGAGACTACAGATAAGATGCGTCTCAGCATCGCTCTCTTCCTCCAAGCATCACTCCTCGTCACTGCGACAACGCTCGAGGATCTGACAGCTTGTCTCCGCTCTGCATCTGTTCCTATTGGTTCTTCCCTTACATCGTACAACCGTCGCGTTCCCGTCAAACCCATCCTCGTTGCTGCCCCTACCACGGTCCAACACATTTCTTCAGCGGTGTCCTGCGGCGCAAAATATGGCGTCAACGTCAATGCCAAGAGCGGAGGCCATAGCTACGTCTCTTCTGGTCTCGGTGGTGAAGATGGGCATTTGGTCATCAATCTAGATCGCATGTACGCTGTCACAGTTGCAAGCGACGGCACCGCCAAAGTCCAAGCTGGTGCGAGATTGGGACATGTCGCGTCCGAGTTCTTCAAGAAGGGCAGAGCGATATCGCATGGGACATGCTTAGGGCAAGTTTCGACGGTCTTGACCGGATCTGTCTTCTAAAACGTGATGTCGGGAAACAAATGCTAAGTCAAGAATAGTGTCGGGATTGGCGGCCATGCCCTTCACGGAGGCCACGGCATGGTCTCTCGAAAGCACGGGTTTGCCATGGACTGGGTCAAAGGCGCGACTGTGGTCCTTGCCAACGGCACCATCACACGATGCTCAGCAACCGAGCGACCCAACCTCTTCTGGGGCATCCGGGGCGCAGGCTCATCGATGGTCGTCGTTGCGGAACTCGAGTTCAACACGTTTGCGGCGCCTGAGAGGTTGACGTATTTTGACATCGATCTGACTTGGAACACCCAAAAGGTAGCCCAGGTTCTCTTTGATACGCAGGAATTCGCGAAAGGAATGCCGGCAGAGTTGACTATGGCGTTTACCTTCAACAACGACGGTTATTATCTGCATGGCGCTTATGTCGGCGACGACGCAGCTTTTCGAACGGCTATTCAGCCACTTCTGACCAAATTGAGCGTTAAAGTTTCAAGTTCAAAGACAGTCGGTTGGATTGACTTCATCAAACACTACGGAGACTCTGATGAGATTGACATCACTACTCCCAACTACAGCGAGGTATGACAGTCCCATTCTCGGAGCATTTGGGAGACCAAGTCTGACAAACACAGCACGACAACTCCTATGCGTCAAGTCTCACCACGCCCGCCTTGACGAAGGCCAACTTGCAGTCCCTCGTTGACGCCATCGCCAAGACGGGTTTCTCACTGAGCCGCACTTGGTTCGTCCATATGAACCTTCACGGGGGTGAAAAGTCCGCCATCTCTAAACCTATTGATGCGGCTTACGCGCACCGAAACAAGATGCTCATGTTCCAGTTCAAGGATAGTGCCCTCCTATCTGGAACATATCCTAAGGATGGGTATTCTTTTCTTCAAGGTCTTAAGCAGAGCATCACGAAAAATTTGGCAAGCAGCGACTGGGGGATGTATGCAAATTATCCTGATTCCCAGCTGAGTAGCACTGATGCGCCCAAGCTGTACTATGGGAGCAGTCTGAACAGGTTGGAATGGATCAAGGAGGACTATGACCCGAATGATCTATTCAGGGATCTTCAATCAGTCAAGCCAGCAGAGTGAGGAGATTTGCCTCGAGACGTCAACATCATTGCAGTTTTTAGTGTGTTTGCACAGTTACTACCCACTCCCTCTTCGAACTGTGGGAAGAAATAAATTTGTAAACAGTAAAATATATACATCGATGAAGAGAAATATAAAGTGACCATAGTCCCAAGTCAAACTAGATCCTAGCTCTTAAATCCTGTCAGCCTCAGCCAGTGACGCCTTATCTGGCTCGTTCAGCTACCACTCTTAGTAGTTCACCCGACCCAGATGGGCGCCTGTAAACTCGGCAAAGTAAATGGCGTCCGGCTGCTGGTTGTTGAGATCACACGGGGCACTGAGGCTAGTAGGAGTGACGTACTCCACGAGCTGCTGGGTCTTGGGGTCGTACTGCGCAACGCGGTTTCCAAGGAAGACCAGGTTTCCCTCGACAAAGTAGACCTTGCCATCGTTACCGACACGGATCGGACCAGGCAGAGCCAGTGCCCCGGAGGAACCAATGCTAAGACCGTTCTCAATGACAGTGGAGTTGCCTGCAGCGCGGATGTCGGCGATGAACATCTCCGTCACCTCGCCCGTTGTGGCGTTGATGGTTCCAAAGTTTCCACCGCCCGTTCCGGTCCACCAGATGAGACCGTCCTTGTCCGTAGCGACACCCTGAACCAGCGACAACGGTGTCGGGATCTCGTACTCCTTGATCTCCTTGGTGATCACATCGATGGTGCCGACCCTGTTCCCCAGAATCTCCGAGAAGACCATGGTGTTGCCCGGGCCGGCTTGGATGATGAGAGGGGCCGATAGCGGGTTTGGCAGCGTGTAGATATCGTACTCGTGGGTGTCAATGTCAAACCGGCCGATGGCGTTGAGGCCGACGGACGTGAACCACGCTCCGCGGTCGCGGCCGCCGGCGACGTCGATGGTGACGCGGATTCCGGCGGGAAGATTGTCGAGGACCGAGATGTTGGTCCACGGGAAGGGGTATTCGGTCATGCTGCCATCCTTGGGGTCCAACTTCACCATGCTGTTGCCGACTACTTCGGAAAACCATAGGTTGCCGTCCGCCAGGAACTCCATGCCGCTGGGGAGACCCACGGGGTTGTTCAGCGGAAATCGTGTTTGCTCGCCGCTCGTCAGGTTCACCCTCAGGATCGTGTTGGAGGCAATGAGTTCGACCCAGGCGACATCGAGGTGGTCAGGGTGGAACTCAGTCTCGCAGGCGGTGTCGAGCAAGGAGACAGCGGCATATTCCTCCAGTCCTTTCTCCCGCCTAGGCCGGTTATGTCCCTGGCTTGCGCTGGCGAGAGTTGAAGAGCCGAGGAGAAGGCTAGCGAAAGTTGAAGTCTTCATTGTGACAGAATATCAAGTGGAAAATGAGTGACGATTAAGATAGCGGATAAGGCGATAAGGACTGACGATTTAAAATCTTGCAAATTGGTGGTGCCTTTCACTTACAACGGGATACTATGAGAAGTATATAAACACACAAGGTCCCGCCAAGGGCCTGGCATCTGTTGTGGGCAGTAAAAAGTTCGCCCTGGCAAAACACAGTTCAGCCCCCTTTTTCCCATTCTTTTCCTTTTCTTCTTGATAATTGAGATGTGCATACGGAGCACGTTCGAAACTCTACATTGGCAGCTACAAATTAGTCCAGTTGGCACGTGGCCCGGGGAATTTCTTGTGGTTGAAAGCTGACTCGATTCCCCGTTGTCGGAACTCGATGTTTCTGATGTCGTCTATTATGGAGTCTGGACCTGTCCCAACGGGCCGTACAGAATTTCGGTTCAGCACAAGCTGGGGTCCCCCAGGCTGTCAGACAAGGTTTCTTACGTCGCGGGCCGTCCTGAACTACACTCAATTCGTCTAGCAGCCAACGCGTTTTGGCACGACTTCGTTCTGTCTCATTTCTCGTAACCTGGATCCTCCGCTGTCTGCAAATGCCGAACATGGAGAATGGACCTTTGTCGCTGCTTCAAGAGAGTGATCGGCGAACTGGAGATGGGTTCGTTGATACAGTCCAGGAGCGTAGGAACTGACGGGGCGAACGACATGACTCGCCTTTTCGGCCCAGCCCCAGAAGCATCCGGTCGGATTCGCTTTACCACCAACACGCGCCAGAAGATTTCCATACTTCTCTCTGCGAATACACTTTCTTGGCTTCGAGTACGAGAAGATCATGCTGCCGGAAACGCCTTCCGGCATGGCCTCCCTTGATAGCAGAGACCTTACCGCAACGATCAATCCCGTAACGGTTTAACGGCCGCGCCGAAGTGCGTGACGGGCCTAGTGGGGGCTCATTCAGCGCTGCATCGATGTTTTTTGGAATCGTTTAGGATGGCGCCATTGCGAATTCTACGGACACGCTGACATCTTAAACTCCGTTCTGGACTACTCCGTACGTTCTGGCCCCTTACAGCGCACGTGTCGTCTTGATATCAAATCTCTTCCCTGTCTTAACGCGCTCCACCCTCACCTAATTCCACCCTCACTTCCGTGCCTGGGTAGACCCACGACCCAAAGTAGATAAGAAGATCCCCAACTGCTGTTCAAGCGGCGTGTACCGGCTCAGTACGTACCTCATCACTACATAGGGCTTACTGCATGCAACGGTACATATAAGTGGGAAAGGTCTTGTAGCCAAGTGGTTGGGATATCTCGAAACAACACCGTGAACATAACCGATCGAAACAACATGGCAGACTCGACACAAAGGTTCCAAGTTATCATTGCTGGCGGTAGCCTGGTAGGCCTGACCACAGCACTGGCTTTGGAAAAGGCTGGGATCTCGTACGTCCTGTTGGAGAAGCGTGAAATCGCTCCGCATTTGGGAGCGTCCATCTCCATTCACCCGCATACCCAGCGGGTGATGGAGCAGCTGGGGGTGTGGCCTGAAATCGAGGCAGGCGTACTGCCTCTTCAGGACAGGCAACACTATGACGAGAACGGCGTCATGTTTGAGGATTCTTCGATATTGCAGGAGATATCTAGGCTGTAAGTCAAACGCAGTAGCACTAGTGGTCAAGTGGCTGAAGCAGATCAATCCCAGGTGTCACAACCGGTGTACAGCATTCATGGAACGTAAGTTCTGGATCGGCTGTATCTATAACACCATCAAGGACAAGTCTCGCATTCGCGCCAACTCCGGAGTGGCCTCATTCGTCGAGTCCGCTGAAGGCGTAGAAGTGACGACGGAGAGCGGCGAGACACTCAGAGGAGACATCCTCCTGGGCGCTGACGGCGTCCATAGCCATGTCCGAAGTCTCCTAGCAGAAAAGGTCGGCGGCACTGATGCCGCTGCCGCGCAGAAGATGCGGGAGTGCTATGTCAGCACCTATCACGCCATCTTTGCCACCTCGAGGAATGTCACCGCGAAGGGAGGCCTGTTTCTTCCGGAGCGTATGGTGCACAACGTCTACTACCCCGGCTTCTCTGGCGTTGCTGCTGCCGGTGTTCGCGATCTCGTGTTCTGGTTTCTATTCGTCAAAAGCGACCAAGTCACCAAGACACCGAACACACCGCGCTTCACCGAGGAGCAGACACTGGCCACAATCAAGCGATACGGAGACCGCAACCTAGGCCCCGGATACACCTTCAAGGACCTGTGGGACACCCGGGTCAAAGCGAACATGGTGGCGCTCGAAGAGGGAGTGCTCCAGACGAAATGGAATTCCGGCGGCAGGGTTGCCCTGCTGGGGGATGCGGTGCACAAGGCAACAGTCAACCCGGGACTGGGGGGCAATCTCGCCGTGGAGGGCGTCGTGCACCTCATGAACGAGCTCGTGCCCCTCCTGCGCAGATGCGAGGCGGACGGCATGCGAAAACCGACCACCGCCGAGCTGGCAGCCACGTTCGACGAGTACGAGAAGAAACAGCGGCCGCATGCCGACCTCATCGTGAATGCCTCTGGCTACATCACGCGCTACGAGGCCATGGACACATGGTGGCTCAACGCCCTCCGCCGTGTCTCCCCTTGGGTCAGTGACAGCATGAAGGCGAGTGGGTTTGCTCGGTACATCAACGAGGGGCCATGGTTGAATTTCCTGCCCAACCCAGATGAGCAACCGGGATCTGGGGAAGGGGGCCTTTGAAATGCGTACGGCGGATGCTATCCGCCTGATAGACACATCTCCCCACGTTGAAGTTCTTCAAATCTTGGAACCGGTCGATTCTGCATTCTGCAAGGGCACGGCTTGTGGGGACCAAGGAGAGTCCCGAAGGATGAGCGAAATGTAAGCTTTCTGATTTCCCTAACGAAATTGGAAGTGAGCTCGAGTCAGTGTCATCAGGGCACCCGGTTTCTGGTGGAAGACCATGCTTGAGGGGGTTGACTTTTGATCGGCATCCAATTTTTGTTGAGTTCATACGTAGATTGGCCAGTTTGAACACCCTTGAATTTGAATTCATTCCCAAGACGGATCCTTCGCAGACATGGTATCAGAAATTTGAAGCTTCAACTCTGGAACGGGAAACGCCAAGCACCTTCACAGCTTCTCAAGGAATCAATTACGAACCAACATGAATCAGGTACGTTTCCAAATCTCTCCAAATCTCAAGCTATCCGCAATGTCTTCGGAGCGCATTCGGGTGCTAGGTAGAGATCGTTGGAATACCCGTCACCCGGTACCTGTGGCCCATGCTGGCGGTGAGAGTTTCTGGCCAGCGTCGTATGATCGTGGGTTCCTACAGAACCGCTTTCGATTGCTGACTCAGTACTTTCGGCACATGGGTTGTGTCCATGAGATGGCCGGGGTACAACACACAGCAAGGTACAGGAATGGGAAAAGACCAACAGATGCGCAAATCTCCTCTCGACAGCGTTCAGGAACCCCGTCTCTTGCTTGATTCCGCTACCACGGTGGAACCCCTGAAGGACTCGTGAGTCCTGGTAAGTAAGCATCTTCGCAAACTCTCATATAAACGGAGTCGGAGTCAGCTGGAGTTATGTATTCTCCGTGTTTTCAACCTTATTCGGGCACTCATTTCTCTGTCCCTGAACACACACCGCCCCCACCCGGTCTTCTCGAGCATCGACTCTCATATCCCAGAGATGGCGAGTACTGGGACTTCGGAGCTTGGCGATGATGAGAAGTATGAGATAGCTGTCTCGTACGGAACCATCATATCTACAGGTGTTTTGGCAATTTTGGTTTGCGGCACACGGGTTTGTCTTGGAGAGTGTGGGAACCTGTGAAAAGTCGAAAACTGCTGACCTTTGGTGTCCTGGTAGCTTTACGTTCGCAAATTCATGATCAAAGCCTTTGGACTTGATGATTGGGCTTGTCTCGTTGGTTTGGTGTGTCATCTTGTCAAGTCTACTTTTCCCCAAGAGCACGATAACTAATGCAGAAGCTAGGTCACTGTAACCATATTCAATGGCATTGGGCTGGCTGTCGTACACTACGGTGTTGGGAAACATATTCAACATGTTTCGCAAGAGGATCTGGCGATCTGGTTCTTGGTACACATTCCCCCTCCTGGCTGGTCAACTGGGACTGCTTCTAACACGACAATTATTAGTTATACTACATCTGCATATGCATGTATTTGTTCGTCTCCCTGGCCGTCAAGTCTAGCATTCTTCTGTTACTGCGACGAGTGTTTCCAACACGTAGGTTTTATACTTCGGTGACATCTCTCTTCCTACCTCCAGCTGATCTTTTCCTCTCTTCTAGCGTACATCCAACACACGACGCTCGGCCTGATCATATTCTTGGTGCTCTTTACGATATCAGGCTCACTCGTTGCGGCGTTCCAGTGCACTCCACCCAAGTATGCGTTTCAACTGGAGTTCCTCATGTCGCCCGACAGGGCGAATCACTGCTTCTCCACGGATGTTACCTATGGAATCTTCATGTACCAGGCCGCCACGCTTTTCGCCTGTGACATCATCATCTTCCTCCTTCCATTCCCTGCGTTGTTGAAACTCCACATCAACTCTACCAAGAAGACGGCGCTTCTGTTGGTCTTTGGCAGCGGCTTGGTAGCCTGCATTGCGCCCGCCATCAGGTTCGAAAGCATACAGTTCTACAAGTCTGGATCCTCAGACACAACCTGTAAGTTCGAAGACGCTTGACTTTCGCTAGGCTTGGAGACGAGTGGCTGACGATTTTGGTCTGCAGACGCGGGTGCGGCATCCTTGTATTGGATGGCTATCGAGTACAACCTCGGCCTGGTGGCCGCGTCATTACCGGGACTGCGGCCTCTGGTCGCCAAAGTCATCAGTACGCTGGCATCCAGCAAAGGTAGCTCAGCCTACAACAACAATCAATTCTCGCCATCTTATCAACTCGACAACTGCGACAACAAACCCTGGAACTCTTCCGAGCGCAGCGGGACCAAAAGAAGTAGACATGTTCAAGGGGACAGCATCCTCGAACCCACGGTGTTGGGCGACCGCACTTCTGATGACAGCGGGCGCCAGCACATACTCAAGACCCAGAGCGTTAGCATTACTACGAAGGAATCGGGGGATGCTGCTTCGCTCGAGAACGGACATCAGCCCTGGCAAGACTTTGACCGGAAGAAATAATCACGTCAATATTAATGATTTATCAGTGAAGGGAGCCACTCAGAAGTAACAATCGCTTCGGCGCTCGATACTCCATCTTTTAATAATAAAAATTAAGGTTCATAAACTCTAACGAAATCTGTTGTGACTGTTGCTACGGGTCTCCGGCTGGCTATTCGGCCAGCGCCTTGAGGTCTCGTGAAGAAGCAGGGATGCGGCAAAATCTGACAAAGTGGCTGAACGGTTCGACAGGTATCATCAACCTTTTCATGTACACAAAAGAATTCAGTTATTCGACCGTTCCCCGTATTTCGTACAAAAATCATGACAAAGGAAAGCAAGTGGTATAACCGTCAACCGTGACAAAATGAGTTCAAACATCGAGCATAACCAGAGCGGCTAAGAAATCATGCCTTGGTCTTGCCATCCCAGAGGATGATGCCGACAGACTCCTCCCAGCCACGACTGGCGGCAATCTCCATGACCGTGCGGCCAGCATCGTCCCTTGCGTCGAGGTCAACGCCGCCGGCCGAGACGAGGAGCTTGAGAATCTTGGCGTCGCCGTTCTCGACGGCCTGCATGATGGCATTCCAGCCACGGTAGATCTTGTTGGCATCAGCACCCTTGCGGAGCAGCATCTCGATGATATCGGTATCGTCCCCGCGGCAGCGACGGACGGCCTTGACGATAGGCAGATGCTCGCCAGGGGCGTTGATGTCGGCACCACCCTCCTCGATGAGGAAGCGGGTGATCTCCTTGTTATCCTCGCGAATGGCGGTGGTCAACGGAGAAAAGACGCCGCCGTTCTTGTCCTCCACAGACACACCGCCCTTCAGCAGCAACTTGACACATTCAAGTTGGTTGGCAACGACGGCACGCTCCATCAAGCCCTTGAAAGTGCGAGGGTCGGGTACAGCCGGGAGAAGCTTCCTGAGTACCTCGGGGTTCTGGACGGCCATGACGATAGGCCAGTCCGAACCGCGGATGTTAGGGTCGGCGCCGTGAGCGATGAGTTCGTCGAGCATCTCCATGCGGTTCTCCCTGATAGCTGTGGTGAGTGGCGTGTTGCCGTCCTCGCCCTTGTCGTTGGGGCTGACACCCTGGTCGAGAAGCCACATAAGAGCCTCCATGTTGTTGACCTTGACAGCCATCTCGATGATACCCTTGGGGTTGTGAAGGTCGTTGCCGGCGGCGACGAGACGGGGGAGGAAATGTGTGCGGAAGTGAGTGACACACTTGAAGGCGGGGTACTCGGCAGAGTTGAGGTTGGGGTCTGCGCCGCTGTCGAGCAGGAGCTCGAAGATATCTGCGCGGTTGTCACGGATGGACGTGCAGAGAGGAGTCCAGATGCCATCTTTCTTGATGTTGGGAGAGACACCAGCTGAAAGGAGGACGCGAACGGACTCGATGTTGTTGATGCTGACAGCGAGCTCCATATTGCCTGGTGCCTTCGAGTTATCGCCACCACGGGCCAAAAGGACCTTGAGGCAAGGTGCCTGGTAGGTAGCAGGCCACAGCATGTGCTTGGGACCAGGCAAATTGGGGTTGGCTCCGTGGTCCAGAAGAGTAGTGAGAAGGTCGACTCTCGCAGACTGGATAGACTCGAACAAGGCAGTCTTGCCTTCCCTGTTCTTGACATTCGGGTCTGAGCCGTAGTCAAGCATCAGGTCGACAAGCTTCTTGGGCGTCGACTTGTTCATCGAGGCGATGAGGACCGTGTTGCCGTTGGCCATGATGTGGTTCGGGTCACCGCCGTATGTGAGGAGAATGTGGACAAAGTCGATCTTGCCATCAACGACGGAGATGGCCAAGGGTGATTCTTGCGAGGATCCGGCAGACATGTTGGGGTCCGCACCATACTTGAGAAGCATCTTGGCGATTTCAAGCGCGTTCATCTCGACGGCCGCGAAGAGAGGAGTGATGCCGTCCCTGTCGGGGGAGTTGGGGTCGGCACCGAAGAGTAACAGCAGACGGATGCTTTCGTTGTCTTGGCACAGGACCGAGTCAACAAGTACATGGTTGTCCGCGCCGGTGTCAGGGGAGACTCCACGGTCCAGTAGTTGCTCGATCAGCTTGTGGTTCTTTCCTTGCACGGCTGAGATCAGGGAAGCTGTGAGGGCAGGGTTGCCGTTGGCGTTATGACGTGGCGTCCAGCGGGGCATGGTCATGGGATCCGCCTTCAAACGGACTACCTTGACGGGGATGCTGTCTGCAATATTTTGAAGCTCGCCAATAAGCGTCTCTGTGCCCGAAGAGGATGGAGAGATGGTGTTGTCTGAGTCACGGAGATTCCTCCTGTCAGAAATGCGGCTGGGAGCATCATAGGTGTCTGAGATGGTCAAATCATCTCGTGCTGACCTCCTGTCAGTGTTGATTCTTGTGGGCATGGGCGCATGTTGGATGTCGTAGTGCCCATGCTCTGAAATAGTGATATCATCCCGACCGATCCTACGGTCGGGAATCCTAGCAGAATGTGCGCCGTGGTCAGAGGAGCTGTGATGACTCCTGTTGGAGATGGATGTGCGGCGCCGCGGGTCGGGCGATAACCTCGTATCCTGCATGACAAAGTCTGCAGACATCTTGTCAACAAGAGAAGGAGGAGGAAGATGAGGAGCTTGAGAGGGGAGAGCAGGCAGAGGGGGTAGTGGAGGAGAAGTCTCGTCGGAATGGTCAGGAGGGGTGTGTTGGACCTCGAACGACTTGGACTTGGCTATCCGCACCGTCGAGTGAGACTGGCTGATGCGATCAAGGGCAGCAGCAAGGCCAGCATAGCCGTTGCCGACAGCCTCGTCAGTCTTGGAGTTTCCGAGAGACCATTGGAAGACGAGAGCACTCATTCTCAGAGCGTCTCTGGCCTTGCGTATCGACTCCCTCATCCTGAAGATCTCCTTATCCGCAAACATCATGCGCCAGCCGCGCTGGATCTTGCCCATGGCGCCCTTCTTCTCATACTCGAGGAACTCGAACATCATGTGGTCGAGCACCTGGAAGTCCGAGTTGGTCTGGCGGAACTTGGTATCGAGCTCCTTGATCATGTCGGCCGGGAACTCCTGGTGGGTGCGGGCCGCCTCCGAGAGGCCGGCCTCGATGGACCATAGTATGCGGCAGATGTCGAGGAAGTCATTGGCGAGGTCCTTGAATCCGTGGGGTTGGTGTTTGACGTTGGTGAGAAACTCGAGCATGCGAACCGAGATGTTGTTACCAAGAAGGGTTGCCCTGGTGCAGAGATCCAGGACGGACTCCTTGGCCTTCGGCTTGCCGTACATGGCAGCGGTCATGGTGCCCTTCCTTACGAGAGTGTTGGCAGCCCTTGGCTGGGTGGACATAGGATGCGTGATCAAATAAGGTAGTGATGAGAGAGGTAGTGACTGAGTGGGTAGGCCGTTAGACTGTCGAACCAGAGACGGGATATCCGCGAGTCCGCGCAACGCCCAACGACTGAACGCGGTGTTAAGGATGTAAGAACGCGAAGGAGTGTAGAGCTGGAATGCGTGATCCCCGGGATTCAAGGGCAACGTGGGAATCGGGGGCTGTTTATGTTCAACCCGCCGCTGCGGTTACATGCTAAAAGATCGAACAAACCCCCAAGTTCTCGGCGGGCAAATCCAAGACTCTCGGAAAGAACCCTCGGACAGGTCGAGGTCTAGTTGGCGTCGGCCGACATAGACAAGACTCAAGCCCCAAGCCACCACCCGCGCTAACTGGGGCTCATGGGGAGAAGCAGGCATTGTGCCAGTTCGAGGACCTGAATCGCGATTGCACAGGAAAAAGAGTGACAAACACCACGCCTACGCTGGAAGGGAAGGCAAAAGCCGTGGTGCCAGGTACAAGGAAGTTTTCGAGGAACCAAGTCTACGCTAGGCAGTTAACCCCAGAGACGACGTGCGCTAGGCCGGCCGCTTTGACACAAAGGACTTGGAAATCAGAGAGGCAAACCAGGCAATCCGACTAAGTCGAGACGAGACAAGAGGCAGCGGCGGAAAGCTCAAAGACGGGTAGACTGACATCTGCCACCCACTAGCTGGCGTCGGGTCCCAGCGTTTGTGCCTTGACGTGGAGGGTGGGAGGGCTCGAACTCTTCAGGGGAGAAGGAAGACTTCTGCTTGGAGGGGAAGTTAAGGGCGGGACACGAAATGAGTGAAGCAGATAGAAAAGCAAGTATGACAAACTCATTCCGAAGAAAACCAGAGAGCGTTCTGTGCGCCCAATGGCTGCAGCGTTTGTTACCTATCCGTGTCTCATTGACGCCGGTGGCGTGGGGAGCTGAGAGGAACGGCCGAGCCCACGTGAAGGAGAGTCTTGTGGCTCATATTCAGGGTTGCTCATGTCCTCTGTCGCATCTCTGAGTTCTTAGACATGTTTGGCAGTCTTCCTGGGACCCCCGTGGGTCTAGAGAAGGGGATTGGGATGAGGCCCTTCTTGCTTTTTTGCTGGTTCATCGTCTCGGCTGTCAATTGATTGTGAGATCTGACCGATCCAACTTCGCATATCTTCCCGGAAGGAATATGAGCTACGGCCGGCGGATGCCGATCAAGCCTCATCGGCCATGTCGGTCATTGTTCTTTGTTCTGATTCAAGGGCGCGGGCGACAACTGTTCGGCAGTCAGGATTAAGCACATCATTTTATCACATTCCTGAATTCTGATTTGCGGCAGCGCGGTGATATGCGAGGCTTTCGCGGGTGCGCATCTTGTGGTCTCAACTGCGACGTTGAATGCACGAGTACCGGTATTGGATGAATGCTGAGATGGCAAACTCTCAATGCACAGACGCTCTAAGTATCGGTTGATAAGAGGTCTGTTCATCCTCGGTACAAACTTTCTGGCGTGATCTTGTGTTATCTGGACTGTCGATATCAAATCAGCTTCGTACCTAGTCAGTTGCGGTCGGTCCAGATTGACTCGAGCGCGGTTCGTTGGAGAATTATGAGAAAATTCAGCAACGAACTGCGGGTCTGAACGTTCCTGACGGCAGCTCTAGCCTCACGACAGCTAATGCAGTCTACATTAGCTGCATGGTAAATATTAGCTATCGAATCACTCGTGTGACCCGATGACACAGCGTTGTCCATCATCCATGCATTAGACTGGTCTGGACGAGAGCTGAAGCTGCCAATGTTGGTCGTACCTGGGTACCGTCCAGGGGTCGAGCAAGCATTCGACGACGCGAGGGAAAAAACTAGCAGCTAGCCATCGCGCTTTCGACCCTGGACCGCGGGGAATAGCCATGACATGCCCCGTTCCAATAGGCATGGGGAAAAGTCTTGACTCTTGAGAAGTGCATGTGCCCTGATCGACGCGGCGCAAAATCAGTGGCGCACGCCTATTGACTTCTTCTCGGAGACCTGTATCTATATCTGGTGTCTCTCGCTGAAGAACATGAAGACGAGTGACGGCTTGCTGCCGATTTCCAACCGGGATGGAGGGAGAGAGAGAGAGTAACATACCGACCTATTCAAGACACCGGCATTCCCTGCCGCGCGACCTGTTTCCAGCATTCTCATTCGCGATGCCGGAATCTGGTCGACCATGGGTAATCCAACTTTGCCATGGAGCTTGGCTGGACCAGGTCACCAAGTTATCATTACGCCGCTTGGCTTAGTCGAGCTGGAGCTGGGCGCTGTTGGTGGCCGTAGCGGCCGCAGATGTTGCGGCCCTGGCCTCGCGATATTTGCAATTCCCACCAACAAACCTCGAAGGAAGGGAACAGACATGTCTAGATGAGCCGCCGGAATGCCTCGACGGATGGTGCCTTGCTCAAAGACCTCTTCGAAAGACAAAGCGCGGGGGCATAGAAGCCACCAAAAGCCTCAAATCGTTTGGCCCGCGACCGCGACGTAAGAGGGTCTCTTCCAACGCCTCTCTCTCTGTGTGTGTGTGTACATGTCTCCGAGATGGAGGAGGGAGACACACCAACGGATCCTGCGCCAACGCAACGCCATCCCAACTACTACCGACCGTGCCACTGTCGTCTGGTCTGATTTCTGTATTTTATCTCCGTAGCCCACTGGGTTGGAGAGAAGTAGCAGAACTGCCACTCCGCCAGAGCAAATAGCGTCGATATTAGACTTCGGCCGCGCCGGGTCCACGCGTCAATCAGTACCATCACCTCGGGAGTTTACATCCACTGCTTGAGAAGAGGACGAGAACCGAGGCGCGCCGCTTGTATGATTCCGGCCTGTCTGATTGCCAAATTGCCTGCAGCTGTTTGTCCTCGTCTGAGAGCTACTGTTTCTGCTTGCCTTCCCGGGGACCAGTAGGCGTGCAAATTTACAGCCCCCCAAGTTCAAGCCTGATGGCGTTTGCTCTAAGTCACCACTGCCGGTTCATCGGTCGCCCCCGGCATCGTTCCTCGTATCCAGGTTTGTGGTGTCGCGAGATGTGTGTTCGGGTGGGATTCTGGGGGACGAGCTGAGAAATGCAATCTCGCAGGGCTTGCTGATCCTGGATTGCTATCGATTGCCACGTGGAATGGTCCTTACCCCCTTTTCCGTCCCTTTTCTTCGTTAACGGGTATGGATAATGGTCATTTTGACGCAGCTCACGAAATTGGGGTCCTCGTAGACACATGCGTTGCTGGTCTTGAACTCGCCGCCTCTCCAGAAGCGCATTCAAGACTTGGATCTTGGGTCCGATCCCGAGAAACGAATGCTGCTAGTCACGTCCCGCCGCGGAGGATTCGCTCCAAGCTTTTGGCCCAACCTAATCTCATGATCTCTGTCCATTCCCCAAAAAGAAGGGAAACGAGGTCTTTGTCAGTCTCAGACAACGCCCCCGTCTCCCGTTCCCCGTCTCGCACCGCTTCCCTCAAACAGCGGTTCAGCGGGAAGTGATCGATCTCGAAGGATCCACTGATCGGCATCATATAAAGAAGTGAGACAGACGCCGCGGCGCACACCTCGCCGTCTTGAGACCCTTTTGCACACTGACCGTCGCCTACTGATCCCTCTCGGGTTCGGTGTTTTGCGGCTTGACTTTCGCCGCATTCGCTGCCTCATCTTTTCATGCGCACCGTCTTCGCCAACGTCGCAACGCCAGTGTATGACACGAAGTTGGGGAGATCAATCATTCAGGTCACAGAAACGTTTGATGCCGGTAAGCGGTCGTACATCAAATTATGAGAGCCACGGCCCAGTCTCACATGAAGGATGCGAATATCGACGAAGGAGTCCAGCGTCGCATTATCGGGTGTATTACTGACAAATGAAAGCAGACCGTTAGATGAACGCTGCATGTTATGAATCTCTCAGAGTTTTCGTTCGAATCAATTCTTTTTGTCCCTACTGTTACCGGGTTTTCGTCAATATTACATACAAAAGGAAGAGGTTCGCGACCTCGTGTCTCATTCGCCATGCCATCGTAACACCGCACCGGGCGCCTCAGACCTCGTTACACGCCAAGGATCACGTCCGCCGCCTTCTCGCTCACCATATACACAGGAACCGCAATATAGAAACCAGGGATCTTGGGAAACACCGAGGCGTCCACCACCCGCAAGCCGTCCGTCCCCCTCACCCTGAACTGCGCGTCCAGCACAGCCATCGAGTCACCGTCCTTTCCGATCGGGCACGTACAGCTCGCGTGGTGGCCCCATGCCTCGTTTCTCACGAAGCCCGGCAGGTCCGCGTCCGTGACGTTCGGCCCGGGCCAGACCTCGGTGAACCCTCCCGTCAGGGGCACCACGTTCTCGAACATCTTGCGCGACAGCTGCATGCCCTCCACGACGGCCTGGATGTCCTTGGCACCGTCCGCCTCGTTCTGGAAGGAGTTGAAGTCGATCTGGGGCATGTCTTTGGGGTCGGAGGAGCGCAGCTTGACGGTTCCGGCGCGGTTTCGAGACGCCGCTTTCAGCGTGATCCAAGACCAGTGGCGCGCATCCGCGGTGCCGGCGGCCGAGTACCCGGGGTAGTACCCAGGGAAAGCAACGGGCGCGCCGGCGATAAAAAGGTCAGGGTCTCCCTCTGACACGGACGACTTCTTCACGATGCCCAGCGAAATACCATTGGAGCCGTAGATGCCCGGTGAGCTCCCGCTAGCGGTGCCCTCCTCCCACTTCTTGAGGCAGGGATCATCGGTGCCAGGACGGATGAAGGTGCAATCGCCAGTGATCTGGAAGTCGGTGGGCGTTTCGCCGATGACTGTTGTCTCGTAGCGGTCTTGCAGGTTGGTGCCGACACCAGGTAGGTCGACAACAACGGGGATATCAAACGAGGAAAGCTCATCCTTGGGACCGACGCCGCTGAGCTTGAGGAGCTGCGGGGTGTTGAAGGCGCCGGCGGCGACGATGACCTCGGCGGTGGCGTTGACGGATCCGGCGGTCTGGCCAGCGGCGCTTCCGGATCGAGGGTCTGCGCGGTACAGGCTCTGACCAGTGACGAAATCCACGCCCACGGCCCGCGGCTTGCTTCCGCTCTGATCAAATCGCACTTTTGTGACGAGGGTGTTGAGCTTGAGGTCGAGGTGATACTTCCTGGAGCCGTCCGCGTTCTTTGCATTGGCGGTGTCGAGGATGAATTCACGTGGTCCGACACGTCTTCCGTCTTTTACGGAGATGGGGACTTGATAGAGGCCTTCGGAGGAGTCGCGGCTGGACGAGTCGACGTTGAGATCTCGGAGGAGCACCTCGCCGAGACCCTGGATGGTGGAGAAGATGAGTCCGAGGAGGGACTTGCCCATGGCTGAGGCGGCGGATAGAATGACGGTGAGCAGCTTCACGTCCTTGATGACAAGACCCAAATCAGTCACGCTGGTCGTGAGCCAGCCGCTGAATCCATGTCCGATGATGCCGTTGGGCAAGTACTCGGCGTTCTCGAGGCGCTTGAAGTACTGGCGCATGTTGGAAGCGCTCCACGAGCTGTCGCCCGTCAAGGTCGCGATACCATCCCAGTCAGACTTGTGCGGGTACACCGAAATCAGAGCGTTGTGAGACCCGCAGCCTCCCAGCGTACCGGCTCGAGGGTAGAGGATACCGAGCGGCTCGGCGCCGGCGGGCGGGTTCAAGCCCACGTAGAGCTCCCCGGACGACGTACGGTACGTCATCTTGGAATCCTTCTTCTGGGCCTCGAGGTCGCTGAAATGGTTGACATAGTAGTCCCATCTCATCGGGTCGTATTCTGTCGATTGCAGGTTGAGCGCAGGCACCTTGTACGGGACAGAGTCGCCCTGGTCGTCACCGGCGTCGATGAGTAGGACCTTCTTGCCGGCGATGGCGAGCCGGGCGGCGAGGGGTCCACCTCCCGGCCCGGAGCCGACGATCACGTAGTCGTACGAGGTGTCGGTAGACTGACGCGCATAAAGCTGTTGGCTCGGACTGTTGATGGCATATTCGTTAGCGACATAGCAACACGGACGTTTGGCGGATCGAACTTACACAGCAGAAGCTGTGGCTACGATGTAGCCGAGCAGCGCGTTCGTGACATGGAGGCCCCAGCGCATCTTTGCCGTGAAGCTTCGAGCCGGTCTTTTCGATGGTCGCAGTACCGAGCAACTCAAAAGAAGACTATCACGAAAGCTTGTCCGAAGCGGCGCGAGCCCGTCTTTAACATCTTCACGAGAGACCCCTCTCGGCCGCGATGAGCTGGATCGCAAAAACCACAATCCCCTCGACTTTGATTAAACTCGTGATACCTTCCCCATCTCTGATGCGACCTGCTTCATTGCCATATGCATATAATTTGGCCGATGCTATGTATGGTAACATGGTCACCCATTCAGGAACAACCCAGTCCTCCATCGTCGGTCGAGGGAACGATTGGGGAAGGAAGTTGGAAAAGACCCCGGGCGCAAACGGGGATGACGATGCTGGATTTAGTGGGAACACGAGCGGGAGGCCGATTTGGCATCGGGCGCAATTCAGGGGAAACCATGAACGTTGCCAGAAAGACGACGCGGTCCGGCAAACGCGAACTTGGCACTGCTGCGGCGGAGACGCTTCAAATGAAATTGGCCTGTGGAATGTGGTGAATCGGGAAAGCTGGCCGATGCATCTCGGACCGCCGAGCACGATGGCAGGCGGGCTTCCAAGTTTTGACAGGGAATAGCTCAGCCTTGGAGGGAGACATCGGGCGCTGCACGAGTGGTCACGAAGGGGAAGCAACCGAGAGTGGCATCATGCGTTGTGTCCAAGCTCCTTGCTGATAACCTTAAGACGAGTTCATCGGATCTGCCTTTGGAACTTGATATCAGGGTGGTGTTCGAGGGTCAAAAGATGTTGGTAAATCTGCCCAAAAAAGGGGATGCCATCTGTCAAGCCAGGAACACAATGTGTCGCGATTCATAACCCCTGAGATGATCCTCTCTTTGGCACACTCAGCTGCCCACCCTAACATCCAGCTGACTGAAAATTCGAGCCTTTCATTCCAGAGAACGCCGTTCCCCGGCCTGTCGCTGAATCCGGTTAGGACTCTCTGAACTGCCGATGAAAAGCTAGGAACGCCATTGAGTTCGTCCCAACCCTTTGCGGCACCACATTTCTCACAATGTAAGGATCAATTTTGGTGTCGTATGGTTATGAAGCGCCTAATTATCTGCAAAGACCTGTCTTCCGCAAAGACTTGTCTCGTTGAGCTCTTGGGTTTCAATCTGCCTGCTTCGTTCCCACTCATGCCGTTGCTAGCGACTTTGGGCGTTTTCACGGGTTCAAATTGCCGGTCAAAGTAATGTTGATTGGCCTTCAAACGAGATAGCCCAGCGGCGATTCTAATCCCAATTCTCACGGACGTATCGAAAGAATCCTTCATCAACCACATGGCAATGAGACATCAGCCGCCACACTTATCACAATGATTTCTATGAATGGTCGAGACTAAGCCCGGGACAGCGTGCCGACTGCTAAGCTGTAAACCATATGGAAGTCGGCATCGTCCTCCCTCTTCCGTTTCCGTCGAACAAAATGCATCACCAAGTCCGTCGGCCTTGTTAGTGCCTTCATAGCCCCAAACCTTCTCCTACGATGAGTTCTTATGTATTGCATGCCGCTGTGCCCGCCGGTGCCTTTCAGTTGGACTTTTTTCCCTTTTCCTTTTTCCCTCTTGGTCCCTGGTTTGGTCTTATCGTTGCGGCCGGACACGTTTGAGTCCGTCGAGGGTGCATTTCGTCAACATGAAGCCGACGCTTCGGGTCGCTGCGGGCGTCGTGCTGCTGTTTGCCACCCAAGCTATCGCGCAGGCCAATCCGAGATTGAACTCGACAGCCATCACCAAAATCTTGGCCAAAACTCCAAGTTGTGCTGTGAGTTCTCATGATTCTCATTACTGCCCCATGCCTGGATCTATCACTATGAATGTCAGATTCATCGAATTCATCATCATCATCAATCAATCATCGCCTCTTGATCCTATCATCTACTAACAACCCCTTGCGATGTAGATGTCATGTTTCGCCGATGGGTTCAAGAATGGCAATTGCACCGTCGCCGGTCTGACAGATTGCGTTTGCACCAATATACCATTGCAAGCCCAAGTATCAGCTTGTGTACAGCAGTCTTGCAAGTTCGAACTCCAAGTCGGTATGTCATTTCATTGAGCTCGCCCTTGCATCCACATCACAGACTGACCGTTGTTGCACCTCGTATCAAATGCAGTCACTGCTAGGGTATCACAAGAGCTATGTCAGGGCTACCCATATCCAGAACGCCGACGAACCTCACGAATATTTTCCGTCGTGTTACCGACAATCGCCACTGCCATCGTCGCCCTTCGATGCGTCGCGAGATTGCAAGTTACGAATCAGCTGTGGTGGGATGATTGGACGGCTTTGATATCATTGGTATGTTGGGATATTCAAAGGTTGTCACTGACATGTGCTAACGGTGGTAGTTTTTTCTCTTGCTGTCATCCGGTTTGGGATTTGCAAGTATGCCTTCGATTCTCTCCTTTCTGTGACGGAATCAGTCGTTGACCCAGGACTTTTCTAGATGCTCAGTTGGGTTTTGGTCTACATTATTGGGATATCGAGCCAGGCAGTGGAAAGACAATTCTACAGGTCAGACAGCACACCCCGTATCGCGCTGGCTACTCCTGCTAACCAACGTCGATAGATCTTCTACGTCATGCAGATGTTTTATATCTTCATTCTGTCAGTACCCTCTCGAATCCCTCTGCGCATTCTTCACCGTAGCTCACCGTCTGCCAGCGTCTCCGCCAAAGCCTCCATCTGTTGCTTTTACACACGTGTGTTCACGACCAACAACAAACGGTTCCGTCTAGCTACGAGGAGCTTTATGCTCTTCCTTCTCAGCCATGGTCTCATGTTTACCTTCCTCGTTGCATTTCAGTGCTTGCCCGTCCCGGCGATATGGGATCGATCCATCGAAGGACGCTGTCTCAGCATCAACGCCATAGGCTTCACAGGGTCTGCCTGCAACATCCTTGAAGATGTGATACTCTTCATCATGCCTATTCCCGAGCTCATGAAGCTGCAACTCAGCATGAGGAAGAAGCTTGCGCTGGTCTTCATGTTCAGCGTGGCGTCGTTGTAAGTGAACCCTGGCGATTGCTCCCAGTGGTCTAGTCAAGCGTGCTGACTCAATGACAGTGCTTGCATCGCGAGCATGATTCGACTGAAGTACATGGTTTCCTACGCCAACACTTACGACGCTACATGTGAGTTGCCCGTATCAATCAACCTCAGGTGAACTGCTCTAACCATGCACTGCAGGGGACAATGTCGACGTCGTTATTTGGTCCTCCATCGAGATCAACTTGACAGTCATGTGTGGCAGTCTTCCCGCACTCAGGCCTCTGTTCAAGAAGATCCCCGGGTTCATCAGCACCGTCAAGGAAACAGCACAAAGCGGGTACCGACACGGGAGGAGATCGCAGAATCCATCAGGGGCTGTCAAATCAGAAGCTTCTCGTCACTCCATTGCCCTTTCATCAGAGCCCTCTCCTCGGAAGCCGATGGGCCCAAGGCCCTTTAGTAGCAGTACAGCGTCGAAGGATGTTTACATCACAAGAGATTCACGGATTGATTCAGCCAGTCACGATGATCTGGAACGGCTGAGGGATTGGGCTCCTGATAAGTCGTCATCATGATCAGGGAGTTTGACGTGATGGTGGGTAGTTGAAGAATAGATATGAAATTACGATTCGAGAACCATATGCCTGAATGTGAACACCGGGCTCTAGAGCGTAACAGGGTTAACTTGACGATATTTGGCACCAGTGCCGACATCAGAACTACAGGGGGCTAATATGGATAAGTTTTGACGACCCCAGGATGAAATAACGTCGCCTGCTTGATTTACCCCAACCACTTGAGCCGTAGGTGATCAACTGTTCATTTAATCACCTAGTTTGCGGCCAACTTCAAGTGCTACTTTCTTGAGATGGGTGAATTAATGTCTTGCCGGCAGCGTCACAGGTGGTGAGTCTAGTGCTCCCTTGGGCTCTCATCAGCTTAACACTACCACATGAGAAGATTTTAATTACTAGCTAGGTGGCACATGTTTTCCAAACATTCTGAGCGTAAGAGTCATGCCAAATGAGCTTTAATTAATATGTCTACCATGGAGAGTTGAAGATCATCGTGACGTGACTCGGCATCATCACAATGTCAACTTACGCTCCGCGGAACGCGTGGGCATAATTTCAAGTGAGCAACATCAATCTCTGTTTCTCTTTGAATATTTAAGAGTGATATCTTCCATTTCAATAAGAATTGGGGGATTCTCTGGATTGCAACCGACTTCACTCAATACATGTAGCGAAAGGGTGCGTGTTTGGTGGCCTGTACATTTCATCTCCTAAACTCATCCAACTCGACGACATTCGTAGACCCATCAACAACAACGTGCAGCAGAAGGGTCAACATGCGAGTATCAATCAGCCTCATACTTACTGCTATGGCTTCGATGTCAGCAGCCAAAGATTGCGCCTGGTTCTGGTCATACCCTGCCGACAGGAGCTCAAGCGCCATCGACCAGCGCATCGCCCACGCCAGAAGCATGTGTGAAGCTGGAATCGGCGGAGATATTAGCGTGGCGGAGCAGGACCTTCCTGTCGGTAGCGACAGCAAATACCTGAACCGTTGCAGCGTTTGTCGAGGAGCCAGGGGATCGACCAAGGACTACGACAGATATGGATTCTCGATTCGTTGCGGGTACTACGGGAACGGCAAGTGCTCGGCTTGATGGCGGCTCACATTGTAAGGGTCCTAAATCTTTTCCTCGTGAGCGTGTTTGGTACTGACCGAGGACAAGAGGATGTGGGTATGAAATGCGAGAAAGAAGAGATTGGAGGCACGACGATCAAAGCTGCTACTTGCATCATGTCCGAAAACAAGTTATAGGAAGAAACAATTGAATAAGTTGTAATTGGCTATGAGTTACGATCTTGGAGAGGGAATGATTCCTTATCCGGTCATTGATCTAAGGTCTGAAGTATGCCGAGTCTCAAGTAGCATCGCAGGCAGCAGGCACCTCGTTGACGCCTTCCAAAGTGCCGGCTACGCGTACGTATGTCACGAACCATGGCATTCCGCAGCGTAACGTCGATGCGGCATGTGAACGTTTTTGTGCTCGCTGTACCTGATGATTTAGATGATGAGCATGCGATTCATTATTTCACTATCCCAGACGATTCTTCTTGGTGTTGAGGGGGGGAGGGGAGGGGGGACGGCTGGATTATGTACGGTGCCCATACTGACCATGTCGATGCGTAGCGTTGAGAAGGGCCGCTAGAACTAAGCAAGGCTCCCTTTAATTTACCAGTGTAATACGCCTTGGCTTCCAGAAATAGAATACCGAACCAGCCAATGAATATATTGAGTTCCTCACCAATACCAGGCACACCGTGAATCTGGGGGTGCTGCCACCAGAAACGCTGAGGGAGGACTGCAGCCCAATGAAAGACTAGAAGCGCCCTCGAAGCCTTCTTTTACTGGTTGTGATTATCTGAAACGGTCAGCTGCGGCTGAATCGGTTGTGCAGAGGTCCTGCCGTCAGCTGAGCTGCATTGGTGGCTTGAGGTAGGCAGAGTGAGACGGACTCAGGGGGCCAAAAAGCAAACATCGCCACTAATACTAATACTGCTTATTTCCCTGTCCCACGCGCCGAATTCCATCAAACTTGCCGTCTCAATCACTGTTGCGATGTACCACGCGGTCTTCATCCTCCTTGGCGTGGTTTTCGCCCATGCTGCCTCTGCGGCAGATGTTTTTCGTCGACCACCTGGCGCTGGGCCCACAAGCGACTACACCGACAACCCAATATATACAATCGGGCAGAAGATTACATTTGTGTGGGAGTCCGATTATACAATATTCGACATCCTTCTTTGGAACGATAAGGTAGACACCAAGACTGGATATCACCCTTACACCAGGATACTCCGTAAGTCAACATTCTGTTACCGCGCGAGATACGCCCCTTTCAAGCCCAGCTGACCTTCATCCTAGAAGGATGGACCTCTAAACAGTTCACGTGGGAAGTCAGCTACAATGCCTTCACTGCGGACGCCGACCTTTCTTTGCCCGTTTACTTTCTTCAACTCTACCAGTCAGGAAATGAGACTGTGGCTGTTACTTCACACTATTTCAACATAACATCAGGTGCGACAACATCATCTTTGACAGGGACGATTCCAAGCGCGACCTCAGCAGTCGCGACTCTCTCGAGCCAAACCTCCACACCCACGAATGCTGTCCAGACTAGCAGCTCGAGCGAACAGGCAGATAGCGGAATGAGTGGAGGAACCGCAGCGGGAATCGCTATTGGAGCTACGTTGGGAGCGATATTAATTCTTTCTGGGTTGGGATATTTCCTATGGAGGCGACGCTCTCGCAGCAGAACTGGCGGTGACAAAGCCGGCGGTGTTTTTGAAACCAATGACGATTCTCACCAGCCGTATACAGGAGAATGGAAAAATGTTAGACCATTGGAACCTGTCGAGCTGGGGAATGCAACCGCTAGACCGGTGGAGCTTGAGCATAGCTCGCGCGCATTTGAACTGGGCGACGAGAGACGCTGAGGCAAGAAAGTCCGGGGTGAAAGTGTATGATACATCGGAGAAGACTTATGTAATTGTCAGAGATAAGATTAATCTAGGGAGGGATGTGGTAAAGACCCTGGAGAAACCCAGGAAAACTACCAGAAGATATCAATCCTCCTCAACCACCAGTATGCTGGCAGAAGAGAATCACAAACAGCTCAGGGATACCATCAATGACAATGATTTCGATGCCAAATACGTCAAAATTCATATAATGAACAAGCCCACTAAAGAACAGAAGAAGACTGGCAGTACATGAAGGCTATGGACCTACTGGTAGGCGAAGAAGAATGGTCGTAGGCTCATCACAAACTGGTTCTATGGATATCTGATACAGACTGCAATATTCGTGAAGATCTGTTTCAATGCCTGAGAAAGATCAAAGCCGCAGAAGAGTCAGATTTGGGTCTCTACAACTTTTGGGCTGGCCGCAAGAGCGTCGAGGAAGGGGGAACTATCCTAGGTGATCGGAACTGGCACACGCTCTGCACCTCCGCGAAGGCGATCGAGCAGATCTCGAATTTATGTGACAAGGGACAATGAAATCGAGATGACCGCTGAACATTGGATGTCAATGGACGAATATGCAGAGGATCTTATGGATTCCGCACTTAGGCGCGTTATCGTTTGAAGGGCGACGGGGCGAAGTGGAAAGGTGGATGAACGAATCGGGACATTGGAGACTTGGATACGGCCGAGCTTTTTGGTGATAAGGTGGGAATTCTACCGGATTTAGAGCGGGATATGGAACCTTCTTTTGGGAAAATGCCGAGGAAAGAGTTGGGCAAACGCATTCATGAAGAGGTTAGACTTGAGATAGATTGAAGCGATTCGCCTAAGCAATGTTGGTCTGTTGGAGATCACCGCTTGCGAATGTCAGGAGTCATACGTTATAATGCATACAATACATGACACAGACCTACCAGTAACCTCTTGGTAAAAGGCTTTGAAGCTCGCAGCATATGTTCCTCAATCTTTCTGAAAACTATATGATTGCGTCTTTTCATGAAACAATACGTGGTACACGCTCCACGCAGAATGTGACAAAAATATGTACCGAATTATCGGGCTACTCCCAAGCGCACTGTGAAGGTCTTAGAGGGAAAGCTCTACCAGCTCGTGATAATACCGCATCTCAACCGTTATGCCCAGTGATTGACAATCGTGTATAATTTGCGCGATATGTTTCCGTCGTCGCTGCACTTTGTCCGGATCCTCCAGGGTTCCGTCCCAGGCCTTCATATGCCACTCGGCAAGGGCACTTAACGCTCCTTCTTTCAGAATTTTGACCGATCCCGTTGAACCGGGAACTTGAGAGTCTCGCATGATTTTGGAAGCTTGGTTCCAATCAGTTGCGCCAGCTGCCAAATTCCAATCTTCCCATCCACATTTTCCTTGCAAACCGTCTCCATCGGGTTCAATTGCAGGCGAACCCTCTGTTGGACATTCAAGTGTGGACTTCAACAGACGACGTACACATTTTGATCGTTGTACAGATTGGGAACCCCGGAAGAACTCTGCAGCTGCAAAAACGGAGTTATCGCCAGAGAAATCTGGTATCAAGGCTTTCCCTCCATGTTCGATCATGAGCTCCATCGCTTTGAGTACAGTCTCTGGATTGTTCCTTGTCGTCTGGAAAAGCGTAAGAAAAGGCGTTTTCCCTTCCTCATCTTGCAGGTTGGGATCTGCCCCTCTTTTCAATACGATAGTGAATAGAGGAATTATGTCGAGATAATAATATCTTACACAACACCGCGCCAGCATATGTAGCAACGACACACCAAAACCTTTCTCAGAGTTTGGACGTTGTATGAGATTAGCATGGGTGCACAAGGTCTTGCCCAGGTCCAAAATTGTGTTTTCGAAGTCGAATCCGAAGTCTCTTCTATCGACTGCTTTGAGATATGCTGATAGCAAGGTACTTTCTGGAAGAAACCTTGTTTGCGGATCAGCTCCTTTGTCGATCAGGGTCTTGATAACGACGCTTTTACTCCATACTGAGGGGCTATCTCGTAGGTAGTGCGACAAAACCACTTCCAAAGGTGTTCTGCCATCAGGGTGAGGCAATGTGGGACTGGCTCCGTTTTGAAGGCAATGAATTTGAGCGGCTGAGATGACTTCTTGATGTGAATCTTCTGTAATGAGTCCATGGAAGGGTGTCATTCCGCTTAGGTTCGCTATGTTGAGGTGGCATTTCTTGCTTATCATGGCGTAGAGCGCGGAGGAGTGCAAATCTGTGGTCCTACTTGCCTGAGCAAGATTGATCACGGCAAGGTGGACAGGGGTATCCCCATTTTCGTCTTGAACTTCAGTGTTTGCGCCAGCGGTCAGAAGATAACGGGTGAACGTCAGGTTGGAGGCTGCGAGATGAAGTGGGGACTGCCCTAATTCACCCTTGGCGTTGACATTGGCGCCGAATCTTATCAAATGGTTGACAATGGTTTCTGATGTCCCCTTTGCGGCGTAGTGGAGAGGTTGGTTGCCGGCGATATCTTCATCGTCGACGGAAAATCCGTCATACAGCAATCGCCGTACTTCTTGTTCGTCTTGTCTCAAAACAGCGAGGTGAAGATGACTTCTTCTATCGCCGTCGCCACTGCCATTTTGTGGAGCAGCACTGGTAGCCCATGTTGTATGGAATTGTCCTCCATGCGACAAGGATTGGGACGTAGTATTGCCGACGGCGAAGGCATGATTGCTATGCACATACGACGGGTCAGCGCTGGAACAATGGACCTTCGTGAAACTTGAAGTTAGTATCCAGCTCGAGTGGATGCGGCACGAAAGAAAAATATTTACCTTGCGTTGAAAGCCTGCGCAAAAGTTAGACCAGAAGCAGCAATAGTTCTCTTTTCACCATTTGATGATTTTAAAGGCCTTTTTGAAGGCTGAGAGCGTCGATTTGGTTTTGGGAAGTCTTGAGTGCTATACTTCATGTAGCCCCATTTGCGCATCTGCGTGCGGTACGACCTTTCACTACATTCAGATGTCAGCAAGTTGGCGAGAAACTACTATGGTAAGTGTCTATAACTGACGAAGCTTTGAAGTCATGCCGGCCTTGGATGATCCGCATCACCTCAAGAAGCTTCCGATTCTCCACGTGATAAAGTTGCTGGATCTCATCACGCAGGGGATCCCAATCCTTCGTCATCTTCAGCAATGTTGCGATAATCCGAAGCAGTCGACCAATTGGAAGATGTAGTCGGAAAACGCCGGCAAAGCCTTGTGATGTCCGTAGTGGGATGGTTGAAGGGGGATGGCCTGGGAAAAGGTGACGCGGTGCTTTTGAGAGCCTCGCCAAGAGGATGGAAACCACGTAAGTTGAAGCGAGTAGACCTGAAGTCTATACAGATCGTGTGATGTAAAAGGGATGGGGATGAAATGTCGGGGGTGAAATGTCAGGCTGTGAAGGAGAGAGAGGGGAAGCAAAGAGAGCACGCTGCGGGTTGTAAGGCAACCAACTGAGATTGCCACATCTTACCTGTCCAATCTCGACAGCACCTGCGTGCGGTACCTATGCAATATGCAATTTTTCGTAGTGCAGTACAGATCACTTAAGTTTCCCGATCGTTTATTCACTGCAACCAAAATCTTGCCTTTTGCATATTCGTTGCAGATCTGCACTTTTTCCTTCTGCAAAACTAAGGTCTGCAGGCTGATGTTATCCTCCAGCGAGTAAATTCGGTTGTATTCCTCAATTGCCCGCGTAGCTGCATTTTGCAGATTTGACAAAAAGCCACATGCAAACTGCAATTTCATCTATGGCTTGTAGACACTTATCAAAACCGTTCGTTTGACTCACATAGTCGAGATTCTGCACTTTGCATATTATTTTCTTTAGCGAAACTGCAAAATGTACTATTGAACCAACACCGTGCTGCTCCGTTAGTCCCATTTAGAGTCAGTACTCACTACCTCAAAATGTGCTTTTTGCAGGTCATTCCAATGTGAAGATGATGATTTCAGAGCGTTTAGATGTTGCCTGCTCAAAACTTCTCACTTGCTGCTCACACATCGTACTTTACTTCCCAACTTTGACCTTGAGTATTGAGTATTAAATGCCTTGGTCCTCCCAGCAAAGATGGAGGCTGCTTTCATCCCTCAGTACTCTCCGAACTTACGTCTCGGATGATCTTATTATTTTGGTCTGCGGACTTTACAACCAGTACTGCAAACTTTCTGCTCCGTTTAGAATCGAGCATCCCGTCTCGGCGCCTTGCGGACCCAGTCAAGCGATAATTGTTAAAGGGTGCGTTCAGCAAATGTCACATCATTACCCGACATACGCTGGCTTTCATTCTGTCAACACGTCATTGTTTTCTCGGCAGCTCTTTTTGCCCAGTTTCTCAAGCTAACGTCTGGTACTTTCCCTGCTGTCATAGAAGATCCATGGATACTACCCAAGATCCGTCTGCCGGCTGCGCCGACCAGCGATGGAACCCCACCAGATCCTCATCAGATCGATCAAAGCCTGTCACGCAGCCTCGACTGACTGAGGACGCCCTTCGTCGCCATAACGAGAAACCGAAAAAAGATGCAAACGATGTCAAGAGGGCCCAGGAAGGGCCTGCGGTTGTTCTTCGAGAGCTGCGCCAACTTGGAGTGGACCTGGGTGATGATCTTGCACACAAGATTACCCCCGTTAGACAAGGCATGGCTCCAATGGAGAGGTTCATCGAAGAGCTGGATGGCTATGCCAGCAGCGCCCGAGCCGCGTGGGTCACACTTGAACACTCCGCCGGCAGTCGTGGTGCGACCAAGGCTTTCTCTAACAAGTCTGGATAGCTTGGTGGTTAGACAATGTAGATCTAGCTAGCTACGAGCCATCTATGAAGATGCGTTATGCTTATTATGAAGCTTAGCTTCTCAAATCCTTTTTGTTATCTCAGTCAGTCCGAGAATAAAAACATGAAGTCACTGCGTGCTGAGAAGAAATATTTGAGGATGGTTTGCACATATCTATGGGCTTATAAACCCTCATAGTGTTGAGTGCTAGGTATGTGCACTTATAGCGTGTCCTCGTTATGTGGAAAGTTTTTCTTCAAGGTGTTGCTTAATACGACTTTTGTTTGTGCCACGTGATGACCACACCTTTTCTGAAGAGATATCTGAAGGTTATCGAGGCACTAGTAGGTGAAGGAGAAGAAGAGTACTGGGTCCATCCCAAGCTGGCTCCATGGACGTTTAATACAGACAGCAGGTATGAAGCCGCCTGTTGCCTGACTGAATGAACTATGATAGCGACATAAAATAGGAGAGGATAATGGCTGGTATCAAAGATGGTACTTGGACCGAAAAAACCACATGCGTATGATGCTTGAAAAGATGATGTCACCATCAGCAAATAAGGTCGCATTTTTTAATGAAATTTTGGCTTTTTTGAGGTGCCAGTATGCGAGGAGTATCGCCATGATTGCTGATATCCGTCGTTGCTCAGCGCCTCATGGAGTTTAAACGACCAGATATCTCACGTACACATTCAGCACCTAGAAGGCGCGAATACCCACACAGTCTCTTGCGAAATGGCATGTTCCATTCAGATAAAGAATTGTCTCACTTTTTTCCTCTTGGGGGAAGTGGTTCTTTAAGTTACGTACTTGCTCTCTAATCCGGGCTTACGTTTTTGCATGTGATGCGAATAACCTCGCGGGCCGATCGACGTCATCCCGTCATCCTGCAGGGGGCGGGGGTCTGACCCTTTTTACACAACCCAATCTAGACGACGACGAAGTAATTCACTTCTATTAATCATATAATTCATCTCATCATCACCACATCGTGAATCCCTGATGGCTGAATCATTCTCAGCCGATAGTGCCAATTCGGCAATCAGCCGGTCGCGAATCCCTATTGTCGACCTGGAAGGCCTCAAGGATCACGCCGAGTCCCAGGCAGCGTTGCAGGCAGGCAAAGACCTCGTCGAGGCCTTCAAAACCGCCGGGTTCACATATGTTAAGAATCACGACATCCCGCAGCAAACCGTAGATGCGGCATTTCAATGGGTTCGTGCACCCCGCACCTCATCATAGTGTAGAATCTCACGTTGGCTTTAGAGCGCCAAATTCTTCTCATTGCCGCAGTCCGAGAAGGAAAAGGCACCGCACCCCCCTGAAGGATGGTGGCATCGTGGCTATTCGGGCATCGGCCGAGAAAAGGTGACGCAGATGTTGTTCGACGCCGACGAAATCAGCGAACGTCGCAAGATCCCCGACTTCAAAGAATCGTACGAGATCGGCCGCGAGGACGACGATCATCTCCCAAACATCTGGATCCCCGAAGATTCGCTACCCGGTTTTCGTCAATTCTTCAACGGATTCTACGAGGTCTGTTATCAGCTCGAGCTCCACCTGCTCCGCGGTATGGCCCTCGGCATGGGTTTGGACGAGGCCTTCTTTCAGAGTTACCACGTGAAGAAGGACAACCAAATCCGCCTCCTCCATTACCCACCCGCCGAGGAAAAGCTGCTTCGCGCGGGAAAGGTCGAGCGACTGGGCGCGCACACCGATTTTGGCTCGATGACGCTGCTCTTCCAGGACGAGGTCGGAGGGCTGGAGGTGGAAGACCCCAACGAGCGAGGACGCTTCGTGCCTGTCCCCTTTATCCCTGGGACGATCGTGGTGAACATTGGCGACTTCATGCAGCGGTGGAGCAACGACACGCTGCGCTCGACGATGCATCGCGTGCGCGCGCCGCCGTTGGAGACGAATGCCAGCGGTGACCGCGTGACCAAGGCGCGGTACTCGATCCCGTACTTCATCGGTGCCGATCAGGAGCAGACAGTTGACTGCATCCCTGGATGTTTCGGGCCAGACAGACCGAAGAAGTATGACCCGATCAACAGCCGGGAGTACATCGAAATGCGCCTGAATGCGACGTATTGAAAAGAAAGGAAAAGGCGGGAATTTCCCACGTGTATTTCTTCCATCCGTTTTTCTTGAGGGGAAACTATGGAGTCTAGGCCCGAGAGACAACCCCACCGTCCCATCAGGCAATGCAAAGACAATGCTCTGGTTGGCGGTTTTCAATGTCAAAGTCGCGTCTCGTGGAGAACAAGCCCAGAATAAGGTCATCCCCATGCCTGCTCGTGCATGTCGTGTCCCGCTGAAGAATGCCATGATGCCCATGTGGTTGGCTGACCTCGTGTTGATCTCCGACGCTTACCACCTCGATTTTGGTGATGAAAGCCGAAGATGCAGCAGCATTTTCCTCTTTGGTCAACGCAACGACCTCAACGCGCCCCTTGCCACGTAGAAAACCTGCAAAACTCCATCAACACCATCGGCAGATGGCCACCCACCGCCAGAACACGGTGCTTAGGATCCCCAGTCCGGGCTGGCGGACGCGGTGAGAGACGGAAGCGAGGTGGGAATCGAGCACACGACGGCGGCGCGTTATCCGCTGCGGGGATGTATGGACGTCTGTGGTTCCTTCATATAGGATGACAAGGACCAGGGCCTATTCTCGTGACTTGAGGAATTCGTTTCCACCGGCTCTCCGTTTCGTCGAGGTCTGAATTTCTCCTAATCTCACCGCCGAGGATCCGACGACGACAGACGAACTCGAAGCGTACCGGAAAACCGACGACGGCGCATCTTCACAATGTGCCCCGAGCAGGACGAGGAACAGGCGAGCGCAGCGGCCCAACAGCAGCAGGACGCGGCGGCGGCCGCCGGTATCTTACCCGCCGAGCACTGGGTGCAGGCAGCGCGAGTCAGTTGACACTGGCGGTCCGACCGCATTCCCAGAAAATGGGTTACCGGAGATGGATGATTGACGGTCGTGCTAGGATGCTGCTAACGACGACGACAACGATTCTGCGTTTGGCGGCGGCAACGCCAGCTCGACTGCGTCTATCACATCGACTATTCTCGAATACAGGAAAATTCACGGCCGTACGTTCCACGGAGAGGTTGGCAACGCCCAGTACTGGTTAGAGGAGCCGATTCGTACCACGTGCCTTAACAGTCTACTAACACTTGGTGAAGGGGAAGCAATGACGAGCAGCAGAACGAGTGCTGGGATATTAAGTGAGATCAGAAATTCGGTTCAGAGACGCATGGAACTAACAAGTAGCAGCCATCATCTGTTGACTCTTTCCTGCGGAGATAAGTTGCATCTGGCACCTATCGACAAGAGCAAGGTAGGGATCTCATGTCATTCCAACTGCCAGTTATGAAGCCGGGCTGAAACGGTCAATATAGCTCAGCAAGGCACTTGACATCGGAACTGGAACAGGTAAGCAATGTCAAGAAAACACTAATTATCAAGCTGACAAAACTTTTGCACGCAGGCATTTGGGCCATGTGAGTACACATCATGCTTGAGACGATATGAACCACAGAAGATGTTGAGACATCGATGACTGAACTGCGTGCAGCGACTTCGCCGATGAAAACCCAGAATGCGAGGTAATCGGGACGGATATCTCACCCATCCAGCCCAGCTGGGTACCTCCCAACTGCAAGTTGTAAGTGCCAGAATATGTCTCTGCCATATCGGTCTTTCCTAGTACATGTCTAACGATATGATAGCGAGATCGAGGACTGCACCCGCGATTGGACTTTCGCCCCAAATAGCTTTGACTATATCCACATCCGCTTCCTCGTCGGCAGTATCGAGGACTGGCCGGCATTGTTCAAGAATGCCTACGACGCCCTGAAGCCCGGTGGCTATCTCGAGAGCTTCGAGGTTTCCCCCGCCATCATGAGCGACGACGACACCGTCCCGGAGACGAGCGCGCTGGGTCAGTGGGGCAAGTTCTTCGAGGAAGGGGGGCGGAAGATGGGCCGGACTTTCAGAGTCCTCGACGAGAATCTGCAGCGGATTTCGATGGAGAAGGCTGGCTTCCGGAACATCACCGAATGGAACAACAAGGTACGAGACTTGGGTTTGCATTCAACCTGGCACCAGAGATGAGATGAGAATAATGAGGCACGCGAGGCTAACAGTGAGCCCATCCAGGCACCTATTGGCAATTGGCCTAAGGATCCCGCGAAAAGGGAGATCGGCGAGTGGGCGCAGCTGACGCTTCTCTCCGACATCGAAGGTTACGTTCTTTTCATGGCCAACGTTATGTCTACTTGGACCAGAGAGGAGATTCACATCTACGCCGCACAACTCCGTCGCGAGATTCGTTCTGGAAAGTTGCATGGGTACTACCGCCAGAGGGCTGTGTGGGGACAGAAGCCTATACAACCAGAGGCGTAGGATATCCCAACATAGCTGTAGACGTGCTAATGAGGGAGAGCTGTCCAAGCCCGTGAAACCAACAATGTTATCAACATCACTTAACCCAGCTCGTTGTGCAGGCCTACATGTAGTTTCAGATGTTGACGAACATAACAAGAATCTCAGCGAGAGTGACGAGTCTCAAGTGACAATTTGCTGGCATTGTTTGGTTTACATATGCTGCTTTCATCTATGGCGGTCCGGTGTGTGCGGTGCTTCCACGTCAGATATCACATTGCCATGTGTTTGAGAAGTGGAGTTGTCAGAAGGGTCGACAGAGTGTGTGTCACAAGATATCGTTCGATGTCTGGACACCAGGCTCCTCATTGAAGACTCCCTTGCCAGGGATTATGCAGCTGAAGTGGACGAATGCAATAAGATTTGCTGACATGTATACTCAAGGTCACGTTGGTTCCAGGGTGTGTTGGCTGTTGTTGGCCGTTGAGGTCCACAACCCCGTTCCGTAACCCCTTTCCGCGGGTGTATTCAGGCAATGCGGATGTTGAAGTTATTGATGGAAGGGACTTTGGAACAAGTTGAGACGTCACGTCAAGTGCTCTTTCGTTGTATGGTTGGATACGATCCAGGGCCCATAGCAGGACCGAAAGCCATAGGCCAGAATGTCTCAGGATATACCACGTAGGAGGCCATGAAGACCCGGGTATCATCCCGAATAAACGCATGGGGCATGAGTCCATTTAACCGGCCGCTTACAACGGCAACGAAACCGGTCGGTTCCATAGTAAATTGAGGGTCTGAGGAGGTTGACCTTTGCATCATTAACCCCTCTCGTGTCTCTGCAGATGTTCCTCTCATCTTCCTTTTCGCCACGAACTGGTAGTCTTGGAATCTTTGAGATTTTTACTAGAACTCAGCATGGCATCGTGGGACGTCAAGAACAAGTTTGCGCTTGTCACCGGCGCCGGTAGCGGTAAGCTTCGGTCACGCAGCGACGTATAACCTCTTCGTCTCATACATACACCTAGGTATCAACCTTGCTTTTGCTCAGCAGCTGTTGGAAGCGGGTTGCTCCGTCATCTTCGCCGATATCGCGCTGCTTCCCGAAGCAGAGGAATTGATCGCCAAGTTCCCGCACCCGCCTGCGGATGGAGCGCCATCTGCCGTCTTCTACAGAATGGACCAGTCCAACTGGGCTGACATTTCGGCTACTTGGGAGTTCGCCCTGAAGACGTTTGGCAGAGTAGACCTGCTATGCCCTGGAGCCGGCGTCTGGTACGTTTGTTTGCTTACATGCTCGTCCTATTCTTCCAGAAAAAGTGTGATCATCGCGAGTTCCGAAAAAGTCGGACCTAAAACAAAAGCTCGGATTTGTATCTAAAAGACTCGTACTGACGTAGATCCCTGCAGGGAACCGCCAAGCAGTGCCTTCTGGCACGCCCCCGGCATCTCGCCCTCATCCAAAGACGACCCCAACGGCGCTCCCGGAGTCTACAACATCTTCGCCGTGAACGCGATGGGCCCCATCCGCTTCGCCCAGATCGCGCTCGACTACTGGCTGCACAACAAGATCGCGGGAAACCTGCTCCTCGTGTCCTCCCTGAGCGCGTACCTGCCCATCGTCAGCACGCCGCTCTACAACGCGACCAAGGGGGCGCTGAACTCCTTCGCGCAGAGCCTAGGGCAGATGAGGGCGCGCCTGAACATCCGGGTCGCCTCGATGTGCCCCGCGACGACCTTCACGCCGGCCGTCATGCGGGACTACTGCGTGGGCAAGGTCCGCGAGATCGATATGAACATGACGGCGACGGAGTGTGCCGAGGTCATGCTTCGCGTGGTGTCGGAGGCCGAGTTTGGGGATGGGACTGTTGTGGAGGCGATGCAGTTTGGGAGTAAGGAGAAGTCGGAGGTGAGGGTGAGGGTCGTGCCGTACCAGAGCTTGATGCCGGATATCGACATGGACGGGGATTTTAGCGGGAAGAATATTTTGGTGGAGGATGAGAAGTTGTGGGAACAGTTGAAGACGAAGGGAATGAGGCCTTGAGCCCTTGACCTGTGTAGGAGGTTAGGACTTTGTCTATATGAGCTTGTATGCTAGAAGAATGATGCTAAGCATGGAATCGATAAATTTGGTGAAGCTTGCTGATGTTTTTTAATTACTGACCTGGGCGTTGTTTATGTCAGAATTGCCGAAGCTCAGGTATCGTATCATGACGGATATACGAGCCCTAAGGCCTGGACTTTCCTGCTACTAGAACATGGTCAGTACGCGTCTCACACAAACAGTACTAGTCTAGAAACCCAGATGAAAACAACGAAGGATTTCAGAATTCAGATAGGCTTTGAACTACATATCGCTGGTCTTCAGGGATTCAAGCCCTGCGACTCCACCTGTCCAGTCTGAGGCAGCTTGACTTATCCGGCATCGCCGCATTTTGTCGTCGCCCTATGATACTTCTGATATTTTCGACCCAATTACAGTCTGACTTTGACTTAGAACGACAGACGTAACGATCCGCGGAGTGGAATTCATTGCCGTTATCAAATACCGATACCTCGTAAAAGCATAGAACGCTGCAGCGTCGCCGGCCAATACATAATCACCCCGGGCCGCCAGCGTCAAGTCTGGGCCACCCACCTGCCACATTGATATCCGATATGATGTCTTTTCAGCAAATAAGATGCATTGTGTTGGTGATGGTCGACCTCTCACGTACGTCTTCGTCCCAGCCGCGTGTTATCCCCTGCATCCATCGTGCGCCAAGTCGACCAACAAAACCACAAAGATGGGAACCGCCGTGCCGTTCCCGCAGATCTCCCCGCATTCTCCACGTCGGTGTGCCGTCGGTTTCCCGCCACTAGCGGGTTTGCCTCGACGGGACTGGCGGATATTATGGCACGGCCGTCTCCACGCTGGCGGAATTCGGGATTGAGCTCAGAGTACATAATAGCAGTATGAAGGCCAGCCTCTCGGGATTATGGTTTTGGTTTATGATGTTTTCGACATTGAGTTGATTTTCTAGATGCCTTCACATTCTCCCGATATGGGCAATGACTCTTCTTTTAAGGAGCTTTTACCACGTACACGGAACCGACCATGCGGTGAATCCTGACGAGCGCTTTCACCTCGGGTTTTCTACTAGATCATGACTTATGACTAGTACCGGCTGGTCGGCCACAGGGTCTTTCAGCTTCGCTACCTCCGGTTCAGCAAGAAACTCTCGGAATTCCGCAGAAACTCCCTGGATACCTCTTGCATGAGACGAGAAGGGGCTCCATTAGCTCCGTCTGCGGGAGCAACGGGGAATACGAGCAATTCTGCGACGGATTCTGTGGCGTAGCCGGTCCAGGTGTACACCATCGTTGCCCACATCACACCTTGAAAGCGATCTGAGAGCTGCGACCCAGCTCTTGTGATCAGGACCAGGCTGTAGCCTGTGTTGAGATCCCGAGCTAGTGGAGACCTCAAAGTCTTCGACAGGCCGAAGCTGACTTGAGAAAGAAAAGAGCGTTGGAGCCATGAAAGATGTTTAACTTACAGGTCAGTCTTGTGCCCAGTCTCGTTACTAATATGAACCCATGTATCAGGGCAGATTGCTGACAATCATCTCGAAGCTACTCGACTGCTGCCTTGGAACGACGATTTCGATAACCGATTATCTTCCAGCAGGCTAGAAACAAGAGGCAACTCACCGTCTTTGTGGAAATTAGCAGTAGCCTGCATGTGCCATCAGCGGTGTCCGAAACCATGCTGGAAGGATCGAGTATGTGAGAAATCGGAGACCTCCAGGATCCTTGAAAAGCCCGCTGAAAATGCGTGGGACGATATCAAATGCAAGCTGAAGCCTGGAATACGAGCTCTTGTTGTCGTCGATGATGTCAGTCTCGCAACTAGAGCCCGTTAGGGACACAGAAGCTGAACACCGTGGCCAATATTTCTGCAAGGAAACCCGGTGGCTTCAAATACGTTCTCGAATAGGCCTGCATACTGCGGCCGCATCGAAATGTGTATGCTTCGAAGTTGCATCAGACCAAACTTCAGCGCAGCATGGTTCCGCGTGGCAAAAGGAGGGAGGTAAGGTTAGGAACTTAGGTTGCGGGAGCACCCGTCTGGGGTGATGGCTTGACAGGAACACGGCCCTTCGGAGACGACGGAGAAGCATGGTTCAAGACATGCAGCACGCAAGTCGCTCTATCAGATCCGACCATCTAGTCGACGTCAACAAGATTTACATGTGCTCTGCACAGCGAAGACAATCGGAAGGACCTTGGATGACAGGAACGATCGGCGGACATTTCGGACAGACAAGGATGAATATTGCGCGGCGTAACCCTCCCAAGGACGAAACTGGCTCCCAGGACCCCTCATTTCCAGCTGTCCATGGTGCGACGGAGGGATGCCGGTGTCTTGATTGGATGGAAGTCTTGAAAGATGCATCCAAGTTTAGAAGTGTTGCATTCGACTCATACCGGAGCTCATCAACCTGAACCAACATTTCACGGGCCCTCGACCCGGAGAGTTATGCAGGTGCGGTATTGCAGGTACGGGGAGCGTGACATTGGACCATAGGATTCCTCCATCAGGATCAGGAGCTTCAAGGAGCGGCGGCCAGGAAAATCCATCTCATTCTGAGTGCTCTTCGGCTCGTCGCTCCGCAAACCCACCAGGGACCCACACTCGGTCTAGCCCGACCCGGTTAGACCGGACCTCCGGCCGGCCCAGTGATGCGGAGAAGATCCACATATGAGGGGCGGTGGTCGTTAGCCGAGCCAACGGGGCCGCTCCAATCGTCCTTGAAAAGCGGGGGAATGAGGGCGTCCCGGACCAGTCATGCTGCGCTTTTTGGGGGAAGGAGGGAAAGAGGAAGGAGCAGGAAAGAAGCGTGTGACTTGCTGTTTTTGAAATCGCCTCATTCCGAACATCAACGACGTCCTTTTTTGATATCAGAAAAAGACATATGAAGGAAAGAGAACGAGGCGCCGCCATCGATTCGCGATTTGAATCTCCCTCACGACCTTGGTCCATCTCATCCTCCCTCGCACTCACCTACCAATCATGAGGTACTCCACAGCATGCTCGGCGTGTCGGTAAGTCATCAGCCGAACCCCTTGGAGTCCTATTCCAATCCTCGTTCTATCTCTCTGTCTCTCCGCCGTCAAAGAAGATCATCTAGCTCACCAACATCATGATAGCGCTCGGCGGCGCAAGTGCGAGGTGCCCGTCGGCGGCGGCCAGTGTACATACTGCGCAGCACAGAACATCGCCTGTTCCCGCGCAGGCTCAATCATCCAGCCCAAAGCCGTCCCCGTGAGCCCCGTGTCCATGGCGACGCCGAAGACGCCAAGTGTCACCGAGATCATCGTCGCCAGTCCTCCCGGAATCACACCAGCAGCCGCTGTCGCCGACAAGGCGCTCTGCTTCGAGTTGGTAGAACTGTACTTTAGGTATATCCATGACCAACTCCACTCGCTCTTCCACCGGCCGAGCTTCATGCTGGATCTTCACGAGGGGAACGCCCCGTTAGTGCTGGTCTATGGAATGATGGCGCTGTCAGCAAGGTAAGTGCTATTCGGCTGTTGAAAACCTGTGCTTGATGCAGCGTTGGTGGCTGACTGAAGCAAGATTCTCGTCGAATCCAATTTTCAACGGAGTCGCTCCGATGTCCAGGGGAGAGCTCTTCGCCAACGAGTGTAATCTGCTTCTCAACTTGCGAGACGTGTCTCTCACAAGCATCCAGGCATGCGTGCTTCTTGGTGCCTACTCAATTGTAGAGGGTGAAGCAGGGGCCGAGAGCGTACTGTATTCTGCAGCTTGCAGGATAGCCAACTATCTCGACCTCCCAAACCTCCCTACCCCTGATCCATTACAGAGGGAAATCCACATCAGAGGTATCTGAACATGTTTCAGTCTACTTTCATGGGCACTGGCTAAGATTTACAGTCTACTGGTCGCTCTGCATGATTGACGTCTGGTCATCAACCGGCGTCAACCTCCCCCGTCTTATGGACCGTCGTATGGATGTCCCGCTACCCATGAACGAGTCGACATTCCTCAACATGACCCGCGCGAATAACAATCACTTCGATTTCATACTCTCGCCCAACCGAGAAGACTCCCTCATCGCCCAGATGATCAAACTAAACAGCATTCTCCTCAAGGTCAACGACGCCATCAAGTCTCTGACGTCAGACTCGGCAGTAACCAACATCGACGAAACCGTATCCACCCTCGCACAAGAACTAGAGGCCTGGGAACTCGAGCTCCCCCAGAACCTCCGTGACACCCCAAGCAACCTCCACTCTTTCGCCGCGCAGGGCCTCGGCCGCATCTTCATCGCGGTCCACACGGGCCACTACCACTACAGCCAGCTCCTTTTCTACCAATACCTCGACGAGGTGCAGCGCTTCCCCGCCTCGCAGACGGCACAAATCTTCGCGCGCAAGTGCAAGGAGAACGCGATAGGCATGTCGCGCATCATCGACCTCGCCAACACGACCCCCGGCTGCGACGCGAAGTTCAACATGCTCGGCCACATCATCGTCATCACCTCGTCCATCTTCATCCACACCCTGCTCTTCGAGACCGACGAGGCCGAGATCGCAAACGCCCGCGCCACCCTCGAGCGCCACTTCAACACCCTCGTCGCCCTGCGGGTGTACTGGCCCGGCCTCGAGGTGTGTTTCGTCCGGCTGAAGACGTTCCACGAGCTCTGCCGCAAGAGCATGAACACGAGCTACCGCATGGACCGCTGGATGCTGAGGTTCCTGACGGAGTTCGCGCGCCCGATCGACGAGAAGGAGCGCGACGAGGACGGGAACATGGACCTGGATCGGTGGAGCGTGGGCAACATCGGAATCAGCCCGGAGAACTGGGCATGATGAAGGATTCCGTGCAAAAGTCTCACCGCTATTGCCTGAAAAGTGAGCATACATGCATGCCCGGAGACCAGCGTCAAGCCCCGTCGGTTAGTGCCATTCTGGATCTTAAGACGGGAACGAGTGCTCGCACGCCTAGGCAGGCAGGCAATCCTACCTCGGTTTCGTTGTCGGAACACCCATCGGAAGTCGGAGTAGATGACCCCCAAAAGCTCCAGCAAGGAGCTGTCACCGCCGGCTTCTCGATCAGTAGGTAGGACGGAGGGAAGCGCAGCACCCCGCATTCCGGAACCCCGCATATCCACTTGGAGCGGAGAGTGTCCAGATGTGGGCTGGAGGAGCCACCAAGGCGTCTTGGCTCGGCAGCTTCTGGATCAGTCGAGTTGGATCAGTCGGCATTCGGTGCAAGCGTGTCAGCGGCGCAAATCCAGTCATGTGAAAGATGAGGTTGTTGTTCTTCCGGCGTAACCCATCAGTGAGAAACCAAAGAAACAACTTCGGACTTGGAAGACGGGCTCAGTTTCACATCCTATCAAAAAAGGGCGTATTATACATGGATATTGTATGCTTATTCAGTTCAATGTTGCTTCTACACAATACATAGCAAAAGGGCTTATGCCTGAACCCCTCATGAGCAAGACAAAGTATTCACAATTAAGCCACCTCGCTCGACTTCGCCGCAAGAGTGTGCCTCTCCGCACCATCCTCCTCATCCGTCTCCTTGCCCGCACCAACACCCGCCTGAAACCTCGGGTGATCCCCAAAGTGCCTCACGGGCACGCCCTCGTGGAACATGCGGTCGATCTCCTCCAGACTACGCCCCTTGCACTCGGGCACGCAGAAGAAGACGAACAGCGCCGAACACACGGCGATGCTGCCGAAGATGAAGCCGACCTTGCTCTGCAGCGCGGCGTACGGCGCGTTGAGGAGGTACGGCAGCGTGAAGTTGACCAGGAAGTTCATGAAGATGTTCACCAGCGACGACGCGCGCTGCGACCTGTCGCGCAGGCGCAGGGCGGGTATCTCCGTGACCACGACGTAGGTGAGCGGGCCCCATCCCAGACCGAAGCCGGCGCCGAAGAGGAGGAGCATGCCGACCATGCCGGACTTGTACGAGTCCGGGACCGGGGTGCGCACGCCGAGGCCTGCCATCGTGAAGAGGGCCGATGCCTGGATGAAGGAGCCGAGGAGGAGGATTTTCCTGCGGGCGCGTTAGATCTTCAACTTTGTGTACGCGGGTTTGCAACGGAAACTCACCGTCGTCCGACGCGATCCGTCAGGAACAGACACGTGATGATCAACCCGCTCGTCAGCGCCGAGGACCCCAGCGTCACGTCGAACGGGTTCAGGGTGCCCAGCGACTTGACCCAGACGGCGCCGTACTGGCTCGCGAAGGCCTGGCCCGTCGCCTGCTGGAAGAAAGACATGCCGACGGCGATGGCGGTGCGCTTGAGGTTGACGCCCTGGAAGAGCTCGCGCGTGCGGCCCTGCTCCGGCTCGTCGAGGAGCGACTGCTGGATCCTGGCGAACTCGAGGGCGATGGCGTCGTCGGACATGGTGCCGGCGCGGAGGGCGTGGTGGGCCTTCTTGGATTCTTCGACGCGGTCGCGGAGGAGGAGCCAGCGGGGAGACTATGGATTTTGCGTCTCAGCGTGAGTCTGGAAAGGGGGAGGGCGGCGGCGGAGGCTTACCTCGGGAATGAACCAGATCAGACAGATCACGATGGTGGGGATGACGTAGAAGAGGCCGAAGGGGATTCTGTAGGCGCGGCTATCCTGGAACTGCGAGGTCCCGCGGCAGATTGAGTTGATGACCAGACCGCCGAGGCCGATGGCGAGTTGGTAGGTTCCTACTACCATGCCGCGGACCGGTGCCGGGACGATCTCCGATTGGAAGACGGGCACGACGGAAAGCTCAAAGCCGACGTAGACATCTATAAGAAGTCAGTACTTCGACACCAGACCGCTGGACGTCGCGTCTCGCGTACAGTTGAGAATACGGCCCACCAGGATCTGCTCCTTCCTCGTCGAAGTGACCACGACCGTCGCGCTGATCAAGGCGTACACGCTCATGACGAACATTGTCGTCCGGCGGCCGAAGCGGGCGCTCGTCAAGCTTCCGATGACGAGACCTGTCAGGTCACTGAAATCAGCCGAGTCCTTTCTCCGGTGCCTTCTGCCAAGGGAGGGCGAGAACACGAACCTGCGGCGAAGCCGATGTAGTTGAGACTGTTCAGCAGCGAGAGGAAGTAGGTCGGGATCTCCCACGTCTTCTTGGCCGGGTTGTACTCGCCGAACTGCCGCTCGAAGGCGTCCATGGCCTGCGTCGAGGTGAAGGCCTGGTTGTCAAAGCCATAGTTGAATTGTGACAAGGCGATGAGGAGGACGGAGGCGAAGAGGCGCTTGTTGAAGTGCTGCGTTATTGACTTGAGCCCCATGATGTCGGTTCGTTCTTCGGCCGGTCTTGTATCGACAATGACAAGTGCAGCCTGCGGAATCAAGACCTCACTAGGGTGTCACCGTACGGCGAGGAGAGGAGTCTACGAGGTTATATGTCGTTGCATTGTCGAGAAAGGGGACTGCCTGCAAACGACTAGTACACGGAGACTTTGCCCTTCCTCCCCCATGACTTACACATCGCCATGTCGTGACGATGAACCAGACAACAGGCACCGAGACTTGCTTGCTAATGCGTAAAGCGTAAGGCGGTGGAGAAGAGAGACGGGGAATGGCTGGGGTTGCAGGGAGAGCAACGCGACGGATCTCGGCGGATGAGGACGAGGTGATGGCGATTGGTTCGAGCGAGATCCGGCGAGACCCGGTGGGGGTCCACCTCTGGGGTCGTACACCATCTTGGCCCCGTCTTGCGTGCTTGGAGAGAGATGATTTACACCTTGCAACCCTGGCCCGGGTAAATGGGATTGGGGTTTCTCCGATGTCTTCTTCCACCTCTTCTGCCGGCTTGCTCCGCAGCGCCGAAGTCGAGTCAAGAAGACGTCTGGACCCCCGAGGTTGCGGGATCCGAGTCGAGGTAGCTGGACAGGAACCAGCTCAGCTCGCCGCTCATGTCGAACTGGGACGGCGCGACGTAGTAATCCTGCGCGAGCTGGTTCTCCGCGAAGCCGGACCACGTCATGGGCCCGTCGAAGCCCGGGTCGATCTGACCCAGGCCGATGGAGTGTGCCGTCGTCGGTTGGTAGATGTCGCTGGGCGCCTGCATCTGATAGTGAGACGAGTCGTCGGCCATCGAGACGTCGCCGCCCTGGCTCGGGGCCAGGGAGCGCGCGGATAGCTGTGGCGAGTCGGAGTGCTGGATGGCGATCTCGTCGACCGTTTTGGCGTCGGCGTCGAAGCTCTGGGCGAGGGGGTGGTATCTGCTGAGGAGGGTGTTGCGCTGGACTTCGCTGCTGACCGGGGCCGCCTCCTCGGGGCTCTCGACGGTGAGGTGTCTGTTGTGGTTTTCGGTCTCGATCATCTTCTTGACGTCCTGTTGCAGCACCGCTATGATGGGCACGATGTTGGACATGTCGTCTAGCAGCGCGACGTTGCTCTGGCAGAGGGCGTCCACCGTCTCGTCGTCGAGCTCGACTGGCGAGCCGGTGATGGGGTCGGTCAGGTTCTTGTATAGCCCGTACCGACGGGCGGTGAGAAGCGTCTTGGTGCACTGGTGGACCATGTTGCCGTATCCGAGGCCGATGGGTATGCGTGTCTGCTTGGAGTGCAATGCTCCCTTGGACCGCAGGGCTTGGAGATGTTCCCACATCCTTGCCAGTCTCAATGCGTGAGAGACGGCCAGGGCACGCCAGGAGGATACAAAGTCCGGGGGTGCTTTGGCTATGAAGCTCGCGGCGGCGCTTTCTCTCGCATGCCCTGGGAGGCACGTCCGGTAAAGATCGCAGGAGGATTGCAAGAACCACGAGTTCAGGGTGATATAGGCGGAGAACTCGGGTGTGGTCGAGTGGGAGAACATGCTGCGCTCGATCGGTCTGATGTGCGAGGGCATGTGGTCGAGAAACCGGGTGAGCTTGTCTCTTAGCTCTTTCAATGTCGCTACTGCTTTTGCGACGACAGCAGGAGATGAATCGCGTCGGCTTTCAAGAACGATTTCTTTTGTCGACCTGTGTGGAAGTTAGTCTCACATGTATCAGAAAGACATGAGAAGAAAATCAACATACCTCAGAATGTCACAGCGAAGACTGTAGAGAATCATCAAATAGGCCCTTGCTCCGGCGTCGTGAGATGCCAGTGCCTCGACTCCATCACTTAACTTGCTGGTAGGCTTCAAGAGGCCATGTCGGAAGGTGTGTTCAGGATTTGGCAAGCCGATTCTCATCCAGCGCGAGGGAAGACACGTGAACTCATCGAAACCTGCTGAAAATCCCTTATCCATCCACCAGACGTGCCAGACTAGACGTCTATCACACTCCCTCCGGATGACAGTCGCCGTGTCCGCATCCGGCGGCAAGGGCCTGTCGTCGTTGAGCTGGAACGACACGCATAATCTAGCCGCGGTGCTTATCAACAGCCACACCTTTCCGAACTGCCTGTAGGCGAAGTTCTGAAACTTTGAGAGCGCCATGAGCTGGATGTTGAGCACCTTGAAGACGTTGAGGTTGGCGAAGATGTACCCGTCGACCTCCTTGGCCCACTGAATCGACATTATGCGTGACTCCCGCGATCGCGAGACGAATATGGCCGCCGCGGCGCATATGGATGTGCATAAAATGGGCGGAAGCTTGCCGGCGTAGAAGTCCTCCATCATCGACGGCCGGTGGAAGAAGTCGTAACCTAGAGGATACACATGATCGAAAAAGACTTCGAGGTGTTGCCGGATGACATCCGTACTGAGCAACGACTGTTCAAGAGACGTATTCAGCGAAGGAGGCCTGGCGTAGTGCTGAAGGGTCGACTCGGCCTCGTATGAAGCGCTCTGGCTGAGCGTGCATGTGCTCGAGGACTCCGGGGATGCCGACTGCTGCGGCTGGCCGGCCTGACGGCTCTTGCGTCTCGATGGCAGCGTGGGATAGGAGCAAGTGAGGTTGCGGCGGTTGCAGTGGAAGCATTGCGGACGGTGACCGGAGCACTTGGCCTTCTGGGCCCGGCACTCGGTGCAGGCTGCGGCGATGCGCCGGCGCTTGGTCCCGGCCTCGGTGAGGGTCTCCGTGGGTGCGAGGAGATTGTGTGGATCGCCGGGCTCCGAGGAGACGGCAGACTCCGGGTAGTTGAATGTGCACTCGAGTCTTAAACGGTGACAGTTCTGGCACGGCACGGGGCCTCCTGTGCATTTTACCTTAGCGTAGGTCAGTATGAATGACAATCAGATCAAAGAGGGTAGAGGGTCACTTGTACCTTTCGGCGCTTGCAAGTCAGGCACCGCGGCCTGGGCGGCCACGTCTCTTCGGAAACCGAGTCCGGGCCCGGCATCATGTCTCTCTTCGGGCCTGACTCCTCACTCTGTGTGGGTTGAAGAAAGTCGGGCGGGCATCTCGAACGCGCGGGGACCGCATCTCATTCACAGACGAGGACGGCCGCGCGGGACGCGGAGCCCGGAACAGACCGAGGATAATATGACCCGGTGTCCCCAGTTCTCCACCGGAGCGAACTGACGTGCTCGGAATGCGGGGTCATCCTAAGCCAGTTTGTTACAAGGGCCACCCACTGGCAGTGCCATTTCACGAATTGTAGGACTTGGAGGCCCAAGATGGGAGAGCACACCATCGCGGAGTGAGATGGCGGAAGGTGGTCTTGGTGTTATTGGATGATGGGATTGTGAACTGGTAGAGGATAGTTGCGGAAGAGAGAGATAAAGATGAAGAAATGTTCGTGCTTGATCCCTGCAAAGACGCACTCGAGAATTCGTTATCTTGGTATTAGTCAGCTACTACACCGACCTATCAATGGTTCACCGAGATGGGTGCTTTTCACCGACACCCGTGAGCGGGGTTCCCTTGGAATCAGCATGCTGCCGTCGGGCCATCGAAGCAATATCTCCTGCGCCAGGCTCGCTCTCATCGATGAAACCACATCGTTGATACAATGGGGCGCCGTCTTTGCTTGCGTCTACATACGCTCCTACGCCATTCTGGTCTGCCAGTTCGCATCCCCATCTCACAAGCATGGAGCCGGCCCCTCGTCTTTGGTAGTCCGGATGAGTTGCGACTGTGTCTAGGTCTGGTGTCATCATAGTCAGCGATTTGCGTACTTCGAGTGATTGGAAGGTCGCACAGTAGTGTTTCTCATTTCCCATGACCCTTCGCCTTTCGTTCTCTTCTCTCGCGAAGAAGACATCGCAAACCTCCCCGGGCATATCCTCATGCCAAGGTGGGTAGCGTCGTCCTCGGTCCTCCGGCATAGATAGATCCCACTTCGCGTACGCCGCTATGCGCGACCGGCCATTGGTGTCTAACGTGTCCGGATCAACGACTTTGATGTATCGCTGGAAAGGCTTGTCGAGAAGATCGTGACGGTTGGCGTCATCCCACCACTTGCGGACCCCCGGGGTGTCAGGCCATAGGCGCCGCAGCTCAGGGTCTGTGAAAGCAGCAAACCAGACTTCAGTGAGAGTAGGAATGTCTTCCATCGTCACCATCTCCAGCCTGAGATTACTGCCAGGTGCCATCTTATCGATCATGTGACGACATGGAATGATGAAATGAGAAAGAGTCCAATTGATGATTGGCTGGTCGACGGTCGGTGGTTGAGGAAAGACTTGTGAAACCTCGATCAATTGATAGCCCAACCAAGTTCCGTGACATAACGAAACTGTGTCATGATCCAATTTTGATGGAGCTTTGAGATCCGCGCAGCAAAAACGATCTTAGTCATCTCACAGATCGTCGCCCAATCAGACATCGTCGCATTGAAGGCACCCATGATGTCATTCGGGAATGCTCCGGCGGTGACCTTAACAAATACACAAATCAATGTCACACGATGCCAGGACATCCATTGGGGCGTAGCCGAGATTCACTCAACCATTTCACCTCACGAAACTCGCTGCTCCTGCCTACAGGGTAGTACCCATTGTGACAGTATATCGCCGTGTGCTGTCTGATGCGATGCAAGGGGGCCGGAAACCGAGTCCCAGGCCCAGGCGGGCCGTTCCCGACAGAGAAGCCCACAAATCTGCAAATCGTTGCCTAATCTCCCGGCCAGTTGTGTGATGTTATCTAAAAGCCCGAGCATTAACGAGGGGTGGAATCGGCTTAGACGGAAGCAATGATGTGAATATTTGTAACCTAGTGACTTGTTACATATTGCGGGTATCTCGACATTTCTTTTCGATCTTCATCAGTACTCTCAGCAATCCTACCCAGATCATTAAAACGTGATACCCTGACGAATAACTTAGTCTTTGGGGGCAATCCATAAATACAGAAAGACAGCACAATTTTTAGCTGATGTGTGTTCTCTGCCCAGTATCCTACCATACAGAGAGGCAACACCTTCTTCACAGAAGTTTACATACTCTGATGAGAAGACTGAATATTCCCCTGGATATCAGAATCTTGCAGGCATGCAACATATCGGCTTAGGCGGCCGTTAAGCGAAATCCGGCTCCGAGTCTAGTGCTAATGCGGTCCAAGTACTAGCTTGGCAGTCTCTCATAACTGTCTTGTCCAATCGCGTTCACCTTGCCTGGCTCGGACTCGTCAATATGCATGCTGGTCTATTTTGACTGCTTGCTAGGTGCTTCGCAAGGTGCGGGAGAGCCTCTGACGTTTATGCTCAAACCGGAAAGAAGGTATCTCCAGTGTGAAAGGGTTTAGTTCGGCCACAGGGCTGCGCGATGTTTCCCCAGCATGCAGGCCTGCGGGATATGTGTGGTACGCACTATGAGCGTCTCCCTTTTTGGACCTGAGTGTAGGTGCATAGTCAACCCGTCAGCTTGGGGGCGTAAGACTGGACATAACCGTTGTGCTCTGGGGCGGCTAGCATTGTACTATACGGCTTACATCCTACTCATCAGTCTTCGTGGGAGCTGGGCAGACACATGCAATCCTTCGGCTCCCGGCCAAGTTCGCCCTGAATTCTGTAATCAGGCATCAAAGTAACCCTGTGCAGTGTAACGAAATCCTAAGGGTGTAGAATCTTGAACAGCCTCATCACCTGGCACCCCTGTACATACTAATGGGTGAATGTCACTTCGGGTCGCGGAATTGCACATTCCAGCTCAGCTGCTCAGGATTAGGCCCCTCAGCGCCAATAAGATAGTAGTTCGCGAAATATGAATCCTTAAACCTTCATGTTGGGCAGGCGGGGTTGATCACACCTTCGCCCGCGATCTACCACGTCTGAACATTTGACGGCTTGAGCTTGCTTATCGAACACAGCTTCTTGTTGTTAAGTTGAGACAAAATCAACATTTTGTAAGGCTTAAGGATCTTCTGATGATATCAACGCACATATCCTTTTTTAAATGTCTAAGAATTGACCTTGAAATCCGCCTTGGTACGGTTCGTGATGGCAAAATGGACCAGAAAATCTGAACTTCTCAGTCTCGCGATAGTTCACGGAAAGAGTCTTAGAAAGACTTACCGTGTAACGTCTTGGTGAGTGACCACTTCATCATCAGGTCCCCATCGGCTAAATACGGCGCACAGGTGATGATGACAGGTCGCATGTAACGCGCGGGAGGTTGTCCGCCTGTTGTCGTATCTTAGTAAATCAGGAACCTGGATTTAGCCTAGGCTCTGATTGGACTGCTTTACGCGGGTTGTGAGAAACAGTAAGCAACCTGTGTGAAGAACTCAAGACGCGAAGCGGAGTTGATGATCACCCTTAACTCAAGGAGCAATCTCGTCGGATAGTAACTTCCGTAACTGCTTTATCAATTATGTCCCCATGATAGGATGCTGGAAGTCAGTATTATTTGTGACTCAAATTTTGTGTCTCCAGTTCCGAATAATCCGCAGCATCAATGATCATGGCCAGTCAAGAATCATGCTCAACGGAATGACTTCCCCAAAGATTGTTGTGGCAACTTAGTCATATGCAAGATTAATTTAGAAATGATGACTGATGAAAATATGTTGCACTGCTGTCTAAGTATGGATGACAGACAGCTCGAGCTTTAAAAATGCAGGCCCAGCTATATTCCAGATGCCTGATTCCATTTCCGTCGCCTACGCACTGCTGAATAGCCCGGTTTGCGGAAACTACTGCACGTAGCGTTTAATTCAACCAATTGTCGCCAGTTAAGAGCCTACTTGGGTGAGATCCAGTGGCTGTCAATGAAGAAATTCTGTGCTGTGTGTGCTCACGGCTGACAGTGGGACCCCTAATAAGAATGCGAGCCTGTCACGGCAAGCCGGAGACGAGGGAATCCAGGGACAAGAGTGCACAATGGCAGGCAGTGTACCTTCTCCAACGCATCTCCCTGGTCATATCTTGTGCACCATGTGGCTTATCTTTGTTGGGTGATACTTGTTCGGTAGGGTGATGACCGCAGAAAAGGGTCGCACCACGAAGGATTTAAGCCCTGCCGCCTTGTAGGGCAGAAACGGCGCGCGCGGGTGAAGCTTGGAACGGAATCCCGTGCGAATGTCCATCGGAGCAGTTTTCCTCGAGATACATGGCGCGGAGTGGGTACGTATGGTCCAAGATATGCTGTGTAACAACACATTGATCTGGTCAACCATTCACAGGATCTCGTTTGCGACGAGCCGCTAACTCTAATCGAGCCTTGCATGATCGAATGCTACTCTGAAGGTGGTTCTAACCTGCTCTTGCTCTTGAATGGCGTGTTGGCACCTTTGAGCATGTCGAAATGCAACTGACCCCGCCGCCAGCAGGCTTCATGATTGGGCCGCTCGCACTCATCCCTGCAAAGGTCCCGTAGCTCATGTGGAATCCCTCCGTCACTAAGACGCGGATTCTGAGCTCGCGAGTGGTGATCTGAAGCAAACTACCGTCCGGGTGAACCACAGGGCTGTGCTGATGTTTCCAGGCAGATAATTAAATATCAACCTCATTGGCTGGAGCGGTGCACTTCGGCGTTGATGATGCTTTTGATGGACCTCAAACGCTGGAGGGTTCCGCCGTCGACTGAACTTCATTTTTATATCTAGCCATCGCAAGGTTGAGGACCGGATGGATGACGCAGCTTCAACTCACTCTTCAAGCATATCCAAAGACGCACAGGACAAGAACTTTGCGAGACTCCCAAACAGCTTCACGAACTAGCTCGGACTTCTAGCTCGCCTGGGTAATACTCAAATTTTGCTGAGCCAATGGCACGGAAAGGCAGTCGAAAAGTCCGAACTGGATGCTTGACGTGCAAGTGAGTACTTGGTAGCCAGTCTGAGATCGGAAACTTGGCACTAACCTGACGAACAAGGATTCGCAAGATCAAATGCGATGAAGGCAAACCGTTCTGCAATAGGTGTATCAGCACTGGCCGGAAATGCGATGGATACTCCGTAGAACCTTCCTCCGTCCTTCGATGGCAACGGCCTCAAACGCTTCAACTCGACTCGGCTACGAACGACGAAGAGGCTAGAGCTCTCCAGTACTATTGCGACCATGTAGCACCGTTCATCTCCGGCCCGACGGATCCCTACTTTTGGACTCATCTTGTCGTACAATACATCAATGACGAGCCGGCTGTCAAACATTCAGTTATTGCCATTTCCCTGTTATACGGAAACATCCAGGCCGGCATCAACCCACATCTAGATGGTGTGGCTTTGAGCCACTACAACGCTGCCATTTACGAGTTGAAACCGACCAAAAACAACAATCAAGAGCTAATACTGGTGGTCTGTATTCTTTTCGTCTGCATTGAGCTTCTGCAGTCAAACAGCGAGGCAGCTGTAGGACACTGCAATCACGGCTTGGCGATACTGGAAAGCTCATGTTCACAGCCCGTGGCCCGAGAGCACTTGCTGCCCATATTTCGGAGACTAAGCATGCTCTCATTCTTCTCCGGGACTCATAATCACGACTTCTCCTATCCTGATATTTGTAAATGCCCGGTCCCGATATCTTTCACAAGCTTCGCGCAAGCACAGTCCACGATCGACGACGTCTTCAACCGAATGATGCGCCTCGTTCGACTCGGAGACGACTATCGAATAGGACCTTTGCGGCACCATACACCTCCACCCGACTTGCTCGAGAAGCAACGCAGCCTCCAGCAATCACTAGATCAGTGGTATACTTCGTGGCGAAACCTAGATGAAAGATCGAACCTACCAAGCACTAGAATAAAGGGGGGTCCCAGGATCAACGTGCTGCTGAAATACGAACTGTCCTACATATGGACTGATATGGCTTTCACCGCCGACGAGATCAGCCACGATCGACATCTTGAAAGATTTAGACAAATCATAGAGCAAGCCTCCAAGTTCGCGGAGTCTCAACTCGGCAACAACCCGTCGCATTTCCTTTTCGAAGCGGGATTCACACCATCTCTGTTCTTCATCGCGACCAAATGCCGAGCCCTAGACGTGCGACTCGAGGCCCTGCGGCTCCTGACTGTTCTCGGATCACCCCGCGAAGCGATGTGGGACAAGGGCGAGCTGTTTTGCATCGCGCGTCGGTTGATCGAACTGGAACATAATGTAGGCTTGGATGTCTACGGTCAGTTGCAGTTTACGGGGCCGGACTCTTGTCTTGGGCTTCCGCTCGACGAAGTGAGGGTGCGACATTTCGTCCCGGAAAACCGCAGGCCGTGGCAGTTCGCGACCCATGGGGATGAGTCGAGCGGTAGCTTCAAGGTGGGCTACTTCTTGAGAACGGCCGAGGATACCCTGTACGTTCATCAAGAGGTTCTTGGATGTGAATATTACTCAGACCTGTCAACTCTTGATGGAGCTCATGAGTCATATTCAAGCAGTCCGGGAAGTATTGAGGGGGAGTTGGAGATTGCGCCCGGCAATGAGAAGTCGGATTATACATCATACGCATAGGAGTCAGGCTTTGGGACAGCATTATTCAGCGGGAAGCAGTCAGAACATTTGAAGGAGCAAGCAGACCAGCGCGCATTGAAATACAAAATCATTACGTCATATCTCACAAGATACTTTCATGTTAAGATCATAGTCTTCATTGAAACACTGTCAATTCACTCGGGGAGGGCTATGAATGATGTTAAAATATGGCATCCAAACGAGCTTTCTCTCATCTTGTACACCGGTAAGACTCATGGTGTGACCCTCCTCGGGACTTTGAGCTTATAAATAAGATGAGACGAATTTCCCTTTGCCAAGTTCATCTGTGTACACAAACACGTGCTGGACAAAAGCTAGCATACGATGCCAAGAGATCAAACGCTTGATCTCGTTGAAATGACTTACGCCAAGACATTGGCATTGCTAGCATCTTGAACTTCATCTGCCAAATTGTTCCCAGAATATACTGAATTCCATTATTTATCGTACACAAAGCGATTTTTGCCAGTTTCCATATGTCAGCTCTCATGCACTTCATACCGCCACATGAGCAGGGAGGGTGGGAGGCTACCATGAAACTGACAATATCGAGGAAGCTTTGCAATTTCAGGTTGTTATAAGCCATTTTCATTACTTGAAGTGAAAGATTCAGTAAATATGTTGACCACTTATCGAAAGCTAAGTTCCAAATAGTTTATGTTGTAAGAGTCAACCACACTCCAATAGTACATGTACCGACAAAGTTGAGAGTTACTGTAAAAGAGGTAGCATGGTAGATTAAATACATTAAACCTCACTCTCGGGAGAATTGAGATATCTTAATCGACCAGGAGAAAGAAGTTTGCCATTCGACCATTGCCATCCTTTACTGGAGGCCTCATGTTCCAGCCACATGACTTTTAGGCGGTGACACTGTTAAATTCCATTCGTGGAAGAGTAATCACTCAGAAGAACTGGAGGGTGGCACCAAGTCTGACATTAGAAAGGTAGGGTAATTGTTGTTATGGTGCTGATATGTTGAGCCAATTCAACACACGGAGGGCTTCTCCGAACCGAAGCGGTCTCGATTCGGCGCCGATAGAGTGAAAACGTGACGTTCTCAATGGAAAAGAAACTTTTGGTCTCAAGTCAAAACAGGCGAGCCGTAGCCAAGCATCCCCTTGTCTATGTTTAATAGTGCCTTTCGTTTCCTCGACACTCGGATCAGACGATCCACACGCCCCTTGCCGCCTGTTCGATATGAGAATGCTACGACGCTTTGTCCAGTCTGACTCGTCGGTCCCCTGCTTTTCGACCGTCTAAGTGCAGGAGGCGAGGTTTTCTAGAAGCGGCACGACGGCAAGCAGCAAATAATACGCTTCTTCATATACTGCCGGGCTGGAAACCCCGCAATCTCCTGCGCGGTCCACAACGTACTCACTCTCGCGCAACACCAACTCACTGGCACCATCGGGCAATTTAATCCGCCAACGAGGAATCGGCCTCTCAGCAACGCCACGGTTCCAGAATGATGAACCCCCTGTGCCGCGGATTGCCGTTCCAGGATCTACCCCAGCTGAAGCTTTGTTTAAGGTAAACTTCCTGAGCTCCGGATTGGCTGTTTAATTGGAATTAATCTACGAAGACCCTCTTACGTGCCGATGGCCGTCTCCACCAATCATCAGTAAGCGGTCCCGGGACTCCGGCTTCAACTGAACACGAAGACAAACTAACCATGATGCCGTCGCTCCCGCTCTCGCTCCCCATCTTTTGGGAGTCTGACGGCCCTTAATGGAACTACATAAGGAAAGCCAAGTCGCATCCAGAGGAACCGGTTCTTGGTTCCCCAGTTCGGACCAGACTTCAGACGAACCAACAAGCAGTCTCATTCTTTCATCATGAAGTCTTTCTTCACTGCCCTTACTTTCGTTACGGCGGCGCTGGCCGCCAGCCGCACCTCCGCCCCCTCCGGCTGTATAACCGTCAAGAAGTCGCCCGGCAGCGGCGAGTTCGGCACCATTCAGAAGGCCGTGGACTCCCTATCGACCTCGGCCTCGGGCAAGCAGTGCATCTTCATCGACCAGGGCACCTACAGCGAACAGGTTCTTGTCCCGGCCCGAACGGCCCAGCTGACCATCTACGGCTACACGGCCGACACGTCCGGCTACGCGGGCAACAAGGTCACCATCACGGCCAAGAAGAGCCAGGCCGACGGCCTCAACAACGACGGTAGTGCCACCCTCCGCGTCAAGGCCAAGGACTTCAAGCTGTACAACGTCAACGTCGCCAACACCTACGGCAAGGGTAGCCAGGCTGTTGCCCTGAGTGCGTACTCCGACAGCGGTTTCTACGGAAGCCAGTTCACGGGCTTCCAGGACACGCTTCTCAGCCAGCAGGGAAACCAGCTTTACTCTAAGTGCTTGATTTCAGGTGCTACCGACTTCATCTTCGGCCAGAAGGCTATGGCTTGGTTTGAGAAGTGTGACCTTCGCGTGGTCACCGCTTCTCTCGGATACATCACTGGTGAGGAGACCGCGCAAGATTTACTCGTCGTGCAGCAACAAGCTAACATGCATCATTACATAGCCAATGGCCGTGCCAGCTCTTCTGACAAGTCCGAATACGTCTTCAACAGCTGCACTATCGCCGCTGCTTCCGGTGCCTCTGTCCCCGACGGAGCCTTCTACCTCGGCCGTCCCTGGGGAGCCTACGCTCAGGTCGTCTTCCAAAAGACAAGCATGACTGGAGTCATCAACTCCGCTGGCTGGCGTATCTGGAACGACGGCGACCCGCGCACCAGCAACGTTCTCTTCGGCGAGTATTCGAACACGGGAATCGGCTCTCAAGGCACTCGCGCCAGCTTTTCCAAGAAGCTCAGCTCTGCTGTGGCCATCAGCAGCATTCTGGGCTCCAGCCACACCAGTGCCGGATACTACGATGCTGCCTACATGTAAAGGGACGGGCTCACTCGGCCCAGAATTGGGTTGCTGGCCTGTCAGTGGTCACCAAGGGGCTGGGCAAGGCCTTATTTTCTCCGCACATATTTTCACACCGAATATACAGCATGCTTGCTTCTTGCAACTTCAAAACACCGTATTTCTTTTTCCAAACTTGGCATGTGGTCATCAGCTACCCCGGATTCCCAATACATGTCTCGACGCGCGTGAAAACTATCACAAAGCGGGGGATTTGCGATAATGACCTGATACCGCTAGAAGCGTCGCTACAAACACGAGATGAGAAACAGAACTTTAATATGCTTGCGCTTCAGACTATTTCTCAGGGATTCGAGATTGTGCTCACACGTTGAAGCCGGTCCCTGGTTTGCCCCTGTTGGTCGTGGCCCGTGGTGAAACTTCCGAAAATGAGGCTTAGTTTCAAGTACACGCAGAACCAAGCTACGGCCAGCCAAGGCCCAGACCGCATGGTGTTCAAGGTATTGTCGACTTTTGAGTCCCAGATGCCAAGCTATGGGTTCAGCTTGTATGCCGAGCACATGTGCTTGGCGATCAGCTACGGCAGCAGCCGTACGCCAAGATCTTACAAGTAGCTTTGTCGATCGAATGTTGAGCCTCGCGAATATCATTCAGCATATAATGATCTCATTTCAAACTTTAATCTTGCTATCACTTTCTTAGTCCATCTGGACGGCGGGCAAGAGGGTAAAGATTGAACTTTCAGTATAACCCGGTGAAGGAACCGATTTCTTTGTTGGTAGACTCATAGTCTTTGGCCGATCCGTGATTGCGGCCTCGAAACATCACTAGTCCTACATGTAGCTATTTAATCCGTTCTCTGTTATAATAAACAGACGAAGCTACGACATGATGGTTTCTCCTGATTTCTGACCTATAATTCTGCTCAGAAAACGAGGATAAAGTATCTCAAACCTGTTTTTGATGGTGTCTTTGAAACTCGAGGCCTTGGAGATATCCACGATTATGAGGTTTTAACAAAGCAATGGAACAATAAAGAATAAAGCCATCCAGAGTTTCATCATTGTCCAACTACAAGATAATGCATTGTCTAGAGGAGCCCAGTGCATTCGATGATGTTGCAAATATCATAAATCGTTTATTCGGCTGGGCGAGAAAGTAAGAACTTCGAAATCCTCTGTAGTTGCGAAATACTTAAATCCTTTGAAGATAACACAACATATTCTTAATTTTCGCGTCAGTCAGTTCTAAACATTCACCAGAGCCACCTCAATTAGGCTGCCTCGACCTCAATTTCACAACGAAGACAACATGGCACGGACGAACTCTGGAATCACACACACTCAGGATACGTGGTGCTATAGCTGCGGAGCCGAAGACGATGTGCTCCAAGGCACTTGGTTTCGGCGGACAAGTTGTTGCGACAGGCTCATGTGTCCCAACTGCGTATTCAAAGCTGTTTGTGTCAACATATGGAAGGATTTGTGGCGTCCCTGCTCAACTCCTGGTTCACCTTTCAACGATGGGTTCGGCATCAAAGTCAAGTGCCCTGTGACCTTTTGCGATCAGCGAGTGTTCTGCCCAGACCTAGACGGCCTCTTCTTGTTTCTTGGCTCCCTCGGCATCAAGAGAGATCACGCCTGGGATGAAGAATGGCAACTTCGACGCGCATTCCAGCATCAGGCGCAGCTCAACACATCTTACCCGAACATGACAGAGACACAAGTTTACTTGACCAAACAGCTGCACTTACTTCTTGCCGGAGTTGGTGCCATGTGGCCCTTGGATGGAAATGCGAGCTATGGGGAGATCAAAATCGCAATCATCTCAATCGAGGAACCAGGACGACCATTGCTGAAACTGCCTCTTTTCACGCACTTGCTTAGGAAAACTGCCAAGACCTGCGCGGTTTGCTGCGAAGATTACGTCGAATGCAATGCGTCTGAGGAAGCTGTGCAAAGGATTCTCACCGAGGGATTTGATTTCCTTGGAGGCAGTTGGACTAGTGATCTCTGGTCTTTCCCATCCCGTTCTTCCCTTCCCGACTGTTGGCGCCGACATGCTCTCGACACTTGCTGGTCGTGTCTGAGTGCCTACATCACAGCGAAAGTGGAAGACCTCGGCATCTCCGACGACATTTCCTGTCCGCACGACGGTTGCGGCAATGTTTTTACCCATGAGCAGATCAAGCAACTTGCAAGCGACGAAGCATTCGAAAGGTACGAGAGGCTGCAGCTCGTCAGATGCCTATCTGCCATGGATGACTTCCGTTGGTGTTTGGCCGAGAATTGCGAGGCAGGTCAGTTTCATGACTTAAGTCGCTGCTGGGCGCTGGATCCGGCACGCAACTTCGTTGATTGCCACTCTTGCGGTTTCCAAATGTGTTATCATCATCAGATGCCATGGCATGCCAATCGAAGCTGCGAACAGTACAACAAAGAGAGAGACCAAGATCAAGCGACAGTCCAGTGGGTAGCCGACCATACCAAGCCATGCCCAAGCTGCAATGCCCCGGTCGAGAAAGGATCCGGCTGTTTTCACATGACGTGTCGGAAATGTAGAGCTGAGTACTGCTGGTTGTGCAGTGCTGATTGGCACCAAATCGTCATCAATGGACCGTACGGCCACAAGCCAGAGTGCATATTCAGCCAAACCACAGTACGGCCTACGGCAGTGAACGGAAGGACTACTGAGGAGGCTATTGAGGGAATAGTAGACTTGATGGGGCACGAAGGCCCTTGGCGATTTCGATGATTGTTTTGACCAACTGTGCTGTTGTACTGCTGTGTTGTGGCTTCTGGTTGTTTTGTTTTGAAACGTCGCGGTTCTTAAGTAGAGATGTAAATGTAGGATACAATGATAGATCAGAACCTAGCTGATGTGGATTCCTAATCAAGTGAAGGATGTTCATCGAATATTTCCGTGCGAGTCATTAGAACGATACACGCTGGAACTGCAGAGGCAAGATCCGCGGCGATGACGGCCCGGTGTCATCCGCTTTGCCGGGGATGGCGCCGGCGGGACACGGAGATCCCAACAGCGCCGTGGAGTTTCGCACGGGCTCGAACTCCAAGTCATGTCCGTGGCCACGCCGGCTTGAGGATCCGGAATATGGCCGTTGATACAGTTCAAACAGCTGTCAACTGTTGAGAGTGTTCAATATGACGATGCTCTCAACGGTAAGCAACAATCTTGTTATCATGAAACTCCCTGTTCTTGTGCTTTTCCCCGGATCGTTGTTGAGCAATCTTGAGCCCGGAGCTCTAGTGCTTAACGCCGGGCGGCCTAACGACTTCCTGATTCATGCGGTCGGTCGGCGTGTATTGTAAGGCCGAAGATTTTCTTAGTGGCCCACCCACCGCTCCAGGGAGGGTGAAAATTCATGTCGGGACCGAAGAGCAACTCAGCTACCCGAGTATGATGAAGACATTAGAAACAACCCGAAACCGAATTTTGTCGATGTCCGACATGAAGACGGCCATGAGACTCGAAGAAAGAACCCGTCCCACTGTCGGGCAACACCGGTGTCTGGTCGTGGTTGGTGTCTTGCGTAACTTGGCTGCGTAAGTTATGGATGCACGCAGTATTCAACCACTTGTGGCTCTGTGTTCCGGATGGTAGATGATGCCTGGGAAAACAGTTACCTGAAGAGAGTCGAATCTTCTTGCTAGTGTAGTTTGATAAGCCATGAAAGTCAAGATGGAGTGTAACCAACGTTGAGGTTAAGGTTGGCCGGATCTTCAGATGACACGAGGAGCACCTCAAGCATTACGAAGAAGCGGATCCAATCAGCTATCATCGGTGACAGAGAAGCAGCGGCTGATTAATTATAGTGGGATGCCGGTGTCAAGACCCAAGGACGGATGAACGCCAGAGAAGCCAACAGACGGTCGAGACGGGGGGACCGGCGAGTAGCTAATGAAAAAAGTCCGGCCATCGGCGAGCACAAGCACCGATCCGCCGTGTGGCGCCGGGTCATCGACAACAAACCAGGATTAGGGGGGACCCCTAGTCGATTTGCCGACTCATCGAAAGACTTTTCGACCACACCTGCCCACTTCTCGCCGCGGAATCTTCCTTGCAAAAGTCGCAAAAGGGGGCCACGACGGCTTCGGGTTCGCTGCTCGGACTTATTTCCGAGGCTTGCGCCGAAGAATATTCTACTGCATTCATGGAACAAGACCGGCAACAAGGCGGATGATGACGAATGGTGACCCTGAAAAGGTCCCGAGTCCGTTGGACGGGCCCGTCCCCGTGGATTGATTGTCAGCGCGGCCGGCCTCCGCGATCTCCCTATCAGATTAGTCGGTACTCTATCTCGGGACCACCTCAGGGAAATGGGGACAACGTGGGACCTTCATTATCGTGAGATCCCGTTTTAAAAGCTTGAGCCGCCCCATCTATCAGATCTCCGTGCACCAACATCTACCTTCCATCCTACCACGACGTCTAAAGCAGGCAGCACCAACTGAGCCTTCTTCACATCAACCGGTTTCCTGCCTAGTTTTGAGTTAAGGTACCTGTGATTCTAGGCCGTAAGACACAAGCGAACACACGCTGTCATGTCGACACAGCCAACACTGGCGAGGACGCCCCTGTCCTCATGGCCTGCCGCTCAGAAAAAGGGAACTTTGATTCCCATGGTCATGTCTGCTATCATGCTCCTCCTTCTAGTTCTTGCAAACATGTCGTATCTCTTCGGATCGAGTTTCGACCAAGCAAAACGCTCCCACAACATCAAGATCCTCGCCGTCGATTACGACCAAGGCGCCATCGGTGCCGCCGTCTCACGAGCATCCCAAAGTCTCCAAGCCGCCACTTTCCCCACGATCGAGTTCGGCTCCGTCTCAGAGTATTCAACACCGTCGTCGGTCAGAAATGCAGTTTGCAAGGGTGACTATTGGGGCGCGATATATGTCTCCTCGGGCGCATCTGCAAAACTAGCCAGCGCCATCAATGGTACATCTACTGGATACAACGCAGCCGAGTCGATCACCTACACATACAACCAGGCCAGATATCCCGCGCAAGCAGACTCGATCATTATGTCGAACATCCAAAAGGTTGTCGGAGCTGCGCGTGGATTCTACTACCAGACTCCCAATGGAACCGCCGCCTTTGCCTCTCTCAACGCGAGCAACCCGGCCGCCATCGCCGCCTACCTGAATCCCATTCAGTCCACGCCAGACTTGATCCAGCCTACTACGCAAGGACCTCGAGTCTTCTTCAATACTGTCAACATCATCATCCCAACCCTGGCCCAGTTCTTCTACATCCTCGCGCTCAACGGCATCGGTCTCAACTCCGGCTTCCTCGCCAAGGCTCGCGTCCGCGACGTATGGCTCCTCCGCTTCGGCATCGGCAAGATCTACGGCTTCCTCACGGCGCTGACTGTCACGGGCTACCTCTGGGCCTTCCGTGAGACGTGGGATGTCCACAGCTTCGAGTTTGGCAAGACTCTTCTCGTCTTCTGGCTCTACATGGATGTCCAGTGGCAAGTCCTCGAGGGCTTCGTCGGATCCTTCGTGCCAATGCAGTTCATGCCATTCTTCGTGCTCACATGGATCATCACCAACATTTCCAGCACCGTCGCCCCGTTCGAGCTCATGCCGGGATTCTACAAGATCGGATACGCGCTGCCAGCTCACGAGGCATACTCGATGATGGTGTTAGCCTGGTCTGGTTGTGCCGATCAGACCCGCGTCGCGCTACCAGTTCTCTTCGCCTGGCTGGTGGCTGGCCATGTACTGGTCGTCTTCTCCATCCGGAAGCGATGTGCCGACGCTGGCAAGATTGCTGCTGCTGCCGCTGCCAGAACTCAGGATGACGGGGTACCCATGCCTCCACGTTCGGCCAGCACAGAGCTAACCCTGCGATCTGATGAGGAGCAGATCAGGAATGAGAAGTGAGAAGTCCCTGTCTGTTTGGCAAAAGGGACAGTAGAGTGCATGGGAACACTCAATCGGTGGATGTAATATTGGCAGAACGGCACGCGTGATACCCGACATGTGCATATTTTGGAGTTGGAATTGTCTCTGCAGTAGCCCATTTCGGGCTTTTGGTTTTATTGACATCACTTATTTATCAAGCGTTAGAGAAGAAGCGCGACACGACTGGCTTTGAGTTAGAACTCCCACCTTAGACCATGCCATGCTGTTTCGCAACATGCATGCACATGTCGATCAGTAGCATCGACCAAGAACGAATATACTCTTCTCAGAACAACTGATTTTGTGATTTCTTGACAGTATGCACTCTGTTTCATGAATGTTATTTAGACTAATCCTCAAGCTCGTGGGCCGAGTAGGTAGGCGGCCTCTCCTTGGACTGAATACATTTAAGGCATGCTATCAAATGTCTAGAACCTTCTGCAACTCCTTCAGCGCTACAAATAAATCGTTGTCGAAGTACTTCCGAGCAGTGACCTGGATACCAATTGGGGCACCCTCAAAATCGCCGTCCTCCCAGAACTGTCGCACGCGTTTGCAGTCCTCACTTAGCGGGTTCATATGCTGAGACGAGTAGGTCTCCGCACCCTTGCTCGACGCCTTGATACGGGTAGGCAGAACAGCGCTGGGATAGTCGACGTAATTCCAGAACGACAAGTAGTTGGAGAAGATAGCGGTGTCATGGGCACATGCCGGGCCAACATACGCTGGGCTGATGAGAACGTCGACATCCTGCGCTGTCCAGTGCTCGGCAAATTCGCACCGGAACTTGTCCCGCGCCACGCGTTGCTGAAGAACACCAGCAGCGTCCAGGTCCTGGTTAATCACATCCGGATTCTGGAGAGCCATTTTCGTCAACAACATCGGCGGCTCGCCCGTTGCTGCCATCGCACCCTTGGCCATCTTTCCTCCATCGGGCAGGATGATACGATTGATGTTCGTGATGGCTTCAGCGGTCTTAAAAGCTGTAAAGTCTTTGACCTCGAAGGCAGGTGACTTGCTCAGCTTCTCGCGGGCCCATTCGAGGGCACGGATAACAGGGGGTTGGGGCATGACGATGCCGTCATTCATCATGAACCCGACTTTCAGCGGAACCGACTTGCGTTGAGTCTCAAGCCCAGTCCACGGTATGGGAATAAGTCTCGGATCTTCCAGGTGAGGCTGAGCATTCTTCAGAACAGACACGAAGAGATCCATATCCCGGAGAGATACACTCAGCGGACCAGACGATGCGAGAACGTTCAGCTCGCCGATGTACCCGGAATCGCCAGTGAACCCTCTCATCGGGAGATAGTAAGAGGTACTCTTGAAGCCATAAAGACCGCAGAAAGCAGCCGGTCCTCGAATGCTGCCACCGATGTCCGTGGCTATGGCAAGAAGACTTCCGCGAAGAGCAACCACAGCAGCCCCTCCTCCGGTTGACCCGCCTGCGGATAGATCGATGTTGTAAGGGTTCAGCGTGCGACCTTGGATGGAAACCGTTTCCAAGTGCATGATCCCCTGAGGCTGCAGAGTCTTGCAGTGAAAGACGGCCCCAGCCTTGCGCAGAATCGCAACCATCTGGCAATCCTTCTCAGCTTGCTGACGTGTGATGAGGAAGCCTAATGACGTATAGTGACCAGCCAAGGGCACCATCTCTTTCACGGCAATGGGGATACCGTGCAACGGTCCAACGGTCTTCCCGGTCCTTTCCAGATGCTCGTCAAGCGCCTTGGCATGTTCTATGGCTTCGTCCATGAACCATTCTGACAGGCAGCATGTGAGCTGATGCGCGATGATTGCCCTTTTCGAGAAAGCCGTCACAACAGCCACGGCGGTGTACTTTCTGGCTGCGATAGCTTCGGCGAGAGCGACAACATCGTAAGTTTCGGTGATTTCGAGTTCCTCGGGTGAAAGAAGCCCGGAGTCTCGAGGCAAGGCTGTGACGTTCTTTGGCGGGTTGTCGATGATGGCTCTTGAGATGTGCAGTTCGAGAGGGACTTTTGCGGCGAATTCTTCTAAGATTGTCTTGCGCGCGGCTTCGAATGCCGGGGTGCCCGAGACATGCGGGAGACGCTCAATGATTGGCAAAGTTGTGGACGTCATCGTGAGATGTCTCGAAATGATAGAGGCTTACTGGGCGCATGTTATTCCAACTACAGCGTGGCGTGCATGATACTTATAACATCCACCCCGGCGAATCCTCAAATGCGAAATAAAACGTTCAGATTTAATTTCAAAGCACAAGTGCGAATAGTATTCGTGTCTCTACCGGGTTGTCATCGCTTGACCCCTCCACAGGTGACAAAAGATCAATTATGGGAACTATCATGCTGAAAATGGCCGAGGCTTTGATCCCAACTAATCCCGGACCCAGTTCCGAGCATGTGGCTAGTCCGCTTGGGTAAGTTAGCGAGGCCACGGAATTCAATTTACGTGCTGACATCAGACGATCCATACATAATGGCCTTGTGTGCTTATGTGAAAATGCGTTGACTGCTTACAAAACGAGAGCCGGCATCGAAGCGCCGACATAATCCGGACATCTCGTCGGATCCTGTCGCAATTGGCGTTCACTGAACATGAAGGCTTGATAAATACTATCAGTTGTCCTCTAAGAGAAAAAGGAACCTGACGAGCTTGAATATATCTAGTATCTTGTCGTTCATTAGTTCAAATCATTGGATATTAGCGATGATAAGAAGTGTTGCCATTGGCTTCAAGTACGTCTTGTTTTTGAATGAAAACATCAGTACTTTCCCAATTGTCATTGTGGCTTGCTTCATCCCAGTTTTCTGAGCTTTCGTAAAATTGGAAACCCTCCATGTACTAATAGGTAAACCGATGCATTCGTGATATGTTTACTCGTGACCGGTCATTGGGCGACTTCTATGCTAGAGATTGATCCTCGGTGAAGTGGTATGATACGGGTCTAGAGTGTGAATCTTAGAATCAACCGGGATTTGGACGTCGATTACTTTTTGAATGACAGGCGAAAAGAGTGTCAGTATTAGTAAATTTGGTAAATTTGTTGGCATCAGTTGGTGCATTGGCTTTTTCATGTCTATCTACTTCGTAAAAATGGGTTCGCTCAGAGGCATTACAATCGAACAAAATAACAATGCTACATATATTCAGCTGATTCACTTTTGGTCATTCAACAGGGTTATCTTGATACTGAGGTGCCAGGCCATCTTGGCAGTCATTATTAAGAACTTTGGCCTCAATACTGAGACATGTGATCTTTTAAGGTGGCTGTGAGGCTACCACAGAGGGTTCCCATCTTTCTAGACAGTTGATTACTCCGAGGTTTAATAGCTGCTGAGAATCTATTGGTGTTTGGGAGTTTGGTGTGCATCTATTCGAGCCACCACTGCCAGAACTGTTTGGATCAAAAAGTATGAATCAAATCATGGGGTACTCACATCAAGGTTTCAACTTCACAGACTCTCCAAAGGCGTATTAAAGCAGGTCTGAAGGCAAGTCTCATGGCCTTGATCCCGAGTGTAAAGAATTCGGCTTGTGCATCGCTCACACCATCATCGTCAAGTTGACAACTTCCTGCCGCAAGTAGACACATCTTCTACGAGCATGAAACAAAAAGTACGGTGCATGCTGTGAAGCCGGCCGTAAAGAACGCCCGCAAAACTAATTTCTGCCACAAAAAGAATATCCCGATTGAAGTTGTGCTCACTCTCAAGGCAGCTACATCCTGCCAGGAATTCTGCAATCCGTACACCCGCGATGGGATTGAGGGGTGTCTCGAGAGAGAGGCTTTCAACAATTTATGCTATTCTTGAAGTAATTTTAGACCAACTTTGTTGAAAACTGCTGCCTAGAGTCCTATCCTTCGAAAGTAAGCCTCATGTTACGTAGCTTGAGGGGAGTCTAGGCCTGCATTTTGGCGGTACGCCGCGGATGACCGTGCAGGTGGAGATGTAACCAGAGTAGACGAGGAGGTCTCTTTGATTACCTTCATGAGGCTCAAGTACGAGGCATTCTCTTGATCAGTAAGACATGCATCTGCATGGTCGTCTCGATGATCTCGCCGGGTCCGACTTTTGGCCTCCCTGCTTCATGAGGCTCGTCCGACACCGACAACATCAACTTGACCCTCGGTGATGTTTCAGGTTCGGGGGAAGATTGCACCTCGGAGAATGAGTTGCTGTGGCAAACGTGCTTAGACGCTCCTAGGTCAGCTTATCGGCCGAGGCTCCTCGTATGGACATCACCCGAAAGTCCGCCTTACAAAGCCCAGCCTTTTCGAAGCTGTGGAGAAAGACAGGGGCAGCATATTCTCCTTTTGGAATCTATAGAACAAACATTATTTGTTTCGGGCAGATCTACGTGCACATCTTGAGCTTATTGTCCAGTACGGCGTCCGGCACGGCCCCAATTAGACTATACGTAGGATTGAACTAAGCCTAGTGATCCTCGCCCGTGCCTGGCCATTGATCCATCGTAAAGACCAAGATTCGGCCCCCTAACTGGACCCAACGGTATGGTGATTGGTGTTGACAGAGAATGAGTAAGACCGTTCGAGACTACCGGCTTACACCATTGCAGATCTGACGAATGAGAAAGCCGAGTCGTGTCTTGGCCACCTCCCCATGAACGTAGAATTTCCTATTCCGGCAATTGGTCTCTTAGTGTTCTCTCGGCGTCGGCTGTGGGGACACGACGTCTCAACGTACCATTGCCCATTTCAGAAATTGAGGTTGAAATCATCAGGCATATGGAGTGTATCATATTATCTCTTCCCCCCGAACAATTCCAGAATCCCGGAAAAGGGGCACATAAGACGCGTGTCCGCCTTATCCGCTGCTAAAATATCAGCTAAAAGCCGTTCCTACTGGTCGCAAGCGGATCCTTCTTGACGGGATTCTTCAAGTAAGGACTGCAATCCGATATTCGGACCGAGAAGAGAGGGCGTATACGGATCGCCCAAACAAACCTTGGCCAGATCTATACAGAATTCGTAACAAATAACACGCCGTCAACGTCTTTAGTCTGCCATCGGATAGTGATTTAGCGCCCAAGACTCCGCACGAGACACAACAGGCAGTGCCCATGTTCACACCCCCCGGCTGCCAAGTTCGTGGCGGCCCCCTAACATGCAGACATGCCACGATGGCATCGACAGTGTGACAATGTCTCTACCGTACTGAGAAGCATCGGTGCTCCCATTGGCTTCCCTATACGGGGAAACGGCCGTCACATCGGGAAGGTCCCCCTTGGCTTCCTGCCACAGGTCTCGTAGGGCTGAAGCGGCTCTTTTCATGTTGCCTTATTCCCAAATCGCGCATTTGCATGTCGTGTCTAGGACTTTGGTATGCGAACTCCCCTGCCATAGCCGCAGTTGATGCTTTGGCCTATCATCGTACTAGTCTACCACTTGCACCTTGGCCCCTGCCTCTGGGGACATCGTGTGCCAACGACAGCAACCGGTGAGCGTTACAACAAACCGTATCACTGACGACTTGATCCTGCAGTTTTCTCGCTATATAAGTCTGTAGGAACATCATCCCATAGTCTAATACTCTCCAGCCATATCTTACATTCATCCAACGCAGTTCATAACAGCAACAATAACTCACCGACTATTTAGACGTTCTCTTCCATCTTTCAAGTCCCGTTCAAAAACAATAATCACGACAATGCCTGCCCCCATCTTCCCCGTCTCTTCTGTCACCTCTCTTGCGAAGGTGTGCGGTTGCGATGCGGCCACTTTGGCTGCTCAAGACGCCTCGACCCCAAACTGCACCAAGTGTCAGCTACCGAAGCCCGCCAAATAAGGCCCTCCATCCGCAGTTTTAAGAGATGTTTACCGCCGTCAGTGAGTTAGATTCTTGCGTTGGAGTTCGTTGCTCCAAGTCTAACGTTGACATATAACAGGCTATTGGAACTCCTTCATGTCCACGGTGTGCAAGTCGACTCAAGGGCCGAATTACACGGGGAGTCTCAGATCCGGATGATTGAGATGCGACAAAGAACTACTATGGGAACGAAAAGTAGCCAGGCCAGATATGTCGGTAACGTTCATTTGTCGGAGTACAGGTGTTGGGCTGGGTAGTCTGTATACACGCGAAGGCTATCTCAGGAGATACAGAGGGGCGGCAATAAGTGCTCATTAGTGTTTTCATGTTATGCATCATCATTACTTCTTGTCTTCGGACATCAGGGCCCGTAGGCCCACTACGCTCGTTCAGCTTCAAATTAGGTATAAACTCTTCAAACAGAAACTCACATATGGCTCATTTTCAGTCCGCATTTAAGGGCAGTATTCGCATATCTATGTTGGCATGAAGTAAGGAAAGCTCAGAAGACTGAGATCAAGTACGTATCTACAAATAAGACCAGTCAAGAATACCGAAACATAGACAAAACGACACCATGCCAGCCTAACAGTTCAATCAGTTCATGCAGCTTTGAGCCGAGACATAGCCTGTTTTGTAAGACTTTGGTAAGTATTGGCGATGGAGAGTGTTTTCCTGACAGTTAATAACTACAACGCTGAACCTTTAAAGAAATACGAAGTCCAGGCTATGTTGAAGCTTCAGCATGGTTGAACGATGAGTCATGACTTCAGATTTATTCTTCCAGGTTTGGGCAGAGTTGCTGGTTGAATGAAGGGTGGTGACCTTGACATGCACTCGCTGTTCATGGCTTAGGAACGGAATGCAGACAACCTTCTCTTCACACACACATATACGAGTTCTACGGGCAACTCTAGCCCATGATCATGATTCTTCCATCTGCGGAAACAAAAACAGAAGATGACACCAATTCGAGCGCGTCCTTTTTGAGAAAAAGCCAAAAAGAACTCCTCGACGGGGAATTGAACCCCGGTCCCCTGCGTGACAAGCAGATATCCTCACCACTAGACTATCGAGGATGTGGCTGATGTCAGGGTCAGAATTAATCATACCTATGACCCTCAACCTGAGGCCCCACTACTTCACGCTTGAAGTTCTACCCTCTCCCTGGAGGTATTCACGGCCAGATTCATCCCAATTATCATTTTCTCGCTCATTTTGAATTTGTGCTACATTACGGTTTTGTTGATGCACTGGTCTTATTATTCGTTTACCTTGCTGAATCCCGTTCTGGGCCCAAGGATCTCGTCATCCAATGTTCTTGACTTGTGAACAGTTAGTGGCTTACATTCGCTGACTGTGCCTCAAAGTGACAGCACATTTTTGGGCTACCAGTCTGACATCATTTGAATCGTTCAGCTGGAAACATCGGCGGGCATAGCCGCAGCTGGGAATTCGGCTGCCTGGTGCCTGGGGTCTGTATCAAGAAATGCTTACCTCCATAACCTACTTATAAGCGCCGAGACTGTCGCCGTCCGCCGCAAGCGACAGACGTTCTCGAAGCTCCGCCACAGCCCGTCACTGAGCGTCTCTGAAAGCCGCAATCGCCACATTCCCGGCAGCGATCAGAGGCATACTAGCATATCATCTGCAACGGAAACAATGGCGACCGAGTCTCAGATATTGCAGTCGACGCTTGCTCCAGCAGCTAACACTGTTCGCCAATTCATTGCATCTTATCCGCAAGCGCAAGCCCAACTTTCCCCACTGCTGGAAGAATTGTTGAGTCTACCGACTGTCGCTGCGCGACTCGAGCGAAATGTTAGTGAAGGCGACCGAGAAGGGTCTTTAACCGCCAAAATTCGCGGCATCCCCAGCGCATGTGTCGAAAACATAAGAGTAGTCGAATCACTCCTCTCCGGGACCAGCATTGATGAACGTCCCGTTCTCTCGACTCTGTTGGCGGAGTTGAAGACCTTGACTTCATATCTTGGTACAGGTCGAAGGGCCTTGAATCTCGCCGCAGACGCATTGGACTTGTGAGTAATTCTACAAGCTCGAGGCATTCTCTAGCAACCCTCGCCACACATTATTCGGGGAACTGATAGTACGAATAGAGCTCAAAACCTCCAACGAGCTGAGCAGAATGGTGACTCGCCGCCATATGCAACCAGCTCCATTTTGCAGGAAATTTCAGCTATTCAAACCATCCTAGATGAAAACTTCGCTTCGCAAGAACAAACGGGGTCGCTCCAGTCGAACCAACCCGAAGTCTGTACCGGTATTCGCCAACTATACAACATAGCCGTCGGCGACTTTCTCGATTTCCTCAAAGCCTTTGTCGAGCAGCAATCTGGGCCGACGTCGACTTTAGAAGTGGCCAGGAGGTTAATCGCAAGCAGCGCAGTCTCGATCCCACCCCCGAGCATAAGTCTGACTCCAGATGCGGACCTTGGGTTCCTTGCCCCTAATTTGCTTTTGCCGGCGCCCTCCAGCGTTAACTTCAAACATATCGGAAAAGTTGTCATGAATCTGGAAAAGGAGCCGCAAGACATCAAGTTCATGCCAGGAAGCCCTCCAACGTTCGCAACATCCAGCTTCCACAGAGACATTGTCGTTTTCAACGCTGCAACCTGCGAGCGACTGAAGGAGATCAAGGCTAAGGGAGTCCACATGGTATTCTCCCCGGTAGATGAGGTGATGGCTCTGACAGTGGAACACAACGACGAGCTACCCCATAAGCTGAAGCTCAGTTCCATCACCCATGATTTTGTTCACTTTCATAAGCCGGCGCTTTACGTTCTTGACACATCTCGAAGCCCTAATCCGACAACGAGACGATTTATGTTGCAGTGGCACGGCATTCGCGCCTTCTCTTTCAGTCCCGATGGCTCTATGCTGGCAATCAAGGGAATCAAGAACCGCGTCGAGATCATCAACAGCATGAGGGGTCTCGGTTATGGCGTGGTACGAAGTCACACCGACGAAGTCACCCACGCAGAGTTTACGGGGGGCGGTGACAAATTGGTCACAATGTCAAAAGACGGCACATTGAGGGTCACCGATGTGCGAACTATGAGGAGCGTTGCCAAGCTGGAGATGGATAACTGGAGGAATCCGTTGCAGCTGGCTGTGTCCACTTCTGGTGTTGTTGCATCTATATGGGGACGCACTGTCACTATCTGGGATTACGAAACGGGGGTGATGAATAGCTACAACTTTGAGACGGCTCGGGGCAGCGAGGCATGGCCTCTATCTATCTCGCCCGATCTCAGATGGGTTGCTAGTCGCACAGATGACGGGGCTGATGTCACCGACCTTGCTACGGGCAAGGTGATGTACTCCGCAAGACTAGAGTCTGGGTTCGTGTCCTCGGCAGCATTTTCAGCTGATGCTAAGTACTTGGTGATGGGAAGATGTGTGAATGGTCACCATGGAAGATCTGATTCTGGGATTCTGAACATGTGGGAGATTCAAGTTTGAGCAAATGAGTTGCTCGTCTATGCATAGCCCTCACTCGTTGATCAATCACTACGATGTCTTCACATTGAATGTTCTTTTCCCACTTAGCCCGCGGTTTACTTAACGATAGTCAAGATACGATCCTGCGTTGTAGTTCGCAACTACACTAGGCAGCACCGATTCAATGCACAGTTCAGTATTTAAAGCCCTTGGAAGCATTCTAGGACCGGAGGCCTGAGAAAACGAATCAATCAAAGCATGCTGCTGCCGCCTCCCAACTTCTCAAGAGGATTTGCAGTTCTACGGCTTGGCAAACGGTCGGGACTAGCCGCACTGCCAGTTTTATTGTGCGCATATTGGATCTTTCAACCATTAGCTGGGCGAAGCTTAACTCAACCGTCGCCCGGGCCGGTGGGATACGGTGGGATAATTGCCAGGGGCTGATATCCACTGGTCTTAATTAACACACCATCTGTGTGCCGGTCAAGTTTCCCCGTTGGACGTCTAACATGGTGGTGATTGGAGGAAGTTTGGAGTCCCCGTCCTGTCAAATGACAAGATGACAGGGTCATGCCCTGAACAGCGTCCATTTTCCGCTTCGAGTGAGCAACTCGTGTCCGTGTGCGGTCTGGTCTTCCCCCTTACGAACGCATCTGCTTTTAGGCTATCGGAACTTCTATCTGATGGAGAAGCTTTCTAGATTAAATGACCCCCTTCGGCACCGTTTTCCGAGACCCGGGGAAGGTCCTGGGTCAAGGTACCATATCAGAGGAGACATAAAGAACAATGGCTGCTCATGGTTGAACGCTGAAACTGGAGATTTTGTCTCGCGCATCGAAAACCCTTGACAATGGTTTGCCTTCTATCATTCATCTTGAGCTGCGCGGCTGGCGCAGTAGCCATCAACGCTTCTCCATCTTTCCATGGCCGTGACACAGGAGTCTTAGCACAGCGGGCATTTTGCACTGTGAGTACTCGTCATCAGCGTATCACGCAGAAACTAACAGTCCAAAGCCCACAAGCGCCGGTTCCGCCTCGAAGGACGACGCTCCTTCAATCATCGATGCGATAAAGAAGTGCGGAAATGGCGGTACCATTGTCATTCCAAAAGGAACCACGTACATGATCGGCTCGGTTCTTGATTTCACCGGCTGCAACAACTGCGACTTCCAGCTCGAAGGCACTCTCAAAGTCCTCGAGAACTTCAGCTACTGGAACGGAAAGCAGACCATCATCAACGTCAAAAAGATCACGGGCGCCAAGATCCGAAGTCTCACAGGCTCAGGTGTCATCGATGGCAATGGCCAGGGCTCGTGGGACAAATTTGCAGCCGACAAGACTTACGACCGACCTACGCTTCTCTACATCACCGGCTCATCCAACGTCCAGGTCTCCGGAATCACCGTCAAGAACCCGCCATCCTTCGGTCTCTCCACCGCCGGCGACTCGACGAACGTCGCTTTCCGAGACATCTCTCTTTCCGCAGTGTCTTCGTCGTCCAACCTTCCCAAGAACACGGACGGCTTCGATATCGGCCCGGCCTCCCACGTCACTGTCCAGAACGTAACGGTAGTCAACAATGACGATTGCGTCGCACTTAAGGCTGGAGCAGACTACGTTGAGATACGCGACATCACTTGTTCCGGCAGCCATGGACTCAGCATCGGAAGCCTGGGCAAGACGGCCGGCAGCACGGACTTTGTCAAGAACGTGTTTGTGGGCAACGCCATCATGAAGACGTCTACGAAGGCTGCGGGAATCAAGGTCTACCCGGGCGGAAGCACTCATGGGATCGCGACCGTGAGCAATGTCACCTGGGATGGAGTAGTTGTCGACAACAGCGACTACGCGTTCCAGGTCCAGACGTGCTACGGCGAGACGGCAGAGTTCTGCGCCTCAAACCCTCCGACATCTCAGATCACCGACATCTTCGTGAAGAACTTCTCTGGCACCACTTCGACTAAGTACAAGGGGGTCACGGCAAACGTGAACTGCCCTGTCAAGGGTTCTTGCGAGATTGCGTTCACTAACTGGAAGGTCAAGGCTGGAAGTGGAACGGCTACTGTTGCTTGCGCAAACTCTGGTAGCGTTACTGGTGTGACCTGCTCATCTGGAGCTTCTGGTTGATATGAAGTATCATCGTGGTGATGGTACCGATGGTTTTCCCGGCGCTGGCGACGTATGAGAGCGGCTCGATCTGTTTGTTTTCCATGTAGCTATATTTGCAAGAAGTGTTACTTCGACCTTGAACATGACATGGAAACAGCATGAGGTCTTTGGCGGACAAGGTATTCCAAGTTCTAATATCCAAGTCGGCTAGCATTGGCATAGCCTTGTGAAATTCAAGAATGCAAGACTCTCAATGCTTGCAAATATTCTTGAACTCGGCCTCAGTATGAGTCCAGACCTTTTCACACGTTCCATCTTTCATGTACTGCTCGAAGACTTCATTGGATCTACAAGCCTCTCCGTCCCATGCCAGTCGATAAGCGGCGTGTTCTTTGGTTTTCTTCGTGAGAGAAGCGCTTGTGGCTGCGTAAAGGTGCCTCTGACCAGACTCCTTCACTGAGACGTTGAAAGGGGCAGCAATGACCATCAGAGCGTTGATAATGGAGCTCGTGATACTGCCCATGCCGGTCATTATGTTGGTGCCTCTAACAGTTCCAGGCGAGACATGAAGAAACGAGACGGTGGGGTGGGCCTTGGCGAGGTGCTCGAACGACAAAGATGTCATTGTAATAGACTGACGAGCGCAGTTGGGAAGGCTATAGTTGGCCTTCTGTGTCAGCGAGAGGTCATCGGAGAAGATGTTCCCCTCTTTGCCCGCGCCCAGAACGGAAACCACCCGAGCCAGTTCGTCGTACCGACCAGCCCGCTCGAGGCCGGGAAGAAGATTCAGGATGAATCTGATTCTGGAGTAATACTGCAGGCTGAACATCTTATCCAGTCCTTCCTTAGTTTCTTGAAGCCGTTAGCCGCATGTCTTCGTCTGGGTCTGCAAAAGTACACCCACCATCGCGACCGTTCATGCTGAGAAACCCTGCACTCAGGAAAACAAGATTGATCTTCGTCTCCTTCTCCATGATCTCCCGACAGACGGCGTCAACATTATTCAGTAGGCTGAGGTCGCTCTGGATGAAGTGGATCTTGGCCGAAGGGTTTAACGTCTTCAGGTGTTCCATCGTAGCCGTAGCCGATGCTATGTTCCTGCCAACGATGTAGACCGTTGGCTCCTCGCAGTGCTCAACCAAGGCCTTGCAAGTAGCCTGTCCTATTCCACTAGTGGCTCCCGCTACCATCCAGGAGAATAGTCAGACTTGTTTCAATGTGATAAACAGATGTGGGCTTGCTTACCCATGACAGCCACCATACCTGGTGACCCACTCTTCAAGAGAGCGTTGCTGCGTCGGACTTCGTGTATCGAGGGCATTTTGATGACTGAGAAGTGAAAGACAAGAACAAAATTCCGAAAGGCTTCACTTGAGTTGTTCTTGAGTTTTCGGAAGTAGAGGTTGCCATAGCCACTATGAAGCGAGAGCGATGGTCTTTAAATCCAAATCAGCAAGTCTTAGACGCTGACCACATTACCAATATCTCACTCGGTTGGACCGGTCCACTGACAGAGTCTGCGTTAGATCAACCATTGTCGTGAGGAAGTACTGAAATGGTTTAGTTTACGCTTCCCTTGTGATACTTGAATAGGATCGTGAAGAAATCGGCTCCCTGGCCTGATTTGGTTTAGGGCCACGGAGAGCGTAGGCCGCAAATTTCCGAGCCGTGAGCAACAAACAGTCAAGCGTATCGGTCAGTTTACTATGGCTGACTCCGACATTTATCCCGCAAAAACGATTAACAATGATTCAGTGTTGTACAACTTGAAGTCGCCCATTGGGAGTTCACTTCATGCACGAGCCGGAAGCGCAAGTACATACCTTAGCACGCCCTTGGTGGATTGAACGATCCATGCCATTATTGCCCACGTTAGCGTGTTGGTAGCACACTTTCACTGAGACTCCGGGGTGACAGAAAGTAGCTTCACTTGTATTTATGTCGAAGTTATTTATGAATTGCGGTGGTCTTCATGGGCACCCTGCATGTGGTGATTCAAGCATTACATGTATGCAAAGCCTGAGGTACAGTAATAGTGAAGACCCTGGAACAGCCATCGTGGCACGCTGTACTGAAGAAGGTGCGACGGCCCGTGGAAATAATACGGTAAGTTTGTGTCGTAACTTGATCAGTCCGTCGTCACTACTTGCAGCAAGCGCATCAGACTTTGCCGCCTGCAAGGGAACCTGCCAGCCGTCCCGGTACACAAACATGATAGGGAATGTTTGTTAACATGTTTTCAATTATTCTATCAGGTATCGCTAGTATTCTACCGCATCTAGCCTAGTGATGGTGATAACTTCCAGTTGTTGTAAGTCGTAATTGCAGATTGGCGTGCAAATGATTGTATGTTGCGGGTATCTCGCTCTGAACACGCTTCGCACGAAATCCATCGTCATCTATCCGTTTTCCGATCCGAGCCGACAAATCCATCAGTTGGAACTTCCAAAACTCCTTGCAAAATCCAAATGAACAACGGTAACTCCGCATTCGCCCTGCGAAAGCGACACCATCAATGACACGAACGACGTTTCTGCCCAGATGTTTATCGACATGAATGACGGGTATAACAACAGATTTGTTGGTGTAAGTGTAAAAAAATGGGAAAGATGTTGTTCTCGCGATTTGTTATCGTCGTGTGGCATGAACCGCTGAGCGTATCACGTCGACTCATTATATCAGCTGCGCCCTTTCTTTTTTCACTCTCCATCCCTCTCTGACAAGCCAGAATGAAGCCATAACTGGCGTCGTGAGAAGAGCAAGTACAGCGCCGTAAACGCCTTTGAAAATTTCGGGAGCCCACTGGCGCTGGAAGTACCAGTCCCAGTCGCCGCTCGCCCTCCGCTCACCAACGGCAGTCAAAATACCGATCGCAGGTAGCCATAGAAGGAAGAAGGCGAACACAAAGATGAAGCCGACGCGGATGACCTGATCGGCGATGAACGGCCCCCAACGCTTGGACCGCGTCGCGACAACCTGCCCTCCGTCCTCGATCCGGTCGAGAAGCATGAGCGATCGCAGCAGAGGGCGGACGGGCTCTCTGAAAAAGCCAATAGAACGGACGGCGCCCTTCTTCAGGTCGTGATCGACAACAATAAGCTCGACGAACCACGTAATCAGGGTTTGGATGATGGTGGTGACTACCGCGTCTCCAGCGAGGGTGTTGGGTAGCTGGAAGAGACGAATGGGGTTTGTTGCCAGGTTCTGGGTTGTATACATGCCTGTCAGAGTTGCGTTAGTCGATGGGTTTCAAGATGCCCTCAACAAGAAAAAATCTTCAACTTACCGTAGGCTATCGCAAAATTGATGCCACCGGACAGAATACCAGCACCAATACCATGGAGTCCCAAGACGTAGAAAAGCTGATGAGGAGTGGCTCTTTCTGTTGGTTGTTTCGATGTCCCATGAAGACCGGCTGCTAAGTTCGGAAGGCCAGCTTCAACATCACTGAAGCCGCGATCGGAGCTGCTGCTGGTGGCATCTCTCGATGATTCTTGGACTTCCGGGATTTTCTCCTCTACTGGTGCTTGTTTCCGCAATGGCATCTTTTCTGAGGTTTGAGCCTGTGGTAACGCTTCACACCTATGAACACAATGGTAGAGAAAATATCTTGAAAAAATTGTCGGACTAGACACGCCTCAGCAAAACATGCTTTCTCGTATCGCGATCTGGTATGCAAGATGCTGCTTCTGAAAACAGAAAGGGGCGCAAAATAAAGTATGTACTGGGGTCCGGCAATATTTTTCTTTAAAAGGGGGACCATGCTGAGGCTGATTCATGATCGCCGCTAATTTCCGGAACGACCGGGGTTCATCGTCGAATTTTCGCCCTGCTTGCGCTTGGTCACCCGGGTTGGATAGAAAGGTGCCGGATTTAAAGCGAGGAATAGAGCAAACTCATGCCCAGCCATTCAGGTTGGTCAAAGAGCTAAACCAAAAGACAACTTGTAAAAGCAACTTTTTCCCCTGGCATGACCGGAGTCCTGGATGTTTATGCTGCTTCCAGTCTTTATGTTGATACTCCGTCAAGGCTCAATTGGCCTGGATGAATATCGAGCGTGTGAAAGCTGTTGGTAAGAAAATGGTGAAGTTGGTTAGTGGATTCGGTGAGCAAAATTAATCGGCCTGTCAAGTGATAGTCGTCGAACACTAGTGGGCTGATGACTACCTATGATGAGTCTGGTGATTTTCATAAGGTCAAGTGGCATGCAAAATCAGGGTCCGTGATCGTCGCCACAGCATCTGCATCTGGGATAATTCAGCGCACAGACTAAGGTCGGAAGAGCCGGGGTATGCTCAGAATCCCATAGTCAATTCCCATAATAGTCTTAGGGTTGGATCGGGTGGATAACCAGCTTATCGTTATGCGTCGAGTTGACGGACGTTATCTTCCATGTGTCGCTGCTACTGACCTTTCTGAGACACTCCTGGGGACCGACATGACAAGAGACAGAAGTTCTGATGGATGGACGGAATCCGAACTTGGTCTTCGGCAAAACGTGGCTGTGCAGCTTCGACAACATGCAGACTGGTTTTAGAGTTGTTCATGCGAACACGGAGGAGGTTGGGACAAAAGCTGAAGGGCACGGGAAGAACGAGAAGTCAATGCCACGATGTTCCTAGTTCTCCGACGTGCGGAAGACGCATGCAAACGCGGGAACCGCAACTGCCAGCGCATATCGGATCGACAAGTGGCCGCCACCAAGCTTTTTGGATGGGTTCTCCATGCCTGCCGGTGTGGGCGGCCCCGCATTGACGATTGATCGCCGCCGATACGGAGGGGCCATCCCGGATGCAACGGCTAAAGTGGACCCTACTCCGCGTCCACCGCCCGTCACCAACATGACTCTCCCCAAGGAACCCTTCCGATCGGAACTTGTTCGAGAACCATCGCCTACCAATCAGTCTCACAGTGCATGGGGAAAGGGGTCGCGAGCTCACGGCCCAGATGGGACCAGTCCCGTTCTACGGCGCATCAATCGTCCTTTCTGCGTCTCATGTCTGTGGTGTGAGGGGAAACGAGCGGCTAGGCCAGGTTCTACCCCTCTCTTTCTCCCTTGGAATGGAAGATAACCAAGCAGACCCATCGGATATGGTGCTCCAAGCATCCAACATCGAATGAGAATGCCAAACGAAACCCAAATGATGATCTCAATGACTCGCCGAGCCGTGAAACAATCGTTGCCGTGCATACATATATGTGGCTGGCCGTACCCGCTCGCACCCCTTTCCCCCGCCCCCAGCTTTCGTTCCACCCATGTCGAGCCACTGACATAAGGAGGCAAAAGAAGATCAAAAAAGTGCCTGGTGCACAGAAAGAAAAAAAAGAATCCCACTTGTTGCTTAAACACCGGTTCGCTGGACGAGCAGCAACATCTATCTTTTCCTGAACAGCCACGAAAGAGACATGCTGGACGGTTACTTATGCGATCCTGAGGAAAAGACCAGAGGCGCACCCATGGATATCGACGAGAAAAGCACCGCCTTTTCAGAGGCACAAATTTCTGCATCCGTGAGTATACCATAATTCAACGATCACCACTGCACCAGCAACCTGAGAGCTGCGGCTGACAATGTTTCTTTTCCTCGACTTAGCCGCCTAACACTAGGAGGCACACCATCAACACCATGATGACAACCACCATCATACCAGAACCAACACCTCCGGCTCCAGATGCCCAGCGAAGATTCTCCTGGCTTCCACGGTCGACAACACCCTCGTTGCGCAGCCCCACATTTCGCCGGCGCACACCGAGCCCCTTTGACGATGATGATTACGCGTACTCCGAAAGCAACCCATTCGGAGAAGACTTCAGAGAACAAAACGGGCTCGCCGAGCAAGATCATGACCACGACGAGAATCCGTTTGAGGATTGTGAATATGAGTTGCCTCCTGGACCGAAACGGGAGGGCGGCTGGACCAAGTTCAAGAAGGCGATGAGTCCAAAGAGAGCAATCAGTAAATGGCGTTATCGCAAGGTAAAACATGAGAACGGCAGGCCAGATGACCCGGACCACGGGAATTGACATGGGCAAGTTTCTTGAACGAGTTGATGAGGCGGCGTATTTTGAATTTTCTGTGGTTTTGGTCGACTGCTTCAAAACTTGCGCGCGATAAGAGTAAGCTTAGGTCTTGTCTCTTTACGCGTATACGATACCACACAAGTGCAATGTTGGGTAGGGTCTTCGATGACAGCTGTTGATTCCCCGAGAGAAGAGCTCTCACAAAAATTGAGAAGTATTAAAAGGAAGCTATGACACTCCAATATTCTGACTGTGTACCCAGCTTGCGCGGGATCAAGGTAAGAAAGTTTGCCGTCTACACCCACGCGTTTTTATCGACAATAATACGTTGTAATGCAGCACGGAATATGCATCGTCGCCTGAAAATTCAGCCGATGGCTTGGTAAGTTTACACGAACGACTTGTAGCTTTGAGTTGACATCCGTTGTCACGAACAGCTGTAAGCATGAACGCAAGCAACGAAACTCTGTCCAAACTGGTCACTGTTCTGCTGAAACGTGGTTGGGGACTATTTTCCAAAGCTCGAATTTCACAAACACATCAACTCTGCGCGGACACAGGCCGCCTTCTGGTCTGAGTTGACGCTGACTTTTGCCCCGGATCTTCCCCGAGAAGAGGCGCATGAAGTAGCTTTATGAAGAATGCAAGTCTTGGATTTGTTTCTTATTCCCAGATTACATGGCCAAGGTAGAGTAAAAGGTTGTTTCATGACATGAAGCTTCCCCTTTTACATGTAAACCCAGTAGAAACTCCCGCCAAGCCGAAGTTCCCGACGGCCAAACTTACCGTGCCAGAACACGTCGCCGATTCCGGAGTTGTTCGAGTAAGCGCTAAATGGGTTCAGTCCCCAGCAGCTTGGCAATGTTTCTGTTATTTTTGAAACTACTCGAAATTTTCGCAACTAAGACTTTGGTTTCAACGGTAAAACAGGCCATTCGTAGTCTCTGATAACCTCGGCCTGAAATTCCCATTCTCCGACCCCTACCACCTCCAGCTTCTCTCCCGCCCTGTCTGGTAAAACAACTTCGGCGATCACTCCGTAGGGCACTGAGACATTTACCTGCATCGTCTCTGCTCCGTACTGACTCTTTGAAATTCGCCAGGAGCATGAAACTGTGCCATATCTACTCAGATGCGACGCGGACGCGTGCGAGAATTCGGCTCCTACCGTCGGTGCCACCCGGCATCTCGCCCACCCCGGTTCAAGCCGTTGAAGTCCCGCGACTCTTTCGAAGAGGAACTTGGCAATGGCTCCAAACGTGTAGTGGTTGAACGAAGTCATCTCGCCCGGATTGATGCTTCCATTCGGCAGCATTGAATCCCACCTTTCCCACACCGTCGTCGCGCCCATGGTGATGGGATACAGCCAAGATGGGCACCCCTTCTCCAGAAGCATGCTGTATGCGACCTGAACGTTGCCGGTGACGAACAACGCCTCACAGAGGAATGGGGTTCCGGCGAAGCCAGTTGCAATCTTGAAGTTGTTCTTTCGCACAAGCTCTACAAGTCTCTTGCCAGCCCTGACCTTCTGCGTCGGAGTGAGGATGTCTAGACAAATGGCAAGAGCATATGCGGCCTGCGTATCCGATACCATGCGCCCGGTTTGAGTTACATACTCTTCGTGGAACTGCGACAAGGCTGCTTTCGCCTCCTTTTCAAACTTTGCTCTCTTATCTTCTTGCCCAAGAATTCCTGATATGCGGTCCATAAGTCTTAGACTTTGGATGAGGAACATGTTGGCAACCATTTTGGCATCAGTTGGGGACTTCCACGGAGCGTCAGGAGGTGCAGCGGGATCGAGCCAATCCTAGTCGAGCGGTCAGTCTATCATTTGATAAAACGGGGTCAGAGGTGATATGATATACCCCAAGCTGGAATACAGACGTATCCCATAGATGTGTGGCACCGGTTTTGTTCCGGGGCAATACCTTCATCCAAGTCAACATGCTGTTGTACTGCTGAGCAAGAATGCTCTCATCGCCGGTGTCCAGATAAAGAACCCAAGGTCCAAGAATGGTAACATCATGCCAGATGGCGCACGGAATTCTCCTACACCAAACAGGATCCGGTAGGGTCGCGTTCGGACTGACCATGGGCGGAACGCCACCCAGGACACCCTGATCATACTCAACGTCATTGAGCCAGTTTTTCAGCATCCCGTAACAGTCGTATATGAGAGAGGCTGTGGGCGCAAACAGGGCCAAGTCTCCTGACCAACCCAATCTCTCGTCTCGTTGAGGGCAGTCTGTGGGTACCGAGAGGAAGTTTCCACGCATACCCCAGGTAACATTCTGATATAGCTTGTTGAGAAGGCCATCGGAGCATGAGAATGACCCTACTGGACTCATATCGGTGTGGCAGACGACTGCCTCAACTGAAGACGTGACATCGTAGTTGCTGACCCATCCGTCTATCTGTGCATATCTGAATCCGTGAAATGTGAACCTCGGCTCATAGACTTCACCTTCAGCAGCTCCTTTGAGAGTGTACTCATCGATAGCTTTGCAGATTCTCAATGGTCGTGTTCCCAGCTCTCCATTCTCTAGCACCTCCGCGTGTGAAAGTGTGATTTTGTGGCCGCGGGGGCCCTTGATGTTCGACAATCGGAGATATCCAACCAGATTCTGACCGAAATCGATGATGGTCTTTCCCGAGGGAGTGATAATCTTGGTGAGAGGCTTGATGACTTCAATTCTTCGGACCGGCTCGCCATACCCAGCCATAAGCTGTGTAGACTTTGACAGGAATGGAAGGATAATGACAGAATCCCAGCAAACGTCGGAATCAGTCGGGGCTTCCAGAGGAGATGACCAGTCGGGAATCTCCAGTGTTGCGTCATACTTCTCTCCGTCATAGATCTCTGCGAGCCTGATAGGTCCTTTGGTAACAGACCAAGAGCTATCAGACCCAACGACCTGTTTTCGACCATCAGAGTACACGAGCTCTAACTGGGCGATGAGGGATGTGTGAGTGCCCCAGATGTTGCGATGGCCGCCCTCAAATCCTATCCTGCCAGAAAACCAGCCTTCTGCAACCCGAACCCCGATGCAGTTGTCTGGATTGTCTCCGTTGAGAAGATCTTTGACATCGTATGTCTGGTACTGGAGTCTCCCGTCATATGAAGTCCAACCTGGCGCCAGAAAATGATCGCCGACGCGATGACCATTGACCTCAGCTTCGTAAACACCTTGCGACGTGATGTACAAACGAGCCTGTATCACTGAGCCGTGAAGGGCGAACTCTTTGCGGAATAGCTGCTCTGGCTCAGGGGCAGAGGTGCCCGGTCCCCAAGGTGCGGCGATGCGTTCGCATTGCCAGTCTTGACGGTCGAGAAGGCCGACTTCCAGGTACGACGGCTCGCTCCACGCCGTCAACTGTCCCTCATCGTCCCAAACTCTGACACGGATGGACAATCTCTGTCGAGACTGTAGTGGTTTCTCGAACGGCCAAGGGACGAGGATGTGTGTTCTTGAGATCGATTTCACTGCCGTTACTTGCAGACCAGTCTTGCCGGTTGTCCAGTGCGATAATTCAACTTCGTGTGCCTGCTGTTGATACTCAGTCGACGCATTCGTGAACTTCCAAGATATTCTTGGCCTCGTCTCGTGTATGCCAATAGCATTCGGTCTGCGGTAGTGCTCGAACTGGACGTCGGTGACTGTGGCCATCTTGCACGGCCATAAGGTCGCGAACATGTAGTATAGGGTAGAATGATAGTCGTTGAGACTGATTTCGCACTTCTGATGAATAATTCTGCTTGAGAAGAAGAGCTCCTAATTCCCCCGCGCTTTTCTCACGGGGATAGACGAAATACCCAAAGTGAGAGCAGACCTTGTACCCCCTGTGCCTCGTACATGTACCCACTGTGAGGCTCGGGATATTTATGAGCGATCTGTACCGAGAATTTGCAATCTTGATGTAGGATTCAAGCAGCCTCTTGCATATCTGAACCCGGGGACGGGTGGTTGTTCGGACTGAGGTATCCACTCGTATTCGTACGTATATCGTATTGATGCGGAGTAACTGCTCATGGCTCAAATCCCTAAATGCACTTGGACCAAACTAGTGCATCGTTCTACTTAAGGAAGTCTTCGCCTACCATTCCAAGCTTCAAGAGATGAAGTTAGACACTCAGACGAACCCTCAGGGGCATGCTTAGTACGGACATTGGGATGAATACGTGCAAAGCGAAGTTCGGTGCAAAGTCGGCACCGAGTAGCCACGAACATCAACTCACATCATTTGAGGTTGACGCTGGAGGGGTGATAGCCGTACATGTATCTCACTTACTTTGTGATCTAGTAGCATTTCTGGTCTCCTAACTGATTACACTCAAGCTTTTAGTTCAATCCTCCAGATCACTTTCTACTCATTGCATCATGTCAACGGAAGCTGCCATGTTTCTGGCCGGCGACATGGTTGAATACAGCCCGTCGACCGGTCACGACCTCCCCGTTGAAGAACTACGCCTGCCTGCTGACTTTACCTGGGGAACTGCAACCGCAGCTTTCCAGGTCGAGGGTGCCGTGTCCCAGGATGGAAAAGGCAAATCGATATGGGACACCTACTCGCACCTCCATCCATCACGCACCAATGGTCAGAATGCAGACATAGCCTGCGATCACTACAACCGTGTGGAGGAAGACGTGGCTCTCATGTCATCGCTCGGCGTAGATGTGTACCGATTCTCGCTAGCCTGGACACGGATCATCCCCCTTGGCGGGCGACAAGATCCTGTCAATGAGAAGGGGATTGCATTCTATAGCAATCTCATTGACACGCTTCTGGCTCACAACATCGAGCCTGTTGTGACGCTATACCACTGGGATCTTCCTCAGAAGCTTTACGACCGCTACGGAGGCTTTCTGGATACGGCAGAGTTTAAGGCGGACTTTGAGAACTACGCTCGCGTTTGCTTCGCTCGCTTTGGCGACCGAGTCAAGAAGTGGGTGACATTCAACGAACCATACATCATCTCCATCTTCGCCCATCACAATGGTGTTCTTGCCCCGGGTCGATGCGCCGCGATGGGCGCCGATACCAAGACAGAGCCGTGGCGTGTCGGGCATACGATCATTCTGTCTCACGCCTCGGTCGTTCAGATCTATGCGAAGGAATTCCAGCCGGCTCATGAAGGAGTCATCTCTATAGTGCTCAACGGGCACTTCTATGAGCCTGTCGATACAGAGGTCCACGCTCACAAGGATGCCGCACAACGAAGAATGGAGTTCTACATCGGGTGGTTCGGAGACCCGGTGTTCTTGGGGCAAGACTATCCGTCGTCAATGCGGGAATATCTTGGATCTCGTCTGCCCGAGTTCAGCGCAGAGGAGAGGAGTTTGCTTCGCGAAACAGCTCACATTAATGCGTTTTATGGCATGAATCACTACTCGACGAAGTACGCCCGCGCTTTATCAACTCCACCAGCAGACGACGACTGGACTGGGAACATTGAAGAGTCATCGGTGAACTCCCAAGGAATCGAGATCGGCCCGATGTCCGGGGTGCAGTGGTTGCGGCTTGCACCAGAAGGCTTCAGAAAGCTTCTCAACTGGACATGGGATCGTTATCATCTCCCAATCATCGTCACCGAGAACGGATGTCCATGCCCCGGGGAAGACGATGTTGCGGTTGCTGTTGATGACCAGTTTCGTCAAAGATACTTCGGCTTGTATCTGGACGCCATTTCTCGTGCCATCTACCAGGACGGAGTGCAGGTACAGGGTTACTATGCCTGGACTCTAATGGATAACTTTGGCAAGTCATCCGACAAAATCTTTCGGTTTTCACACTAACAGAATCATTGTAGAATGGTCCGCCGGGTTCGGGCCACGTTTCGGTATTGTGCATACTGATTTCCAAACATTGAAGAGAACCCCAAAGGGATCGGCATTATACTTAAGAGACTCATTCAAGAGACGCAGAGGGAAGAGTTTGTGATCAAAATGTGATGGAATTCTAGACGTTGGACATACAGCATCTGGGCTGGAGTTTTGTGCAGAATTTGGCAACTTGCGTGCATGTCAATCGTGTAAAGCAGCCCTCTGCCTGAAATTGTCTTTTCAGAAACCAAGTTTCTGACCTCATGTATTCTGCGTTGACCGCAACACTTTGTTCACTCTCACTAGAATAGCACCATCTGTAATGTGACCAGTCGTGTCAATCAAATGCACGAACCTATAGCCGCTCCTCAACCGATCCAGCCTCACACATGCCCAGGAAGACATCGCCGGATTTCTAAATTCGTCGCCATAGACGGTGAAGCGTAGAAAGCATAGTCTTTCCAACAAGAAGCCTTGAACGCCAGCAAATTCAAGCTTTTCGCCGTGGAAATCGGGATCACAGCCGCGCTTGATGCTCGTCCGACGGCTTGGATCTACCTCATCGCCATTTTCGTGGAGGCTGACCGGCCAAGGCGCCCCAAAGTGAGCATCCACGGAGATGAAAGGCTTGAACTTTTTTGGGTCCGTATACTTGGGTGGAAGGGGGAGATTCTGGGCGGCGAGGACTTCAATGCTAAGATCAAGCGCCCTGGTTCCGATATCCCATAGAGTAACGTCTTCGCCTCTAAAGCCTAGTCGCCAGCGTATGTGTTAGATTTTAACGTTTTCATCAAGCTCTTCGAGAGTGCGGATTAGGATCGAAGTTTGTTTCTTACCTTCCGGCTTGAGGACGTAACCCCTTGTGCCGGCGAACATGGCCTCGTTGAGCATCATTCCGACATCCCAATTCTGCCAATTCAACGCGGCCAATTGAACTCCCAAGGCCCAGTGGGGAGCGGGGTCAAAGTTGGAAGAGTTGATACGGAAGCCGCCGGGGTAGGTCCTTGTAAAGAATTGTTTGTTGTGATTGAATACGGATTCGGGCGCTGTGGCAGCCGTCTCGAATGCTGTCTCTGCCAGGGAGAAAACATGCGTCGGCATGATCGCCTCGGGCTGCGTCCAGTCCGTGAATGTGACGCCTCTGGTATACACACCAAGCCTGCTGAGCGCGTGCGTGATCTTAGATGGCTTTGATACAGGTGCACTTGGAGGAAGTCGCCCGTCATCGTGGTCGTCAGTAACCACCAAAGCTTCGTCATCCAGGTTGTGAGTTGGCGGGACATATTTGACTTTGATAAGAATCTTATGTCGGAGATCGGACGGACTCGGCAGCTTTGTTGGTTCTTCGTCGGGTGTCACGACAAGATGATCCTGCCAGATCTCCTCCATGATTTGCACCATGATAGCTTGTTGCTCGGGAGAGCAGTGAACCTCCAGACTGACGATGAGAGGCAGATCGATTACGACGAAAGCGTGCTCACGGACCGTGTTGCAAACATCCCGAAACAGGATCGGCTTGGTGAGGGTGTAGCCATGCAGCACGCGAGGTTCAACAACTGTTCCTGTAGTTTGCATGGTCGTGACTGAGCTTGAATCAGCCTCGGGGATGTTGGCATGTCGTTCCTCTTCGATCGACCCATGTGAAGAGGCCTTCTTCTTGGTGCGACTAGAAAATAGTTTCGGCAATTTGCTCATCAGCGCTTTGAACTGGTCCTTGGACGGCTCGTTCTCGCCATCGCTAGACTGCTCCAAATCTTCACCGTCCCAAACATCAATCTCGATGCAGCGACACCCGCGCAGCAAGACGTTCTTGTAGGCATCTGTGCTGGAATCGCTGGTGAGCTGATCGCCCGTCAGATATGTGTTGTGGCTGGAGCTGATGAAGTAGCTGTGCAGAGGCCATGAAAGGTCTTCCTCCTTGGGCGTTGCAGTGACGGCGGATGCCGGAGACAGCATGTAGGTAAGAAAGCCGTCGTAGTCGAGGCTCTCTCGAAAAGCAATCGGGGAGCTGTCGTCATCGTTCTGGACCTCTTTCAAGAACTTCGTGATTTGTTCGCTGTTCCAAGCACCCACCACGCCAAATACTCTGCTTAGATGATCGCGTACAGATTCGCTGAGGTTGTCGACATATCGATGGGCCTCGCTGGCACCTCCGCCGACTTGGGTTGACTTGGTGATTTCGTTTGTGTCCACCATTGCTGTTGATTGTATCTAGGCAAATAAGCCTCCGTCGGTTGTACTTTTAGAACCGCGAACTAGACTGAAATATGAAGAGTGCACTACATATAAATATGCATGCCTAGACTTCAAGACTTTTCATCAGAGTCTTCAGAGATTGCATGCCAGATCAACTGATATCGAATATGGACTTGAAAAGTCTGTCGCTCATAGTGGAGAGTCAAAATTTCCCGCCTGGCGTGACACGGCAATGACTTCCCGGCTTGGACAAGCTGAAGCGATTTACTCTTACCGAATGGCTTTCCCCTGACTTTAAGTGCACAGTGGTATGTCTCTTGCTACATGTAGAGAATGCCTACTGCACAGACGGGTATGGAGACAAACGGCCAATGAAACAATGCAAAATCTTATGTGCAAGCCTAATTCAGAAAGACATTCAATCGTCAAGACTCTCTACTGCAGACGACTCGGCCATTATCATTAATCATAAAATTACCAGCCGGTGGGATAGTGTCCAAAGACCCATTCTCTAGCCCAACCGATGGGTCTCCGTACTGTCTTGCAAGGTTTAAGAATAGGTCTACGCGTGAGCATATGCGCGGGATCCGCAGCCTCCCCTTGCTGTCGATTATTTTCTAAAATAGTTCCCACACCAGCCGCCTATGATATCTTAAGCTTTTACCTGGCCGAATCCGGTTAAGGATATCTTAAATGGTGAATTCGGAGCCCGAGAATCCCGCCCTCGACCTTTCATCCGATCTTAATGCGGCGGTAATCGACTGGAGAACTGGCTTGGCTATTCACCTTATCGGCATTGCCGGCATAACAAGCTGGGCACTGCGTGTGTTGTCCGGCCAGTGAATTAAGATAAGTAAATTCAAAAACGCGAAGTAGAATTGTGGGTTGCGTTCCCTTTGTCATCGATGCCCGGCGGAGAAGATGTCTGCTTGCAGACCCAGGGCTTTCAACTGTCATCATGATAATATCAACACCTTCGTATTTATGTCTTATCATAGGCAACCTGAAATCTCCCTACTTTTAATGCTGTCTTTTGATTTTTACTTTCGCTGTAGCTCGCCCAAACCGACGATAAAGCACTCATTTCCATACGTGTCTTACAAAGAGTTGAACTTCCACGCGTTATCAGCTTCTTGAGATCCGCCAGAAGTAGAATATATGTTGGAAGTCACCGAAAACCGTCATAGTACGGTGAATTTGGTGTCCATTTCGCTGTCTGCGTACATCTCATCTTGGTGCAATGGAGGGATAACTCATCCGATCCTCCTCTGTGACTCACATAGCCGCAGTCTGAAGTGAATGCAGTTCAACGTCCAATATCTTTCAAGAATTTGCCTGTGTCTCACCTATATAAAATAGATGGATACAACTCAGCTTTAAGCCTCTTCCGAAACCTCACAACCATCGCCCAACTTGACTGAACTTGTCCTCACAACTTCACGCACGGCAATCGCAATCATGGCAAACGAAACGATTCATGGCAGTCAAGATGGACTTCTCAGTAGCGGCAGTCATGCAGCGTCCTTGGATCTGTTGTTTCCCGGATATGGAATCATCATGGGAACCATAAGCCAATACTTGGGGTTTGACCTTAACCTCTACATTCCGCTCTTTCTTGTTCTCGGACTTACCGGAGTGGGACGGTACCTTATCGACGAGATCAAGTATCTCTTCAATACTTATCTCATGGCTGAGGCGGGAGTCTTCCCAGACGATGAGATATATGTCAGTCTCCCGTTTCCACCCGACATCTGTGTGCCTTACACTAACAACACATGCATTGACAGAATATTCTCATGTCGTGGGTCGCTAATCAATCCTTCGCATCGAAATCCCGCCACTTCATTGCCAATTTGAATCGTGTCCAGGAATCGTCTCTGTTCCAACCGAGCGGCCAAGATCATTCGAAGCCTCGAAGCCAAAGTCTGAAGTACACCCCAAGCTTTGGAACCCACTTGTTTTGGTACAAGAACAGGCCAATATTCTTCCGTCGAACAAAGATTCACAAGGACCTCGGTCCCCGAATCAAGGCTGAAGAGATCACTCTTCGTTGCTTTGGATACAGTCCCTCTCTTCTCAAGGATCTTCTGAAAGACGCCCATGAAGAATATATGAAGATCCATGAAAACAAGACAATGGTCTACAGCGCCGAACAAAGGCGCTTCGGGGCGGAATGGAATTGCTGCATGGCGTTGGAGCCCAGACACTTTTCGACAATCATCACGCGTCCGGGTCTCAAGGAATCCATCATTGACGATATCACCGACTATCTGTCCGCGGAAACCCGTAGGTGGTATACCGACTGTGGGATTCCATGGAGACGGGGGTATCTGTTCGTCGGGCCGCCAGGAACCGGGAAGTCGTCCTTTTCCCTTGCGCTTGCCAGCCATTTCAAACTGCGGGTCTACACAATCAGCCTGAGCTCGACAGGAGCAACTGAAGACAATTTGTCATATCTCTTTTCAGAGCTGCCTCAAGAATGCATCGTTCTCTTCGAGGATATCGACGCCGCTGGTCTGACTTCCACAAGAGCGGCCGCTGGTCCCGACGAGAAGAGAAAGTTCAGCTCGGCTTCTGATAACGACAGGCTTTCACTGTCTGGATTACTCAATCTTCTGGATGGTGTTGCCATTCAAGAGGGTCGCATCCTGATCATGTCGACAAATCACGCTGAGAACTTGGACAAGGCTCTCATTCGCCCTGGTCGCGTGGACATGATCATTCAATTCACGTTGGCAGACAGCCACATGCTCAGTAACATTTTCCAAACTGTCTTTGCATCAACTTCAACACAAGACAAGCCGGAAAAGAATACACCGGTAGATCAAAGACCAAGGGTTGTCTCGTCTGAGATCAAGGCGCTCTCGGAACAATTCGCTGCCAGAATCCCTTCGGGTGAATTTAGCCCGGCAGAAATTCAGGGGTACTTGATCAGATACAAACGAAAGCCCGAGATGGCCGTATCTGGTGCAGAAGATTGGTTTCAGACCACAAGGTCAGAGAAGGCGGCACAAAAGTCTGATGAAGTCAGCAAGACGGAAGAAGAGAGCGACGCAAAATTGCCAGAAAAGGCAAGTGGCAAAGAGAAGTCTGGAACGGAGTCGTAGATATGAATATTGATAGCAATCAGCGCATTAGAGTAGTAAGTTTAACCATTCAATCTGGCGCCTTTAGTGAATCTAAGTCAAAGTTTATGAAGTAGTCTTGATCTTGAGAGATACTAATTCAATAAACCAGTCAACGCAGGACAGCCTTGCTCATCTTCTTCTTGTATAACTTTGGCTGTCAAGTCACGATCGTTCTCGGTCAAAGTGCCTCCGAAGTATCGCCACGTTCATTACCGACTACCGCTCTTGTATTGAATACTAAGTTTGCTCAGGCATCACGCTCTTCGAAACCATGTGATGTACAAGAAAGCTCAGTACCGCGTGATTCTCTCATCTCTTCCACGTTACCCGAACCGCGCTATCGACCACAAGGTTTCACGCCGATGCTGAGCTGTGTAGTGTTCGTCACCCCCGCCATTTGATTCTCTCCGGACCAGTTTTGGCCCCTTGGGCGAAAACAATAAGATCTTTGTGCATTGGGCTTGCTAATCCGAGTGACAGTCAATGGCTGTATTGCAGCCTGTCGTCAAGGAGGGCCCATGAAATGCAACATTATCGATGCTATGAACAGTCACGGAAGGTAGCTTTCAACCCCGCATTTCATGTCACCGCATCTTGGCTCATCTAGCGTATTCTCGTATATCGTACATATCCGTAACCCCAGTTTTTGCATACAAGTTCGGCCCTCAAATGGAATCCGATGACGAACCCGAGAAAGGAGAACAGCATTACACCTAATCATCGTCAATTACGATAATCAGTATAAAATCAAGCCATTTGGGCCTGTTTTTGGAATCACTTTACTCAGGCTGCTTCGACCCATTCTCTTTCAACTTGGACTTGTTACTCTTTGACATGGTGTCGATCGCACTAATACTGGCCATAGGCTCGAGCCTCGCCGCTGCGCAGTCTACACCACTTCCTCCAGAGCCTGAAGCTTTTCACATAATTGAGCTGCCTCTACCGCCAGTCGCTCCCAGCACCGATGAGGGCGCTTGCACGACTACCATCAACCCTCGTGGCACCGGCTGCATTGCCAAGGCCGTAGGCGAGTTTCAAGCGGGAGACTTCACGACCGATGGCAACAATGTCATCGCCAACGTCGAGTTTATCGGAGCTCCTCAGGGCGGCATTTACACCGGCGAGCAGCTCATTCTCATCAAAGCTGATGGAACCAACTTCACCAACGGAGACCCCTGGAAATGCCTGAGCTGCGGTGTTCCTGCGGCAAACGCCGTGTCCTTGGATGCTCAACGAGACTATCCTCACGTTTTCCGGGATGGTACCAAGGCTTTGTGGGGACACAACATTCTCGACTGCGCGGGGGAGCTCCTGGAAAGCGATGCCTGCACTGCAAACCAGACTCACATATACCCGATTCACTGGAATACCGCTGTTGACGGCTCCGGAAAGGGCGGGAGTCCCCGCGAGCTTCGTCTTCATCCGGATGATACCCACATGGGTTGGAGCTCTTTCACCAATACTGGAGGACAATTCGCCTATTTTGGCCGTCTGGAGTTCAATGCTGAGCCCACGGTTGGCGAACCGTTGGCGCCTCGTTATGATCTAGTTGATGTCAGCCTCCTCGTTGATCCAACTCGCTATGAGCCATACACCGTCAACGGAAGCGATTTAACGATCCATGAAGACACCATCAACGTCGGCGAGCTGCGTGGATTCAGCGGGAACGGAGACGAGATCACCTACATCGGCAACCCCAGAGAGTCTAACAACATCGACCTTTTCGCCGTACATCTCGAGACCGGTGCCGTCCGCAGACTGACCAGCCACCCCGAGTACGCTGATCCCATGGCCTTCTCAGCTGACAGCGATTGGTTCATTGCCATGGACACCCGCGGTACCGACCGCCAGATGTGGATGTCCGGTATGCGCGGGATACCCCCTTTAGTTGACTTGGTGGCGGTCACCGTCGCATCCTCCACTCGTAACAACGGACCTCGTCGTTTCTTCCAGCCAATCTTGATCGACCGTTATGGTGATCGCGGTGATTACTTTGGACAACAGGTCAATGCTGCGGGTGATGGTACCAACGGTGCAGTCAATGATCCGAACTGGAACGGCAGAGCAGACCCAGCATTTTCCCTGGACAGCACCAAAATTGTGTACTGGCAGGCTCTTGTCGTTTCCCCCTCATGTGGCGGAGACAACCCCCTCCCTTGCCCCGAATCGACTGCTCAGGGAGGGCGAGAGTACCGGATAATGCTGGCTCATCGAACTGGCCGTGAGGCCACAAGTCCCGCGCCGGTGTACGACGTCCCCGACCAGATTCCATGGGCAACCCCCTTTCCTCCCGGTGCTTCTGTTCCAGATCAGTTCTCGATCGACCCTGGTAACTACACCCTGCACGGCAAGTTCTCCGGGCTCGCCGATGTCAGCATCACGGCCGACGCTAGCAGTGTGAGTGGCTTGGGCAGAGTGTCTGTGAATTACACTAGCTTTTCCGACGACGGTGAACACATCCTCAACGGGCATGAGGATGTTGCCGTGAAGGTCTTGCTTCCGAATTTCTGGACCAATCAGGTTGATTGGGTTTCTGACATTGTTCAGTCTGGACTCGTCAACGCAACCAAGAAGACGAGCCCTGGGGGATTTCATCTGGTGATCGATGCGGAGGTCAATATTTTCAACGCTAATGGGTCATTGACGACGACGATTGATGGAGTAGAGTACAAGCAGCCTGCCAATGGCACCTAGGTTATAATCCAAAAGTCCGCCCTTTTATAGGACGGCTCAATCTTTCAAGACTTTGAGTGCCGTTCGATATCGGTTTCCATGTTTCTCCTACTTATTGTCTCTGACAGCTTTGAGAATTCCCATTTCAGCTCATCAAATGGTCATCCGATTGATGAACAATATGTCCAAACCCCAGGACCAAAAAAGTGTGTGTTTCAATGAGAGTAGTGGTCGAAAAGGGGTCACCCGCAGCCCAAGAACCCAATGCACATTGTTAAAGCTTGCGATCTTGAGAGACACGCTTGCCAGGGGAACTTCGAGCTTGATTCGTAGGCTAGTACAAAAAACCGAGGTTAGAATGTGACCATGACTTTTCTCTCAGTCTAGGAAACGATGGTCAAGCCATGAAGGTGCATGCAAGCCAGTTCAATCTCGGGCTGAATTATCCAGACTGAACGAGAGTTTCCTAAACTTGTGTTATTAGGAAAGTCTCAAGAACAGTCCCAACTGCCCGCGGTGTTGCCTGGTCATAAAGTCCCAATCGCCCAACCAATAAGAATTGCATCAGTACGGAATACGCAAGACGCGTATCTTCCCTCCGCCATTGTGGAGACTTGCAAGCAAATACAACAGGGATACCGAGGTGCTTGTCAACAAGCCATCGTCTCATTGTTGACATTCACATCTGCATCCCCAGATAGTTACCAGGAATCAAATATCCAGTGGAATGGTCTCCTCCTATATCAGACAAGCGAGCTAAGCTCTTTCGAGGCGTCGTATGCGGGGTCCCCGCCCCCAGACAACCCTCTTAGGCTCGGGGTCTTTGAAGCATCCGGGGGCGTTCATGAGAAGGCGTCATGTCATGTTTGATATCTCTGGGGTACATGGTTGGTTCCATAAAGAACTTTTGGCCACGAACCTCAGTCTACTGGTACCAGCAGGCCGGAGATGGCAGGTCTCAGGACAAGAGTCGTACGGTCTCGACCAGCGCCTCTTCGGCGATCTTCGGTGCTCTCGTGCCATTACTCACTGACGACTTCCAAGTGAAAAAGGCTGCAATTGTCATCTTCTAGAACATGTTTGCAACCGACCTCGCAAGTTTTGTGCTCTTGTTTCTCTTGGCCATGGTTTCCTCTCGTTCAAAGACCGACAAACCGTCGGACTCGATGGGCCATGTCGAAGATCCAAACGAACATGGCTTTGAGAAGGGCGAAGCTGCTGTCAATGCGGCTCTCAGAGGCCAAGCTGTTACCGGCTATGAGTCCCTGACCGTCTGGGAGACCGCGAAGCTCTTCAAGATCGCAACTTCTTCTTGCTTTGCGGCGGCCTTTGCGGCAGCGACCGACGGATATCAAATTGGGTAAGCTAATTCATCTGAGTCTCGAGAACACCCTTTCCTGTTTCTGTCATTATGACTAACTTATCGCAACGCAGGATGAACGCCGGTATTGTCGCAAACAAGGGCTTTGTTCGTCAATTCGCAACTCTCACCGACAAGACCGGAGCGCCATATCTTGATTCTCCGATTCTATCAGGCTGGAGCTCCATCATGTCCGTCGGCCAAGTTATCGGAATGACCACCATCCCATTTATATCATCTCGATTTGGTCGCAAGATCGCCATGTACACCCTTTGGCTCGTCCTCGCTCTCAGCGTCATGGTCGAAAGCTTGGCCCGCACCTGGCCCATCTGGCTTGTGGGCAAGCTCCTGGCTGGTGTTGGCGTTGGTTGTCTTCAGTCAACTTTGCCCATCTATATCGCAGAAGTGGCACCTGTGCGCATCCGTGGAGGATTATTGATGTGCTACTCGTTGTGGTGGACCATCGGCACCTTTTGCGCTCATATTGCGTTGCAGAGGATGAACAAGACCGACGCATACAACTACCTCAACCCTATTTATACCCAGTGGGCTCAGATCGGAATTATGCTCATCATTTTCGTCTTCCTACCTGAGTCACCTGCGTGGTGTGTCACGCACGGGGAAGAAACCAAGGCGAAGAAGTGGATGGCATGGTTGAATCGCGGCGTTGAAGGGTTCAACCTCGACCAGCAATACCAAGCGCTTCTGATGACCATTGAGCACGAGAGATCTGTTGCGGCTGAGCAAAAGAGGGAGAAGTGGCACGCCATATTCCAAGGAACTGATGGCTTACGAACTCTCGTCTCGTTATGGACGAATATGTCTCAGCAATTTATCGGCCTCACACTATTCGCGACTTTCGGGACGTATTTCTTTCAACAGGCTGGCCTCCAAGATCCTTTCCTGATCAAAGCCATCACATCTTCGATCAACATCGCGACCATCATCGTTACTGTCTTCTGTGCTGATCGTTTGGGAAGACGGTGGATAGGATGCGGAGGCATTAGCCTTTGCTGGATTTCATGCGTCATCATCGGCATCATGGGCGTCATCAAGCAGACCAACGCGACAACATATGTTTTTGTGCTCTTTGCCTGCTTTTGGAGTAAGTTCCCTCCTCGAATGATCTCGTCAATGTTCTGTTTCATAGCTGACCATTCTTAGACATCGGCATGACAGCCAGCGGTGCGGCCGGCTGGGGTTTCATCGGCGAGATCTCCTCTCAGCGCCTGCGGCCTTACACTGCTGGATTCGGCGCCGCCTGTACCTGTGTCATCGGCATTGTGATGAATGTCCTGGTTCCATATATGGTGAATGCGAATAAGTGGAACTGGGGTCTGAAGACCGGCTGGTTCTATGCCGGCGTTGGCCTCCCATTCACGATTGGGATGTGGCTGCTCATTCCGGACACTGCTAGGTAAGAATCTTTTCTGGTTTGCAATTTGCCTACGATACGAATGAGACTAATCATGTTATTCTTATATAGGCGCTCTGCTGCTGAGTTGGATGAGTTGTTTGAGAGAAAGGTTAAGCCGTGGCGATTTCATAAGACGCAAACCGCGACCCAAAACCTGGTCGAGTTGCAAAACTCAGAACAGCGTTGACCTGCACGCTCTCCACTGGATCATTGGCCTGGAAGAAGTCCTCGTTCGTCCCTTCAATGTTCACGATCTTTCACATGGGAGCCTCTTATTCAGTTTGGTTGTCGACAGAACTTCGTTTCTTGGCACTAGAAGCACGTCAGCGTTAAGGGAAACGGTGCTTGTTTGCACTGCCGTGGTTCAAACATTCAATGTTGAATTCGGTGCTTGAGAACGACCCTTAAGTTTTAAAACCCGGCGTGGATGCATACTTTATTGTTATAATACTTTTGGCTTAAGAGCCCAAACTCCCACTAATCACATGAATCTTTTGATCGCATTGTATTTATGCATTCATATAGAGCTGAGATCTAGTGGCATGTAGCCGGCTGGTGCGGCCTCGACCACGTGCGTGTAAGTCTTAGTGGGCGTTCCAGCTTTTGTTAGGTTGAGACGGAGCTTTTTCTGAAAGAACTACTAGTTACGTAGCATGTGACCATCTTGCTTTAATGAATCACCATAATGTGGGCTGGTAAGCTCTGGATAAGTTTCGCGCACAAATGCCTTGTATTTGCGACAGCACACAAGTCTACTCCGCAGTAATTGGAGCTATGATAACATCCAGCTTAGAAGAATGAGACCCCTTCGCCATCCATCTCAGTCCTGGGAAAACCGGGACGCCTTTTCCGTCGGATGACCAGAACTGTTCCCAACTCTCGGGCTGTGCAAGAAGCTTGTATCCCAAGATCCGCATATCATCCGCGATACTGAACAGAGCTTCCAAGCACCTCTCGTCATCTTCTTGTCGTCTCCATGGCCTCAAGTCTCTCATGAGACTTTCCAAGAATTCGTTACGATAATGGTTTGGAAAGATGGAGTGAGAACTGAGTTGTCCCGGTTCCGCAGCAGTAAGATGCATGAATGCAAGCATCCTGCGCCAGGTCTGTCTTGTTTGCAAGGAGTCTTGATTTTTTGCATTAGCTGACGGCATCTTTCTTTTGGACTCTGGGGGGAATCTTACTACGACATTGCTCGCTGCTTCTGACAATGGCATCGTACAGCTCAATCTCTATTCGGAGCAATGAACCCGGTGGGTTTGAGAAGGAACTTATTCCTTGGACCAAGATTACTGCTAGCAAGAACCTGAGGCGCAGTATCGGGCTGGTTGCTGGTGGCAAGAACTGAGCCCAAAGTCGTTCATCATCGCGATGGCCTGCTTGTTTGAATGCCGCGTGTCCTGAGACGAGGAGCGCGGAATCGTGATCGTTGGGGCCAGGTTCTGCGTCCGAAAGGAAATCCTCTACAAAGTTCTGAATCGAGGTCTCTATTCCGCGAAGGTCGCGGGCAATCTGGCTCCGAGGAAGTGGCTGCGGAAGGTCGAGCTTGTCAATGACGTCTTGTTGAGCCTTTATGTCGTCGTTTGTCTTCATGTCGTCCAATTTCATGGTACCCGGTGCCACCAAGCTTCTTATTGGTTTTCTGGTTTGTTGGCGACGTCTGTTGTAGAGAACGAAAAAGACCGCCGCAGCTAGGAGAGCACCAAGAGCTACGCAGCCTATTCCAAGGCCGATTGCCGCCCCAAGCTGAAGCCCTGGGTTGGAGGACATCTCAAAAGAATGGATCGTTGTTATCGTCGTCCACGCCGTTGTGGTAACTTGGACGGTGATAGTGGTATTGACGGGTAGCTGCACTGGCCACCACGGGTCGATGTAGTGGTTGGTATTGGACTTGGATTTGACAATGTCAGAGGGACGTGCAGAAGATACTTGTAGTTGTTTTGGTCTTCTCTGGCAAAATATTGACAGTTAAAATCCATTCAGAATCACGTCGTGGCTGGGGACTTCAGTGAAAGTTGAGATAACTTAAGGCGGCAAATTTGTGTGGCTGGAATCTGGATTTCTAGTAGACAATTTAGTTCCATAGATGAAGCAATGGCCAGCACATCAGCAAAGCACATAAGTCCGGGTTAATCGTATCTTAGCGACAGTTAGCAGAGATCTCAACGCCAGACTTGGTGAAACCAACCTAGATTTTGCGCTAAGACTAAGCTGGTTCGTTAGCATCGAGTAACCGAGTAACGAGTTCAAGCTGACACAGATCAGTTGAAGGGTCTGCCCAAGGCAAAATGTATGTCGACTTACATTTCTTTGTTTTCTAATTCTTTTGGCCCGTCCCAACCAGCCACAACACCCCTTTCCGCAGAAGCCAAAGAGGACTCAGCAGTCTCCAGAGATAGTGCATCTCGTAGACAGCGAGTGTCGCACGTAGATAGATGTCAACGACAAGCCCCTTTTCACACTCGTCTATCGGCACTCCCATTTTGATTTGGAGACGCACGACCAGCAAGCCTAGTTCTGCCATCATACCGACTACTACGAGGATCAGGTAGTGGATGGCCCATTTGGCAGCGAATGTACCAAGGGAGCTGGTGAAGGCTTGGCTGTCTCCTATAAACAGAGCGAACGTGAGAGAAAGCCCGGTGAAAGGAAAGGCAAGAGTGAAGCTAAAGCAGAGGAAAGCTGCTAGGATGAGAGCCATCTGATAGAGTTTTGATTTGACATGTTGTTTTGCCTTGGCGCTATCAGAATGTTGTGGAGCGCTTAGGGGAAGAAGAGGGCTATGCTCGACAGAGGTAAGCTTTTGGTCTCCTTCGAATAAGCGGTTCTTGCCTTGCCTCTTGTCTTGAAAACTGCTGTACGGGGGAGGTTCCATCTCCGTCGAAGGCATCTGGGCCCCTACCGTTGCCGTCCGTGACAGCTCCCTTGAGCTTCGAGCCCCCGAAGTAGGAGGGCCGTCTGCGTCTAGAACTGAATCGTCAAAGTAACAGTTGTTGGTGCGTCCCATATCCATGATGGGGTCCCGATGATGAAATATGTTGCCCTTAATGCGATTAAGACTCTGGGGAAAAGGGTTAAAAAGACGGACCTTGATTGATAGTAAGGAAGATGGATGAAATTGACTCTCTGGCAGTTCCGCAGACCTGATGTGTGGACAGTGAGGTGCCAGATATGTTGTCACCTAGTTACCTTGGGTCGGGGAAAGGCCGGCCCGGTTTGATTCATAGATGACCCGGATGGCATCATGGCTTCGTGGCTGCGATCACGTGCAGCAAGATTGGAAAGCTCCATATAGGAAATTTCATGTTTCCTTACTAAAGTCCTAAGTGGCATTTGTACACGAAGGAATTGCGCAAGCCGAGAAAACAAGACAAAGAGATGGGGTTGGGTATGAATGAAGTCAAGTATGTCAACTGGTTTCTTAATGAGATTACTCTCTCCTCCTTTCAAGGCAAATTTACACATAACCCAGGATTCAGATACAGTCATCAGGTGCAAGCTGAGCATGGTGTTTGACCAAGACATTCCTCGGAAAAATTAGAGGTTCACACTTATCATCATCCGCTCGTCTGTGGATGAATCCTCTCTGCTCATACCTCCTACTCAGGAAGGTGGGTAAATGTCTCTTTTAACTTTTCCCTTGATCATAGATTTTGAGTCTTGTGATATCAGTTGTTCGAAGGCAAGACATCAGCTTCGGAGGAGAATCGTGTTGCCGCAGAATGTGGTGGCAACGCACGATCAATATGTGGTTCTCGTGCGTGCTAGGCAAGAAAGCCGTGGAGAAGGTGCGGTTCACAATCAAAGCCACGATTCAGCCCCGGGGCGTTGATTTGCAGTGCGATATGTGCAGATGTACTCAAAACGTACCTGTTTGGCATTGTGTCTATTGACTGACATATGCTGTGATAGTTGGCTGCCCTGATAAGGGGAGGACAAGTCCTCCAGGAAGCTTATCAGGATAGAGTTTTATTCTTTAAGAATATTGAATGTTAAATGTGTACTCTTTGAGTATGGCGAGCTAGAAAAACAAGGGTTGGTGGCTGCATTGTATTGCACAGAATATTGCATTAGCTGATAAGGGGACGGTTTTCAATGAAGAAAAGCCAACGATGATTGCAACAGAAGTTGAGGCGGGAAGGTAAGAAGTCGAGGCAAATGATCCCAGTGTTTTGAGGTTCAACTAGTCTTTCTTGTGGTCATCGACTGGTTGGTGTATATAACATAAATGTGATCGTGATGGGCACATCATTGCTGAGATTCCGCGTACACACCTGCGGCCCGTTTCTACAATCAATCCATTCGGGTCATCGTGATTTTGTAATCTATCTGAGGTGCAGCGTTGACGTGTCGACGATTTGGATGTGTGTTGATGTATGTGTAGTCAGTTCATCATCATGAGCGGTCGCATGTACGAATGAATCGGATTCATTAACATGGAAACAAAACGAACCACCTGAAGCGGGCATCGCCTGTAGATAATTGACATCCTCGCAGGACTCGGCTATTTCATGCCGTGAAAAACGCCTCCGACGAAAGACATCTGCAGTACTCTAGCCATATTCGTATAAACCACGCGAAGTGATTCCCGGGACAGTTGCCCGATCACCAAACGGATGCGGGTCAGGGGCGCATGCGGAGGCCAAGCTTTGTGTCATGTAGCGGGCAGACGACGTAACCAGAGGGGCCGACAAAAGAACCCTCACCGGAGGGAACCCGACCAACTTGCCGGTGCCGATGGCCCGGTGTTTCCCTGCCCCGCCCCGTCGCAGATATAGAGGCCAGGAGCCGATTGTTCCTCCACCCCGGGAAGACCAGATCGATGAACCCGTATCGAGTCATATCGCTACATGGTTCCGCCGGGGCGGTGGGCCGCTTTTGGGATTTGCACAGTTCGGATGATGAGATATTGGGGCGCTTGGTTCTTGAAGCGTACCTGCGCATGATGATATGATTCTCTACTCATCCTCTACGACCTGATCAAAAATTGATTGTACCGAATGGCCCAGACCTGACCGTAGACCCTATGTAGTAACACAACGTTGGAAAAACAGTGACTAAACCAATATAGCCAAACGAAAATCAAAACTCCCAAAGCCAGTCATCAGAACCAGCCGCCGCGGGGTCGACCGCCACCCCGCGGAACGATGTGCAGCTTACCGTGCTTGTCGACCGTCGCGGCCTCACTCGCGTGGCACCACACACCGCGGCTCGCGTCATGCTCCCTATCGAAGCCCTCGGCGCCCCACGTCGCCTCCATCTCCTCGCGGGTCTTGGTCTTCGCCTTCCCGTCGCGGATGCGCAGCTTCTCGAAGAAGACGTAGGCGGCGTAGAACACACTGCTCGTGTTGCCGCCCGTGGGGCCCTTTTTCGCGAGGAAGTTGGCGAGCAGGCTGGGCGCGGTCTTGTGCGTGGACTCGGCGCCGTAGGCGGCCTTGACGCAGGCGCGCAGGAAACCCGCCTTGGTGACGCCGTCCTTCTTCAGGAGCGCGTTGATCTTGGTCCGGACGGTGCTGCAGGTGTCGTAGACGGGCACGCTCATGGACTCGTCTCCGGGGAGGTGGATGCCGGAGAGGTCCGGCATGGGGTCCTCCTTCTTCTTTGTCGCGGCTTTCTTGGGTGCCGGGGCGGATGCCGCGGCAGAGTCTCCTTCGACCGCGTCGGACTTGCGCTTGCGGGACTTAGGGGCCGGCTTGAGGGTTGTCACGGTGGTCAGCTGTGGTTCACGACATGATTTGAAGGGTCTCATGTCCTCAGACGCGTGGGCGATGGACGATAATCCGGGCGGCTAGGTGCATGATGACTACATAAGAAATGCGCAATTGGCCGCTGACTGCATCTGATAGAATGAAGCAAAATGAGACAGATGGGAGGCCACACTTGCGTACCTTCGCAGTGCCAGCGGCTGGAGCCGTGACGCGATTCGCGTCGACCTCACCAAGCGGCGTGGGAGGGGCGGCAGCGGCCCTCTTTGGAGGCATTTCTGGACGTTATGAAACTTGGAACGGAGATAATTGGGTGTAAGACGGCAACAGTCCGACCGCGATGACCTAGACGGCTCGGCTCCGATAATGTGGCAACGAATATTGGTTGGGTGTTTGCGGTTGGAAGGACAATGCTGTTTCTGACTGTGTCTACGTTCACGAGAAGAGGGATACCATGGCAAGCCTACCGGAAAGCGGTACGAAAATGCGGTTGAGCACAGCTGATTCGGGCGGAGACGCGTCGAGGGGTATTGAAAACGGTATGTGGCCCCCGGCTACTGAAATCGATTTGATGGGCCTTCACGTCATCGTAAACACCAAGAAGACGCGCCCCCTTTACAATCCCTTGCAAGTTGTCAAGGTTCCGTCAGTCTGTTGCAAGGGACACTCAAATGGAAAACGCCAGAAAAGTCTTGAACGGGTAAGAAGCTCGGGACATGTGGGAGGAAATCAGAAGACCTGGAAGGCCAACCCTGGGCTATCTTGCTGCTCTGGAAAAGACGGCGATGCCATGCAGGCAGAATAAATTAAACGGGCAATGGAAGAAGGTGAAAAGACCAGAAAAAAAGGGGACCCGATGCCAAGATTTTGATGATGGAGGGTCCCGAAGGAGTGGAGGGTTTCAGGCCGTGGAAAGGGCCGCAAGGAGGAGTCTCTTCGCAGTTTGCATGACGGGATCGGGTTAGACGCGATATGGTTGGGTCGTCCGAACGGTCACAATGGCAAGAATTGTTAGAAATGGCATTCTCCATGAGGGTTCCCTGCAAAAGCCCCCTGAAGCCACCCACACTTCGGACATGAGATCACGGTCCGATACATATTCCGATTAGTTCAGCTTAGAGGAAATGAATTGAGCCAAAGAAAAGAAGGTGATGGTCCAGGCACAGAGTTGCGGCTGTGGGCGATCCCCAAAAAATTCCTCTAAAAATCGGGTTCAGCTCAGCCAGCTTTACCCCTGATTTCACATCACCACGAGAACTTCCAAGCCCCTCGGCGACACCACCACATGGCAAAGCGGCACAAACAACGCACAAATTCTGCACCATCCCTGAACCTCGCCCAATGAGAGAAGTCGAGGGCAAGACCGCTACACAAAGTTGCGGATAGATTACCCTTCACCTCCTCGGAGGCTAAGCAATATGCACCTTCCAGGGCGTCCATGTACCCCCGGAATCCGAAATCCAGACTTCGACCAGGCTTTCGTACGGACCGCCCGTACCTGCATGTCAAAGGCCGTAACAGGAGTAAATGATGAATTGAGCCCGGATAGTCCAACTTGATGCCTTCGCCGTGGATTCAGTCCAGAAGCCAAGATTTCTGTCTCTGATTACCCGCCCATGACAAAACAGGGTAGAAAGGCGAACGACCTCTCAAGAGCTCCATTCCAAGACCAACGGTTCCTAATCGAGCATCTTGGCCAGATCCGCTGCTTCGAGAAAAGACACTCTCGAGATGACCGCCAAGCGCTGCCGCGATCACGGATCCTCCACCAGGCGCCAGCACGGCGGCAACTTCCAAGGTAGAGAGCCCTAAGCAAATGAAAGACACATCACATCCTCATTCGAGCTCCTCAACTCATCTCATGAACCACAGACGTGGCGCCTCCCACCGGGATTTGCTTCTTCGGACTGCTTTCTTTTCTGCACCGTATCATCCGTACCCGCCTCGACTCGTCATCCCCTCCCAGTCGTCAATCTCCAAGTTCTCCAGTCAATCGGTTCTCGGCTTCGACTGGAAGTGTCCAGACACTGTTTGCCATCAAGGATTCAGGAGTTGACGGATCTTTTCAGGCTGTCATCCATCATCCAGGCAGTCAGAGTTGTCAGTGTCAACCTGGCATTGCCCCTGCTCGGTCCCTCTGGCAATGCAGCATCAAGCATCAAACAGAAGAAAAGAGAGCGAAGCATTGGCCATCCGGCTCCTGCGTTCAGACGAACCGCCCGACTGCTGTCCTCTTCTCGCCTTTTCATCCCAGTTCATGCTGTCCTATCCCGTCACTTCATTTCTTCTGCTTGCTGTCGCTTACGCTTACAATGTACGTATAATATTTGCTTCCTTGGTGGCTTGCCAATGTTTATTCCTTGGCCCTAGGCGCCCGCGGTGCGCCACTTCTCAGTCCGTCTCGACTTGCCGTTCACCGGTCTTGAGTCCGGTCATCGCGGATCATAAACATAGCAACTATGATCTCCCACGCCTCGCATCTTGCCCATGGCCACCACCACGCCGTCTCCCGTCCAAGCGAGCCGCTCGTCGGGTAGCATCTCGCCATTCTCTGCGCCCTATCTCTGGGTCATCTCATTCTCATTCTGAAGGCCTGGCCAGCCTGCATGCACTGTGACCTCCTCTGCAAGGCGGGATGCGACCAAGTCACCACCTTCATTTACGCTGAAACGGCTTGATTTCGCAATGGCTGCCAGGCATGGCCACCGTTCCCCGCTCGTTTCCCAGCCTTGGACCTATGGGCATCTTTCCATCCGCGATGTTACGACCTAGATCCCGGGACGAAGACGGGGCAGACGCCGGCCCCGTGGCCCACTCCATAGGTCCACCTCCTGGTCCTCCTCGATGCAGGGAGCCCGCCTCCTGCATCAACGTCGAACCCCTCCTCGCCCGAGACTTTCTTCCACCACCCAATTTTCATCACGGCTTTTGACAACGCCCTTGTCATTCTGTCCACCGCCTTACATTGATGGACGTGGATTTGCACAGGGACTCCTTGAACTCACCCCCTTGTCCACTCCTCGATAGACGGAGATGGGGGTCGCAAGTGGTCCTGGCCTGCCTGCCAATATGGGATGAGAAGCGTGGGCGCCGTCTCCTGATGGCCCGGTCGAAATTGCCATGCAACCACGCTCACGCAGGTCCCACGGACGACGACGGGTACGCTACGCTGGATACGATAGGAAATGGTTCCTACCATCTCGAGATATAATAAGGCTCCGTCTCTTCGTCTTGACTCTCTCACTTCTCCTCTTTCTCTCCTCACCCATCAGGTTCATCCGCAGCTTTCCATTCCCACACTCTTTTTGCTCTTCAGCACATTACTTTCATTTGACACATTCACTCACTTCATTGACTGAAGTTGCTATCATTTCGACTTGAAGTCTCAACACTCTTTCCACACACAACAACAACCACCAACTTTTGGAAAAGCCAACTCAAAACAATCCGCAAAAATGCCTTCCTTCAAGACCACCGCCATTGCTTCCGCCCTCGTCGGCGCCGTCTCCGTCCTCGGACACGGTCACGTCAACTACATCACCATTGACGGCACCAAGTTCGATGGTTACGATGTCACCTCCTACCCCTACAAGGCCGACCCCCCCAAGACCTACGGCTGGTAAGTGAACCGCGCCGCCGAAATTGTGCCCGCCTCCTCTAACCCTTCAACAGGTCTGCTACCAACACCGACAACGGTTTCGTCGACCCCGCCAGCTACGGAAGCGGCGACATCATCTGCCACAAGGGAGCCAAGAACGCTGCCCTGACTGCTAAGGCCGCCGCCGGCTCCACGGTCAAGTTCTTCTGGAACACCTGGCCCGAGTCCCACAAGGGTCCCATTATTGACTACCTCGCTCCTTGCGGCAGCGACTGCTCCACCGTTGACAAGGCCACCCTCGAGTTCTTCAAGATCCACGAGACTGGCCTGAACGGCACCACCTGGGCCTCCGACACCCTCATCGCAGACAACAACACCTGGACCATGAAGATCCCCGAGAACACCAAGGCCGGTCTGTACGTCCTCCGTCACGAGATCATCGCCCTCCACTCCGCCGGCCAGGAGAACGGTGCCCAGAACTACCCCCAGTGCTTCAACATCGAGGTCACCGGTTCCGGCACCGCTGCCCCCGCCGGCACCCTCGGCGAGAAGCTCTACACCGCCAGCGAGGCCGGCATTCTCATCTCCATCTACAACAACCTGAAGAGCTACACCATCCCCGGCCCCGCGTTCCCCTCTGTCTTCGGCAACTCCGGCTCCTCCGACTCCGGCTCCGGCTCTGCTTCCTCCGCCGCTGCCTCCGCCCCCGCCGCCACCTCCGCTGCCGCCGCTTCTTCTGCCCCGGCCGCCACCTCCGCCCCCGCCGCCGCTACCACCACCGCTGCTGCCGAGGCCGTCACCACCTCCGCCGCTGCTTCTTCTGCCCCGGCTGCTACCTCCGCGGCCGCTGCCCAGCCCACTAAGCCCTCCTGCGCCGAGAAGCGCCGCCGCCGTCTCGCTCGCCGCATGGCCCGCGAGCACGCCGTCGTCCGCAACTAAGCTTGCCCCGGCAGCTGCGAGTATGCGCGTCAGTTCTGAGTTGCATCCCCTCTTGGGGATCTAGCTCGGTCACGCAAGGCATGTCATGATGAGGAAGAAAAAGTGCTTTGTTGGTTTTCAATGTATATATACATACAACAGTTGTTGGTTTCGTGTACAAACCGTGGGAAAAAAGGATAGCTTCGAGTTTCTTGCAACGGCGGTGCCGGCGCAGGACTACAATCCAACGAATGGAAAGGGGCGGACTGCATGATCGGTCGTCCTGACATTACTTCAAAAAGCCTCTTGCTTCAATCTCTGGTGATCTCGTGAATGTTGTCGAGTGATACATGGTGATCGGCACTGGATCTGATTCGGAGACTTTCTAGAACTTCGCGATCGTCCCGCTTTGACTTGACGAGATGAGTTGATGTTGATCTGCGAGAGCTCCACAAGGCGACCAAGCGCTCCCTGTTCCTGTTTCCTCCCCTGTACTCGTCAGGGAGATGATGTTGGCTTGATGCGGCGCAGGTGAAGAAAGATTCCCGTGAGGGGTATGTGTTCTGATGGTAGCGTTGTTCGACATTGATTCGATGCCTGGGGAGCTTTGTTCTTTTTCAATTCCCATTATAACGTGTGTATTCTGCTAGTCCTGCCCAAAGGAGATGTTTGCCGCGCTGTCTTGAGCACAAATCAAGGCTATGAGAGCCAGGAAACCTGCCCGATCATCTGTCGACCTTTCGGGATAATGCTCGCCGCCGACTTTGAACGCCGTTGCCCCTATTCCGCCCCGTCTCTTTCCTGCGGAGCCCCGTAAGCAACGCCGGCCGTCTTCCGCCGGCCGAATCCCATGACTCGGTGATGTGGTCCGTCCGGCCTGGCCGAGCGCCGGAATCAGGCCCCATGTTCTTAACAATTTCGACCCGTGTCTTAACAACGTCCATCTCAATCATGAACCGACCCCACGGTCTCCTGGATAAAGTTGGCATGGATGTCACGTCACGGTGAACACGACCAAGCGGTATTATTCGAATCTTGTGAATGACACAGCCACACACAGCTTTGCGAACTATTAGCCACATCTTCAGCCACGGCGATCCTTGATGTTGCGGCTGTTGGCAGATGGTGCGTCCAATGGGCCTTCTGCAGCCTCTATTGGCTCTCCCGCGCGATCCTCGCTTATCGCCCGGCATGAAGAACTTGCATGTCTTTTAGACATTGGTATTGATCAATGCCTCGATTGTCGGCCGCCTGATCGTGGGGCAACCGAGTCTCTGGTGCTCGGAGAAGGAACTGTCAAAGGATGTGGCAGATCGTGACTGTCTCAAGATGTTGGCGGGCGCAAGCGAGGTGCGGCACAGCACCCTGGGATCAGGATGTTGTGTCACCATCCCTCGTCATGAAATCGAGGTCGCAGCTAACCTGATCATCAATTTACTTGTCCTCGAGGCTTTTTTCTGCTGCTTGGTTTTCAAGAATCGACAGATTCGACGTAGAAGTCGAAAATCCGTTCGGCCATGGATGATCTGCCCGCTCAAAACCTACGATCCGGCAATCATCTCCATGATTGCCCGCGCCACGATAAGCCCTCAAACGAGCTATCGTCGAATTTGTAAAATCAATCGTCAAGAACCTCTGATCCTCTGTCCGATTCTGTGTCTATTTTTGATGTAAATGCCCGTCTAGATCATCTTCGACAGGGCGAGGGCGAGGGCATTTTCGAGATGCATTCCAGACGCCCCGCAATAGACATGCACGACATGTAGCGACCTTTCTCCTTCAAGGCAACGAAGAACATCCGCAACATTCACTAACAGCCGGTATCTTATCAGCTCGCAGACCAGGCCGTCATTCCAACGATGGTCCCGGCTGCGAGGCACGCAGGAGATGGGATGAGGAGGGAGAGATAAGAATCTGATGGGCTGTCTCGCACCCAGATGCGACGGTCCTTATCTCTTGGCGGGTCCCCCCCGGACGGGACACCCCCTCTTCCGTCTCTCCCCCGGCCTTATCTCTCGACGTCTGCGACCACTCACCAGGCACGACTGCTGACGGGCAGCGAGAATCCGGCCAGTGAATGTGCAGAACGGGCTTATTCAAACGGATTGCCTAAGGAATCTCGAGGAGTTCTGCAGGCTGCTGCAAGGGGGTCTGTTGGTGGTTCTGATGCCGCGTGGAAAAGCTTGTCTTTGCAGGTCGTTGCCTCGATGATGCGTGGGAGGACGGGATGGGCTGGGGAGAGTGTAACGGTGGTGTCCTTGCTAATTGTTCAATGACGGTTATCGATTGAGTTTTAGAGATAAGAAAAACGTAGCTGGATTCATATATGCCAGTTGTGGCCCAGCTTTCTTTGTCTGCTTCATCGGTTGTGTAGTGAATTCTGTTTTTCGAGATAACCTTTATTCACTCATTCAAATTTGTATCTTTTTGTTGGTTGGACCGGAATTCGAACATCGAGAGTTTCTTTGATGAAAAATTAGGTCATTGATATGGCGGACTCGATCACCGACAAGGAGAAGCATCTGCCTCCACCAGCATCACCGTCCGCAGAGCAAGGGATAGGAAAGACAACCCAAGAAGTCACCCTGACGAAAGATGGCTTCAGTGTCCATCCGCAACCGGTCCAAGATGACCCTATGGATCCTTTGAACTGGTCCGCGTTCCAGAAGAACACCATCCTCGCCATCGTGATGGCACTGTACGTCGGCCTCCGCCTCACCAACCCATTGGTAACATGAATGAGGCCAACTGACTGATTTCGGATACCAGATACTTCATGTTCACTTACATCACGACGACAACCGTGCCATCCTTCCCCGAACTGCAAGAACAATACTCGCTCACCCTCGAAATGGTGAACTGGACCGTCGCCATCCCGGCTCTAGGCCTGGCCATCGGCCCTCTCATCTGGTCTTCGCCGGCAGACATCATCGGCCGACGGCCTATCTTCATCATGGGCACCCTCGTCGCCTTCGCCGCGACCATCGGCGCCGCCAAGGCCAGCACGTACGGAGGGTACATGGCCGCACGCCTGTTCCAGGGCCTGGGCGTCAGTCCGGCCGCCACGGTCGGCCTGGCCATCATCAACGACATGTTCTTCGAGCACGAGCGCGGGCAAAAGGTCGGGCTGTGGGTTCTGGCCATCGATCTCGGCCTCCTGACCGGTCCCCTCATCGGAGGCTTCGTGGATCTGGTTGATCATTACTGGATCCAGTGGTTGACGGCCATCTTCTTCGCCGCCATCCTGGCCGCCGAGTTGGCTTTCCTGCCCGAGACGCTGTACCCGCGCGACTTTATGCTTTCCAAGACGAAGGGTGTCGTGCCTGCCACCGGTATGGTGGACGAGAAGACATTGGCAACGGGGACGACGAGCACGGAACATGTGGACGTGCCACGGACGAAGAAGCTGGGGTTCATGAACATGAAGCCGGTCCCGGCTATGAAGCATCCAAAGGCTTGGGACTCAATCATCAGGTTCGGGAAGTTGTTCAAGTTCCCCGTCGTACCCATCTCAACGGGGGTGTACTGCTTCGGCTGGTACTGGTGGGTGTTGTCGGTGATCACGATGATTCCTGTGGCGTATGTGGACTACACGCCGCAGGTTCAGGGGTAAGTAATGCTTTCAGAGTCGACGTGATCTGGTATCATGGACTAATGCATCGACAGACTCTTTTTCATCGGACTGATCGTCGGCACCCTGATCTCAGAGATCTTCTTCTCCGGCAAGCTAAGCGACTGGCTTGTCATCAAGCTCGCGAAGCGCAACGGCGGTGTCAAGACCGCCGAGATGCGTCTCTGGCTCGCCTACCCCGCTGCTCTGCTTACTGCCATCGGCCTCATCATCTGGGGCGTCAGTATCGACAAGGCGTACCATTGGATGGTTGGACAGGTTGCTTTCGCCTTGTGTAAGTCGAAAGGTTTTCGTAAAGGCCCCCATGCATCGTGCTAATACAAGTTGCAGTCGGCGCCGGTATCCAGATGGGCAACACCGCCATCTGCTCGTACATCGTCGACGCGTATCCGCTGCAGAGCATGGCCGTAATCACCTTCTACGCCGTGCTTCTCAACTTCAGCGCTTTCGTCGACCCGTTCTTCATCGCACCGTGGGTTACCAGCGTTGGGTACACCTGGACGTTCGCCGGACATGGTATCATCACGATATTCTTCTGCATCCCGGCGCTAGCGGCGCTCCACTGGTTTGGCGGCTCGATCAGGCAGAAGTGCGGAGAGCCCAACTGGGTGAACCCGGAATACGACCACGACGTTGTGAGGGAATTGTAATCTTAGAGTTGAGGAAGTGGAAGTTGTCCATATCTAGAACAGCACATACACATGAGTTACGATCCGTATCGGTGTGCTCAGATGACCATGGTACAGTGATTGCCCTTCCTCAAATTGGGATAGACTATGTGAGTCTTTCGTGTGAATATGCAAACTCTGATCTCATCGAATCGCTTGCAATACGACGTTCAACTACAGAAAGCTAGCCCGCTGTCTATTGTAGCAACCGGCCCATCGAACTTGAATTTGGACCTCGACTCTAATTCCCGTGCCAGGATGAGATAAGAAATGAACTGGTCAAGTAGCAAAATCTGCTCGAATTCATACTAATTGAATATAATTATTACTATTAAGCGCCCTTACATGTACTTTTATATGTTGACGTGTCTCGTAAATCATCAAAGCCACCCTGGCAAATTCCCATCCCCGAACTTCAGCCCTTCATTACGAAGTGTTGTAGTACATGTCAATCTCTTTGATCTTGAAAACGGCATCTGTAGCAGGCGGGCCAGCGCTCCAGTCCGTGTCTCCATCAGCCCAGTTGTTGAAAACCCAAGTTCCCGCGACAGAGGGCACGTTCTTGGTAGAACTCCAGACGAGAACACCGTCGACGTAGAATTTGGTCACTCCCGGGAGCCAATCCAGACGGTATTCGTGCTCCGTCGTGGTCGGATTGGCAGGCAGCGCGACGGGTTGCGTTGTCTTCGTTCCGGTGTAGCTGGATGCTTGGTTCGAGAGCCACAGCCAACGAGTGTTGGATTTGGCATTGGCGTCTGAGGTCGCATCTGTATTGCTCGCAGACTTTGCATTTGACAGGAACTCAATGTCCGTCTCCTGGGTGTCGGACTGGTAGAAGAACATTCCTGGGTTTCGGTTAGTATCGATGCCCATCATGGGGACTGAGGAACGGAGTAAAGCTTACCATTGCAAACACCAGCAGGCTCGGAGAGGATAGCGACGGTTCGAACAGAAGCGTACTTCACTTTCTGCAACACCGTGACCTCGCCGGATCGGAATGATTTGTTCTTGACCCAAAGCTGAAGGTAGCCATCTTTGACCAAAACGTTCGCTGGCGAGAAGAAGTAGGTGTCGACGGGGTAGTTGCTCGCTTTCAACCCAGATGGGACTTGACCGATGGCCATATTGGCCATACTGCTGAAGTTCCAGTAGGAGTTTTTCTGAAAGGTGTATTGCTTGTCGACGACCCATGCGTTCTTCACATTCACTCCTCTGGCTGAGCGCCCGCTCTGCGCGGCTGCGAGGCCTGTGATAATCGCGAAGAGTAAGAAGCGCATCATTGTGTGTTGATTTTGATGGTGAGCACAAGGGTGATGTTCTGAATGAGACACAGGGCTATCATCTTCCCTTTCTATGTTATATACTGATGAGATCCGCATTCTCAATGTCTTCCCGGAGAGGCCAACACCCGCCCAAGACATCGGGTTCTTGGGCTACGATGTGGCGCTTCCCGCGCGCGGGGTAGAAGCCGCTGCCGTAGGCCAGTGGTGGCTGGGATTGAAGGTATTGAGGTCTAAGACAATTAACGTCAGCAAACCAAAACTAAGACAAGAGCGAAATTCTCCCATCGTCAACTGTTTCCGGACGTAAATCTAACCCGAAAGCAGCGTCCCGAAGACTTCTTGCCCTAAACGGCCGAAATCTTTCTTTGCTCCCACAGCCGGGAGGAGGGCCAGATCACTGATTGTCGAGTTCACAGATCTGGGCTCATTTGGCGCCTTATGCTTGCGGCCCACGGCAATTGATTGAGCTCCCCGTCCGGTCGCTCTCGCCGTGATACCCGGTCTTCGATGCTGAGCAATGCCTTACGCTACGGCCGATGAACACAGAGATCGTGCAGTCACGCCGCGCGTCCTTCCCATTCGTCGAGATGCCGTATGAAGCTTTCCTTACCTGATCCGTAGATTCGCCAAGATTGGCTGTGGAAACCCAGAATCAGGGTCAAGTGGCCTGTCTTTTGGATGCATCATACCGTTGATCGTTTTCCTTCCGTGACGATCACATCGAACACAAGGTCTGAATTATTCTTCTAGGCTGTCGGATCGCTTCGCTAACCTTCTCAGCAACGTCACCCTTCGACAGGGCCGGAAACGCAAGACATAGAAACAAACTGTTTGTCTAAGATACGCAGCACTGCTCGATGCGACGAGTTAGTATGCTAAAATCTAAAGTGGACTGTGTGTGGCGTGCAAGTAATCGACGGACTGCGATCCAAGCGGGGCGAACAAGAGATCGCGGGAGGCCTCACCACAACATCCACCGAAGAGATCCACAATCCTCGATAGTCTAGTGGTGAGGATATCTGCTTGTCACGCAGGGGACCGGGGTTCAATTCCCCGTCGAGGAGATCAACTTTTGCATCTTTTGGAGGCTCGCCGCGGCGGTTCGCCTGCACACATCAGCGGGAGTGCAAGGACACGTTTAGTCAAGTCAGTAATTCCGGACTCTTCTGGCTTTAATTTGATGTCTTCCTTTTGAGTAGCTTATATATTTAATTATATGTATGCTCTGTTAAAGCGGTTGTGGGAGTAAGAGGCTCATATAGATTGACTTATTAAGGTAACTGTTAAAGTTGTTGTGAATGCTGGTTGGTATCTTGTGTTTCAAACCTCGACCTACATATGAAGCAGTAGAGCAGCCTACCATTTTGGAAAGTTTCAACAGCTCATGCGCAACGCATGATTCTAGGTATCCCACTGTGACGTCTCTATATTGAAATGTTTGGCCTATGAAAATTGCAGCGTTATAATTGGACGAATCGTGCGGGTAAGGTATCGTGCCGCCCGGAGCGGAGAGGAGCCACCGACCGGGTGCGGGATCCACAATCGGGGCGCCGTAGCCGAAGAAGGCGGATCCGGTTGTCCGGCCGCAGTAGTAAGCGCGAACACAAGCATCGGAAACGTCTGTCAAGAATGCATGCCCGCAAGCACGCCTTGTCACAAGCATTCATACAAATTCCTTGGCTATCAATGAGAATCTATTAATTGGCCTTGAAAGCTAGCCGATGTACCTTCTCAGCGTTGAAGTCGTTCGTGCTGTTTGACAGTGAGAACTCAAATCTGAGGTTGGTGCTTCTTCTCCCGTAAACACACGCAATGAATGCTGAATTTCACCTAGAATTTATATCAACACTTCCACTGAGAAGAGTTATCGCGTATACAGAGGCATCGCAATGGTGCGTTTTACAGCAAACTCGTCTGGGTACCTTATTGACATGGTTCTCGGCACCATAAAGTTTAAACCCCAAGCAACACGCGTACATGAACTTTAAAGTTGGTACGGTGACTTCTGGTTTCTCAAGTGTGTAGTAGATGCCAATGGTGATTCGGACAATGGCCGCATGAGTCGTGCATTTGAGTTGACGGCATCCCAGCAAGGGTAGCATTCCGTTTGATGAAGCACTCAAACCTTATTGGGGGTTCCCCACGTCTAACATCATGAACTTCAGCCGAAGTTACCGGCATTTGTACTTAGGTCTGATCTAACTATCGGCTATTCAATTTTCTCGGAGTAGCTGTTCTCATGCAGTGCATTTTGTTGCTTGCTCGAGCAATTGCCCATCAGAAACAATTGACAATTTAGCTCACGATATTCTGGGGTTACTATCACCATGAGATTCTGGCTATGCCTTCTGGCTACTTTGCCGACTCTGGCATTTGCAGCCACCCGCGACGGGCCTGTGGTAGACCTGGAATACGCCAAGTATCAGGGCACGTATAACGCGACTTCGAACCTGAATGTATTTCGAGGGTGAGTCTCAGCAGATTCATTCAGAGACTGACGGAGGGTTAAAACTGCCGAGATGCTAATCCACCATAGAATCCGCTACGCAGCTCCCCCGACAGGCGACCGGCGATGGAAGCTACCACAGGAACCGAAGAGCAGCAGTAGTAACAGCAGCAACTGCCCCATCATGCCTGCTACTTCCAACCCACCTCACTGTCCATGGGCCCGCCGTTCACTACTCTACCCCAAGACAGCCGCCGAAGAGGCTTCCTTGAAGTCTTTCAACTTCACCGGCGACGAGGACTGCCTATTCTTGAATGTTTTCGCCCCTGCCAATGCGAAGAATCTCCCTGTGGTTGTTTGGATTCACGGCGGCGGCTACAGCCTCGACTCCGCGGAGGGTTTTGACTTTTCAACCCAGATCGGGACGAACAACAACAGCTATCTTGCCGTAGCGATCCAGTACCGACTTGGAGCGTTTGGATTTCTATCGTCTGACGATCTTGTTGGTAACGGGGGCTCTGCGAATGCTGGATTATACGACATGATCTTCGCGCTCCAATGGGTAAAACAACACATCAAGAAGTTCGGGGGCAACCCAAGAAAGGTGACTGTTGCTGGACAGTCAGCTGGTGCTGGAGCAGCGCTTATGCTAGCTACGATGGGGGAAGCCGATGGTCTCTTCAAAGGCGTCATCGCGAGCAGCCCCTACCTTACCACTCAGCCGTGAGTGCCTCTCATATCATCAAATCGCACGTATTGTCGAGACATGTTGAACTAATGAGAGATAAACCACAGAAAGTTCGACGGTAGCCGACCAACAAAAGCTTACAATAGTCTTGCGGAACGTGTTGGTTGTTCTACCAACAACGGGTCTTCAACTCTCTTCGCTTGCCTGCAAAAGGTAGACTCGATCACGCTTCAGAACGCCAGTGACTATGTCAGCACGCAGGGGCTCTATGGTCAATGGGAATGGCGCCCTGTCATCGACGGCAAACTCATCAAAGACGATCTCACATATGATCTCTCCCAAGGCAAAACCACCGTAAACGGCTTCCGAATACTCACAAGCAACGTCGCGGACGAGGGACCATACTTCACGTGGCAAAATATCACCACGCAAGCAAACTTCGTCTCATTCCTGCAGTCAAACTACCCCAAGCTATCCGAAACCAATGTGACTGAAATACTTGGCACATATACGCGGAAGAACGAAGAGTTCCTCGCAGCGAACTCGAAAGACGCGAACAACACGGATCCGGGTTTCATGACCAACGGCCTTCAGGCGCCATACTCGACGACGGTATCGAATTACGCCACCGGCTGGCAGCAAGTCGCCAACAACTTTTATGCAGAAGCCACGTTCATGTGCCCCTCACACTGGCTTGCCAACGCGTACGCATCGAAGAAAGGGGGCCGAGCATGGCGGTACCAATTCAGCGTCCCGCCCGCCTACCACGGCTTAGACATAGGCTCTGGTTCCGACTTCGATGTTCTCCTTGCGCCAGTCGACACTCCAAATACTGCATTTTCAACGCCTTTCAGGAGAACACTGCAAAATGCCTGGGGAGACTTCATTGTGCACGGTGAGCCGACACTACGTGGCGCGGGCTCGTCGAATGCGACTATCTGGCCCCAATGGAAGCAGGGCGGGAAGGGAGCCGCCAATATGTTAAACGCGAACATGACAGGTGGTGTGCAGATTGAGAAGGCTTCTCCGTTTGACGGCATGGTAACGTTGAACATCACAAGCTACGCGCCTGGTGACGCTGGCAATGCACCTCTAGAAGCCGTCTTTAATATCGTGGACGGCGATGCATGGGAGGACGGCCGAGGTGAGCGGTGCCGCATGTTGGCCGAGATGAGTCCCTGGATTGTCTGAGATATTCGCAAGTTGCACTATAATAACGACAACTTCCGACTTGGGCCGTCTAAACTACTTGATATTGACACATAGCTGAGCTATGCTACTTTTAGATGCTGGAAAAATGGAGCAAGACTCTGAGATCTTATGTAGACAGTCACGCCATCTAACAAAACGTAACGGCTATCAAATTGCCGAAGTATCAAGGATCAACATCTGTGAATCGTGAGGTCCGTTTGCTGACTTCATGTGTGCCCTTTCGGTATCTACAGCTTTACATGATGTGGCCACCGTTTTCCCAGCCAACCAGCCACTTCCGCACCGCTTCCACGTTAATCTTCCGTCCGTTTTCAACTTTACCAGACTCAAACTCGACATCCTCGCCATTTGCGCTTCCATTCACCATACCCTGGAAGAATCCCAGGAGTTTTAGAGCAGGAATCTCTTGTCCCGAGGCATCGTCAGAGTCCGCCATGAGCTCTAGGCGAGACACCCAATCCTTCATTCCAACGCGATCAATGTTCCGCCTAGAAGCCTTCTCAAGACAATCAAGCAATTCTTCCCACGAGGTGGTGCTCGGATTGGTGAGGTTAGTCACAGTGTATGATGATTGTGCATCCGAGTCCAGAACCACCTTCTTGATGGTCTCGGCGCACACGTCCACCGGCAGCCAGTCAACGGTAGTCTGAAGAACTGGCATGGCCGAGAGGAGGTTGAGTGCAGTCATCATCATGATCGGCCACATTTCCGTATGGTTCCAAGTTCCCAGGCGAGAGTGTCCGCACAGTTGGCCCACGCGGAGTATCCGTGTGGGTATGCTGAGCGAGGCAGCGAAATGCTGGGTGACTTGCTCAATGATGAACTTGGATTGCGCGTAGCCTGTTGGAAGCGCAAGTGCGGGGTCTGATCCGAGTGGGAGTTCAGATACTCTTGTGCCTGGCTCACTATTCATCGCTGCAGCAACACTACTCATGAATGCGAAGCTCTTGGTCGGTCCTTTGAGACAAAAGGACATCAGGTTCATGGTCCCTATGATAGAGTTAGTTGAGTAAGAACTGTGGGATTTGAAATCTCATACCTTTCAAACAATCCTCCTCATACTGCTGAATCGGCTGATTGAAGTCGAGTTTCCACGCGTTGTGCATGACGACGGTTACCTCGTCTGTAATTCGTTGATATGTAGGTTCGTCCAAGCCCAGCATTCTGTCCCTCATATCATAGTTGACAGCACAGATCTTGTCGCTCTCATAAATGTCCTTGGAGTAACCCCTTGATACCAAGGATTCAACGACTCTTGCTTGAGGATTGCTTCCACGGACAGCACAATAGATTTTTGTGACCGGTGTCGATCGAACCATAACTTCCAACAGCGCATTGCCCAAGAAACCGCTGGCACCTGTGAGATAGATGCAATCTCCCATTTCCTTCTTACTCTCGAGTGCCGTAGGTCTTTGCGTTCTCCACAGGTCAACTTCCTCGTTCATGCGACGGATGGTGGATTGGATCCATTCATGGTGCTGACTTGTAACCGCGGCCTGATCGAAATCGTCTTCCCCGGGACGCGTCAAAAACTCCAGAAGCTTTCGTACTGTGGGAAATTCAAATATGAACATCAGAGGAAAGCTTCCAAAGGATCTGACCAGCCTTGAGCGCAGATCGACCGCATTGAGGGAGTCAAGCCCAATCTCGTACCAATTCAGGTCTTCCCTTATGTCCTCTTGGGGGAGCTCGAACACCTCAGCCACAGCTTTTTGGATGACCTCAATAGTCAGAGGACTACTTTCGTGGACTTGGGTGCCGCGAGATCCGTTAACCGTGTCAGGCCCATCACCTAGGAATTGGCTGTAGAGCTCTTCGACTCTGTCCCCGTATAGTTCCCATGCGGTGTTTCGTCGCACGTTTCCTTTGGGGGTAACAGGTAATGTCTCTCCTTTGTTGAGAATGACGATTGTCTCGCGAGGAATCCTCGAAAAGGTGGCCAGTTTCCCGTTGCATCTTTGAACCACTCTCCAAACCTCATCGTTGAGATTGACCAGGCCTAGACCCTCTGCGGCCTGCCATTTGACTTCGACAACAACAGAAGGGCACGGCTTACCAGTCCCAAAAACTGCCGTCTTTGCAATAACGCTCGTCTTGTCTTCCTCAAGGGCCATGGCAACCGCTGAAGCGTGAGTCTTCTCTCCGTTGGAGTAGATTAGAATGTCATCGCGTCTGCCTTGTAGTACGAAGTATCCGCTTGCTGGCGGATCTTCGAGAAACAAGTCGCCCGTGCGGTACGGATTTGGCGAGGCATCATCCGGCCAAAGCTCTGCCGCTAGGGGAAATCCTCTGAAGACAACACACTCGAAAAGACCATCTCCAACGGACTCCATCCGTACAAACGGTGACTCTGGGTATAGGTTGCGGAAGCGGTAAACATCCGGGTTGTCCCTCGTGTGTGGAATTGTTCGAAATGGAGGGCCAGTCTCGGAGGTGCCGTACGTGGTCTTCACGTTGACTCCGAGTGCTTGAATCTTGGACAACACGTTGGGCGATAAAGGCGCCCCGCCAGGCTGAAGGACCTTCAACTTCGTGAGAGGAGTGTAGTCTTTGGTGGTAAGTGTGATGTACTCGTACAAATCCTCAATAACCGAAGGCGCACAATGAAGGCAATCGGCCGGGTATCCGAGGTCCTCCAGAGCTCTCCATGCTGAGAGGATGGAACTTGGAGCTGGCGGCCATTGCTCAGGGGGCAAAGTGGTAGGAAGTCCTGTTGGGAGACCTGAGACTGCGATGGACAGTCCTGCCACATGAAATCTGTTATTTTGTGTCAACCAAGGGTCCATTGTGGTAAGAGGATGTCTGATTGACTTACAGCGGAAAGCAGAGATACCAGTTCTCTATATAGTATTCGGGCAACAGTCTGTACATTCTGGCGATTTGGCACAGGCTCCTGTTGGTGTGGATGACAGGCTTTGGAACACCGGTAGAACCCGAAGAGTGGATTATCATCGACTGCAAATTCCATTCATCGTTGGTTGAGAAAGCAAACATTTTCTCCTCGTTTGTTGAGGGTCTTTCGTGTAAATCAGCGAGGCCGATCAAGCTGACGGCAGGTAGCTGACAAGCCTGCTCGCCGTGGAGCGAGGCCTCATTGGCCTTATCGGTGATGATTGCTACCGCGCTGCACACACGAAGAAGGTGCTCCCTCGTCTCGGGGGCGTTCTTGTTGCTCAGCAGAAGCACTCGCAGACGAAGACTGTTCAAGGCGATTTGCGTAATCAAGTAGTCAATCGAGTTTCCTGTTCCCAGCAGTGCTATCGTGGGTTGTTTGCCGATCGCGTTGCCTTCTTCAAGCTTATCTTGAAGTCGGTCTGCATAATACGCCGCTGCTTTGCAACTTAGGTCATGAAGCGTGGACCAGTCAAGAACACTGAAAGAGCTGCCGACCGGGTAGATGAAAGCGGCCTGCGATGGTTGAACGGAGGCATTGTGCTCGACCAACTTCGCGATGCTTGTGAGTTTCGGATTTGAAAATCTGAAGCAACAAGATTAGTGCGATTGAGTCTTACAGCGTGAAAATGACATCTTACTTCGAACTATGCGGATCGCCGTGAAGATTCCAAAGTCTTCTTAGCCTCTCGTCTGCCTTTGGTGACGGGAAGACCGTTGGGTCCATCTCGCTAACGGATGTCTTAGCAGGGTTCAAGTCGGAGGTCGCAATTGGCGCCATATTGGCATGCCCAAAGTCAAGATTCAACTGCTGTTGTTTGCGATGAACGCAATGTCAAGCTGAACATTTCGGAATCGGATTTGACCTCAATGTCGGCTTCCGCAGGTGAATTAGCTTTTTCGGATTCAACCTTCCCCCGTCAGCCGCACCGTCTCCGTGTCCGGATGCGGTCGCCGTGCATCACCAAACAACCTGATTGATTAGATTGTCGCCTATCGGTATCTGTCGATGGGATAGGCTAACATACGAGCGATACGTTGGGTGCGTGTGCTGATAGCGCTCCGTTACTTATCAAGCCTATCTCTCATACTATGACCTAAGATGGCCGGGGGAAACCAGCTTTCATGGGTGATAGCCGAAACAGTCTGATAAGCGGCACGGGTAGAAACAGAAACCTTGTGTTGGTATGTATGTAATAGAAAAAGCAAAAGTTTCCAATTCCCCGCGTGGCCAAACACTTCTTCCATGTGCTCTGTTTTAGCCAGCTTTCTTATTAGCAAATTTGGTTAACACGCATCATGGGCATCCGGAAGCGTTTGGAGCTCCGCTCCGAGAGCGCCGACCTCGGCACGGAGGGGGGCCGGCTTTCCAACAAAGACATGGACCCGATCCCGATGGGTTCCCCGGAGCGCACTTGGGGATGGCCCAGCTTGCTCGGGTTCTGGATTGCCGAAGCATTTTCCATATCGATGTACCAAGGTTCGTTAACACGAAAAAGACGATGTCGCCGACATTTGATCGCATGCATTCCGTTATTGTAGCTAACACGGCGGGAAATAGTCTCATCCACATCGGTCACGAAGGGTCTCAATCCAGGCCTCGCTATCCTCGCAGTCTTCATTGGCCACGTTCTCGTCTGCATCCCAGCAATGCTTGATGGCTACGTCGGCTGCTTCTTCGGAATCAACTTCCCCGTCTACACACGAGCTTCTTTCGGTTTACGAGGCGCCCATGCCGCTGTCTTCGTCCGAGGTGTCGTCGCTGCCATCTGGTTCGGCACGCAGTCTTTCCAGGGTGGACAATGCATCCAAGTCATGATTGCCGCCATCTGGCCTTCTTTCGACAATTTCCCAAACCATTTGCCCGAGAGCGCCCACGTCACCAGCGCCGAGCTCTTGTGCTTCTTTCTTTTTATCATCGTCCAGCTGCCACTGCTATGGCTGCATGTGAGCAGCTTGAGGTACATGTTCATGGCCAAGACGGTAATCATGCCGATCTTTGGCTTGACACTGTTTATCTGGGCCCTTGTTGCTGGTAAATATCCCTCAACACCTCAGCTCTTCCTGTAGGGCACACTGACATCCAATAGCAAAAGGATTTGGTCCGACATTCTCAAAAGCAACAGTAATCAAAGATGGCACCCCCGCAGTCGTAGTGTTCTTCCAATGCGTCACAAGCGCGATCGGTCCTAAAGCTACGCTCGCGTTGAACATGCCCGACTTCACACGCTACGCAAAGGAACCTCGACAGGTATTCTGGACCCAAGCAGTTGGTCTGATTGTGCTCGTCACGATGTGCGGCGTTCTGGGCGCTACAGTGAGCAGCGCATCTGAAGTCATCTATGGCGAAGTGACTTGGAACCCGTTGGAGGTTGCCAGGCTCTGGAACAACAGAGCCGCGCAGTTCTTCGCGGGGTTATGCTGGGCGTTTGCCGTGGTCGGCACAAACATCAGTGCGAATAGTGTGTCTTTCAGCAACGATCTATCGTTCTGGTTCCCGAAATACATCAACAACAGACGCGGGGCCTACGTCTGCGCCATCCTCGGCATATGCGCCGTGCCGTGGAACATCCAGTACAGGTGGGTTCTCAGTCTTCTACCATAGGTCTGGCCACAGATGACAACTGACGGAACAACAGTGCCAAATCGTTCTCTTCCTTCCTGGGTGGTTACTCCCTTTTCCTTGGCGCCATCGCGGGAGTGATCATCACCGACTTCTGGATCTGCCGTGGGCGTCAGATGAAAGTCTCCTCACTCTACGACCCGCGCGGAACCCACTATTATACGATGGGAGTCAACCCCAGAGCAATAATCGCATTCATCCTCGCCATAGTACCCAACATGCCGGGCCTTGCGGCTGCCTGTGGTGCGAAAGGAGTTCCCAAAGGCGCAGTCTACCTGTACAGTTTGAGTTGGCTGGTCAGCACGCTGGTAGCAAGCTTTACGTACTGGCTGCTGTGGAAGATTCGACCTTTCGAGGTGGATGAGATTGGAGATGATCTGTCTATTGAAGGCCATTCTCCAAAGGAAGAGTCAATGGAGCCAGAGAAGGGCCCAGAGGCGAAAAAGTACAATGTTTGAAAGAGGGTAGATCCTATAATTACAACTATTTGAAACAGTGCCTGATATCCGAGCATGTTTAAAGTCTTGATTCGCAAGGGTGTTATGTCTATCAACGCCCAGTATCCAACGCCCAATGTGGGAGACTCACTCGGTCCTTGAGTCGACAGAACTTTTGAAGATCCCATATCCGAAGTTCACCTACCTAATCACAAGTTACGACTCGAAACAGCTTCAGCCGCTGGAGCAGTCAGGTCAATAAGTTGGCCTAGACCAGCAACGAACATGGCGTCCAGTCTGAGCAAGCTCAGATTCAGGAGATCACAGCTTCTCGACTTGATACGCAACAAGCTCCGCCATTGCGTCAACAAAGTAAGAGAATCCTCCGCATCAGCCGTCGTCGGAGACAGTGTGAACAAAAGAACGATGAAGTTACTGGCAATGGCAAAGTTGACCCTTGAGTCTACGTATGTTAGCCCGCTACCATGAATGATGGCCAAAGAACTCCGTGGTGACTTACAAGAGTGCCAAAAGGCTTCTAGATGGTGTGGGCCAAGTCTGGCCAGGAAGTCGTACATCTCGCGTGCAACGGCCATCGCGCCGGCGCGCAAAGCCGCGCGTGCCTCGGGCGGAGCTTCAGTGCTCTTTGGTCTCAGAAGAGCCCTGAAAACGGCGACTTTGGCGGTGATGTAGGCAAGTCTGAGACTTCCGTTGCCGTCCAGACTGTCGTTGGAGAGAATTGGAGAAGGCTGCTCGACAACGTCGGGGTGGTCTTTGAGCCATTCGGCAAGTTCGAGCCGTAACGGTCTTGCGACTTCGAAACTGGCCTCCAAAGACTTGGTGAGCACTCGAGTAGCCTTTACGGAACTGGGCTGGTCAGAGTCTGTGCTTGGATTTTGACTTCTTCCGGATAACTCACAACATGTTTTGCTGAATCTTCGACACGATCTCGGTCAGTGAGGCCAAGTGCAAGAAGTGATAGGATACTGGCGGCTGGTCACTCAGTGCCGACGCGTCGCCAAAATCGCTTGTCGTGAGAGGAGAAACATCCCAGTCGCAGTCTTGAATATGCGAGCTCCGACCGAAGTTCAAACTCAGCCATCGGTCTTGAACGTATACCGCCCAACCAAGTCTTCGCCGCAGTCGCTTTTCCCACTGAGGTATCGACCAATCCATCGGGTCCAGGTTGAGGCCGAGGCATTGAGCAAGGGCCACCGTGTCTGCCAGCATTACCCATTTGAACGGCGTGTCTGCCACATGTTTGTTGGTTGGCCGTCGTTGGATCAACAGCAGCATGGTCTGTACTGTAGCTAATGAGGGTGTGTGATATTGGGATAAGGCCGCCATCCAAGCGAGCTTGAAGAGGTGGTCCGCTGAAGGGGGCGTGTAGACATCGACACAAAGCTTGTCATCAAAGACGCAGAATGGAAGAGTATGTCCATACATTGCAGCCATGAGACACGTCGGTAGCGATGATGGTTCACCGTTCAGTTCGCTCATGGTGTTTTCAACTGACACGATTGGAAAGTATGGCTGGACATAACGCCAGAACCTGTATGCGGGGTAAGCTAAACTTGTGCATGTAACAAGCGAAACAATGAGAGGAGGGGACTGGAAACCTACAGATTTAGAAGTCTTTTGCCTACGTCATCGGAAACCATGCTAGCAACTTCGTTTTTGATGTCGGATTCGTTGAGCCCAAAGTCTCCGGGCTGTGCTCTGCTTGCTAGCGAGTTGTGCTGTACCATAAACTGGACAGGAACCCCATCATCCACGCCCATATTCCTGATACGCAACTGCTGGAAAGCACATTCATCACTCTCGTCAAAGCGATAATGTTGGAGCAAGTATGGGTCAGACTCGCCGCTGAGGCCGATAATCTGGGCATTATGATCGGGTTTTGCGTCTAATGAAGCCGGCGCGAGCAATTCGGCACTCTGTGGAGGAACAACCAGGCAAGCTGAATGGGCCGAGTCTACGCAGTCTGCATTCACAACAATCTCGTCCAGAGGAGAGCTCATCTCAGCGGACTGTGAACCCATGTCGACGTCTGAGAGAGACATGTTGTGAGGCGGAGAGTTGGTGAGGCCATCTTCGGAGGGGCTCCGACACCGGTCTGCTTCCACGGTTCGCCTTCTTTTGTTCGGGCCCTCGACGAAGGTGCAATCTTTCCCCTGGCGCCGACAGAGTTCGCAGGGCGGCGGCCCAGGTAACAGACATGCCGCGCGCTTGTATCGGCAGAAGTCGCAGGGATGGCGATTGCGGTTGCTGAAAGACCTGGTACGAGTATGAGCCGCGACCTCCATGATGTTGTGTGTGAAGAAAGTCATTCCCAATCAAGTTCACTTCGGCATCGTGGTTCTGAGTTCCCCGCGCCCCCGGGATTAAGGTGAGGTCTCTCTGATAACGGCAAATGGGCCGATTGGACGCTTGCCAATCAACCCTGCAGTTGATATCTGGGGGGGAGACTCATTTCTTATGTTTGTTATTGGCTATTTAGAAAAAACACATACAATTCCGAGGGGAACTCATATCCAGTCCTGACCCCTTGCCTTGCGACCGGCAGCGGAGCTTTTGTAAACGCCCCTTTTTGCGGTCGCGCCTCCCATTCTCACCATACCCACCAGATGATGTACGCCGGCCAACACGCCGTCGATGACCTGTACTTCATCGCCAACGGCCGCTTCGACCGCTCCCTTCAACGGCGTCATCCCCGCGCATCCAAGCAGCAGCGTGTCCGCTCCTTTCTCCTCAACGAGGCGCTTGCCAACAGATGCCATGATGCCCATGACCTCGTCCTGGCTCTTCTCGTGCAGATCTAGGACGCCAAGCTTGCAGGAGATGACACCGGCACAGGACGTTGAGAATCCATAGTGGTGAATGCTGTCTTCGTGCAGAACTCGGGAACGCTCGCTCACCGCGATGAGGCCGAACCGGCCGCCCAAGGTTCGGGCCGCGAACAGCGAGGCCTCCATTATACCAATCACAGGCTGTCGCGGCAGCTCCTCTCGGAGCATGCGAATCAGGGCATGGTCGGAGTAGCAGGCCACAAGCACTGCATCGTGTGTCGCTGCGAGAGGGAGGACAGCCCTGGCGGCGGCGGCGGCCGACATGACATTATCAAAGCTCCCCTCAATCGCTGAAGGTGCCGGTCGGGGTGCGGTGAAGCCCGTGACGATCACGTCCGAGGGCAGCTGGCTCTCGACCATGGAAACACAAGCGTCCGTCATTGCTCGCGTGCTGTTTGGGTTGATGAGGAGAACGCGAATCTTCTTCTCCTTCGAAGCCGTCCCGTTCACACCGTTCACCGCAGCAGCTCCCGGAGCCGCCAGCTTAGGCGGCTCAACAACCCCAGTCTGCTCCGTTATCCGGCCGTAGTGCTCCACCCGGCGGTGTCTAGCAAAGTCAAAGGTGCGCTCCTTGCCGGGCCGGCACTCGTCGAGGTTGATCTCGGCGTAGACAACCTCGTCATCGGTGGTGGATGCCTCGGCGACGATCTCACCCTCTGGCCCTGTGATGCAGCTTCCGCCGATGAGGTCGTACTTCCCATCATCCAAGCCGCACCGCGCTGCACTTACACTGAAGCAAGCGTTCGTGTAGCTATGAGCCTGCATCACCAGCTTGTGGTGGAACATCGCTTTCTTGCGCGCCTCTTCCGGGTCCATATCGGCGCTCGATCCCCAGAGATGAGGCGCAAAGCCTGCCGTGTTGTAGCCACAGAGCACGACCTCCACGCCCTGCAGGCCGAGTACGCGCCAGCTCTCTGCCCACCTCCTGTCGTTGCAAATCATCATGCCGAAAATGGGGTCTCCTCGCTCGGGGCTGGGAGCCACGAGATCCGGCACGCGGAACGCGTTGAAACCGAGATCGCCCGGCTTGAAGTACCGCTTCTCCAGCTGGTTCGTGGCGTCGGGGTCCGCGAAGGGCTCGAAGTCTCCCGGGAGATGGATCTTGCGGTACTTTGACAGGATTGAGCCGCTCTTGGCGTGGTAGTAGATGCAGGAGTTGAAGGTCTGTCCATCGTCTGCCTTCTCGGCGAAGCCGGCCGAGATGTCTACGCCGAGCTGGTTGGCCTTGTCGAAGAGAGGCTTGGTCTGTGGTTGCGTGACGATGTCGCCGTGCTCAAAGAAAGAGTCGAGCTCGACGGGGTCGTTGATGAGATGCCGGGGAAAGAAGGTCGTGAACGCGGCTTCGGGGAAGAGGACGACTTGTGCCCCTTTCACGGCCGCCGCTTCGAGGAGTGAAATCATGCGGTCTAATGTCTTGTTTCGAGAGTCGGTGTAATGGGTAGCGCCCATCTGGGCTGCTGCCACGCGCAGCGTCCGCGATGAAGCCATCGTGGTTGCTTCAACGTAGTTGGTGGGTTATTGTTTGTGAGACTCTGACTTAGCCCCAGCGCGGCGCAATTGACCCTTCGAATGCAATCCAAATGCTGCCTCAGTCAATTTTCAATATCTCGATTCTCCAACATATCTACCCCTCACGGTTATTTACTCTGCAGAGCATCATCCGATCTGTCTCCGGTGTCTTCGAGTAGAAGCCGTCGGCCGGAGATAAGCAGGTGATAGGGCGGCCACTCCACGTTATCGAGCTGATGTGCCTATCTTTATCTCAATCAAGGTTCGCCTATCGCCATGCATCTCTGGCGATCCTATCGTTATCATTTTGCCGAGCCATCATGAATCATCTAAGTTCCCCTTGCGATTGTGAGATATCGCGATTTCATGAAGCCATTCACAAGCATAGCAAGTGTGATTGCTGTGGGAAATTCTCAATACTGTCATCAGCTAACAAGTCCAAGGAAAGAGAGGTTGTTGAAGTCAATCACAACGTTTCACAATGGAAGTCGATCTCATCATCGAAAATGCGACGGTCGTGAGTACTCACTGTGATCCGAGAATCCAACTCATCAGACACCTAACGCATCAACCAGGTCACCGCATCAGATGTGCACCCACATCAAGACATTGTGGTTCGTGATGGCAAGATTATAGCCGTCGGTCAGAATCTGAAGTCCATTTTCTCGGCTCAATCAGTCATCGACGCACAACATGCCTTCGTCATGCCCGGCGGCGTGGACTCCCACGTGCACCTCGACCAGGACAACTCACCAACAGGAGACAACTTCGAGACCGGCACGAGGTCAGCCATTGCCGGCGGCACAACCACAATCATTGCGTTTGCCACTCAGGAGCGTCGCCACGAGTCCCTTCATCCCGTCGTTGAGGATTACCACTCCCGAGCCAACGCCAAGTCGTACTGCGACTACGGCTTCCACCTGATTCTCACCAACCCGACCCCCAAGATTCTGCGCGAAGACCTGCCGTTCTTCTTCAAGGAGGGCATCACATCAGTCAAGCTGTACATGACATACGAGCCGCTGAAACTGAAAGACGGCGAGATCCTCGACGTCATGATGGCGACGCGGAGTCTGGGGATGACCACCATGGTGCACGCCGAAAACAGCGACATGATCTCCTGGATCACGGCCCGGCTCGCGGAGCAGCAGCTCACCGCACCCTACTACCACGCCATCAGCCGGCCCAACATCGCCGAAGACGAAGCGACGTACCGCATCATCGCCCTCGCCGAGCTGTCCGACATCCCCATCCTCATCGTCCACATGTCGTCCAAGACCGCGGCCGCGCACGTCAGGAACGCCCAGACACGCCTGCTCCCCATCCACGCCGAGACGTGCCCGCACTACCTCTTCCTCACGGCCGACGCGCTGCGGCCGAACCACCCGGAGCACGACTCGTTCTCGGGGGCGAAGCACATCTGCAGCCCGCCGCTGCGCGAGGACCGGATGGACCTGGAGGCCGTGTGGGCCGGCATCGTGAACGGGACCTTCACGACCTTCAGCTCGGACCACGCGCCGAGCAAGTACGACCACCCGTGCGGGAAGAAGGCGGGCCTGGGCGAGAACGGGCTGATGCGGTACGACAAGGTCCCGAACGGGCTGCCGGGCTTGGAGACTCGCATGCCGGTTCTCTTCCAGGGCGGCGTGCTGTCGGGCAGGGTGACGCCTCAGAAGTTCGTCGAGGTGACGTCGACCAACCCGGCGAAGCTGTACGGTCTTGGGGATACCAAAGGCGCTATCGCGGCGGGTTACGATGCCGATTTCGTGATATGGTACCCGACGGCCGACCAAGTGGCTGCCGCGGGAGGAGGAAGCGCGACAACGATGGAGCCGTTCGAGCTTGAGAATTCGATGTTGCATCACGACATCGACTACTCTCCCTTCGAAGGCATGAAGTTCGATAACTGGCCACGGTACACCATTTTGAGAGGCAAGGTTGTCTGGGATAGAGATAACGGGGGGATTGCCGGCAAGATGGGCTTCGGGAATTTCTTGCGTCGCGGGAAGAGCACGTTGAGCAAGCCGCGCAATAAGTGGGTGAATGAGTTTCAGCCTGTGCCAGAAGACAAGACCGCAACTGTGAAATATTGACGAGAATGAAGATGGTGGTTTAGCGGGAGTTTAACGGTCTGAATTGAAAGTTGTCAACCTGTATCTGGAGGTGATACACCATCCACTGGTTGTTTCCAACTCCCTAAGCAAACAGGGGTTGCGTCTTGTAGTTATGAATCTTCGAACGGTATGTAGTCATTATCACCCTGACATGGTCTCAACCAAGGTCCACAACATCACAATCAACCAGAACCTTGACTTTCCACGCTTGGGCGCACTCACGAACGACACTAGTCCACGTCGTCCCAGAAAGTCAACTTCAGGACTGCTCGCCGCTGCTCGTTGCGGGAGAATAAACTAATTGGGCTAATGCGGCACAGTCAATGGACCCTCGACGGACCCCACCAGACTCCTTTCTTCCCTGAGGACTTTTCTCGCAGGATTCTCGGTTCGCAAGTCACCCACCAACAACTTGCAGTTATCGATCACCGTACTAACGGAGAGGAAGAGGGTTCAACGAGTCGCCTCCAGATCACTCTGTTACCTTTCTCCGCCAACGCGTTAATAATCTCTCACTATTTCAAGACGTCTTGAACCCCTATACTTCTACCTGGCCTTCCAAGTCACACTGAGATATGCGACTTCTCACATACGTTGCCATAATTCAACTCCTCAAGATTCTCCCTTTAGGGAGGGCAGATGATTGCGCCCCGCACACATGGGTCGAAGACAATCACAGCTTTGACCACATACCAACACCCACCCAGCACCCCCGGCCGATCATCACTCCGAGCGTCGTCAAGGATCCAGGGGAAGAGGTACAACAAGGAGACGTGGTCTGTCGTTCGTGGGGGGACACGGACGAAGAGGTGAACCGGAACACATGCGCAGAGTTCGCACATTTCTACTGGATGGACCTGAAAAGATTCTTTGAGCTGAATCCCATGGTGAAGATCAACTGCAGCGATCTTGCGGCCTTACACTGAGTACTGCACCGACGGCTGTAAGTCTTGCTTGCCCGGACAACTCAGTCCCGTCTCTCGGATGAAGTTGCTGACGAAACCTCCAGGGATCGAACCGTTGCGGAACAAGGACGGCCGCTGTGGTCCTCCGTTCGGCAACGCCTCTTGCGCGTATTCGGACCTTCCGTGCTGTAACTCGGAGACGTGGCGATGCGGCGAAACATTGTGAGTGCCCGAAAGGCTTCGCACGTGATTACCTCCATGGCACGAACGAACCGTCATACCACTTCCTTTGGCCCCGTGAATAAACAAAACAAAATCCTACTAATCGAAGCACGCAGCGAGGATTGCGAACACGGTCGATGCTACGAGGGTGTCTGCCCCGGTCATACCGTGTACACCACGAACGGCAAGTGCGGCCCGGCCTACGGCAATCAGCAGTGCGCCGGGAGATGGGGCGACTGCTGTAATCTCGACGGCGAGTGCGGCACCGGGCCAGAGTTCTGTGGTCTGGGAAAGTGTCAAGCCGGTAACTGCGTGTTGCCGGAAGCCTGGTTTGACAGGACGGGGTCGCCCTTCGATTTTGAGCCGGGGCTCTACGCCGCTTTTCAGGAGGCGATGGCGCATGATGTTGAGGCCCCTACATCTACCGGATCCGCGGCCGGTACTTGTGAGGCTCGGAATGGGGATGTGGCTGGTAGACTCTTGGGTGTCTGCCCACGTGGGTAGCTCGCTTTACCAAGTAAAGTTCCCGAAATCTTAGTCCTGGGAACTGCAGATTACCATGGAGTTCACATAAACGCTTACCACCTACTGATTCAGGTCTGTTTGGTTTGAATTCTCGCCGTAGACTCATACGGCAGGTGATGGAAAGACCTGCCAGAATTCAATGTACCGTCCTGACTAACTTATACGCCCTCGTTCCATGTTTCTGGACATGTATCCGTGCAACTATCATCCATCCGCCTTGCATACTGCAGCGAGAAGATTTAACTCTCTAAGAACTATTAAGATCAAAAATGACTTGAACTATTACTGTCCGGCTCCATCCAAGTCCCATCCAACATGGCGATACAATCTTGCAGTGTCGAGCTACCCTGATTTCTGGGTTGTGGTCTCTTCCAAGCATTGCGAGCAACATGCCATACATTCAACTTTCCCAGTTATTTCCCGTCAATCAGTTGCCATCCTGTGGGCTGGAATCTCATTGCATCTCACAGGATTCCCGATGCGCAGGAAGCTCACCCTCGTCGAACGCAACGATTCTGCCCAAAGTCGTCTCTCGGAGTCGTGTAACCAAGCCGCATGATTTTTTTTCAAGCCACCAACGCGTTTCCGCTCTGCAGACTAACACGTATGACTACAAAGCTCCAATCAAAGCACCGAGGAAACAACGCCGAGATGCTCGAAAGGCAAGTAGCCGAAGTGTAACGCGGAATTCGTTGCCCGGGCGCGGGCGGCTGCAAGTCCCCCGCACTCCCCCGCCTGTATGGCACAGCCAAAGTATCAAGTACACAAGCGGCTATACGAAAACACACGGACGTTTATAAAGGAGAACGCGTCGTCGCGAAAGAGGAGTTGTTGTAATCGACCTGTCAACGGAGGTTCATTGCATGTGGTGAACGAAGAGCGAGACCCACGAACATCCCGCGAATTTCACAAGTTCTGTAACAGTTAACAACCTCACGAGAGCACACGCAACCAACATGACGTCTACCACGGGCTCAAGACTCGCCGGCAAGGTCGCCGTCGTCACCGGTCAGTCCAATATCACACACGACGTGAGGAAGAACGTGCGCGCTAAAGATCACCAGGCGGAGGCCACGGCTTCGGCGAGGCGATCGCGCGAAGATTCGCCCTCGAGGGCGCCAAGGTGCTCATCTCGGACATCAACGAGGCGGACGGGCAGAGGGTGGCGAGCGACGCGCCGGACGCCATCTCCTTCTTCAAGGCGAACGTCACGGACGCCGGGGACTGGGAGAAGCTGCTGGACGCGGCGCAGTCAAAGTACGGGAGGATCGACATCCTCGTCAACAACGCCGGCACGACTTACAAGAACAAGGTCTGTAGTAATGTTGTCGGGTTCGGCTGGAGAGGTGGTGACATGAGCTGATTGGTGTCTGCAGCCGACGGTCGAGGTGACGGAGGCCGAGTTCGATCGCGTCTTCGCCGTGAACGTCAAGAGCATCTACCTCGGCACCAACGCGCTGATGCCGCGCCTCATCAAGCAGGGCGAAGGGGGTGTCATGCTGAATATCTCGTCGATCGGGTCTGTGAGGCCCAGGCCCGGGCTTGTGTGGTATAATGCGTCCAAGGGCGCCGTGTCCAACGTACGTCTGCCGGCTGTTGAGTTGACGTCGCTGTCGCTAATGTTGTGTCAAGGCTACCAAGGGACTGGCGGCCGAGTACGGCCCTCACCAGATCCGAGTCTGCTCTGTCTGCCCTCTACTCAGCGGCACCGGACTGTGAGATTTTCGAAATCATCGATATACGCCGAGGCGGTTGCTGACCTTTGATGACATAGATTCGAATACTTCGCAGGCGTGCCGGACACCCCCGAGAACAGGAACAAGTTCATCGACAACGTACCACTCAAGCGGCTCTGCGAGTCGGAAGACGTCGCCAACACCTGCCTCTTCCTGGCTTCCGACGAAGGCAAATTCATCACCGGCATCAACATGGAGGTCGACGGGGGCAGAGCCATCTGATGCCAGCGAGGAGGCAAAGAGTCGCATCGACGAGTTGTAGACGGAAGAACCTCCGGCAGGGATGTTCCTCCCTTCGAAGATCCGCGGTCCGGCTCGTCTTCGTTCGGGGACCCGAAGTCCAGGGGGGTCTTTGCGGAGAAGAACGGAGCACAAGGATCGGGGACGATACTCCGTTAGATTACCCAGACTCGGGTTTCCCGCTCGTGTTTTCCAACGCGACATCATGTGTAATTTTAGCCATGAAATGACATATCAATTGTAGCATGGGCTTCTTCAACTCCCGGTATTGTCAACCGAAAAGTCATTCTGCAGCAAACCTGGAAGAGTTTCGAAAGGAGGGTCCGAGGCGGAACTCACGGCTCACTCCACTAAGAGTTCCCCCCCACCCCCCGCCGTGGCATCCCCCGGCTAGCGCACGTCCCGCTGGGCGAGTCTGGTGGCCACGGCATTTGGCCCCGGGAAAACAAAAAGGAGGCCGCACGAGGTGCCCAGGCCGAAGGATTCCGAAGCAAGCCGGCGGGGCAACTTTCAGTGTTCTTGGTGAGGAAAAGAATTCGTGAAGTTTCATGTGGTCTCACTCAATTCACGAGGGGCTTCAAGAATTATGAACAGCAAACCGTAGACTTCAGTTCTTTAGCAATCAGTGGAAAGAAAGCCTCAGAGTCAATGGTCTGCTCCGAGAGTCTCAATGGCGACATGAGATTGACCCCACCCACCATCGGCTGCTGGGATACCCGCGCTCGCGACCCGGGCGCATGGCTTCAGCCCGGAAAAGCCGTGAAGGATCTCTTGACACCGAAGGCAGCGTCACATGGATTGTTAGGCTGATTTCTGTTTCAATGATTTTTGATCTATGTGGGCTGTGCTGACGCCGTGTGGTCGTCGCGGGGATATACAGAAAAAAACACCCTGAACAGAAAGCTCTCCGATGTTCGGAGGAGATGCCCAAAAAAAAAAAGAGGAAACATGAAACCAATCTAAACCAACCGGCCGTCGATGCAACACACACGCACACATGATTTAAAACTTGTTCTGGTTGGCGTTCTGCTTGAACATGGTCGCGTCCGGCTTGTACTTCTTGGACACCAGGCGGACGTCGTACTCGACGTCCAGCACGGCGCCGTTGGGCTCGTCCTTGACGGGGACGAAGTCGAGCAGCAGGTCGGGCTTGACGGCGCTGACGGTGTCGGTCTCGAGGTAGGGGTCGTCGCGGGGGTAGAGCTGGGCGGTGACGCCGATGTAGTCGTCGTGGGTGACCATCATGTGGATGTGCGCGGGGCGGTAGGGGTGGCGGCCCATGATCTTGAGGAGGTCGGCCGAGGGGCCCGTCGTGTCGATGGCGTACTCGGTCGGCTTGAGGCAGTAGAACCAGAACTTGCCCTCGGCGTCGGTCCGGAACTTGCCGCGCAGGTTGTGGCGCGTCTGGTTCTCCGGGTCGAACACGTCGTACTTGCCGTTGGTGCTGGCCTGCCACATGTCGAACACGGCGTTCGGGATCCCCTTGCCCGTCTCCGCGTCGTAGATGCGCCCGTGGAACTTTGTGAGCTGCGCCTTGTCGTCCTTGGGCATGTTCTGCACCACGCTGGCGCCCAGGTCGCGGAAGGGGGTCTCGGGCGACCAGAAGGGGCCGAGGATGGTCGAGGACGTGGGCTGCGCGCCCGAGTCGGTGACGACCTTGTTGTTGATCTCGTCGACGAGGCTGGACGGGGAATGGTAATCAGTCTTCCGGTCGCTGTTTAATGGGGTGACATCAGAAGTACTCACGACTCAATGCCCAGAATGTCCATTACTCTCCATGCCTCGTTGCGGTTCTTCTGGTAGGCCTGGCCGATGGAGTTGATGTAGTTGACGCCGAGAACCCACTCGTCCTGCTTCAGCTCGACGTCTCTGCAGAAGTCGTGCATGTGCCTGATGAGGGAGGTGAGGATTTCTCTGTGGCGGGGCAACGTTTCGGGGGACATCAGGTCGATGACGTGTTGTGTGAAGTTGGGGTCGTATTTGCTGTTGTTGCTGCCGCTGCTGGCACCGTTGACACCGTTGGTGCCGTTGGTGTGGGCTCCGTTGACGCCGTTCGTGGCCATTTTGACGGGTTTAGTAGATGTGGTGTGAAGAGAGGCGATTCTCAGGGTATCCGGAGTTACAATATACTTTGCGACTAGGGAACGAGCTAGGACAGTACGGCGCAAAGGTTGAAGATGAAGTCTAGAGAGAAGAGAGCACATTGGGGGAACATCAAAGGGGAACCGGAGAAGTTAAGTATCGATTGGAAGACCTCCGGAACTAGGGACGAAATGGACACGCATAAGTCACGAGTCGTATGATGTGCGGCAACAGGAATCGGCAAATTGACCAAAGGCGCAATCACGATTGGGGGGGACCTGGGGTAAAACTTTACGTCTTTGCGCGCGTCTCATCCGTCCCGTCACCCGCGAGCGCACTTTTTTGGAGAAACATACAGCCGGTCTACGATGCCGTGGGTAAGTCTTGTTCCCAGCGTGGCACGCTCCCAAGTGCGGGGTAGATGCGGGGGACAATTTCCACAAAGAGCTGAGATCCGTGGCTTTGACTGGCCTTGTTTTCGGACGGACTGGTGTATTATATTTGAGAATCCATCATTGGATGCTGCCCGTGGGGAAGGGGTCGAGTCCGGGTTCGGGGTCGGTAACGCATCGCGGCTTGCGGCCGTCTGAGTCCTGGTCCATGGGGACGGGTCGGCTTACATAACCCTCCTTTTCATGCCGGGCCGGCGGGGTCTCCGACAGCTGGTGCCGGCCCATGTCCGTCATCCGCATCTCACCGGACATGGCTCCGGAGATGAGAGTCTCACTCTATCGAGCAGCTGAAGACTGTGTGCTCATGCGACGTCATATTGAGCAACCCGTACCCACCTGTGCTATCAAATGCGTCTCATTGCATTTCACTTTCGCTCATTGGCCCACTCATAATCACGCCGCATCACCTGTCGGTTTGGTCAGAAATGCTTGACCTTGCAAGGCTAATTAGAATTAGACAGCCTCCTCGGACTTTGAGAAGTTTTCCACGACTGGAGGAGAGAAAGAAGTTGATACTAAATCTTTGGGGTGGAAAACATCTTCTACGAGATTGGGATTCGACGTCCCTTATGTACAGTCAATGGCAAATGCCTGTTTACGTATCACTCCGACCAAGTCATAGCGATATTCGCTGTGGATGAGTAATTGCAGACTCAGATAGAGGCACTGACATGGCCGTCATGTAAAAGAGACATCTGACAGCAGAACTAGCGTAGTACATTTACAACGTCCAAGAATATCACACCTTCAGAAAAAAGCCTTCACACCATACACTGTCCTATAGCCTTGTTTTCAGGCTCTTGACGGACAATGAGATCGGAAGCAAAAGGGTCCAAGAAGTTGCCTGATAATAATGAAATCTGTGAGCTAGTTGCTAGATTTGATTTTAGGATCTCACGGCACTCACCCAGATCGTGGAGATTGGGGCGAGATAGCGGTAGCGACCTAGAATACTTGCTGAAGATGTTTGCATCAAACATCAAGACAGCTTCATATAGATAAACTCCACAACATTGAAGGCAGTACCAGAGGATATCAGTCTAGGCCGTTAGATCTTCGATGAGGACCAGGATGCCTCTGTAACTGAGACGAAAGGGATACTGGTCATTTGAGGTCGAAAGGTCCCAGCCAGGCGAGTATTATGTGAGTGAATATTGATATTATTTTATGGTACTGAGACTATTTGACGGATAATGAGCTGTATTTAGGCGCAAGAGCTCCAAATATTCAACGCCTTATGTCCCTTCAATTCAGCTGTGGCTGGAGAAAAGGGGTGTTGATTTCTATGGGGGACACGAACAGTCTATGTGTTTTTATGAGAGTCATTCCACAGCCCATCCAGATACTCAAATGAAACTGGAATTATAGCTTTGCCGTTGTTTTCTTTCAGAGGATTCTCAGGACAGAGAACCATCTCTCATATAGACGCGAGACCGAGTTGTGCTCAGCTGAACTTTCACCTTCTCCTACCCAGTACCAACTGGAATACTTGCAACCCTTTTTTACCCGGCTTTGCTAGGCACAGAAAATATGTTCAATGGATAATTCGGGAAAGAAATTCCTGGTTGTGTCCTGATGAGCATTCAGATAATCGTCTTCTCGGTTACGCGTTGAAGCCTTGCCTGGCTTTGGAGTAGCCGATATAGCCGAAGCACATGGCTACACCACATCTTCGGTTATTTGGCTTCCCTCCCGGCCCGAGCCGCTGCCAATCATTGATGACGTATCGAGTCACTGATTCCATTTCGGTTATCTTCTCACTTTCAGGCATACTGCTGGCCATCATTGATCAAGTAAAGTCTCGCAGTCTGCGCATTGCGAATATTATCGCCCTCATTACTGCAATGGCGACCGTAAGACTGGCATCGAAGCTCTGGAAGAGCCCTACCAAAGTGTGTAATCAGCGTCTTGGCAAAGATTCGTCTGAAATATCGCAACATTGAACGCTAATATTTGATCTTAGTTAATCTCACCACAGCAACTACGATGCCTAAGTTTGCACGAGTACCAATCGCAGGATATTCTGAGAGAGGTAATGACGATGGGCCACTACAGACCCCTTCCAGCCCGCTGACAATCATCACTGTAGTTCGGTGTTCCCGTTCCTCGGGGCAAGCTTGCACGGTCGCCAGCTGAAGTGAAATCGGTCGTATCGGAGCTCAGTAAGTGTATTGAACTCGAGAATAAATGCGCTGAAGTTAACATTCACAGACGGACGCTGTGTTATCAAACCACAAATCATCAGTGGTAGTCGGACTAAGAGCCTCAAAGTTGTCCACAATGCACAGGCAGGTGAGGAAGTTGCCCACGCGATGCTCGGCCAACAACTCAAGACGAACCAAACACCTGTCGATGCTCTCAAAGCCAGCAAGCTCTACGTTTCCGAGGTGGTTGAGTACGATCAGGAGTGGTATTTTGCAATAACGTTCGACCGCGAGAACTACTGCCCCGTCATCATCGTATCCAAGAATGGCGGGGTCGACGTCGAGACGATAGCGAGAGACCATCCCGAGGAACTACACACGGTCAGATTCGGTCTGACGAAAGGCATCACTCCGGAAGTCGTCGACACGGTCTCGACTCATCTCGGAATCTCAGGAGGAGGGCCTGAGGCGGAAGCATTGCGAAATATACTGAGAGACCTATTCAACGTCTTCAAGAGTAGAGATGCGACTTTGCTGGAAGTCAATTCCCTCGTCAAAGCATCAGACGGCTCTTTAGTGTGCTTGGATACCAAGCTGACGATCGACGATGCCGCCGCAAAACGGCAGAAGGAAATATTCGCGTTGAGAGACGCCGAGCACGAGATCCCGGAAGAGGTGGAAGCGGAGAAATACGGGCTGGTTTACGTCAGGATGGACGGCAACATCGGCAACGTTGTCAATGGTGCCGGGCTCGCGATGGCTACCAATGATGCTATCGCCCTTCACGGCGGCGCAAGCGCCAACTTTCTCGACGCCGGTGGCCAGGCTACCAAGGAGACCATGGTCAAGGCGTTTGAGATCATATTGAGGGATGAGAGGGTTAAGACCATCTTTGTCAACATCTACGGCGGTATGTTGAAGGGATGAATCGTCGGCTAGTTCATGTTACTGATCTATGTCACGCAGGCATCACTAGGGGAGATATGATTGCGGAATCCATACTTGGTGCGGCAAAGGAGCTGGGACCGCTGAAAGTGCCCATGGTAGTCCGTCTGCAGGGAACTAATTCCGAGTTGGGGTTGAAAATTGTGAGTTGCCTTGAGCCGCAGAACTACGATGTTCTACTGACACATGTCCACAGCTGGAAGAAGCAGATCTGGGGTTACACACGGAGGCTGACTTTGGTAAAGCGGCTCAGAAGGCTGTTGAGTTGGCAGAGGGCAAATGAAATCCTTCTCGACTTGTGCGAATCGCCAGAGAGCCAAGAGACTCCTCCAAGACGGCAGACCAGAACATCATTTACTTAAATTGATAATCATTTTGAAATCGCAAAATTTCTGTGCCGTGAAAAGTTTTCCTGCGCCTGTCCGATCCGAGGGTTCAATAGCGTCGTTGGCTACGGCGGCTATGCGGGCTCCCGATGTCAATCCTGCGCGGTCTCATCGGGAGGTTGGCAATCGGTGAGCCCGGGTGCCGACATGGAATGATGTGACTTCCAGAACTAATGCCGGTTTATCAACAGGATATCACATTGCATGACAGATTTCCAGGCGCTCGCAACACGCTCAGCAACGGGACTCTCAATCGACCATCAGTGGCGTAAAACATCTAACAACACTAATGCTCGCCAGCCCCAATCGGCCCAAGAAGTCAGAATTGAGTTGGCTGGAACGCGGAGGACGAGCCTCTTTTGGATGGTGTAGCACTGAACTGGCCGCAACGACCAGGCCTCGACGGGTGGTGATGTGCAGCCGGGATGACTTTCCCGTCTTTTAGCTCCCGGTGAGCTGAGGGGTGGAAGCCCCCTCGAGCGTTCGAGCAGGCGATGACAGCATCACTAGAGACGCGAATTGCAAGCGAGGTTGACTGTCGGCTGTGGTGATTGGTCTGGAACATCGCGCCCGAACATCGAACGGGCAACATGTGTGGGAAAAGCAATTCAGGATGGTAAGGAAGGAAAAAGCAAAGCCGTATGCAGTGATTCTGGAAGCGCTGCAATCCCGGCCCTGGTCCGTTTCCCCTGCAGCTCGCCCGCGAGGTCTCGCCATCCTGGGCTTCGGACCCAGTCACCGCGTGTCGGTCGACTCCTCTCGAGAACATGATCACTTGCTGGGAAGTATCTTCGATCCTGGGGAACCTTGAACACGGGGGTCTGTGAGCGTGAGGTATGCGACATGGTAGCATCTTCAGGTAGGCCAAGGTGAGCATCCCTGTGGGAAATCTCATGTTCGTCCCATCGAAGACAGCCGTGCAATCGAGAGCATCGTGACATGATCTGAGTCGCATATCGTGCAACGCAGATTCGAAGTAACAAGCCATCAGGACTCGATTTCAGAGCAACGGACGCATGGCAACGGCTGCTTGCATCCGCTTGCTCTCAGGCACTAACCACCAACTCGCGCGGTCAACACATTAGTTTGCGTGCCTGGCCTGGGCATCTGTCAGCTGCGCAACACAAACAGCTTCTCTATCCCCCTTCTGGAACATTCATTGACCTCATTCAGTGACTTGGCGGTAGCCGACCCGCTTGATATGCAGCTTGCCTGCAGGCTGAGTCGATAAGCAGTGCAGCCCGTGAGGAAAAAGCAACGATCGAACACGACGGATCCACTGACATTGACCTTCTGGGCGAACACCTGCCCCGAGAAACCACCGAATAAGCAAACTGTCCTGCTCGTGGCCGTTGACACCCAGAATGCTGTCTTGGCTGGTTTTCCCGCGGGCTTTCAAAAGAATCGCATTGCCCTGCCCTCGAGTCCTCTCCGTGGTGATGAGCCGTGTTCCTTTCATCGAAGCCACGACACACCCGCGATATGGCGGCACCGACACCGTTGGCAACAGCTCCGTTGAACGCGACGATGGGAAACGGGCCGGCGGCGATCCCCCTCGAGAGACAAAGCCAGATCAGCGTCGTCGCGGTGTCGATTGCCTTCATCATCGTGCCGACCATTGCACTGGTCTTGCGACTCATAGCGAGGCGGATGGCTCACAGAGCTTTGGATGCTAGCGATTACTGCATCATCGTGGCATGCGTAGGTCTTCCTTCCCCTTCGCAAAATTCTCAGACATGGCGAGCTGATCACGCTGTTTTCCAGATCTTTTCGCATGCTCTGCAGCTCGTTTCGATCCTCAGCGTCACGCAAGGTGGTGTTGGGTATCTCTTCCGAGAGATCATCCCAAAACATGGAAGAGGTCCCATCATCAAGTTCCTCCAAGTGCGTGTTTACTCTCCCAACAACTCCTTTTTCGACTTCGGCAGTGATTCTCTATCGACTCTTGGGTTCAAGAACTGATCACCAAGCTTCTTCCTGCAGCTCCTCGTCGTGCAACAGATTCTTTGGGCCGTTAGTCTTAGCCTCTGCAAGATTTCCATCCTCCACCTTTACACGAAGCTCTTCTCCGTCCGTCGCATGGTCCTAGCTGCGAGAATCATGGCACTCTTCACTGTGATCTGGACTGCCGTTGCCGTGCTGGTGGCCTTCTTCATCTGCATTCCCTTGTCGGATAACTGGCTGCTCGATCTCAAGAACCGCAACTGCGGCAACCAGCCGGCTGCGGACGGGACATTAGGGGTCGTGAACCTCATGACGGACATCATTGTGCTCCTCATGCCAGTATCCTACTTGTGGAGCCTTCAACTCGAGAGATTCAAGAAGATTGCTCTGATCGCAACTTTTTCTTTGGGCATCTTGTGAGTGCTTCTCCTTCTCTGCGGTATTCGCTTGCTGGTAGAGATCTCAAGGATCAACATGGACTGATCCTTATAAGTACTTGCATTGTATCTGCTCTGCGGCTCTACTACCTTGCAAACCTGAAGTACACAGACGTGACGTTCGGCATTCCCAACGCTCTCATCTTCAGTGCACTTGAGCCCGGCGTCGGTATCACACTCGCTTGCATCCCGTTCCTCCGACCACTTCTCGGTCGATCCAATTACTCGCCCAAGGGTACCGCGAGATACTACACCACGGTAGAGAGCTCCGATAACACGGGAAGACGTGTTTCGGGCAGGAACGGGCTCGCACTTGTTGGAGATGACTCTTCCGGACATCCTTTACAAGACTACAGGCAGACGGACTCCATGCCCTCATTTCCGAATAAGACGCACACGCGCATAGGAAGCGGTTCCTGAGATAGTCAATAGAGCATGAACAACGGATATCTCTTGATTATAGCTGCTATATTGGTCGACGTGTGTGATAATTATGATGATGAGTTACAACGAATTTTCATCACTATTCAATAAGAGTAGCCGGTTCAGTAACGTCCTCGGGCAGTTTGCTCCATCGACTGGTATAAACCCTTCCATCTTTGATCACGACCAAAACATTCTGCTCCGGCTTATCCAGAATTGAGACATCATCTAACGGGTTCTCGTTCAGAATGATCAAGTCCGCAGCGAATCCAGCTTTGATCTGGCCGAGGAAGTTCTCCTGCCGAAGCATCCTTGCAGAATTGACGGTTGCAGACTGTAGGACCTGCTTATTGCTGAGAGCTTGCCGCCGAATTCCGAACTCTCTGCTTTGCTCCGCCTGCAACGGCCCGAGCAGATCTGAACCGTGGCATATGGTGACGCCGGCCTCTGACGCGATTTTCAGCGATTGGAGTCCTTTCTCGAGGACTTCTTGGTTCTTTCGCTGATTCTCAGGCGGAAGAAATCCCGCATACTTGTCCGAGCCCATAGCATCATACGTGACCAGCGTAGGGGTCAGCCAGACGTTGTTCTTGGCCATGAACTCCGCCGTTTCCTTGTCGATGAAGTTTCCATGCTCGATACCGGTGACGCCATTTTCGACAGCATGGCGAATCGCTCGGGGAGTGTAGGCATGTGCTGTTACCCAGGTGCCATAACTTCGAGCAACCTCGCTGATGGCTTTGATCTCATCGGCCGTGAACTGCGTATTCTCAATCTTATCGGTAGGTGACGCGACACCGCCGCCAACCATGATCTTGATGAAGTCGGCGCCTGTACGTAGTTGTTCTCTCGTCGCTCTTATGCACTCGGGTACGCCGTCGACGACGCTTGAGAGGCCCGCAGTGCTTCCGCAGCACAATTGCTGGTGATCATGGGCCCCTCTTCGGTCGCCGTGACCACCTGTCTGTGATAGAGCTTGGTTGGCGATGAACAGGCGCGGTCCAGGGAACACGCCATCCTGGATGGCCTCCTTCAGTGCGAGAGTGGCACCACCCGTGTCGCGAACCGTCGTGAAGCCTTTGCTCAATATGCGGCCGACAACGAACGATTGCCGAAGATGAGACACAGTGGCATCCATGTTGAAGCCGCCATTGAGACCGGCTTCTCCAGGCACGGAGCTGACGTGCACGTGGCAGTCGATCAGCCCGGGCGACAGGTATTTGCCTTTCAGGTCGACCACAATCGCATCACCGGAGCTAGCACTCGATGCCTCTCCCACGCTCTCGACAAGACCGTCCGAGATCTTCACCGTGGTGTTTTCAATGACTTCTCCTTCGGCCGTATCAACGACATTGGCGTTGACGAACAGATACGTGTTTTGTCGAGGAAGTTTCCAGGGCTTGATGAGCTTCTCCGGAACCGCCGTCTCAGCCTCCGGTCGCCGGGCCGAAGGGCGGGTACCGGATCCGATAAAGACGGGAGTCCTGCGGACCGTCATTGGATCGATTGAGTTAACGATTCGGCGCTGCTGTGTCTAAAAGTTGGCTCAAATATTGAAGAGGATGTTCCGTCGTTTTACCAAGGAGAAAGGTTAAATCTCGTGAGGGGAAGTTGACGTAGACCAGACCGATAAGACCAGATATCGGGCTGTCACCGGAGCGGAGTCGGCCGCGGCGGATTCAACCCCCTTGCCATCAGTGCACCCACCTTCCTGATAGGGCGTTGAGAGACGTGCCTTCAGGTTTTCATAGCGGCAGCCAACTTTTCCCGTGTAACTGCTTGACAAACTTCTCATGCATTGCTTCTGGCATTATGAACGCCTTCGAGCAGACTCGAGAAAGCGCGAATACTCCGGTATTGACGAGAACCATCAGCCGTGACGTTTGGACGGGGTTGCTCTTGATCGAATCGTAATCGAATCGTGATCGTTTCATTCGTCTGTTATGGCGTGCGCAACGTGTTAGCGGCACGCAGTTGTTAAAATCTATTCCTATGTAATTCGGTCAACGATACCAGATGGCCAGAGGACTAGGCTCAGATTGTTCTGATTCATATGGAACCGATGTGGGAAGGGCGGTGTCCTCTTGGGATCTTCCAACACATCCTCTCAGAAATTTCAAAATAGTATGACCTATAGCCTCGTAGTCCTTCCAGACCATACGCCGCTTTATCTGCGAATCAGTACAAGTGCACACCACAGGAAGATCGGCATAGAAGAAAAAGGTTTCCGCCAATTTCCGATGTTATCATTCCGATTCCTGTCTTCCGAGTTCTTGTTAGGAACCGCAGGTCGTCCCATCGTACATAAAGACCGGACGGTAAATGCTATTCCGTTGTATGCGATCGAGCCCTCATCCAATCGGTTTCATCTGCCAAACCTTCATGCTGTGAACATCCACATCATAATCCATATTCCCCGCATCCCCCGCAAAACCGGCAACTTTCATCCTGGAACTCCTCGTCGGCTAAGAAGCAAGTCCCGACTCCAACATCCGATTGTGTGGGGTTGACTATGTCAGAGGGGGGCTGAGTGCCGTTCCGACGACTTGTCCAGCATCAGGTCCGTGGGCCAAGAAAGACGTGGCGACGATCCTGTCCGTCGGCCTTGATTCCGCGTCTGAAAACGTGTTCCGTATGCGTTTCTTATAAGGGCGCAACGTCGTCACTCGCAATAGCAACTTACCTTGTCTCCTTCTTTGTATCGAGACTGCACAATATGGCGACCATTACACCAACCCCAGCGGGTCTCACTGGAGCCACGAAGCTTCCTCGTAGTGGCCTCAAAGTCGAAGCCGGCACTGAACATGTCGAGCACGTCGAGCACATTGAATCTGCTGTCTCTGCGGGTCAGATGACAAACACAACGAAGAGTGAGAGGTTGAAAGATATAGAAACGGTGGCATACGTCGTGGAGGAGGTCCATGCAGACTTCAAGCTGGTTCCAGTCATTCTTGACGAGATTCGGCCAGATGAGGTCCTGGTTGAGATGAAATACAGCGGTATTTGTAAGTTCTAGGTTTTATACTTAAGGTCGCTAAATCTCACGCAACAATATGCTCACGTCCTTTCTGCAGGCCACACGGACGTTGTCACACAGCATGGCGGCCTGCCAATGGTCGAATTCCCAGCAATCTTCGGTCACGAAGGCGCAGGCGTAGTCCGCGCGATTGGCAGTGATGTGAAGATCAAAGACCTCGCAGTGGGCGACAACGTCCTCCTCTCCATCAACAGCTGCGGCTCTTGTGATACCTGCGCAAGTGGCCATCCAGCTTTATGCCCGGATTCTTCAAAAATCAACATTGGCTCTGTGAGAACCAGCGATAAGAGCACGCCAGCAAGGCTTGCCGACGGTCGACCGGTACGGAGCCAATTCTTCGGTCACTCTTCCTTCAGCAAAATGTCGGTCGTCAGCGGCAAGTCCGTGGTCAAGTGCCCCGAGTCCGCAGCGGGACATATGGAGGTATATGCCCCGCTCGGATGTGGGCTCCAGACCGGCGCCGGAACGGTCATGAACATGATCAAGCCGGGCAAGTCCGACTCCCTCGTCGTTTTCGGCCTCGGAAGTGTGGGTCTAGCGGCGCTGATGGCAGCGCGGTACTTGGAAGTGGGACAAATCATCGCCATCGACATTGTTTCTAGCCGCCTGGAACTGGCCAAGGAACTCGGAGCTACTCATACAATCAACTCGAAAGATTTCCCGGATATGGTCAAAGAGATCCAAAGGGTCACAGACGGGGGCCCAACTTTTGCCATGGACTGCACCGGTGTTTTGAAGGTCATTGAGGACACCATCGCGTGTGTCCGGCCCTTGGGCACTGCCGTTCTTGTCGGCGTACCGCCGCCAGCGGCAGAGATTAAGATCGACCCGCAAGCGTTCTTGCTGGCTAACAAACGACTCATTGGGGTCATTGAGGGCGACTCATACCCGCCAGACTTCATCCCGAAGCTAATTAAGATGCACCAGGAGGGAAAGTTCCCTATCGATAGGCTCTGCAAGACATATCCTGCTTCCGAACTGAAGAAGGCAATTGAGGATATGCACTCTGGTGAAGTGAGTATCTACACACGGTCAACTGAAACATGCTAGGTTGCTAATTAGTCTCTAGGTTATCAAACCAGTTATTCATTGGACGTGATATCTTGGGGAAGGGCCAAGTACACATTTGTGGGACGAATCTATGCCCATTGCGAGTCTACGTTCGGGAATTTTGTCAGGCGATGGCGTCTTCAAGAATGTGTCTTGGGCCCAGCGGAACGGCGGAGTGAGTGCGGCACGCGATGTTATCGAACCATGTCTCATACCATTAGTTCTAGACTCTCATCAGGCATCGGCTCTAAACTCAAGTCAAACTAGTTCTGAAACACTTGAAATTTCACCGGATCCAAAGCATTTCCCCATGTTCTCACTGGTTGAGCGCGGAATTGGGCTCTAGGAAGTGAGGTTTGAGATGAGGTTGTTACAGCCGTGGCTCGATGCGTGCCGAAAAGTACCTATCTGTCGTCCTACGCATACAGTTTGCAAATATGGCCAATGCTCACAATTACAAGTGTTTTCTCGAACTCATTCTGAGTCCGTTTGGTTTATTACGTGGCTTACGCTTCGCGCAGCTCTTGCATCTACCCAGTAAAAAGCAATAAAATATGAGGTATTGATAGCACCTCTGACCCATGCTAGTACGCAGTATTGTATGACAGTAAGCAGAATCTCTGCATGAGAACAGAACGTTGGTATTATTTGACGAAAGATTCGTGTTGAAATGTGGTTCAAATATGCACATGATCTTTCGAACTTCGTGCACTGATCGATTCTCGTCATATCTCAGGCAGTCCGAGCCTTTGGCATCACCGGTCGACAGAAATCACCTTCAGCCGTACCGTACCAGTTGAGCCTTGCAATTGCCATGTTTGTCTCTTCCTCCATGAAGTCCCCATAGAACCAAAGCCCCCTGAGTTGCTCGTGGTGTTTCTCAAAATAACATCTGGCCTTTTGTTGCAGCAGCGGTGCTGTGGAACATGGTACGATCCATCCATTGGGGTTGTTAGGATCGTGTTGCAAGGAGGCCCCTAGGATAATATCTTGAGGGACCCCAAAGCTGTCGAATTTGCTGGTAATGCTGTTCCATGTCTCCTCAACCAATTGTTTTGTGTCCATGATGGTAGAGTCGTGCGAAACCTTCTCCGATAGTGGCTCATGATATCGACCGCACCGGTCAACTTGGTGTTTGGCTTCCCACCCGCAGAGAATGACGGCCTTTCCACGGACATCCCCTAGAGTTGGCCATTCTTCCTTGGTACTGGTGTAAAATACGTCGCTATCGCCCAGAATCGATTTCAGGTATTTGTCGAACCTTTCCGGCACCGGGTCGTGAACCATGGAATGGCCTCCCTCTGACCATGGTTTAGTAGCGTCAAACTCGTGGATGCAGGCAGAAGACCAGCTTAGAAACACAACGACTGTCTCGGAATCGTTTTCCTTGAGGAACTCAGTTATCTGATGAATGAAATCTTCCAGATAGCTGTTTGCGATGGTCAAGGGTCCATGTGAAATGAAGTTGCCTTTGCCGCAGGATAACTGGAGTAGTCGAATGCCCTTCTTCAGCTGCTTTGGGATCGAATCGTGATGATGTTGGTGCATCTTCCTGAGCTTCTTCGTGAGCTTCTTGTCGTCCTCCGGCTCGATGTGGACATCTGCGTCGTTGATATTCGTCGTCGATGCACAACTGTGGCGAGTACCCGGGAGTGTCAAAGTTCCGAGGTTCACGTCGTCTTCCAGGAATTGCATCCAGGAGGTCGGCGTAAACTCTTGTCTGGGGCAGGGTCAGACACCTTTCCATCTGCTCAACAACGTTGCGTTATGATTGGAATCAATACCTCCTTTCAAAAACAAACTCCCCCTTCTCACAGTCGAACTTTCCTGTTCCATCTACATATACATAGGCCCTGTGACTGGGTGCGTGTAGATCATCAGCTGGTTTCTCGCGAATATCTCGAGCTCCGCTCAAATCAATTGAGACTTTGAGGGTTGACTTACTTGTCTTTCGTCATGAGCGGATGTGTATAATGGAATGAGCCATAGGAAATGATACGATATTCGTACTGGCACTTGGCTTTATGAAAATAGGTATCAGATCGTATGTCCAAGCTTTCTTGCTTGATCCATCGTGTTCCAGGGGAGAAGCTAAAGTCTCCCCCATTACGAAGCCAAACCACGACGTGGTGTCGAGGGTTCTGGTTCGCAAGGGTCTTGACCCGAGCCGCCAAATGATTCCTGTTGCCTACTGCCATGCTGTGTTGGTTAAGGTTGAGGATGCACAACTGATGGGTTTCTCTCCAGGAAACAAAATTATCATGCTTGCTCTGATCCGAATGTTTTATACATGTCCGTCCACGTGCTGGTCAAGCGACCATTACTTGCAGATGACAGGTTTAGAGGCGTTTAAAAGCCGGCAAAACACGCGCTGCTTTCGCTGGATTGGCGCTGTGCGCGCCTGGTAGCTCGACGCTACTCAAGCCACCCAGCTCAGCAGAAACACGCAAAAGACATGTCTCGGTCTTCAGCTCAGCCTCTGCTTCTGAGACGGTTGCGGTACGATATCTCAAGACATCCACGAAGGACGGAACATTGAAAAACCGGCAGTCAGTAAACACATCATGAATCACTGGAGTTCATGTATATCTCCAGGGCGAACAACTTGTGGAGTCTTTTGGGGTGCATCTGGACAACTTGACAGAACTGTTCGTACACTCATGCCACGTTGTTCTTTGAACTGGATTGAAATCATCTCTATGATTTGAGTAATCACATCAACACCAAAGCTTTTCCGGGTGACTTGAAGAAACTCACAGTATGCAGCACGAAGCGGTGAGTTATTCGTATGCTCTCCAAATTCCATACCTGATAATACCGGCAGGCACCCCCTCCCCTTGTTGGGTCAGTATCCAGCAGTTATATCAACAAACCGACCACGAGCTCACTTGCGTTGGAGCCCCCTAAGATGGATAATTTACACCTCAACAGGTGAGTTAAAACCGCGCAATTTTCGGTTTACTCCGGTCTAATCAGCCGCACTGGAAGCTCGCCATCTACCCTGGACGAAGCACAGTGGAAGATTGTGATGAAAAACTGCAACGTGTTGCATGGTTGGTTTTTCGACTCTCACAGCCGCCAACTGAAGATAGCTCCTAAGCCCGGTTCGTTCAATAATCCAGAAAATTAATTTCTCATCGCCGCTCACACTAGGCAGCTTTTGCTCTGAAAAGAGGGTACAACATGCCTGGTGTAAGTCTGGCATGAACTCTCCTGATACCGTGCGGTCTATGGGACCAGGCCGAGAGTCCTTTCTATGATCTGAAAACGACTCACACAATATCTGTCGGATATTTTATCACGATCTCTCGAGGACCAATCCAAGTCGTGCGTGACTAATAGTGAGCAGAGCCCAGAACTCCTCACGGAAGAAGATATTGCAAGAAGAATGCACCGTGGAGACGCGATTCCCGACTTCTGTGTCAATGATGGCACCAAAATCGATGTCATTGTTGCCGAAGATGACATTAGAGATTCCATGGTTCGAAACAGCTTCGCAAAATCGTCCGTCGATGCGAAAGTGGGCGGCGGCTACGCGGGGATCGGCATCGGCCTTGCAACAGGAACCAATACGCAATTGCAAAATGGCGGGTCAGATGAACACAAGAGATCTGCCCAGAAAATGATAGGACAATACAAGGTATCCCGCTTTTTCCAAATTCATATAAGTTTGAATTGAGATCAAACGCTGAACGGTTACTCTAGCTTCCCCGAGCGACATTGTTTCTGGCTCCCGATGACCTTGTTGCCACGCCTCAGCTCTCAGAACAGGTCAAGAAGATCCGTAGGCACGGTAGTCCGGCAGATATCCGTAAATTTCACAGAACCTTTGGTCAGTTCTCGGAGATATGCCCCTCAAATTTCGGATCTACGTCTAATTCCATGCTCAGGAGAGTTCTTCTCTCATGAGGTAACAGTCGGGGGCATGCTGACTTCCACCAAGACATGGGAAGCCAATGAGCGTAGTACCCAGGAGAGATCCAAAGACGACTTCAAGCAAACTATTGGGCTAGCTATTTCTTCGGTAAGTAGTTGCTGGTATTGTTGGTGAGCTTTAACAAGCAGCTAATACAGTCCTCAGCCTGTGGACGTTGGGGTCGACGCGAAACGAGAGAGCATGGGCAGCACAGACGATAGCTACAGCCGCGGCTACAGAGATAACAGCGAGCAAGTGGTCTTTGAGGCCATTGGCGGCAACACTATCTTGGCTTCCAGGTACGATGTTTCAAGAAAAGCCGAAACCACGATACGATAACTAACCGACACGAAGCCCGCAGCTATGGTGCCAGACAGTTTCAGACTTTGCTAACTGGAGGGCAATTGAGGTAGAGATTGCTTCACAACTTGGCCAAGGAAGTATGCTAAATTCTCTCAGCGGACAGGTCTGCAGAGCATCCTCGAATCCATCACCCAGTGCGATACCATGGAGCTGCGTGGCGCAGCAAAATGGTTCTCCAACGCGATTTCAAGTGAACGCATGTCGGTCTCAATTGACGTCCCCGCCTCTGGTGATCTATTTGCCCAGATTCGTTTCAGAACAAAAACATCAGACAACAGGGATCAATATCTTGTGTATCGTTTTGAAGACCCGGTGAGCATCACGATAATGGACCAGCCTGTTGGTCCTGAAAGGTGAGCTTGTTCGGTCTCAAACAGTCAATTGTGGGCATATTCTTAACTTGTGGGCAGATTTCAAGGTCCCAAGATCAAGCCTTACGACCGGTGCACTTGGACCGACAGCACAACTGGTATCTGGACTATCAAGCATCGAGGAGACGGCAATGTAAGTTTTCCAGTGTGTCTTCAAAAACTCCTCTTTGCCATCGCTGTAATTTTCGCGGTCGGCCTTGCTGCATTTATCGCTTTCACATGGATACCCAACTGAATGGCCCGGCATATCAAAGACATGTGATCTCCACTGACAGGTATCTGTAGAAGTTGAAGGACGGGTCACGGGTCACGATCCGCACAAGCAAGAACTTCAGGTCGCAGTATCTGTCGGTCATTCGCACTTCAGCTGATTTCTTCGCTCCTTGCATAACGACGTCCGGACATGAACCTGTGTGGAGGATTCGCAAAGCACCAAATGTCAAAAAGCCCCTACCGCTTGTGGCTTCCTCTGACTTCCTGAACGATTCGGACTTATTCTGCCTGACCTTCGTATTCGAGGATAATCCACACGGATACCGGGATTTTGCAAGAGACTCCCGCGGATTCAGAAATCGTACATACCCACCTGAGGTGCCAAACAACCGACTGGTGCTTGTTCAGTCAGCTGGAACATCAGGGGGGTGGAAAGATCGCACGGTTTTGCTTCTGGACGATGAGAACAATAACGAGGAAGCCATATCACGCTCGGTAAAGGTTTTCGGGAATGACGTTACGGTCAGTATTGCATCCTTCTGGATGAGTCAACTCGGTAAGCGGATCCTAAAACCCGCTCCTGCTCACTCTCTTGGTTTTGAAAATGGTCTAATTGATATTCTTTAACCTCAGATGGTACTGACGACGACGGGGATGTACTGCTGAAGTTTTCTGATGATAATGAGGGCGAAAGAACCTATGGAGGGAAATCAATGATGATGCCATCCTAACAGTACTGCAATATATTTAGATTGAGTTGTCGACCCTTAGCTATGAATTTACCTCTGCAAACTGTATCTTATATCTCGCCTTTGCACTAATTTCAAGCTGGGCGTTAAATCACTTAAGTATCTTTTGAACTCAAACCTTCTCTTCTTAAAGTGAGGTTTCATTTGTACCTGGATCAAACCAACATGCTCTTTGCGTACTTTTCTTGATCTCCAGCCAAAAAGGCACGCAACACTTCACCCGAGGTCAACATCGAATGTCTCAATGCGATCCAATAAGAGATCACTTCATTTTCTCATCCCAGATATTTGGTTTTCGGACGAAAGTTGTGCCGCGGAGCCTGAGTTTGGCGGACTGACTTACACGGCAAATGGGCCGCAGGCGGCACCAACAGGCAGCAAACAGGCAGCAAACCCCGCTTTGTGTAACGCTCTTGGGGACAATATGTCACCGCCTTCACAGTCTCTAGAAATCAAAACACCTTATTTTGTTTAGTCTAAGAACATCGTTCCGTCTTTTTTCGTTGGTAAATATGGCCGGCCTTCAATTGTCCCTCGGAGATGCGTCTCCCTACGACGCCCAAGCCCTCTGCCCTCTCTTCAACGTTTTGCCTGGAGAGATTCGCAATGAGATTTTTGCCTTGGCTCTCGTCCAGTTCGAGGATGACAATGATGCGTATCCGGAAGATTCGTACTGGTACAGGCCAGGGTTCTCCGGTCCATGCAGGAGCAGTAGCGCATTGTTACGGACATGCAAGGCTGCTTACCTGGAGGGGCAGAAAGTCTTTCTGAAAGAGCTGGAATGGGCCTTCTGGTTTAGTGAGTACTTTCCTATTAATCTGAATGATAAGCTCTGTGTAGGTTGCCGAAGCAGTGGATTGGAGCTGACGTATCATCTGCACCTCAGATCGCGGGCCGGAGGCTTGGACTGGGTCTGTAATTTGCGAGGCCTTCTTCAGAAAGCTCACCTGTCAACAGTCTCGGGACCTCCATAAAGTCAGACTTTTCATGCAGATGTTCAAACTCGAAGACGGAAACTGCCTGGCCTCTCTGTTTCGACAACCCAACTTCAGGCCCGAGACCCTGACGATCACAATCCGTTACTCGGACTGGTGGTACTGGGAAAGCGATACTCCTCTTCGGATGTCCGAGGACTGGCTGGGAAAATTCGATGCCCCCAAAGGCTTGCGGGTGCTGAGGGTCGAGTACGAAACGCTTAGCCGGAAGAAAGAAGAGATGATGAAGATCGTGAGGAGGAATAAGGGGTGGAAACTCGCAGCTACTCGCGACATGGGGCACCTTAGTGCTGATGGAACCGAGCTGTTGGAGTGGAAGTGGAATGGTACAAGTCGGCTAGGAGGTCAGGAATGGAGCCATCATGGAGAGAGTGATACGGTGGAGTATGTTGTTGTGACTGATACATGGCGTTATGTTGACTTTCCTATGTCTGAGGAGGATGCGAAAAGACGCCGTAGATGGGCTTTCATGTAGAGATGCATTTCAATAATGCCGCTTATGGAAACAGGCCCTTGCTTTTCTACTTGACCAGTAGATAAAAATTAGCTATCCAAGCGAATTTAATGAAACCAAACATTTCATATAATAAAAGTTCAGTGCTCATAGCACGGTTATTCTGTTTCTTGACTCTCTATCTAACCTCTTTTGTGATCAATCAAAAGTCTCGTGAATCTCGATTCATCCTACATAAGCTCTGTTGAACAAGGCACGATTTATATCTTCCTCAGATCATACGCCTGCATTGCCTCTCTGGCTGGCAGCCTTGGGCTTACGGGCTATCATATCGGGCGATGATATGTATATTGTTGCAAGGCATACAAGGAACACTCTGATGCGCTGAGGAAGAATACGAAGTGAGCCGCATATATTGGTCTGACTTGCATAGTTCAAACAGTCAACCGAGGACACTAGCGTACAAAATCTCGCCACCTCTAGTACTTACAGCATGCACTAGAAGCAGTGAAGGGCAATTCCCGTCAAGGGTCAGCTCAAAAATATAAATCAACCAGGTCGAGAAGCAATACCGGGAAGCAATTCGTTTCGAATTCCCGAACCAGCATTCACAATGATCGCTTCAGCGCTCGCCATATTCATAGCCAGTCTGGCCCTGACGGGCGTCACAGCTTCGCCAACGACGGAGCCCACCACTCCCGCCACGACCTCTCCCCCGTGCCTCCCTCCCAACTCCATGTGCGGCGTAGAAGCGCAATGGCGCGGCACCTTCTTCGGCCGCAAAGAAGGCCTCGCGAACCCCCAGCAGTGCCTCGAGTTCTGCAACGCAGACCGCACCTGGGGCGAGTGCAAGTCCTTCTCCTTCGACGAGGCCGGCGTCTGCTGGATCCACAACAAACCGGCCTCCGAGATCACGAACCCGAAAGCCGGCAGTGACTACTGGATCTGGGACAAGGAGTGCTGGGAATGCGGCGAGCCGGGTCCCGTCGATCAAGTGCCCACGCGGACGACCTCCGCCACCACCGCCGTCGAGACCTGTCTCTCGCCGACGGCCAAGTGCGAGGTCGAGGCTGTTTTCACGCCTGATGAAGGGGTAACGAGCTGGGGGACGTATACCGGGACTCCGGGCACGGAGAATGGTCCGTACGAGTGTTGGGAGATGTGCACCGATGCGCGGAGGCCGAGGAATTGCCAGTCGTTCTCTTGGGACCCTAGTACGGGGACGTGTGTGTTTTACGGCTTCGGCTTCGATCAGACGTTTTCTTCCTTGCCTGGGAGTGGTCTTTGGGCTTGGGATACTGGATGCTGGACGTGTGGTGTTAGTGGATATATGTGATCGAGACATATGTCGACATCAAGCCCAAATCGTCGCGTTAGGGGGAGAAATACGATGTGCAGTAGTTTTTCTAAGAATAGAAAAGAAGGTCTTGATGAATATCAAGACTGGAAATAGCAGATACGTTAAACTTGATAGTTCAAGAAGCTCTGATCGACCGACATGATGGTGCCGTCAGTGACTCGTACGACCTGGAGGATATTCGGACAACTCCAGCCGACAAGGCTTGAGAGAATTCTAAACACTGTTCCAAGTTCTTCTTTACTACACTAGTACACTATAGCTTATACTTCCCACGTCTCAGCCGAGTCCTTCCGTGTCCATGTCAGCGTTACTCCATCCAGCTTTGCGTAGCCGCCACCATCCACCTTCCCCATTCTCAGCTGCATGCTAAATCTCATCAGTGCACATATGCTGTTTCTAAAAGTTTCAACTCGCGCATTTAATGATGAGCTTAGTAAACTAGTGAGCTCATCACCGTACTCGTGGTTGTGTCTTCCCGTCGAGTTCCGCCCGCCAAGGCCACGCCATCGGATATCGGCTCTTTCATCTTCTCAAGATGATGTGATTCACCTTTTACTGACCCAGGCTACTGCAACGTTGTACCCGTTATTCGGTCTTTTCAGAGTAGAAATACTTAGATACTCAGTATCGACACTTGCTGTCTCAGGCGAGTCGGTGTGCAAGTGAGTTCATCATGCCTCTCCGATCTCCGGCTCTCGAGGCTTCCGTGAGACAGAGAAGCCAGCCGTCTTACTCTCGTATGTCTCAATCTCTTTCCATGATTCTAAAATCTGCATTGCTATCGTGAGAGTAGACTCGCATCTTTGACGTGATGGCAGTCACGGCCAGGTCTCCCATGCCCTCTCGCATCGGAGAGCATAAACGACCAATCAGATCACCACGCCCGACTCTTCCCGTGTCTTACACCCAGATCACGATGTCGACGCAGATATTTCAGCTCGGCTTACACAGCCCCTCCATCACTACGAACAGTCCCTCACCACTCCCGACAGCTCTCTGTCATGAAGCCCTCACAATCACCCCGAGTCTTACTCTTTCCCACCCTCATCCCCAAGCCCCCCAACTGAGACCCGACTCACCAACCCTCTCGTCTCAGGGAAAGCTTGAACTTCGTGTTCTGAACCTCTACAGTAGAAAAGCTCCCGCGACTGTGCCGCTGTCTCACTCTCACTCCCCCCAAAATCCACGGGAATACGATGCCTACCAAAACTCAGCCCTTTCAACGGCTTAGGCCTAATCGAATCGCGCCTTCATGCAAGCCCTTCAAAAAGCCTACTCTGCGCACATAACCTTGACAAGGACCACCTTTCTCAAGCCACGCGACGCACGCCTCTCAAGCCTCCGAAAGGATTGCATCTCTTACCCCGCCTCGTTCAGAAGCTCGCTCAGCTCGTGCTCCAACTGAGCCTCCTCCACACGGCTCGTCGTCATCTGCAGGTAGGCTTTCCGCCAAAGCGGACGTCCCTATTCGTTCGTAGGGCTGACCTCTGCCGTGCGCGCATCTTCCCTAGTTCGTTGAGCTCTTACGTTACATTGTCATCTCTGATAAGTCTCCGCCAGCGGCTTCGCTTCGATATGCCGTGTAACCTACATTGCCGGCGAAAAAGCTCAGCTCAGCTTTGATGCGGGGGGGGAGATGGCGAAAGGGCTGCAGGGCTGATCCGGAGGATTACCCGACGGGCGGCAGTCCCGTGTCCGGGCGGTGCGTGATGATGATGATGCTGTCTCCGAGCTCGCGGCTGGATGTCGGTGTGAGGGCTTGTGGTGTGCTTCCACATTTTGCTATTTTGAGATGGATTTTGGAAATTCGTGTGTTTGTTCTGTTTGAACCCGTGATGCGCTCTGGAAGTGTCCGAGCTAGGAGAAAGCCACGACGCCCAGCCGGTGAGGTGATGAGGACGAGGTCGCGATACTTGACTCGTCGTCGAGGACCGTGATGGTGCTGTTCAACAGTCTATAAGAGACTGATCGATTCCTCCTTCCACTCGATCTCCTGTATCTCATCACCATCGCCTCCCAGTCCACCAAGCAAACAATCAAACCTCAACCCCTTACAAAACCCACATCCCCTCAACTCCCACAACCATGTTCTCCAAGCTCATCCTCACCGTCCTCGCCGCCGCCTCCGCCGCCCTCGCCGCCCCCCTCGAGGCCCGCCAGTCCCCCTCCTACTTCACCCCCTCCGCGACCTTCCAGTACTCCGTCCGCGACGGCGCCATCTACCCGGCCGGCTGGGGCTACGTCGCAAAGTACCCCCAGAACCAGGGCTACGACTACACCACCCTCCTGACCTTCACCTACCCGCAGGCCGTCGCCGGCAGGAAGTGCCGCCTCGAGTTCGTCGCCGACTCCGGCAGCGTCTACGCCTACGGCTCCCGCCAGCTCGACGTCTTCACCTCCCTCCGCCCCGCCCCCGCCGGCGGCGCCTCCGGCTGGCCCCCCGGCAACCAGCGCGACGCCAACCTCGGCCGCCTCGCCGTCCCCGAGTCCGGCGCCGCGACCTGGAGCGCCAAGTATGGCGCGTATCTCACCGAGTTCACCGACTGCAAGGCGCCCGGGACCGTCCAGGGGCTCGAGCTCGTGGGGGTCAGTGATGAGGATATCGTCTCGTTCCCGCCCTCTGCCGTCCGGATTGCGTATCAATGAGATGTGCCGGTGACGAGGTGATGGTCGAGTGGGGGGTTTTTGTGAGACGGGGTTCTGGGTGGTCTTCGATTCTTCTTCACTCATTCGAGCCGATTTGGGCATATTTTACTCGTTTGGTATCTGGGATAGGCGTTTAGCAAGCGGTTGGGATTATCACCACGGTCCTTTGGCACCAGCAAGGAAATGCATTTTTTTAGACACCTCCATTCCCTCCTTCTCGCTCCATAGCATGAGAATAATTGTACTTACATGCTCTGCGACTCCCATCTTCTCGGGAAACCCCAACGTTGACCGCTTCTCGCCCGTGACGAACCCAACGCCAAAACAACGCCCCTCACCATGCAAAAACCGCCTCCCATCACGCCCCCCAAGCATTCACCATCCCCTTCAACGGCTTACAATCGGCCTTGTGAGTCTTCCAATCCGCCGTCTGACACTCCTGTTCTCAAAGTCAGCACAATCACCCAAGCCCTCTCCATCTCCAAACTCACCTTCCCGCAATACCTAACAACACCACACCCCGTACAACTCTTCACGCTCCCCTCCGTCCTCCCGCACCCGGCACAGACCCTCTCGGCCGGCACATCCCCTCCCCCCTCCCCCTCCCCCTCACCTCCCTCCCTCACGGCCCTGCCCAGCTCGAAAACCCTCTCGAGCCCCGCGGGGACGTACTTCACCCCCGTGCCCCTCCCCTCCGCGACCCGGACGAACCCCTTCTTCCCCTCCCGCGGCGTAGTCCGCGTCGCCCGCGGCACCACGATCGTCCAGCCCGTCCTGACGGGCCGCAGGTCGACCCCGCGGTCCTCGAAGGTGATCGCGAACTCGTCCCCCGCGCGGTCCGAGACGACCACGGTCGGTTTCGTTATGGTCATGTTCTGCTTCACCTGCGCGACGAGGAACCACTCCTCCCGGGCGTCCGGGGCGGAACCGCCGTCATCCTCGATCGGGAGGGCGTCGAAGGCCGGGAAGGTCGTCGTGTTGGAAAAGTCCGGGATCGGCATTGTCGGGCGGGCGGCGTGTGTGCGGGGGTCGCGTTTTCGGAGGGGGTACCCTACGGAAATCGGGATGAGAATGGTGGTATTAACTGACGAGCGAAACGTCAGGTCGGCAAAGAAAATAGAACCCGATAATCGTTTATCGCTATTGAAACACAAGTACAAGCAAAGCGTCAATCTATCAGATGACCCAACCGCTAAAATTAGACAAGACGGCTATGAGCAAGGTGATCTAAGTGAGAAAGACGTGTTGTGTCAATGAGATGGGCGCCGAGAGTGAGTGAGAATGCGGGTTGAGTGAGAGATTGATTGAGAGAGGGACGGACCAACGGACCACGCGATGAAACCTCTCGTCTGGTTGGCTAGCTAAGTCTCCTTCCAGTGGGCACCGGCAGAGCGAACGAGAACCGACCGGGAAAACGTCGGCAACAAATAGAAAACCCCTTGGCATTTCCAAAACCTTCTTCCTGGGCTGGACGGCGTAAGAGCCCTGAAACGGCTCCCGACGCAGGATATTGGACGACATCTTCGACATGACGTAAACTGTAACGCCGGGGAAACATGTGTGGAAGGCCCGGAAGCGTGTGCGCTGCACAGAAACACCGCAGAGAGTTCGCGAGTGCAGGTGTCAACCGCAGGCGCGCCTGAATCCCGACTTCGGACGAGGTGGCGTCATGGCGTCGGCTCCCCTTCAATGCATTCAGTTTCACCGTTTTTTTGAAGACGCGTCCTGGCCAGGTTGGTTGAGGCAAAAGGGAAAGTTGCTCCGTCGCAAGTGTCGCGGTCGTCTCAATGACGAGTTGTCTATTCGAGGTAACTATGTGTTGTGTAGCAGGGCTACATTATAGACTACAAGGTTTCCCACGATCACGGGCTATCCAACACCCATCGACGGGAAAACCTGGGACTCTAGGACCGTAGTGCCCCGTCCACCCGGGCGAATGTACTACAAAGACAACGCCAAAACATCCAATCAACCCTGGCCTCCATCGGCCGACGCCTGGTACATCCCTAGAGTACGGGTCCCGATGAGCTCGGCGACCCGCCAGCAAGGCCGTGGCAATGCTGCGTGCGAAATAGCAAGAAATCAAGTCGTTATATGCTGCGCACCCATTATGCTCCGAAACTCATCCACCCAAACGTACCTGTGGCACCTGCCAAGACCAAGAAGGTCAGGATGCCGGCGCCGGCCTTGTCCGCCGTCGTAATCGGGCTGTTGTGGACGCTCAAGTCGTTGTTCGAGTTGCTGCCAGCGTTTGGATCGCCGACTGAAGTTCCTCCAGTAGAGTTCGATACGGGGGCCTTGGCCTGGCCGATGAGGAGCGATGATACGGCGGCCAAGACGTTCATCTGCTGACCGGCTCCAATCGTGCCGTCGTACACACCCGTGCTCCACTTGAAGCCGCAAGTGCGCTGGTTCGCCTGACCCGTGCATTGCTTGACACCGGCCTCGGCTGATGTCTTCAGGATAGGGAGGATTTGATCGGCGGTGTAAGGAGCGATCTGGGTCATGACGGACATCCAACGAGCGACATAACCCTTGAAACTCAACATGTCGGTAGTGCAAGTGTTGTGCTCCTCACAGGCGACCTCGAACGCGATGTTGTTGGGGAAGAAGACGTTCAAGGTGCCCTTGATGAGACCGTCCAGACGAGTCTTCCACTTCGCGTCGCCGTCCGTCTGGGTCCGTGTTAGAAGCAAGCATTGAGTTTTGGGGCTGAGGGGGTCCTTACGTAGTTGTACATGTTGGCGGCTCCGAGCAAGAAAACGCCGTTGTTGTAAGAGAACTGAGCCTTGTTGATATCTGTACAGTTGTGCTCGACGTGACCGCCGTCAAAAATGTTGTAATCAGCATCGATGAATCCGACTGTCTCCATCCAATCCCACGTCTTCTCGGCCCAGTCGGAGTAGGTAGTGTTCTTAGTGTAGCGAGCCAATCTGGCACCGATGTTGAAGAAGACGCCGTTGGCAATACCTGCGACTGGTCAATGGTATGTCAGATTATCAGCAGTCCGGTAAACCCACTGTTCTTGTAGTTGTATCCGTTGTTGGACAGCGGAATTTGCCAGCGCAGGCCACCACCGCAAGTGTCGTCGTGTCTGTCCGGGCTGGCCATGGTGTTGAAGACAGCTTGGGCTAAAGCGAGCCACTGGGGCTGATCGGTCGGGGGGTTCGGGAAGTTGTTCTCGGCGGCAGTCATGGCGGACATACCCCAGAACCCTTGATCGTCGTTACCGAGAGATGCCGTGTAGTTGGGAGGCATGTAATCGCGGTTAGGTCCGACTTGATGCAGCATAGCCTGCATCACGACGTCGTTGTAAGTAGCATCGCCCGTCAAGTGCCAGTAGTCGATCATCGTTCCCCATAGAGCACCGGCCTCCCACCAGTAGTAATCACCGTTAGGCGGCGGGCCAGGCAAGATACCGGGAGTGTGTCCAGTCAAGTTTCCATCGTAGAATTTCATGGTGTCATAGGCGATATCCCTGGCTGTTGCCTTGATGTCGTCTGTAGACTGTTAGTAGGGTCGCGGAGAAGATCGTCGTCGATCGTTCGGGGATGTGGCGGGCGAGACCGTACCGGTGGAGGCGATGGAGAAGGCGGCATTGGCGATGCCGCTGGAGAGGAAAAGCGCCGTCGCGGCGCTGGCGACGAAAGAGGTCTTCATGGTGACGACGGTCGAATGACGTGTGCGGTTGGAAAGCGAGCGACTGGGAGAAAACGGGAGAAAGGAAAAGGACCGGGTGGGAAGTCGAGTCCCTCGAGTTCGGTAAGGCGAGACGATGCTAGGGTCGTATCATGCGAAATAAATGGATCGGTCCCTCGACGTTCGGTGGGCGAGTATGTGGACGAGGCGGAGGTGGAGTTGAGAAGACGCAAAACGAGGGTTGGAGAAGGGAAAGAGATGAACTGGGACGTTGAAGGGGAAGTACGAAAGAAGACGGGAGGCAGGGCTGGGAAGAATGAGTGGCAGAGTGACAGCGAAGGGGTGGTGCTAGTTTGGACTTGGTGGTCGGGCGATTGCAAGCGCGAGTGTGTCTATTTACCTACCTAGGTGTACTATGTAGGTGCAGGTTCCCAGAGCGAGCAGGGAATGTACCGATACGGGGCTTCATGGGAGACGGAGGTGGGAGCAGGGGTCCTGGGGAGAAGACTTCGGGTAGGTGGTACTTGAGGAGTCATGTCATGTCACCACGAACACCGGGCGGCACATAAGGGAGGGAGACACTCCGTAATCGTACCCAACACCCGAGCATGAACTGTCGCTCTCAAAGCGGGCAGACAGTATTCGCAAGCCAGGCACAACTGAAGTGCCTGAGGTGCTGAGGTAAGGTAATGAGCCCAACATCGAAATGGCAGGAATGCGGATTGTCTCAGCGATGGACAATAGGCGCAGTGGCTTTCCGACGGACCCTCGATAGCGTCTTAAACGGGCGGGCTGGCTGGTTGAAGTGAGCAGAAAAGACGAAATATTTCATACTGCAATTCTCCCTGTCCTGTGTGTTGTTTCTGCAGTAGAGAGTGACGGACAGCAGATTCTGTGCATGCCACGCAGCGCCCAGGCGCGCCAAGTCGCCAACGAGGAAAACAAGCAAATTCCAAGTTTTCCCAGCGTCTTGTCCCGTGGTCTTGGCGATCCAAGGACAGGGTCGCCATTCAGGGGTCCGGGGGGGGGGGGGGTCGGGCGGTGCACGGCTACCGCATGCCGAGCAATTTGTCTTGGCTGGGGTTTTCCATCGACGATTCTTATTGTTCCTCTGGGCTGAGAAGTCAATTGAGGGCAGCTGAGAACCAGTTGATTCCGTCTCGTATTCCAGACGAAACGCGCAAAGGTGCTGATGATCGTGCTAAACGGTGCCGTGCCTCCTGAGTTGAGAGGAGGAAGCGACGGGACGGCGTGGCACCAACGGCACTTCCGTCGCAGCCCCCTGGAAACGGTCACATGATATATCACGTGCATCAGTATTCAGCCAATGAAACCATGTTTTCTATTCTGAACCGTGTTGTCTCCCTGTCGTCGCCCCCCTTTTCTCAAATGATTAAATGCGGGTCCAGTTGGGAAGGCCGGAGGACGACTGCTGGAAATAGAGTGAGAGTGTGAGGCATTCTGGTCTTCGCATGCTGTGTGAGATGCTGTAGCTGGACAGCACATCTTTTGCGCCATCCTACAGCATTCGTGATCGACGACTTCGCGCTCCCGCGTCTTGCCGTGGCGGTTACACCAGTAGGTTACTCGAAACACAAGAAGAAGAGACATCAAAACTCAAGCTTTTTCGTCACCGAGATCGTCTTCCCTCGGGTCCCTTGGCAACTTGGCTCTGCTAGCTCCCTTGTCTTTTCCCTCGTGCTGCCCATGCCCGCCCACGTCTTCCATTCGCCCTCCCGCGATCTACGCGCCTGGGCATTCCCTTGGCATTAGACGCCGGGTCCATCCAGAACCATCCAGAGACTAGGTGAGCGTGCAACTTTTCACCAGCGGGTGGCTCAGGTGGCAGGCCTGTCTCGATCTCGTTTGTCGTCAGCAAGTGACGTTTCCAGAACGCTGCATCCGAATTGGGCATGTCTGTTCTCCGTGTGCCTCGGACGCGTGACGAAGAACACGATGACCATTTGTCCCAGCGTCCGATGCTCACCATTAGACGTTTGCGTCCAAGCCACGACGCGCATACGAAAAACGCATACGAAAAAGGGGGTCGTTCCTGGAATCTGGAAAGGGATCACCTCAACTTCTCTCGCGAGGCGCCGAACCTTGGCAAAGGCTTCCCTCGTGCCTGGTAAGGCTGAAGATGCTCCGAGTCAATTCGGTGTTTCCTTGCCGCCAAGTTGTTCTTCATGCGTCTTCCCGTGGGCGTCGCCGCCACATAGCAAACTTCTTGGATTGCAAAGCTCTTGGATGCCCTACGTACCCGTTTTTTCGCAACGAATAAACTTGCATGTAACCTTACCTACCTTTAAACCGGACTCTCCGGGTTGGACTTCCTTCGGTGGTTCTTGACCTTTTTCAGTGGTTCTCGACACTTTCTTCAGTGGTTCTGAACCTGCACCGCCCCAGATGCCAATCTCCACCGCCAATCCCCCAGAGACCCTGATCTGCGTGCGGCCGCGTCCAGAACGCGTTCCGAATACGTAGCTGCGAGAGCGAGTTGCGAGGATGATGGCAGAGAAAATGATACGATGGAAACAGGAAGAAAGGCCCTGAGAGCCAGGATGACTCAGCCGCGGACGAGACCCTGGAAAACCCACGGAGGAAGAATCGAGGCCCACAGACGCGCTACATAAGCCGGCCCAAATCCTTCTCCGTCATCCAATCACCACGCCTTGTTGGCTAAGTGGTATAGCGCCTCACTAGTAATGAGGAGATCATGTGTTCGATTCACATACGAGGCAACAACAGGAGACTCAATATCTCTGCGGATATCCTTTTGCCTTTTTCCATGACAATTAGTCCTGATTTTGCGAATTGTTTGATTTTTTGGACCTCGGAGCCTGAGTCCGGGCAGTGTCGGCCGTTCAGGACGCCGAATCCTTCACCGTCTGGAGGCCGCTGCAGAACCAGGTCCCCCGCACGCCGAGCTGACGGCCCCGGAGAAGGTTAACCGGCCGCGAGGCAACTTACACCGAAGTCCTTCATATGCCTTCCTCCTCCGGATCAACAGAGGCTTGGCCTTCCTGTTACTGGCTGATGGCTTGTTATGTCGCCGTATATTGCGCAGCAGGAGCGGTATCCAGGTCTGGCAGCGATGCTGTGCTCCCGCTCACCGAGGTAAGAGTTTTCCGGATACTGGTAGATTCTCGCCCTGGATGAACATAAACCGAGTCAGCCCCCATGCCATTATCTCATGGTTCAAGCGATTGAAAAGAATGCCATTTCATAAACAACGTCGAGTTCATATCAAGCAGAGAAGTTCTTCCTAGTTACCGTGGCACTAAAACACCATAATACCAAAGTGACCATCCTTCAAGATCACTCTCATAGAGCAACAACCCTCACATCTCTTCCTTCATCTGATCACACCCCAAAGCACTACACCATGGTCCACCTGAAATCCAAACCAGACTACACCACAGTCTCACCCACCTTCCGCCCCCTCCCCAGGAACGGCCACCTGGCCACCCTCGCGCCCGGCTTCGCAGACGTCCTCAAGGCCGCCGACGCCGCCGTCGCCCCCTTCTGGGTCCCCGAGCTCTCCCTCCACGACTTCCGCCGGCTCTGGCTCAGCCCCATGCCCGCCCCCGCGGGCACCCCCGAGGAGGGCGTGGACGTCGCGGCGGAGACCCGGCGGATCCCCGTGCACGACGGCGCCGAGGTCGAGATCAAGATCTGGCGGAGCACGAGGGACACCTCCGACGGCAGGGCCGTGCTTGGGATGCGGTTCCACGGCGGCGGGTGGGTCGTCGGCGGGCATGTGACGGAGGAGCCGGAGAACCGCATGCTCGCGGGTCTGGGGAATGTTGTTGTTGTGAGCGTGGATTATCGGCTGTGCGTCCCTGTCCCTCGTTGGTCAGAAGTCGTGATGGGATGGTTAGACTAACCTCACACAGAGCACCGGAACATAAGTTCCCCGGCCCTCTGGACGACTGCCTAGACGCCACGAAATGGGTAAACCCTCACCCCTTCCCCTTTCCACCCTCCATCGCGCAAACACCCTCCATCGCGCAAACTAACCCCGTCACATACAGTGCAAAGAAAACGCGACAAGCCTGGGCGTCGACCCGGAAAAGATCATCCTCCTCGGCTCGAGCGCCGGGTCCACCATCGCCGTCGTCACGGCCATGCGCATGCGCGCGGAGCGCGTCTCGGGCCTCCTCGCCCAGGTCCTCGCCTTCCCCGTGACCTGCCACCCGGCGCTCGCCCCGGAGGACGAGTACGAGCTCGGGAGCTACCGGCAGTGCCACGACGCCAGCGTCGTCGACGCGCTCAAGATGGAGTACTTCTGGGACGAGTACCTGCCGGGCGAGGCGGGTAAGGTGCGGCCGAGGGAGTGGCACTCGCCGTTGTTGGCGGAGAGCGTGAAGGATCTTCCTCCTACGTGTGAGTTGCTTGAAGTTATCCTTTTGTGCGATGAGCCGGATGTTGTGCTGATGTTTTGGTCGACAGTGATGCAAGTCGCTGGTGCGGATCCCCTCAGAGACGAGGCCATCGCCTTTGCGGAGAGGTTGCAGGCCGAGGGCGTGCCGATGGAGCTGCACACGTATCAGGGCATGCCGCACTGCTTTTACATGTTTGATGGGCATCCGTCGACGACGGCGTATTACAAACGGGTCGTTGACTTTGTGAAGAAGATTGCTGATGGCTCGACAGCAAGGGCGAGGTTGTAGCTCTCCAGTCTTGACGTTTGACGAAGCTAATGAGGGTTAAGATGACGAAAAATAATGAAAATGCATTTTTGAGCTACGAATATATATACCAAAACGCCAGCGCCAAACATTGCTCTTTTGAAAGAAACTTAGACACCCTTGGCCTGATCCTTCTCCCTGACCATCTCGTACATGATATCCGTCCTCATGGTGTACTTAATACCACTCACAACATCGTCGCCAGAGTGATACAGCCGGCTATGCTGGAAAATAAGCACCCGCCCCATCTTCGGGTCACAATCGACCCTCCTCTCCTCATCCCCCGACAGGAACGACGTCGCACCGCCCACGAGATCCGCCTTGCCCTCGCCCACCGCCTGCGCCGAGTCGTTGAGATACAAGTGAACCGTGTAGTGCGTCCTGAACACCGTGCCGTCCTCGCTCGTCTCGCTGTACTCGCCGTCGCAGTGCGGCCTGAAGAACTGACCCGGGCCGTACTTCAGGAACCGCATCCGCTTGTTGAACCGGTCGAACTTCCAGCCCACCTTGCCGCCCCGCGCGGGCGCGAGCCGGTGGAAGGTCGCGAGGTCCTCCCGCAGGCCCGGCGCGAGCGCGCAGCGCGCCCACAGCCGGTCGACGACGGCCTGCTGGTCCCAGATGATGCGGTCGCTGCTGCGGTACGCGGGCTCGAGGATCTCGAAGCCGCCGCCGATGTTGACCATGGCGGGCTGCCAGGGCGCGTCGGCGGTGGTGGCGCTGGCCTCGGCGAGCGCGATGAGCTGCGCGCACTCGGCGGGCGTGAGGACGTTGTCGAGGACGACGGCGTAGCGGTCGCCGTTCTCGGGGAGGGGCGTCCCGGACCAGTCGATCCGCGTGAGGGTCACGGGGTCCGGGGGCGGGCCGGAGAGGAAGTCGGCCGGGATGGGGACGTCGTTGGACGCGTAGGAGGTCCGCACCGGTTGGCCGATGGATGTGGGCGCGGACTGCTTCTTGGGGGCGTTGCGAGACATTGTGAAAGGCTTTCTGTGTGAGATGTCTAGCTGGATTTTCGAGGGCAGCCTGGAAGGAGTAGGGGAAGAGAGGGATGTTTCTACTGTACTGGAAAGTGGAATGGAAGAATGAGTATTCAGGAGACGCGACATTGGGTATTTACACGTTTCCAACAATCTCACTGCCTTGAGCCAGCGTCTGGGCGCAGCAGGCTCCGAGAAGTGGCGGTGTTGATTTGGCCTCTGGCGCCAGCGCAGAACACTTGTTCTCCCAGTAAAACTTGTAAGGGAACAGCGAATCATCAAAGCGTGTCTCGCGGCCTCAACTTGCGCTTGCAGAGTTGCGGAAAACGAGCTTTGCTATGGTCTGTGGGAGTTCGAGATGATGGTGATGGTGGTGAGATGGAGCGGAGCATTCATGGGTGCTAGATGCCTACGAAGGATGCCTAATGCGGGGGAATTAGAGACTTTGAGACCTTGTTGGCGTGATGTAGACGCTAAAATATGACAGTCTACGGTCGCTTTCCGTCTGTCATAATGGTCCGCCATGAGAAGTTGCCTTGCGCCAGGTTGCTAAATCCGCAAGGCATCAAACAATAAACTAGGTATGAGGCCTGCAAAATGAGCAGATGAAAAGACTGACTCACTGGCTGATGGTGGCGGTTTTCAACGGTGCCGTAGCCGCTGCCACCATCATCTGGAGTCGTGACTTTACTTACGGCAGACATTCCTACCCAATCAAAGAACACAGTCACTTTCACGGACGTCCTACACCCATTTGACTGACGAGTTCAGAGTAAAAGCTCTCAGGGCTGAACGACAACAAAACTTCGAACTTATAGATCGAAGGATATAAGAAGACGCAGAGGTTGAATCAATGTTCAGTCTCAGGAACAGAAAGTAGCCAAAAATGCTAAAAGAAACTCCTCGACGGGGAATTGAACCCCGGTCCCCTGCGTGACAAGCAGATATCCTCACCACTAGACTATCGAGGATTGACTGATGCTCAGGTTGGTTGTCAGCAGTGCTAGGTAGCATAGCCCGCACGGTCCACCTCTGCACATTCCGCGCCGTCGTCACTGGTTTTCCTCAACCCTTCAATTTTTTCCCTCTTCTTTTCTCTTTTCTCACTTTTCAATTGTAGGTGAATGTTTTTTGAAGGATTGATTGATTTAAATCTGGGTGGCTTAATTCGCCCGAGAGGTGCCTGCCAAAAACGACTACAACCGCCCGTCCCGTATGTGCTCATCCATCATGTACAATGCCAAGAATATCGACAAACAGCTGGACCTATCCTGCCAGCGCATCTAAACCATTCTAACCTTCCTCCTCATCCCGCTTCTTTTCACGCCCGCCCTCGACAACCTTGGCCTCCTCAACCTCCAACCCCGTCTTCGTCTCGGTGTGAGTTTGCCGCAGCTCAATCTGTCTAATGAAAAACGTCGAGAGAAATCCGACCCCAGACGCCACGCAAAAGAATATCCACAGCTTGCTGATGCTGTCCGTGACCGCCGCCCTCACGAGATCTTGCTGCACCCGTGAAAGACCATCGATCAACCCGTGCGCGGCAATCGTCGATCCGGCGCCCAACTTCGCCGCGACGTCCTCCGGAATCCCCGCCTCAACCAGAGCCGCCGCGTGCCGCCCCATGACGCTCTGGAAGATGACCTGTCCGACCACCACCCCGATCCCGAGCGCAATGTGCCTGACAAACGCGAACGTCGCCGTCCCCACCGCCAGGTCCTGCTGCCTCACCAGCGCCTGCAACGCGATGAGCAGGGCCTGCAGGTTCGGCGATATGCCCAGCGCGGCGAGGATCTGAAAGAGGATGAGTTTCGGCCAGTCCCTCCGCGCCGGCAGCGTGATGAACAAGCCGAATGACAACACCGTCAGCGCCATCGCCGCCCGGATGATCTCGTTGTACCGTCCCGTCTTCTTGATCGTCACGCCGACCGCGATGGTGCAGAACGCCAGCGGCAGCGCCGTCGCGAGGAGCCACACGCCGGACTGGATCGGCCCCGCGCCGAGGACCGTCTGGAAGTACAGCGGGAGGAAGAAGGCGATGGCCGCGAAGCCGAGGCCGTGGCAGAAGCAGGCCACGTAGCAGAACACCACCGAGACCTCGCGGAAGAGAGACCGCGGCATGAGGGGGTACTTTGCCAGGAACTTCTCGACGAGCGCGAACACGCCGAAGCCCACGCACCCGAATACGATCAAGCAGACGACCGTCGGGCTGCCCCAGGGGTTCCTCAGCCCACCGAACTGCAAACCGAGAAGGAGCATCAGCGTCGCTCCCGTGAAGGTGACGGAACCGAGCCAGTCGATGGCCATGAGGCCCTTCACCAGCGGCGTCTTGGGCGTGTGAATCTTGAGGAAGAAGATCAGAATGAGCAGCGACACCCCCGAGATGGGAAGGTTAATCCAGAAACACCACCGCCAGGATATGTTCTCCGTCAACCCGCCCCCGACCAGCGGCCCAATCCCCGACGCCAGCCCCCACACGGCCCCGATCATGCCGAAATACGCGCCGCGCTCCCTGGGGCTGAAGAGGTCGCCGATCGTGATGTTCACCAGCGCCTGCAGACCGCCGGCGCCCAGGCCCTGCACGGCCCGTCCGGCGACGAGCATCGTCAGCGTCCCCGCCAGCGCGCCCACCAGGCTCCCGACCATGAACACGACGTTCGCGATGACGAGGATCGGCTTGCGTCCGAATATGTCGCTGACCTTGCCCCAGAACGGCACCGAGGCGGCGTTGGCGAGGAGGTACGCCGCGCCGATCCACGCGAAGCCCGAGTCCGAGGCGCCGATCTCGCGGGAGATGGTCGGGAGGGCGGTCGTGATGATCACGGCGTCGAGCGCGGCGAGGAAGACGGCCATGCAGAGCGCCAGCATGAGGATCGAGGTCTGGGCCTTGCTGCGGGTTGGTGTTGTCTTGGCGGCCGTGGCCTCGTCGGCGGTCGTGATGCTCCCCTCGCCCTGATCGGTGCTGCCTCTCTTCTCCCTGCTTCCGTCTCCATCTTGGCTGCCAGGCGCCGGTCTGTCGTTTGAAAGGTTGTCGACTTGGCCGGCCATTGTGAGCAACAAAAGACCTAGCCAGACGGGCGCACGGCATGCTGTCCTCTCTGAGCAACCACGCGGGACTGGACTGATATACCTCGTTGGTCCCCCTCGGCCTCTTGCCCCTCCCTCTTTGGCAGGACTACCAAACAGGATGCAGACAACACATCACACAGCACCCGCCTGGATCGCTTTTGGGAAGGGATGGGGTTCCATCAACTGCGGCACAGGATAAGGCGGGATTCGATAGTTACATCGAAATCCCCCATTCGTGAGATGGAATCCCTTACGGAATCGTCTCCGAAGGAGATCAACAGCCCCCGGCGGACCGGACCTTTCGCTCTCTTCGGTGCGACCCCGTTGTGCGTTTCGACGACATTGGTGTCGCCAGGCGTCCGCGTTGGCAGATGTGGCTGCACGGCGTGTGTAAGTGTACGGCGCATGCAGAAGGAGCCACAATTTCCGCCCTCTTGGCCCCTCGAGAGGCTCATCGAACCGGGCCTCGTGGTTGGTCGGTGTACGAGGGCCCGGGATGGAGACCCCGGGACGGCCCTCCCCCCGTCTTCTCGTGCGTTCACGTTCGGGCCAACCAGCGGACAAGACACACGGCCAGCCTTGTCGTCGAACACACATCCCGGTAAGTTTGTAAATGATGTGCGTTGAGAGACGACCAACAGCATGAGAAGTTCGGCTCTTATTCCGAAAGTGTCCGTGGAGGAGGTAGGAATGAAGCAGGCAAGAGGCAACAAGGACACATCGGTACGGAGCGAATACAACGGTGGTGAAAGAGACAAACGAAGCTATTCGTGTTCATTGCCCGAATTAGCAGGACTTCCTACCAATCGGGCTCGGATGTTGGTGCACGTCGTTTTCGTGGGCTGATAGACCCCGGTCTGTACAGAAGTTCCCACGTCAGCCTGTGGCCAACAATAGGCACAATAGGAAGTTTTCCTGTTCGGAACAGTCCTCGCTCAACCGCCCTAGCACCCCGCGAGGAAGCAGTCATTTCTTCCTCAATGATATTCAGGTGGCTCATCCTCTACCAAACTTGCAACGCAACGTTGGACGAGGCAGGGGCAAATGACGCCTGCTCCGATCGCGTAACAAGCCACGGCGCTGGGCCTTCATCCAATGCAAGGAACGATGGAAGAACGAGGCACGACGTGAAGAAAGTAATCAATAATACGGTGCACCGGAGGGGATCATTAATGACAGAAGCGCGCCCAACTGTCCCCCGAGATGGCTGAGCATTGCGTTTCTGATAGGCACGATCATGCGGACGGCCGACTTCAAAACCAAGAAGACGAGCAACCCCGACAAACGAGCCCGCGCCTCTGATCTCCGGTGCAGAACCGCAACGTCTGCGCCACGCGCGTCGTGGGACGCAGGATGACGCCGTCGTCAGTTCGCACACACACTCCACGTCGTGACCATGCCATCGTCGTCGGCGCGTGCCAGGCGTCTACCAGAAAAAAGCTGTGGTGGCGCGCGTCGTTTCCTCGTCTATTTTGTCTGCATCGAGTTTCTTGTGTCTTCAGCAAAACGTCGAACTCCGGCACGGGTGTCAATTTACCTGGAACCTCGTATTGACCCCCCTCTCGCTCGCCTGCTGCGACGGCCTAGGCGTTGAAAACATGCAGCCCATGTGGTGACTCGTGGCATTGGGGTTACACGCCGCACGCCTCTCCTCGTCTAAGCGCGCGCCGGTCCTCGTGGTGTTTCTGTCATACCGGCGTCGACAAGAACAGGCTGAATCAACATGTTTCACCTTTTGCTTTTCAACGGCGTGGAGAGCACGCCCAGATAGAGATTTTGGGGGAAAATCGGGACTCGAATTCTTGTGCTATGAAAGAGAGACCAGCCGGTTTCCTTTCCCCTGAAGAGCAAACAGCAACGCCGAACCCGAGGGTAAAGCCATGCCGAAGTAACAAGTATGTCGTATATCGAAATCGAAAAAAGTTCGCAAAGCGCGCCCACGAGGCAAACCTGAGCGATAGCGCAGTAGCATTGTCGCCGGCGTTGCCTCGGTTCAACACGCAGTCCCAGCGATGGCGCAACGGCACTTTCGCGGTCGAGTGGCGAAGATCTCGAACGACAGCGTATCTAAACACGTATGGGGTATCATGAAAAATGCAAAATAACCAGAAACTCCTCCTCCGCCTTCCTTCCGTTCCTCCCCTTCTTCTGTTCTTTTTTTGGTCTCCCATGAGACGGACCAAATGCGATAGCGCAGTAGCATTGTCGCCGGTAAACCGTCTCCAGTTCCAATACGCCGTTTCCCAGCGATGGCGTAGAAGCACTGTCGCCGTCGAGGATTCCAGCCTCGTTTGTCCGCCGCTCTTCGCCATGCGGCGGGGTGAACTAGCACCTTTCCTCGGATGAAAAGCATATCCGAACATTAGATGGGTTTGTGTTGTGAGTATTTGACGAAACATTAAACAAAAAATGTCAAAAGATTGACGTGTTGAAAAGAATCAGCAGGTTGAGCTGCTCGGTGTATGCGGGCGCCGTCTTCGAGTGTGGTTCGGGGCAGTTGTTGAAGCTGGAGGCCGGGGGATTGCTCTTGAAGCTCGTAAACCAGACGCCCATTAAGCAATCAAGCTTCCTAGGCCTGGTTGTCCCGGTTGAACAACTTGCCGAGGCCGCGCTCCCGGGCCTCTCGTCGCGCTGCTCCGTCCTGGATCTCGCTGGAAGAGTCGGAAGAGATCTTGTTCGCCGGGGGGTTGCCGAAGATTCTCAAGAGAATCAACATGGCGAAGCTGCTGACAATGCTGGCGCACAAGATGCCGATCATGGCATAGTTGCTGCGGCGGTATTGGTAGCGGCCCTTGGCAGCGTCCTCTGGCCAGCCCGTGTACAAGGCGTAGGTCGTGACGATGCTTCCCAGGTTACCAAGGCCTGATACCAAGGCGGACGCCGCGGCGACGCCGACTTCACCATGACGGCGCTGGAAGATCTCGTTCGTCCATGTCATACAGTTTGGGACAGTTGGGCCGAGACCGAATCCCACCATCAAAAGTCCACCGTAGCGAGCCCATCCGTTGTCCAGGGCGAAGGTGACAACCAGAAGCCCGGCAATCTGGATGCACACGGCGGCCGAGAAAATGAAGGGTCTGTGGCGGTGAAAGCGGTCGGAGATCGGCATGATCAATAGGATTGCAATCAAGTCCATCTGCTTCGGGTCAGCATTGACAAAAAACAGTGAACATCGGGTGTGACACTTACGATCCAGATAGGAGCAAACAGCAGGCTGACTTCGATGCTCGATGCCGTGGGCACAATAGACCGAATGATGACGGAGCCGTAAAGCTGAGTACCAATACCGACGCCAACAACTCCGAAGTACATCATGGTCAACGGCCAAAGGCGCCAGTCAATGAGAACCCGGAAAAGGTCTCTGACAGTCCATGGTCTAGGGTGGTAAACCCGACGGAGTTCGGAGTAGTGGACAACCGCATCGTGGCCAGTGAGAGCCTCAGGTGTAGGCGGAATCCACTTCAGCCACTTCGACCGCTCGCGCGTTTGACCGGGAGGAAGTGGACGGTCGGGAAGCCACCAGAGTAGAGAGAACCCGAGAACGACCGCGACGAGACCGTAGATGAGGAACATCCAACGGAAGCCGACCAGTCCTCCGAGCCCATCCATGAGCTGGAACCCAGCGGAGACGAGACCTACGACGGCAGCCGAAAGCTGAGCAGCGGTGAAGTACATGCCGATGCGCTTGCCAGTCCGAGAAGGCGGGTAGAACAATGTCAGGTAGTAGGACATTCCAGGCCACATGCCGGCAATGACAACACCGAGCAGGAATCGAAGAAACCTACCATGATTAGTTGATGACGGAGAGGAGGTTGTGGGATGCATACTTGACACTCCATGCGCTCTGAACGGCCGCAAAGCAGGTACCGACAATACCAGTGGCGATGACGATACGGGCCATCCACACTCTCGGGTTGAGTCTGGCCATAACCAGATTCGAGGGACAATCGAAGATGACATAGGCGACGTAGAAGAGAGCCAGTGCAGTTGACGTATCCTTGGCGGTTAGTCCTAGCACCGACATCAAGTCGTGACCCTGGGCACTGTTCATAGTCTGGGCGATGCCAATGTTGGACCTGATAGCCGAGCACAGGAAGTAGAGACACCAGAAAGCTGTCATAGGGTTAGTCGGACGCCAGTTCGTTGGGTTCGCGGGAGCATCCAACCTGGAATGATGCGAAGATCAAGCTTTCTACACGTGTGTGAGCCTCCAAGTCCATCTTCCGTGCTCAGATTTGCCTTCTCACCTGTAGACCTTTTCAACCGTTTCGGCGTCGTACTCTTCCTGCTCCTGGTTCGAAGGGCCTGCCAGAGGTCCGGTGGTGGACGCTGCAGCACTGAACTCATTGAGATGCTTGTCATAGGCGCTGCGCGCCTCTTCATCGTATTCCTGGGCCATACTCGACTACGGAGCAATGGAGATGCGTGCAACGAGTCTTTTCTGGCCACTCTTGACTGTCGATGCTGAAAGAATGCCAATGAGTTCAATCGCAGCTGCGTCCGGGTTGGCGGTTCGAGTGGTACGGGCAAGGCCAGGTAAAGGTTTGGTGATCGGTGCTGTGAAAGGTTTGAAGTTCTGGGCGGGCGGATATCACCGGTATTTTTAAGGCTCACCGGAGCTGATAGTGGGAACTTCCAAGACAGCAGCTAAAACTCGTTCTCCCGGGTGGCTCTTGGCCAGCTGCACTAGCAGATCTAGGAGGATCAAAAAGGGAGCGATTTCCCAAGCTAGAGGGGCTCATGGGGCCGTTAGTCGGCCGTTCTCGCCCAACAGAATGCGCCGCTCCACCACAGCTGGAGAGGTACTTGAGTGACATCTCGGTGGGAATGTCGGTGGACGGTCGGCGCTGCCCACATTTCCGAGTCTCAGCGACTCCGGACTCGGTCACTAGAGCGAGTCCAAGTGTGATACCGCCAGACCGGCCTCGAGCCGGTTCAAGTTGGACGAATTGCACGGTGAGACGCTGAAGCTACTCTGTTAACAGTAAGACCCATACGATGAGAGGGTAAGTGCTATTATGTAGAAATTGACTAGTATAGTAATACTGTTAGTGAATTAGATGAGCTGGATGACATTTGTGATGAGTCCGCATTCCTGAGGAATGAGAGAATAGTGGTGTTGATTCAAGAGAGTGAGTGAGTGAGTGGCAATGAGACTGCAGTGAAGCTCAGCTCTTGCACTCTCATTTGTGGGGTGAATTCATAGGGCAAGCGCTGCTCGGGTTCCCATTTGACGTCGCTTGCCGGCTGCGTGCAGGAAGAAGTGCTTTGTGAGGCCTCGACTAGCCTTGAGATAAGCTGCCAAACACTGCTCAAACATCATTTTATGTTTGTTCTTTTCGATTCTCGAAGACTAGCAAGGTGCTTGGATAAGGCATCAATAAGTCTGCCTCAGGGGATGAGGGCAGCGCTCATCTCCTTGTCTTTCTCCTCACTCACACAACCCCACTTTCGGTCTCATCAATATGGTGCTCATTCTCTCCCCAACTTCCTCACTTTTACTCTGTTGACAATGGCGAAGACCAGCTGCTGTTGTATAATTATGGCCATAGTCAGGCAAATGTTTCTTTTCACGTCGATGTATTGAATTTGATCCCAGTCTCGAGGCTCTATACACACCCTCAGCCCCCCAACCGCGATTGGTTTCTGTGTCACTCTGTTAGACATTCAACGCACAAGGAACAGGCGATATACAGTGCTTTCACCGAAAAGATGGCCGGCAGCCTATTCAGCGGAACTTGGCATCGAGCGGATGGCGGGGTAGTCACCCCCCAAGGAGCACATCAGATCTTCAAAGGCACCCCTCAGCCTAGGTAGTCATACCGGTCAAGGTGACCAAGAGGCATCCATATTCGGTCAGTAGCCGATCAGGAGAAGGGTTCCGGCGGCCCAAATCCGCGGTTTGCAGACGGTCTAGACGAGTGCAATGACCCCGCACGCGCCTTCATCGTAGCGATCCTCGAAGGAGTGGCAGGTGTGAGTGGTGCCTGATTTTGGCGAGCTCGAGTTGAGCCGACAGCTTGTGACGCGAGTGTGCGCTGGAAAGCCAGACTGGATGTAAACAAACGTAGGCGGGTTCACAAGAAGTCCAATGGGCTGGTGACAACATGCCTTCCCCACGCGCCAGCTCTCACATATCACCTGTCCATTTCATAGTGATACGAATCACTCCTGCACGTCGTCGCCAAGCACAACAGCCTCTCCAGCGCGGTGAGGAAGTGGAATTCTCAAGAGGCATTCTTGAGAGACAGTTGGTTAGGCCACTGACCAGACTGAGAGTCAATAAAGCCTCATCCAAGCAACATGGCCAGCAGGTGTCGGCCCCCAAAGCTGACTTCGTCGACGGCCTCGGTGAGTGAGGCTGTGAATATATACTTCAGACTTCAAACCCTGGTCTAGTGCGGCTCAGCATCAAACATTACCAATGATACTTGGGAATCAGCACCGAAGCGCCAAAGGGATTCAGGGGTAAGCAGGTGAGTGAGTCTATCTCGCTGAGCTTCGAGCGCAAGACTAACAATACGTCGATACATAGAGCATCCCACGTTGAGAATGCCCGGGCACTTCGAAAACGGCCTCGTCACGGGACCTTCCAGCTCGAACAAGGCAGAGAGCTCTGGTTGGTTGGTGCCTTGAGGCCTACGAGTGCGTTGCCTTCGATGTGACTCAGACCTGTTGCCCAAGATGGGACGCTTCGCATTAGCAGGGCTCCGAGTCACCTCGAATAGGCGTTGCCGCCTGAACTGCGCCGACGAAGAAAAGAATAATAAGATCATGACGAACCCCAAGTATCTCATGATGAGAAGCCCGAGCGTTCTTTGCTATGCAACATACAACTTGGTCGCGTCTTGTAAGTGTGGGTTCCCTCACATGCTTGAAGCTTCTGCCTTCCATCGTACCCGGAGGAGTCATCGCGAAAGCCCAAAGTGGGTCGTGTGGCGTGGCAACCTGCCGCAGGGGGTCACGTGGGCTTCCCGCTCATTCCGCGCTTATTAATCCGGCTTCCATTGTGGCTAGTGCCTGCAGGAACAGCTGTCAGGTCTTCAGCCAGAATTTTCAGGCCAAACTAACTTTTCGCCTTTCCTAGCACCGGAGAGCTCTCTCATCAATCAAGCTACCTACGAAAGTCGACGCGCGTGTATCGCATTCGAGTACGCAAAGTACCACCTAATACCCAGCGCCGCAATAACTGCGCCTTCCTTATCCTTCTTCCCTTCTATCGTATCTTTACCCTTTTGCGTCATTATTGTGGTCTTTCCGCCCAAGACCTGCGCAGTCGCGACTTCGATTTCTCTCAACCCCCGGTCACGATACCTTTTTTCCCGATCACCGAACCGCTTCCTTCATCCCCCGACAACCCCCCAACATCCGCCAAGCTGGACATCGCATCGCGCTTCCCGGTCAATATGTCCGTCGTCTATGAACCTCGAAACTTCATGCACGACGGGTCATACCCCAACATCGGCGACCCAGACCACGACCACAATGGCGACCCGACCGCGCAGTACCAGACGACCGATGTCCCGGATCTTTCGTCCTACAGCGCCACGGCCTCGATGCTGGGCGATGATCGCTCTCTGATGCCGGACGGCCTCGGCGACGATCCCGTTGGTGTTCCGGATGCCACGCGACTCGACCTCTCCGCGCCTCCGACCCTGGCCTCGCTGCCTTCAAGTCTTCCTCCCGCCCTGCCCGAGCCTCTGCCCTCGAACAACACCGCACCCCACAAGGACGATGCCGAGGCCTCAACTCCCTCATCAAGGGTGAAGTGTATACCCAAGCCCGAGCGGGAGGTCACGAAACAGGCGGACGGAAAGTTCTACTGCACATTCCCGAACTGCACGGAGGAGACGCAAGTGTTCACGCGAAAGTGCGAATGGAGGTAAGTCTAGACAATGTCGCACCGCACCATCGAAAAGAAACTTGGCTAACGGAAATCCAATCACAGCAAACACATGGACAAGCACGAGCGACCCTACCGATGCGGCGCCGAGGGCTGCGAAAAGCTCCCCGGATTCACCTACTCCGGCGGCCTCCTCCGCCACGAGCGCGAAGTCCACGGCAAGCACGGCGGCCCAAAGAACACAGTCAACTGCCCGCACCCGAACTGCAAGCGGCACACAGGCAAGGGCTTCTCGCGCCAGGAGAACCTCAACGAGCACCTCCGCCGCGTCCACACCAGCGACGGCACAGTCCAAGACGATATCCAGACCGGTAGCGACGGCGACAGCGACAAGGGTCTCATGGGCAGCCTCGTCGGCCTCGGCGGCGGCGGCGGCAACAAGCGCAAGCGCTCCCGCAAGAGCTCCGACGCCGGCCTCGAGGAGCTCCGCGAGGAGGTCAAGCGCGTGCGCCACGAGAACGAGGAGCTGCGCCAGCAGCTCGAGAGGCAGAGCCAGCACAGCTTCGCGATGATGGCGCAGATCGCAGAGCTCCAGGACACACTGCGCGCGAACCTCGAGAGCACCGCGCTCGGCGCTCCCACCGCCACGATGCTGTAGGGCCAGCGTCTGGACCTGGGAGTGCGCGTCCCCGCGGCGCCCCCCTCTGCGCCTCCTCCCACCCCTCCGCGCGCTTACCCGACCGCGCCCGCGCCCGAGAACGATACTTTTCTATACAACTTCCCGAACTTTCCGACACGGCGTTACGACCACATCTCCCCTTAGTCCGGCGGCCTAGACACTTTTTTTCCTAGGCTGCCATTTTTCTGTCACCATACGCACGCGCAACACACACACCTTTACGAAACCAGAAGCATCGATGAGGCGTTTAAGGGAAAGGGTCTGGAGTTGGTCCTTCTTTTCGATTCCAATACCTCTACTTTTTATTTTATTAGGGGCGGTTGTGGTGTCACGCGCGCCATGTGTAAGGGTATTCTTTTTCACTATTCTTTTTTCTCGACGGAGGGTTTGTTAATTCACAACCAAAGAACGAAAGAAAGGTCAATAGGCGTTTTTTTACACAGGGCTGGCGGGACATTTTCTCTTTCTGGGCTCTTCTTCACTTCGCCTCTCGCCCGCCCCAAAACACACGGGGTGGCGAAGCATGAGAACGATGACGACTACTTCTTTTTTCCTGTTTTCTATTTGATATCCCCCCGCGCAAACCTCTTCTCTGGCAGAACGTTAGGAAAGAAAGAGGCAGAAGAAAAAATTCACTATTCCCCCATTTACCTGGAGTTCATTAACGGTGGCAAACGGTAGAATGTACATTTTCCCATCCCATCGATCCCACACACTCACCTTCTTCTTTTCTACCGAAACTTCTTTGTAATTCTATTATCATGTCCTCTTATGTGTGTTTGGTATACTGTGTTGTAGTTAAAAACCTACCTTAGACTGGGAACAAACCCCCCAACCCTCTTGATGATATCCCATAAATCCACATGACGATTCTCTTCTCTGCCAGTACTGTCTTACTTCCGTGAAAGCCATCGTGACATGATTTGTTGGAGAGTCAAATTACTGTCCAGCGTCCCTACTGCCTAATTTGCGTGAAAGCCATCGCGACATATGCTTCTAGGAGGTTACTTGACGACTTGTCCAGCATCCCCCATCCGTAAGCAAATTTGATTTCTAATATAATTCCACCTTCCCAAGTTGGATATTCTATGCATATACCATCCTTCCGAAGCTAACCAATTTTCTCTTCCCCATTCTTCCCGCCCGGAAGGATGACGTATCCCCTGGTGCGGGTGCTTTACGCGTCTAAAACAGTCCACGTAGTTTTTTGGGGCGACAGAAAACGCGTCGTCACATGTGGCCTTTCTCTTGCCTGAGGCAAGACTACAGATCGCAGGGTTCTGCAGAGGCTTGCTCGCGGGCGGGGGTGATGAGAGAACTTTCCGATCAGCTAGTGTGTAAGCGGTTGCAGAACCGACGCAAGGGGGGGGTGTTTGAGTGATCGTCAGCTGAGTCATTCGAGGGAACAACGCTTGCTGTACGGAGTACCGGGTGCAACGCGAGTGCGATGCCAAGCACCAGGTATCATGAGACTAACTATTGCGAATGAAAGTTAGAATTTGTATGGAAGACCTCGTCGACCTGGATATCGTGGTCTATCTTAAGATTCCGCAAGCGCACTGGCATAGTTCCACCGATGTGAAATCGCAACCCCGTAAACCATCCCGTGTAGACAGAAACTAGACTTCAAACACCTCTCCGAGACCCTCAGAACCGCCCCGCCGGTACTCGACGAGGTCCAGCCTCCAGCCTTCCCAGTTCTTGAGGGTACGCTTGATCTCCTTGATGCGCTCGAGGCGCGCCTTCGCATCCTCCTCCTGCGCGCGGCGGAAAGCGTCCTCGTCAAAGTCCATGTCGTCGTCGTCGAGGAGCTCGTCGTCGCCGGTGCCCGTGAGCGCGTTGATGCCGCTCTGGAAGAAATCGCCGATGCCCCCGTGGGTGGGCTGCTTCCGGTGCGCGGACGGCGACGTGCCGCGGCTGTTGTTGAGGCTGACGTTCTCGAACCCGGGGCTCGTGGGGCCGGGCTGCATCTCGCGACGCTTCTCTTGCCAGTGGCCGTGGCGGAGATCGTAGACTTCTTTCTCAAGCTCGCGCACCTTCTTCTCGAGGCGCAGGCGTTCCTCGTTCTCGAGCTCGTCGACGCCGTCGTCGTCGAGGCCGCCACCGCCTTCGGTCGACTTGCGGCTGCGCAGACGCGTGTTCTCGCTCTCGAGGCTCTCGACGCGGGCCTTCAGCTCGCTGATTTCCTTTTCGGCGCGCTCCTTCTCCTTGCGAAGTGTCTGAGTGCGCGAGTCTTGCTCCTTGTGGAGGGTGGTGAGAGTAGTCACCTTCTTCTCGAAGCCGTCAGCCTTCTTCTCGGCATCGAGACGGGCGGCGATGGCGTCGGCAAGCTCGTGCTCGAGGGTGCGGAGCTTCGTCTCGGCGCTGGTGCGCTCGCTGCCCTCGCGGACTGCCTTCTCTGCAGTACGGTCGAGGTTCTTGCGCAAGTCGGCGAGCTCGTTCTGGGCTTGGGCGGCGGCCTTTTCTGAGCGAGCCAGCTTCTCCTCCAGAGCCGTAACCTGCTCGCGCTCGGAAGAAGTACCGCTTGCTTGACGGTCGACCTGGGCGCGCAGCTTCGAGATTTCGATCTCCATAGACTCGATCGTGGAGGTTTTCGAAGCTAGCTGGGCTTCGAGCTCAGCAGGAGGCGAGGACATGGAGACGGATGGCGACGAGCCGTGGCGGCCACCGGAACGGGAAGCTTGTTGCTGAAGCTGGGAGTTCTGACGCCGGAGAGCTTCGATCTCGGATTTCTGTGGCCAGACATGTAAGTAACGTGGCCGGATCGCAAAGGGTTCGCGAGTGCAGCAATTATAACACTTACGAGCTTGTCAAGTTGGCTGTCTGCGCCCTTCGACTCGCCCTCCGTCTCGCGCAAGTCCGCCAGCTCCTCCTCAGCCTTCTTCCATCTCCGTTCCGAGTCCGACGAATCCTTAGCCAGACGTTTGTTCTCCTTTTCGAGCTCTTCTATGCGAGCGACATGCTTGCGGTAGATATCAGTCGCGGTCTCTCCCTCTGGACCCTGAGCTCCAGGGGACAGAGGGCCCGTGGGCGCTGAGCCTTGCTTGAAGGACGCTGACCTGAGCTTCGACTGTTGAGCTAGTGACGGCTGCGAGGCGGTCGGTGATGTGGGCTGCTCCGCGACAGCTTCGGTCGCCTCCTGCTCCTCTGCCTTCTCTTCCTCGTTCGCAGTCTCGGCCGGGGTTGTCGGTTCTTCGGGTTCGGGCTCTTTTTCCTTGGAAGCACTGGGCGCCGCCGCCCCTGCTTCTCCCTTCTCTTTCTTGGTGGTGCCGGCGGCCTTCTTCGTCTTCTTCTTCTTCAGCTCTTCTACCTGTGACGTTGTTAGAACGGCGGGATAGTAGCACGTGTGACGACCGAGCTCACCCTCTTCTTGGCAGCTGCCAGCTTGGCTGCCTTTTCCTCGTCGTCGGCCATGATCTACGCGCGGTAGCGATCGTCTGTGTTGTAAGGTTGATTGTTGATTCTCAAGTTTACGAGGGAGCTCGGATAGGGACGTCGTCGAGCGATGGGTGTGGAATGTGTTGGTCGCAAATTGAATGTCTTGTTTGGCCTGCAGTAGCTTAGCTGTCCACTCGTGTCAGGAACAAGCCACATTCCCACAGGCCTGTGGTGGGCAGGGGCCCTTCCAGGTTCCCCAATGACGAACCTAACGCGTCCACAGCTGCTCGGCGTTGGAAGACGCTAGAGTTACAGGGGACAACCCTCACGTTTGATGAACACCTCAAAGTCGAGTATCAACACCATCTAAAGTCTCCATTCATCTACAAGTAGGCGGCGAACTTATCAACGTCCTCACGCATGATCTGCGAGTATCATTCTATGTCTAGGGGGCTTTATATGAGATAAATCTTCAATAGCGAGCTTTATAACACCAGTCTCGTCGCACATTGGTTACATCATCGCCTTATTCATTCCTACATTCGAGACTTGATTCGACTAAATAATCCCAATCGAAATATCTCGTCAACGGAGCAATCTGAGGTTCAAGCAGATATTGGTTACAGCAGTAATAGCCTCCAGCGAACTGCATCTCGCCTCCCCTGCACCATTCTGACCCCACGTTCCTCAATGCGTTGACGCCTTACACGCTCCTCTCAGAGTCCTCGGCGGCGATGCAACTATCTTTCGGAAGCGGCCTGATTGGTGATATCCCCGTCGTTTCAGCTGCGCTGATGTCCAGTCGACACCAACCAGCAGCCTAATATGGATGCGAGATGCATCGAACAGACTGGGCCTCCCCCCCGAACCAAAAAGGCCCTGTCATACCAACCTGCCTAAGCAGTAGGGAGACAAGGGTATCTGTGGTTTCGTCAGAAAAGCACCCCTCCATAACCCGAATTAGCTCATTCAGGAATCATCGGCAACAATCCCATTAGAACTTTTATGCCCAGAGTTGTATTCGTAGCAGCTGACACTACTACCTTCTTGCCTCTCGAAAACAATGCTCACCTCACTCTTCCCCCACCTCACCAGCGCGCGCTGCTGGAGGAGGACATCAACACCAGGTCGACGATAGGAGAGTCGTCGTCATGGGCCAGTGTGTATCCAGCGGCGGCGGCGACAGCACGACCGCCACCAACGCCAACAGCAGCCAGCCAGAACCCCGCTGTCAGGCGCCTGGCTGTCAGAGGTCCAACGATCCGACCTCGAGCTCGCGATACTGCGCGCAACACGCCGCCCTGTGCAGGAGGCAGGGATGTACGAGGCCACGATATCGAAAGGGCCCGTATTGTCAAGAGCACCTCTGTGAGTTTGTTCCCACCCGGCCCCCCTCTCTTCGTGCTTCTCTGACTCTCAAGACAAAGATACGTGTCGAGTGTCCAAGTGTTCGAATGACCAGGCCAAGGTCATCGACGCCTGGTTCACCAACAACTCATGCCTCGAACACCAGCCCGAGGACGTCCTCCGCGCTTATTTCTACGGTGACGCCGCGGAACCCGACTTATTATCCTCTGGCGCGCAGCAGCAGCAACAAGTCAACAACAATAACCACAGACAACGCGCCCGCCGTCGTCGTTCACGCCCAAAGTCTAAACCAATCCCTGTCCCGGCCGCCGCGCCCTCGGACGAACGGTCATCGGATTCAGACGACGAGAACGACGCGACCGCCCACCGACTCTCGACGGTGCTCTCGACGATAGGAGAAGACGCCGCCGCCGGCGACGTCGACCCCCTGCGACCATCCATCATGAAGCTGGCCGAAGACCCGAGAGACGCCGACGAGCCCACGACCCCTCGCCGCAGCCAGAAGACGGTCCACTTCGCGGACTCCCCCCCGCGGCCGTCCACCGCAGAGAAACGCCCCGTCGTGGCCGAGGTCTGGTGGACCACGGAGCCCCCCGCGAACGGGCAGCCGCAGCCGCCGCCGTCTCATCGGCTCCGGACCTCGCGAAACCGCCGTAGCCTCGACGGTCGGCGCCAGTCTCCCAGGACCTCGAGCAGCGCGGTCACCGTGGCCGGGCACGGCCGCGAGAGGCGTTATCACCCCGGCGGCGGCGGCGGCAGCGGCAACAACAGCAGCAGCAGCAGCAAAGCGGCCGACGGGAAGCGAACGACCAGGACAAGGTCTAACCGCTGAAAGAAGCCCACCCCGACAACAATCCCGGCCGTTGCGTCACGGGATAACATAACCCAACCATCTCGTCAAAAACCCGAGTTCCCATTATCATACGACGGCCTGTTCCCTATCGCTCTCGCTGCAGAGCTCTGTATCTGAGGTGGGGGGGCTGCGGGGGGGTGTTTTGCTGCGGCCTGACCCAAGATAATGCTCATTTACAGCGGTAATAATCTCTCAACGGGCGGCAGAGTCGGTTCCACCCTTTGGCGTCGGGCACGGCATTTGGCGGGGTAATGGCGGGGTACGGCGCGAACAGGGCGCTACAAACTACCTCGTGGCCCCGAACCACCTTCACTCGTCCCGCGCAAAACCGCACCTTTCTCGCCAGCTTCCTCTCCGTCATACCTCTTTCTGTCGTCTCGTCCTCGATCTCCAATCCTCCTACCTCACGTACTCCCTCCAGTCCCCCAAACGAGCGTCGCAGTCCTCAGACCACCCACTCAGCACCAAAAAACCACCGTCTCACCAAGCAAGCAAACAAACCCGCGCGGAAGCTCAAACCCCGGCGCCCCGTCCGCCCGAGACGCAACCAACCAACCCCCCCAAATCAACCTAAGATGGCCTCCCTCCCCTCCCAACATCCCTCGCTGGCCCTCCACCTGACCGACCGCGCCCTCAACCCGATCCTCACCTCCGCCCACTCCCAGACCCAGCTCGAGGCCCTGACCTCCCTGACGACGACCTCCCTCACGGCCCACGCCGCCGCCAACCGCTTCTCCCTCGGCCCCGCCCAGCGCATCATCGTCGAACACGGCCCCGGCAGCCCCGTCGTCCTCGCCTCCTTCCTCAACGGCGCCGACGCCCTCCCCAACGGCCGCGAGACCTCCGCCTCGGCCGCCGCCGCCGCCGCCAACAGCAACAACACCCCCTCCGCCTCGAGGCCCGCCACCTCCGGCGCCGCGTCCGCGACACCGACGACGGCGCAATCTGCTGCCGTATCGACGGCGGCCGGGGGTGCTGAGGGCAAGACCGGGGCAGACGCGGAAAACGCTGCGCCCATGCTCGTTGGCGTCGTCGTCGCGGGGACCGGCGAGGAGGCTATGGAGGCGCGACGCGCTGCAGGAAGGCTGGAGAGGGTGGGCAGGGAGTTCCAGCGGGAATGGGCTGCTGAAGAAATGGCTGGCGCCGCAGACGGCGGTGGTCAGTGATACCACATACACGAGGTTTCGATCTCATCGAGCTGGGAGGTCTGGCTGCTGTGTCACGCAAGCAGGTGCTTTCACCTGCCATGATGGGTAGCAAGTGGTCAGGCGCCGCTGAGGACAGCGTGGTCGACGACATGGCGTAATCTTGGGCTGCGTGGATGGCATTTGGTGTTAACGAGGATACGAGCGATGAGACCATGGTCACATGAGAATCCGGCACGGAATGAACCATCAGGGTTGCAGGATAGGCGTTCAGGCAGTATTGCGCGTTAATCATAATCTTTTGATTTTGACGGTCTCTATATACCGAGCTCATTTTACCCGTAACGTCCATCATCGCGTAAAAAATAAAAAAGAGGAATCATCGCCAATTAACCAAATTCTACCCATTTATGTAATCGCTTTAAATGATCTGCTGGAAAGCACGGTTGATGGGAGAGCGCACGTTGGGAACGCTCTTCCAGAAGTCGACGGTGGCAACCGCACGCTTGGAGATACCCTCGGGGGTGAACTCGAACTTCTGCAGAGGTTGTTAGCATTGTAGGGCAGCTTGAGGAATGTTGTGTGCGACTTGCCTTGTAGACGTCCTTGTAAGGACCGGAAGCACCGAAGCGGTTGATACCGAACTGCTCGTGGGAGAAGCGCTCCCAGCCGAGAGTGCTCATGACCTCAACGGACATGATGGGGTGACCGTCGGGAAGGACGGACAGCTTGTACTCCTTGGACTGGGCCTCGAAGACCTCAGTGCAGGGCATGGAGACAACACGGGCAGTGAGGTTGTGCTTCTCCTTGAGGTACTTGACGGCGTCGACGCAGATGCAGACCTCGGAACCGGTGGAGACGAGGGTGACGTCGGCGTTCTCGGCCTCGTGCAGGACGTAACCACCCTTGATGGCCTTCTCGATGACGGAGCCCTCAAGCTGGGGCAGGTTCTGGCGAGAGAGGGCGATGATGGAGGGGGTGTGCTTGGAGGTCAGGGCAACGTAGTAAGCGGCGCTAGTCTCGTTACCGTCGGCAGGGCGCCAGACCATGTTGTTGGGGAGCGCACGGAAGTGGGCGAGGGTCTCGATAGGCTGGTGAGTGGGGCCGTCCTCACCAAGACCGATAGAGTCGTGGGTGGCAACCCAGATGGCGCGGACCTGGGAGAGGGCGGTAAGACGGACGGCACCGGCAGCGTAGGAGACGAAGTTGAGGAAGGTACCGCCGTAGGGCAGGATGGTACCGTAGGCAGCCAGACCGTTCATGATGGCACCCATGGCGTGCTCACGGACACCGTAGCGGATGTAGCGGCCGGAGTAGTCACCGAGGCCGGTGGCGGGGGCCTGGAAGTCAACAGCGTTCTTCCAGCGGGTCAGGTTGGAGCCAGTCAAGTCGGCAGAGCCACCGAGAAGCTCGGGGAGAACACCCTCGATCTTGCTGAGAACGGTCTCGGAGAGCTTGCGAGAAGCGATGGCGGGGTCGGCGGGGGTGTAGACGGGCAGAGACTTCTCCCAGCCCTCGGGGAGCTCGCCAGACTGGCGGCGCTGGAGGTCCTTGGCCTCGTTGGGGTACTTCTCAGCGTACTGCTGGAAGAGCTTGTTCCACTCCTGCTCGGCGGCGGCACCCTCGGCGGCGTGCTTGTTGTAGGCTTCGTAGACCTCCTGGGGAACGTCGAAGGACTTCTCGGGGTTGAAGCCGAACTTCTCCTTGAGCTGCTTGATGTCGTCGGCCTTGAGGGGAGAGCCGTGGACACCGTGGGTGCCCTGCTGGAGGGAGCCGAAACCAATGATGGTCTTGAGCTGGATGAGAGTAGGCTTGTCCTTGGACTCCTTGGCCTTGGCAATGGCCTTCTCGATGCTGTCGAGGTCGTTGTTGCCGTCCTCGACGGTCAGGACCTCCCAGCCGAAGGACTGGTAGCGCTTGACAACGTCCTCGGTGAAGGCGACGTTGGTGTCACCGTCAATGGAGATGTGGTTGTCGTCCCAGATGGCAATCAGGTTGCCGAGCTGGAGGTGACCGGCCAGGGAAGAGGCCTCGCCGGAGACACCCTCCATCAAGCAACCGTCACCGAGGAAGGCGTATGTGTAGTTGTCGGACAGGTTGAAGCCATCCTTGTTGAAGGTGGCAGCGGTGTGAGCCTGGGCAATGGCCAGACCGACAGCGTTGCAAATACCCTGACCAAGAGGGCCAGTGGTGACCTCAACACCGGGGGTGTCGTGAGCCTCGGGGTGACCGGGGGTGATGCTGTCGACGGTCTTTGGTGGGCGTAAGCAATTGGTCACATTTTGCAAGTCGCGGATTCACCGGATACTTACGCGGAACTTCTTCAGGTCATCCAGAGAGACGCCGTAGCCGAAGAGGTGGAGGAGAGCATACTGGAGCATGCAGCCGTGTCCGTTGCTGAGAATTGGTCAGCGTACCGAAATCTCATGGCGAAGGGACCAATTGAGGGACTTACGAGAGGACAAAGCGGTCACGGTTCAACCACTTGGGGTTCTTGGGGTTGAACTTCATGAACTTGTTGAACAGAACGTGGGCGACCGGCGCCATACCCCTAGAAGCCAAAATGTGAGTCTTTTTTTGCTGCAACCTCTCATGGAAAGCGCGCGTTCCGGGCTTGTACGTACATGGGCGCACCAGGGTGGCCGGAGTTGCTGTTGAAGGTGGCATCGACCTGTAAAGAAGGCAAGGTCAGTTTTGTTCGAGCTTCTTCTTCGTGTGATGGTGATGGTCCTCTGGCGGTTGGTTGTTCTCATGATGCCACCGATCGCGGCAGACAATGGCGGGGTAGAGGAGAATCCCAACAGAGCGGCGGTGGCGGGGTAAAATCTGGCGGGAAGAGTGAAACTCACAGCAAGCAGGCGGATCGTGTTGATCGCCTTCCAGTCTTGTTCGGTGTAACCCATGGTGTCTGATTTCTGTATTCTTCCAAGAGAGAAACTCGGTCAAGGAGGAAGAGAAGATGGAAGCGAGAAGGAAAGAGAGAGATGAGGAGGCAGCGGGAGGAATAAAAAGGGACGCCAGGAGAGTCGGGGAGCGGTGGTATGTGTATGTTTGGGAATGGCCGCAAGGTAATTATTGAGCATCTGGTGGGGACCTGACGTGGGAGTGGACATGGAGGGGGGAGGTACATTTGGATGGAGGGGATGGAGGGGCAGGCCACAGACCACAGACCACAGACCAGACACCAGACGCCGCCTTCACACATCACACCGGACGAGACGGCGCAGGCGCAACTGGGGGGTGAGAAGTCACCACACGGTGGGATGCTTGGGGAGGCATTCGCGGTACACGGCAGCAGGTCACTGTGGAATTCCGATATGTAGCTACTTTGCTGGTGTGCAAAGAAAACATCACAGTGAGGAAGTCATCTTTGCCATTCCAGAAGGCGAGAATGTCATGAATACCTGCTTCAAACGTGAGGCAAGGTAGCTAGCCACAGCTTCAGAAAGAGCTCCCTCTGAGGTATGCAGAAGAAGCAATAGGTACTTTCCATTGACAGCTAGCGTCATATATCGGTCAGGTACCTGGAGCTGTCGGCGGCATGCCCGGCCCAGTGCCGTTTCCCCCAAGCCACACCTTTCTCTTTCCGCTCTCAACCCAAGCTATCCGTACCTAGTAATCTCCCGGCTCAAATCCAATATTCCCAGCTCGGAAACCAGCATCATGAAAAAAAAGAGACCAACCGAAATATCACGCATACGCATGTTCATCCTTCCAGAACCCCCCGTCCTGATACATCTTCACATGAAGTGGGGGTACATTTTCTGATAATTTCTGTCGATTCCCCAGTTTTCCGGTCTTGTCCTTGGCCGACCAGACGGCGGTGCAGGCTTCAGCTCGTCTCAACCATCTTGAAGCCTGTGGACTGACTTGCCTGGATGCGTCGACTTGTCCCATCTGCTGGCAGTTCTTGCCCCTCTTCGTGGCTGGTCCAGCCCACCGGCCGTCCTCCTGGCCTTCACATTGGTGGCTTTCCATTCCAAATGTACATCACGAATACTGCGTAATACCTCTCCCGCCGACAACACGACCCCCAATTCACCCGGCAACCCTGGGGAGGCAAAAATGCCCGGCCGTGTTCCGCTGCCGCAACGTTATTTCACCTCGCTCGTCGCTCTCGGTGCGCCGTACCGACGTCGGTCTGATAACTCTCCAGGCGATCCCATCCCGACGAATCATACCGTTTTCGCCCGTTGACACCGACTTGTCAACCGCCCTGGCTCAGTCAGCAACCACCAGACGTATCACATTTTTACGGTGACGTCTTTTTTGACGTCCGTAAGAGTCAGTTCACCTCGATGAGCTTCACTTGATGCCATTATTGACTCGTGCGAACTACAACGCGGCTCCGATGGATCGACATCCAGAAAAACTGTCGTCATAATGCCCACAACGCTTCATCTGGGTGAGGGTCCCCTTCGCTATCTCTCCGTCTGGCTTCTTCGGCTTCTCCTTGACTAATCCGTGGAGACCTCTGGAGATGGCTGGATCGCCGATATCTGATTTCTTTGGCCAGCTCCGGTCCACAGCTGGAGTCTGCAAGGCCGATGCCCCTCCTCTTCCCGCCAGTAGGCTCGGCCTATTTATTCACTCACGATGCTGCCGCGTCGGCCATAGGCTTACAAACGGCCGGACTTTAAGCCTCGTCCAAGCAAAACGGTTGCGCAGGGAGAGCCAAGCGCCGAAAATACCCTCTTGCTGGGACTACCCAGGCCTCCTTGCTGCGACCTGCCTCCCGCTCGCGCTGTTTCAAGCCGGCGACGCGGATAAGCTCTGGCCCTCCAATCCTGGACTCCTGGTCGAATCTCGTGCTGAGTTCCAGTCATGTCAGTGGACCCTGACTGCATGATGACACCTTCGCGTCCCTGCTGCTGAGTCCTGACCCCTCTGATTTTTCTCAAGGCCGCAGCCTTCCTCTGCTGAGGGATTGCCCCTCCAACAACCCCTCCACGGAACCGTCGCCTTGCGTCTAAGACGCGCGACAACCGTGGCGTGGCCAAGAATAAGAACGGATACTGAGTCGACACGCAGTGTTGCAGAAACTTAGTTCCTGAAAAGGACAACGATGACCATGAACCAAATATTCAACTCCTGCAAAACGGTCGGTATATCGACTGCGAAAGATTTCCCAAACCCTGGCGTGTGTCAGAACGCGGAACTCGGGGGCGGTTGAATGCATGCCGTAAAACCCGCGATGCCACGAGGCCTTCTCAACTTTTCTGTCTGTCCGAATATGACTGATGAGGCCAGTCCTCTCAACAGCTGCTCCGGAGCCGGTGGGCACGGGCCACCCGCCTGGGATACAGCCAGTTTCGTATTTATCCGCGCAAATCAAGGCGGCCCCAGGGCCCAAGCTCCCGTTTCCCTGCGGATGACATCAAGCCTCTCCACCCGCATATCCGCCACTCCAAGCGACTTGTATCCGTCGCCGGGCGATTCAGCGGAAGAAGATGCGAAAAAAGTCTTCACTTCGGCTTACAACACGAACGGCCGGGAATTGTCTCATCTCACGAGTTGAGGCCGGCGTCTCACTTCTCACTCGAGGGAGGAATAAGAGCCTTACACCTCATCCTGAGCATGAGCTCGACTCACTTGGCTGAATGTGCACCGGGCACGTTCTCAGACGAGAAACGAGGGCTGCTCAGCCGGTAGTAACACGGTATGATTCTTTACTATTGCAGCTGCTGTGTGACGTATTCTACTTGAAGAATTTCAGGAATAGTAAGAGCATTGATGAGTAGTTCACGACCTGACTTAAAGCTTGAGGGTGCTAATAGTCCTTTGAAGTTGTCAGTTAGGCAGTCAGCTACCAAAACTCAGACTGACTTCTAATATAATTATTAATTATTAAATAGTCTAATTCCTACGTGACGGTGATGCATCGTGATGCTTCACTGGAAGTTCAGTGATGAGAGCTCATACTCGCCCTCATGAGCTAGTCTCAACCACACATGAAAGCGGACGGTGTGGACCCTGCCCAATTGACTTTTCGCCTCACCAACCACAACCACCACAGCTACGACAACATGTGAAGACAGCCTCACAAGCAAAGCCAATTCACATTCAGCACCGGCCAGCCCGAAGGCATTTCAGCTCTCATCCGTACTTCACAGCTTCCTCGCCCAAAGTTCATCTAATCTCAAAAGACAACCAACACCCCGCCATCCACACAACCCCCTCCTCACTGGACCTCATTCTTCATCACCACAACCACATCCGCGATATCAAGATGGGCAAGAAAGTACCCCCAAAACAACAATTCAAACCAAAACCAAAACCAAAACCGCAACCCTCAAAACCAGCACAACCACCACCCGCAGAGCCGCAACCGCCCACCCTGCCCCTCCCCCTCCAACAAACCCTCCTCGCGACCTTCAACACGACCTTCTCCCCCGTCCTCGGCTCCGACGCCTTCCCCTCCCTCCTCCAGGAGTGCAAAGCGGCCCTCTACGCCCGCGACTTCGAGACCGCCTTCGCCAACGCCTCGCGGGCCTCCCTCGACGCCTACGCCGCCCGCTGGAGCCCCACCCGCGCCCTCGCCTACGCCGCCGTGCTCCTCGGCGTCGCGGGGCACCTCCGCCAGGACGTCGTCGCCGTCCGAGCGGACTCCGGGGAGGATGATGCGGTGGTCGTCGGAACCGTTGAGAAGGACGTCGCCTTCGAGAAGAAGGATGCGGAGGAGGAGGAGAAAGCGCAGCCGAAAAAGTCCGTCAGGATGCTCTCGGTAGGCGGCGGGGCCGCCGAGATCGTCGCCTTCGCGGCTTACCTCGCGTCCGAGTCCCTTAAAGGAGAAGTTGTCCTGCTCGACTCCGCGCCGTGGGACGACGTCGTCGCGAAGCTGCACACCGCGCTGACGACGCCTCCACCGTTGTCGAAATACGCCAGTGCGGCCACGAAGGCGTCCAACGCCGCGCTGATCGCGCCGGAGGACCTTCGTTCGACGTTCACTCGACGCGACGTGCTGTCGCTCACGCGGGAGGCGATGGCGGAGACGATGGGCAAAGAAGCATTACTCGTCACATTACTATTCACACTCAACGAACTATACACCTCCGCGGGAATCGGCAAGACGACGACCTTCCTGCTGAACCTGACCGCCACGATCCCCTCCGGGTCTCTGCTGCTGGTGGTCGACAGCCCCGGGAGCTACTCCGAGGCGGCGGTCGGCAAGGAGTCTAAGAGGTACCCGATGCAGTGGCTCCTGGACCACACCCTCGTCAAGGACGAGCCCGTGGAGGGGTGCCTGTGGGAGAAGCTCGAGTCGCACGACTCCGTGTGGTTCCGCCTCGCCGAGACCCTTCAATATCCCATCTCTCTCGAAAACATGCGCTACCAAATGCATCTCTACCGGGCCACGAGACCCTGAACGCCAGCAACAAACGGATATATATGTAGACAAACCAAGGAAAATAACTCTATGCCCATACGAGTCTCTTGAGAGAGTAACTCAGATGGTCTAGCAAGCCGGTGCTTTGTCTTGCCTCCTCTAACGAAATGATGTCGCCCTTCTCGATGATGCTCTCGGTGCCAGGCTTCTCCTTGCCCGGTTGGCTCAGGAAAGCCAGACGTTCTATCTCTGCGCAGATACTGACGACCTGCTGGATCTCGGTCATCTTCGGCCCTTCACCGGTCACGGCGGCGGAAGATTGGGAGTATGGGGCTTTGAAGGCGACTTTGCGAACCGGCGCCGTCTTGGGTCGTCCGCCCAGGAGACTGCTCAAGGCAGATTGGGCGGGTTGGGCTTCGTGGGGATGCTGGTGCTCATCGGGCTTGCTCAAAGTCTTGCTGCGCTTCACGCCCAGGTTGGAGAAGGTTCTTGTGTTGGTTCTTGTGATGTCGTTCTTGCCAGGCTGGTATGACACCACGAAACCGACGTTCTTCGACTCGTCTGTTGAGCCTGGAGAGACGGTGGAGATGATGTACGTGCCGAACTTGATGCCAACGACGTGAGCGAGGTCAATGCGCTCAAAGGAGGAGACCTTGTCGAGGTTCCAGTCGAATCGGCAAAGGTACAAGGCGGCGTCTGTTAGAAGAAGGACAACCTCCTCGAAGGGCAGAGACCGCAGGTTGTCGGAGGTATGGGGGCTGAAGAGCACCCAACCGCCCATGAATTCCTCGCCTTCATCGGATATTACGCGCCTTTGAGATAGCTCAATAGCTTGTTCTCTCATTTTCAGCATGGAAACGGCGGGATCTTTCGTCATCATTTCGGACTCGAATTCCTGGAAGACCATGGAGTTGACGTTGCCAAGGAGGAAGTCGATGGCTGCTTGGCTGAAGTAGTCGTTGACCATTCTGGGACGGGTTAGCAATTGTAGTCAAAAGGAGGCTTGATGAAGTTGTACCCATTGTAATAGCGTGTCAATGAAAGACCAAGATCGTTCAGGGTTCCGCCGAGATTACGCTTCCGAGTCCTCGTGTAATCGCCCTTCATAGCGGCCGTTGACGCATATTGCTTCGAGACCGCGTCTCCGTTGTCCGCCCATATGGTGTTGAACCACGGCGTCTGCTGTTCAACTTGCGCAGAAAGATCATATCCTTCCGACTTCAACTGAGCCTCCAGCATGTACTTGCCAAAAGAGCTCTGACAAACGTTTGTTCTGTCGAGGCAGTCCATGCAGTTTGTGCGTAATACACCCTTCTGTTTCGTGGAAATGTTTCCAGCCTCCTCAACAGTGCTGCCAAAGCTCTCCAGCTTATCGCGCAGCGTATCAAGAAGCAAGCTGACGTTCTCGAACTTCATTCCACGGCATGCTGAGTGGAAGTCGAACCATTCGAACGCGACCGCGGCATCTTGGCCCGTGAACACTTCCTCGTTCAGCTTTTCTATCGTCTTCTCGTATTGGTTGCCAACTGATGCTTCGACACCATGCTTCTCGACCAAGTTGACAATTTGAAGACCTCCATATTTCTCTTTCAAGCGTTCGAAATGTTTCTTTGCCGCTTCGTAGTTTGTCTCTGGCGAATGCTGGATTACTGGTGCCGGCTTCAGGGAATACGGAGACTGGGTGAAGAACACTGGAATGCTGCCGCGAATTTGAAGAAATGAGTAAACCTTTGACGATTTATCCCACTTGGGGCTGGACAGAATCTGTTCCGTTTCGACGGCATTCGCAACATGACCCTGCTCATCAATACCGCGCCTTAGATACCTCAGTCCAGCTCGCTGCGTCGATCGGCGGGAAATGACGGTCAAGAGGAACTTCTTCTCAGTAGGGCGAAGATCAATAGATGCCCGAACGGACTCTGTCGGCGGGGTTGCTGGCTTTGAGTCAGGCTGCCGGAAAGACGACAACTCTACGGAGTCCCCAAGGCCTTCGTCGGTTTGGGGAGGACTGCTGTCTACCACGAACTCTCTCTGGCCGACGAAACCCTGCATGAGAGGCAGCAAGAGAGACTCTTCTCCAGCTTGCAGGAAAGGCTTCAAAGTGCTCTTGTTCCAAAAGAACATGGGGTCCACACTGTTGTGCAGAGGAACATCGTCGGACTGCGATCGTTCGCGGCTTGCCCAACTCCGAGTAATGTCGACGTCGTAGGAGAAGTAGAAGCTGCGTGAAGAGCCAAACAGGATCTGGGTCGTTCTCAAAAGCTTCGGCAGCAAAGTGGAAGTCGGCACCGGCTCGTCCGAATCGTCTATCGCGGAGCTCGAAGCATTATTCGAACTGGCAGCTTGGTCGACGGAACGCCGGACCTGATCCGCAGTGCCACTCCAGCCGGCCGTTCTCTTCTGATCTTGGGTCCACCCGCTCTTTGTGAGCCATGTCTGCGCGAACCTCCCGTAGCTTCCTCTTCTGCCAATAACATCTTTCGCGACAGTGCTCTTAACGGGATCGGCGGCGCCTTTCTTGGCGGGGGCAGGGTCTTCGACCTCGTCGCCGCTGGTCGGAAGCTCTACATAATCATCGCTGTCGCTATCGTCGGCATCCTTGTCTGTTTTCCTCTCTGCGAGGTGAAGCGCGGTTTGCGAGATCGCTTCGCCGGCGTCTTTCTGCGAGGCGCATGGAGTGACGGCGACTTCGGTGACGACGTAAATCGGGTACCCGCATATTTGCGCAACTTGCTGTCGCCGGGTAATTGTGATTAGGTAGCTGAGTCTCGAGACGGTAATAAGTCCTGTTCGACGGGCATGGTCAGCTTCGGATATGCGCAGCTAGGAGCTGTGGCTGGGAGCTCGGGGCACAAACCTATAACGCCGAAAGCCTCGAACGAGGAATTTGGCTGGGACAGATCGGGGATCTGCTCTCGAGAAGCAGGGGTTATTGCTGCATCGCCATATCTAATTCTCACCGGTTGCGCGGGACGTTGACCCTTTGTGACAAACGGCTGGATTATGAGGCCATCGACGGCGGCGCAAATGATGAGCTTGCGTGCGATACCGGGCATTTTGCGATTCAGGACCACACAAGCTGTGTGCGCACCACAGGCCGACGAAACTCCTCTCGTTGGTAAAAGATTCGAAACGGACTGAGTTCTATCGGGAAAAAGCCATAAATGTGGTACAAATGATTTGCAGAAGAATTGCGGTACGGATGTTCATACCTACATTAGTGGTGTTGAGAAAGGGTCGAACATGCAGGGGGGAATGGCACGTTTTGGGCTGCACGAACTGCTGATGATGTCGCCGAAATGGAACATGTAGCTATGACATGGGTGGTGGGCCGCGGGGTAACGTCAGACTGCAGTTTCCCAGCGCGAGTTCAGGTCACGCCTGAGACACCGGCCCGGTGAGTGGTCAGGTCCAGTTCAGTCCATTTTGTTCAGCGCTTTTGGTCCGTCGCTGCTACGTGCTGCATGCTGTCTCTTCATTCGTTGGGGCTTGGTTCAGCGCGCTTGGAGCTTGAAGCTTTCGTGCGGCTAGGTTCTTCAGCTGCGCCAACGCGTGCTTCTTCCAAGCTTTCCGTCCCACTAGCTCATCCCGACTTACACACACACCTCTTTCTGCATATTTCAGGGACGTTGCATTTTGTGTTTTTGACGATCTCGATTGACGCTTTTCTGGGGTATGTATGTAAAGAGTACTGTCCAATACAACACAAACCCCGAGAATAACTAGTCGACGCCTATCAACAATTGAGACTATTTTTCAAGCATTCCGGCTGTGGCAGCACAGAGAGACTGACAGAGTCCCTCTGAGGGGAATCTCTTCAAGTCCACGTCTAGGCCACCAACATCCAAACTGTTTTCCAGCACCTCCCAAGCTATGAACGCCGCCCAATATCATTCGGTGTGGGTATCTTAGATGGCAAGTCTCTCGACCTTGTCGCGGAGAGCGCGGATGGGACCGGCTAGCTCGCTGCCCTCGTTGGAGGTGATGCTGGCAGCAATGACGGCGCGGGAAACACCGCAGGCACGGCCAAGGGCGGTCTTGGACTTGACGTAAACGTAGGGAACGTTCTTGTCCTCAGCCAGGAGAGGCAGGTGAAGAACAATGCTGAGAGGATTTGTGTCACTGGCTAGGATAATGAGCTCAGAAACACCACGGTTGAGGGTCTTGGTGGCTTCGTTGGCTAAGCAGAGATGTCAGTCACTGTGCAACTCGAGAACAAAAGCGCCAGACTTCTGGGACCAGAGAGACCCCGAGAAGACGAGAACACGGAATAAGACTTCACAGGAATAACTTACCGCCCTTCTTCAGCTGGCGGTAGTGCTGGCACTGCTGAACCATGTCCAGGAGCTCCTGCTGGAGAGCATCGTCGGCCAGGGGCCAAGCAGCAGATTCAGCCATTGTTGAGTGAAGTGGTGTCGAGAGATGTCTGATGAAAATGTTAGACTGCCAGAACGACTTCGCATTACTGAAGAGTACGCGACATACCAATATGCAGGGTTCCTTGCGGTGGCTCGCCCTGTTAGTGAGGTCGAAATTCGTGGTGAACGCGATGGATGGTCCAAAACTTTTTTTTTTCGAAGCCAGAAAAAAAAAATCCCACTTTCCCCAAACTCGGACGGCACTTGCCGTTGGAGAGTGGACCCTTCCGACAAGCGAAAGCGGAGCTCGTTCGGAACCGTAGTTTTCCCGAGCACCGCTGTGTCCGATGGACGCCTCCTGTCTTACGTAAGTGCACGGAGCTGTCAACGCGCCGCAAAACCTTGCAGCCAACCAGAAGGCCAACCTGGAAACGAGATCTTAACACAGCACACCTCACCTCGAGCAGTCGCCGAAGCAGCAGTCGAACCTCGCAGCCCCAACCAGCCATCACCGCATCGTCCTCAGCCCACTCGTCGCCGCAACTTCTTCAGTTCCCGACTTTCTCTTCAACTTTTTCTTTCGACTCGTCCGTCTTCGACGTCAATCAATACCGCCAAGATGCCTTCCGAACTCTGGTACGTCAACAATAGCCCCGTGTTGCCCCCGTTCCAACGACAGCTCCCTATCCATCAGCTGGAGCTCCCAACTCCATCCATCTCGAGACCCAACGCTTCCATCCAGCTTCGTGATGTTTTTCTCAAGCTCATATGCTAATGCGATCATGTCACAGCCCCGTCTACGCGGTTCGTCATCCCTGTCCCCCGAGTCCACGATCCATGACGTCGCCAACCCCCTTCATATCCTCGGATGAGCCATTTGGGCATCACCTCGACATCGCGTCCAACGATCATCGCTAACATGCCAGTAGCCCTTCTTCGGTGCCATGGGCTGCACCGTCGCCATCGTCTTCACCTGCTTGGGTGCCTCCTACGGTACCGCGAAGTCTGGTGTCGGTATCTCGGCTATGGGTGTCCTCCGCCCTGACCTGATCGTCAAGAGTACGCGAACCCACATCCATCGAACCGTCGTCTGCGACGCAGGCCACGAATACTGGAGGTCGCTAACATTTTCACGATAGACATTGTTCCCGTCATTATGGCTGGTATCATTGCTATTTACGGTCTCGTCGTGTCTGTGCTTATCTCCGACGGCCTTGCGCAGGAGATGTCTCTCTACACTGGTTTCATCCAGTTCGGTGCTGGTCTCTCTGTCGGTCTGGCCGGTCTTGCTGCCGGTTTCGCCATCGGTATCGTCGGTGACGCTGGTGTCCGTGGAACTGCTCAACAGCCCCGTCTCTTCGTCGGCATGATTCTGATTCTCATTTTCGCCGAAGTCTTGGGTACGCTTGACTCCTTCTGTTCTGCACTGCGAAGATAAACTGACAAACGCTCTCCAGGTCTCTACGGCTTGATTGTTGCCCTTCTCATGAACTCCAAGGCCAGCCAGGACGTCACCTGCTAAACGACGACACGCAACGACGAAAATGCTCGGTTGAACGGTTGACAAGATGTACTTAAGCCACAACTAGCACGGGCATAAACTTGCCTCACGCGGGCAACGACAAGATTATCATCAGCAGGCGCGTCGAATACTCGAATCAAATCAAAGGTTTACGGCATAGGCGTGGAATCGGTCAAAGGTCACGAAATGCCACTGTTTTGTTTGGAACGATCGGGGGGTGTCTCGGTCGGGGATCAAACGTATATGTACTATTGTGCCATCACAGGTATGCTATCCATTTCTGGGGGGCGGTTGCTCAGCATAGACAACGGTGGTGGAGAAGGAATTGTAGTCTAGGGTGCGATAATGCTTTCTTGCGTCTCTCTTATGATTTATGTTCAGTTCCTCGAGCGTGACGTCTATTGTAGCAGCTTCCAACTGCATTTACAGTGTTCGGCCCTTAGAACATCAAGGTAATGGGCCTTAAGGCCGTCGATAAAATCCCTTAGTGTGACATCGAGGCGTCATGAACCATATCCCCACAGGACTTCAAATTCAAGCGCCATCAAGTGAGCTACAAGACGCAGGCAGAGTCGGCACGTATCGTAGTGCTGACAAGTAATGTTACCTACAGCTTATCGATAGCAAGCCTTGCAAGATGAAGTCTTCTAGATGAGATTTCGACTCGATTTCCGTTCACAGCCGTGGCTCGGAAGGCGAGATTCAGGCACATGCGCACAACGTGATGATCCTCCGAGCGCGAAAGTGCACAACGCACATAGGATTTTAAATTGCTTTCATAACTTTTGAATACATCCACCACGGCCATCTTTCCCGTGCCCAGGCCGCCTGCCCGTCCCCTTTCCCAGACCATAGCATACTTACTCGGTCGCCGGCTGCGCGGCCGTCTCTTTCTTGGGAATCAGGCTGCGGAGGGAGAGATCGTAGACGACGTCCTCGACCCGCTTGACGTCGTACTTGACCGCGTCGACGCGCTTGCGGAGGATGTCGTTCTTGAGGTTCAGGAGCTGGAAGCCGGCGAAGAGGTCCTTGACGAAGCTGCTGATCTCGACGGGCAGGGAGAAGTCGCCCAGGGTGACGGCGTTGGTGGCGAGGCGCGAGAGCTCCGAGGTCACGTCGGTGAGGGCGAGGAGGTACTCCTCGATGGTCAGGTGGAAGGCGTCGCGGTCCTTGAGGTTAACAGGGACTGGATTTTTGTTAGCTGAAGGCTCGCCAGAGGGGAAAATGGCCGTACCCTTGAAGATCTCGCCGACCTCCTCGAGAGTCAGAAGACGACCGACCGGGCCGGGCTTGCCGTCCGAGGTGAGGCCGCCGAGCCAGCCGCATACGATGACGGTGAAGATGGCGTTCTGGACTTGACGGTTCCATTTCTGGTTGTACCTGGGTGAAGTTAGTAGATGCTGATGTGACGGGACGCAGATGCTTACTTGTAGTACGGGTGCTTCGAGGCCATCTCCTGCAGCTCACCGATGACCTCGACCTCCTTCTCGATGCCCTTTTGAACGTCGGACAGAAGAGGGGCATCTGAGCACGATTGCTTGTCAGCATGCGTAGCCCTTCCAGGGCAAATTTGCTGGACAGCTAAGAGCGAGACGCTCGGCGGGCAAAAAAACTCACACTGCTCACGCGGGGTAGCGTGGACGCGCGACAGGAGGCCCTGGACGTAGGAAATGGCTCTGTCAAGCTTCTGGACCGTCTGGCTCATCTGGTCCCTAACCAGCTGATCCTCGTCGATCTTGTTCTTGAGGTGCTCGAAGATTTGGGGGTCGAGGAGGCGGGAGGCGGGGACCTCGCCCATACTTGTGTCGTTGTCCATGGCTAGAGAAATTAGGACTGGATTATGAGCAGTGATTTTTTTTCGACCGGAGAGAGGAAATAAAGAGGCTCGCGGCAATTTGCAGACGAGGGCGTGTTGGAAGACGACTTGAACGGCGATGAAGATTGAGGTGGACTGTGCCTGCCCCGCGATTGGCACCTTACGTAGGTCGTCGGTGACGCTGAGAGACAACGAAAAATCAGAGTTTTCCCACTTACCTCAGGAACAATTTTGGGCAGTCACAAAACGAGCAGACGAATATTTACGACGAGTACTCGATCAACAATGTCACGTCGACAAGAAGGACCTCTACAATGGACAGGAACTTCTAAGAAAATCGTGCAAGGGTCAGTCGGTGGGCGGTCACAGCAGTCCTACGTAGCGGCGGAGACACGGCAAGGATCACCACATTTTCGGCATGCGGCTCAAGCTGACATCACATTCAACCAACGGAAACACGACAGAGCAAAAGAGAGGTCCTCTTCGCAAGCCTGGGCAGAGCCAGACAAAGCAATGAAGATCATGGGTTTGCATCTCCTGGAGGCAGTGAAATACCAGGGACACGGTGGGCGAGAGCATGCAGCAGGCTGCAGAGGCCCTCACCCGGCAGATCAAAAATAACAAAATCACGATCGATGTCCGTGGACATCTTTCAGAGATTAAGCTGAAAAGAACAGTATACTACACTTGATCTAAGCCAAAAGGCAACTGAGAAAGATGTTAGCAAACATCTCGAAAGGTAGGGGGTGGTGAAGTGACTGACAGAGAGCTGAAGAATCGAAGTTGAGGGTGGGAAATCGAGGGCATTATATATCTTCTGTAGGTGGCCTGTGCACGGTGGGCGGTCAGCGAAAAGTACGTACCACGGCAGAACCGACGGCGGTTTTTGAGAGGAAGGAAGGTACTGGTACGTGCGGGGCCCACCTTCTGCCTAGCTCCTTCCCAAGGCAGGTCCCAAGGCAGGCTGAGGTCAGGATCGCGAGATTGATGGAAAGACCGATGAAATAGTTCAGTCGTTTGAAGATACAGCTGCCGATTCTTGCCAAACTAAGGGAAATATCATGATTTATCGAGGGCAAGATCGCAAGATCAGTCAAAAGCCTCTTACTGGAGCCAAATGGGGATGGCCTCAAGAAAACGATTCCACACCAAGCGTCCTCCTTGAGCGTCCGTTTCTTTTGCCTTGAGACTTGGCTGGCCATCAATCTTTTCCCTCCATTCATCTGGGAGCCATCATTCACCTCGCCAAGACCTTTGTTTCGTGAAACATTCTCTTGGGAGCAACTCATCAGTGGACTGTCGCGTGACTGCTCATCATGTGTGCTGGGCTGCCGATACCTGCACCCGCAGGAGGGTTGTCCCCAACAAATGGCCACGGTGAATCGATGACGGCAAGACGACCGTCGATGCCAGTCAACCTCACGCAGAATAGGCAGGAGAACAAATGGACCAATAACTTCATGAGGATGAAGCCAAAACACTACACAGCGACACGCTACGAAATATTGGCGATCCTTATCCAAGGAGAACCCCTTTTGAGCGTTACCAAATTGCGCGACGGAGACACGGAAAAGTCCAAAAACCGCTCCTAATGCCAATGTCCGAGAATCCATCAAGTTCCTAGACCGGGAGATGCATGTCATGCAGGCATCGTCTAGCAAAAAGCTGGGGGAATCTCACCCAGAAGCTTACCCAAATGCTTAGATAATGAGGGAGGCAACCTCGACCTCGGACCTTGCAGCACCTGCACGATTCGTCTAGCAGCGGGGAACACCTCGAATCCCAATTGAAGCAAAATCAAGCTTCTCATTGGCCTGTGATCTAGACGAAAGCTGCATATGCGGGTCTTCGAGGCCGAGGGACCTCCCGAGCAGGTTAGAGTAGGTACATCCGGACAGCAGGGCTTCCCACCAAATACAAAGTACCCCAATTTCAACTCTGTTCGTGACCCTTGACTACCGGCAGAAAGGGGGCCAAACACAAATGTCAACAAAATTTTGATAGAGCAGAAGACAGGGCCCAATCGAAATCGAGGACACGCTGCGATTTTCTTGACCTGCGCCGTCCCGTCACAAGGTTTGATTTCCTGTCCTGCACGCCACCTTTGACGCCTTCGTGCTTCGCCCGGTCGTACTCGGATTTCCATCCTGACCGCTCCCGCTCCCTCCCTTCCCATGCCTCGGACGACATCTTGTCGCTAAGAAGCCAAATTGATCCTCGAACCCTGGCAGGCTGCCCAAAGATCCACGACCATCTCACACGGACTTGGTTCAGCTACACGAGAGGTGCATGACCCCACGTTAGGCATACCTGCACAGATATAAGAAAGCTTTCAAGATGTCGAGTCGATACTCATTGAGGCAGACGCCTAGGTTAGTCAATTGACTTTTCCCGTTCTTTTCTTGCTTCTGGAGCGTCTTTTCGAAGCACTTGGACCTGTCGCAATCACCATACGGCCGAGGTAACTACGCAAAGTAGCTTCTTGCCTTATTCATCTGTCAATACCCGACGCACGCGACCTTTCTCAAGAACTTATTCGCTGACCAATTCTACAGAAAGAAGGAGCTCTTTGAGGGCATGGTTGAGACCCCCCGACGTACCTCTTCCCGGCGCAAATCCCCCGAGAACGAACCCACGGCAGACACCACCGAGTCCAAGATGCCTGCCCGTACTCCCCGCCGCCGCGCCACTGGCAAGTTCCGCGAGGAGCTCGACGACGAGATCGTCTCCGATGGGCCCGTCGCCAACGGCAAGACCGAGGCGGATGAGCCCCTGTCTAACGGCCACGCCAACGGATACTCCAATGGGCACGCCAATGGACACACCAACGGACACGTGAAGGAGGAGCCCGTCAATGGTCACGCCACCAACGGACACGTCAAGGACGTCAAGACAGAGCTTCCTGCGAACGGCAAGGCCCCTACCAAGGAGAACGCCGAGCGCGTCTACAGAGAGGGAGAGATCATCGACGGCTGGAAGGTCGGCACCGACCCCAAGATCGACGCCTCGGGCGAGTTCGAGTTCGGTGGCAGCCTCGGCACGCTGTCTCTGATGATCGGCTTCCCTCTCCTGATGTGGTACATGTGGATTGGAGCCACATACTACGATGGCAAGCTGCCTTCTCGCGAGGAGGGCCAGAGCTGGGCAGACTTTGGTCGCCATCTTGCCGACCTCGTCTACACTGGCGCGTTCCCTTCTCTGCGCGCGTGGCGCATCTACTGGACATTCTTCATCTTCGAGGGTGCTTGCTACTGCTTGCTCCCTGGTGTCTGGGCCTGGGGCAAGCCTCTTGCTCATGAGGGCGGCAAGCAGCTCAAGTACTTCTGCAACGCCTACTTCAGCTGGAACTTCACTATTGCGGTCATGGCTGTCCTCCACTTCAGTGGTCTCTTCCCCATCTACACCTTCATTGATGAGTTTGGACCTCTGATGACTGTGGCCATCATCAGCGGCTACTTGGTCTCCTTCGTCGCGTACTTCTCTGCTCTGTGGAGAGGAGCTCAGCACCGCATGACTGGCTACCCCATCTACGACTTCTTCATCGGCGCCGAGCTTAACCCTCGCATGTTCGGCATCCTGGACTTCAAGATGTTCTTCGAGGTTCGCATTCCGTGGTTCATTCTCTTCGGTATCAGCTGTGGTGCCGCGGCCCGCCAGTATGAGAGATACGGATACGTCTCTGGCGAAGTTGCCTTCCTCGTCATGGCCCACTACCTCTACGCCAACGCCTGCGCCAAGGCTGAGCAGCTCATCGTGCCGACATGGGATATGTACTACGAGAAGTGGGGTTTCATGCTCATCTTCTGGAACTTGGCTGGAGTTCCTCTTTCGTACTGCCACTGCACCATCTACCTCGCCAACCACCACCCCTCCGAGTACAAGTGGAACCCCTTTGCGCTCACTGCCCTCTTCGTCTCCTACCTGTTTGTCTACTGGGTCTGGGACACCACGAACAGCCAGAAGAACAGCTTCCGTGCTCAGGAGCGTGGCCAGCTCATCAAGCGCAAGACCTTCCCCCAGCTTCCTTGGGGTGTCGTCAAGAACCCCAAGACCATCACCTCGGACAAGGGCGATGTTATCCTCGCTGACGGCATGTACGGATACGCTCGCAAGATCCACTACACTTGCGATGCGTTCTTCGCCATCTGCTGGGGCTTGATTACCGGTTTCCAGTAAGTCGAAGACACAATCATGAGCAAGGACCCGAGGCTAACAAATTAACAGGAGCCCCTTCCCCTGGTTCTACCCGGTCTTCTTCTGTGGCATGATTGCTCACCGCGCGGCTCGTGACATCCACCGCTGCCGCCAAAAGTACGGCGATGCTTGGGCCGAGTACGAGCGCCAGGTCCCCTACCTCTTCATTCCCGTAAGTCCAACCAGTCAGGTCTACTGCGCAAGTTCGCGACTAACCTCCGCCAGTGGGTTATCTAAACAACCAAATACTTCCCCGTCTGCAATGGATGTGTACTATATACATCGGTCTTTCGACCATTTCTGTACATATATGCTTCGTCACCTTCTCGGTGCAACTACCTTTGTTAATGATGGGGTAATCGGAGCAGGTCGGCCAGTAACGAAAAACTGCCGGCGACACGTTGCCATACCGGCATAAAAGCGTTGTAATCATGGCGACGGTACCATTTCTCAGAGTGGTACGGCCGCATCTTCTCATGTATATACGGATCACGATATTTGCACAATCTTGTCAATGAAACTCTGTAAAACATTCCACCTACATCTCATTTCTTCCCTACAAACAGTAACAGTATAGGTCGTGTTGCCTTTCTCCCTAGAGCATCTTCATGTGTTCTCAACCCGAAACTCTTTATCATGTCAAGTCTCAAGAGACATATCTCCAACCGCGCTCCACGCCCGAGTGCTCCGAATACCCCTCTGCTTCATCCAGCTTCTTGTTCAACTTGATCGCACGCCACTTGGCCAACGACGCAGACACAACAACCAACGCACACCCGACCAGCACCAGACCACCGCCGAGACGGTAGAACGGCTCGTGCGAGCGCGGCCAGAAGTACGGGCTGAACCAGTGGCTGACCTGACTAAGGCAATTCGCAATGGCGATCAGCGCTGCCTTCTTGCTCCTCGGCGCCGGCACCACCGACGTCTCCCACGACAGCTGCAGGTTGAGGCCGTTGTAAGTGCCCGAGATCAGCAGGAAGAGGCCAAAGTAGCGGGCGCCGATGTTCATCGTCGAGATGAGGACGGAAACACCGACGGCGCTGCCGATGATGGGCAGCACGACGTGCCAGAAGGATTCTTGCATGCGGCCCGAGGACCAGGCGCACGCGCACGCGAAGGCGTAGGCGAATGCATATGGGGGAGCTTGGATGAAGTACGTCGTGAGCTCGCCGAAGTCGAAAGTCTTAACGATCTGCTTCGGGTCAGTTGCCGGAAACATCAAAACTCTTGACATGGGAGCTTACCGATGGGAAGAAGTCTTTGAAAGACTGGGCCGTGACGAGAGAGAAGTGCATGAGGCAGAAGATCCAGGTAAACGGATCCTTGACGGCGTCTCTCAGGCCATCCCAGGTCCCACCTGCCGTCTCTTCCTGGCCGCCGTTGGAGCAGAGCATGCGGTACTGCGCCATCTCTCGCTCGGCTGGCGTGAGGAACCTGGTGTTGTGCGGCCAGTCGGGAAGCAGGGCGTAGGCCGACAACGCGATGACGAACGTCGCGATTCCTTCGATGAGGAAGAACCATTGCCACGAGTGCAGGTTCGAGATCCCGTCCATCGTGGTGAGGATTCCTGCGGCAAGGAAGCCGGAGATGATGTTGGAGATGGTGTTGCCTGCGTGCCATACGGCCATGCGCGTGGGGCTCTCGTGCTTGTTGTACCAAGACGAAGTCACTGTTACACACGTCAGCTTCCTTGTGCTTTTGGCCTTGAACGGTCATGGGTCTACATACTAAGCGTGATGCCAGGGAAAAAAGGAGCTTCGGCGAGACCAGTTACGAATCGCAACACGGCAAATCCGGGACCGCTGCAGATAGATATCAACTTTGCGTTCGAGCATTATAAGCATAGCGTATGGTCCTTTCTTACTTCTTCAGAGCAGGCGTGCAAATGGTCGCCGCGCCCCAGGCCACCATGGTCGAGGGGAGGAACCATCGAGGATTGGCTTTGGCGAGCCACAAGTTTCCAGGCAATTGACCAACGAGATACCCGATGTAGAACGTCGAAATGCCCAGGTTCCACATGGTGTCTGACATGTGAAGGTCTTCCTGCATGCCGGCCAATCTGGCGTTGGAGACGTTGATGCGGTCGAGGTAACTACGCAGCGTCAGCGATTGTCAATTAAAGCGAGTGTCCGTCTCTGAGTTGGGAAGAACAAGGCTGACCTCATGAGGAACACTGAAGATTTCCATATTAGCTTTTGAACATACATCGCTTCACAGACGCAAGCACTAACTCAGTGTAATCGTAGGCATCATGCGCCAGTCGATCTTCTTCACCACGCTCTTGTTGAGTTGCTCCATCTCGGCATTGTTCAGGTCGCGGAGGAGATCGAAACGGCCTTGAATCTCCGCCTCAGAGAACTGTTGGGTCTGCTCCGGTTTGCCCTCTGAGGATGATTGGCGCTCGACCTCATCACATCTGACGACATCTTTGTTAGCAGTGTTCTGGTCTTCGCTGCCGCCGTTCGTTGGACTCATGGTGACTTGAAAGACGTCGGCGGGGTGAGACTATGGCGTACAGAAGCGAGTGCTGTCTCTCTTTCACACATCGTGTCTTTCTCTCTCTCTCTGTCGGAACAGTCTTTATATCTGTAAAGCTGTTGCGGGTCATTCTTCTGGACTACCGCCCCGAGTCAAAAGAGGATCTTGGACATCCTTGGCAATCTGGGGACTCCAGACTCACCCCGCGTTTGGATCGCCGGGGAAAGATAACGAGACCGGGATACGGGGGAACGGTGGTGAGACGGGATCTCCACAATGAGGTCTTTCGTGTTCCCGCGGGAAGGACCAGACGGTGTTGTGCGCGCGACCCCTCACTCCTTCGTGTAAGCGGAGTTTGGCTAGCGTGTTGTTGGTTCAGGGAAGGCAAGGCAGATGGTAGTATGGGAATGAATTGAACAGCGGACACGTTGCTCCATGCTGTTCAGCAAACACCTCAGCAAGCATCTTAGCAAGCGTCTTAGCAGGCGTCTCATCAAGCATCTCATCAAGCATCTCATCAAGCATCTCATCAAGCGTCTCAGGCACGCATGGCTTGAACCACCTGATGCAGTAATAGCGGTTGCATATGTCTTGACAACTGATACGCCATATAGACGCTTCGAAGAAGCTTAGATTAGCATCGTGGCTAAGGATCACCCAAACTGCTAATGCATATGATTTTGTGATAAAATCACGCGAAATTGTCGTTCTGAACTAGCGCTGCCTGACTCTATTGCTCTCTCTATCTTCGTCTCTGTCCCTCTTCGCCTGCGAAGTACTCCGCCCGAATAATCGAAGTTCTCAAATTCTTTCGAACTGCAAATCTACTCGGCAGAATTTCGTAGAAGATGCGCTACGTTCTCATAAACAGTGAAAACAATCCCGCCACTCAAAACCAGACGCCCAAGCCTCATTGTGCTTCCACTCCAGAACCCTCGAACTCCTCTTTCCGACAGAACCATTCGGAAAGCCTCCACTAGGCTGGCGCCGCGAGCAGACTGCGCCTTGGTCTTGATGGTATCGAACGGCTGCGTAGCGTAGACGGTGATGATTCCGGCGATGGCCCCCGAGCCGAATGTCACCATACTGTTGTCTGGCAGCTTATATCGCTTTGAGAGTTCTCTCAGGACGTTGTACGAGCCCATTCGCACGGCCGAAGTGGTCGACTGCTTCAGTGTGGTGGATATGAGCCCGCGGTACACCTCGCTGATGCCGTGCTGCTTCAACATTGAGGATAATGCATGGATGCCGCCTTTGTACTTTCTTGGGCTTGAATTCGCGTCATCGATACTGTAGTCTCAACAGATCAGCAAGGCATATCAACCTGGCTTCCGACATATCACTTACAGTGCAGTCTTGACACGTTCCGTAGGGGTTACTGCGACGATGCTCTCCACGCAACCTGCGATCATACCAGCGAGAATGCCTCTGGCTGGTGTCAACTTTCCTTCTTCGTCCATCAAAGCGTTTCGAATTGAGTCAAACGACAAGAACCGAACGCCTGCTTTGAAGGTGGTGCCCTGTATTCAACGTGAGCAACAATTACGCATAGCAGGTTATGGTTGCATACGATGATCAAGGTTGAGCATCCTGTATAAATTGCCCTTGGCCCATCTTTCTTGACCACATCAAGAAGTACTGCGAAAGGATTTCTGGATGTTGCTGCGTGCAGTTGAGTTCTCGTCTTGGCAAACTCGAAGGGGTACTTTGCTCGTGTGACTAGACTTCAGCATGTTTCCTGAGTCCGCGGAGATTCAACTTGCGTACCGTGACTGCTGCTTCTACGCCGCCAGCTATGCCCCCAGAAAGAAGAGAAATACCCGGAGATATTTTGTGTTTTTGCTTGGTGGTAGAAGCCGTTGCCGGCCCTTGTCTCATGGGTGCCAGCACCATGGGCCTTGGGGCGGGAGGCGCGTAGGACGTAATAGACGACATTTTTCTACTTCGATCTCTTTTTGATTCAATTTTGATTTCGAAAAAGTAGTTCAAGTCGAAGAAGAACTTAGAAACAGCAAAAAGTCAACTTGAAGACACCAAACGAAGGGATCTCACTTGGATGCAGGCTTACATCGCTCAAATGAACTTCACTCGCCCTCGCTTGAACAAAAAATGACATAATCAGATATCTACATCTCTCAATTTAAGATGTATTTTCAGCAATTCATCCAAAACAAGACAGACCTCCATGCCTCTCTATTCTAAGGTCGACCGTTCCCGCGGGTTACGGTGTTAGTGACATCGACTCCGGACTTTAGTTCCAACCAATCACACACCTTCCCGTTCCCGCGGGAGTAAACGGGAACGTCTCGTTATGGCCGTGCGAGTCTTCCCCGAGTACGATTACATCCGCGGGAAACATTTTCGCAGGTGGGATGCATCCATTCCTCATCCGCCATTGTTGGGCTTGCTAGATTTTACCATTTGCAATTTGACTCACTTCCGCTTCCCTTCCCATGGCTCCGGTGCCGGGTGACACGACTGTCTCGGGCCGTCCACGTCGACGGGCCGTTGAAGCCTGCACATTCTGTCGAAGGCGCAAGGTTCGTGAATCAGCTACTTTTCGACTGGTTGTTCCACAGCTAATACCAATCATAAAGATTAAGTGCAACAACGAGCAGCCAACATGCGCTAATTGTAAGACATACGGCAAGGATTGCGTCTACGAACCCTTGTCAACCCCTCCAACCAACCCGCCTCCCGTATCAAGGTCGGCTCGTAGTAATACCGAGCGTCGGCAACGGGCTACACGGAGAGATGCTGGGTCATGGTCTCGTACTCCGTCTAGGCGTGAAAACCAAGACCAAAACGATAGTAGAGACCGTCATGACGAGCATGAGGCCACACCATCTCCTGCAAACGATGACGTCGGCACCCCGACACAACAACCACAGGCGGAAGGCCGGCCGGAAACACCAGTCGGATCAAACCCCTCTCGCCGGGCCGGTGTTTCCCGCATTGTGGTATCCGCGAACGGGGTGTCGAGCTATCATGGCCGTACAAGCGCGCTTTATGAGGAAACCTATCAAGAGCGCGCCTCTGCGGCCGACTTGCGCCCGCGGATGCCAGACGAGTGGATCGAGAAAGGTCTGGTTGCTGAGGCGGCGAAGCAACGTACGTTTTCCGTTACCGTCAAACCTCTTCATCCCCTTAGCCTCTTGTTGACATTCTATAGGTCAATTAGAGGACTTCAATTACAGGGCGGGTACATTGGACTTTGACGGTGTGGATCCTGAGTTGGGGATGCATCTGCTCTCTCTTCACTGGAACCGGCAGCATCATTCCTTCTTGCTGACGTACAGACCAGCATTCATGCGGGACATGGTATGCAACGGTCCTTACTTCTCCAAGATACTGCTCAACGCCATTTACTTTGGCGCCTCTAAATTCAGCCCCCGTCGAGAAGTCCGAAGGGATCCCGATGATGTTCGCACCGCAGGCTGGGCCTTTCGTGAGCGCGTCCGCAAGCTACTCGGCGACGCGCTCGATAAGAGTGACATCACTACGATACAGGCCTTGCTAGTGATGACGAATTCTCTCTTTGCCCTTGGAGACGAAAGAAGCGCTGCTTGGCTATACGCAGGACTGGCTTTCCGCATGATCATCGATCTGGGCATGCATGTTGATGCTCCTGGTCTCGGAATCACGAGGAAGTTCTCTGATGAGGATCTCGAAATAAGAAGGCGAGTCTTTTGGGGTGCTTTTGGTAAGTTAAGCGGCTCTACCTTCTCTATATCTTCATCCTCAGTATCAATAACTTACTCAGTTTCTCAGTTGTCGACAAGATCCAGAGTCTCTACCAGGGTCGCCCGGCGTCCCTGAAAGAGTCCGATACCCTAGTTCCTATAAAGTTCCTCGACACCTTTGAGGAGTTTGAGAACTGGGCACCGTTCGCATACACTGCCCAGAACAATGCCTATCCCGGCTCTCCTGCTTACAGTGTGTCGACGTTTACACATCTGTGCCGGCTTTCGGTCGTCATGAGTGATATACTGAGTTGCATATACACAGAAAGAGCCTTTGACAGGAGTCCCCAGGAGCTTTCTACAATGCTTGAGAATCTCAGCTCAAAGCTTGCAACATGGAAAAGTAGTCTGCCAACGCACCTAGTTTTGGACCCTCATAGCGATTTCAAGACCCCGCCACCTCACGTACTTAGCTTACAGTAAGTACAAGTTCAGAGATCTATCAGTCATGATTGATATTCCCCTCACGACCTTTAACTAACGTTGTTTAAGCGCCATGTTCCACGTCCTCACCATCCTGCTCCACAGACCATTTGTCGCCGACGGTCACCTCTACAACACTTCTCGCTCTATCTCAGTAAACTCGTTCATGACATGTGCGTCAGCTGCAAACAGTATTGTAGACGTTCTACGCACGTACGACAAAGTCTTCTCTGTCAGACATGCACCCTATCTCATATCGTATGCCACCTACGTAGCAGCAACCATTCACGTCCGTATAGCAGCGAAGCGAAGCCCCGAATCAGGCGCGAGGGAGCGTTTGGAGACTTGCTTATCCGTCTTCAGAGAAAATCAAGAGACCAACTGGGCAGTACGGAGAGCAAAGGCTATAGTTGAAGGTCTGATGACGAGACTTGGTGTCAAGGTCACTCAGAACGAGTCCCAGATCGCTGGCAACTCGGCTTCAAGTACAAACGAGACTACGTTGGAGCTGGAATCCAGACAGCGCACCGGAATCATAAGAATTGAAGCAACAGGGCAGTCAACATGTCATTCATCTTTGCCCGGAAACGAGTCGCCTTCGATGGGATGGTCTGACATTGACGGGATCATTCAAAGTTTCGTTCGGGGGCAAGACTTCCACGCGAGCTCCATGGAAATGGATTCGGAGCCTTACAACCAAGCGTTGCCGTCTTCAATACTAGGTAGTCAGCAAACTATTGGCGACTCCATGGGTGGTATCAATAACCACACGCTAGGGCTGCCGGGCGGGGATGGTGGGAGTGCCTCAGTAGACGATTTGCTATTCGGATTCAATGGTTCCGCTCTCGACAGTTTCTTCTACTAGAAATATCAAGTTTTCGTCAATTCTTTATCCCTCGAAATGTTTGGCAATCCAGCGCATGTTGCTGCGTACAAATAATGTGGCCCATCCTCCGTATTCTTGCAGCCGCCAACATCATACAACACCTTGAGGAATAACTTTCCACATAGGACACAATGTAAGTGCACATACCTAGCACTCAACACTGTAAGGGTTTATAAGCCCATATATATGTGCAAGCCCTCCCAGCTAAGTTTTCAGCCCATATGGTCATGAATGGCCTCAACCACCACCCAGTATGTGAGTTCAATCTTTCTTCGAATTCAAATGGTGTTTTCCCCCGGTTATGACGTATTGAGCGAGGGCATAAGACACGGGATTACTGCGTTGGATCCAGCAGCTGATGTTGAAGTGGAAAGTGGAAACGATCTCTGACATCGGTCCCGCGGGAGGCTTGCTTCCGCGGATACGGGGTATCAGCACAGCATCATTGCCGATATTGTTCATCACCGTGAGGCCTCCATCACCCCAAGTTTAATAGGAATACTTCTTTATTAACACTCATGTTCTCATAAGCCAGTCTGTCGAGTGCATCTGGCAGGCATCATTCAAGCACTTCTTCTGGGAACCCTAAATGATACTAAGAGGAAAGCCTTTGAGACACCACTTTGGGTGCCGCAGGCAACTTCACCAACTACTCCATCAAAGTCCAGCACCTTTTCATTTCCCCATAATGGCCATCACCCCGTCCGTGTCGAAGCGCCGGGTGAGGCACTCGCTCCCGGCAGTTCTCATGCGAGCCGGCACCTCCAAGGGGCTCTTCATACACCGTTCTCACCTACCTCCGTCAGAAAACGACTGGAAAACACCACTCCTGGCGGCCATGGGCTCGAGGTACAACGACGTCCGCCAGATCGACGGCGTCGGCGGCGGAAGCAGCGTCACTTCCAAAGTCGCTGTCGTGGCGCCCTCAAGTCGACCCGGCGTTGATGTCGAGTACACCTTCGTCCAAGTTGCCGTGGGCACTGAGACGGTCGATCTCAGTGGGAACTGCGGAAACATCTGCTCCGGAGTAGGGCCCTTCGCCGTGCAAGAGAGGCTGGTCACACCGTTGCCGGGCGCGAGATCGATGGATGTCCGCATCTTCAACACCAACACCTCGAAACTCATCGTGGAGACCGTGTATCTCGACGAGGACGGCAATGTCGAGGAGGACGGAGACTGCCTCATTCCCGGTGTCAAGGGTGCCGGAAGCGAGATCAAAGTTGCATTCGTCGAGCCGATGGGAAGTATGACCGGCAAGCTGTTCCCCAGCGGGCGCCCATTGGACAGCATTCTTGTGGAAGAGGTTCCTGAGTTGGGTCCTTTCATAGTGGAGGCGACTTTGATAGACTCGGCGAACCCGTTTGTCCTAGTTGACTCTCAGACTTTGCCCCTGCTGGTCAGAAGCCAAGCGCCAGACTCACCGTTGGCTCTTGAGGTAGCTGAGGCCATCCGAAAACGCGGTGCACTTCTTATGGGACTTGCGAATACCATAGAAGACGCCGGTCTAGTCAGAGGCACACCAAAGCTGGCCTGCCTTTTGCCACCAAGCTCTGGCGGCATCTCCAAACACGAGGCGGATATTCGAGTTCAAGCATACAGCATGGGAAAGCCACATCCCAGCCTGCAACTCACGGGTGGTGTCACGTTGGCCAGTGCTATGATTATGGACGGGACCGTGGCTCACCGCGTGGCAAAGAGCGGTACGACGTTGCTTGCTGATGGGATACCGACACCCAGGAGGACACCGAGTCCTACATCCGAAAGTGAAGCCTCAACTACAAGAAATATCCCAGTTCAGAGTCACGAAAACCGCCAGATGTTCCGGATTGAACATGGGAGCGGGGTGATGGAAGTGGAAGCTTGGACAAGAGAGGGTAATGATGGAGTTGTTGTTGATCGCTGCATCGTTTCGAGGACTGCTCGAAGACTATTTGAGGGGAATGTGCTATATTACACATAATTGGTAAGAAAGGGAGACTTTTGGTACTTCGGAATCAATAAGAGATCTTTTGAATTGCTGGCCCGCGTTGCGTTTGCTTTTGGGAAGCATGTCCAAAGTATTCACGAATTCTAACGCGAGGCCAGCATCCAAGTCCATCGTATGAGTCCCGATAGTTCCCAGCAATGCAAACCAACGCCACCTGGCTCTTCAGGTCTCTTGCGCCGCCAAGATGGCTCTCGAAGGGCGCTCTCATTAAGCAGTTGTGGCCATCAAACAACTGAGGCAAGACCTCTCCATCAGTCTCATTATCTAGTAAGTAGATGAATGCTCGGCTGAAGACACCCTAGCCATGACAGCCGAAAACCTGATGTAAGGTATCTCTCTTCAGATCGACATCATATTCGTAATCGCATCTTGAAATCCCATTCACGAACGGCCATGAATCCTCAGTATCTCCAGTCTGCATTTCATGACATGCCTATGAGAAATCTAAGAACCCACTCAGCCGCCACAGCAGCGTCATCTTCCTTCCTCGTACCGTCAAACGCCTTCTGCAGAAACTCCGGAGAGAAGCCCTTCTCAGGCGTGTAAAAGTACTTAATCGTCTCTTCCATCATGACCTGGTCTCCCTCGAAATGGGGCTGGATAGTAAGCACCCTCTCCGGCTCGTAAAGCCCCTGTACCACACAATGTTCACTGCCTCCAATATTCACCCACTCGCCGGGTAGCTTTCCGGATGGTTTCGGCAGAGCCACGTGGTCGCCGTGACACATCTGCAGCCTCAGCCCGCGCTCATCCTTCCCGTCGACCTTAGCGAGCTTTTCCAGGCAGGGGAAGTCCCGCACGAGCTTGGGGTGGAGAGAAATCGTCTGGACGCCGAACTCGTACCCCTTGGGATCCTTCTCGACGACGGCGCCGTGCGGGCCCAGGAGGACCTGGCCGATGAGCTGGTGCCCGAAGCAGGTCCCGAAGATGCGGACGTGCGGGTGGTTGGCGTAGACGTCCTTGATGAAGGCTGCGAGGGCGAGGACCCAGGGGTCGGTGTCGTAGGCGGCGGCGATGGAGCCTGTGATCAGGATCGAGGTGACGCCGGAGGGGTCCGGGTAGGATCCCGCGAGGACGTCCCAGGTTGTGATTTTGGGGAGGGGAATGTTGGCGCGGGTTGCGGCGTTGGTTAGGTGCTTGATATAGGCTGCGCTGTAGTATTTTCCGTGCGTTTCTTGGATTGCCGGGACTGTTGTGTCTGTGTCCAAAATGGCGATGTGAGGTGTGGGAATGTGGCCGTTAGTGGCTGGTGTTGTGGGTTGGACCATGATGATTTCTGCTCTTTAGTCGAGGCTGTTAGTATTGAGCCAGAGATAAGAAGTAATTTCAAAGAGGCTCACTTTTTCACTCAATTCTTGGAATCGAGATTGGCTGTTTCAATCTTCGAAATCCTGATTGGGTTTGATGATTGATAGGTATGGTCCAATAGAGAAGAAGGTAAAGACAAAAGAGGTGTTGAATTATGCAACGGTTGTGCGGTTGCTGAATGAAGTGTCGAAGTGGACTAGTCTCGGCTGTCATTCCGAGTCAAGAGTTCGGAGGTTATGTGTCACGATCTCCGGAATTCGGCCGTCAACGCCGGTGTCGGGCATGGGGCCGAGAGAAGATCCACATGTGTGGACGCAGTTGATCTAAACGGATTCATTGCTCTTTTCTGGATTTTTAAAACCAAATTAAAAACCAATTGGCCTTTGTCCAGAAGTCTGGCTAAAAAACGAGCACGAACTCATAACTTGTCTCAATGGGCCGTAGATTTATAAAACTTCGATGTATTTGGTATTTATTGAGTGCTGCCGAATCATGATACGGTACGCAAAGCAAGCCGTCCGACCAGGCCTTCACTAGATATCCAGCTTGGACTTCTTCAAAATATGCTCTAATAATCGGTGGTTCTGCAACGCTGCTTCGAAGTCGGCGTAACAGTCTTGTCTTCCCTTGGCGAACGCGTCTAAAATCAAGGCAGTGTTGACACCGCGCTGGCCAACGTCGGCCGCGACACCAAGATCTTCGTCGAGGTCCACCTCCCGCACTTCACCGCCCAGGCTCTTTATCTTCAGCTTCCTTGCGGGTGCGTAAGCTTGCCAGCTGAAAGATGGCGTCGTGGTTTCGATTTCGCCTTTGGAGCCAGTAATGACCCAGCGAATGCCGACATCGTCTACAGTTGATGCCGCCGTGCGGAAGTTGATCATGGCGGGAGCGCCATTCTTCAGCAGCCCTTGGACGAGAATGTGGTCGGGGGCGGTCTTTGGGTGGGATGGCTTTACTATGCTCGTTCTATCCGATGAGTAAATGGCCACCTCATCTACGTCGGTTTTGAGAATCGAGGAGATGGTGTCGGTTTGGAAGGCGCCGACTATATGAGTGAAGGAGTCCAAAACTGGCAAAGTATTAGCATGAGACGTCGACAATAATTGATCTAAATGGAGCTTCTTACAGTGTCCGAAAATGACTTGAAACGAAGTAGCTCCGCCGGAGATGTCGAGGTACGGTGCGGTATCCTCGGTCCAGAACTGGGGGGGAACAGCAGGAAGAGTCCCCAACGCGACAACGTTCTTGATGTCTCCAATCTCGCCGCTGTCGACAATTTGCTTCAACTTGGCCATGACCGGGTCCCCACGGGCCTGGAGTCCAACAATCGTCTTGAGGCTGTCCGCCCGGGCCAGACCTGCCATTTGTTCAGCCTCCTCGACCGACTTACCCAGGGGCCACTCAACGAAGACCTGCTTCTTCTGCTGCAAAGCCGGTAGGGCAAGTTTGAGGTGGTGCGTGACGACGACGCTAACGATAACGAGGTCGACGTCTGGGTCATTCGCGAGCTGCTCGGGGTCGCCGTACACTTTCGTCGTTTCTGGCAGCTTGTGGAAGTCTCTGGATCGACGAGCAGCATCAAGAGATGAGTTGCAGAGAGCTGTGATGGTATACTCTGGAGAGTTCTGGATGGAGGGAAGGAAGGCGGTCGAGGCCCAAGCTCCCGGAGCGAAGGCCGCTGGTTTGGCTGAAAGGCCGATGATGCCGACTCGGATTGGCGACATAATTGTGGTGATATGGTTCTGATGTAAGAAAAAATAATGTTGACTGTGTGATACTTCAGAAAGATTCAGAGCATGACCCTCTGGTTGTTATTCCTGTGGTCCGAGGAGCGAGTATGTGAAGTTGACGGGACGAGGATGTGCTATATTTATGTTGATGCGTCAAGCATCACCCACAGCTCAAATAGCCAATTTTCCAGCTTATTGAGGGTGTTTCTGGCCCCTTGGTAACTCATGCGAAACACAAGACATAGAAGCGAGGTAGTCTTGGAGGAGCATCTTCATCAATTTCCGGAGCTTCGGTGGTTTCAGCTTCTGATTGGCTGGAACTCCGAAAAGGACGGCGTAACAGGTGGGGCACCCGGGCGGCCGGCGCCGGAGTGGGCTCACAAGCGATAGCTCATTGGTTGGAACTCCGGAGGATGCTGACGGTCGACAAGGATCGTCGCGCGCCCCCTTTCTTTGTCCATTCACACAACATACGCAACGGAGCTGACCAGCTTCCAGCAGATTGCATCAAAAAATTTCATCACCGAGCTGTTGTCCCGATGTCCGGTCGCAAGAAATCATGTGCCCCTTGCCGGACAAGTAAGGCGAAGTGCTCCCTCGATCTGCCCTGTCGGCGGTGCGCAGATCGGCACCTGGACTGCAAATATGATCATCTGCCAAGGCGGGCGGCGGCGCGGGTGCTGCGACCCGTCGGCAGCAACCGCGGAAGCGGACCGCCTGTGCTGCCCGAGAAAGATGCTTGGCTGCCAAGCAACGGAGTGATTGGGCCATGGCCGGATAGCACGGCGCCGTTCGCATCGGATGGGAGCGCTCTCGTCTCTCAGGTGTCCGACGTCAACGAAATGTCAAGTCAGAGCATAGATTACTGGGTAGACTCGGGAAGCTCAGGTCCGACGTCAAGCCTCGAGCCTTTTCCTGGTTGTGGCCTTCAACTCTTGGATCAGAGGTTTGAACAAATGATCGCTGCTCCCCTGAGGGTGCCACAAGTTCTTCCTTTTGACAACTCGATTCCGTTCGAATCGGCAGGTATACCATGGCTACAACAGCAGTCGCCCAATATGTCCGATTCGGCCTTAGTCGCCATCCAGAGCCCAAAAACGCCGCACCCAACTACACTTAGAGGCCAACCACTGTCAGGTCAAGTTAACAAACACTACAACGAGTCCCCTTTCCTCCCAAGAGTGCGCAAGCCCGTCTCTGCATCCTTCACTGCAAAGGTTCTTCTCGGTCAACTACTGTCCTATCCCGAGATGATGGTCAAAGGCGGACGACTACCACCCTTCATCTTCCCCCAATGCGCCATCGACGGGGTGGTATCTCCGGCGGAGTGTAGTTCTCAGGGATATCATCGGTGTTTGCCAGAGGAGCTCGCAATTTGCTGCAGTTTGATACAGTCCTACGAGGCAAGGACCCCCGGAAGCGCGGCTTTCGTATGGAAAAGTATCTACAAGGAAGTCGAACGTATTAGGGAGGAGGTAAGTCCAAGTTCACGCTTTCGTGCTATGTCTCTAGTCTGACTTGATGGAATTAAGTACATGTCTTTCGACCTAAAAAGGCTCGTGGCGGCTTGTCAGGCACTGGGGCTTTACGTGCTGCTCCAAGCGAAAGATCGGGATTCTATCCCTGACAACGATATTGACACCCTTCTGTCAACTCCCGTCGTAAGGCATTTCCTAGTCCCATCGCCTCATGAACATCGACTAATGCAGTTAACATAAATGTAGCTAATAGCGAGGCGGCTGTTCTATACATGCGACTACGCCGCCAATCTCGTCAATGGCGCTAGTCTAGACCGACAGGAATGGGTTTTACGAGAGAGTCTTCGAAGGTATAACATCCCGTAATTCCGTATTTACTGATAACTCATACATCTTTTCAGAAACGTGTGCCTTAACTTTGGCTTCGAGCTACTCGTGGATGTAGACTTCAGTGGTGGGAAGAGCACTTCGTGCGGTTACGATCATGTGGCATTGCCGACGGGAAGGTATCTATGGGAGCCAGTCTCGAACATAGAGTGGGCCGCCCGTTATAAGAAGATGGAAGATGATATACGCAAGAAGCCTCTGAGCATACAGGATTTGCGGCGGACGCGACGTGCCACTGGAAGCGAGTTCTCGCAAGAACTTGAGGAAGCCGACATCTCAACACGAGTTTCTGCATGGTGCGATGGTCTTGATGAGTTTGGCTTGCTGGTATGGATGGCTGTCATGATGGAATGATAGGCATGATATCAGCTTATAAACGTGAGTCGCTGGTTCCTACTTATCTGCTTGGGCTCGTTTTGCAACTCCTTTGCTGTTCCCTCCTATCGTTCTAGTCTGTATTGGTGTTGTTGCTTCTGTTGTCGTAGTCTCCGTCTGTCTCTGTCCCCAGAGTATTCGTCCCTCTTATAATACGTGATACTGACAAAAGTTCTCAAAGCCCTTTCGATACGTTTGAGCATCCGTATCTTTACAGCATCATTTTCCTGCTGACAAAAATGTGAGAATCGGTATCGATGCAATGCCCTTAATAAAATCGGTCTCATAACCGCCAATTGGTATTGGGCTCGACTTCTGGGTCATCTCGGACTCCGGGCTGCTGCAGCGGGACGAGGCAATTGACTTCCCTGCGTAAAGCCTCGTTCCTTTCCAAGAACGTCCTGCATCTGTAAGAGTACGAATGGTATTTCGCTAATGCAATGCAGATGCCGGGGCAATGTTCATCCAAACATAGCACAATACGCCACAAAGGAGAAATAATTGACCGGCGAGAGGGATACTTTGGATGGATTGGAAATGCTTGAGTCAATGTTGAGAGTTCTACCTCAAACGTTGATGAGTCCTGCTTCCTGCTAAGCAATTCATCAGCGGAACGATGGAACATTGCTAAACCTTGACACCAAGCTTGTTGGCTGATCCTCTCCGACCTCCCGCTCGTCAGGCGGCCTCGGGGAAGCTCATAAATTCGAATTGGAGTGCCTAGAAACGCCAATGCCAAGCCAAGCTTCCAATTGCTCTTGGCCAGGCCACGCACTCGCGATTGACCTATCGGCCTCCTTTCCCCTCCATGTGCCAAGGCCAGGCCAAGCTCAATGAGCGGGGAGAGCCTCATGGCTCATTTCATTATCGGACGCAATTTTTCCACGTCTCGTCCGTCGGGATCGCGTTCACTCGCGTCCCTCTCTGGCCTGCGTTATCGTGGCGTGCAGGACCGTCGCATCGACCGGAGTCGTTGGTGCAAAGGTCCTCGACCCAGCCATTCGGACCCCTGGTCTGGAGAGCTACCCCTGTCACCTTCGTCTGCAGCTTTCAGGTACCATGATTCCACTCAAGGAGATGAACCTTTGGAAAGGCCACGGGCATGAGCTGCCTCGATTCCATAAGAAGGGCTGACAGCCGCCCGAGCTTTTCTTATTTCCCTGGTGCTGCTCAAGGGATTCACCTCTCCGGTCCATCATCGTCACCATGAAGCCCGTCTCTGCCCTTCTTTTCGCCTCCGGCGCCTTCGCGGCCGCCGTCCTCAAGAGGGACATCAACGAACCTCTCGCGGGCAAGATGATTGACTCGTGGATCCAGAACAACAACGAGCCCCAGCGCGATTACTGGTACGGCCGCGCTGCTCTCTACACGGGTGTCGAGTCCGTCTACGAGTTGACCAAGAACGAGACCCTTCTCGCCTGGTACCGTTCTCGCATCGACGGCCTCGTCGTCGCCGAGAACGGTACGATCCCTGGCTTCCGTACCGATCACTACTCTCTCGACGACTACCGCATCGGCCGCAACATCCTCTACTGGTACCAGCGCACCGGCGAGGAGAAGTACAAGATCGCGGCCGACACCATTCGCGGCATGCTCGAGAGGCATCCCCGCACCCCTACCGGTGGTTTCTGGCATCGCTCCCCGACTTACAAGAACCAGATGTGGCTGGACGGCATCTACATGGCTGATACCTTCTACGCTCACTACACATCTCTCTTTGATGCCGACAACACCACCGCGTGGGACGATATTGTCCTTCAATGGGACAAGATCGAGGAGATCATCCGTGACCCCGAGACCGGCCTTCTTTTCCACGGTTTCGACGAAGGCAAGGAGGCCGTCTGGGCCGACCCCGAGACCGGCGCCTCCCCTCTAATCTGGAACCGCGCCGTCGGCTGGTACTTCATGTCCCTCATCGAGGTCCTCGACCTTTTCCCCAAGGAGCACGCCGGTTACGAGCGCCTTCTCGGCTACTACACCACTCTTGCTGCCGCCCTCAAGCGCGCCCAGGACCCCACCTCCAACGGCTGGTGGCTCGTGATGAACGAGCCCTACCCGGGTAAGGAGGGCAACTACTTCGAGAGCTCCTCCGCCGCCATGTTCACTTGGGGCTGGCTCGCTGGTCTCCGTCTCGGTTACATCGACGAGGCCACCTACCTCGAGCCCGCCACCAAGGCCTACACTCATCTCGTCACCGACTTCATCACCAAGCAGTGCAACGGTACCATCACCTGGACTGATACCGTTCAGGTCGGTTCATTGAACAGCGACGCGTCTTTCGAGGTATGAATATTACCACATTTACTCTTGTATTGTATGCTAACTGATGTCCAGTACTACGTCGGAATTCCCGTTGTTGACAATGACACTCGCGGCGTTGGTCCCTACCTCCTCGCCGCCTATGAGTGGGAGCTCCGAAACAACATTTCCGCATAAATACACGTCTATCAAACTTCTTGGCTCAGCATCGCACTAAAAGCTATACAAAGACTTAGAGAAGGCCAGATCGTTGCCAATGGGGGAATCACTCGGGTTGATTCGAACTCAACAGGGAGAACAGGACCAGCTTCGTTCTTTACAAGTACACTTACTTTACTTAATGTAAATTATTACCCATAGTTCAACGTACAGAAGAAAAAGCCACAGCACATTAAGATCCAGTGATAACTGAGTGGAATGCGAACAAAATCCTGACGTGGTTGAGTTGTTGGCCGCTGCGAACCGGTACTCCATGCCGTCATCCTACAGCCCCGATCTTTACCCCATTTGCTTTTCTATCTCTTTAATTGCTATCTCTCATAGACAAGGTGTCTGTCTGTTGTACTCATCCAGTCGCTTCTTCGTTACTCAAGATTCTCTTTGGCCTCAGCAATCTCGAGAGAACTTCATGTTCTAATCTTGCGGTTTAACCATGATTCTATTGTAATGAAACCAGGTTGATGCCGACTTGGGCTGAGAGCATTCATTCATCTGACTTCACCCCACCGAGGAAGACACTGCCTATGTCATGACAGCTGCACATTCATGCTCAAGGACGATCACGAGACCCTCTATACTTTCGCCGCGGCCTCATGTCCAACTCTCTTTCGCAGCGCAGCTATTTCTAAGAAGTACAAACGCATTGAGAAGGCACGGCTCAACGGAAATCTTCCAATCGCTGTGTCCTCCTGCCTCGGCGCCTTATGGCAGATGGAAACGACGTGAATCGTATACATGCCCAACGTAAACCATCGTGCCTTGCTCAGGGATATATCGATATAGGAGAAGGATTGATACCGAGAACCGGCTCATCGGTATCTCAGATGCGATAGCACGCAGGACGAGCCTGCCCAATCGCTGGTCATTATCCCCTTCACCCCGAACTCAACCTTGTACCAGACTCACCCATAGTTGAAGAGGTTCTAAAGTAATGCCAACATTCTCTTCCACCATCCCAATCTGATTTATCTCCGAGTTGCCCCGTCCCCCTCCCCGTAAACCGCCCGCCCGGCAGTTGCGATCTAGATAAGCCCCACTCCCCGAACGGCCCCCCCTGTCGGCCCATCCCGAGACGGGTACGAGACGCGGCCCTAAAGCCTCAGATGGGGAAAAGCACGTATCGAGGTATCTTTTTATTCGACGGGTATTTGACTTAAACAAATCATCGTGCATGGGTGGTGGGAATGAGCCACGGGATCGTCCAAAACGTCCGGAGGAGGGTGGTGGTGGTGGAGAGGGCGCGGCGCTCGGCCGTCTTCGAACCCCTCTCTTGAGGCTTTTCCAGGAAATCCTCAACCTCTCTCTCTACATCTACCCATCATCCAGACATCCCGCACGGAAGAAACAACCCCCGCAATGAGCTCCTTCAAAGGCAAAGTAATCGCCATCACAGGCGCGGCATCGGGCATCGGCCTCGCGACAGCAAAAGCCCTAGCCGCCCTCGGCGCCCGGCTATCGATAACCGACGTCAACGAGGCCGTCCTCGCCTCCACGGCGACCGAGCTCGCCTCCCTCTGCGGCGGCGCCGAAAACGTCTACTCCCAGGTCGCCGACGTGCGGGACCGCAAGGCCGTCGAGGCGTGGATCGCGGCCACCGTCGAGAAGCTCGGCCCGCTCGACGGCGCCGCCAACTGCGCCGGCGTGCTGGGCGCGCAGGGCAACCGGGCGACGATCCCGCAGCTCGAGGACGACGAGTGGGACTTCGTCATGGGCGTCAACGCCAAGGGCATCCTCAACGCCATGAGGGCCCAGATCCCGGTGCTGAGGGACGAGGGCAAGGGCGCGTCCATCGTCAACGTCGCGTCCGTCTCCGGGCTGTACGGGTTGGAGTTCCACGGGGCTTACACGGCGAGTAAGCATGCCGTCGTGGGGTTGAGCAAGAGCGCGGCGAGGGAGTTTGGGAGGAAGGGCGTGAGGGTCAATGCCGTGTGCCCGTAAGTCGACCCTCTTGTGTCTGACCCATCTCGGCTTGGGATCGTTTTCTCTCCTTCCTTTGCTGACTCCCTGCAGAGGCCCGATTGATACCCCTATCCTCCACAAGTCTCTGGAGACGGCAGCGACTGGAGCCGATCTCCCGCCCCCTTTGCTGGGACGCATCGGGCAGCCGGAGGAGGTTTCGGCGATGATTACTTTCTTGCTCAGCGACGCTGCGTCGTACGTCACCGGGCAGGCAATGCTTGTTGATGGGGGTATGCTGCCGTGAGAAACGTACGATTGCGGACGGCCTGGGTTGTTGCGAAGACAGCGGATGCTTTGATAGACGTCTTTATTGTTGAACCTTGCGGTGTCTCGTCCCGTTGAAACCGAGTAGATGCAAAGCGCGTTTGACTGCCACGTCCGTCTCCAGAACAGTTCGGCTGGCCAGAACAAGCACCCTCAGTGCATGTTGTCGCTCTTTGCCCGCATGGGTGGCGCCAGATCTGTGCCTTTCTCGTTCTCCTCTAAAAAGTGGGCGAGAGTTTTGATCCTCGAACTTCGACTTTCAAACGACGTTTATCCCTGGTTCTCGCTCTCTGACTTTTCCGCCGCTTTCTAGACCTTCCGAAAATCGTTTCGTCAAAACCTCGCAGTACTTCAGTCTTCTGTATCGCATATTTGATGTCGTTGGCTGTTGGCCTGGTGTAGTTGAAAAACACGGACGTGACTTGATCAGGTCCCGTAGGCAGAGGAAGCATTCCAGGACCCCGTTCCGCGTGCGTGGCCTCTATTATAGAGTGTACTTTGTCAACCCAGCGCTGAATAACCTCCTCACGAGTGCCGCGCGGTGAAGGAAGCTGTTCTTTGCTCAACCAAATTTGAAGGAGTGCGAAGCGGACGTGGGGCTTAAGCCGCATGTCTCTTTGGTTATGTCCACTTCCGTGTCCTTGGCTTTGCAAGAATGTCAGTTTCGAACACTTCAGGGGCAGCGGGGGAGGGGTTTGCGGTCGCGTACTTCATGAACAACTGCAGATCTTTCAGACCCTGCATGGAGCGTAGTCTTGCCCAGAGCATCCAGCGCTTCGTTGTCGGATGACTCCTAAGCTTCCTCATACTTGTGTCTTGCTCGCCGTATTGCTCGCCCAACACGGCATTTGGGATACATTGGTGCATCATGGCATGGCACGGATGGCACATCATAGCGATGGCTTTCCATTCTGGATGCCATGGCCTCCCACTTGTGATTTGGAGCTGTTTTGGCCAGAGATGGTGTTCTGTGACGGAATCCGTCGTGCGCAAGCAAAGCTCGCAAGTTCCTATCTTGTGAGTGAGTGTGTGTTGAGTGAACACGAGTTTAGTAGTCCATTCCCGCGCCTCTTCTTGCCCTAATGCCCTTCCGAACTCCTCCATGGTCATCCGCAGTCCCAGCTTTTGCAAGTTTTCCTCGGACATGAGCCGTAAGTCTTTGCTCTGAAGCTTGCCCTTCAGTCCGAATGAACCCTCCATTCCGGGGCTCAACACTTTTGCGAGCCCACTCTTCGTAGGCGGCGCCGAGTGCCTTGAGACCGGCCTGGGTGCGGACACCGTGGGAATTTGCGGCATAGTTGCATTGCGCATATGCTCGGCGAACCGGTCTTGCGGTCGAGACATTTCGATCAATTGTGCTGGCCAGCTGGTGGGAATTCGCGGAACAGTCGTTCTCTGTTTATGCTCGCGAAACCGGCCATTGAACAGGTACATTTGGATGAATCGTACTGGCGGGCCTTGCTCCCGAGACGGCACGCGACTCTCGATCGCACAAGAGAATCCGTCGCGAGGCTCATCTCCGCGGCGCTCATTCTCAGTGTCCGTCAGCAAGACCGCAGGAATCTCCCCGGCCTCGCTTGACGGAAGAGCAGCGGCTTGAGTCGTGAGGCGTCGACGGTGACGCCATGATAACGGCGCGTTGGCAGGTCGGACGCAGACGCGCCGGTCGTACGACGCGAGGGTGAAGACCCGATGAGTGAGAGACCACGACGGTCGACGCGTGCATGTAGGTTCCACGGCCGTGGGCAGACTGGCCGCGGCCTTCTTCAACGGCCCCATCATCGGAGGAGGGCGATGCGCATCTCCGAACAGACCCGTTCGGTGGTTTGTGCGGATTAGTGATGTTGGGCGACGGCGTGATGGCGGAAAGACGTGGTTGGGGACTCTTAAGTGTTGGTTGTCGTTCGGGGAATAAGAAGGAATGAAATGGCGGCCCCACCACGGGCCGAGGATCTGGGAAGCACCTGCTGGAGTCTACTCCAACGACAATCCTCTCTTTGGTCTCCCAAGTAAGGTACATCGTAGTGTATTGATAGCACTTAATTGATTGGGATGCCAAATTCAGGAGGAAATACCTTTCGACGGAGTCCCATACATAATCGTGTGCTCGGCTATGGTACCCTCGTAGCAGCAATTCGCCGCAGGACCTCAAGGCGGTCCCGAAAACTGTGTGCCACGAGAGCGCCTTGCTGGCTCGCTGACAATGTAAGTGACAAACAACGCACACGATTTGTTTCCGCACCAGAATTATCATCCGTAACCTGTGGTCTCATTTGATGACATAAAAGTAAAACCAACATCAACGCGGCTTCTGTGAAGCCAAGGTATTATACATCTGAACTTCTTTTGTATGCCCGCGCCTACGTAGAACTCCGTCCCTTCCCGTCCTTCGCCGCACCGTCGCGCTTGCGCTTGACACCCGCGACACGTCCAATGCGATCCTAGTACAAGGGCGTGCTGTCGGCATCGGCCAGCCACGACGTCGCCAGGTCCCTCGACAGACCCAGTCGCAACACCCGCAGCACGTCCTCGGCCGACGCGCCCGCCGTGAGGCCCGTCCTCCAGTCCCAGCCGCGCTTGGTGTTGGCGCGGGAGAGGCCGCCGCTGCTACCGCTGATGGAGCGGTTCAGTTGACTTGCGAGCATCGAGCTGCCACTGAGCATGTAACTTCCTCCGAGGGAGCCGGTGCTCTTACGCATCAGGTCTGCGGGCGTGGAACCCTTCAGGCCATGCGCAGAAGCCAGGACAAGCTTGAAGAACTCGTCGGCGGCATTGAAGATTGTTGAGTTGACAGTTTGGATATCTTCGACAGCCTTGAGCATAACGTCCATCTGGTCGAGATTGATAACAGAGGGGTTCTGGTTGACGAAGGGAAGAGCTTCGCCGAGAAGCGCAAGAATGAAGTCCTCGCTTACGACGGCGTCGCGTGTCTCATCGTACAAACCACCGCGGATATTGTCGTCGGAGCTGGCGATAACGGCAACCAAGGCAGACGCCGCCTGCTTTCGGAGAGACGCCGACTTGTGCGGGGACATGTCCGCCAGCCCATCGGTGTCTCGAATTTCGTAGTACTTTCGGAGGGTTGCATATCCACTCAGCATCCGGCCGAGCAGCTGCGCCGCTTCGAGATCCTGCTTGGCATATTTCTCTAGCGTCTGACTGCGTTCGTTGAGAAGCTTGTAAAGGTGGTCGTCCAGCTCATTGGGATGCGGGTAGACGGTGGAGTGAAGGAGGGAGTATGACATGAGAAGGTTGAGCACTTCGCGGACCTTGCCTGGTCGATGAGCCAGAGCGTAGTACCACAAAGCCTCGCCGTATCTGTGCGAGCCTTCCGCGAGGATCTCTGCGTAGGTCTGCGAATAGTTAGTACACTTGCAACATCATGGACAGTTTATCGTGCCATACCTCTGCTGTTTGCTCGGCGTAGTTGATCATGCCGAGGTCGTTCAGAATCCTCCAGACCTTCTCCACCATGTCGCCCGAGTCTGCTTCGAGTTGTTGGAGAATATCACCAAGCAACTCTCCGACCATCTCCTCAGACTTTGCTGCCGAATCCATACGACCCAGCACCTGAATTGCCATTTCCCATCCAGTTCGGTTGTCGGCCAGGACATCGATGCCGGCCAACTCTCGTGCGTAGTGCGTCAGTGTCGTGTCCTTGATACCCTCGACCTCGTCTGCGCCTTGTGGGCTCACTCCCAAAATGTCCAAGTCCTCCATATCCAAGCTTTCCATCATGATCAGGTTAGGCGGCTCCGGCTTGGGAAGCCATTGGCCAAGCGACGCAAGTTCTGCCACGGTCGAAGCAATGGGCAGAGACCACCCTCGAAGGATGCCGATCACCGCGGCGAAATTCGACTCGAACGCGGAAGCAATGGCAACTTCGACAGGGTTCATGGCGTTGAAGTGGAAGTCCGACTCAATCGCAGTGTGGAAAGCCAGGGAGAGGCGCTCGAAGTACGTGTCCGGGCCAGAAGAAACGGCCGGCAGACGAAGAGCTTGCGAACGGGACATGCGCAAGGATTTCTGTTGACCGCGTCCCTCTTCCCACCAGCCGAAGAGACCTACGGTGGCCTCGCACCAGTCTTGTGCCGTCTCGAGGATAGCATCGGGGGTTCCCAGGATAATTTGGTAGATGGTTTGGAGGTGTTCGTAGATATCCCAGGGGACCTGTCCCTCGGCCTTGCGGGCGAGGCGAGCCAAGGACGGCTGGCCGTATAATCCGTCGTCACTATCACCATAAAGACCCTTGTCCTTGCCTTCCGCGAATCGCTGCAGCCTATCCAATGAGCCCTTGGCCTGGATACGATACAGCGTCCAGTCGCTGCTGAAAATGTCCCAGTTTCTCTTATTAGCAGGGCAGATATCGAGCGCCTCGCATGTGATGCCAACAGCACGCTGCAGATTCTCCAGAGTCTTGCCAGCGTATGCCACTTCTGCGCGGGTCCCTTTTCTGACCGATTCCCAACCGGCGTTTCTCAGCAACTGGGATGCGAGGTGAATCTTGCCCCGAATAAGTGCGCTCCGTATTGTTGGCCAGAAGAGGCTGTGGCTAGCAGGACTGGGCTTATGGCGCATCACACGGTCGAACTGATCAGGATACAGGTTGTGGTTGTCCTCGATCCAGTTGAAGAGGACCTCGGGCAGAGGAGGTGCCTTAGCCTGGCCAGGCCCATCAGCAAAGCGGGTGTGGTGCATCTGAAGTACCAGCCTGGCGACGTAGGCAGCTTTGACAAAAGGCTCAACGTTGGGACCAGGCCCGATCTCAGCTACATGCTCTCCTTCGGGCGTCGGCAGAGTCTCGGCGAAGTTGTCCCACAACTCAGTCAGCGGCTGGACAATTGTCGCCAAAGAACCGTCGAGCCTTCCGGGGTCGTCCAGTGCGCCAATTCCCTCGTCGTACAGCTCGTTCACCAAGTCCTCCGTCTGCAACACAACCCCTGGGGACTCGGTGATCGTAGTCATGCCCATTTGAGTGTACAGATCTTTGGCAATCGCTGCGTACTTGAAGTCCTTCCGTCTCGACGTCGAAGACCGTCGCATGGATGAGGCGCGGAAAATGTCCTCGGCTTCTCTGCGCATACGCTCCGTAGCCGCCGGTGTGTTCAAGAGGAGGAGGTCTGAGTCGTTAGCGCCATTGAGGCCATCGCGGTCGTCGTCCGAGTAGACGGGCTCATCGTCTTGGCGCGTGCTGTGGCGCATGTTGAGAAACATATCGTCGTCGTCGTCGATCAGCTCCTCATCCTCGGCCTCTCCATCGGCGTCCTCGTCGTCCAGGTCGGCCTCGAGATACCGCTCCATCTCGGCGTTGACAGCCTCACGCTCATCATACTCCTCTTCCTCCGCTTCCTCTTCGTCCTCCGAGTCGTCGGGTATCATGTACCGCCCGGTGCGGTTATCGTAGGTGACCTTGTTTTCCGTAGCGCCATATTCTTTGCTCAATCCCGAGGGCTGTCTGACGTGTTTCGCGTTTTGATGGACTGACCGGCCTAGGGGCCCCTGGGAGGGCTGCTGGGAACTGGCGTCGCTTCGTGCAAAGAGGTTCCTGGCAGGGCCGGTCGTACTTGCTCCTCCGAAGTTGAATGGCTTCTGATTAGTGCCGTCGCCCAGCAATGAGCTTCCGAGGTAGGATGCAGACGGTGCGCCGGCGGGTGTGAACGAGGCCTGGGACGACGGAGGCGGGCCGGCAGGGGTCGTCGAAGGGTTATCGCCGAAGGGGTACGCTGATCCCTTGTTCGGGGTCTGGCCAGGAGTCGACGGCGGCGAGCTGCTCCAATCGTCGGTGAAGCTGAATTTGTTTGCCATCGCGACTTCGTCGGGCGACCTCAGGTCACCCAGTTGGGTATCGTCGTCGCAGCGGTGTGTGGAGAAATAAAAATTCAGCGAGTCGAGAGCAACAGTGATAATTTGTATCGCGTTCACCGGGTGAGGCAAGTTCGTTCGTGATTGATTGAGCGCAAGATCAGGGCGGATCAGCAAGCCGGGTAGCAAGCTGTGGTGGTGTTTGGGTGGACGCGCTTGCTGGATAAATTTTGGAGGTTCGCGATGCTCGCCTGGTCAACGCGGAGGAAGCCGCTCATTGGCTCCACTCCGGCCGGCCACCTTTTTTCTTGCAAGGAGCTGTCAGCTTGAGGTTGGCGCTAGGGACGCTAAGAAAGAGCTCCTTGGCGCCAAAGTGTGGCACATTTCATGGCTGGTGCATCCCCGGACCTGCAACAAAGACCTGGCCTGACTGCAAGGTTCCGACACCTTCAACAACAGAAATCTCAATCAGTTCGGGGTTGTATTTTTGGAGGCTTCGGCAAAGCAGAGTTCAGACGCTCCTCCGCACTTATGCAACTGTTGATGACATGGTGATGGCTGCATCACCCACACAATGGTTTGCGGGGTAACATGGCATGATGTTGTCTTCCGATTTTGATTTATTGCAGAGTACTTCAGTATTTGATTCTTATTATCTAACGTGATCAATCATTTCTGTCGGGTTGAAATATCGGTATCCGGACAAGTATCCCGTCTTATCGTTTCCCACGGTCTTTTCAATTCTAGCCTCCAGCGACCGCCGGCCGGCTTCGGCTTCGGGTGGCCGTCCGATTGCGATGAGATAGGATAGAGCTGCCAAAGGAGGCAGGATACGGCAGCGAGTTGGAGAGCTGGAACAATCCGATCGAAAGGCAGACCAGACCAGGCCCGGACATATGTCGGATTCTCAGTCTCAGCGGCTGTGCTCCGTGACTCTTCCCAACCCCGAGACGAAAAACGCTGCTGGCGAAATTCTCCAGCTCCTAGTCCTTCCCGCTTGGCGAAACGGAAGGGCATCGCGAGTCGCAGCCTTGGCCCGCGACAATCGCCGACGGACCATGCCTGAAAGAGGTCGTAAATAGCACGTCAAAGGCCTATCCCCGACGGCTTAAACTTTTGGACGCCCCTCTTTGGCTGACCGTCATGCAATGAGAAGTGCCCGGGACAGTGGAGGGGTTGCCCGGCTAGCAGCCCGGTTGGCCTCGTTTTCTCTCCCGTCTCTCTCTCTGGGCTCTCTCTCCGTTTGCCCAGAACGCTGACGGACGAGTCACGGAGGGTTTTTCGCTTCCGCTAGCTGAGAAGCTACTGATACCTTACGTGATTATGGCGGGATACGGGAAGCTGTTCTGTCCAATGACGTACCTCAATGTCCTCACGTCAACCGCCCAAGAGTCTTCGCTGGCGTCAGGTCTGTTTTACCCTCCACTCCGGAGACGCAATACAGCAGCCGTGAGGCGATGATGAAGTTCGAAATTCCCCGCTTTTCAAACTGTGCCTCCAGAATGTGCTGTGTACGTAGGTATTACACGTAGTGCGTGCTTCTTGTGTGAAAGTATCCCCCTCCCCGAACCTCCGAGCTCCCGTTCTCTTTCCCCTCCTTAGAAGCGCAGAGCGGGGTGGGGTTTGGAGATCCAGTCCCCAGTCCCAGCACCCAAAAAGCGGCAGTTCTACCCATTCTGCATCTCGAGATCCGATCTTCAATAAATACCTGACCCTGCCCGGTAAAGCAAGGCTTAGTGCGTGATTCCTTTTCCATCAAGGTTCTCATCGACCCTCACCTTCATCAAATAAAACATCTTGCATCATGTCTGCCACTGCAGGAAAGGTATGTTTCCCAACCCTCATCTTCCCTGCCCTTCCGATTGCGGGGTAGCTCGACTCGACTGCGACTCGACTCTCCTCTCGCCCAGAACTGCCAATGAGCCTTGAACCGAGCACTCCGCTGATCCAATGACCCCCGAGTAATAGACCATCACTTGCAAGGCCGCCGTCGCCTGGGAGGCGGGCAAGCCCTTGAGCATCGAGGACGTCGAAGTCGCCCCGCCCAAGGCCCACGAGGTCCGAATCGAAATCTACTACACCGGTGTCTGCCACACAGGTTAGTCGAGAATACCCCTATATCGAATACCCCTATATCTCCCCTCTCTCATCATCAAACCACTCTCGGAATACCTTCCGAGGGCTCTGTCCAGAGCTCCGGCGTAGCATCCGAGAAACCATCACAGAACACAGACTGACTGTCGTCAAGACGCCTACACCCTCTCCGGTAAGGACCCCGAGGGCGCCTTCCCCATCGTCCTCGGCCACGAGGGCGCCGGCATCGTCGAGTCCGTCGGCGAGGGCGTCACCAACGTGAAGCCCGGCGACCACGTCGTCGCCCTCTACACCCCCGAGTGCCAGGAGTGCAAGTTCTGCAAGTCGGGCAAGACCAACCTCTGCGGCAAGATCCGCGCGACCCAGGGCAAGGGCGTCATGCCCGACGGCACCTCGCGCTTCAAGTGCAAGGGCAAGGACCTCCTCCACTTCATGGGCACCTCCACCTTCTCCCAGTACACCGTCGTCGCCGACATCTCCGTCGTCGCCGTCCAGCAGGACGCCCCCATGGACCGCACCTGCCTGCTCGGCTGCGGCATCACCACCGGCTACGGCGCCGCCCGCATCACCGCCAACGTCCAGGAGGGCGACAACGTCGCCGTCTTCGGCGCCGGCTGCGTCGGCCTCTCCGTCGTCCAGGGCGCCGTCGTCAACAAGGCCGGCAAGATCATCGTCGTCGACGTCAACCCCAGCAAGGAGGAGTGGTCCAAGAAGTTCGGCGCCACCCACTTCGTCAACCCCACCGAGCTCAAGGACGGCCAGACCATCGTCGACAAGCTCGTCGAGATGACCGACGGCGGCTGCGACTTCACCTTCGACTGCACCGGCAACGTCAGCGTCATGCGTGCCGCCCTCGAGGCCTGCCACAAGGGTTGGGGACAGAGCATCATCATCGGTGTCGCCGCCGCCGGCCAGGAGATTTCCACCAGACGTAAGCATTCCCCCTAAAGCCTCAACCTCATGTACATCCATACACTAACACACTCTAACCAGCATTCCAACTCGTCACCGGCCGCGTCTGGAAGGGCTGCGCCTTCGGCGGCGTCAAGGGCCGCTCCCAGCTGCCCGGCCTCGTGACGGACTACATCAAGGGTGACCTCAAGGTGGACGAGTTCATCACCCACCGCAAGACCCTCGGCGAGATGAACTCGGCCTTCGACACCATGAAGCAGGGCGACTGCATCAGAGCCGTGGTCGACATGCGCAAGTAAGCAACGGCTCTGGTTGCACGCTCTCGTGTGTTTTCGAATAAAGTAAAAAAGCAAAAAATACTGATAGCTTAATGTCAAAAAAAAGTGAAAACGATATCAAGTCTTTTGCGAAACTGTGAAGCCAGATGACCGGACGGGGCGATACGCTGTGGAGGCGACGACGACGATCCGACGATGACGAGCGACGACGACGACGCTGTCCTACCACTACCGATCGACCCGTCCCTACTACGCATAAAAGTACCGCAGCGGTGTTCGATAGCAATACAACGACGTGTTATGAAAGAGGGAAAAAAAACCATCATCGGGATCAGCGTGTTCTTGTGAGCCATGACGTCCTGCGGCTGATGGGCGGCCCCATGGATCGGGACGCAGTCCAGACCGCCGCCGTCCGACGCCGGATTCGGCGGCTCGAAGATCATCCACTTCCGGCGGCGCGCCGCTCCGATGGACGCCCCCAGTTGTTCCCAGCCCAGCCCGCCGGTCCAGGTCCTCCGCAGTGTGTCACACCAACCTGCATGATTCCCCCGGGCGCGCTCCTCCTCCTCCTCCACCATTTACTTTCTTTTCTCGGCTGCAAGTTCCCTGCCCAGTGGGATCTCAGCCTCTGCCGGATGTGGACATGTTCCCCATGCAACTCACGATGCCGAACTATTGAAATGTTGTTGCCTCTAGTGACCTTTTGCCTGATGATGGGTGAGATTTTGGATGAGATGAGCAGCGCCCCATTCCTTTAAAACCGTCCATCCATCCAGCAAGCAAGCTTGTCTTGGATCAACGAGGTGGCGATGTGGCAGCGTGCTTTCTATATCTAGATGCGCCGAGCATAGATAACCCCCAGGATCGGCACTGTCAGATTGACTTCGGCTCGACGATAACCAACATCGGATCATCCTTCATCTAAGAAACAGCACACAAACATAGCCCAGCCTGACGGGATGCCCATCATCCGTGGCTGCGCCGCTGCAAAGCGAAGGACGCGTCCGCACGATGCTGCCACTTCCGACTTCTGATTGAATATAGACAATCAATCTCAATAGGCCACTTGACCAACCAGGCGTCGGAGGTTTCTGTCTTTGTCTTTTCCCGCAGGATGCCTGAGACATTATGCATCTCCTCAATCCCCCAGTCCGTTTGTAAGTGCTCCCGCAGGGATACCAATAAACAAAATAGCTGGACCCAGACGAAAAAGAAGAAGAAAAAAAGCAAGAGGATATGTCACTGTCCATTCTCCATTGTTCCTCCGGGGTTGGGGTCGGGAATGGAATTGGCTGCGGGAATCGCTTGTCCGAATAATACCTGGCGACTTACACGCTTTTAACCATGTCTCGGAGGTCAGCGGATAGCTGCGACTTCCCGTGCCATGGCCCGCGGCCTACCTAGCGTGGCCCGTTTGTACGGAACAATGCGAGCGGCATGCGAGACAGCGGTGCATCCCAAATACGCAGTAATAGGGAGCGATTGTCTATTTTCAGGGCTTGCGGTCAGAAAATAAGAGTAAGCGGAAAAGACTGCCTGCCGCCTGGGGCTGGGATTGGGAATCAGATGATGACCTGTCAAGGGTTCTTGGGGGGCTTGGGGGAAATGGAACGAACGGCCGCGCCTTTTTCGCTTCTGATTTCCGCATCTCGGCTCGGTCAACTCACCGCAACAGCGTCCGATTGTTGGTTTTAATTTTGGGGCATAGTTGACTGAGAG